TTGCTAATTTAACCATCAAAGTCGTAATGAATAAATTTGATAGCAGCATTTTATAAAGCCTTAATTTGACAAACGTAAAAGCGAAACTGTCACATAATTTTCTCACTTCACAAAGATTATAAAAAAAGTTCCGTGAGGAAATTTCATTATGTCCTAATGTTGAAAAGCTTTCAACAAGAAATGTAATTTATCATTTATAAATGCCGCGAATTGCGACATAGCGAACACAATAAAAATATCAATTTCAGTAAAAAAATATTTATCATAATGTCTGTCTGTCACCTTGCCAGAAGCAGAGCCACCTGCAATTCCAATGATAAACGGTATTTGTGCTTTCATCTCTTCTTCTATAAATTTTTTTCGATTCTCTGCTGCTAGCAACGTCGAAAAATTAATAATCTCTTGCACATTCCGATGACAACTAACATGTCTACGAATCTCACTCGATGTGCTTCTCCATCTACTTGACGACTTAAATCAACATACTTCTTTCCATCCGCGAAAATGACATGACGTCACGAAACCAGTGGAATCGAATGGTATCGAAGCATTGAGACATTATAGATTCATTTCTTTGGAACATGATTGATTGACCAATAACACCGATTGCAACATTTCAGGAAATTCAAAAACGATTGTGGTCGTGTATGTGTTCAAAAAGGCAATTCAAAAAACGTAGACCATGTCTATAGAAGTTGTAGTTTAAACGCCAGCTGGTGAAGAAAGCTATTTTCTATTTGTTCTTTGTATGCAGTATGGTTTTTGCATTGGTTGTCAAATGACATTTTTACGTAAATGACACAAAACATCAAAATTGCCATAACAACAAGGACTTTGCTAGATTGTTTTGTTTTAGAGACACTTCAATGGAAATGGAATGATAATCCCACAGAAAAATTAATGATAGAAAGTGCCACTTAACTGAATACCAACTTCCTAAGCAGGCACATTTGCATTATCCTTGGTCTGTGTGATGAATAAGTATATTTTAAAGCAAGTTGTCTGTCATGAAACTTCAACAGTGAATAGTAAAATATTTGTAATCTTCCTGAACAGAAGATAAAAGATTCACAAAAGGAGTACAGTACAGAGATAAACTATGTTTACATGGTCATATCAGTACCAGTTACACCGTACATGAGACAAATACTGATGTTTTAATTGATCAAAACTTATCTAAAGTAAACAACGATTCTTTTTAACTTTGTTTCAAAGAGCACTGGATGTTTTAATCATTGATATTGGTGTATTAATCTATTTCAAAGCTTGAATGAAACAACAACAGAAAATGTGAATTCCTTGTTGCCATGTTCGAGAAAAGCCATATTGTATAAACGTAAGAAGATCGGCATCTTACAGCTCAAGTTCAAAACCAGACATAAAGACTAAAGACCGCGAACATAATTGCCACGGATCGATAAAGATTTTGACTTTGTGTATTTAAAGCACCGCAATTTCCAAAGGATTCTCAACAACAGCACTGAAATAGTAGCCAGTTAAACATTAAGTAGAAAAGAACTGCTCAAAGTTGATATAAAAAAGATCATATTTCGTATAAGGTCATCCGGAATGGAAAGGCGAAAAGAAAAATTTAATAAAACGAGAGATGAAATTGAGAAAAAGGAGAGCATTACTGAACGAGCAAATAAAACGGCAACAAACAGGTTGAAACAACAACACGAAATCTTTGAGGAGAGCCATGACTTGATTGCAAATGAAATCAACGATGAAATAAAACGACTTCAAGATGACCTAAGAGGTATTCATCAAGTTGTGGACTTCGATATCGCTAAATTACAACATGCAAATAGAGACAGCAGTACAAGTTTAACACACAAAAGGAAGAAACTGATATTCTTTAAGAAGAAATCAAACACAATAAGAAAATTAAAGAATAATGATGAAAGAGATAGTCAAGTCAAATTACAATCATCGGACACTTTGACAACATCTGGTTACAATACACAACGCAACGTAGCACTTAAATCAAATTACACACAAACGCAATCACGACATTTCCCCCTTAACGTATCAGGACAAGTAGACAAGGCTGTTCATCATGCTACATGCTTTGATGAAAACGAAACAAAAGCTTCCACTTTCAACTCTCAAGAATACAGAAAACATTTCGAGCGAACAAGGGACAATACAAAGCACGAAACATTACCATTTGTTATACGAAGTAACACACTTGATTCCCCGGGATCACGCGAATTTGACATGAATGAGGCACGAAATCATACACGAAAACGGTTACTAGGTAACGTAAAAGACGCTTATGAACACGAACAACGCATAAAGAACGAAGAAACTACGACAAATATCGAAGACATTGAGTCGTATATGTATGTACCGCCCGACGGTCGTAAACGAACAATGTTCGTACTTCCTCCTTTAGAAGATTTAATGCTTGAAGCAAGCAAAGCCAGATATCTACGCATGCCCAGGTATGATGTCACTAAGTATGAAGATGATCCCGAGAGAGAGCTCAGTGTAGATGAAATATTCGGTTGATCATTGTTTGAAGCATATAGTTAAACCTGTTTTTCCATTTATCGTGACGAAAGAAGTTTGTAGTTTCAATGAACAGCTGAAATGGTTTTAGTTTCTTGATGAATTTGTGTGTGTTCTCTGGTAAATTTAATTTAATAATTTCCGTAGCTGTTCGTTGCTATTCACGAGTATTTCTTTATCTGAAAAGGATGTGGATAATGTTGTCAGTTAAAATCTCCTTCCCGTTTAATTAAACCACTTAACTCACAAAATTTACTAAAACCAATGATAAAAAACTCAGTTTAACTTTATGTTGTTTTTGAACTTCAATAACATGCTTAGTACTTTCGACACAAAAACATATGTTCTCTGATGAGAAAATACTAAATATATGTAAATACTATTGATGGAAATTTCTTGAGTTGCCAAAGACAGAGGCACAGAGGTATGGTTTCAAGGCGCTCTAGGTATATACATAATTTATTGAAAGCATAAAAATTTACACAAACTTTCAAAAATCACTCACAATAAAGACAGCTTCTAGTGTAATTGCCGCGCTTCGGCTTCTAGCCGTGTTTTTAAACGCAGCTATACATCACAAAGTTTAGATGACATCATTTCGTCAAAAAAGTGAGAGAAATTTGCCGTTGCTTTTCACCCCCTCCCCCCCAAGTATGACTTTGAATAAATGTAACAGACATTTATATGTTGTGTACGAATATTTTATATTTAGTAAGAGTTTTCACTTATGAATAGGCAGGTTTTCTTTGAAATAATCGTGTGAAAAGAGGCAAGCAAAACGGCAGCTAACATTCTTTACTGTGGGAAAACACACCTGAAAACAATATGAATAATTTACAGATAAAACCGTTTATCATTGATGGGTAAAATCATGTGAATAACGAAACGCGGTTTCCCTTTCCACAATGCACGAGTTAAATCACATTAAAAATGAATGTAAGTTGGAAGTATATCGTTCCCTCTTGAAGTCTCTATTTTAGCAATCAAAAAAATAAATTGTCACTTTTAGCGTTGTGTATCTATGTATGTCCTTCTAATTGTGACTAAAAATTTGCATTTGTTTGCAATAACTTTAGTGTACGTAAATAATTTGTTTGATCATACGAAAACCTTTCATAAAACAGTCTGTTAATTATGTATCAACGAATTTTTATAATAATAACTTTAATCTGCACCGAACAACTAAATATAGGAAACTTGTGTTACAACGATAAAATCAAGGTCTATTTGTGTGATATGCCAAGATGGAAAATGACCAAATTTGAGCTCTAATGCCGAGATTTTAGCTAAATTATGCTCACATTTGCAATTACGCCGACGTTAAAACGTTCAATAAACACAAGCTTTTAAATAATGAAAGGTTATAACTTCACTAATGATGTTAACGTGTCTACACAGTTTGAAAAGCATAACAATATGTCGTAATGGTTGCTAAATAACGTATGGAACAAGTGCTTTTATTGGATATCAATGCCGACAAGATCCATCGCGTTGCAGGTGTCTGTAAAGATGCTGACAAATCTAATATACTTTAAATCTCTCAAATAATTGATTTCATTCGAAATTTTAGTTTACACATACGGACGAATCTTATTTATGTAATTATCTCTAAGTATAGATAAATAAAATATAGACGTTTAGCAATAAGCAGAAAATGGAAAAAATTGATTAACCGTGTTACTATCACTTTAACAAAAAATTACGAATTCAAAAAAGGACAAAAGGAAGAAATAAATTCATGATCCAACTTGAAAGAAAAAAGCTAGATAAGACGACGAAAATTATTCCATTCAGAAGCAAACCGTCCTCAATAAAAAAAAACAGTTTTTAACCTCAATTTTATATTTCCATACGAGACAATAAAGATAATTTTTGTGGCTTCTGCGTTGTTAAAGAATGCCTTCAGCACATGTGTTAACGACATTAAACAATCAATATGTGCAAAATCATTCAATTTGCAAAGAATTTCTAAAGGCGTCGTTCTTACAAACCCATCGCTTCATTGTTGATTCGATAGCCATGTTTTTCGTAAAACGTAATAAAATCTAAGCATAACAATAATTATAACTCGGCAGGCGTATTGGAAACAACCCGCACATTGTTGGTAATTGCGATTAACGAAGTATGACTAATAAACTCTAATTAAATTGGTCGCTAAATGTTTTTACTAAATAACCAAATTATTGAATCCTTATTTGTACTTCTTCTCTCGAGTTTTGTTTACAGAATCTATTCATACATAGATATGTATTTTTCAAAATACGTAATTAAAAAAACCCTTCAAATCACACGTGAGAAGTTTCCTCTCCATGTTTTATGAATAAATAAAATTACATTATTGTGTGAATTAAATGTGGCCGATACACCAGTGACAACTGCGTTTAATATAGGCCCTATATTTCATGGCAAGAGATTAGAGATAAAAAAATAGGTAATACACCACTAGGATAGCCAATGATAACACGTATTAATAAATTAACGTCCTATGGAGAATTCACGTTTATATCAAAGGAAAGTTCTGTGACGAGGTAAAACATTGATTAAGAGCAAAATAACTATCGATTTTGTATCCGAAGGTAGTCAAATGTTGTGGCCTTCTGTGATTAGATGCATAACCTAAGATTCGGGTGAAATATAAACGACTGACAACTTCCGCTAAACCAATATATTCAGCTCGAAATTCTCCTTATCTCATATGCCGTTTGCCATGCGCAGTAAGGTTCAGCGCAGGTGCCTAACCGTTCATTATAAAGTGTTGAATAAGCGATGTAAAAAATAAAGCTTGATAGCTGTGATTAAAGACAAAACAGTGTTTGGTTTTCTCACTAGCTTATTTAACGCTGTCAAAAGAATTACCGCTTCTTTGAATCGTGTATATAAGACGAAGCTCGATTGCAACGTCTTAATGAATTCAACTATTGACGGTAATACAGAAGAAGCAAATCTATTTATGGTCCAAAAAAAAAAGTTAAAACAAACTATGTCTTGGTATTCTGAAATGAAATCGCTACACATCACTCAAGACCTTTTACGTAGCGTACTTTACGGGAAATGGTGCAACACCTTCGGAAACGAACGAGAATTGACGTTCAAGCACGATTCTGTTTTTCGAAGTACAGGTATCTACAGCTCAGAAAACGGTAAGTCAGTCCACAGATTTCTTGATTTGATAGATTTTAGGGAATCCGGTGATTTTTACAATAGAGATTTTCAAGACGATGTTGATTTCAAAGGCGCAACTAATCCATGTAGCTATCTAATGTCGTTCAAAGTAAAAAAAAAAATGTGACTAAATATAACTAATTTTACCAACTTTATCAGCTAAAGTAGATATCAGTAAGTTTCTCAACCGCAGTCAAACATATCATCCACTTCAGTTTAGTGATATGTAGTCTATATAAGGAAGTTTCAGCTGACGGTAAAAAGTTAAAATTAAATCTTTCCTACATCTATACAAAGTAACATGAAAGACAAGCAGTTATAGCAAAGAAAAACATACTGAAAGTCTGTAATTGTTCAAAGCCTTAAATTGAAAAAAACTTTTATAATGGAGTGACCTAAGTACAGAAAGAACGAACATGAAAGGAAAGCAGAAGACTCAAACAAATGAATAAATATGCTAGTGAACATTCATAGAGTTCCCTCTAGGTCTATTCTATGTAATGATCTACGATCAAGCTGCTAAAGCCAGCGTTGCTAAGAATATGAAGTAAAATTTCGATGAATGCATATAGCTAAACAATTAAAAGAATTTGATTTGAAAAGCAAAGTTAAAAATCACAATAATTATCAATAATTTCAAACATAAAAGTATATAATTTTCGTGTGATCAACTACGCCATGATTGTCTCTTCACTAAAAACAAGCACAACCTATTAACAAACAACTTCCATTGTTTCTTGCTATCTTAAACAAAATTTCATTAAATCTCATAGAAGACTTATCTCTTCCTAAACACAGGTGAAAATGTATACAACCTAATCATTATTTCGTAATTGCCGAAGGATGTTATCGTAAATTCGGTAATCTAACGATTACATCATACTCAAAATAACTAATGGAGTGGACTTCTTGAAAACGTCACGACGTTATTTTTATAAAGACAAAAGATCAATGCCCATTAAGCATTTAAAATGATTATTTTCTACCCAGTAATTGATTTATTTGGCATCTTTTGCAGCTCGTCGCGAGGCCCAAGTCAATATTTCCCGTTTTTCGTGCAGGGAGCTATTGACATCATTAAAAACGTCCGAAACAAAATGTGAAGATTACATGGCATATATCTCCCTTCCAGAACAAGTCTATCTGAGCTCTTCCTCAGTCCCCGGAGTGAGACACGGTATTTTTACAAGTTGTTGGATTAAAGAGGACACGCATATGGGTCCATTCACGGGACGTGTCTTGCAAAAAGATGAAATAGACTTGAAAAAAGACAATAATTTCATGTGGGAGGTATTGTGAACAATATTTACATATATCTATTTGCAGAGAATCAAATTTCATCATTGGAAAACTATATCTTGCTATTTCAACTTTCAAATGCTGTTTACACGAAATTTTTTTCATTTGTTACGATCAATTTATGCCATTGGACGACATGTAATCGAGCTATACCTAGTGCAAGGTGTCATCACATCATGCACAGTCTACTTGTGAACAAACAAATGATAGTGTATTCATATATCAATACATAAGTTGCATGTAACATCACACACAGATTTGTTGACATTCGACGTCACATTCTGCTCCCCATAGTGAAACATCTTGAAAGACGCTTGAATGGCTAGGAAAAAATACTATAAGTGGATTGGTGGAAGAATTCCATCCTTCATGATTCTACAAAACCATTGGTTACAATCGTTACATATAACTACCTAGATTCTTAATGAGAACGGAGAAGTAAGTCATTTTGTTGATGGAAAAAATGAAACGCCAAGAAACTGGATGTGTTTTGTTAACTGCGCAAGAAACGAACAGGAACAAAATCTAGACGTTTTTCAGCACGGAAAATGTATTTTTTATCGTGCAACGAAAGATATACCTCCAGAGCAAGAGCTCTTGGTGTGGTACGGTCCGAGTTATGTTCAGTTTCTTGGAATACCGGGCATACCACCGATTATAGAACGAAATCGTAGACGCAGACATTACGAAGGTAAGGTCTTAAAAGCAAACGAGAAAAGAAGAGGAAGTGGGGAGTGAAGAGAGGGTAGGTTTAGGGAGTAGAGGATGGAGGGTAGGAATGTGATAGATGGTAAAGAGTAGGAAGTGGAGAGTGAAGAGAGGGTAGGTTTAGGGAGTAGAGAATCAGGGGTAAAGAGCAGTTATCAATTGGGGGAATGTAAATATTATTGAAACTGAAGATTGACACATCAAATATCATTTTCCTTTTTTCTACAGATCAAATGAAAGAATGCTCTTCAGAAAACAATGGACGATTAAAATGTCAAATTTGTAGTCGTCGTTTCAACTCTCGCAGTAACCTCCGTTCACATATGAGAATTCACACGCAAGAAAAACCCTTTCATTGCACATACTGCGACAAATCATTTTCTCAATCTTCCACATTACGTAATCATACAAGATTACACACAGGTGACAAACCGTATAAATGTACAGTATGTCAAATTGCGTACTCACAACTCGCAGGATTGCGGGCTCACCAGAAATCAGCGCGTCACAGACCAGAGGTATTGAGTATTAAAAACAATCTTATAATCACTAATGGTCAGCGGTGTTAAGACCTGACTCTAAAGCTGAAACGTTACAAGAAGCTATGGTCAGCAGTTTTCAGACTTGTCTCTAAAGCAGAAACCTTTAGGGGGGAGGGTGAAGGGTGTAAAGGGGGGAAGGGGGTGAAGGGTTAAAGCATGTAAAGGGTGTAATGGGGATGAAGAGTGTAAAAGGGGGCGGAGGATGACAATAATCTGTTACGATTTAATATTGTAAATCATATTAATATTGTGATGAGTTCATCGCAACTTTCAGATAGTTATTTGTTAAAAAGTCACAGTACGATAGCGCATTCAAGGCCTGCTTTACATGGTAAGGTACAATACACTTGGCTTTTGGTATTTCCAGCGATGATTTCCACATGAATCTGTTTGCCTTTCGTACGATATCTTCAACAAACATACAGCATGCTTTATGTAACATGGCCGAGGTAACAGGGGCATGGACACTATCTATATCGTTATTTGTCAATGTCACATCAATCTCCTTTGCAATATTTTGTATCCATTCATGTTCTTGAGTACTGGGGAGAAAGGATACTTCATGATGATTGAACGAATTTTTCATTACGTCACATGGTAATCCAACCACATCAACCATCTCACTGTCCATGTCTTCATCAACTACCATCTCACATTTCTTGAAAACATTTTTGCAATTCTTTATCATTTCGAGGAATTCTTCAGCCGACATATAATCAATTGATATACCTTCGCCATATGCATTCAGACAGCTGGTATGAATCATCGCTTCTTCATTTTCCCTATCACCATTCGCCACAAATTCGCCACATATTTTACACAATGTCCTTGTTGCCTCACAACAACTCTCCACCATCGGTGTGTAACCATGATGACGACAATAATTCATAATTTCTTTGGTTGAAATTTTCAATCCTACACAAGATGGTGATGTTATTGACATCTTAGCTGATGGTTGTTGCTCAACACGGTTCTTAATATCTAATGCTCGTTGCCATTCTCCAGCTAAACGCTTTCCAAGGTTCCATGAGAGATATTCGTCGACAGTGTTTGAACGATACCCTCGTTTTACTGAAATGTTTTTCGTTGTAACGAGAGGACATTGCAAAATACATGTTTTCAGCAAAGATTCACTTTCGACAGACATCAATTGTTTACTTTTAATATTATAATGAGTAGAACATTTTGATCCAGGTTTTGATGTTAGAGGAGACAAATACTTTATGTTATCATCACAATTCAAGATCTCTTCAGCGTGGATTGTGCTATAGGAATGATCATTCATAACACCATGTTTCCAAACATCTGTATCCATACTTGATACTTGTTGATCCAATTGTGTACTAGGAGAACACTTATCTAAAATGACTTTTTTTGTTTGCTCATTGAAAGAGGTGGAACTTAGTCCTAAACTTGTGTTGACATCAGAACAGGCTTTCACTGTCCCCAAACTTTCATGCTGATTACTGTGATAAGAACCTTCAAAGTTCTTACGATCTAGCTCAATTTCAACATGGGTTTCTGAACCAAGCGTCTGTAAACCAGTGTATGATTTATCAAGTTTCAAATGATGAATGATATCCACTCGTTTGTTCTTACAATTCACAAAATGAAGTTGAACACGAACAGGAAATTCTCCCCAGCCTCGCCTTGTTACTTGAAATGGTGGCTTACTCACCTCAACTAAATCATTTGGTTGATAACTTGGATGCAATAGGAACCAAACTTTATTTATAAATTTCTCAAGTTGATCATCATCTTTAGTGCCACGAACATAAACCATCCACTTGTGTGTGGATCTATCATTTCCTTCTCGTTGCTCTGGATGAATAAACTTTGATGTATTTCCAACTATTATTTTTCTTTTAACATAAAATCTGGATTCATTTGCTTCAGGTTTTTTCATTTTGATAGAATCAGAAAATTTATCAGAACAGATTTGAGAAGAATCTGATAAATTTTGCTCAGTTTTTCTTTGATTCAATACATATTTAGCACACGGTTTGTCATCCAAGTTTGATGGTAATGACCTTTTCCAATTCATAATATTATGTACGCTTGATTCCTTAACATTTCTCCTTCTGGAAAGAAGAGATTTCCTAGACAATTGTCCAGCAGATTTTATACCATAACCATAGTAACCAGCAAGTATACATGCTCTTATACGATCCAAATTACCACGACATTCGTTAACACGTTGATTCAATGTTGTCACTTCCTTTTCTTTCAAGTTGATTTCAAAAGAAAACTGATCACTGATGATGTCTCTTATTTTCTGTGTAGTCTGTTCTCTTGCATCCTCCCGATGCAAACTCTCATTTACTTCATTCACGCATGTTTGTTGTATAACATCATAATCAGGATCAGACTTTTCTTCTTTCACATTAAAGTTCATCTTCCTCAAACTATTGGTGGTATAATTCATACATATTACATATTTTGCATGCTTTCACTCAAAAAATTACAATCCAATGGTCAGTTATTCTATAATTCTATCTTTACCAAAAGGTCTTAAACATGAAAAATACTTCTACTTCAGTTTATTAAAAAAAAGTTAATGGAATCAACATTAAAAAGATCTAACACCGTCCTGAATAACACACCTTACTTTCTTTTCGTCTCCATTCAAGTGAATCGTCAACAAGGAGTTACGAAAATATAAAAATTACATTCTTCAGACTTTCACTTTGAGAAAAAATCGTATGTTTTCCTCCCAGCAACTGTAGACATGTGCTCGTGTTGGATGTTTATACGTAACTTTAACTTCTATTTGGTAAATTTCAGACTTTGACTTAGTATTAACCTGCAATCAGGCCTGGTAAATGATCACATACATTATAATGTATAATGTAAAATAGGAAAATGTCAATGCGTTGGTTAAAGAATTTCTTGCTCGTTATAGTATTTCTTGCGGCAGTTCGTTACTGGTTGAATACAAAATCATATATTTTTGAGGAGAAAAGCATTGTCAAATTAGTACAAAGATACGGGGGTAAAAATAATTGCAAAGTGCATTGTCACAATTTAGGTCAATTTGTGTATTCAGTGTTAAATAATTTCAGCGTTATTGCACGTTTAATTGACAGTAGGAGACAATTTACAGGCATCGATTGCAAGAATAACCGATGAGCTTGAACGTGGCTATCCAAATTTAGTTTTACCAAAAGAACGTCTTCAATGGGTGATGTTAAAGTTTTCTGGAATGACAATATCCCTCACTGTCCTATATGCATCCTTAACTGAGTATGTTGTGATTGCTGGATCAGCATTGGATACAGATGGATATCTTGGTGTGTACTAAGTTAGAATTTCCTACTAATTCCACTAAGTTTTCACTTTTCAGAATACTGACGTTATGCTCTCTTCTAGGACGACATTGGTCGAACATGACCCATATAGTTCTCTCAGGATCAATAAAATATTGGAGAGAAGGAACTTCTGAAGCAAAGGTGTATCACAAAGGAGAGAGTTTTACAACAAGATATTGGAACACTGGTGGTATGCAATTGAAAGCTAACACATGGATGATTGAGTACGGCAGAGGATTTTTGCCTTTGAGTATCCCTTCAACAATATTTGATGGGATATTCACCTCATTTGACCTAATCGGTACATTTAAAATGATGAGAGTTTTTGGTATGGCATATTTCTATGGAATAAAAAATGAAATAGCTTCATTTATAAAAAGTATATAAACTATAATAGAAGACAACCTTTCAGTGAAGGATATTAATTTTTCTAAGATTTATTCGAAGCACTTTCAAAAATATACAATATTCAATTGCCAACTCCCAATTGCTACATATTGAAAAACCTTCATACATTTATCTAAATAGTTTGTTACAATCAGAGTGGCATATCGAATGAAAAACATACCACCACTGCATGAAAGAACTCTGCACCTTCTAGATACACCAAGTATGTTGATCTGACCAACATAATCTCCAAGCCGTGACTTTAATAATACCACAACTTTCGTAAGCCTGTGAATTTTGGTATATATATATATAAAGCTAATATTAGGTAAAGTAGATGTCAACTAGCAGTGGAAGCTGGGTTCGATATAGTATGCAGTGGCTTAGGGGCCCACTCTTGGGTGGCAACCACACTCTCCCTGCGTACCCCGAGCAAAGCCTATCGCAGGTGATCTTGGGGTCTGATGGGCAGAAGCTTGCTATTGCATCTCCCAAGTAGGATAGCGTGGAGGGGCCGAAATCTCGGGCCGAAATCTCCTACCGAAACGTTAACATGCGGCGTTATAGTGCCTTACTCTTAAGAAGGTATCGGGAAGGATCATGGACCGAAAACGGGGTTTTTTGCTTTTGAATTTTATCTTTTTGTTTATTTTATCTCATAAAATAAACCAAGCAATGTTTTAATTAACTTCTTCTGACACTGTGCCTTTTTCTAACATGTTTTATACAATTTTTATTGGTTCATATCTTTCTGATTTAACTCTCTCATTTACTGTTTCTCACGTATCCCGAGCAAACCATCCAAGGGCTTCATGGCAAACAAGGATTATCTGGTTCCATTAACTAACATGCGACGCTCTAGTGCTCAACTATCTCGGGGTATCGGGAGCCATGGACCAAAAACTGCATTTGTTGTTTTGAAAATTAGTCTTTTTTTTACAAGAATTCCTCTCATAAAAGAAACTAGAATATCCAAGGATACTGCAAAGGTTCAAACAACTTCTGCCTTTTCGACTTATAATTTACACCAACTCTAAGCATGTTTATACGCTTTTACTTGTTAACTTTACAATGTAACTTTCTCATAATTCTCTCGTGAAGAACGGGAGCCTTCTTGGGCTTCAGGGAAAAAAGGGATTATCCACTTTTTTATAATAGTTTCTACAAAGATAATATTTAATAAACCGAGCAATTTGTATCGTCTAAATTGAACCTCGCTTTCAACCCTTATGTTAGAAAATTTTGATTCATTTTTGATAGTGGATTTCTTTTTGCCTTACGATATGTTCATGATTCAATCTACAAAGTAACTTCTCTTACCGATTAAACAGCACACTTTTCGGATTCAAAGGAATGCTTTTGATCGCATAGCATAGAGACAGCCATCCAACTTATTACGTACCTAAGCGCATATAAAGCATTTTCAAATCACGTGCAAAATTTCTTTCACATGACCAAATTACCCTCTATTTAAACAATGTAGGTAATAAAAAGTTACCTTGACAAGTGAAGCAAACCCTTCTTTTTCCAAGCGTTTGCAACATCTCAAATTCATTCTGAAATCTTAAATTTCTCGCAGCGTAGCCGAAAGGAAAAGGCATTAAATCAGGATACTCATCTCCATCATCACAGCCATTTTGATTTCTCCCTTGATCTTTTTGAGCGTCAAGCTTATCTGAAGTCATGTTCACGTTGAGTACCTCCCCGGTGGTCTGATGGACCGAACCTTGCTTTTGGTATACCCAGTCAGATAGCGTGCCAGGAGCCGAATTGTTATCATGAGATGCTCTAGTGCTCAATGGTATCAGTAGGTATGGACCGAATAAGATTTTTTCTTTTCAAAATTTCTCTTTTGTATACAGGTAAGCTTCTCATAAAACAAATTACAGTATCCAAGAATACTGCAAAGTTTTAAACAAGTTCTGCCGAATTGAATTATACTTTAAGTCAACCTTAAACATGTTTCATACATTTATGACTAGTTCATACATTAATTGACACTAAAATAAACTGACATCACTTACATTTATCTACGGTATAATATACACTATCATCATACAACATCACTTATCTGAAATCCATTTGCTTTATCGATATCCATATTCCTGAAAATATCCATGTCTCGATGCTGGCCTATTGTTGTACTCCATACCAACATAACCATGACGATTAACTGGCAGCTGACCATATCGACTGCTGGGTCGAGTATTCAGCATTTGGTCCCATTCCTCCCCATTAATTGCTATGCCATCCGAATACGTTTCGACAGGACTAGTAGGATACGCGCCAACAAAATCACGTTCGTCTACAATGACGTCATCATCGTAAATATCATAACCTAGTTCGGGACCTCTCGTTGTCATTTCGGGAGTACTTGTACTTTCTCGATTAGCAATATCACCGTAAACGTGCTGACCGTAAAATAAATCTGGACGATCAAGTATGTCACTATTATCAATAAAAGTAGGTTCATCCGGGTACATCATTAGTTCAACGTCATCATCATCATCATGATGACCTTCAAGCATTTCTAACCATTGGGAGTTATGCCAACGAAACTTTTCGAGTTGTATTTTCTTCGCCCATTCTTCGTCAAATTCCTAAAATTTCATGAAAAAATGTAAGAAATGTTTTCTAAAATAATATATGATTGTAATAAATGGAACAGCAGTGAAGGTCACTTGTGATTTTATCATTTAAAGTTTAGGTTAAAATACGACACTTATTGCATAATACAGCATTATCTTATAGCCTGTCAATCAGTAATGTAATCAGCCCGCAAGTTTGTCTTATAGCCTGTCAATGAGAAATGTAATCAGCCCGCAAGTTTGTCTTATAGCTTATCAATCAGTAATGTAATCAGCCTGCAAGTTTGTCTTATAGCCTATCAATCAGTAATGTAATCAGCCCGCAAGTTTGTCTTATAGCCTGTCAATTAGTGGAGAAGCAAACCCACAAGTTTGGTGGGTATTTGTAAATATTTCCGTGTTAATCATTGTAAAAACAAAAGATTTCTAAAAAAATACTATTAATGACCTGAAATTTATATAACATGAACAAACTTGGGCTCTGACTACGCTACTGATTGTATACGGTATAAAATCAAAAGATACACTTCTAGAATTAATGAACATAAATTATGATATTTACCATAATTATGTCCAAAGTTTGATCACATACTTTTCTTATTTCGGCATTCTTATCGTGCATAAGATCAATTAAATATGCTGGCGCATCTGAAGTTAACGTCAAGAAAAACATCAGAAATGCGATTCATTACACAGTTGTCATTAAGACACAGCTCATGTAAACACTGTAGTTTTGTTTCAACATGTCACTTGTCATTAACACACAGCTCATGTAAACACTGTAGTTTTGTTTCAACATGTCACTTGTCATTAAGACACAGCTCATGTAAACACTGTAGTTTTGTTTCAACATGTCACTTGTCATTAACACACAGCTAATGTAAACACTGTAGTTTTGTTTCAACATGTCACTTGTCATTAACACACAGCTAATGTAAACACTGTAGTTTTGTTTCAACATGTCACTTGTCATTAACACACAGCTCATGTATGTGTGTAACAATAAATGTGTAACTCGCCTTTTTTGCCAACATGCAATTATGACAAGTATATAATCGTCAAACTGTAATTATCAAATTTTTACGAACAGTGAAGATAAAAGGATACGAGTTTGTTTCACGATGACCTGGCGAGTAGCTTTATGAAATATCATTTGATAGAAAACGTAAACAATCTGTAAAACGACTTCATCATCTTCTTGTTTTTCTGGAAGAAAAAAAAATAGCCATAAGAAAATAACAAATAATTTTGGCACAACACGATACTTTCGCACCGTTGAGTAAGGCAATGAGTATTTGAGGCATATTTTCTTCAGCTAAAATAGACGCACAAGAATCATCTGTACACACTGTTCCAATCAAAATAATAACTTCTAAGACCAAATCATCTTCAGCAGCACCTAAACAAAAAAAAAAGTCAATCGATTGACGCACAAGTTTCGGCGGGAAAAGTTATCTAAACAACAACTGTACGGATGTATCTCCAATCAACCAACCACATCCATAGTCATTCAACAATATACCTTCATAAAAACTTACCGTGTTGAAGTTTACTTTTGATGTAGGACAACATGTCATATTTCGTTAATAGTTGAGCATAGTCCAAGCCTTTTACCGCAATATTACCCAGAATTCCAACTGCTTCGACAACAAACTCTTCATCAGTAAACGTCTTTGCTGCATTGGCAAGATCCGCGATAAACGGCTGAAACAATAACGAACACAAAAACTGAAGAAACTATGACGTCATTGTTTATGGTTTTTGTTGCCATTTCTATAAATTTACCGTGAAATGCACTCACTCAATATAAAGATTAATGGCTAGGAAACAGCTCGTATGAGAAACTTTACTAACAAACAGTACTTAAATGTATGTTTTATAAGATAGTCTTTATACTAAGACTTCTTCAGAGTAAAGTGACACATACGTAATAACTTCAATCATGAATAGCTATATTACTATTTACAAAAATATAAAATAAGGAAGCTAAAAGATGAGAAAACTGTGAAGTGAAAGAGGGATGGAGCTAGCTTCTTAATTTCAAGATGGTTTGTGTTTGAAATCAAAAGCTTTCGTTGTTGTAAAGTAGAGATTATGAAGAACCATGAATTCAAGTGCTTACCACGAACTGTTCTTTCGTGGGTCCATCGTGTTGAGAGATGTTTCGAGCCATTTTTAACAAAAGAGGATCTTTAAACTTGAATGCACGCTTCATGAGTAGCCTCAGCCCAGACCCCTCGCATATCAATTGTGCATTACGTTTGTTTGCCGCCAAATTGACGGCCAACGCAACCAATTCCAGGGGGAGGCGTTCATCTTTTGTTTCAAGGAGCATTTTCATGATCTAAGAGAGCATTTGAGGTTGACACTTTTTACGCTACAGTGTTAACGGCTGACGGAGTTTAACAACTTGTTTGTTTCAAGGTAGGGGATGCTTCTAAAGATTTAATGACAGAGAGAGAGAAGAACGTTTCCAATAACCTCACGGTGATACGTAAATAGGTGACTAAAAAACAAAAAAGTTTTATTTACTTACCAAAGGAATACAGTCGGTATAAGTAAACATTGACTTGTATCTGTCGTCAGTACTGATGTGATATAAGATACAAAGTACAACGATACACTGAATTTCGTTCCCTTTGATGAGAAAATGTAATGGATAATGAATATCACTTGAAATAACTATAATTTAGTATGAAAAAAACATGGCGGCTGAAGTATTGAAAAAAGCTTGGGATAGTGTCTATATGATTTGTTTTTACCTAGAAGTGCAACAAGTTTAGGCACCAGACCATTTTTCACAGCTGTTGAACGTAGTTGAGAGTCAAAGGAAAGATTGAGAAGAAGCCGTAAAGTGATGTTCAGAAGATCCTAGACATTAAATATTAAAATACTAGTAATGTCATTTGAAGCATGAGACATAATCAGTTATCGTTGTCATCGACAACGCTGATGTTGTCAATACGTGTTTTCACAAACAAGTTAAATAATATCAGGTGCAATACTATTTAAAGAATTATTCTGAACTTACATCATTTTGACTGGGAATAAGATTGGCGATTTTTACAATTATATTGTTTTCTGCCTAAAGTAGATATGAAGGAACATGATAAACCTTTCATCGAACAACATAAACGTCAACAGAAATCCAGTTGCAACATTTATTTACCATTTCGTTTTTGTTCTCAATAAAAATACTCAGTTTCTTTAAGAAAGATACGACAAGAATAAGTAAATCAGAGTTTTCACGATTCAATAATTTCATCAGATGACTTATGATCTTCTTGTTGACCATTTTAGCTTCCACTTTCGTGTCTTCTGATAAATTGAGGAGCAAGTAAATGGTCACTGTTATAGAGAGAATGAAGTGAATGATTTTAATGATTTGTTCATATGACAAAGCTAAGATACATGTTGAAGAACAAGTTAAAGTACATCAAACCTCGCAAAAGTTGATCCTGTTTCTTCAACAGATTGGCAAACTTTTTATAACTTTTTTCATAATCTTTACGTAAACTAGAGTCATTCTCTGGTGAAAATTTGTTAAAAAGCAATACACAGAACTTCAAACAAAGTAATAGAAAAAAAAGAAGAACAACTGACATCGCATTGATAAAACGCACAAATTTGCATAATTTCGTGTACACGAAATTTGCGATTGTAGTTCATGAAGGATATCAGCTTTGTTTTTTCTGTCTAGTTCTTCCTGCCATGAATCAAATCTTCGTATTTCATGATCTAAAATCTGCATGCACATAGCCCCAATCTTGTGGTGTGTTATGAGACCGTGGAAATCAGAGAATGAAGAGAAGCAAAAAAATGTGTAGACAATATTTGTCGCAAGCTCCGTACTTTTCTTAGAATCTTCACGTAGAACTCGCGCCAACGCTCCGAGTACAGTCTCTAAATTAGAAAAAAATGTTAAGAGCGACAAGTTTGTTACACTAAAATTAAACAAAGTCTCCTTTAATAACTACCATTTTGAACTATTTCTTCCATATTATCAGGATTTCTTGAAAGTTGTAATATAAATGCCGTTCCCCGAACTTTCTCTGGAATATCCTCATATAAAAGCTCCATGTATTCATCTAGATCGTTTATATTTGCAACTTCGTCGGGCTACATATCGAAATGACACAACGTGATGAAGAAAAAAACTTGTCGTGAAGAATAATTAGAAAGTATTCGTCATCAATCATTTATGCATTACACTAAGGACACAAAGATATGCAGTGTAAAGCTTCAAAAAAAAACACTTCCTTTTTGACTCGTAATTTAAATCAATCATGAAATGCTTCATACATTTATTTCATTTCTTCATTAACTCCAATTTCATTTTCATTCTTGTCTCATAAGTTATAAGTTATAGTTATAAGTTATAGTTATAAGTTATAGTTATAAGTTATAGTTATGAGTTATAGTTATAAGTTATAGTTATAAGTTATAGTTATAAGTTATAGTTATGAGTTATAGTTATGAGTTATAGTTATGAGTTATAGTTATAAGTTATAGTTATAAGTTATAGTTATAAGTTATAGTTATAAGTTATAGTTATGAGTTATAGTTATAAGTTATAGTTATAAGTTATAGTTATAAGTTATAGTTATAAGTTATAGTTATGAGTTATAGTTATAAGTTATAGTTATAAGTTATAGTTATGAATTATAGTTATAAGTTATAGTTATGAATTATAGTTATAAGTTATAGTTATAAATTATAGTTATAAGTTATAGTTATAAGTTATAGTTATAAGTTATAGTTATAAGTTATAGTTATAAGTTATAGTTATGAGTTATAGTTATAAGTTATAGTTATAGTTATAGTTATAAGTTATAGTTATAAATTATAGTTATAAGTTATAGTTATAAGTTATAGTTATAAGTTATAGTTATAAGTTATAGTTATAAGTTATAGTTATAAGTTATAGTTATGAATTATAGTTATAAGTTATAGTTATGAATTATAGTTATAAGTTATAGTTATGAATTATAGTTATAAGTTATAGTTATAAATTATAGTTATAAGTTATAGTTATAAGTTATAGTTATAAGTTATAGTTATAAGTTATAGTTATAAGTTATAGTTATAAGTTATAGTTATGAATTATAGTTATAAGTTATAGTTATGAGTTATAGTTATGAGTTATAGTTATAAGTTATAGTTATGAATTATAGTTATAAGTTATAGTTATAAATTATAGTTATAAGTTATAGTTATAAGTTATAGTTATAAGTTATAGTTATAAGTTATAGTTATAAGTTATAGTTATAAGTTATAGTTATGAATTATAGTTATAAGTTATAGTTATGAGTTATAGTTATGAGTTATAGTTATAAGTTATAGTTATAAGTTATAGTTATGAATTATAGTTATAAGTTATAGTTATAAGTTATAGTTATGAATTATAGTTATAAGTTATAGTTATGAATTATAGTTATAAGTTATAGTTATAAGTTATAGTTATAAGTTATAGTTATAAGTTATAGTTATAAGTTATAGTTATAAGTTATAGTTATAAGTTATAGTTATAAGTTATAGTTATGAATTATAGTTATAAGTTATAGTTATGAGTTATAGTTATGAGTTATAGTTATAAGTTATAGTTATAAGTTATAGTTATAAGTTATAGTTATAAGTTATAGTTATAAGTTATAGTTATAAGTTATAGTTATAAGTTATAGTTATAAGTTATAGTTATGAATTATAGTTATAAGTTATAGTTATAAGTTATAGTTATAAGTTATAGTTATAAGTTATAGTTATAAGTTATAGTTATAAGTTATAGTTATAAGTTATAGTTATAAGTTATAGTTATGAGTTATAGTTATGAGTTATAGTTATGAGTTATAGTTATAAGTTATAGTTATGAGTTATAGTTATGAGTTATAGTTATAAGTTATAGTTATGAGTTATAGTTATAAGTTATAGTTATGAGTTATAGTTATGAGTTATAGTTATGAGTTATAGTTATAAGTTATAGTTATGAGTTATAGTTATGAGTTATAGTTATGAGTTATAGTTATAAGTTATAGTTATAAGTTATAGTTATAAGTTATAGTTATAAGTTATAGTTATAAGTTATAGTTATAAGTTATAGTTATAAGTTATAGTTATAAGTTATAGTTATGAATTATAGTTATAAGTTATAGTTATAAGTTATAGTTATAAGTTATAGTTATGAATTATAGTTATAAGTTATAGTTATAAGTTATAGTTATAAGTTATAGTTATAAGTTATAGTTATGAATTATAGTTATAAGTTATAGTTATAAGTTATAGTTATAAGTTATAGTTATAAGTTATAGTTATAAGTTATAGTTATAAGTTATAGTTATAAGTTATAGTTATAAGTTATAGTTATGAATTATAGTTATAAGTTATAGTTATAAGTTATAGTTATAAGTTATATGAATTATAGTTATAAGTTATAGTTATAAGTTATAGTTATAAGTTATAGTTATAAGTTATAGTTATAAGTTATAGTTATAAGTTATAGTTATGAGTTATAAGTTATAGTTATGAATTATAGTTATAAGTTATAGTTATGAATTATAGTTATAAGTTATAGTTATAAGTTATAGTTATAAGTTATATTTATAAGTTATAGTTATAAGTTATAGTTATAAGTTATAGTTATGAGTTATAGTTATAAGTTATAGTTATGAATTATAGTTATAAGTTATAGTTATAAGTTATAGTTATGAGTTATAGTTATAAGTTATAGTTATAAGTTATAGTTATAAGTTATAGTTATAAGTTATAGTTATAAGTTATAGTTATAAGTTATAGTTATAAGTTATAGTTATGAATTATAGTTATAAGTTATAGTTATGAGTTATAGTTATGAGTTATAGTTATAAGTTATAGTTATAAGTTATAGTTATGAATTATAGTTATAAGTTATAGTTATAAGTTATAGTTATGAATTATAGTTATAAGTTATAGTTATGAATTATAGTTATAAGTTATAGTTATAAGTTATAGTTATAAGTTATAGTTATAAGTTATAGTTATAAGTTATAGTTATAAGTTATAGTTATAAGTTATAGTTATAAGTTATAGTTATGAATTATAGTTATAAGTTATAGTTATGAGTTATAGTTATGAGTTATAGTTATAAGTTATAGTTATAAGTTATAGTTATAAGTTATAGTTATAAGTTATAGTTATAAGTTATAGTTATAAGTTATAGTTATAAGTTATAGTTATAAGTTATAGTTATAAGTTATAGTTATGAATTATAGTTATAAGTTATAGTTATGAGTTATAGTTATGAGTTATAGTTATAAGTTATAGTTATAAGTTATAGTTATGAATTATAGTTATAAGTTATAGTTATAAGTTATAGTTATGAATTATAGTTATAAGTTATAGTTATGAATTATAGTTATAAGTTATAGTTATAAGTTATAGTTATAAGTTATAGTTATAAGTTATAGTTATAAGTTATAGTTATAAGTTATAGTTATAAGTTATAGTTATAAGTTATAGTTATAAGTTATAGTTATAAGTTATAGTTATAAGTTATAGTTATAAGTTATAGTTATAAGTTATAGTTATAAGTTATAGTTATAAGTTATAGTTATAAGTTATAGTTATAAGTTATAGTTATGAATTATAGTTATAAGTTATAGTTATGAGTTATAGTTATGAGTTATAGTTATAAGTTATAGTTATAAGTTATAGTTATAAGTTATAGTTATAAGTTATAGTTATAAGTTATAGTTATAAGTTATAGTTATAAGTTATAGTTATAAGTTATAGTTATGAATTATAGTTATAAGTTATAGTTATAAGTTATAGTTATAAGTTATAGTTATAAGTTATAGTTATAAGTTATAGTTATAAGTTATAGTTATAAGTTATAGTTATAAGTTATAGTTATGAGTTATAGTTATGAGTTATAGTTATGAGTTATAGTTATAAGTTATAGTTATGAGTTATAGTTATGAGTTATAGTTATAAGTTATAGTTATAAGTTATAGTTATAAGTTATAGTTATAAGTTATAGTTATAAGTTATAGTTATAAGTTATAGTTATGAATTATAGTTATAAGTTATAGTTATGAGTTATAGTTATGAGTTATAGTTATAAGTTATAGTTATAAGTTATAGTTATAAGTTATAGTTATAAGTTATAGTTATAAGTTATAGTTATAAGTTATAGTTATAAGTTATAGTTATAAGTTATAGTTATGAATTATAGTTATAAGTTATAGTTATAAGTTATAGTTATAAGTTATAGTTATAAGTTATAGTTATAAGTTATAGTTATAAGTTATAGTTATAAGTTATAGTTATAAGTTATAGTTATGAGTTATAGTTATGAGTTATAGTTATGAGTTATAGTTATAAGTTATAGTTATGAGTTATAGTTATGAGTTATAGTTATAAGTTATAGTTATGAGTTATAGTTATAAGTTATAGTTATGAGTTATAGTTATGAGTTATAGTTATGAGTTATAGTTATAAGTTATAGTTATGAGTTATAGTTATGAGTTATAGTTATGAGTTATAGTTATAAGTTATAGTTATAAGTTATAGTTATAAGTTATAGTTATAAGTTATAGTTATAAGTTATAGTTATAAGTTATAGTTATAAGTTATAGTTATAAGTTATAGTTATGAATTATAGTTATAAGTTATAGTTATAAGTTATAGTTATAAGTTATAGTTATGAATTATAGTTATAAGTTATAGTTATAAGTTATAGTTATAAGTTATAGTTATAAGTTATAGTTATGAATTATAGTTATAAGTTATAGTTATAAGTTATAGTTATAAGTTATAGTTATAAGTTATAGTTATAAGTTATAGTTATAAGTTATAGTTATAAGTTATAGTTGAATTATAGTTATAAGTTATAGTTATAAGTTATAGTTATGAATTATAGTTATAAGTTATAGTTATGAATTATAGTTATAAGTTATAGTTATAAGTTATAGTTATAAGTTATAGTTATGAATTATAGTTATAAGTTATAGTTATAAGTTATAGTTATAAGTTATAGTTATAAGTTATAGTTATAAGTTATAGTTATGAGTTATAAGTTATAGTTATGAATTATAGTTATAAGTTATAGTTATGAATTATAGTTATAAGTTATAGTTATAAGTTATAGTTATAAGTTATATTTATAAGTTATAGTTATAAGTTATAGTTATAAGTTATAGTTATGAGTTATAGTTATAAGTTATAGTTATGAATTATAGTTATAAGTTATAGTTATAAGTTATAGTTATGAGTTATAGTTATAAGTTATAGTTATAAGTTATAGTTATAAGTTATAGTTATAAGTTATAGTTATAAGTTATAGTTATAAGTTATAGTTATGAGTTATAGTTATAAGTTATAGTTATAAGTTATAGTTATGAGTTATAGTTATAAGTTATAGTTATGAATTATAGTTATAAGTTATAGTTATAAGTTATAGTTATGAGTTATAGTTATAAGTTATAGTTATAAGTTATAGTTATAAGTTATAGTTATGAATTATAGTTATAAGTTATAGTTATGAATTATAGTTATAAGTTATAGTTATAAGTTATAGTTATAAGTTATAGTTATGAATTATAGTTATAAGTTATAGTTATAAGTTATAGTTATGAGTTATAGTTATGAATTATAGTTATAAGTTATAGTTATAAGTTATAGTTATGAGTTATAGTTATAAGTTATAGTTATAAGTTATAGTTATAAGTTATAGTTATAAGTTATAGTTATAAGTTATAGTTATAGTTATATTTATAAGTTATATTTATAAGTTATAGTTATAAGTTATAGTTATAGTTTAAATAAACACTTGTTTTCTTGTTGTTCAAGCATCAAAGGTTTACATACATAAATTATTTCTTTTTGTCAATACAGTAATGTCTATTGTTCTATATTGGTTATTTTACTCAAGGTGAGAGCAAAGCCAAGCTGATAATGGTCATTGAGGTAAAAAGTTTAAAAAGGCATTTGTTGAAACAAGGTGAAAAAGCCATACAACATGCGAATGGCATATTACTGAAAACTTGTCCCTTGCACAGCTCTAAGAGCAACTAGCTCACTTGATCACAAGCTATTTTAGAAAAATCTTCATGAGAACATGCAATTGACTCAACCGACTGTCTAAGTTCATGGTCATGGCAATGACTAAATGAATCAACTTACACTAATTTTGGAGTTACAGCTTGATTAGTTACAAATTATTAAAGAAATCATCCAAGCAAGCTTGGTAACAAGAGAAATCACAAAACAATCATCGAGCAAGATTTACTTTGTCTGCATGTACCTAGCTAAATACAATACATAGACTAATATATGTCAAATAGCAATGGACACTGGGTGTTTATAAGTTGCAATGTCTTTGGAGGTTCAGACAGGTTGCAACAGCACTTTTCTTAAAGAATAACTGATACCTGATCTCAAAAGTTAATGTGGTCTGACTTACCCATCTCATAATAATCCCTCTAGAAGATAAAAACACAGAGTGAAACACTTACAGCTAGGCCAACAAATCCTGCCGAGTCTAACTGATCTTGTAAACTGGATGATTGATCTAAATCGTATTCAAGCATTAACAAAAAATCATTAAATAACAATGAAAAGTTAAACATTTTCACAGAAAACTAACTTGTGTTGACTGTGCTTGTAGCTGCTGTATCTTTACGTTTCTGCAGGTAATAAAGCAACTGCTCAACTTCTGGTAATTTTGATGGATGAATTAGATTACATTTTGCAATAATTTGCTGTGCAAGGGCTTGAATATTCGATGTTGAGTTCAAACTCTTTAAGCGAATTCTAGATAAAGAAAATTGTTCGAATGATTGATCTACAAGATAAAGAAAATGAAAGTAACAGTCTTTGCTAACATTTTTTGACATTCTTTCTTTTCTCCTAACATTGGATCACCCATTTCACCAAGAATAGTGGCTTCCAATTCATAATGGACAACAATTGCCTTTTCCGTAGGGTGAACATCAATTGTGCCTGCCTTGACACGTCTATGAAGCAAAATAACATTCTTTAAAACACAAAGTGGGTATGAAGAGTTTATTTGTGAGCTATGAAAAATTCAGATGTATTAACATCATGATGATGATAGATGTCTGGGAAGAGTTCATTCAAGAAAAATTCCATAATTGGCGAGTTCTGTCCAGAGCTATGACAACTTTAATAAATAGAATAGTGTAGTGGATATATCATAAATGGAGGAAGTTTTAAAGAAAAATATGTCTTACTATAAAGTATTATATAACGTCTTTTATCGACTCAAAAAAGACTTTTATGAAATTATTCACCTCTTGAGATATCTAGCATCTTCTTCTTGCATTATCAGTAGGTCAGCTCACTTTTTAAAAAGTCTAAAAGTTCAAAATTACTGTTGCTAACTCAATTGGCGTCCGTCGCCATGTTGCTGCTTGAATAAGATGATGCGAGAAATAAAAGACGAATATGTCGACTTTTTTTACGCGACACACTTTGGTTTTAGTTTTACCCGTATTTTGGCTTTCGTATTTCAATGTTTTTTTTAAGGTAATTTTGTACTTACTTTGACTTGCGCCTTTTCGTCCAACGTTACTTCTTCAACTCCAAGCGTTCAGAATCCTGTAATTTTCCATGAGATAACAACAATAAAAATATTATGGAGGCTAAACTTTGGCCTCATTTCAGCTTTTACCTTCGGAGACAGTTTCCGAATGCACCTCCTTTTGATGGATGTCCGTTTATTGTATCCCAAATTGAAAATGTTACCAAACATCTCACTTTCCTATGTTTGCAAAAAATTATGTGGTCCTTCACTCGATTGGAAGCCTATCTTGAACACATTTCCACTATTTATAGTAGCTCTGATTATAAAAATTGTGAATCTTTAAAAGAAGCTGCTGTTTTAGTACCAATCACCATAAAGAACCGCGTGCCTTACGTGTTGTGTACAGTTCGTTCATACAATTTATCAAGTTATCCTGGACAAGTGTCGTTTCCTGGCGGCAAAAGGGACAAACAGGATGTCGATATTACTGCTTCAGCTCTCAGAGAGACGCTTGAAGAAATTGGTTTGTCCTCCAAAAACTTGCGAATTATTGGCAAAATGCTTCCATATGTGACACAAACTGGGTATCTTGTGACTCCTGTAGTTGCTGAAGTTTTAAATTATGAATCGTTCACTCCTGATCTTAATCCTTTGGAAGTTACAGAGATCTTGCTTGTTCCTTTGGAAACGTTTCTACTGCAGAAATATCATAAACGTACAGAATTTCTCATGAAAGAGAAAATTGATTACTTTGAATTCGGAGAGGGAAATGAAAATATCCACATTATCTTTGGTTTGACTGCTGTAATAGCGACACATGTCGCTTGCTTATTATTTGCCCGTCTTCCAGAGTTTAAGTATCGACAATGGATAAATGATACAACAGGATTTGATAAGGATAAAATATACAATGAGCTAATTCAACCAAGCAAACTGTAATCAGAATGGTATAAAACTTACGTTTAGTCCAGCCCTACGTAACTTTCAGAACATTGTCATTATAAGTTCCTTAACTTCCTTTGAACATGTAGTTATTGGGAGTGAGTGCCAAAATAGTTGTTAATCAAGATAAATGAATAAATGAATAGGATGGCTAGTACAATATACACTAATTGAGACAGCATCTTAAAATGTATAATTGACTTATTTAAAATGTAAATATCTGAACAACACAACTGAAATTAAAACCTACACAAACTAAAATTATTTTTTAGTTAAAAAGTATCTTATTTTTTGTCATTTATTTTATCAAAAGTTTGTCTTGTTATAAATTGCATTAATAAATTAACAATTTTATGAGATTCCTATACACCAATCAACAATATACAAATTAATCAGGACAACTCTATGAGTTCATTTTTGAAAAATAGTGGCAATGTCTAAGTATACAGCAAGCTAAGAATTTGGCTGTGGATTGCTGTAGTAAGGATCTTCTACCTCATCATATATATCCGCATCCTCATAATGACTGTCTTGAAAAGATTTTACTTGTTCAGATGCTGCTGGTTTCTTCAATTTTGTCTCAAGCTTCCTCTTGAATTCTGTTGCTAAATTACCCACTACCGAGCTGGATTTGCATTTCATATTTTTGTTAGGTTTCACAGGCTTTTTTTGAGGTGGCTTGGGAAGGTGTGCTTGTGGCCTAATATCATTATCTGGATCAGTATATAAGTCAGCATCTCTATCATCATAATGAGAACTTTGATTATCAATATATGAATACTCATCATCAATTGAACTATAAACAGTATCTTCATCTTTTTTTGAACTACCTAATCTCTTCTGAATTATCTCACTCATATTTTCTTGCTTTGGTAGCAATTGTGGCATTTTTTTATTCATTTGTGGATGTTGTGGGTGTCTGCTGGGTCTCCCTGGTATGGTGCTAGCTGTGGCTAGAGCATCTGATGAATTAGACAGGATATTTGATCTTTGTCCATCAGTAATTTGTTCAGATGGTTTGACAGCGACTGGAGGTTTTCTCCTCGGTGGAGGCCTAACTGGATGAAAGGGTGCTGCTGATTGTGTAGAAACATTGGGTTTAGCAGGTGAAGCATGAACACCTTTAGGAAGAGCTTGAGATGTGTTATGCTGCAAAGCATCATATGTACCATTGTTAAAATTAAAGCTGGAAGGATCATACCTTTCACTTGATTGTAATGTATCATATGTGTTGTTTTTTCTGTGTTCACCAAAACTTGATGAATGGTCCAATGTATCATAAATTGTACCAACAGGACTGACCAAATATCCATTAGGATCATACTGATCATGTTCTAAGACCCTCGAATGAACATTTTCTGTTGGATTTTTGTCAACAAAATTTAGTGTATCATAACCAACAGCGGTGTTGCTTAAAGTAGATGCTGTTGATGGTAAGAGAATCTCAGATTGCTTTGGAAATTGCAATGTATTATATTCACCACCATTAATCATTGCTCCACTTCGTTGGCTTTGTTTAGAGTGTGGACTGGTTGCTGTTGGGGAAAGGATATCATAGGTATGATGTATTGGCGGTGGTGAAACTACAGGAGGAGGTGATACTACAGGTGGAGAAGGTGGAGAAGATGAAGTTACTGGTATGGGTTCAGCATAATCATTACACTCTCTTTTGTTTGAGGGGGGAATAGGAGCAGATTGCATTTTCCTGACTGGAGAATGATGATGCTCAGTTTGATTATGTAAATGATTAGAGATATTTTGTCTTGTTGTGGTGCTACCAGCTTTTGTGCGTATTATGGTGTCCATGACTCGATAAATTTCTGAGCATTCATTAGAAATAAACTCAAAAATTCCTTCTCCTGATGGAGCCTTGCGACCAGCTTCAATAGTGAATACATTCCCGATAAACTTGTATCTTCTAATACAATGAAAAGGCCAGAAACATACCAGGTTGCCATCCAGTGCACTGACCAAACGCACTTCTGAATGTACAAATTGAAGATTGCAAGGTAAGACTGCTCCAATCCTTGCCATTGTTGGAGTGTCTTGTGGTTGAACACAGAAAGACTTCACTATTAAATACAAAGTCACATGAGCACAAATAAAAACAATGATGAGCAACTAATGTGACACAATGGAATATTTTTTACCTAAGTTATACTCTTCCAAGGCTGAAATCCATTGATTCATCACACTCTCATTATCACAAGCCAAGAGCAATGTATGGTCTGTGATTTTCAAAGAAAAACAATGCTTCTTCTTAGATTCCATCTTCAATCTTACTTCATAGCCTGGATGTAAGTTGACTACATGTTTTGGTAGCTGCTTTCGCCAATTCTTGTCCTTGTAAACTTCCATATATCGTAATGCAGTACTGATTTCATACTTCATAACAAAATATCGTTTCTTCCAGCTTCTTTCTTCAAAATAGTCAAGTTGACCCTACACCATTAATTAAATCATATTACAGTAAAATTAAAGATTTTTCAGAAAATATTCATTGAAAAAAGATAGTTACATTATTTAGAAGTAGAAAGTACGAGTTATGGTATAAAACAATAATGCCTTCTCACAATACAAAAATCTTCTTTATACATATGTACAACACTGAATCACAGCTATGCCCAAATGGGTGAGTCAAACCAACTTTTCATGGTTACAAAAACAAGCAAATTATCAACAAATTATCAACATGAGAACTCTGCAGTTTGTAATCAAACAAAAAGATTTGTTCATCAGTTTAAAGCATGCGGAAGTAACTCATGGTGGCATTATTTTTCTGTTTTAGTCACTACAAAACGAATGTTTTTTTGAGCTACAATCGACATTGCAATTAGTGGCTAATATTTTAGCAGTACAAACAAGTGAAAAGAATTAACGCTCCGTAAAATACATACGTAAATTTGACATATTTTCAAAAACTTATGAGTTAAACATTGTCGTAAAAAAGGCAAACGGGGAAGTTATTCTTAATTCATTATACCTCAACCAATATTTCCATTTCTCACAGTACAAAATTGCGTCTCCTCTCCTTCTTCTCTGCGTTGTTTGCTGTTTAATGTCGACGAAATAAAAACAATTGGTAAAAAAAAAACAGCGTTTGTTAGTAAACACAACTGTTCGCTTTACAAAATCTTACGTATGGAGTCGCTTCGTTTCACCATGTACGAGCTCATTAAGTATATCTTTGCGTACGACTTTCGTAAAAATTTGAAGCTGATTATTGCAACACAACGTCAACATTTAATTTATATGATTACGCAAATAAAAATTCCGGAATCGGCATGATTACGATGCGGACGTCAATTTGAACCACCCACAGCAAACAATGAAGTTGCACAATAAAGATTTGGTTAAATGCTTTCATCTTTAACCTGCTTATCAAACTCCAAGTTTGGATGTTGATAAACTATTCTTTTTACCAAGAAGATATATTTATGTAAGTTAATCTCCCCACCAATGTCACATGACAGAGTTACGAGCACACAAAACATATCACAATATTTGCATAATTAGAATTAATTGAAGAAGGAATAGCAAATTAACCTTGCTATCTTGATCAACATGCTAAATGTTACAATAAAATTCGTGATTCCTAACACGATCATGAATTTTGTTGATTAAAAAATTGATAACAAACTTCAAAATGATGTTAAAGTTTAATTTTATTGATGAATTGCTTAAGGTAGATAACTAGACATTCAAACCTATTACAGTGCAATTTTTAAACGACTCCTTTACGGAAACTCACTGTAGTGCTTAATTATTCAGAGATTAACATATTAAAGAAAAACTAGCCGTATTTCACAAAATAAAATTAAAATTGAAAAGCAAGAAGGGACCATTCGCTTAGAGATTCCCTCAACATCGAAACATGTCTTAAAGTTTAAAATAAAAACATCAACAACGGGGCTTTCAGCTTGCTATACGGCATAATATCGAATAACTGAATCCTGTGTTATACTATAGTTTAAACATGTCAATACAACTTTATGAAATCATTGAAGACACATGTGACGTCATAACTATCATCAAGACACCGTGAAACTAATTTGCAAACAACTCGGCACAGAACGTCTTGTAGTCGTACGCATTCGGTACCTCTCGGCCACGTGCATCCACATACGGCTGCATGTTTTCCAGGCAATACTCAGCTTGTGGTTTGGACAAAGACTATAGAAAAGTAAGAAGATAAATAAAGAAGATCTGGCCAAATAAAGCAACGATTACCTATGATATATATGTAGACGCACTTGGTACAATTCTTGTTCTGTAACAAAATCTTTGTCGGCGCCATCAGTAAGAGCCCTAAATGCATCTTCAACATCTTTACTTGAGTGAACATTCTCTGTTTCATGACTGATCATAAATGACATATATTCGCTCAGGGAAACAACTCCATCACTAAATAACAAAAAAAAACACACTCACACAAAGTTACAAGTTCAAATATCTCCAAGATGATATGTGAGTCACGTAGCATACTTATTTGGGTCAACCGTCTGTAAGATAGCTTCAAATTCTGGCTCAGGTTGGCCTTCATCCACCATAGGTAAATCATAACCAAGAGATCGCAAGCAGGATTTAAACTCTTGGTGGTCCAGAAATTGTGATTTGTTTTTATCGAAATGCCTTAAAGATAAAAAAAAAATCAGCCACTAAACAATTATATATTCGAGCATCCCTACAAACAGATATCTTATGGATACAAGGAACGATGATTAGCATAAAGAAAATTGAAACAATACCTGAAGTTATTCGCAAACTCTCTTAATTTTTCTTCTGGAACGCCAGTTCTCTTACGAGCTTGTATTTGCTGTTCAAGATTATGACGCATCCTCATTGCCAACTGATCAAGTTGATCCCACTGTTGAGCTAAACCAACGGTCGAATGTTCCGTGTATCTATAAACGAGAATCATTTTGATTTCAGATAAGATTAAATTTATTAAATACAAAAGGCTATACATACTTGTTATCCAAGATCAATGCTTCTTCCATTCTTGCTCCAAGATCTTCAACAATAGACAATGTTTCCCTCTTTTCCTGAATCTCTTTTGACTCTTTTTCAATCAAATTCAGTTGATCCTGCAAATCACCCTGACAATCCACGATAACTGAACGTGTTTGTGTCAACCAAAGATGGAACGAGTTGGCATTCTCTGCAAAGTCTTGTCTCAGTTCATCATTATAACGTTGTCTTTCTGTTTCCTTACGAAGATCTACATCACGTTCCTAAGAGCAAGAAAGACATGACAAAGACATGCATGAATTTAAAGCACATTATAAAATGAAAACTAACCAGGATAATTTTCTCCAAACTCTCCCAGGTTTCTTCAAGAGCCTCCATTGTAAACCAAGTGTAACTGAAATATTGAAAAAAAATCTTTATTACAAAGAAACCTAGGAAGATGCATCTCTGGCAAATAATCAATTGAAAACACATTCAACAAACATACGGGTTAACAGAAACGTGGAAACTCTTGATTTGTTTATCTAGCCTCCTCAATGTTCTCATGTCATTTTCAGCTTGCTGCAAAGACTCCCGAAATTGGTCGTGTTGATCTTGTAAAGCCTAAAAGATACAAAGTAAAACACGACAGTAAAATCTTCCGCTTTATATAATAAATGTCCTTGATATATAAAAGCACATGATCAATACCTGAATTTCTTCCAAGGAATTACAGCGAACAGGATCCGTAAGATCTTCCTCTGCGTTTTCGAACCAACTGTTGAATGCTGACGCTTTCTTAGCAAATTCTAAGAACATATCTTCAACCTTTGTGTATTTGTCCAACGACTTCATAAGAAGACCTTTACGAGCAGCAGATGCTTGAAGTAAGCCCTGCCATCTAAGACAAAAAAGATGAAAATCTTTGTAGTCGTGAATACTGTATAAATGTCATGTAGACAGAAAATGTAAGGAAAAACCTATCCACAAGTTCATCGTTGCGTTTGACAATTTCCGGAGATTGAGCATGTTCAGCTTTCACTAAATCATCTTTAAGAGTGGTTACTTTTTGAACACCTTCCTTTTCAAACGCTTGTAATCCCGATTCCAACGTTTCCTTAAATTAAAAAATCCTCACGTTAAAAAAACAAACCATGAAAAGAAGGTAAAATGAAAAATGAAAAAACATCCAACAAACCTGTTTAGTTATAAGTGCTTGAACTGAGGGTAAATCCTTTCCACAGTCTTCTGACTGAACCAAAGCAGCTCTATCATCTACAAGACAATTGAAAATTAAAAATAAGGTATTAGTATTTAGTTATTTATACACACATATGCACATAGAGTGACAGTTGTAGTCTTACTTATCCATGATTCAACGACATCAGTTTTCCAGTTGAATTGTAAGAAAGCAGAATTATCAGACAGTTTATTCTTGCGATGGTTGGACAATCGCTCAAGCTCCGAAACTTTGTTCTTTAACGAAAGCAAGGGACATGGTTTTGTCAAAATGGCAAAACAGAAACTATAAATAATAGCAAGTGTATATGCTTACATTCAAAGAAGCTATTCTTGAAACAATCTTATCCTTTTCGTGATTTTCCTACGAACATAAAGTCTTTGCAGTAGGTATAAATTACCTGAATGCAATTAAACAAAAAAGATAATACCTGATCTATAAGATTTCTACCATTTTTCTCAATATCTTTCACTCGTTCCTTATGGACTTCGAAATCTTTCTCAAAAGCGTCGTGTTTCTTGAGTAATCCCTAAAACGACAACGTAACATATACATCGATACAACAAAATGCATAAAACAAACATCTCACGAAATAATATGGATTAAAGTTTACCTGAGCTGCAGCTAAAGTGTCGCCATAATCACTGCTCGTAATTAAAGTATTTTTCTCGTTAATCCAGGATTCTTCTTCATCAACGTTTGTACTAAACTGTTGGTAAGCCAAAGATTGTTCCAACTTCTTCTCTCTGTAAAAGATATACAAAAAACGACGTTAGTTTTAGCAATCTAACACCATCAAACCAGTGTATTTAAAACATACCGGTTTCCGGTTATTTCATTTAACTCGCGCCATTTCTCTTGTAAACCGTCAATTCGTGCTTTTATGACGTCAGCATCAGGACGACCTTCGTTAATAAACATCACGCCACGATCACGGACACTCTATAAAATAACATCATACCATAAAAATATACATGAATATGAGATGTTCTAAAATAACAGTTACAAAAGTGAGGAGAAAATATAGTGAGATTTACCAAGATTTTCGGCTCATGATTGTGAATTTCCGTCTGTAAACGTTGATGTTTTCTACGCAAATTCTGAACGCCAGTCAAATCTTCGCCATAATCTTCAGAGCTTGCCAACAACTTCTTCTCTCTATGAAAACGGCATAAACAAATTTACGATTAATTAACAAACAGATAAGAAGTGATTTGATTATTTCACTTAATCCAAGATTACTGATATCTTACTTAATCCATGATTCTTCATCATCAACATCACGACACAACTGTTGCAGATCGTTGGCTTTATCAAGTTTTTCACGTCGTTCGCTCGCCATTGTAGTGATCCTTGAATAAATAAAAATACTTGAAAATAAGAAACTCTATAATATCGGAAGCGACATTATTTTTGTACTTTTCGTAACGAGAGGTGATAGTTTCAGCTTTCTCTTTGATTGTCTTTGAGTCATGATGTTCTTTTTCAACAAATTTATCTGCTTGCGCCTGTAGATCATTCACGTGATCCTAAATAAGAACAAAAATACCTCATTATGAGCGTTTCAAACGTTCGCAATGCTAACAAAGAGTATAACATCAACAACAATGACATCATTATAAAGTAAATGGTTTGAACCAGGGAGTATCGTTACATGTTTGTGGATGTAGATCGTCCAGGATAGTAAAGTCCTGAGAAGGACTGTTGTTGTTGGTGTTGACTGACGTTTCGACAACCTTAGCGGTAGTCATCTTCAGAGTCAAGATTGTCGAAACGTCAGTCAACAACAACAAAAACAGTCCTTCTCTGGACTCTACTAACCTGGACGATCTACATTTACAAACATGTAATGACATCATTAACAATGAATAAAACATCAGCAACAATGACATCATCATCAACGGCAGTAACAAGGGAAACAACAAAATCAACGTATTAAATATTTAGACCTTATGAGCAATGATGTCAGCTTCTACAAGTTGATGTTTCTTTACTAAATTCTGTGTACTGGCTAAATCATGACCACAATCTTCAGAAGATAGTAATGTTTCAGTCTATAAAAAATGAACATTACTAACGTTTCAAGGCAGAGTTCGTTTACAGTTAGCAATCCTGTCCTTTCATGAATGATAAACAAACCTCATTAAGCCAGTAGTCCAATTCTTTCACATTGTTATTGTACTGCTGTACTTGATTGGATTCCATCAAATATCTCGATTTTGACTGTGATAGTTTGGTCAACTTTTCCCATACTTCCTGAAGCTTTGTTATTCTTTCTTTTACTACTTCCTCGTTACTGGCACATTTTTTTTCTTCAATAAGTTCTAAAGTAAAAGATAGAAACTCTATAGAATCAATGGCAACAATATGAAGATCTAATCACAAAAAAATCTGTTTACACATACGATTTGTTGTGGCAATGATTTGCAAAACGCGTTCTTCATTTGCAGCCATTTCAGCTTCAAAAGCCTGTTGTTTCTGCACCTTACTCTAAAACATACAAAATTACATTAGCACAAAACGAACTGTAAAACAACGTTAAAAAAACGATATATTCGAAGACTGTATAAAATTCATCTATCTATCCATCAAGTTCAATGTTCACCTGAAGATTACTGGGATCCATGTACGACTCGTCCTGAACAGATTGTAACTTTTCACTAATCCAGGCCTCCATATCTTCTGCGTCGCGAGTAACTTGCTGTATGTTTTGACTTTCTCCAAGTCTAGAGCGACGTTCAACTAAAGCTGCTTTCAATTTTTGCCACCTGGAGAAAGAAAGAAAAGAACATCTCAGGTCAAATCAACCTTTCAATAAATCATTGAATCAAGCATGCTCTACCGTTCTAAAACAGACTCCACTCTCTCGTTGATTACAGGTGAATCGTAATGATTATTCTCAGTTAATCTTGATGCGTAATCTTGAAGAGCTTTGATTTTCTCCTCCTAAAATAATGATCAAGATAACACTAGTAGATGCTTATAAATGCAACCTAAGCCTGAAAGAACGGAATAAACCTGCTGCTTTATTGACTTCTCGATGTTTTCGTGCGTCTTCACAAGTTTATCGGCGCCTTCAGGAGACCCCCTACTTCTTCACTTCGAATTAACGCTTCACGGGGGGTCATCCACGATTCCAACTGCTCCGCATCACGATTAAACAACTTAGAAAAAATACATCAAAGTTCATAAAACTAGAAATAAGAAAACGAACATGGAAAAAGCAAATATCACCTGTAACTCAAAGCATTGATCCAACTTATCTTTTCGCTCAGCCCAGGCCCTTTAATCAAAAACAGAGGCATCAAGAAAAGTTGGACAATGTCTAAGATGTTTCGATGTTTCAATTTACTTTTCAAGATCTTTTCGTTCGTCTTCAACAGTTTGCAGTTTCTCTTCGATCTCAGGTCGAGCATAATGCTCTTTCTCTGCAAGTTCTTTGCCAAAGTTATTAAAAGCCTGAAACGTCTCATCTTTTCCATCAATTTCAGCTCGATATTCCTGATCAAAGAGTCAAAACTCAGTCATACGATGATGTCTTATCAATTATTGTAGGGGCAGACTAGCAAATACATTTGAGTTTAATTATAATATTAAGTGAAAATAGCGACGAGTTCATCATCTTCTTACGTCATGTCTTTCAAGCAAAGCTTCAGCACCAACAACATCTTTGGCTAATTCATCGGATGAAACCAAAGCTTTTATACCAGTCAACCAGGATTCCAAGTCTCTGTTAACGAGTTAAAATGTTTTTATCATATATTATACACGCACTTTTAACCTGCAATGTTTTTTCCATCCAAAGAAACACTTTTTATCACCTGTATTCATTCAGAAATTGCTGATAATCATGAGAATCAACCAACTTTCCTTTCCTTGAAGCAGCCTTAAAAATGAAAACAAACCAAAGTAAGTACAATATTCTGAAAAGTACAAACACATTGTTCGGCATACCTGATCTTTCAATCCATCCCAGGCCTCTGAGATTTCATCACGTTTCGCTTCGATATCTTGCGCATGCGTGGGATGTGTTTCCATCAACATATCTGCCTCGCTGTTCAATTGACGAACCTGAAAACGAAACAAATATATTAACTCAAATAGTTTTTAGAGAAATTCACGAATATCAAAGATATATCTTACTTTTTCCTCCAAAGCTGCCAAATCTCTTTCCAAAACACCATGTTTTCGTTGTAGAGCCTGGACACTAGCTAAGTCTCGGCCATAGTCAGGAGATGACAACGCTGTATCTTTCTCGGAAATCCAAGCCTTGGTATCGTCAGCATCACTAAATGAACACAAATGAATTACAAATGAAAAAACTCCTTTAAAAACTGAAAAGAGACGATCAACATAGTTAACTAAATAAAGACAGTCAATATTGTTGTTGAAAATACATGATCAATGTATTTAACTGTATATAACTAAGTCAATATGGCTAACTTACCGGTGAAACTTCTGTATCTCCTGGGCACTTTCCAAGGCAAGTCGTCGTTCCTCAGACAAGCGTTGTAATTCTTCCCATTTTTCAGTCAAACGTTTGATAATCTCTTGAATCATCTCGTATTCACGACGATGATCAGTTTTCAGCTTTTCGGAAATGGCCGTCAATTCTCGAATGCGAGTTTCAATAATGCGCATGTCCTTTAACATTCACAAAGATGTGCAGTTTTTAGAAGCATTAATATTGCCACGGGGGGAGGGGGTTAGTTCAATAAAATTATTTGAATTATTGTTCTCGATTACTGTACCTTTTGATAGTCATCGAATTTCTTCTTTTGTGCTTCTACGTGTTCAAAGTCATCCCCAACCTCTTCTGACGTCACCACGGCTACCTACAATTGAGCAATAGTTTTCTTTCCAACATTAACGAAAAATGTAAACAGTGCAGTTTGATTTATACCTTGTCGTTGATCCACGACTCGATCTCGTGTGCCTCTCGTAACAAACCGTGTCGTTCAATAGATTCCTCCAGTTTCTTTCTTCGGTCAGCGCCAGCATCAAGTAAATCCTGATATTTCTTGTCCAAGGCATCTTGACGTTCAGAAACCTTTTCAACACCCTCCATTTTCTCTACAAGTTCTTGCGAAACCGTTTTCATATCAACTTTCTTCAAATAAGCAGCTGGCACAAAACCTTGATGGTCGTTCGTCTCCACTTTCCACCAATCCTGTAAAAAAAACCCGATCGATCACGTAAATTACGTATATTCTCGTAAATCATCGTAAATCATCGTAGGTACCTTATTGGTAGAGTTAAGTAAAGTAAGTATATCTCCTTTCTTCATCGATACTTCCCGCGCTGTTTTCTGCTCATAGTCATACAAAGCTTCCACACATTCAAGGTCAGAGAGATTCTTAACTGGAGTGATCGTCTATATAAGGAGAAAACTAAAAATTTGAACAGCCAATTCTCTATTCTTGTCATCATCGAAACTCTTATGTTCAGAAAGAGTGTGTGAATGTCACTAAACTGAAGCAAAAACAATAAGATTTTGAAGATTTTTATATCATATAAAACAGTAAGTTTTCAACAGCAGTACTTCATGTAACATACCTTACAAGTTTTACTTTGATCGCGCAATTCGTCAACAACGGTACCATAAGCCTCGAGATCACTCATTACAGCGTTGTGTTTCTTCAACATAGCACGAGCACTATCTTCATCTTTACCATAATCCGTGCTTGTTACAAGTGGTTCCTTCTCTGTCAGCCATGCTTCAGCTTCAGTGACATCAGCTAAATACTGATAAGCATGTAATGACTCGTCCAAGTCCTCTTTGCGCGCCGCGGCTTTCTCCTGTGTATCATAAAAAAACGAGACTTGAATAAAGACTTTAAAGTGAAGAAAATTTATGGATAAAAATTTGACCTTGAGTTGAGACCATTGGGTGTCTAAATTGTTTATCTTTTCCTGAATATCTTCCTTACAGTAATGATCTTTGATGAAAAGAAATGAAAATTTGTGAAAAAATATCATAAACAAATAGATTAATGAATTTAGGAAGAAGTGTTCCTTTCATAATGTAAGAATTAAAGAGATTTCTATGTACCTTCTTCAATCATTTTTTTCCCATAATCAATAACGTTGCCAATTCGTGTTTCATGACCACTCATCTCACTCTGTTTAAATAAAACAAAAAAAAGAACAAATGACATCGGCTATTTTCACATATAAATTATTAAGAACATGGTTTTCCATCAAAGCTACACAAACCATTAAAGCTTGATGTTTCTTGGACAAATTCTGAGCTCCAGTTAGATCTTTTCCTAAAATATAAAAAATTATATTTCATTAAAGTCAATTTTTGTAATGGAGACTCTAACTTTCACTCTCCAACGTATCATTAACGACGAAGAAATCAGAACATATACAATCTACACAATATAAAAACACACTACCAAGATTAGTAGATGAGACAATCGGTTCTTTCTCTCGTATCCAGGCCTCCTCGTCTTCGACGTCTCGCAAAAATTGTTGATAGCACTGAGCGTCTTGAAGTCTCTTCTTTCGTTGATTCAATGGTTCCTAAATAAACACAACAATGATTTAGAGAGTGTTATGCAAACACACACAAACACAAGAAAGTATGAACCTTCAATTTTTCGTATCTCTCCATCAGAGCAGCTTTCTTGGCGACAATTGCAGGAGCATCGAAATGTTCTTGTTCGGCAAAAAGATCAGCCTGCGTTGAACAAACATCAATTCTTTCTTGTTTTGTGATAATATCGCCTTCCATCAAATCATGTTTCTTTTGAAGGTTTTGAACTCCCGAAAGATCCTGAAAAAAGAACATTGAATTGTAAAAAAGTTCCTTTTACGGACGCTGCATCATAATAATCAGTCTAAACCTTTCCTAAATCCTCATTCTGTAATTGTGCCTCAATATCAGTTATCCATATATCCATGTCGTCAATACCCTTAAGAAACAATTGAATTTCACCTTCTATAATATTGACTATTAGCTAAACTAAACGATTATCAATAGATGTACCTATTGAACATCTGTTGCTGCTTAGCATCCTTTAACTTGTTTCCTTTCTCTTGTGTTTTATCAAGAAGATGTTTCCATAAATCATCAAGTTCATCCAATCTTTTTTGAATGTCGTTCGATGCGTAATGATCATTGCTTATGAGTTCTTTGCCCTTTTCGTGAATTGAATCAATAAGATTTTGATTGGCTTCTAACTCCGCATTAAATGCTTCGTGTTTCTGTAGTTTTCTTTGAAGATTGGTCGCATCCTGTCGAAGCAGACAAAACTATAAACCTCCTTACGTAGCATGTTTTAATGGTGTAAAAAACAAAAAAATATTATTTTAAACCTTGTAAGATTCATCTGTGGCGATCATCAATTTCTCATTGATCCAAGCTTTTGTTTCATCAGCCTCTTTTTCAAACTGTTGTAGCTTACGTGATTCCTCTAATATTTCCCTTCGTTTGTCCGATTTTTCTTGTATATTCGCACGTCTGTTGTTCACATCGTTTTTACGTTTCTCAATGTCATCTGAAGCGTAATGTTCATTTTCAATCAACTTGGTTGCTGTCTCGTTCAAATCTTTGATCTTGTCCTCTTGAGCAGCAAACGACTTGGCAAAGTCGTCCTGTTTTCGTATCAATGCATCAACTGCATCAAGTGAGTCGCCCAAATCTTCATCAGTTAGGAAAGCCTAATATTTGAAATAAATTTTCATCTACACTACAGGTAACTAACGTCATCTGTCAACAATAAACAAACACGTTACCCCCACTGGTCAAAATTCCTTAACTGTCCATGCATGATCACATTGAGTACACACTAAGATTTTCATTTTACAAGATAATACAGTTCTCTTTCAAGGCACAAATAACCAACCATTTATTTAATGACTTAAATGTTATTGTTATTGTGTAATCATTAATAAAAACGTAAAGAATGCCATTATTAAATACCTCCTGCTTTGCCATCTGATTGTCAGCATTTTGACAATCTCGATAGAAAAGTTGAAGTTCTAAACTTTGATCCATCATTGATTTGCGTTCATCCCACAGCTTGTACAATGATGTCTTTTCACTTTCCATATTGTCCAACTAAATGTTTTCAAAAAGAAAATAAGCACAATTATTACTTCATAACAAAAATCAAAGTTTCTCATCAATATCTTTAACCTTCTCTTTAATGTCATCAGCTGCATAATGCCCATTGTCCACCAACTCTTGGCCTGTGTTGAAGAATTTATCAAATCCTTCCTTTTGGGCATCAATATAACCCTATTTGTGATACATGTATAAGAGAAATTACTTCAGCAGAACAAAATGAGGCATTTTTCAAGCTAGAGAAACCAATCACCTTGTGTTCTTGATGTCTTTCAATCAACATTTCTGCTCCAGCAACATCCTTGGCCATCTCATCAGTACCAATCAATGTCTTCATTTCTGTGATGAACAAGATGAGTTCTTTGTAATCGGCTATGAACCGCTGGAGGTTGTACGAATCTTCAAGTCTGCTTTTTCGCACGTCAGACTGTAAAAAAACAGAATTATTTTTAAAAAAAATTACTGAGAAGAAAATTTGATCATGAAGAATTGCTGAAAGAGACTTGCTTTATCTTTTAAGCCACTCCATGCTTGCAATAATTCTATTTTCTTTGCTTCAATGTCTTCAGCAACTTCTGGATGCTTTTCTTTCAGCTGATCACATTCATTTCCAAGATTTTGAACTTTATCATCTAGAGCAACCAAGTCTCTTTCAACCCCATCATGCTTACGTTTCAAAGCATTTACGCTAGCAAGATCCTTGCCATAATCATCAGATGACAAAACATTGTCTTTTTCTACAATCCATTGAACAGTTTCATCCACATCCCTAAAGTTATAATTGTGCATTGATTACCAGCGTGCAAATCGGCATTATTTGTAAATGACATCAATATGATGTTTTATACAATGATTCATACACTAATAAAAACATAACAACTAAAGAAAATTGATCCATTTGAGTCATTCAAACAAAGTGCACTATGTGGTATAATCAATGCACACTCTAAAAATATAATTTTAAGGCTGCATTTTTTAGCTTAATGCAGCCTTTATTTCAATACGACACTTAGTGGTTACATTTAAAAAATAACATTACTGAATATATTTTTGTCAAAAAATCTCACATTTTTTTTCCAATTTAACTCACACACTAAAATAGTGTCTTTATAAACAATCTTTTAAACTGTTTAATTCACTTCAACAGAACAATGATATGGTCAGGGTAGATTGTGTAGGTATAAAACAAGTTTTCAATCATTACGTACCTATAGTATGCATGTATCTCATGAGAACTTGTCAGAATCGTTCTACGGACTGTAACCAGTTGATGTAGTTTATCCCAAGCTTCATTAACCTCAGATTGTTTCTCCCGTATCACTTGGATATCTGGGTGACCCTCAACCTCCAATGTGTCTGCCTGCTGGTTGATACTCATGATACGTTTCTCATTTGCATCTAAATCTTTGGCAAAATCTTCCAGTTTTTTTTTCAACACTTCAACATGCTCAAAGTCTTGAATTGTTTCTTGCGTAGAAACAATAACTTCCTACAAAGAAATTATTTTTTCTTGTATGGTTCTTCACAAGCCTACAGGTACAATCAAACATTACTTACCCTATCAGAAATCCACATCAAAACTTCACTACACTCGCGAATAAATACTACTCGTTTTTGAGTGAAGAGAAGCATGCGCCCTTTCTCTGCAGATTGTTGCAAAAGCAATTCCCATAAATGCATCAGATGATCAAGCCTTTCCTACAAATAAGACAATTTCACAATGTTTTCTTTGTAACTGCTAACAAAAAGAATTTCTAAACTAATTAAAAATAACAGGTGGTTAAACAATTCATAAAATCATGCACTTTGAATTGAAGTAATGAACTAAAAAAAACATGCCTTTTGCTTCCATGATGTTCAATATTATCATATATATAGCACATTGCAAAAGTTTACCTTGGCAGGTGAAAATTCCACACATTAATTACTTTAGAGTTTGTTAATGATTATGTGGCTGAATTTCAAGCATTTTACACAAACAAAAATTGATTTATGTGCAAGCCTGGACACTAATTCTCAAACTTGTTACCTTGCTGACTATGCAGTTTCTGCATAGAACTAAATGTACAACTAGAAGGCTACATTTTCATAAACATGCCTGTCTTTGCATAAATGATGCATTTTAGCTTAGCATCATAAATGAACTTTTCTTAAACTGTCCATAAAAGATTTGGACTAGTTGCATTGTTTGCTTCAAAATTAAAGTGAGAACTAGCTTCCAGTATTTTCATTTCAATGATTTGCCCACACAAAAATTTGCTATGTGCCATCAGACTCCCCCTGGGCAGGATAAAATACTTCCAGCCAGTAGTGTATGTAATGTATATTTTATTTAACTTTGGAGGGTTAGTACCAGTATTTCATGCACTCAAACACTCACAAATACTCATGGTTATTAATGTGTCATTGTAATATGTACATAAATACTCTTACTTTAATTGTCACAGATTCAAAATGCTCTTCCGAAATCATCTGTTCACCATTTGTCTTGATGGTGATAATTGTGTTAGTATGTGCCGATACTTCAGCTTCGAAAGCTTGGTGTTTCTGTAGCTTAACCTAGAAAATAAAAAACGTCAAATATGTTATTTACGCTATAAATTATGCAATAAATCACATTATTTGATGCGGGCGTTGTCTACAAATCAAATTATCCGTCATATTTGAAAGCCGACGTAGAATTTGAAATACTGTACCTTTAGGTTTGTAGCATCTTTAAACGACTCGTCGCTTGCAATTTGAAGCTTTTCATTGATCCATATTTCACATTCATCCACATCGCGTTTCCACTGGTGATAACGCTTCGCTTCCTCCAAACGGAGACGTTTGAAACGCGTAGCCTCTTTAAACTCGGCATAACGGCGTAAAACTTGTGCTCTACGTCGCTCAATATCCTCAACTGTCTCAAGGACAGGTATTGCGGGCGAATCAAAATGACTTTCAAACATTTTTGCAATAAAATAACAAGAAATGCGGCATAGAAATATACTTCTTCGTCAACTTGTTATGTGCACAATTAATGATGCGCAAGCAGAGGTCTGGGAATAGCTTGTTCGACAAAACGCCTATTGTGATTGGTCGAGGATCACATTCCATTGATATCAATGACTGTCGGGGGGCGGATAGAAGGATAAAAATATTTATCGAGATGTTCCAGTCAGTTCGATGCATTGTCGGTTTGTTTCGACACAGTTTGAACCCCTTCCAGTAAAAGATATTAAGCGAGAGACGTCATAACGTCTAGCATAACTTTCTTGCATATTTTTAATATCCCTATACGCAGTTTCTTACCACACTTTTCAATATTTGAGCTATGTATCTTTCACAAGCTTTTACAGCTATCAAGACCCTTGAAAAGATTAAGAATACGTTATATGAAAGCTGTGAATAAAATGAATGTCTGAATTCTACAAGCCTAGGGTTAGAAAGGTACATACCAGTACATATTATATGATAATTTGTATTTACAAAGGAATAAGAAGGAATATTGCAAATCTCCCGCTAAAGTTGCATCTTGTAATCTTATTGGATGATTTGCACCAATGGCAGGCTGAATTAACCAAGTGTCAATCATTCCTTTCTTGTTGCGTTTCCGGAGAAGACCCCAACTTCTTCATTTATTACAATTCTTCAAGAAGACATAACGTACGAAAAATTTTGACGAAAATTTCGAAGCTAAATCGCAGAAAGAAGAAGAATTGATTAAATTATCTTAAAGTAGCTTAAAGGTAACAACTACCTTGTGGTCAGTAGGATTTTTTTGCTATATTTTGTGGTATTTTTAAGGTAAAAGCGCCCAAAAGTTCGACATGTTCGTATCTTTCGCCAGACCTTTCAGAAAGATGAATCTTATTTTGCCGTAATATTTACCATTCCAATTCTTTTTAGTAAACTTGTTTGCAGTGTTGCTTTGTTTTGTCCTTCCTTGAATGCTTTGGAAAGTTTGGAAGTAGGATGTACTTCATATTTTTCATTTTTTAGCAACAAGTTGTGACCACTTCCATACGGTTTGCGCGACAAGCTAACTCGAGCGGTTGTCCCATTTCAACGCCAAAAACCCAACAAACTCGACGGGAAACGAAGAATATCGACGGACTATACTTAAAGGTAGGATGTGAATGAATTTTTTTCCGTTTATTTGAAGTTAAAAGCGAGTTTTTCTACTGAAAATACGAAAGTTTCTTGGGCGATATATATCATGTTGTTGAGGAAGAACAAATTTTGGCGCCAATTTCTCAGAGCGAACAATTATTTAGAGACTGGGCACAAGTTTCGCCTAATTTAAAATTCAAATGAAGACAATTCGACAAAAATGACCGGAGATTCGAAATCTTGATGAAAGAAAGTATGTTTGCGCTTTCATATTTTTGTTCAGTGATCTCAAACCGAGTTAAAACAATAAATTTATATGGTGTATAGAAGTTTTCGCTACCATGAGACAAAATGGCCGATCAACTTTTCGTTATTTGAAGTTATGGAGGCCAACAGTACAGTATTGAACTTGCAGTTTTGTGATTTTCTTCGTTATTTTTGATTTAATTGATTTCATTTCACAGGAAGAAAGGGACAATAAAGATTATTGACCGATTTACTTGTGCACATATTTTTTCCTAACACAAAATTTTTCGACGTTTTTCAGTTCAAACTCCTCCCATACAAGCTAACACTTAGTAAGCCTTTCTTTCAGAATAAGGTACAATGAATATATTCTTTATTACATAAAAATATTAACTGAAAGGCAATTTTGTTTTATCTATTTATATATATGTTTTTGAGAGCTATATAGGCTTGACAAATATATAAAATGTCTAGCCTAAACAAACTGCATGGAGTCGGCTGCAAAACGCATTAAACAAGTTTTTTTTTCGATGTTTTTCAGTTTAAGTCTTCTTCTCAGAATAAGATATTATAATTAAATGATTAATTAATAATATGTTAAATTAATTATTTGGGAAAAGCTGAATTAAGTGAAAGGAAAAGACAAAAGATGACAGCAAATGTCGTAAATGCAAGACAAAAAATAATGACAGAAAATTTAAAGAAAATTCCACGCACATGAAAACACAAAGACGAATTTGCAACTGGTAAATGAATTAAATGAAAGGAAAAGACAAAAGATGACAGCAAATGTCGTGAGTGCAAGACAAAAAATGTTGGGGTAATGTCGTCATTGGTTCAGTTGCTCTCTAGCAACTTTTTCCTCCTCTTTGCGTACGGTTGCATCATCACATTGCGCAGGCGCAGCATCTGCTTTTATTCGGTTGCATCATGACATCGCGCAGGCGCAACATCTGCTTTTATTCGGTTGCATCATCACATTGCGCAGGCGCAACATCTGCCTTTTTTCGGTGCATCATCACATTGCGCAGGCGCAGCATCTGCCTTTTTTCGGTTGCATCATCACATCGCGCAGGCGCTGCATCTGCCTTATTTCGGTTGCATCATCACATCGCGCAGGCGCAGCATCTGCCTTTTCGGTTGCATCATCACATCGCGCAGGCGCAGCATCTGCCTTTTCGGTTGCATCATCACATCGCGCAGGCGCAGCATCTGCCTTTTTTCGGTTGCATCATCACATTGCGCAGGCGCAGCATCTGCCTTTTCGGTTGCATCATCACATCGCGCAGGCGCAGCATCTGCCTTTTTCGGTTGCATCATCACATCGCGCAGGCGCAGCATCTGCCTATTTCGGTTGCATCATCACATCGCGCAGGCGCAGCATCTGCCTTATTTCGGTTGCATCATCACATCGCGCAGGCGCAGCATCTGCCTTTATTCGGTTGCATCATCACATCGCGCAGGCGCAGCATCTGCCTTTTTTCGGTTGCATCATCACATCGCGCAGGCGCAGCATCTGCCTTATTTCGGTTGCATCATCACATCGCGCAGGCGCAGCATCTGCCTTTTTTCGGTTGCATAATCACATCGCGCAGGCGCAGCATCTTCCTTCATTCGGTTGCATCATCACATTGTGCAAACGCCGCGTCTTTCCTTATTCTGTTGCTTTTTTGGTATTTGTGAGAAAGAACTCAAGTAGAAGAAAAATTATTTAAACATGAAAATGGACATTGGAAGTAAGATCTACCTTTCACAGAAGACTCGCTAAAGAGAAGAATGATGCAAAATGGGGTAAAATAACTACATAACACTTTCATCCTAAAAGTAAGACGTCAAGAATGATTTTATGACGCTATTTAATTCAGCCTGTAAAATGTAAATAGCTTGTATGTTTAGCTAATATAATGTTTCTCTTCTCCCAAGTTTTCTTTTAGTTGTAAGCCCAATGAAAGTTTTATATAATGAATGAATGACAACTATTTTGCTCCATTCATTAATATAATATATTACTGAACGCATAGGCATAACAATTATATTAATGTTTAGCCTAATTAACTTGGTACAACCTTGGAGTACATACTATATGAAATGACCGCTTTCGCTTGATAAAAAATAATTGTTTGGCGCAATAAACCTGGTATAAGCATGCATAAAGTACATTCATTGAGACGAAAGTAACCAACATGAACTGTAAAACGTCTGTCAAAAAAACACTTTGGTTAACTATTCAATAACTTCTGTTGTATTGTGCACAAGTAAATCACTGTCAATAGCAGAAGATGAACAATTGATATCGACATCGATGAAAAGTACAGAAATGACATGTATAGTTGTCATCAAATGGTGTTTGTGTCGCATCACATACGAACTTTGTCATCGTTAAATCGGAGTAAAAGAGAATTGGAGTAAACTACCATCTATGAAAACAATGCTCGTAAAGGTCATGTATCAGCTGGAATATGGGCTTGGTGTAATCCTGTGTAAATATCATACTCGTTTGAACACTTTCTAAATCAATATTCGTGTCAAACTGCATGCTGGGAAGATATAACTCGCCGTACATTCAACAACACGTGCTAATTGGGATTAATCAACTGTGGTTTAAAATATAAGAACAGAGAACGAATATTCAACATTTTCATGAACGTTGGCGAGTTTATATATTGTCCCACACAGAAATTTACACTTTATCGACCGTGGCATCTGCATCATTGCTGTACGTTACTCAACTGGCTGTTATCAGCCTTGATCCTACAGGTATGTGCTGAAGTTTTAGGAACGTTGTTCATAAAATAATGTAGCTGCTTGAAAAACATACAACTTCCAGAGATCTTTTAGAAATAAAAATACTAAAATTCTCTAAAATTTTCATTGGTATAAAAAATGTTTTCGCATAAAAAACTTCACCAACGCACGTTTTCATTTTCTAAAACAAAATTTTCATGTGTGAAGGAATGAAGCATCAGATCAATGAAATAGATCATGGAAATCACATATCTTGCGGTGGATTATATCATGGATCGTATCATAAATGTCATGGAGTACATAATGGATATCATGGATCACATCACAGATATCATGCATGGATCACATTATAACATGGAGTACATTATGGATATGATGGATCACATTGTCGACATCATGCCCTATTTTATGGATATAATGGACATCGTGGATTATATCGTCAATGTCGTAGATTACGTCATGGATGACGAAAGAAAATCTACAATGATGACGACGATAAAGGTGCCATAGTTTACATTTTGTTAATATCCTGGTGATCAATATTAGCGTGAATATAATTGAAAAATGACTAAACTTATTGACTGTCTTGATGCTGTTAGTGTTTATGCATTTTTCTTACTGATTTCATCTGATGTCATCATTTACGGGCTTCTATTAATAAAATGAACTGTTTTTATAAGTTCATTTTTTGATCACCAGGATACACGAATCTAAGTTCAAGGAAATAAGCATGGGTTTCTTTGAATTTTGATCGTGCGCATGAATATTTCAAATCCAACATGAAAACTAAAAAGCATAACTAAATATTAAAAGTCTGAATGCCTGAATAAAAGCGGTCAAAAATATGGCAGATTCCAAAACATGGCGGAATCCAAAAACATGGCAGAATCCAAAACATGGCAGAATCCAAAAACATGGCAGAGTCCAAAACATGGCGGAAAACAGCAAAGCAAACTTCGGCATTTTGGCAATGCAAGCAGCTGCATGACGTAAATTAAATTTAAATAAAATTATAAATGCCTGAAATATTCTTGCTTGATGATGCTCTTCGATTTCCACGATTTGTTTTAAGTTAAAATTTTCAACCATGCTAAAGAAAAAAATGCTTCGTGTCAAAGAATGTGAAACAAAAGGAACAACTTTAAGTGTTTAAAAATGTTTGTCGTTAAAAAAGGAACGACCTGTATCATCAAGATGAATATGTCTGTCGTGAAAAAATCGTCTGATGAAGAACAAAACAGAATAGGTGCATGATACTCTGGCATTGCTTTTGAATATCAAAATCAATGTTATGACAGTGGCATGCTCGTCTCAAAATCAAGTCTAACATCTTCATCGATTTGCTGAAGAAAGATGATTTGATAGCGAGACGAACTAATCGACGATACATTAAGAGGTAGGTAGATATAATTGTAAACGGTGCCAAATTGGTACCTAGGTGATCGAGTGTTGGACACAAGAAGGATTGGTTGGCACGCCGTTTGGTAATGTATAAGGGCCCAGGGAAGCGGTTCCCCATCCATTAGGTTCCAATTCGGCACGGGTACTAATATTGCTTTGCAGGTGTCTCATCGTCGCAGGTTCGTCTCATCGTGGAAAGGTTTGCTTTGATTTATTTTATTTTATAGATATTAGTTAAATCATGCCACTGATCGACAGGGTTAAAGCTAAGGCTGCGCATACGCAAAAAAACGCTGAAGTCAAAAGCGACTTAAAAATGGCAGTACGTAGCGGATTCGGTTCAATTTTAAAAGACAATTTTTACAAGGATGTATGTTGCTTTGATCACCTCTTTCAACAACTTTGTAAAGATAGAGGCAGTCTACATATTGTTGTAAACATAACTAAGGACTTATGAATGTAAACATGAGTTTTGTAAAGATAACTTGTAAAAAAATAAACATGGTGATCATAAGCATACATCCCACGTTTTCTTGAGGGTTTTCCTCCGGTGTATCGCCGGTTTCCCTCAATGAGTATTCGTTTGAATATTCTCAAAAACAAAAAAGGGTGGCCATGTTTGGGACCTGCAGGAAACAAAAAGGGTTTGTATGGTTATTGGGTTAAATTCCCAATCCACTCCTAAATGGAGAAGTGAAAAACAACAACAATGCTGTGTAATGTGTACAGTATAGTGGTTGGCATACGTATTGGTTTCACATAAAAAGAGTTTTCAATTAAGGCTTCTTTTATGACTTTGGCTAAAAATTCTTCATATCATATTCAATTTCGTTCCACAATTTTAGCTGATAATAGTGTACGTTGCAAACAGACAGCTATAACGACAGAAAGATAGCATGTAAAAACACTGGCTCATTTAATGGGATTTGCAAAGAGATCTGTAGCAAATGAACGCTATTTCTCGTCCTTGACGGGAAAAAATCTTGCATAAAGATGCCCTAATTCAGCAATATTCTTAAGAAAAATTGACTTTATAATGTTACTATGACGACCATCACGTAGTTCTGTGACGATTCTCGTATTTAATGTGGGCGGATTCTCCTACGGAAAAAGAAAAGCCGAAATAAACGTGAGCACAGCAAAGAGATATACGTATATAATTTGTATTTGACTACATTCATAAAAAGTTCTACCTTTAAAAATTCCCAAATAGTCAGGAGTAATTGGTGAACTTCTTTGGGAGTAATGATATTGAAAATATCTCCAATAAAACAGAGAGGCGTGGGTAGCCACATAGCTTTTCTAAACACCTCCATCATTTGTACTGATGCGTGTAGTTGACTTTCACATTCTCTGGTGTTCAACTCTCGACATTGCTCCCAAAACTTAAGGATCGATGAAAATAATCCATGGATAAGTGGTAGACAATTAAGCAAAACATGAGGAACTGCAAGAAGAAAAGCATAGATGCATCAAAGAAAATGACAATTATGATGTGCTCAAACTAAACAATGCCATCCAAAAACTTGTCGCTTTAATTTTACCTTCTGCCAAGAAAAATAGCAAATGCCAAAATATTTCACTTTCGTTAAACTGTTTACGTAATGTAACGTCTCTGCAATGAGAATATTACATGTCAATGACAAGCCACAGTAAAGTCGTTATCTCCAACACCTTCCACATCCCAGTCATAAAATAACCATTCATTTCACCTTTCAATGGAATATTTCATCATGTCATCATCGGGCCAAGAGGACCAATCATAACATCCATCTACGATCATGTGATCACGTAATAGAATCGCCAAATTCGCAAATATTTTGACGTTATGCTGCTCTATCCCTCCTGGAGGTCTGTTAGCCAGGCATACAGTGTGTATACATTGTAGGAACAGCTGTGAGTTGCTTTGTGCACATGTCTATTAAATATAATTAGCCCGCTTAGCCATTGTGTGACCAACTGACGTGTAATTTGAATGGTAATCCAAAACGTGATTTTTTGGTTTCAAAAGTGATGTAAATTTTCGCCAATCACCACAATAAAACAATGGTTGCATGCATAAAACCAGGCAGATTTAGAGATCGACTGACATGATGAAAAAATATAAGGAAAAATCAAAAATAAAAGAGAATGAGTAGTTTTGTTGAGTTATATACCTGCACTATTTCCCCTTTTTCTGATGATTTTTTTCCTTTTCCAATTACTCCGAGATAAAATACAGATGCAGTGTTTAGTGGCAGACGAGATGATATACCAGGAGTGGTGTTCTTCTCCAACAGTAATCTTTCAACGTTATCTTCGCTATCTGTAACAGAAAATGACCTAGTAGAGTACTTTTAATTATTGACGTAGCCAGCCTGCAAATATAACATTGCCATTCAAAATTTTCTACGTTCTCTCACTGCAAAATTATCGACTTTTAAAGAAGTGAATAATGACATTGCTATGCGCCGTGGCTTGTAATTGTCATTAAAAGTTTGACATTTAGAGACATTTTTACCTGGTGTTCGTTTAAAAACAAGGTTTTGTTATCCATGCAAAACAGGCCTTCAACAAAATGTCGAACAGCTAGAATTTGACAAGGTTCATCTCGGCATAATGTTAACAAAAAGACTTGATATCTTTTTAGCAGATCTATGCATAAATGACGACTCTCGTTTGCTGTAAATGAAACAAAGATATATTTGATATTAATGAATACCCATATAGTTACAACAAATTGATCGAACTTGCAACTCACCTTGTGTCTCAAAGGCGCTGCTGTAATGATGGAGCAGTTTGAAAAATAAACTAACGGTAGTTTTGGTAATCTTCATTTTATCCCCAACGGAAAATGTAATAAAAGGGAAACCAATGGATATAAGAATATCCAAGATCACTGAGGATATTTCAAGTTTAGGATATGGAAGCAAAGAAACAAGTAAAACAGTATGATGACGTAACAAACGACCAACGGAAAAGCTGTAAGAAATCAAAATACATTGAAGTCAAATATTGATTATTTGCATCATGAAATAACACTTCATCGCTTCAGATAAGGAAGTCAACAAAAAAGACAACACGTAAATAATTCGTGTTTATATTTTACCCTGAATATTCTTGTCCCACAGTTTTTCCATAGTCAAAAGAAGATAAAAATTTTCGACAACAGTCTGTACCTTGAATAAATCAAGGAGAAAATTTATGAGGAACATAAGAACACACGAACGAGATGGCAATCTTAAAAAAAGAATGGAACAGCAAGGGATGATTAGGTACCTCGTTTAAAATATCCCGTGAAGACTTAATGGAAATTCTTTTTAAACATTTTGTAACTGCCATGTTCGGTGTATTGGGATAGAAAGCTTGAACCTCTCGTTGCAGCTCTACATATAGCGAGAGCTAGAACGCCAATATGATAGACAAACATTACGTATGATGTTACATCGTTAACATAAATCATCATCAACTCTGTAGGAAGTACAACCACTAAGATATTAGAAACATACATTTTGACTTGATTGTTTGAACGTAATAATATAATCGAAGATATGCGCACAAACTGTAGGACCAGAGTATATTGCAACGATAGATAACAATCGGTAGTTCCAAAATAACCTGAAAGATATTTTCACACATATGATGAAGACAAGCTCTCAGATTCTCAGGTGGTCTTAGTATAGCTAAGGTTGTCTTAATAGGACAAGGTAAGTCTAACATGGTCTAAGTATAACTACACAAAAGTATGGTTAAGGTGTCCTACGTATGGCTAAGTATGGTTAAGATTGCGTAGGAAGGTATTACGTGTGTTCCTTTATAACAAAATATTGATCCACTTTAGGAAGGGTCAGATAAAGAAACAGCCTAAAATTTAGTCAATTACCGCTGGCCATTACTTTTAAGAAGATCATCACAAATGTCCTTCCAGTTTTTCATCAAGTCATTTAGAAAAGGTACATCTTGATTGGTGTCTTTGCCCGAACTGCTTGATGTAGATGCAGGCTTAACATCCAAGTACTCAGCTCTGTGTTTCTTTATGACCATACGTTGTAAATGCATCAACACTTTCTCCTAAACACGTTATGCATTGGCTTTTTTAACGTAGAAATAAATCATTTAGCTTCAAATAAACTAACCATCACAATAGCAGCATATTGACCGACGACTCTTTCAGCTGAAAAAACGTCATTTTTATTAGAAACATAGGCAAGTTCACGTTGTAATAATGAGCTCACTTCAACCATCTTCATATAGATTTTAAGTAAGATACCTGAATCTTGACACGAAACGTTCAGTAAGTATTGCAATGTTTTGAATGTGCCACGTTTCAAAGATATAATCAAGGTTATGAAAGATGACAACAAACTGAAATACAAAGAAACAATGACAATGAACTGGTAATATATCGTACAGACTTTTCGCAACGTAAAATCCACCTTGGCGTATGATTGCCTGGAGTGCACGACCAATCAAAGAGTTGTTGACGGAGCTTGAGTATTACATCAGAAGTGACTGGAATTATTATAATAAAGATCAGGAAAGGGTCGTCCATAAAGATGCGTAATAATTAAGGAAGTCTTACTGTAGTCCAGTAGACTCATGATTGTTCCATTCACCATGTGCGTCGTGTTGATAGCAAGATGGACAAAAAATGGAATCAAACAACCCTGTTGGTTTTTTCCCCATTTTTCTTTGTTAAACTTGCCATCTTCCACGCTGCCCTAAACATAATCAAACAGAATATCTACAGTCGACAATGCAGTAAATGCCACGTTATATAAGCCTTCTTTTATACGAAAGTATATTCTCATCACACAAGACAATATGTATCCCATTAAAGTTCATTATTATTCAATGTATCTCTGTACATTCAATACAGTCAAACTCCTGTAAGCAGACTCCCTTGAAACCTGGTGTCTACTTATGAGTGATGTCAGCTTATGAGGGGCGTCAGCGTATGAGGGACGCCAGCGTACGAGGAACGTCAGCTTACAAGGGACGTACGTCAGCGTATGAGGGGCGTCAGCTTATGAGTGACATCAGCGTATGAGGGACGTACGTCAGCGTATGAGTGACATTAGCTTATGAAGGGCGTCAGCTTATGAGTGACGTCTGCTTATGAGTGACATCAGCTTATGAGGGGCGTCAGCTTATGAGTGACGTCTGCTTATGAGGGACATCAGCTTATGAGTGACGTCTGCTTATGAGGGACATCAGCTTATGAGTGACATCAGCTTATGAGTGACATCAGCTTATGAGGGACGTCAGCTTATGAGTGACATCAGCTTATGAGTGACATCAGCTTATGAGGGACGTCAGCTTATGAGTGACGTCTGCTATGGAAAGGTTGAGAAGTAATGGCATGCTAGCAATGACCTGAAAGCGATGCCTGCTTACGTGAGGTTTCGTCTTCGAAGTGGGGTAGGCAAGTAGATGCCTATCTGTAATCTAAATTTTAGTTCCTTTATTGCAAAATGAAATGGAATTGCTACCTTAAACATGGCTAAAACTGTATCCCTCACATGGGTGGGATATTTTTCAGCAAAATAATCCAGTAATCTTTTAGCAGTTTTAAATAGACTTGAGAACTCATCATCGTAAGGTCCGTCGCTATGAAATTCTTTCACAGCACACAACATGAGATGGTCAATAATGGACTTGTAAAAATAGGAGCTAAAATTTATAAAAATTCCACGTAAGAATAATGATCAAACCATTTGATATTGGGTATGGTTAAGTAAGTTTCTGATGGTAAAATGCGTTAACACCTACCCTATATAAGCAACTACCCAATCAAAATGTGGGGAATGTTGTACGGCTGAATCAATCAGATATTGAATGCAAACCTCGAGGTTTGTGTTGATGCTAAAATGCAAAGGAAATAATGGTATAACAAGAGGTAGTATTATTATGATTAGTGTTCTTGAACTTACAGCATTGAGAAGCACTGAGCAGAGATTTCAATTAATACTTGAGCTGCAGGATACGTAAGCCATGTTTGTAACTTCTGATTTAGACTTATTGTATTTCCTTTGATTCCAAGTTGTGCAGCGTACTTCACACTCATTTGACCAAGAAGATTTACTGACCACTGAATAAACAAAACCATTCTTGAGTGCAACAAAATCACCACTTTATGTCAAATTACATACCTTTGTTATAATAGGTGCCCATGCTCCGAATTATCATCAACAAATGCGAGCAAGGTCTTACAAATATTTTGAATCACTTCATTAATTTCAGGATCAACAAACACTTTATCCCCTGAGCCTAACCAAAAAAAGTTACCAAACTTCAACAATTTAACGACCACTAGAAGATCTATGCAGATGACAAATGCTATCAAATGAAAGTCTAAATTATTTATATAGCCCACCTGCTATAAAATTGACTACAATACAAAGGGCCTCCACAGACTGGGTATTTAGTTGTCGACAACTTTTCGTAGTCAACAACTAAAGGTTTTGACAGGTAAAAACCACCATCTGTGGAATGAGACTGGAATGAGTTGTGGACAACAAAGCACTTTTCCTTTTTTGCAAGGGAAATGGCAATCACACTGTAGTGTTGTTTGTCAACTAACGATAAGATATGTAGTCCGTGGAGGCCCTAATCTAACTTTAACAAGTGCTGGAACACATGATGCCAAATTTCTCATAAAAATCCATCAGGGGGGGGATGGAAGATTGTGATTTACACATACTGACATACCTAATAAATCCTGTCTGTCTTTTTCAATGATATGCTTGTGCACAGCTTCTTGAAATATCTCGCAAAGTTGTTCCAATACTGCAGCGCGAGCACAGGGCAGACATCTCATCAAGACAATCGCACTCTTGGTCCTTTCCACGACATTACCACTTCCACCTGTTGATTTACTCGGCAATACAAATGATCGAACCTCCTGCTGAAGATACTGTAACCAAATAATAAATTAAAATGCATTGAAGGTTGAGAGAACGTTTCAAATAAATGAGATTCGCTTTCTTACGTCTGATTTCAACACAGCCATCTTTCTCGCCTGTCATCTCCAAATGAGCTGTTTTACAGCACGGCACTTCATGTAACATCAGCAAACAAGTCACTTTCGGCCATCTTGAAAAATGTGGCCGAAGAATTCATCTGTAGACGGATTAAGCGCTTGGCTTTTCCCGACCATATTTCTGTCTATTCTACAATGCGTGAATGCAAAGTCGAGTGCAGAAGAATGTCGTTCACTTGGCTTTACTCCCAATCTTTTATGTAGTTCGTGTGACGAGCTGTCTCAGTTTAAACTTGACCTTCTTAGAGAAAGCTGTGGTAGTTGTTGTCATGCTGATCAGAACGAAACGATCGTTGAAAAGGTGTTTCTTTAAGTTACTTTTATCGTCTTTTACCGTTGCACATGAGTCTGATTTTCTTGTTGTATAGTATGCGAGAGCTGTTCTCGAAGTTTGCAACTGAAAAATAGGAAGGTTCCCACAAATCCAAGGTTGTAACATACTGTCTATACGGTATTTGTTTGTAACTATAAATTAAAAAATGAATTTTTATACCTTCTTTCAGCATTTGTGCGGGGCGAGAAACGACATCAATTTCCAAATTTTGATATTAAGGTACTTGATAGTGCTTTTATCAGGTTTAATTTGGCAGTTTTTATATAATAAATATTTTTTAATCATTTCAAATAAACGACAAATCGATATTATTTTTAAATAATGTTTCAAATTAACTATTGTTGTTTATTTAAAATGTTAACTAAATATCATCCTCATAAGTTTTTATGGGAATTTTTTTGCTTTCGTTAAGTATCTTCGTGGGAAGGATCCTGTTTTAAAGTTATACAACGAACATGGAGAGATGAAAGAAGAGCTAAGGTTGATTTGAAATGAAACAAGAATTTACATTTGAAAAGATCAAAGATTATGACATCTGTTTTTTGTTTTTAGTATTGACAAGTGGAATACGGATAGTGTGGAAGAATTTTTAAAAGAAAAATTGAAATAGATGATATAGACTTCAATTTAATGAAGTTATATTTACATGTGCAACTCTACGTCATTGTATGTATGATAACATAGTATAAAACCATTGCTTATTTGGATTATTATGTTGGATGGTAGTTTGACATGGAATTGTAATGCATTTATTTTATAATAAACTTCATCAATCTAATGTTTTTGTTTGCCAAATAACCTTTTCAAATACAAGCAGTAGTCATTATGAAGCCCAATACATTGATATAGTCAAAATGTAATCACAAAGTTTATGTTACTTTTAAGGATTTGCACAGCAAAACCCTTTGGTCATTGGCTCTATCTTTATGTCACCTTTTGTCTACCTTTATGTCTACCTTTTATGTCTACCTTTATGTTTATGTTTACCTTTATGTTTACCTTTATGTTTACCTTTATGTTTACCTTTTATGTTTACCTTTATGTCTACCTTTTATGTTTACCTTTATGTTTACTTTTTATGTTTACCTTTATGTTTACCTTTTATGTCTACCTTTGTGCAATTGTGTCTGCCTTTTATGTTTACCTTTATGTCTACCTTTTATGTTTACCTTTATGTTTACTTTTTATGTTTACCTTTATGTCTACCTTTTTGTCTACCTTTGTGCAATTGTGTCTGCCTTTTATGTTTACCTTTATGTTTACCTTTTATGTCTACCTTTATGTCTACCTTTGTGTCTACCTTTATGTCTACCTTTTTGTCTACCTTTGTGCAATTGTGTCTGCCTTTTATGTTTACCTTTATGTTTACCTTTATGTCTACCTTTATGTTTACCTTTATGTTTACCTTTTTGTCTACCTTTGTGTCTACCTTTGTGCAATTGTGTCTGCCTTTGTATGTACCTTTATATCCAACCTTCAACGCTTTAAAGTCATCATTTCATAGAAAGCGACAGAAAAAGTCGTCATTTTATACGAGTCATCATTCCATGGAAGTTGTCTTTCTAACATTGTTTTGTATACGCTTTGTGTCCTCTTTTATCTAACTATATGTCAATCTTTTGTTCTTGATATAAGATTAACCAACGTTGAAATGCTTTATTCTGCGATCTTTCCTTGTTGGAAGTAATCTGTGAAATTGTGCAATATGTATTGCAATACATAGCAATATACCTAATCCTAACCATAAATGGATACCTTTATATTTAACTCTTTACCAACAAGAAAAATAAGGTATAGTAGCGAACTCATTATTATGAAAGTTAATTTTCATGATCCATAAGTGCTGTCCACAGGTGCTGGCGTATATCTGGGGCATTTAACCCCACGACACAACTACATCCACCAGACTGTAGTGACTTAATAACATTAAACTGAAGTTTTAAACTTCTAAGATGAATTAACCTTGTCAAAAAATCACCGACTGAAAAATGATAGCATATTTGCGTCACATAAATGACGTTGTTTTGGTTATTATAAACGTCAAGATGTCAATGGGTAGGATTAGGTTGATGGCTATATTACCACACATACTTAGCAATTCACGAATTACTTCCAAGATAGAAAGACCGCAAAAGCATTTCAACCCTGGTTCGTCTTCTATCAAGATCAAAAGATTGATTTATATAAATCAGACAACATCGTTGGTGGTCAATTTCTACTCGAACCAGGTGAGGATCATAATAGAAGAAAATATCTTTTCATATCACAAATCAACTATGAGATAACACCGAGATTAACGTTCGCAAGTTTATAATCAATGGTTGGTTGTCTAGACACGTCTAGCACTTTTACCACTCAAAATTTAAAGAAATAATCTGTATAATCCTAATGTCACCAGTTTTCAAATCGCGTAGTGCGTATTTATTCATTCTTATATGAACCGGATGGTACCAAAACTATCAATAAAAAAGCAGACGTGGATGTAATTTTTTTCTCATTTTATTTGTATGCTTCTTTTGCTATTTTTTAGTCAGAACATTGAGTCTTCCCTGCACAATTGTCATCAGACGTATTCAAAGATTAATAATGAAAGTTCACGCAATAATCGCGTTGTTGGTAATCATCTACCATGTAGACGTCAATACAGGTTTTACGCACGAGTGCCGATTACCAGAAAATGCTACAGCGGGACACCAATCCTTTATTAAATTCACTATGGAATATTGCGCTGTAAGCTATCCAAAGTCACAAGCGACATGCTATTCTAACTCAAAACTCGAAACTTTAAAAAAAGGCGTCAAAACCTACTTGGAAAATTACGGTTTCGGGTTTCATGTAAAATATTTTGGCAAAGACTTGTGTGTGTCGTACAGAGAGACGAATCTAACGAAAAGTTTTATCAAAGGCGTCATTCAAAACGTTACTAAATGCAAACATAATTGTTTTACAAAAAGTAGAATGATCGTTGTTAAATATATCTACAGTTGCGACCTACCCACGACTCCAAAATGCGAGATCTCAATTGAAAAAATTCATTTTACAATTAACAATAGCGTCACTTACGTCGTATCGAATAGCTATCAATATTTGACAATTATTTTTTTCTGTATCATATATCTCTTGACATCTAAAGATATTTAAAGGCTGAAGGGCAAAGTTTGTATTGTTTTTCCATAACTATAAATAGACTCTAGATCAAAGTAACATATGAACTTTCCTCTTCACTATTTTATCATCAGTCGTAGATAATAAACGATAGTCGATAGAGTATTTATTTCTTTTCTCGAGATAGCCCAATTCATTGTAAACAAAAGCCTAAATAACGAAAAATTGTTCTATAAAGTAGAAAAAGTGTACCATGACAATATTTACTATATTGATGCATAAAACGTAAGTCTTCATCGCCATTCAGATTCAAATCATAAATGGATGCGATTATTTTTTAAATCAGACACACAATACAGAATCAATAGCTCGTTGCAATTTACTTATGTACGTGTAAGAGAACATTTGTTATTTATATTGATTTCTTTAATGGTCTTCCAGATTGTTGAGTTTACAAAAATTATTCGAAAGTCTGAAGTTTCCGCGAAAGTTTCTGCTTTAGCAAGCAATAAACGAGTGAATTTTTTGTAATTTTTTCCACACTGGCCTAGTTTGTTATTAACATCACCTGCTGACAAAAGAAAACAATTCAAAGACTCATTTTTGTTTTCTCTCATGACGGTAATATCATCATTAACTTTATGTAAGATTTTTACTATGAAAAGTTTTCTTCCAAAAAGTGAGCGGGCACTGCCTTTCTTTCAAAAGAGAGTATGGACCATTGCCGTCCCTCCTCGCTTTAGACGCTCCCGTGTATTATAAACGTACTCGGTTATTATCTGCAAAGCTCTTCTTAAATCATGGGCAGCCCAATAAATAACTTAGATAGCTAAATTGTATAAACAAACGATAACTCGCCCCACTCCATCGTAACAGACTGTGCGCCGCAAACTTTGCATAATTGATTATATATATATATTATATTTACCATATATTTATATTATATATTTATACATATATTATATAAATCTCCACACAATCCGAGATTATGTGGAGAGTCTCATAATGAGACGTTCACCGTGTTCGCGATATGCAAAGCTCACCTTTACAGGTTTGAGCACTCTGGTGACTCTAAAATACAATCTATACTATGTGTAACCGTACATTCTGCGTACTCCCAAGTGCAGGAGTCACCATTTTACTATGGTGATAGCCAGGAGGGCACATTGTAATACACTTCATATATATTATATATATATATATATATTATTTGGTAAATATATAATATATAAATAATCAATTAATACAAAGTTTGCGGCGGACAGTCTGTTACGATGGAATGGGGCGAGTTATCGTTTATTTATACAATTTAGCTATCTAAGTTATTTATTGGGCTGCCTATGGTTATACTCAAGTAAATGCTAAGAAAGCGTCACGTTCTCCTCTAAGCTTTGCACTTGTCTGCGAGAAGAGGAGTAAAATAAAAATAGTCAATATCTACTAACCTGTAAAATGAGAACGTCACGTAGCTTTGTTATAGCGTGAATAGTTTTCAGATTCTTCAAGACAACATCCAAAGTAGGTGCCACCGACAATAAAACTTTTCTCCTATTTTCTTTACTTTCATTTTTGCTTTTTTGTAGTTCACAACGACACGCGAGGATCTTTAAACAACACACAGTAAACACACTGCCTGCAAGAGTGAGATGAAATAAAACGTGTTTTTTCCTTCACAAAGTTTAAAGAAATCAATTGTAATTTGCAAATGTCGTATACCATTGCTTAATGCATTGATCATAGCCTGTCTAAGATAGCCCATTGCTCGGTCAGGTAAATCCAAACGAAACTAAACAAAACATTAAAAGATGTTAAAAACAAGTCAAAATTGATTCCATTTATTATGAAATATAATTCTAGTTTTATATACCTGTGTCTCAGCCAGACAAAGACTTGCTGTTATTGATATATTTTCAACGTGATATTTGTCACAGATGGTTTTACATTTGAGTAAATGACCGATAGAAGATGTGTAATTTTCAGTTGCAATGTAGAGTTCAGCCATAGCAATGTGAATGCTTAAAAACCATATAAAACACATCATGGTGAGTCGATAATCATCACTGACTTAATAAGAATGAAAGAAATTTCGAATTATCTTGAAAAAAATTGAAAATATCCATTTACGAACAAACAAGAATGCTTAAATGTAGATCGTGCAGGTTAGTGCTAGGATTGTTGGTAATCATCTTCACAGTCAACATCACTAACTACCAACAGTCCTTCTCAGTACTGTACTTACCTAAATTATATACATCTACAAACATTTAACGATACTCGAACGTTCAAATCATTCACGTAGCGTCAAAAGTTATGATAAAAACGTAGACTTATCCCGCATTTCATCTTACTTCGCTCTCATTTCCTCAACATAATTTTCGTCCGTTTTCATGTCACACTTTCCCCTAAAGGGAAAAAAACAGCAGATTAAAAAATGGCACTTTGAACATATTATTTATATTGTAGACAAACAAATGAATTATCATACCCTAAGTATTTCATTAATCTTTGCAGCGTCTCATGCGCACAATCAAATTGCTTGCGCTGTGTCAAAAATTTTGCTTTACTATGGGAAAAAATCAAATAAATTTTCATTGCTATATACATCATTGAAATCGGAGCAAAACTGATATATCTGGCATAGCTACCGTAATTCAGAATCAAATGTGTCAAAAACTTTTAGATTTTCAACAGATTTGGAAGCTGTCTGCCAATCTTCCATCAATAAAGCTTGGTCAAACATAATTCTTGCTCTTTCTGCTTGCCATATCTAAGGCATCACGCAGTTGATATAGTTATGAAAGAAAAAACCACAAACAAGATAATATCTTCTATGCATGAAGAAATTAATGCAAAGTACCTGAGCGAATTTACCGTTTGCAGGATTATATCTCTCCGCTAAATCTAATATTTTCATCGCAGCGACAAAATTTCCCTAAAAGACAAGTATTTCGATTTCTTAGAAGAAAAATAAATGAAAAACAGCATTCCAGTGCGTGTACTTACCTTTTTCTGTAAATGGTTAGCTAAAAAACAAAGTGATTTAGGTTTTGCGTCTGCATTATAAACTCCTGTTGAGTTTTCTGGTCCGAGATCATATGATGGCTTCCATCGAATCAGAGGAAGCTGACTGTAGACTGCAGCCAATAGACTAAAAATAGAAACACGAAGTTTGAGTTAAGAAAAAAAAGCTGCACAACATAGACCAGTAACGGTGATGAAGCGGGAAACCATTACTTTGGTTCAGTTTGTACCAACAAAAAACGCATCAAAAACATAGTACTTTTGAAACAAGCGACGAAGATTCGAGCGGTAAACCAGGGCCGGTTTGTGTTAGGGGTGTTCTTCAGGAAAATTAAGAAGCTGTAAAAAGAGACTGTAGAATTTCTAGAATGTAATGCGTCGCAATGATACAAATTATTCATTTCAGCAGCCCCTAGCATCAACAGCTGGGGGTGGGGAGGGGATGGTCTCTGACCTCTACTATTCAGCACATCATTCATGAGTATTTAGATGAGAAATTATCAATGTTACCTCTGACCGTAGAAGTGAAAGCAAGAGCTTTGTTGCAAATCACTTGACACAGAAAGATCAAACAGCGATTTTTCCAAATTAAAAAAGTTCAATTTATCAAATACACCAAACACTCTACAACAAAAATACACAACAAAGTCAAATATTTACAATTTTGAATGTACATGAAGTTGTAACTTTGTAAATTACCTGGATGGCAAATCTCCATCAAAAACCATTTGATTAGTCTTCATTAACATGCTGAGAGATTCCAGTGACTATTGAATAAAGAAGAAGTTAAGATTGACCTTAATTTCATAACCACTGGTATGAATGCACTGTCTTTACCTGTAGTTTTAGTTCTGATGTTCGTGCACAAATTCTTTCAAGCATATATTTTCCCTGTGCATCCCTTTCTCCTTTTAGTTTATGAAGCAATTTCTGAAAAAAAACATTAAAACTTCACAAGAACAAAATATTTTTTTGTGAAAAGCTCAGAGCCAAATGTTGTGTACCAGTCCATGTACCAGACAAACGTGATCGTTTGCCTCTTGCGCAATCTTGATTGATTCTTCAAGAACTGTCAATGCCTGTCTCCTAAATGAGTAATGATAACCAAAAGTTATATTTCCTATCAAAAGAAGAACAAGAAGACAGTTTATTTCACAGCTTACCTATGACCAAAGTGTGTATGTAAAACAGCAAGATTCAGGGCTGCATAACAAAATCGCTTGCATCGCACTTTTTTTGCATCTTCTGTCTCAACTCCAGACTGGCTTTCCTCAAATTGTTTGCGATCAAAATAATGATAAAGGTAATCGACTGCCTGCTTAAGCTCACCAACCCTGATACAGTTTAAATACTGAACAAAATGCTAAATAAAAACACAGCATTTCAAAATTTTGTTTCATTTTGCTTACACTTATAGCAAGTTGTTATTTAAGATAATGTTGTTAGGTAATGACTTTGAATATTGTTGGATTATTTCCCACTACATTTTACATCATAAAAATGTACAAACACACTAATATATCCTTTCACACACCGCTTCAGCAAGGTCTGGAGCAACACATAAAATGTTGTTAATCTGCTCTTGTAATTCTTTTGCATTTTCTGCAGTGTTATCACCAGAATTAAGTAAAACAGCCTGAAAATATCAAAATTAACCTTCAATTTTTGTGTGCCATAAGTAATGTGTAAATACTATTGACTTACTTGTTTTGCTAAAAATATTTCACCTTGTTTTCTGGATATTGGCATTCTTTTTGCTACATCACTAAAATGTTTATTATACACAAGTAAGCACTAATCCATCCATACATGTAAGTAGCCTAGTTTGCCACAAATTTGCATTTGTAGTGCTGTGTAAATGTCAGAACATCTTTAATTTTCATTACTTTACAAGTTTTGGTTTATTTATGTAAAATATTTACATAGAAGAACTAATGAAGCAGCAAAGGCATGCATTTAAGGCATCAAAATACTCTTCGTTTACACAAACTGAGACACCTACCTATATTGAACAGCATTCATTTTGTCATTACCATGGTCTGAATGTAAGTAAGTCTTTAAAAGATCATTTAAATGAAGCACTTGACCAAATGACATCTTATTGAAAAGAAGTACCATTTTTCTAACAAAGAGACCTAGAAAATAATACCAAGTTAAATACAATCATTGTTCATATACATTTGAAACGAAAAGAAATTTCATTCAGATGGTTGGAATTACCAAAAAAACTTGTCCTTGTCAAAACTATTTCTTCTTCAACATTTAGGAGATATTCCAAATTTTGTAGAAAGAAATCACATAAACTAGATTCTCCCTCACTAATGCCATTCAACCTAGGATTTTTTTGCAAAAAACTTCACTTATAACCATCCAGAACACATTCCTTTTCACAAGCTCACCTGTCACACAGTAAACCAGAAAGATGTCCACGTTGTCCGTCAATTTCATCTAGCTTTCTTCGCAATTCGATAAACTCAATATCGTTAGCCTAAAGCAATAAGAATGCACCATTTTATAAAATGACGAGTTTTTTTCCACTCAATAAATTACCTGCATGAAATTTAAAACCACAATCATCAGAGGCCGTCGATGCTTCCTAAATGGGGTGATGTTCTCCTCACTTTTGTCACATAATTCACAAATTAAGACAAGAAGACTTATCTTATGTGGCGTAATGCAGTCTTTGGAGGAATGCAATTTTTTCGAAAACATATTCATGTCAACTCCGATAGTACCACCATAGAAAGGACCATTATCGTCGTCGATGGAAATTTAAAACGCGCGGGTTTATGGCAAATTCCGTAGCTTTCCGTTTGTAAATAGATTTACTTTTATTATAGTTGAAAATTCAATTTTCTTGGCACGAACTTTGTTGAAATGTTTCGTTTAAAAAAGCTCTTATTTTTCAAGAATTTAATAGAAATTATGTATGTAAGAAATCTTTTTACACAGCGCATGGCTCTTTCGTAATATATACGGTGGTGGATGAAATCAAGTGACTTTTTACAACGTTGGTGTTGGGGTTTTCTTTGAAAGGTTACGAAAGTTATTGAGCAAATTTTTCAAGTGTAAAAAATGCTATTCTCGAAGAATGAACTCATTCGTTTGTTGGGAGTGTCTATTTTTGAAATATGGATGTCTATTATCGCTTTCTTTTTGTTTACACTATTCTTGGCGTTAAAACTTGAAGACGACATAACTTGGTCATGGTGGAGAGTATTTCTTCCATTATTTGCTTACGATGGCCTTAGCGCATATTTTGTCGCTATTGTTTGTATCCGTTTGATTCTGGACAACGAAAAACGAAAAGCGGCATTGAGAACATTGTGGAATGCTTTCATCCTTTCATTATTATTCATCTATAAAGTACTTCTTTGTCAAAGATTGCAGCTGGAAAGTATAGCATCATATTCTGCTATACATGTACCTGTGTTTGTACTCTTGACAATGTTCACCATACGAGGTTGCCACATCGTTGCTTGAATAAAAGAGATGTTGATATAACATGAAGTACAATCTTTATGCTGAAATTCAACTGAAGATATTGATGGAAAGATAAATAAATTTAAACTAAAAATGTTGAAGGACAAGGAATTTTATTCACACTTATTATAACGACGCAATAAAGTTAGAGTATAATTTAAACACACAGCATAAAAAAAGCAAACATGCTAAAAATCTCACTACCATAAATATATAGATGATACTTGAATATATACATAATGTTGCAAGAGTCTCACCGTATTTAGTGAACTAGTTTAGCTTACCACTACAACAGATGACTAAGAAGAACTTGCAAAATTTTAAAAATTATATAAAAATCTGCAACCTTCAACCAAAACTGTTTGATTTCATTCAAAATATTTGAACATCTTATGAAACACAATTTCACAAACTTTGTGAACTTATACACACAAGATGGATTATTTGGTCACACTTGAGTAAATGCACACCACCGACCCGACTCAGGATCGTAAAACTCACATGTATTCAAGAATGCAACACCATCAAACCCACCAACAACAAAGATGTAACCATTTGCAATGGTTACCCCAACATTTTGTCTGCAACAATTCATGCTTGCAATATAGGACCATGTATTGTTTTCGGGATTGTAACATTCCACTGTCTTTAAAATGGTTCTACCATCTGTTCCACCAATCACATAAAGTTTGTTATTTAAAACAGCAGCTCCTGCACCACGAGCAGTATTTAAAGAAGCAACTTGAGACCAGCAATTTTCATCAGGGTTAAAACATTCAACAGTGTCCATACAATGCCATGTACTGTAACCACCACAAGCATACACACAACCTTTTAAAGTTGCAACACAGACACCTTCACGACTAGCAGACATAGGGACAATATATGACCACTTTGTTAGGGCTAAACAAATCCCAAAGTACGCAATTATGTATAATTATAGTAGCCATACACTAAACATAAGTATAGAATAAAATATATTTATATTGTTGGCTTACCAGGATCAAAGACCTCCACTGTCTTTAATGGATGTCGACCATTGGTTCCTCCAACAGCATAAATTTTTCCATTTAAGACACAGACATCAAAATTACTTCGACATACTGACATATCTGCCACATTACTCCATAATCTACTCTCAGAATCAAAGCATTCAGTAGATTTTAGTTCACAGTTACCACTTGATCCACCAATAGCATACAGTTTACCTAAATTGCCATAAAACAACAGTTAAAATTTATTAGCTATATTTTTCAAGACTTTGAAGTGAGTTTGATGACCTACCATTAAGACAACATAGTCCAAGTCTGCCACGAGCATTGGACAATGATGTTGTAGGTACCCATTCATTTTTTTCTTGATCATAACACTCTACCAAATTCAGACACTGTCCACGATCATATCCACCAACTACAAAAACCTTACCATTCACCTCAGCAACACCAACACTGCAACGGCCTAAGAAATGGAATGCTTTAATTGTCATGGCAATCGGGCACCTTCCATACCATTACACAAAAACATAGTGAACACACCTCTAATCATGGGTTTTATCAGAGAAAAACTCATCTCATCTGTACTACTTGATGAATCACTAGAGACTGAACTGTTACAGTTGGGCATGAGATCATTGTAGTAGGCTGTAATACATACAACCTCCGAAGCAATTAGTGCAATGCCAATAAAACATCCTTCTGAAATGGCAATTCCAGCAAGAAGACCAAATTCATCATCAAAATTGCTTGATGTGCAACCTTTTGTTGTAAAATGTAATGCTCTTCTTCCAGACTGATCTGAAAGAATAAACTGAAAAATAAATATAATGCACAAGGTATAAAGACTGAAAGATATTTCAACCTTTAGTCCATTTGTAATTTAAATTTCTGGTTCGTCTGGGTGATTTTCCAGGACTTTGTAGCTTTTCATTTGCTTGTTGTCTTATATACTCTTTCTGAGCATCTGTAATGGAGTCTGGTTCATCTTCAAAATCTGAGTCAATACAATCTTTCAAGACATATTTTGAAGAAAAGTATACAAGATGATTATGCTCCAGTAACCCTTCAAGAAGATCTTCCTCCTACAAAAAGGAAGGAAAGAAAAAACTAAAAAAATATCTATACATGTATAACCCATTTGATACTAACAAATAACAACAAAAACAAAATTTTATGTATTTCTCAAACGTTGAAAAAATGGAATTTAGTAATTGCGACTTTTAGATATAAATCTCAGGCAATAAAAGAAACTGTATAAAATTGTAAACATCGAAATCAGCGGGAACGCTTTCACCTCAATTGGCGGGAGAAAAAAATTTTACAAATGCCACATGTTCATTATCAACTTACTTCGAGTTTCCTTTTGCACCAGTCCACCACTAATGATAGAATTCTATCATGATCAGTCCTGATTTCTTCATTTTTGCTGATTATTTCGACTTGCAAACGAGGCAATTGCAAGAAATCTTCACTTTGCAAAAGTGTTGGAAAATTGTCACGTATATAATCATCGATTATCGTTAGCAACCATGCAGCATTTTTTTCAAGAGCAAGTTGTCGTGCATAAAGCCATGACTCCATTAATATATTTTCCTTGATGTATTCTTTACATGCATTTACAATCTCGTTGATTTCGAGCTTTTCAGCTGCGAATAAAACATCCCAAATATTATTGGGTTTAAGTTCAACTTGACCCGTATACAAGAAATCGATCACCGTCTCGACAGCACATGCCTTCATATCAGAAAGTATAATCCTTGCCTCGTTCTTGTGTTCTTCTATCATGCTACTCAAAACTGGGGCTTTTCTGAGTAGTGCAATACGGTGAGCGTAAACTTTGTCTTGTTGAGGACCACAAAGAAGGAGTAAATCATACAACATACTGTCACTTTCCGCTTTCGATCCATGTTTCGTCGGTAAACTTTTTACTGAGGAATCTGAATGCATAATAGGCTCTTTCAGACCAGCATCTTCCTCATTTATGTATAAATCGTTTATTTTTCTGGATAAAAGGTCCATGATCGTCACAATACAAGTTGCAATACACTGCCTTCTCTTCGTGAGCGCCAAAAATATCAAAGTGTATACAGGATTACAATGTCGTTTCCATGCACGTGGTCATTACTTTTACATGCATAATTATGACTCAATTTACACCAATCAAAACACAATTTCGTCTTCAAAATGCAGACACAAAACTGACATTGCAAGCAAACGAGTGGATTAAATTTTAACTTAAGCCTGGTTCTCATATAGTCCTCTCATGACAGTCAGGTGTTTGTGGTTAAGATGTACCATTGATGTCACAATTTTGCATTAAGTTACTGTCTTACTCTGTCGTCCTGTCAAATGTCAATGAAATGAAAACCGTGAGCTACAACATGTTTTGCCTTGCGTAATAATTTGAATATCGAGTTTCACCGTTTAAGTATCACAGTCAAGTATTCAAACTATGAACAACTCGATAAATAAACAATTTAGGAACTCTATACAATGCAAAATGGGTAGCACTCCTCGTCGCTATACATTCAAAATGACAAACATTTGCAAAAACTCAATCTTGTGTCGATTTATTAGATGTCACAAGACGAACGTCTTAACAACATTTAGCATTAAACAAACATATTCTTGTATAGGGAGTATTAAATTAAATGTTCTGCGCAATGTTGTTTTGCTAAATCGTCATACATTTGCATAATGTGCATCATCTGAAAAACCTGCTCCAACCAGGATCTCGGAATCGTCCGGAGCACACACTTCGTGTGTTGTCGTAAATAAGCGTGTAACAAAGTAACAAAATTTTCAGTGAAATTTCACTCGCAAATATCGAACTTTTTCAACATGGAAAACAAAGATGACTTGCAGCCTGATCATATTGAAGAATATTGCCGTCAACTTGGCTTACAGCTTCGCGACGAACATGAAAGTTTGATTAATTTATCTTCGGTTGATTCTCAAATGTCCTTGTTGGGGGACGCTGTGCCAGGCGATAATGCTGGAGATTTTTTTACCGAGCAAACTTTGCGTGCCGAAACAAGTAATACAAGCTTTGAATGCACAAAATGTGAGAAAATTTTTACAAATTCACGACAATTTTTAAAGCACAAATGCGTTTCCCCAACTCAAGAGAGTTTTCTTGCGAGAACAAAAGGAAAAGGAAAACAACGGGGACGGAAACCAAAAAACAAACGAAGGGTAGCGCTAAATCCAAATGGACGGCCTGTTGATGAGGTATTAACAACAATATGATTTATTTATCTTCCATACACAGTTTGTATTGTTTTAATACCATATTGTCTACCTGTTTAAATTAATGTAGGAGAATCTTGTCTCTTTAAAAGATAAATGCTTGAACAATATTGAAGATTGTAATCATCTTTCTGACCACACTTATGTCAAAGATAGTGAAAACTCTCAGTTTGAAAGGCTTGATGATAATGCATTGGAAACTGTTCTACAATGTGAATCATGTCAGTTGCTTACACAAATTGATCCAGAAACAGGAAATATTCCTTGCAAGAAATGTGAAGAACTGGCTGTTAAAGCTAGCAAAATAAATATTGTTGCAGATAAATATGCTTGTGAAAACTCAAATAAGAAGCGACGACAGTACAACTTTAAAACCACGAAAAAAGATTGCCCACATTGCCTTAAAGGATTTCATTCTGACAAAAGACTTGAGAAACATTTATCATTATGCAAAAAAAACCTGGTGTGTTCAATATGTAACAAAGATTTCAACAACCATGGTCAACATGCCTATTCGGAGTACCAAGTTCATTACTATACTCATTTTGAAACCAAACCATTCACTTGTGATGTGTGTTCCAAAGGTTTTATTTACAAGAGGGATCTTCAACGGCATCAACTGATACACACAGAAAACTATATTCCCAAGTACTGCCCTGAATGTGGTGCTGTTTTTGCAACAGATGATAAACTGATGAAACATCAACTTATGCACAAGAAAGTGAGCTTATCTTGTGACAAATGTGGAGTTAAGTTTGCAAAGCAAAGCACTTTGAATAAACACATGTCTACTTGTCAGATTCGAAAAAGTTGTGAAATTTGTGGGAAAGTATTTAATTGCCTTTCAAAGAATCTAAAAAATCGATATCAAGAACACATGTATATCCATAGTGGAGAGAAACCGTTTAAATGCCAGTTTTGTGACCGTGGATTCCGAGATCGAAGTACAAGACGGAAACATGAACGCACACACACAGGAGAGAAACCATATTCCTGCACAATTTGCAATCGGGCATTCTCTCAATTGAGACTATTGCGTAACCATATTCGAACTCACACTGGAGAAAAACCATACTCTTGCCAGCTTTGTCCTCTCAGTTTTGCCAAGTCTTGCAATTTAAAATATCATATGCGTGTGCATACAAAAGAAAAACCATACACATGTTTTGTGTGTGGGAAATCATTTACACAATCTGGAACTTACCATAAACACATGAGAAGACATACAAATGAATGTAAAACAGCAGCAACTATGATTGAAATTGATGTAGAGAAAAACAAAACATCAGGAGAAGATTACACACCTGAAAACAGTCATATAAAAAGTGGTGAAGGAAGAAATTCATCAAATGTGACATACAATGAAGATCTTGCTTGCAAAAGTGTTTTTGTCAATGAAAGTAATGAACCACATCATATCATAAATGATGTAATTAACAATGAACATGTTTCTACACATCATACATCAAGCAGTTTACCTAATATATCAACAATAGCAAATGAACAGTTAACTCTCATTGTCAGTGAATGTGATGGCTCAACTTTGACAACAATTGATGTTGATAATATTTCTAACATGCTTGCTTCATGTTCGTAGGTTTTATAATGCAATGTCTTTGATACATAAATGTTTGTAATTATTTCAACTGTGTGTGTTATTTTATCACAGGAATAAGAGCCCTGTTTATATAATTGTAGTGTTTATGTAATTGCCAATGATAGACCTATGAAGTTCATTGAAATAAAAATAAATAGAAAGGTCACATCATTCCTGTTCAAACCAAGCTGAATGTATAATTGGGATTGTTATCTTTAGGTAGCGATACAGGTAGCTTACTGGTGTGCGTGGAAATATTACAACTAGTCGAATATCTTTAATTTTTGTTGATATGTAGTATTCCAGTTATATTCAATATCGAGTACAGTGAAGTTGCCACTGGTTACCCCATCCACTTGTTGTCATGGTTCCTGCGCAACAACGCAATAAATCAATATGGCAGACACAAATATCACTTTAAAATAGTTTAGTGCAAAGAAACGCTTGAACAAACCAGGAATCGGAGTGAAATTATTAATATCTTGCCCGTGAGACATGCATTGAAAATTTGAAGGAATGAATTTGCTTTATTGATATTTTTTGAGTTTTATGAATAGTTATTGTAAAGCAGTAAAGAGATTAAAGAGTGACGTTATTGGTCATATACGCGATAGAAGTGCATTTTGATGTTGCGTCGTGGGCCAAAGGGAAGCATTGATTACACAGCAATTCACGAGAGGTACAAAGATACATCGTTGGTCATCTTTCAGACACAACAACAAGAACTAAAGCAAAAATTGCGAAAGCAAAAGGAGTTAGGAAACAATGTTAGTCATTCGTTAGCAAATGAATCAAAGAGCGAGCTAAAGAACTCTGTGTTGAACTCCGCTAATGACTCCAATGAGTTAGCATCGATAGAAGAAGTTAATGATGAAGGATTATATCAAAGACGTTTGGCAGTGAAGTCAAAAATTTGCTCTATATTGTAGCGTATTTAAAAAAAGTACAAAAACCTCCAAATAATCAAAGCTGCTGTAAATGTAAAATTTTTTCAACAAATATATGTACAATTGTACATGGATCTTGTCACTAAAGGAAACTCTCACAGGTCCAGGTGTTTCGCCCGGTATGTCTGGAATATCTCGCACATATGAGGTTCAGGCGGGAAAGGAAATTCATTTAACAATCTTCAAAAGACGAACAGAAGCGAGGGAGATTCGAGATAGGGCAATTGAAAGCGGCAAAATTTGTCATTCGTCGTGATTGCTATTGGGAAACATTTATTCCATTTATACAAGATTTAAACGATTTGTGAGAGAGACTATTAATATTTAAATGTGCTTTAGAATTACGTTTCATAAGTGGGAAATTAATTTTTTGCATGACGAATAATTTACACAACTAGAAGAACTAGAAATTACAACAAACATTTCTTAAAAGATGTAAAATAGTAAGTATGCTTTTCCATGTCACTTGTACGTAAAGATCGACTGAATTATGCACTTATAAAAAAGTTCGAGATTGTTTTTGAATAAAATTAATGCCATGGCGTCATGAGGCAAATCACTCGACTACCGACTGAGGTGTGGTGTCCCTCTTTGACATTCCTGAATCCACAAAAGAAAACCGAGATAAACCGGAATATACATTAGTCGAAACAGGTTTATCGCCTGAAAATTTTCGTTCGACATTTAAGAAATCTCTTTCTTCAGAAAGCTTTAGAAATGTGCAAGTTGGCATCAAACAAGCTAACTCTCAGCGAGAAATGAAAAAATAAGCTAAAGATTCCTTTTTTTTAATGATATAGACTAAAATACTTGCGAGGACTCCACACTAAATACGAAAGACGGAAACGTTCTCAAAAAAAAAGTCTTTTATTACAAGAAAAATTGCACGACGCTCGTATAAGCAGAGAATTTGAAATGACCACATCTGCGCACTTTCATTAACCGGAAACCTCAAAATGCTGAAATTGATTGGATCGATAAAGAAAACCAATAAACAAGACAACTGAATTAATCCAGTGAGAAGGCTCGCATGTGTATAAAACACCTGGCACAAATATTTCATATAAAGGCAATGTATGTCACATTTTAGTTGTTTAAAGCTGGGAGAGTCCATCGAAGTAAGGTTCAAGGTATGTACACTTGCAAAATCATTCATTTCAAGAGTCTTTGTAGAAATAATGAATCGTGCACAATTTTATATAATTTCAATCTTCACCGTGACCAATGATCAATATAGTAATTGAATTGAACGATCTTTGGACCTTGAATGACAAACGGATGATATTATAAATTGGGATCATTTGCACTGAACTTGAGCTTACAGTAAACTCTCAAATTACACATGAACTTGACTGACTTTAAGAATTTTCTGTTTTTAAGTGACGTAGGTAACTTAAGGTTTCAACTTCCCCTACGTATTGAAACATTAAACTTTGAAAGTGTATTATATTCGTTGTTGCCATCGAAAAGTTGAAGACGACAGAAATTTTGATGTAAGACACAAATGAGATGTCTTGCCTTTATTCTCTTCCATGATTGTCTCAATTCCAACTATTGAATTGCACAATTTAACCAGCATTAAAAAAAGGAAGTCCAGATGTACTTTTGACAATGGAGCACGTGCTTCATGGAACAAAGCGCATTTATAAACAAATTAGCAGTGACGCAAAACGCAAAGCATCAAATGACTAATAAACGTAAGGATTTACTGAGGCAAAGTTCAAGATATAAACAAATCAGATATACACATCAGGGAGTGTTGTAACAGAAGTTGTAAGTAATGTAGCATAATAAATTTATATATGAAAATGATATGCTGGCATTCTCGATTTGATGTAAATTTGTTTTGAAGACGCCGACTTCTCTTATTAGCATTCAATCTCTCTTTTGATATATTTTAACACAACAAGCGTTAAGATTGCAAGTGTAAATGTACCAACCATAGACTTTATAGTTGTTTTATTGTTGATCAAGAAATTTTTTGTATAAACAATGGTATTCTTATAACAGAATTGATCAAAAAACCATGGCCGTCAACGTGGTTGGTGTCGTTGGAATTGTAATATTTTATATCTTGATTTTGGCCATTGGAATATGGGCTGCCTTTCGAAAAAAGAAGGGCTCACAAAATCGACTTGCTAATGATGATAATGGAGGTGAAACAGAGAATGTTATACTTGCTGGAAGAAGCTTGGGTTTATTTGTTGGAGTGATGACAATGACAGGTCAGTAGTGTGCTAGTTTTGTATGACAATTAAAAACGTAAATCAAATCTACCAGAGAAAACGATCAATCTTAATATTGTCATGAAAATATGATGTATTAATAAGGAGATGATTTACATACAACAATTTGCGATGGTTTTTTTAGCTACGTGGGTAGGAGGTGGATACATTAATGGAACCAGCGAATCTACGTTCACAAGTGGTTTGGTACAGGTTCAAGCTCCATGGGGATATGCACTTAGTTTAACTTTAGGTAAGTTTAAAACTTCGTAGAATAAATACATCATCATGTATTCGTAAAATGCTGAAAACATTTCATTCTTTATCGTGAAAGGCGGGCTTCTCTTCGCGGAAAAAATGCGTTCAAGAAACTATGTGACGATGTTAGATCCATTTCAAGAGAAATACGGATCGTGTGTTGGCGGTTTGATGTATATACCAGCTTTATTGGGAGAGATATTTTGGTCAAGTGCTATTCTAGCTGCCCTGGGCGCTTCAATAAGTGTTGTCATTGACCTTGACAATACGACTGCAATCACAGTGTCAGCGGTCATCGCAGTATCGTATACATTCTTTGGAGGATTATATTCAGTTGCTTACACAGATGTTGTGCAATTGATATGTATTTTCATTGGCTTGGTGAGTCTCGTTTTAAAACGAGCAAATTTTTGTCTCCATCTCAAATCTTCCATCAATATTCTTGTCAAAATAGTCACGTGTCACTTTTTCCACAGTGGTTAACCATACCGTTTGCAATCACTGACACAGCGGTAAGTAACATCAGGACGACAAAACAAAAATGGTTGGGTGAATGGGATAATCGATATACAGGAGTATGGCTCGATTCTGCTTTGCTACTGGTGAGTATATGATCCATCATAGAAAGATAACACAAAGAGGTCAGTTACTATCATTGATCACATCTTGTTCAAACTTACAGATATTCGGTGGAATTCCATGGCAAGTGTATTTTCAACGAGTGTTGGCTTGCAAGACATCGAAACAAGCAAAGTACCTCTCCTTTTCCGCGTCATTTGGTTGCATTGTAATGGCCATTCCTGCTTTTCTTATCGGAGCAATAGCAACCGCAACAGGTCAGCGGTAGTATGACTATACAAGTCTTCGATTCTGGAGCACAAGTTTACTATGGAGATGAAGGAGGATGATATAAGGACACAATTTAATGATTTGGGGAATAAACACTATTTTAAGCTTTCTCTATCTTTCATTCACTAGATTGGTCAGAAACGTCCTACACTGGACATCTTAATGGAACTTTGCCTGAGAAAGATGCAAGTCGGGTTCTTCCTTTAGTGTTACAATATTTAACGCCGCCAGCTGTTGCTTTTATTGGTCTGGGAGCTGTATCAGCAGCTGTAATGTCTAGTGCTGACTCATCAATATTATCTGCAAGCTCTATGTTCGCCAGAAATGTTTATAAACTCATATTACGACCAAAGGTAAATAGCTCACATGCTTTTTTCAGTATAAATACCATTGTACTTATGTTTCGATGTGTTCTAGGCAACAGAGAGAGAAATTATTTGGGTTGTACGTTTGTCTGTCTTCGGTGTTGGTGCAGTTGCAACAGTCATGGCGTTACAAATTCAATCAATCTACGCTTTGTGGTATCTTTGCTCTGATCTTGTTTATGCTGTCTTATTTCCACAGTTGTGTTGCGTTATTTACGTGAAGGATGTGAACACGTACGGTGCATTAATTGGTTACGTCATTGCATTAATTCTAAGAATTGGCGGGGGTGAGGTCACAATTGGACTGGATCCGTTTATCAAATATCCTTATTACAGCAACGAAAAAAAAGAGCAGTTGTTTCCATTCAGAACACTGGCGATGCTTTGTTCATTTTTCGCCATAGTGTTTGTCTCGTATTTTGTAAAATTTCTATTCAACTCTGCGTATTTATCAAAGAAGTATGATGTTTTTCGCTGTTTCTCCAATGAACACGAACAAGAAACTCGGGAGGTCGCTCATAGAAATAACAAGGAAAATGTGAAGCTTGTTGCAGTAACCAGAATATAATTGTACCATGAGGAACAATTGGGAGCATAGGGAGGGAAAGACAGACAACTCACAATGCCGGCGATCCTAATTTTATAGTACAGAACTATGATGATGATGATGACAATTAAATTTCATTATCAGTGTAATTCTTAAATTTTAAGTCATCTATAACAAAAATGTTAATTATTTATTTAAACAACTTTACAAAATGGACATTTGTTACATCCTATTGAATCACAACACATAACTATATTTAATAAAATGACAAGCATTAAATACACGGGACAAGATAAAATGAAGTGTTGGTGAATGATGCAATCGACACAAAAAATATTTCTAATAAAACATATGTGAACCTAAATCAGCAGTTTTGCTACAAACGTCTCATAACAGCTTTGCTATACAGGTCAATTAAAACAAGCGCTGGACGAGAAAAACATAGAGATACAACCAATGTGTCGCATTAACTTTTTGTTCAAAACACTTTCTCAAATGTTGTTTAATTGAATCTTGTGCTAATCATACAGCTCATGTGGTAACCAAATAAATCACGAGATATATAGAAATGGACAATAGCGTCAGACTAAAATCACATGATTCCTATCGTGAACACAAAGTCTAGTTTGGTTTACAAGGAGGACAAAAAAAAACTTATGAAAACACCAAGTTAAGGTCGATTCATAGAATTCGACTTAGGTAGGTAGTGAAGATATGTCACAATCGGTATAATTTAACGTATGAAGTAAATATATTAGTTAGCAGTTGGTAAAAACAAGCTTGACGAGTAAAACATGTGATATCTATAAGGCCGGTGAGATATATTTATTTCAAGTTTTTTGTTTCTAAAACAATGTTTTGATACGTACGTGCATTTGGATGATGTGTCAACCATCAAATTTAGGCTATAAACATCATGTCGTTAAATGTAAGTGGTACTATTGGAATAGTACTATTTTACATCGCAATTCTCTTTGTTGGAATATGGGCAGCTATCAGGAAAAAAGCAAAAGCAGAAAAAAATGACGAAAGAGAAGATTGTAAAAAAAGAATTGATAAAAGCGAGGATATTCTTGTGGCTGGAAGAAGCTTGGGACTGTTGGTCAGTTCGATAACAATGACAGGTGCTTGCAATAAATATTCACAAGAATTGTTTTTCTACGCAGATGCACTTTATTTTTAAGCATATTAGTAATATCAACACATTTCATTGTAATGATTACAGCCACGTGGGTTGGTGGAGGCTACATCAATGGAACAAGTGAAGAAACTTACAAGAAAGGTTTGCTTGCCGTACAAGCACCGTTTTGCTATGCAGCAAGCCTTGCTTTAGGTAAGTCACCAAGAAATGAAAGAGATCAATTAAAAGTTTCGTGAAACGATAATGCCAGGCAGTCAGGCGCTAAACTCACCTATTCAACTTGACGTAATTGTTGCAGGTGGTCTCATCTTTGCGGAAAAAATGCGTGCAAAAAACTACGTGACGATGTTAGATCCATTCCAAGAAAAGTACGGGGCACGTATCGGCGCATTGATGTACATTCCACTCTTTATAGGAGATATATTATGGTGTGCTTCAATTTTAGCAGCACTAGGTGCCTCCATAGGTGTCGTTCTCGACATTGATAACACACTAGCAATAATTGTTTCAGCGTGTTTTTGTGTCGCCTACACCTTTGTAGGTGGCCTGTACTCAGTCGCTTACACCGACATTGTTCAAATTTTTTTCATCTTTGTCGGTCTGGTGAGTGACTTTTATATGTGCCCATTTAACGGGAAAAAATACTTAAAGATTTGATATATATATTTTTAGTGGCTATCAATACCATTTGCGTTCACCAATCATGCCGTTCATAGCATTAGCAGCACAAAAAAACACTGGCTTGGACATTGGGAAACAAACAAGACAGGAGTATGGATTGATAATGCTTTACTTCTGGTACATAAATGATATTTCCAGGAATTCTAGGAATGGCAGTCATTGCTTGTTTTACAAACTTCCATGATTCCATCACCAACCATATACGCCTGATGTTGGAAATTTTCCAACCGTTTAATTTAGATATTCGGAGCCATTCCCAGTCAAGTATATTTCCAAAGAGTTTTAGCCTGCAAAACGGCCAAGCAAACAAAAGCACAGTCTTTGCTAGCAGCATTCGCCTGTTTTGCAATGGCTATACCTCCATTCCTTATAGGAGCTTTAGCAACATCAACAGGTAACTTCATTACAAAAATAAAATAGCCATATTTTGTTCAAGATAAGGACGTATCTCTTGTGTATAGATTGGTCAGCGACGGCTTACAAGGGACATACCAACAGCACGTTGCCTAAAGAAGACGGAAATCGGGTTCTTCCTTTGGTTTTACAATATTTAACGCCGCCAGCTGTTGCTTTTATTGGTCTGGGAGCTGTAACAGCAGCAGTAATGTCTAGTGCTGACTCAGCTATTTTGTCTTCCAGCTCTATGATTTCGAGAAATATCTACAAAGTGCTCTTCAGACCACAGGTAAATACACTTGAGTCTGTAGTAAAAATGATTAATACGCTAAAGCTTCAAAAAGGTGGATATAACAAAGATATCCAAGTGAAAACTGATTTTGTAACTTAACCACATCTCAATCAGGGAGAAGACAAGATAGCGATGATGCAGGAAACTCTTATTAGAGAATTCTCAGAACGGTTCTGCATTATCTTCATTTGTGCATTTTCAGGCGTCAGAAAGAGAGATGTTACTAGTTATTCGTATCACAACTTGTTGCGTCGGTTTCTGTGCAACGGTCATGGCTCTAAACGCTGAATCAATTTATGGACTTTGGGCCTTTTGTGTTGAACTCATCTACGTTGTCTTGTTTCCTCAACTATGTTGTGTCATATTTATGGCCAACGCAAATTCATACGGTGCTTTAAGCGGATACATCGTAGCAGTTTTCTTTAGAGCCGGAGGAGGTGTGACATTTATAGGTCTTAAACCTTTCATACATTATCCATGGTACGACAAATCTAATGGTCAATTATTTCCGTTTAAAAGCCTTGCCATGATTTTGTCGTCTCTAACCATTATTATTGTGTCATCCGTTACAAAGTATTTGTTTAAATCTCGGCACATTTCCACGAAATGGGACGCATTGGGTTATTTTCAAAGTACTTATGAAACGGCGTTTGAAGAATCGTCGGTTGAGAAGGAAAAATCAAACGAAAATAGCCATTTGTTGGCGGATATTCTAAGTTAATACTTTATATGTCTTGATGTTATGGAGAAGAATTAAAACATCGCCGCCTTAATTGACAATACGTAAGCAAGAAGTAAAACTCTAGATGCTCTTCACAATATATGAACATCACATGTAAAAACAAACAAGTGTTGTTGTGTGTTATTGAAAAACCAACTTTTTTATATTTTAGTTGGTTATACGGAACAGTAATTTGCCTATCTCTGTGTCATACACTGAATAACGAAAAATTAGCGTGAAGTGGAGAAATTATCTTTAAGCAAAGAATCTATAAAGTAAAAACTTGTTTGACTCGAGAGTGAAATCTTTAAACAATTAGTATTGTATGTTTGAATTGTGTTTTATGTTGCTTACTTTTATTTTAATCACTTTTGCAAGTTCACTAATTAGGAGGGGATACAAATAAATGATTTCAAAAACGATTCCTCGCATAAAATTTAACTTGTCATGTAGATCCTCCATACATGAATGTGCTTCTTCGATGTACTTCAGTTTCACTGAATGTACTTCAATACCACTGAATGTACTTAAATACCAACGAATGTACTTCAGTACTCTTGAATGTACTTAGTTTCACTGAATGTACTTCAATACCACTGAATGTACTTCAGTTTCACTGAATGTACTTCAATACCACTGAATGGAGCTACTTAAATACCATAGAATGTAACTATTTCAATACCACTGAATGTACTTCAGTTTCACTGAATGTACTTCAATACCACTGAATGGAGCTACTTAAATACCATAGAATGTAACTATTTCAATACCACTGAATGTACTTAAATACCAACGAATGTACTTCAGTACCCTTGAATGTACTTCAATATTCAATACCACCGAATATGCTTCAGTACCACTGAATGCAGCCATTGTATAGAAACATACAGTAGTCTCACTCCACTGTGCAACTTGGTGCTGTATATTAATTAAATTACTGGCTGATGCTAGCCATTTCAGCGCTCCTATTGGTCAAAAAAAGCAATTGATTGGCTGTCACTAAGCTAATCACATGCGTAATAAAATATGCGATACACTAAAAATTTCTTTAGAGTGGGACTACTGTTTATTTCTATACTGTGATGTAGTTAGTTCAATACCATAGAATGTAACTATTTCAATACCATTGAATGTACTTCAGCACCATTGAATGTACTTCAGTACCATTGAATGTAACTATTTCAATACCATTGAATGTACTTCAGTACCATTAAATGTACTTCAGCACCACTGAATGTACTTCAGTACCACTGAATGTACTTCATCACCACTGAATGTACTTCAGCACCACTGAATGTACTTCAGTACCATTAAATGTACTTCAGCACCACTGAATGTACTTCATCACCACTGAATGTACTTCAGCACCACTGAATGTACTTCAGTACCACTGAATACAAGAGTTTTTGTGTCGATGTTGTCAAATATTGATATATCTAATAACCGGAAATTGCTTTAGTGCTGTGAAAATCCATCATCATTGCCTTGATTTTAAATTCATATAGAGCCTCTCTAAAGCTTCATAAATTTATCCAAGTGTTAAAACATCTAGTATAAAACCGAATGTCTTAATGAGCTAACGTTTCGCCAAGTTTTTCGAGTATTTCTTGTCGATAATCCTCAAAACCACCTTGTATTTCATGAATATTTTTCTCCTTTACCACCCAAAGCTGACAATCGGTTTCCAAAATCAAACGAGCATCATGACTTACTAATATTACACCTTCAAAATACACAGAAACAGCTAGTCGTACACGAGAGAAAAATGCAAAAAAATTACTTCGAGGTGTTTTTGATCAAGACATTTTGTAACAGTATACCGCATTGCAACATGGTATGGGATAATATTTGTCAGTATTTGACTGCCATTCAAATTATATGGCAGTGCTATGCAAGCACCGGAGCTTTCACCTTTAGTACCGGGCTCCGGTACACAGAACTAGTATATGGCATACGTAATGTTAACAATAATTTATATGTGACGTACCTCCAGTATACGGCATACGTAATGTTAACAATAATTTATATGTGACGTACCTCCAGTATATGGCATACGTAATGTTAACAATAATTTATATGTGACGTACCTCCAGTATACGGCATACGTAATGTTAACAATACATAATTTATATGTGACGTACCTCCAGTATATTTGTTGATCGCCTCAGCTAAAGCATCGATAGATTCTATGTCTAAATTATTCGTAGGCTCGTCCTACGAATAAAGATGGATCAAATAAAAATCATTAATTTTAGTTAGACTATTCAATCCATGAAGAATTGATTCACTCACGAGAATAATTACATCTGGATTGCTAAGAGCAAGATCTGCAAAAGCTACACGTGACTTTTGTCCACCTAGAAATGTTTACGACGACTAAAGTTAAAATACACACATGTACCGTGACATTGTTATACATAGGTCAAGCACAACACCTGGTCAGTGCAGTTTTTATTTGTCTACCATTCTTACCCGAAAGATCTTTAATTTTTATAGTGTGAGCGTGCCCACTTAAACCATATTGACCAAGCGTTTTTCTTGACCCTTGGTAGTTCAAATTATATTTTCTCTATATAATAAATAAACTTTCAATGGCTTTACTCAATCTTCATCGTTTTTAAGATCGAAGATTTGATTAAGCACAAATCTTAATTCAAACCTGCAAATACTCGACAGAAGTTTCTTCCAATTTCAACTAAATTCAACCAAAAAAATCACATTGTACAATCAAGTTCCACCAAATGAAAAGAATAAAAAATTATTTGACATCTCTGACAAATTATCCAAAGTTTTAAGCGAACCTGATCAGCTGCGTGTTGACTATAAAACCCAATGCGCTATAAAAGAGAAAAATGAAAAATGAATGAAAGGAAGAAACCTGAAATTCTCATTATTTAGAATTTTAAATCCATAAAATTATAACTTATAATTCATTAACAACTCTCACCACTCTATGATTCTTTATGAGTTCCCCTTTTGACTAAAAGATGTTTTTTATCATCAAATTTTGCCATGTAAATAAGCTAGAAGGCATGCACATGAGAAAATATTACAAAATGTAAATTTTACCATGTTTAACTCGCCAATTAGTAACTTCAAAAACGTACTTTTTCCAACTCCATTATTTCCAACTACAGCAACTGCAGTGAAAGTACACAAGATGTCAGATGTTTCTGAAATTTCTTTCCCAAGAGTTGCCTATGTTCATTGATCGACTTTTAAAACAAGCAACTTACTACGCGAGCTAAGATCAATTCCAAAATCCAGATCAACAAATAATTTTGGCTGATTTGGATAACCAAATGTAACTTCTATGAAAAAATGATTATGAAGGCACCATGTCGTTCATGAAGTCTGTTTTACATTCATTTTAATATGAAGTTACCTTTCAAACCCAAAATTGGAGGATTTAAAGGAGGAGGAAGTGGAAATGAAAATTTTACAACATATTCCTTAGGTTTTCGTATCAATTCTACAGTTTCAGCTTCCATCTGAGAATAATTTTTCAATCATTGAAATAAAGGGATCATTAAAAACATAACATTTATTTTGATACATACATCATCATCATCATTTGTGGATTTTTTCCCGCCACCTTTCTCGTTCTTCCTTTTCTGTGTTGCCTTAGCATCCTCCATCTTCCAACATGGTAAAAAACCCTCATTTAGTAGCACATTGTTAGAAAAACTTTATGTATTCACTTTATGTCTTAGGTAGTTACCGCTTGTTTCTTTGACTTGCCACCCATTTTTGATTCTTTAATTTGCTTTTCTTGTCTTTTATAAGCCTTCTCTTGTTCACGCATCTTTTGTTGATACATTTTCTTAAACTGACCTGAATTTTGTTGACACAAAAAAATGCTACTTTAGAAACCTTAAAGCACAGGAATATTAAAATTATTAAAAATACTTACTGTAATTTCCTCTATAGTAAAATAACTTCTGCTCATCTAATAAAAAGAAAATTCACATAATTAAAAAACAACAAATTCTTTCTACTTTCTCTAAATATAAAAGGAGAAGTTTGCCTACTATAATATCTGCACATTAAAAATAAAAAGAGAGGTTTGCTTACTCAAGTGTATGATATCTGTGCAAATACTATCAAGAAAATGTTGATCGTGAGAAACTATTAATAATGTCTTCTTCCATTGTTGTAGGTAGCTAGTTAAAAAGATAATTAATAAAAATTAGAACCTCAACATAAGATATGTAATTGTATCATAAACAAGTGATTCATACACTCACTTATCCAACCATATAACAGCATTTAAATCCAGATGATTTGTAGGTTCATCTAACATCAATAAAGTTGGTTCCATAAACAATGCTCGTGCTAATGATACTCTCATACGCCAACCTCCAGAAAATTGCACAGTAGGACGTTGCTGCATTTCCGTTGTGAAACCAAGACCCTTGAAGGCACAGAGGAGTGTAATAATAAGAGAAGCAGCACAACATTACAACAGGCATTAAATAATTTTTTCACTCACAGCCAAAATTCTTCTTGCTTTACTTTCAGCAGATGATGCACCAATGGCTTCTAGTTCAACATAAACCTGAAATAAACAAATTACTGGAAAAAATGAAATTTCCTTTAAACCACTTTGTGTAGACAAAATGAAATCAATGCTAGCAACAGTGAGCACTGTTTAAGAACATCTTCTTGGTGGTTAAAGATACATTATTATTTGATATTAGGGATCATAAGCAAGCATAAATTGACTTGGCATACTTCTTTCAGTCTTGTCATAGCATTCTCATCCCCAGCAGCACTTTGTTCTGTAAGTTTTTTCTCCTATGACACAAGAAAATATTCCACATAAATAAAGGAGCTTAAGAAAATTAAAATAGGCGTGTAAATCAATGTATTTACTTCATAAAACAGAGCACAATATCAATAATAAAAATGTTACAGCTCAATGCTTTAAAATACCTCTTCAAGCAAAGCAAGTCGTTTTGTATCTGCTTTGAGTACTGCATCAAATGCAGGTGTGTTATCAGCAACGACATCTTAATTGGAAATAATTATAATTAAGTCAAAGAAAATTAGGGAACTTATTTAAAATGCTTCAATTTTACCCACCTTGTTCACATAATAAAACATCAATATTTGGAGGAATGCTCAATATTCGCTTTGCAATGTGACTTAATAAAGTTGTTTTGCCCATACTTAAATAAAATTTAATAAAATAAATTTTGCAAAATTTTAAATAACACTTGAAAGCAAGTCAATGTCACAAAGTTTGACCAATCAACTAACCCATTTGGTCCAACAAGACCATAACGTCGCCCAGCAGAGATTTGTAAATTTGCATTCACAAACAAGTCTTTGCCTCTTGCTGAAATACTAAATTTCTCTATCTAAATGTGTTGAGATGCATCATAGGAAAACCACTAGATGATGTGTAAAAAGGAAGTTCTTCACATGCTTCATACCTTAATATCTGTTGAATTCTCTACATTTCCTTTGCTTGTAGGTTCGCGTTGGGATACTGAAAATTGAGACTCCTCCATTGCTTTTGTCTCTTGTAAAAATTTCTCCTGAACATACACACAACAAGAAGATATTTTGAAATCACACAACAATAAATGCTGATATTTACCTCGATAAATAATCAAAAGACTCAAAGGAAAACCTTTTTTTTCAGTCTTTTTAATTCTTTTCGACTTAATTGCGTAACGTCTAAGTCTGCCATATCTGTGAAGAAAATTGCAAACGAATTAATTTGTAGTTCTTATGACAAAGGTCGGATTTTGTCGAATTATTCGATCATTTTGTCGTTCTCAAAGTCGACTTAATCTTTCATTTTATTCAACCAAAATATAACAATATTCTTGGTTCGGGTCAGTGTTCGGTTTATTTAAGTTTTTAAAACATATAGTTATGTCAGACGAATAACGTTTGAACAGTTCTGATGTCGGATGAATATTCAAGACGTATATTTAAATAAACAAACCATTTAAATTCTCATTCTCTTCACCGAGATTTTCACCAGCCGTATAATCAAACTGAAATTCGTCTTCATTTTTCTCTTCAACTTTCTTAATGCCTTCTTCATCTTTATTTTTATTATTGCTTCGTGCTCTCTTTGTGTCATCCTCATCCAATTTCAATTCACCAACTTCTTGTTCAGCTTGTTCGACAGCCATGGCTAAACTTTGCTTTTTTTTACTTCCCGTAGACTTTTTCTTTCCCATATTAACTATCTTAAGTGAACCTTGACATTTATAAACGTTTTAAAACACTTTAAAGGACTCCACGAGGCGTTTATAGCGAAGTATATTTTGAGAAACCAAAATGTCAGCAAAATTTTGACGATCCTAAATTACCCTAAATGATCATCCGATACCCCACAATGGAGAAAAAAGAACAAGAAGGAATAACGAGGGTTTTTTTACCCATTGAACTTAAATATAACAGTTATATTTATTATAATTGTTATATTTATATATTTTAATAGTAAATATAATAGTCATATTTAGCTCAATGAGTAAATCTAATCTAGCGTCATTTTTACTGTAAAAGATAATTTAAGTTAAGGAATAAGGAGGAACATGCATATATGAATATTGTCCCCCTCACTTATTAAGCTGGTGATGCCATTGTTCTGGGTTTCCAGACATTCATAATTTTTTGTTGCTTATTGAAAAAAAACACCCAGAAATGAAAATACCAGGTTTTTACTGGTGTGACGGGAACTGCGTAATGATACTTAAGGCGTTTGTAGAAGTTTAAAGTGGAAACATGGCGTGTGCTTGTGAGTGATACTCCTTGTGACTATCATTGATTTGGTGACCATAGATATATTAAAGATAGATTGCTGAAAACTCTTCAACTAATTCATTGTATCTGTGATAGGTGTTTCGAGCTTCAAATAAAGGACCACAAGTATACACAACAGGCCAACAGGCTAAACCATTTAAGTCGGTGAATGTGATTCTCAACTTGATTTCTGGCAGAACCACACTGACTCCAGTAGTGAACTGAAGAAATACAATGACTTTACTTCCAAGAGATTTAATGAATTTGGTCAAGTGGTCCAACGTTACGTACTCGTTGTAAATTTAGTGACTTTATTCTGTGTAGGTTTTTTTCATCACAAAATAAGAGAGTGTTTGAGATATTCTGGAATTCTGTACCTTTGATATTCAACAATTGTAGTATCTGATTCCAGAAGTGGCAATTACTTGGTAGCATCAGATTCAAGGGTTAGGAAACTACTTGGTCATATAACACTAAAGAAGTTTTTAAATCTTGAAAATGTTTGACGTAACTAATATTAAATAACTATGTTGATTAAATATACTTCATTTAGTACCTATATACTTCAGAGGCTATGAACATGTAGGCATTGCGTACCTACTTTTCAAGATGTATGCCGTTGTATTTAATAAACGCAGTGTTTTGGGGTGTTTACCCAAAGGCCAAGAAATGAAAAAGAAACGTGAATATTCATGATAGCTACATTAAATAATGTTATGACAAATGACATCGCTTGGCTCCAAATGTGGACACTGTTTTTTTTTCAAAACAAAACGAAATGGGAGGGAAAACCGGCGGATCCGGTAAAAAACCCTCCAATAAAAGAAAAGATTGAAAATTTAGATAAATTTCCTTAAATTTTTTGTGATTTTAAGATGATTCATATTTTTGTTGTTTTCAATGATCCCGATGATCTACTTTAACATGCAGCGTAGTCAAATCGTACGTTACAGTCGTATACAAATTTAAATTTACAGAGCGACAAAAAAAGCGCGCTGGCTACCCTAATGACACAGGAAATACTTTGTAATCGAACAAAAGAAACGCAAACTTTGGTAGAGAACAAAAAAATGAAAAAGCACAGACTGTTAACAAAACTTTTAAAAAATAGACGAAAAATGAAAACTAATAGTAGCAATATATAAACCATATGAAAAAACTGACGTCATGACTTGCATAAAAATCATTTTTGATGTCTACTAGACTTCATTCGATTCAAAATTTCCATGTTGCTTAAATAAGACCTTCATTAATAGCTGGCTTTCACTTGTGTGTTTTGTCAGAAAATTTTACAATTGTGAAAATTAGTTTTACGGAAATTTTTAACATTATGGATAACAAAATCACAAGTGTGAATCTTTCAATAAAGACGCTTGTTTCTTGGTGCTTCTGTTGGTCGTTCATTCATTGTCAAGTTAACAGGCCCACAGACATAGCTACTCTATAAAAAACACGTTATAAACGTCAGTATAATTAATGAACAAAAACAGAAATTAAATATATCGAAAAGAGCAAAACTTTAATACCTGATTTCCAAGCGTTGTCTTGTTCAGTCTGATCCAGGTGACTTAGTATGTCTCTTCCCTTTTTTTTTTTATCGCGCAGTTTTTAAGTGTATATTGTAAATATTGATTGTAACTTAGAAATTAAACGAACTTTACTTGCAGCATTGCAATTTTCTTTATAAACGTTAAATAAAGTAAGTAAAAAGTAGCGAGTGAAAGCCAGCTATTATCTCACAGCAAGTGATAACTTTTGTTGACATTTTTTTTCATTTGGGTGTTTTTCATGATTAAGGTTCAAATTATAAAAATAGACCATCAGGATCCTTTTTAACTATCTCATGCAGTTACTCATACAACACTTATCTACTCAACTTACAAACCCAAGACATGGATCGTGTTTTCCACTCGCTTGTTTTCCATCTTCGTAGAATATATTCTGTTTCTATGGTCCACTCATTTCAATGTAAATGTTCATACTTTCATCTACCGTTATGCGATTTCCATTCAACATGTTTATACCATTCCATACATGAAGTCGGGCGTCATCAACCAATTGATGATTACCGAAATGGCAATACATAATATCAGTAGCCACTGATATTATGTATTGCCATTTCGGTAAATTGCAATTTGGAATGCATTCTTCGGGTAACTTCTAATGAAGGAAGAGGGACCACTTCAATACCCCAGTTATATCATCACTCAAAGAATGCTCTGTGCAGAGTTGATCTTCTGTGAGTATCAGCTGACCACCTTTAGGTGGGCTCATATAACAATGGGGCCCATCATCATTATATGAACAAACAGCTGACATCAACAAAGAATCCAAACTACAAATGAACATTCTTGGCCATGAATCACCATGACACGTGAGCAATGACAAACTAGTAAGAGTAATTGAAGTGAATGACACAGGTGGTAAAGGGATTTTCACAACTCCATCCATGTGGGATCTACAATATAAGAAAATATGGAACACACGTTGTAGCGAAAATATAAGATTTCATGATGAATAACTCTGCATACTATGTTAGTTTGCGTTTATAAATTCTTAATCAGCAAATTACAATGTTTTCTCTTCGACTATCAAAATGGTAGAACATTCACCTACATTGCACGAATAGGTTTAGAAAGTTGAGTTTGAACGATGCAACAAGTTTTAAACGATCAAAGGCTTAACATCATGATCAAAGCATTTTACAGTGAAATCTTTCATATTACGAGGCCTACCCTAAGAGCAGTTGATTATTCCATGCAAGAGCAGTTGATTATCCCATACTTCAGTACTTTGTTAGTAAAAAGACAAAATTTACCTTTCTTAACACGTGACTAATTTTCCGTTGTTAACATTTCTTTAATTGACGTCATGACGACGAAAATTTTTCATTGTGATTGGCTCCTTAGGAGCATGTCACCTTTCACAAAGACAGTAAGTAATCCTTCAATGCGTTTAAATAAAAAAAATTCATTAGAATCTTCAATTTTTACATTTTAATGTCGTTATGCAAAGTAACGATGCATGATGTTGTAGGTTAGGATTTCTGAGACGATAATAAATTTAGAAACAAGACTTTAATTTTGTCCATATATTCATCGAATCTTGCAGTCATATCTTGCTAAGTAAAGGTTAGGAGAGGGTTTAAGGGCTTTTTGGTTGTCCTGATGTTTCTCGATTACTTAAATTATTGTAGGGAGTCGTAGAAATTCGAGCAAAACACAATTACGGCTCTCGTTCGTTGAAGGTCTATCCCACAATCTACGAAAACTGTACCTCTATGCACTCAACCACATATAGCACGTTGGAGACAGATGGCAAATTTAGTGTATTTATATTCATTGCATATATTCAGTAATGACTAATGTGATATCGAAGAAACAAACCAAAAATCAGTAGCATCAATAAATACTCTAGAGAATTTTACAACAATCTCACTAGAGATGAATCAAAAAGCAAATAATCATTTATTGTCGGTGTAGTCACTTACATTTGTAGTTTCCAGCTGTGGGTTATATGTGTATAGTCTTTTCATGTCATATGAACAACATCTGCCTTCCATAACGCCTCGTGGTTTAATGTGGTGACACTTGAAGTGAATGGTATCTTTATACATGGTCTTAAGCATATCATTTTATGTATTTGTTCCACATGATTGTTTGACATTCATTGTTCGTACTTGAACGAATGACAGGATATTTATCAAATCTAATTTTTAAAAAAAATGTATTGTTGCCAAACAAAAGAACTATGCTCTCCCTTCATTAATATACGTAAAATGCAAATGACAATGGACCATTTCTCTGTGACGTAACGCAAATCATAATTATTAAATTTATTCAGCCTTTTAGATGACATAAATATTATGAGTTTGGGCATTTAGATGTTGGTGTCGTCAACGGAAACGCCCTTAAACCCTCTCCTAACGTCAACTTAGAGAGATATGACTGCAAGATTCGATGAATATATGGACAAAATTAAAGTCTAGTTTCTAAATTTATTATCGTCTCAGAAATCTTAACCTTCACATCATGCATCGTTACTTTGCATAACGACATTAAAATGTAAAAAATCTGAAGATTCTAATTAATTTTTTTTGTTTAAACGCATTGAAGGATTACTTATTGTCTTTGTGAAAGGTGACATGCTCCTAAGGAGCCAATTTACAATACAAAACTTTCGTCATGCTAATCTTAGGGCAGGCCTCGTAATATGAAAGCTTTCGCTGTAAAATGCTTTGATCATGTCTGTCATCGTGTGTCGACGAAATGCATTGATTTTTTGTTTTAGAGGGAAGCGGTTTAATATATTTTCCTGATATTATTGAAATTGTCCACGATCATCATTGTTTTACGCTATATAAGTATTTGTATGTTTAGTTTGAGTAAAAAGTAAACTAAAATTGATATTTTCAACCTTGTTCGATATATTTTGAAAAAATGGCGAAATCTCATTATGGATATAGTATGCAAAAAAAATTTGCATAATGAAAATTTACATAATCATAACCAATAGATGAGGTAAGCGTTTATTTTTTATTTTTCTTTAACTATAAATTTAGTGATTATTTGTTTATTTTTTTGGTGCATTGTTCAAACTCAACTGACTAAAGCTATTCGTGCAATAGCTGGCTTTCACTCGCTACTTTTTACTTATTTTATTTAACGTTTTAAAGAAAATTGTAATGCTGCAAGAAGGGTTCATTGAATTTCTAAGATGAAAATGATACAACAAATTTCTATGATATACACGTAAAAACTGCGCGGTAAAAGAAAGGAAAGAGACCTACTAAGTCACCTGGATCAGACTGAACAAGGCAACGCTTGGAAATCGGGTATTAAAGTTTTGCTCTTTTCGATATATTTAATTTCTGTTTTTGTTCATTAATTATACTGACGTTTATAACGTGTTTTTTATAGAGTAGCTATGTCTGTGGGCCTATTAACTTGACAATGAATGAACGACCAACAGAAGCACCAAGAAACAAGCGTCTTTATTGAAAGATTCACACTTGTGACTTTTGTTATGCATATAATGTTTATTTCTCGTGAATTATATCTCGCATATATCTTGTAGAAGTCGTTTATAATGCTAAAATATGTGTATTAAATCACACTATGCAACCATTTAGTGCTTCTACCGAAGTTTACAATCTTAAGTTTTAATGTTTTTAGATATAAACCCGAAACGAATTAGCTTTATTTTATTCAAAAGATTTCGTTTGATTTTTAATGACTGCGTTTTCTTTTCTTCAAAGTAAGCAATCTTTCCGTTTTTCCACCGTCTTCATCCTTACTAAACCACTGGTTACAAAGAAATTCATACATCTTTCCTTGTTCCTCTTCCTCGATAACAATCTATGAGAAGTTTTAATCATTCAATATCGTTTATGAGAGAGACAAACATATCGTTTTATCATACCGGATTTGCTTTTTTCACAAGGAATAAGTTGCATCTTATGTAGCAGAACCTTCTTAAAGGTGTTATCTTATATAAAACTTTATTTTTCAAATTTACGAGTACAATTTACTTGTATTAAAACGGATACTAACTTTATCCAGAAGCCAGCTAGGATCATCTCTTGTGCTATCATGAAGAACTCTTACTTTTCTTAAACTTCCAAGGTCAGGTAAAATCATAGTTTGTGTCGCAACACTGAAAGGTAATATTGCATACTTAAAATCTCTTTTTTTCTTTATCGCTTTCGTCAAACAGATGTCCTCCTACCTTCCCTTTTGATAATTTTTATCTCCAGAATTCAGCATTCTAAATCCAGAATCTCCTTTATCACCGAACAAGGTTAAATAGATGTTTGCACGAGTTCCAGCATCTTGAGCATTACCAGTATATGTGTGGATTGTGTAGTTAGTGGCTGGAATTACAAGTATCAAAATCTTATATTATACCTTCTATAAATTGCGACAGAAAAACAACAGATTACAAATATTCAACAATACCAATTCCATAGAAATATATCATGTTACTGTTTTCACCGCCGCAGTTTTCTTCTTCATTTCCTAAGCAATGTTTGTTGCACATTTCTTCGGGCACACGTCCATATTTTCCGTAACGTTGTCCACAAAAGCATTTACTTCCATTTTGAAGAGCAAAATAGGAGAAAGCCTCGTCCTGTATGGCGCATTCTTTCACACACTTTTCTTGAGTGATTGCAACAAGTGTAGGATGAGCAGACAAATCTCGTTGGTGAACGTTGTCCTGAAAGCATCCAACTTTTTGATACAATAACACAGCGTCTTTTTGTTCTTTTCTGGTAAAATTTATTCATAAAAAGATTAGTTTGAGAAAAAAATAAGAAGAAAAGAGAATATAAACACTACAAATTGCATTATGACAAGAACTGTTTAACAACGAGATAATGACAATCAAGAGTTACCAGAAGAAAGTTTCTTTCTTGGCATGGCTTTGTTTAAGGTGACATCGAACAGTGTATTAGACAATGTTGTCGTCTTAACAATGGGAGACTTCGCATCAGGTTTTGAAACTAAAATAAATGAAAAGTAAACATGTTAAGGGAACATACGCACGCGAATTAAATAAACAATTCTGTACCTTGACAATGTCGACCAGCAAAGTCCGAGGTGCAAATGCATCGATATCCATCCATTCTTTTGAGATCAACAGTACAACTTGCTCCATTTTGACAAGGACTTGGACGACATTTATTCACTGGCGAATAAAAAATTAAAGCTCAGTAAATTGTGTTTTCAGACAAATTTTTACATGGAAAATTTCTACGCACTTACCACTTGTCAATTCTAAACCTAGTAACAAAGATTTACGTAAATGAATGAAATTTTAACATATTTCTCAAACCAATTATTTTTTGCCAAATAAGTAAAAATATTACCTTGAATCTCTTCCATCGTATCATCCTCCTGGAGTTGATTGATAGAATTTACAGGATAGTTCATCAAGCCTGGAAGGTTGATATGATATTGATGGTCAGGAACATATATCTCAAGGCAATAATGGCATGTATAGACGACATTAGGTTTTGTATGATGTTGTCTAACTACCTGATTTTCTATCTTTGAAACCTAAAAAAAGTGACACAGCAAGTATTAATAACAATTCTCAGATATTTTTACTCCTGGTAACATTGCATTCAATCAAATGCTGAAATACATGAACTATACAATATTTACCTTTAACAGGACAATTCCTCAATCTTCCAATTTCGTCAGCTGTAAGAGCAACATTGTAAAACTGAACGCACGATATTTTCCCCTTAAACCATCGTTCATCACGACTATCTGCACCAAGTCGTATTGGATATTGAGTACGAAGCTCTATTTGCCCGATATTTCGACTTTCCACCATCTTCCCGTTGTGCCAAAGCTGAGCTACGCCAGTGGAATTGTCGTAAGATGCACCAACGTCGTTCCATTTGCCTCGCTTTCGAAAGAGAAGATTTTGATAACGTTTGAAAATAGTTTAAGTCATAAGCAGCAATACTTTCACACAGACGGTACACAGTAAGACTTAATACGCTTTTATAAGCTTTCCCTTGTCGAAACTTTATTGTTTTGTACAAGTTTTAGAGTTTTGATTGCCAGCCTACAATCTACAATGGGTTGATAATGACTTGGCAGTAAATGAAGCATAAGCAATTGCTCTATAACAAGCGATATTATCAATAAAAATGTGTAAGTCTGTAAATTGCTACGTCGCAACAAGTAAATTGTTTTAACAAAAATGTGTTCCCCAAAATATCAATTCTGATTTTGCTCTAACATTTCTAAAGTACAAACTTCACCTGTAAAACTCTCGCAGCAAGAGGTTCGGTAAAAATTCCATTTCGTTTTACAAATCGCGCAAACAACTGATTCTCGTTATATTGCCAAAGATGTACACCCCATTTTTCAGAACTGTAATGAATGACTGGACCATCTTTTCCGACAGGGAATATGGATGCGAGAACAGTCATAGAATAACGTGTGTCCAATTTTTTTGAGAACGGTATCTCAACATATGATTCTTCCTTTCCCGAAAACTCGTAAGCAGTTTTTTTGTCTGTAACAAAATCCATAATCAATACAATGCAATAAATATCACGATGACTAAACAGATTTAATACCATCTGGGCCATTTGTTATATGAACATGATGAAGCTGCAATTTTTCTTTGCTCAAACCATCATCTTCATAAACCATTTCGTCCAATGGAAACAAGCCAATTGGTTGAGGTAAAACTTCCAAACAAAATAATCGTTATTCACCATGAAAGGCATATGTAACAGTTTAAATATTTCCATTGAAGAACTAGTTACAAATTACCTGTACGTAGAGATGAAGGCCCAGGTCCTGTCATACCATCTAAAAAGGAAAAGGACAATTAGCACATATACAAGAAAAAAAGAAAAATCCAAAGAGCAACCTTGTAATTTCCAACGTAAATGTTTTTGTTTAATTGGACCCTCAAAATGGCCATTAGGCATTTCAACAGCCACTGAAGCACAATCGCCCAACTTCTCGGCTTTGTGATACATCGCAATGTAGTAAAATCTCCCCTTTTTCATTGAAATTTTTTCAGATTTCTGTTCAGCATACCTGAAACAGATAGCTGACATGGTAAAACTGAAACCATCAAGATCTTAAAAATACAAAACAACCTACTTTAACCATTCATTGTGATTTGTCCAACCAGTGATAGCAACAACTTTTCGCAAGTTATTTTCACTTTCGTCTGTACTTATCCATAATTCACCAGTGCTGTCTGCAGACAGATAAAACCTCGACAAAAAATACAATATAAATTTATATGCAGTCATGAATAAAATTTGACTGTTTATTATAGAGATACCATACCGATAGCTTCCAGTTTCTGGGGCAACAAAATAACCTTGAACTCGAGCGCCGTAGTTGTCATCAACGTTAAATGGTGCATCAAAATTATCGATCACTTCAATGCTTGTAGGATTGTTGGGAAAATTCAAATTAGATGTAAGATCAACGACCTGATAACCTCGTAATCCCTTCCAAACTTCTCGGATCAAACCAGAATGGTGATTACCTGAAAATATATATTTTAAAGTAAGTGTTATTTTGATCATTTATTTATCCAATTTTAGAAAGATATTTTATGGAAGAGCAAAATAAAAAATATTTGTACATGAACTTTTAAGCGGCCTTATAGAAAAGTACCCGACGTTAGGTAATAAAAAAAGAAACACTTTACATGTCATAAAAGACATGTATGAAAACCTGAAAAAGTGCGAAATTTCAAATGATAATATACAACCTGGCCGTCTCCATTGAATAGTTTCTTTTGTCAATGGTCTAATAAATCTTCCACTGGGAAGTTGAACTCCAGCAGAAAGTGAATCACTTGAACTTGTTCCCTTTTGTAAGGCAAGAACAAAATAATAACGACCAGCCTCCAAGTTTAAGGCATTAGAACGCTGAGATGGTGACCTAAAGTGAAAAAAGCAAGCATGGTAACAGTTTGTTTTAAGATGATTCACTGTGTATAAACGGCCAACCTGTTCCATTGATTATGCAATGTTCCGTTTGAAAATGAAATGATTTTCTCAAGATTTTCTTCCTGATCATTCGAACTGAGCCACAGTTCTGCTGCTTGTGCTCCAGATAGAAAGAAAATATATGAACCGGTTTCCGGAGGCACAAAATAACCTTTTATTCTTGTACCAAACTCGCCATTTAAATCAAAAGGTGCATCGAAGTTCTCGATGATTTCAATATCTGATGGATCATTGGGATAGTAAGCATTGGACTGCAGGTCACTCATTTTTGAACCAGGTACATCACGCCACATTTCTCTCACTAAGCCAGGATAAGACATACCTAATGAAAAAAAATAAAAGTTGACATGATGTCTGTTGAATGAGATTTTGGATACTTGTGCTCTCCACCCTCCCTCCCTAATGTTTTACTATAGGCTTATCAAAGATGTATTCCGTATACGAGAATGAAAGTTTTATCGTTTTATAAAAATCGAAAAACAACCATCGAATGAATAGCAAATAATTAATAAAGAAGACCTTTGAAGTTTATGTACATTTTATAACATATTTAAAAAGAATTGCTGATATTGACTTACTCCTATCTCCAAATACTTTATCCATATCTTTATTTCTCAAGAAACGTTCATATATAGCTAAGGATCCTATTGAAAACTCAGCAGATCCAACGCTTTCTTCTCCATTCTTTTTGCCAATGATAAATGCAGACTTCGACTTTCTTAGTACGACTGGAATGACATTGGGTTTCTTTGTTGTGCTTCTGAAGTTTCCGTCGATGTAAAGAGTCAAACCTTTTGAAAGTTGCCAAGATAATGCTATACTTTGCCACCTAAAAACGTACACATTCGTCATGATATGATGAATTGAAATTTAAAGATGATATATTGATGCATTTGCACTCACCTTATTGTATATAGAGGTGCCCTAACAGTCCATTTAAACGAATCCTCATCTGTACTCATGGTAACATCAAAATACACATTGTTGTTCACAATGTATGCTGACATCCCTGATGCTTCGTTGCCACTGTAAAGAATGTATTTAGGGTCGGTGTAGGTGCGAACAATCTACAAAATGAAACCAAAATGCATTACAGCAAGAAAATAGAAGAGCATCCGGATTGTTAAACGATGTCCAATACCTTGTTGAACTTCAGTTTGCAGCTGTAACTTAAACCAAATGGACATTTTGCTGGATCAATAAAACATTCATTTTTAGAAATTTGAGAGCTAAGAAAACTGTCAGCGTCCGCGTTCACAAATAATCCCCCATCAACTGGTTTCACAAAACCCGACACTTTTATAGCACCAGTATAAGGAATATAAGCTCTAAAAATTGCCGAGAATGAATAAAAACGTTAAACTAAATGATAACCAACAATGACTCTTCGTTCTTAATCATGATATCTTCATACCTTTCTTTAGATACAATCAACTTAGAGAGCAACCATCGATAACTTGGTACAACTGTAAGTACGATAAAACATCACATGTTTTTTTGAAAAAAAATACATATGAAATATACATGAATTTTTACCCGTGTCATCGTATGTAAACACAAATGGAATATTCTCTGCATTCAGTGCTCTTGGATAGATTGAGATGGAGCTGATATACATGCTGCATAAATGATATGAATAAACACAGTCAAATCATGTAAAACCTGTTTATGAATTGAGTGAATTACCTTGTGTAAATGTTTCTGACACTCTTTCCAATCAACAAATGTGTTTGTTGATCCTTCACAGGATTTATCTTGTACCCAAGCTTCACTCGATCTTTTAGTGCTCCATTTATATAGATAGACAGCCCTTCACTGCGTTTCCACGATAATACAATATCTAACCACTCGTTGATCATTAAGTCAGAGGTTAGTTCCCATGCTTCGGAATCTGTGCTGACACGATAGTGGATTGAGTTATCCCGTATGTATATGGATACACCTCTTTTTCCTCCGCTTGTGTCAATAATGATATGTTTGGCTTTGTAAAACTTAGTTCTTTCATTCAATTTTATCTTGAAACAAAATGATATCATCGACACAGGTCATACAATTTATTGTTGGTAATAAAAACGCTTTCTCATTAAAATAATTCAAACCTGTACGGCAACTGATAATCCCTTAATGCAAAGTTTAGGATCAGAAAAGCATTTTCCATGAAAATCTCCACCATCAAGCCAAGCGTCAACACCGTTCAATTCAATACCACCATGCATCACGCGAAAATTTCCGTGTGCGGTCACGTGATCAGTACCACGACTATGTCCAGCGGTCGTCTTTAGTAAAGGCCAAAAATAGACAGGAACAGCTGTTTTGGATGGACAAATAAAAAAACTTTAATATTCGTACCAAGCTTTGTGTGATCATGAAACGTGTTTTTTTATGACCTGGTGATGTTTTCATCATTAATAAATCATCTTTTTGTAATTGTTCGTCGTTTTGTTTTTGAGAGAGTGCAGTAACTGGATCACGCATCAAATAGTTTTGAGAATTTTCTCTCTGGAAATTTTTATCTAAACATAAGATAAAGTACATAAAACATACATATTGGAACAAAATGAAAAATTTCTACACATCTTTACCTTTCCTACATATAAAATTGTGCTTTTTCTTGCATGACTCATCTTGCCATGAGCCAGTAGACGACATTAAAGCACAAGAAATTCCCCCATTGTTTGGTGAAGACTCGTCCCAGTTTGTATAAGATGATGTCATTTTATCAATCCATGACCAGTCCCCTTCATTTTCTCGGTCAGTATAACCAATCCATAAATTTTCATTGCCGTAAACCTAACACATGCAACAAAAGGGAAAGATAAGGCATTGAAGTCATTGGTTCATATCTACTTTAGGTAAATGGAAAAAACTTTATCGAACGTCGTATCTTCTCATACTATGATGGTGACCTTAAAACACTTCATTATTTTCCCAGTATTTAAAAGAGACAAAAACGAAAGTTTAAGCAACTTTTATTGAAATGCTGACTTGTAGTACCTGCGAAATCATCGCCTGTTCATCTTCACTCAAAATAGTCACGAGGCTTCCTCCATCTTTGTTACAAATACCATCCGCTTGCTTCCAATCTCTAAGTTCATCACGTAATTTGTAACAACGTTTTAGTAATGAAAAGGTCAGTAGCTTCCATCCACGATGTTCATCGCAATCTTTATAAGAATTAAAATTTAAGTTGCAATGCTTTGTTACAACATGCATCTAGAAATTGTTTTTTCAACACTACCTCCGTCTTTTTTGCATAAGAATTTATGTTTCTCGTTGCAACGAACATCCTTCCATTTTCCATTATCAGAGTCTAAGATGGCGCAATCTGTCTGCTCGTAACCATCATAAGATGTGTTCCAGTTGGTGTAAATGGAACTTGACCCGTCCACCCATGACCAACTCCCACCATTTGCTTTATCATTGTATCCAATCCACATAGGTGAAGTTACAATCCCATCAAGAAATCTATAAAACATATCATTAAAATCACTTTTGATTACAATGTCTCTTTTATACCTTCAGATCAATGAGTTTAAGTATGTTTCTGACGTCAAGACTTTGATGTACTCTACAAAGAGATGTATATTGACTATTTCTTTAGAAGAAGTTAAACCAGGATTTGATGCTCCATCTTTATTGAGGATTGCATTTTATCTTGCTTGTATTCTATTTGTCCCCACAAAAGTCGACAAATTTAACGAAATTTGCTCAAACAGCTTGTTTTATCGTTGGAAGAGTCACTCCTTTATACGTCATCTTAATAAACAGCAAGAATATCTTTAAGAAGATGTTTTGAGATGCTAACCTTTGGTCATAAGCATTTCTAACACTGAACAAATTTCCTCCAATATTGACACACCAGTCACGTGCGTCTTTCCACGAAAGATTATTGTGCACAACAGTATAACAATATTTGTTGAGATTCCCTGGTGCTTTCTTCCATCCTTTATCACATTTCACACCTAATATAAAAAGTTGATCGTACAGTTACGCTCACATCTGCATTTGTTGATTTCTAAAATAACTCACCTGGTACAGGGCGGATAATGTTCTTCTTCAAAATAGAAGAAGCGACATTGTGTTCGTTGTTAACCTCAAGTTGAGTGTAAGGAATATTATTCATTGTATCATAATAAACTTCAGTAGGTAACACCTCGTTTACTTTATCCGTCGTTCCTGTATTTTTTTGTAATCCTTCAGGTGGTAAAGGTATAGGATAAGGACTTGTCGGCGTTTCCTAATACAGAAATGGTGTAAATTCATGTTATTGAGTGAGGTAACACGTATAAATCAAAACGAGAAATACTTAGAGAGCAAAATACCTGACGGGTTTGAACATTTTGCCACGTATAAAAGGGTGAACTCTGTGAATCTTGAAGAAATGATTTAAATACAACGATATGAAAACAAAATAGAGTGATCAACTTCTGTAAAGACAGAATAAAATAAAAATACAATAATATGACACTTCAGTACATTTGCTACACAGTATTTTACGTATAAACGATCATCACATGGTTTTTGTAATGCGAACTCACATGGTACTGGGTGGTGTATAGTGTTCTTCTTTAAAATAGAAGAAACGACATTGTGTTCATTTTATCATTGAATTGAGTGTAAGGAATATTGTTCACTGTATTATGATAAACTGAAGTTGGTCGCGCCTGATCAGCTTTGTTAGTCATCGCTGTCTTTTTTGCTACTCTCTCGATTAGAGGTAAGGTCATCTAAACGCAAAAATGGTTCAAATTTATGGTAGAAAATAGATAAAGTGTGTATTTTAATGACATCCAGAAATAAAATACCTGACGATTTGGGGCATTTTGCCATGTTTGAAAAGGTAATCTCTGCAATTCTTTAAGAAAAAGGTCGTAAAAATGGTATTATATGGTAAGAGTGCTCGAGGCATAATTCGAGCTAAAAAAGATGTATCTATCAACAGTTCTATCTATCAGCAATTAATAATAGTATGTTTTCCAAATGCAAGAGTCACCTTCGCACTTCGGTGATTAACGAAATTTGTTATACAAATTTCATGTGTATATATTTCAGTGTGATTTATGAAACAAATGCAAGCGACTTCTACCTTCCCTGTTTTTTGAAAATTGACTGTATGCTGTCGGTATTCCAAGCTGCATATCTTGAACCGGCGAAATTTTTTCTTTTAACACAGAAGTGTCTTTTTGTTTGTTCAAAGAAGAGGGAACTTTGTCGACATTTTATCACCGCTGCTGTACTGAGCAGTTTGTGACGCTCCTATTAAAATGGAAGAAATCATAGCAGAAAGGCACAATATGTGTCGTATACTTATTCAAATTTCCACCTTTGTTGGTTCCTTCGTTTGTCATTGAGCTAATCACGTGGATACCAGTATTCCCATGATGCAATGGCGGTAGTTCACCGTGATTTAATGGAGGAAGGTGAAAACTGTTGGTATTTTCAACCCCATGAACCGTGACTCCACGTAAAAGAAATGGTAAATTTTGTGGGATTTTTTCATTAACTAAGAATCAATACATTTCTCTCTAAAACACCGTGATTTGATATTTGAAGACTTTTTAAACTTAAGAAATAAATACAGTTCGTCTTTCTTTTTAATTTATGCCAGTAAATGCATACTGATGTATATAAACACGAATGATGTAAATAATATTTCCAGCAGGTCATAAGAAAACATGCCAAAATAATGATTATGAATTCATTTATGTTAATTGTTTATAGTTAATTTTTAAAATTCATTACGTGATATTTTCTCGATTTTGTAAATATTAGTTCTTACAATAATCCATTTATCTTAACTTTACGCTTATTTTACTGATTAGCCCAAGGAAACAAAAAATCACGGTAAAAATCCTTGAATTAGTTCAGAGGATGCGTTTTTCGTTTCTTTTGATCAGCTAGAACGAAGAAAATGAGTTATTTAAACAACATGTCTCGAAAACGTTGAAAAAGATCAGTTAAGACAAATATGCTATAGAAGATAGCTGATGCACTGAACTACTCCTCGAAAGTCAGGTCACGTGATGTGACGTACTCCACGAATGCAAAGATCACGTGATAGGAGAAACTCTATTGTAGATTTTTGTTCCTGGGCTAAATCAGGAAATAAGCGACACGACTGTTTCTGCGCATAGGTTAAAAATGACAAAAGCCTGCTTTCCTAAATAATCGTGCAAGTGAACTTTTTTTGAAATTTCTGCAGTCAATTAAGAAAATTAACTTTGAATCAACAACATAAAAAATCTAAAGTCAATTTTGATTCCCGCAAGTGAACTAATTACGAAATTCTTAAGACAAAAAACATTTTCAATGTCCATTATTAACTATTTGCGATAAATGATCGCATTTTGTGCAGAAACAGACGCGCAAGATTAAGGAAAAGTTTTTTTGGTTGATTTTCTAAACGTTACTATTCAATCTTACCTCGACTTCTCGTGTTTATCTGTTGTCGAAACGACGCTACGGCTTCTTTTGATTTCAGAAGGTTCACATCGTCAGCTAAAAAATATGATTCGTATTACTTGTAGAAAATAGCATTTCAGACAAACACACGGTCAGGGGATAATCGTCACAGTATGACGTCAGACCTATCTCCATTGTGGCGAATGTGATTGGCTTGAGCTTGCGTGGACATATGAATGCAGTGAAAAACAACAGCGATAAAGTTAAAAGAAAAGAGTAAATATCACGTGATCATTGTTTACCTCCAGAAAACAACTGTTTGTGCGCAACTTCATTATCATTTGTCTGTCCAGCAGGATTTGTAAATTTATTCGGCACTGTTGATCTATCATGAACCATCTGAGCTGCCAATATTTCAGGTCCAGTAGATATTTTGGGGACTACAGCTGGACGCAAAACATTGAGGCGCGGAGGAGCTGTAAAGTGTTAACAACGTAACAGAAAATAGACAACTCATAAGTAAAGTATTTAAAGAGTATTTACCGTTCATTTGTTCCTTAGGTACGCTGTTTCGTTTTTTTGCAAGCAGGTCAAACCATTGACTTTTCAAGTGTAGTTTTATCGGCCTTGAATAACTATCACGAACATAAGTGATGCCGTTTTTACTTGCAATGGGTTTCATTGATGCTCCAGGAATCATATTACGTAAATATTCATAAGGATCAGATACTTTCTTTTCAAAATGATCTCTCCTTAAAATCTCGGTCAAAGTTTTGTTGTATTTCTGTTCTGGACTGTCAGGAATATCAGATTTTTTCGAAATCATGTCTAAAACATCATGAATATACAATAAGTGAGAGATGACTTTATATTCAACACTGCTCGTGCACTATTCAATTTAACCATCAACCTTCATTCGTGTTATCTTCATCCGTAGTTTTATTTGGATCATTGATATAAAATGGATAGTTAAACAAAGCAGGAGGGCAAGATTCTTGAATTCTGGAATTTTACTTCTTAAATAGCTCTCTGCTTCTTCGTAAGCTTTGTTCGCCCATTCTTCATCCGTCTAAAAATCGTGAACTTGTAAAATAGACCATGAAAGCTTTAAATGTAAAACGAAGATCATACTACCTGTGTATATTGGGCATTATTTGGGTTCGTTAAGCTTATATCGCGTGTCTTATTTTGGCTGTTGTAAAATCTTTCCAAGGAATTGCCAGAGTTTTTCTCAGAACGAAGTCTTTCTTTTATAGGAAGTGGGATATCAGATCTCTTCGATTGCTGCATAATAAATTCTGCAACAAATTTAAAAATATGTCGAAACCTCCTTATCATTGTGATAAATAAATCCAGCTGTAAAAAATCTGTTGTGTTTACCTTTCTTTGCGCTGTCTAACGCTTCTCCAAATAATTTTTTAGCGACAGTTCGATAAAGAGAAATGTAACGGGCAATATCCTTGAGATCAATTTTTGGATAAGCGGATGGAGGTGCATGCTGGGAAGGCGAGATATCATCTTCCTTAGAATTTTGTTCATTGGCCAGCTCTTGTTCTGCTAAATCTAATAACAATTAACTTAAATTTTTATTAATTGCCGATTGTGAGGTACACTAAATCAACAAGAAATAGTGAAGTTCTTTCGTTTGAAGTTGCTAAGAGACTAATTATAATTTGGAAGATAAGTTGAACAAACTAAAAGCGAATATCAATGTATTATTTGTATAATTTATTAGTTTTGTAAACTTTTGAACATTAAACACGTTGAACATTTATTGCAGTTTTTGTTAGAGCTTAAGTGTTTAAACATGCTTGTAATGTACTTCATCAAAGTGAAACAAAGTTATTTACCTTTAACTATTTCATCGCTATCATCGTCTTCGTTCTCTTCGTCTCCAGACACTCCATTCTTTTTCTCTTCATTTTCTTCGCTTTCAAACTCTTCCGCAGTAGGAGGAAGATCTTCATTCACGCGAGATCTCTGTTCAGAATCTTCTGTTTGTAAATCTTCAAATTCTTCTTGCTGCTCTGGCGGTATCTTTGTATCTTAATATGAACAAAATATTTATATGAATTGAGCTTTGATCTATCCACGGTGACAAGAATTGTAACTAACCAGAATTTTTGTCATCACTCTTTACAGATGAAAGGTTTTCATCTTCTTTTTGAAGTGCATCATCTTTCTTGCTTGTCTTTTTATTATTACGATCACCATTATGTTCATCATTATCATTATGTTCATCATCTTGTTCATCATCATCATCATCATCATCATCGTCATCATCGTCATCATCATTGTGATCATTCTTAGAGTTTTTATGATCGTCGTGATCATCATTATCATCCTTTTGATCATCATATTCATCATCATTATCATCGTCACTGTTTGTTTTACGGTGATTATTTTTCCCACTAAAAGAAGACGTTTATTAAACCAAATGCAATCTGCGTCATGTACATCGATGATTTTACATATGGCAAGTTCATCGTATAAAACATAAAATTAATGGGACTTATTTATACTTACACAGTCAGACGATTGCTTCCTTAAATCAACATGAAACGAAAAAACAATTTACCTTTATCGCTCGTCTCCCCATCATTGCCATCATCATCTTCACTTTTGCCATTTTTATCAAATGCGCGATCTTTATCATCACTTTTAACTTCATCATCATCACTATCTTTTGAATCATCTTCATCATCGAAGTCTTCATCTTCTTCATCACCGTCTGTAATAAACAAACTAAGTCAAAATACATCTACAAGCTCGAAAAAAGCTACAAACCAAAAGCCTACCACAGAAATTGCAGGATTTTCTGCATTGAACTTTCATTAATTTTTTGTAGTCCGTGCAGTAATGGTTCTTGGCAAATTCAGGACAGGTAACATACTTATCCACACATACATCTAAAACAATACAATATTGCCTGTTGGTAAATATGATTTTGTAATGGAAATATACGGGCGTACCTTCATTAGTATCTGCCACAGCGGCATGTGGGACTGGAGTTGCAGCGACATAGTTATAAAACCCTATAAGCCATTAACAAGTTTTGATTATAACATTTTATTATAGGCAGTTGCATTAAAGTTAATCGACTATTAAAATATTCATTTTACCATTATTTGAAGTAACTGTGTATTTGCCATCTCCAATGAGCGATTTCCTGCTTGCTTCTTCTTTTCTTTTTTTTGCTAAATAGTAATATACATGTATACCTGCAATAACGTACGTTATAATATACATGTATACCTGCAATAACGTACGTTATAATATACATGTATACCTGCAATAACGTACGTTATAATATACATGTATACCTGCAATAACGTACGTTATAATATACATGTATACCTGCAATAACGTACGTTATAATATACATGTATACCTGCAATAACGTACGTTATAATATACATGTATACCTGCAATAACGTACGTTATAATATACATGTATACCTGCAATAACGTACGTTATAATATACATGTATACCTGCAATAACGTACGTTATAATATACATGTATACCTGCAATAACTTACGTTATAATTAGTAAAGGAACGTAAAGAGTAAAGTTCTTACCTTGTTTTTTCGCGATGAAAAATTTCTTGATCAACGCCTCTCCAGGAGAATGTTTATGAAGTTGTAGTGGAAACGAAGATGAACCAGCCCGCCTGACAGGGGCTACTGGTATCTTGTTCTTTTTCACGACTTCTCGCATTTCATTGGTCTCCAAACTACCAGTTGTTTGCATGGCTGGAGAAGAAACCGCTGACCATTCACCTTGTGATTGACCAGTCTGAGTTTTGGCATTGTTATCAAGTAAATTTCCTATTTGAAATAAAAAAAATCTGTCTGTCGCGCAGCAAATGGAAGTAAAAAAGGACATCCTTTGTAATTCTGGGAAATTTACAATGTCCCAGAAATCATGATATGAACGATACTATATATATGAGGGAGAAAAAATATCCAGCATATTTTAATCATACCTTCATAATTTGATGGTGTCACAAAGTTGCTTGGAATAACGTTACTTAAGGGTGTCCAAGGAACACTCGCAGGGACTTCCGGGGATAATCCTGGTGATACATTACTGTTCCCCTCAACATCATCAACTTTGACTTGTTCGTCATCGCCACTAGTGATATGTTTATTTGATTCATTTTCGTTACTTTTGCCATTCACTTCAGTGTTTGATGAGACCTTTTGTGACGGTGTTTCCACAAACGCTTTCGTTGTTTCATCTTCCTTATCTTCTGGTAATTTTCCATCATCACTCATGTCAGACATTTTATCTTCAGATAATTGTGTTTTCGAGTCGGTTGATTTCGATGATGGAGTTCTGTCATTGCTGTTCGACTTGGTTTCTGAGCTAATGTTTGCGTCAGAAAAAACATTATCAACTTGAGAATTTAATGGAATAGCATCATTACTTTCATCACTTGAGAGTTGTTCCTTTACTTGATTAGATGTATTTGCTTCAGCATTCTCATCCAATGGATTGTTTTCTTTGGTTTTATTAATTCTATCATTGTTTTCACTGCTCACATGAACTTTATCCTGATTGTTCAGGAGAGAGTCCGCGCTAACGTCAATATTACTTGCAAACATTCGTTTACCATCATCATCATTATTGTGAGTTTCATTAAAATTGCTGTTTGTAAGTTTCATGACGTCGTTACCATCCAACGCAGTTTTATCTTCTTCGTAATTTGGTGACTCTGACTTTCCATCTCCTTGGTTTGAAGATTCAAGTTTACTTTGACCATTAAGACTACTGTCATCGTTGTTTGTGGCTTTCATAACGTCATTGCCATCTGGCACAGTTTTACTGTCATGGTCGTTAGATGACTCTGTCTTTCCATCTCCTTGGTTTGAAGATTCAAGTTTACTTTGATCATTAAGACTACTGCCATCGTTGTTTGTGGCTTTCATAACGTCATTGTCATCTGGCACAGTTTTACTGTCATGGTCGTTAGATGACTCTGTCTTTCCATCTCCTTGGTTTGAAGATTCAAGTTTACTTTGATCATTAAGACTACTGCCATCGTCGTTTGTAGCTTTCATAACGTCTTTGGCATCTGGCACAGTTTTACTGTCATGGTCGTTAGATGACTCTGTCTTTCCATCTCCTTGGTTTGAAGATTCAAGTTTACTTTGACCATTAAGACTACTGCCATCGTTGTTTGTGGCTTTCATAACGTCATTGCCATCTGGCACTGTTTTACTGTCATGGTCGTTAGATGACTCTGACTTTCCATCTTCTTGGTTTGAAGATTCAAGTTTACTTTGATCATTAAGACTACTGCCATCGTCGTTTGTAGCTTTCATGACGTCATTGCCATCTGGCACTGTTTTACTGTCATGGTCGTTAGATGACTCTGACTTTCCATCTTCTTGGTTTGAAGATTCAAGTTTACTTTGATCATTAAGACTACTGCCATCGTCGTTTGTAGCTTTCATGACGTCATTGCCATCTGGCACTGTTTTACTGTCATGGTCGTTAGATGACTCTGACTTTCCATCTCCTTGGTTTGAAGATTCAAGTTTACTTTGATCATTAAGACTACTGCCATCGTTGTTTGTGGCTTTCATGACGTCATTGCCATCTGGCACAGTTTTACTGTCATGGTCGTTAGATGACTCTGTCTTTCCATCTCCTTGGTTTGAAGATTCAAGTTTACTTTGATCATTAAGACTACTGCCATCGTCGTTTGTGTCTTTCATAACGTCATTACCATCTGGCACAGTTTTACTGTCATGGTCGTTAGATGACTCTGTCTTTCCATCTCCTTGGTTTGAAGATTCAAGTTTACTTTGATCATTAAGACTACTGCCATCGTTGTTTGTAGCTTTCATAACGTCATTGCCATCTGGCACAGTTTTACTGTCATGGTCGTTAAATGACTCTGACTTTCCATCTCCTTGGTTTGAAGATTCAAGTTTACTTTGATCATTAAGACGACTGCCATCGTTGTTTGTGGCTTTCATAACGTCATTGCCATCTGGCACAGTTTTACTGTCATTGCTCACAGCTAAAGAATCCTCATTTGTAGATGCCGGAGCCGAAAGCGACAAAGAGTTGTTCTTCACAGAGTCATTACTAGTTGTGTCTTTATGATCATGAGTCAGGTCATCAGGTACATTAGTCCCAGTGTTATTGTAACCATTTTTAGAATTCGAGATTTCATCCTCGGGTGCATTACTCGTTTGCCCATCTCTGCGATCTTTTGGAACAGGTTCATTCATCTCATTAAATAACTCTTTCAATAGTGGGTCAACATCTTCTGAACGTTCTATGAAAAACAAAAATACAACAAATGATTGTTGTGCAAGTTAGCAAGCATCTTATCATGCAATTATGAAGAACAGCCGTCACTTTGTACTCAAAGTTTAATATTGCGTTTTTGAAGTTTTCATGTTAAAGCCTTAACATTCCTGTATGGTACATAAGGCAAACGTTGAGAGTAGCAATGTGACCTTTCATTAATTCAACTTACTTTCTATTCTGCGTGTCCAACATGAAGAAAACAAGAAAATGAGCAATATTCGTCTCATTATCCTGTAGGAAAAAACATAAGTTCATTTTAGCCCGGCACTTGCGCAATATTACAATGTTGCTAACGTATAAACTGAAGTGTTTCTTAATTTATTACACCTACACAATTCTGTCAAGCACAACTATGATGAAATCTTAGTTTATCAAGATAAGACTGCTCGACTAGTTCATCGTAAAACAAGCAAGAATGGAAATTTAATTTACTCCGACTGGTTGTATCTTTTACAACCTCACACTTACCTTACGCTTCCCCTCTTATTAGACTATTTACATTAGAAAAAAGTCATTTCAAACTACTTTAAGTACGGGAAAGCACATAAATACATATTCTATTACATTTTTCATTAAGATAACGCCATTTGAAATGCCAAATAGCAAACTCGACTTTGAAATGGTTGAGTGAGCAAAAATGACAACATTGCCTACAGATTTCTGATGTCACTGAAAAGATATGCCCATTACAGGTGGCTTTACTAAGAAAATAGAAACTTAAAGATATTTAATGATAATCCCATCACTACGAGATGTGCCCTAAGACCATTTTCTCTCACTATAAATGTTTTAAAAAGAACTTGTGAAACAAAACAATTTCAACACATACGCACGTGATACGCACGTGCTTCGGTGAGAAAACACTGGCGCATGCGTATTTGTTGTATGTACTATATAATGATATATTTTAAGCCTGATTAACACAGTCTACAACCAAAAAAATTGATGTTTTGAATATGTTTAAAAGTCAAAGTACATTTAAAAATCGTTCGGATCATTCAAAAATTACTCATTCCAAAACACATCATTAACATCATATTCATTAACAGGGAGAATTACTGCAAATAAAATCATTGGAGCGATGTCAAACTGACTACAGGTGTCGTGACAGTTGCTATGTAAAATAAATAATAGTTCAATACATGATTTTAACAAAAAATATTTCCTATTTAAGTGGAATTTCTCAGAGGATTATTACGCTATAAGATTAATTTTACGATAGTCTGAGTAACACGAGTTAAGGAGTAAACTACACAAGTATAAAGCATCAAGGTATTCGCAAAGCATCTGTGTCTTCGTACAACTGATTTAAAGCCGTGCCTAATAAAACAAAATGTCGATATAACCACATTGACATGTTACAACATAGCTAAACATTCATCAAAAACCTTGTTGTATGAATCCAACGCTTTACTCAACTTTTCGCCAAAGTCAGGGCTCACTTGTGTAAAATTCGCCACCTGAAATTCGAACATAAAATCTTTAAAAACATAACAAACATCTAACATCTTTCTACAAACGTACAGCTCTTTTTTGAATGAAGTCTTTGGCATCCTTCAGATGGCCAGCGATGTTTGAAATAAGCCGCTCTCGCTCTTCCTTGTTTAACACATTATTGTAAAATAATGTTACTTGTGAAAAGTTGTCTTCATCAGCAGTTTCGAAGCGTTTACAATCGCCCGATATCTAAATGATCAATTTTTAAAAATACAAACTGATGAAGCAGTTGTAGTTATTTTTTAATTTCTTTCTGTTACAAAACACTTCGATGCTGCCGTACCTTCGAGCTATGTTCACAATATTTCTCACTTGGAATGGGTCCACTGAAACTGTTTGGAAAGTAATTTGGAGACTGATCTAAACGTTGTCGAGAATGAGAAAAACATGTCAATCAAACGACCATCACAGCAATAATGGAAGAAACTGACCAGGAACAATGAATGTTTGAGGACCATCTCGTTGGTATGCTTTAGGATTTCGTTTAAATGGACAATTGACAGGAAGTTGATGATAGTTAAGACCCAAACGATGAATATGAGTATCATGATAAGAAAAAAGACGACCTTGAAGCATTTTATCGGGAGAAGCTTCAATACCAGGAACCATATTGGCAGGACTGAATGCACTTTGTTCAATTTCAGCAAAATAGTTTGATGCATTACGATTCAATGTCATTTTTCCAACGGGAATCAAAGGATAATCGTTGTGCGACCAAACCTACATAATGCGACTCTAAACCTCAAAAATTGTACAATTCAAAAAACGCGCTCTCTCAAAAACAGTCAACTTGCCTTTGTTAGGTCAAAAGGATTCCATTTATATTTTTCAGCTTCTTGGAAAGTCATTACTTGAATGTACAATGTCCATGATGGCTATAGATGAATTAACACATAAATCAAACCCTGACAAGGCTACACTACAAAACTAATGTTAATGAACATCAGTAATGAACATACATAATTTCCATTTGCTATCATTTCATAAAGATCTCTGTTAGCATAATCAGGATCAGTTCCAGCAAGTTTGTCAGCTTCGTTTTGTAACAAGTTCTTGATTCCTTGATCAGTCTACAAAAATTAACAAAATCGTTCCAATGCATGTCTGTCAAGAATATGAACTTGTCATTTGAAACGGAGGAGTCAGACATTTATGACTTTTGAGATGTTTACTTTTTAACACTTGCTGCAGGAGAATATACCGTCAAGTATTGAAGTATGTTTTATTAAATTAACTAAGCATAACTTTAATTACAGCTTTAAAAACCATTCTTTTATAAATTTAGGGTTAGCGTTGTGGTTTTTTTAAAAATTATTATGTTATTATTTTGACCATTTCCCATGGTATTAGCTCTTTTCAAACAATTTTTAAATTTGTCACCACGATAGAGTCTTTATTTTACCATCCATCGGCAGTAACGTTGCGCGTCGAGATTATTCAGGCGATGCATATCGGTCAATTCAAAGTGAAATTATCTTTAATGCTACGCACGTAATATTTAAATTGCTGCAAATAATTATCTCAAGTATTCGAGAAATACAAACGCCGGTAGAGAAGATGGGCGTCATGCTAAGATTTTTTTAGGAAATTATCATTAAACGAAAAAGAACTCTTTTCATCTAAGCATTGATTCCCAGCCAATGGCTAAACCCTATCTCAGACTTGGTGCTATGTCATTACATACTTTCAAAATGATAAAAAATCATACAAGAGAATAAAATTACCTTAAAATGAAATTTACAATACACTGCCTCATTTTTGTCATTAACCATTTTAAAAGTATGACTTCCATAACCATTCATATGTCGATAGCCATCAGGGATACCACGGTCAGAAAACAAAAAGCAAACTTGATGTGTCGTCTCTGGTCGGAGTGTAATAAAGTCCCAGAACATATTGGGATCCTACATAAATGAACAAAGCTATAATTTAGCAGACTTTTAACGATTCAAGAGAACTTTTCTACTTTCTTGTTCATGTTACCTTCAAATGTGTAACAGGATTTCTTTTCTGGGTATGAATGAAACTTGGAAACTAACAAAGAAAGGAAAGTTATTTTCAAACAAATATTCACAATATTTATACATAGAAAGACAGTTGATAAATTATGGCCAAAACTCAGCTCAACTAACCAAAATTGGATCCCGAATAAAGAATATTGGAGTGTTGTTTCCGACACAATCCCAGTTACCCTCTTCAGTGTAAAATTTCACAGCAAAACCTCTTGGATCTCGAGCTGTGTCTGCACTACCTGATTCACCACCTTCGAAGACAAAAAAACCCACTTAACAACGTATCAATTTTTAAACAAGATCTTCAATCTTCTAAAACATACCAACAGTGGAAAATCGAACAAGACATGGTGTCTCCTTGCCTATGGCAGAAAAAACTTTTGCTTTGCAATATTTTGAAATATCATGTGTCACTTTGAATGTTCCAAATGCACCACCACCTTTAGCATGAACGACACGTTCTGGTATTCGCTCACGATCAAAATGTGTCATAGTGTCAAGGAAGACAGCATCCTGAAGTAATATTGGACCACGTTCACCAACTGTCAATGATGCTGTCATAGACCCCACAGGGCAACCAAATCCTGTAGTTGCAATGTCAGGATTCTATGTTCAAGAAATGCAATCATAAAATGTGTCAGGTTTACTATGAATGTTGATAAAAATACTGAATGAAAAGCGTTTGAACGTGTAGCATCCAACATCAATTTTCAGTTATGTAACTCGTATTATGAAAAACACTGCTGCTACTAAAACTTCATAACTTTCTCAATTTGTCGTCACATAAAGAGATATTAACCTAAGACATATTTTTTAAGTTGTTATTTGTTTCCAAAGTACTAGACTTCTCAGTTCTATGCTAATTCTGCCAAAGTAAAGTAAATAAAGACGAGTGGAGAGGACTGACACAATTATATGGCATTTTTATGTTTACACAGTGATGAAAACTTGTAATTAACAGATTTTCTTACAGGATTTTCCTTTGCATAGTTTTCCAGTTGATCACAAGCTTTGAAAGGCATTTTTCCAATAAATATCCAGCCCAAGTTATTCCGTGTTGACAGTAATATTGCTGTCTGTACTTGCTAGATGTCAATGTGTGATTTGCACAAGCTAATATTCATTGTACGTAAAATATGTCATTAAGGACTTCCACAAAGGAATTTAAAAAATTCCTGCAAGATGAATCACATAAAAATAAGCTCCATACTAACAATGTTTCTTTAAAAAAGCAAAGGAAAGAGAAAACCTCAAAGAACGAAAGGAAAGGACTGCTATGTACAAGGCAAAATTTTGTTGAAATGCTCAATGAAAATGCGGACTTCGTTTTCAGTAAAAGAAAAAGTGGAAACATGTGATTTGTTTGCTTCGTGGGCGAGATTTATGCAATGAACTCCATATATATATATATATGGAATGATAACGACAATACATTTTATAGATATAAAATTGAAGCCAAAGTCCTAGTCTCTTGCGCGGTTTGTACGTCAGTTCCAGTCCTTCAAAGTCGAATATTCACGCGGTTTGTACGTCAGTTTCATTCCCCTGAGTGCCAAACATACACGGCCAATATAAATTTTGAATACAAACTGCAAAAGCATAAACATATAAACAACATCACGACAAACAACACACTAGGCCAACTCTTCGCAAAAGGTTATTTTTTACAGCTAAAACTTTACTACAGTGAGTTCGTTGTAACTTACAACTTGTAACGAGGAAAAGCCAACTGAAAATTACACTTTATGCTAAAAAGGCAATACAATAAGAAAATATGACGAGAAAATATTCAAGCATAAATTTTTCTTTCGTCGGAAGGTAAATTTTCAAACGGTGTCAGACAGTGTTTGTCTTTTTTTGTCGTTTCAATGGATTTAAAGATCTGTTTTCCGAAGAAAAAGAAACTTGAATATCCAGGTTCATAAAAAATGTTGAGTCTATAACTCGCATTTTACTTTTTACAGAGCGATTGTATCTTTCATCGATTTTGATAGTGCTTGAAATACTAAATGGTTGTCATCTCGATATCAGTAATTGAATATCCTTCAAGACTTTGATATGTTTTAAAGGAAAACCTTAGCGTAAAAGCAGATCGACTAAGTTCACCTCACCCTGCTTCTCGATTTATCACTTTGATTCACTTTCTGTGAACCTTTTCCTTCCAAAAATTTCGTTATTTTTACGCTCTGATCAAGATCCGAACTCTACCATTACCAAGGGACAAATGATTTAAAAAAATTAAAATGAACACGCGAGAGACTAGAGCCTGACGTGTGATGACGAATGATGACGACAAATATTTTTTTGGCTTCAATTTTTGGCTTCGGTTATCATTCCAGTTATTCAAATGTCGAGTTCACTGGATTTATGCTGACTCATTTTAAAGATATTATAAAATATAATGTCATTACTTTACTCAGGAAGCAATTTCTTTCATAATACAGTCGCTGTGATACAGTATTGTAATTGCAAAGAAATTCATGAGACATGCAAGAAGGCATGATTCACACGAGTCAAGCGTTGAAATTTTTGATGACTACTGATAGACATGACCTTGAATGATTTGTGTACTTTCGTAAAACACAAGACCATAGGCACTCCGTACATAGTAAACATTATTTAATCCAAACGTTTCAACAAGTGTTACATGTCATCATTAGTAGAAAAATGACATGTAACACTTGTCTAAACGTTTAGATTAAATGTTTGCCATATACACAGAGTGCCTATTGTCTTGTGTTTTACGAAAATACTCTTTGGCAGTTTTAATTTTTGTGTACTTTCAACAAGATTATAACAAAAATTTCAAAGAATTTAAATATTTTCGTCCAATTTCTCCCCCTTTCCTTGAGGTCCTAATGTTAGGCTGTAACAGCACAATTGTCAAACACAAGTATGAATTTTAAAAGTATGTAGTACATTGTAAACCTGAGGTAAAGTACCTTTGACAAAGGTTTCTTTAACAAGAAGAATAATGGCAGTGCCAATTATAATATAGATTCAATTTATAATCATCAGGAAAAACATCTTCATATTCACCAAGACAAAAAATACGAAATGAATCATTGCCATATTTTCCTATGCCATATAACTCAATGGGATACTGCCACATCTTGTTCAGATATTCCTTTGAGAAACGTTTCAAGATATAGGCACGTTTTCTTTGTAAGCCAAGCGAACGAATTATATCTAAATAGAAATCATAAAAGTCACTGATAATCTGATGTCACAAAGAGTGTTAGTGAATTTAGTAAACAATATGGTCTTCACATGCTTGTAAATGTAGATCATCCAGGTTGGTATAGTCCTGAGAAGGACTGTTTTTGTTGTTGTTGACTGACGTTTCGACAACCTTAGCGGTGGTCATCTTCAGAGTCAAATGACTACGGCTAAGGTTGTCAAAACGTCAGTTGACAAGAACAAAAACAGTCCTTCTCAGGACTATAACAACCTGGACGATCTACATTTACAAACATGTAACGATACTCCCGGGTTCAAACCATTTACTTTAATATGCTCTTCATTAGATCATCATACACACTGGTATATGTTATGTACCTGTAATATCGGATAGATTTGCACATGCAGTTACTTCAGCATTTGGAAAACATTCAAAGAATTTCCACAACACAGGCAAGGCATTAATACCATTGGTTTTGTTGAGAAATATGGTCGCAACAAGTAATTGCCATGGATCTTTATAAAGATGTTCTTGTATTAAATGAAATGGTGACTCTGGTGGTTTGAATTTCAAAGTAAAAAATTTCTGAAGTCCAGGGGGAATAACTCTCAAAATTTTATCACGATGACAGCATCCATCATTATCAATCAAAGCCATATTTTGAACGGATCTTTCCTTTACATCATTTCTTTTGGTAGGTTTCTCAAGTTGTCTTGTTGACAATAACGATATGTTAGAACACATTTTTTCCCTCAATGGTGTTGAAGATTTTTCTCGAAAGTATGGACTAGTTTGGACTTCCGTCTCCTTGCTATCACAGTTAAACTGTACTTCATCACTAAACATGGTTTCTTTTGTTTCTCCATCATCATTAATGAAAGGTAATGTCTTCTTTATTTCTCCATCATCATTAATGAAAGGTACAGTCTTCTTTATTTCTCCAACATCATTACCGAAGGGTAATGTCTTCTTTATTTCTCCATCATCATTAAGGAAAGGTACAGTCTTCTTTATTTCTCCATCATCATTAATGAAAGGTACAGTCTTCTTTATTTCTCCATCATCATTAATGAAAGGTACAGTCTTCTTTATTTCTCCAACATCATTAATGAAAGGTACAGTCTTCTTTATTTCTCCAACATCATTAAGGAAAGGTACAGTCTTCTTTATTTCTCCATCATCATTAACTAAAGGTACAGTCTTCTTTATTTCTCCAACATCATCAACTAAAGGTAATGTCTTCTTCATTTCTCCACCAGTGTTTACTGAGGAAAGTATGCAGTCCTTTCTTGAAAATTTCTTCACAGCTTCTCTTCTTTCCTGTTCATTCTGTTAAAATGTGGAAGAAATTTGTGTAACCCACCAATACCTGAATAACAATTAGTCAAAAAATAACTCCAGAAACATCTCACCTCAATTAAAAAAGAATTTTTCAGTTTTCTTGTTGATGCAATTTCAAAATAATGTGAGGATTGTTTATGGTCTGTCTTTCGATATTTTTTCCTGCTTGATCTGTCACTTGTCAGTGCTAGAGGCATGTTTAAACTTCACCAAAATGAATACCTTCAAGTCTTCAATATTCAACAAATTTGCAATGGCTTGCATATAAAGTTTTCATTGATATACCATATTTCATTCCGGAATACATTCATTTTTCTCCCCCTTTTCTCTATGAAAGTATTTCTTTATGATTAAAGAAATAAGATTTTGGAACATCGAACAAAGAATCACCGAGAAGAATTCAGTTCCATTTTGTTTTTCTTTATTTCAACTATTTACCATCGTTCAAAATAACAATGTGAAATGACGAAGCAGAGTGTTTCACAAGTTTGTTTCACTCGCTCAAGACGATGATTGACTTGGGAAGGCAGCAGTTCTTCGTCATAAATATTTTGCAACAAGGCAGTGGTGTGGAATGCCCTCAAGATGGCAGTCGTTGCTTAAGTAGGAAAGTTTATAATTATGTTCTTGCCTTAATTTAAAGTGAAGATTATTCCCATTACATCAATTGTTTTAACTAAACTTTTGGGCAAAATGGGGAGAGAAATTATGAAATGATTAATTCCTTCTTCCATCTGCCAACAATTTTATGTCAATGATACAATTTGCTTTTAGTTGAAGTGACCTTGTCACAAGGAGATAAAGTTTTATTTGAAAGAACTAATATTAAATGGTGCATAGGTGAAGGAGGTGTGGAAAACAACTTTGCTTATATTGTCATTGAATTTTTGTTGACTGCATTCTGTCTAACATCTCAAATTGAATATTTCCATGGAATATATTATTTCTATTGAATACTTCACTAATTGTTTATTTGATGTCTTCAAAAATCTTACTTGGTGACTCAAATATCTCCACTAACCCCCCCCCTCCCCACACACACAAAAAAATGAAACTTTTTAAAACATTAACTATATTTACAATTTCTGTAATGTATTGTTCTACACTTAGTTCTATATAACTCAAAGTTTTAGATGTTGTCTCAGAATATGTCAATGAATGTTTGGAAAGCATGCATTGTGGTGATATATGCCAGTTGTCTATTAAGCCAAATGTTGATCTCCAAGAACCTTTTTTGAAAGGTGTTATTGCAAAAAATTTATCTCTGCATTATGAAATAAAGCTGACCTCGTTTACTGAGGTAATTTTGTATTGAATAAGTGGTCAGAAATTTTACATTGAAAGCTTGAAACTGAAATATGTAGGTGAAGAATAGCTGGGAGTTCTCTTTTGAAGAGAGATGGCTGTTTGCTTTGAGGCACAAAGAGATGGGAAAAACCTTCTACCATGTATGATTAATGTGAGTTCTTAGAAACCTTTTTCAATCAGTACTTGATGTTAAATGTTTATAATTGTACAGATGGGAAAATGGTTATTGGCAGCAAGACATTATAGTAAAGCAACGAAGAGTTTAATTTTCGCCCAACAACATCACACAGAAACAAATAATGATGAATTTTGTAAGTCAAGTTTAGCAATGTGCATCCATGAAATAAGCAGATTTAATTGATTCTAAAATATTGTCATCTTTAATAGGCACGCTGAAACTCCAGTGTTATCTAAATCTTGCTGCTTGCCAGTTAAAACTACAGAGATATACGCATGTTTTGGAAAATTCTACGAAGGTAATAAACTAAAGGTGCATGGATCATTAGCTTGTCAGTAAACATCCCTTTAACTCTACCATAATAAATACATTTAGGCACTTTCTATTGATAAATGCAACGTCAAAGCACTGTTCCGTCGTGCACAGGTTAGCGATATTTTGCAAAGTGTTCTTTAAATCCACTGTTGTTAAGCAGTTTACTTTTTTGTAGGCTTACATGGCACAGAAAGATTTTGTTGAAGCCAGTCATGATATTAAGAAGGTAACTAGCCATTGAGTGATAACATAAGTTTGTTGCAACGAAAGCTGATGATATTTATGTTCATATTAGGCGCAAATGATCGCCCCAAGAAACAGCGAAATTATTCAGTTGCAGAAGAAATTGAAACAGAAAATTAAAGAACATGAAGACCACATGACAAAGAATTTAGAAAGAATGTTTAACAATTGACCGTAGAGGCTTTAGTATGAAATGGAAGATGACTTTGTGGTTGATAGCATTACAAATAAAAAGAAAATTATATGAAAGAAATTGAAACAATGAAAATGACAATTGATGACGCTGTGTGCTAGTGACAAAACTTTAACTGAAAAAAAAACAGGTTGTTTATTGTTTTTTTCAACAATATTAGACGACTATGTTAATTTCTTCCAGTCTTTGAAGTGCAGGTAGTCTTTAAATTTCAATCGCAACTCAACTGTAGAAATATTGCTATAATTCAAGAAATATAACCAGCACGAATAAAACATGGTGTCTGGCCGTTCATTGTGCCTTGTTATATTTATTTTGTCACTAAGTTGGATAGCAACGACTTTAGGAGATGAAGGTAAATTGATCTGGAATATTTGGGTCAAAAGGTTGCCATGTGTTACTCTCTGTGTAAGTAAAAGCTAAAATTCTGACTATAATTTGACATGTAGAGAAGAATAAAAATGCAGATGTCCCGATAAAATCAAAACACTCTGTCAGAAAGAATGACGATGATGAAACGAAAACCGAATCTGAGACAAACACAGAAACAAAAGATGGGTTTAGAACTGTGACAAGAGTCACAAAGCATATGAAAATGAACAAGAACAAAGCGCCAGAAGTGATTGGACAAACTGTGGAGAGTGTTACCACGAATGTGTTCGACCCGAAAAAACCAGAAAAATTTCAAGCTGGGAAATTAAAGAAGCCGGGATTTTTATTTGATTTGTTCAGCCCTTTTAGAGTTGGAATATTTGCTGATGATCTTGTTAAGGTAAATTTTTGCCATTACATAAGTATTTCATTTTGCCGTTCTTCAGGACAGATTTTATTGCATCACACAGCAATGCTCCAGTAAGAAGAAGTGCAATAAACCAGGCATGTACTGCGATAAAATGGACTTTCAATGTCGAAAGAAATTGAAACTAGATGAAAGATGTGACCAAGAAGGACAATGCAAAGAAAGTAATGGAAAAGATAAGGTTGCCTGTCTTTGGGGAAGATGTTCAGTAGTTCCAAAATCCGTGGGTAGTGCAGGTAAACATACAACAAACTTGTTTTCCCTTTTTCGTTTATGACTTTGATCATGTGATTTTTGCAACTGTAATCATCAGCGCTCGTGTTTTTTAGGTTTGTTTTGTAAGAAAAACAAAGATTGCAAGTCAGAAGAACTTTATTGCGCTCTTCAAAATGACATCAGTGAAGTTTCTAAAGTTTGTGTTTTCAAACTGTCCGAGGGGCAAACGTGTGGACGAAACAACATCTTGCGTTTCTTGCCATTTCGCCTTTTATCCTTTAAGAATGATGATTTACCTTGCAAAAAAGGATTCTCATGTGAAGCACTAAGGTTTGCGTTTTTCTGTTTATCAACTATAGTCATTAATATCGAGGATTTCTCATGGGCCTTAAAATGTCTCATCTTAAAAGATATTTTTCATTTTATTTTTCAAAGATTCACTGGAAGAAAGATATGTCGCCGGGAAGAAGAGGAAGCTAAAAACTAGGATGTTCCCTGAGAAAATTGAATTTCTCACCAGGATCAACTCCGTATCAATTATGTATGCGTTGGAAAATGAACATGTATAGGAACAAGTCTTTAAAATATGTTGTCGTAACTCATTGCGCTTGGGTAGATATCTATATTTATGCTTACATGCTTTAGTAGATGTAGTAATAGTTATTGCATATTTATGTCCAGTATTTGAGGAACAATTGTAAATTTGCTTTGAAACAAATAAACAGAAAAATAACGGAATATTTTGTCCCATGCAGTCAAAACTGATTATCATGAATTATTAAGAACATTAAGGTGGTGCATTCATCGATGTTAACCAAGTGGAACGATTTGATTTAAAAACAAAAAAGCGTAGAAAACTTACATGTTTTTGGTAGAAATGGGGCCTCAGAGGCCATGGTTGGCGTTTCTTCTCGTAACATTTTGTCTTTTTCAAACAAGTAACACAGAATCTGAAAGAAGAGGAGAAATGGTAAAATTTAGTCACGTAGGAAAGGACGTTTCGAAGAAGGTAATTATTGAAACAAAAAAGATAGCCACTCTATACTTAAGTCTATATCAATGAAAGCTATAATATTGAATCATAATCTTATTAAAACTTCTTCCATAAACAATTCATATTACATTTGCCGCTCTTATCTTTTAAAAATTTGCCTTACAAGCACATGTAATCATTAAGGGGATAATGTCAAGTTTGTCAGTCTTAAAAAATAAGATCATTAAAACATTATAGTCTAGTATACACAATCCTCAAATTGATGGCGATGCAGTGGAGGAAACGGGAAGAACACGAATGTTGGCTCCAGGATTTTACTCGCAGGAATGTAATTTTCATAAGGAATGTGAAGAAGGTAATATAGAAGATGGTTTTGTAAGTTATATTTACAATAAATGGTTTTTTAAGGTATGTTCACAACTAATGGCAATAATGATTGGTTATTTTTGTTGATATTTCTAGGAAAATATTGTCACATGTTCCTGTGTGTACATTGTTTGAAAGAGAACGTAGCGTGTACTCAAAATGGACAATGTTGTAAGGGACAGTGTGTATATGGAAGATGTAAAAAAGACGGAGCTAGTGGTTCACCTGGAACATTTTGTGATCGACACGAGGATTGTAAAGACCCTCCAGGAACATGTTGTGTTAGGTAGGGATATAAGGCTATAACTTATAAAAACTGCATGGATTAATGCACAACTATCTCTTGTTCACAGGGAACCATCAATCAATCCACATATATCCATTTGTAAACCACCGTTGAAAAAAGACATGGTCTGTGGTCCCATTAATTTCTTCAGAACAGTTTATATTGGTGCTGAGGTTCAGACGGCCTGCGGTCCTTGTGAAAAAGAACTCGTATGTAAACAAGTTGGGTAAGTTAATTTGAGTGATGGAATTCATAAACTTTCCTATTTTATATCAGTAAGTGTTGTTTTCTGTTAATGATGTTTTTTTTTTCCATAGAATTTTTGGTGTGCATGAAATCTGCGTGGATCCAAAGACAGATTGATTGCTATTTGGGCGCACAGAAAAATGCAGAATTCATGGAAGAAGTTAAAGAATTGTATATAAACACTTTATTAACAGCCATGTATGGTGCGAGCCGTCCATATAAATTGCCTACTTTGCTTGCTCATCTGGGTGACCTTGTGTACAGTACCCATGTAAAATGTCAAACTTTACGTAATGAAAATTAGGTCTAAAACCTAATGGTGAAGAATTTATATCACGAGTTTTTTTGTTATCTTTGACATTATCGTGGAAATAAAATGGAAGTATTATAAAAAAGAAACTAAGCAATGAATGTTTCATTATGTTTTTATTTATAATAATACAACGAGATGGAACACAATTTACACGTCTTATGGTTATTTATGAGCGAATATCATGGACGATCCCAATGAATAACTTTTATCATAAAAAACTCATCTCACAAATGGGAGATATTGGTTTTCGATTAGGATTCAAATCGATGCAATAAAGCAGCAATTTTTTCAGATCTTTGCAGGAGGTTTGGCTGGCAAGCAAATCTGATGAACCCCAAATATTCTGCAAGCAAAAAACAGTCATAGTAAATCATGTAAAGAATGAAATATATGACAAAGATGACTACCTACCCAACTTGCTTGCAAGTCAAATCAGATTTACATGGTCCACATGCTGCCTGTACTGTCCCTCCAATATACACAGCCCTATATTGATTGTATGGACCACATGTTTGATGCTCATCAAGTGCAGGTTTACAGATAGATATTGCTGGGTTGACTGCAGGCTCACGTACACAGCAAGTGTCGTCTTCTTCGCAATCACTTTGACGATCACAGAACGTACCTACGTATGAAATATCAAAATCATGTTTAACATTCATCCAATCACTTGAAGTTATAATAATAATAAATTCTAAGAAAGATATCTAGTGGATTGCTTTAATGTTGTTTCCAACTTCATTTATACAACATAACTACGCTAAATAATTTTTAATTTCTCGTTTATTAATGGAGAAATTTAGAGAACACAAAGTATTCTTTAAATGGTTATAAAAAATGACATAAATATGTCATTGATACATCATCTATGAGTAGAAAACATTTCATTTTTACACCATTTCAACAACGCTATAGACATCAATCGGGTTGCCTAACTTTCTCAACTTATATCTATATAAAATTATACCTGCAGCACCCTTTTTAGAGCCTGATTTACAGCGTCCATAGACGCAGAATAATCCTTGATCGACACAACATTGGCCATTTTGAGTACAGGCCACGTTTTCTTTCAAACAATCAACACACAAAAACATGTGACAATATTTTCCCTCTTCACATTTCTTTTGTGAATTACACTCCTGTGTATAATAACCTGGAGCTATCATCTATATACAAAAAAAAAACAATGTTCAAATGTTTCATTGATCAATAGGTTCTCAATTAGAACGTTAGATTCATCAATTAAAAACATATTTACCTTTTTTACACGGGTTAAATGTTTATTTGTTGGTTCTAAGTTTGTATTCTGACTTTCTACCAAGGTCAAAAGAACCGCGATAAAGATGGCGAGAAAGGCAATCATATTATGAAGCATTTTATAAAACAATATTAAATAATCATGACAGAAAATTTGATGATCTAAATTGGTAAAACTGAAAAAATGGAAACGTTCCAATTTCAGTTGATCGAATGATAAAATGAAATCACAATGAATAATTAATTAAAGCTGAGATCATATATCTCTGTAACTGCTTTACCAGTTTTAAAAAATTACGATAAAATTATCGGAAGTTTTATCTTGTCTGCGAACATTGCAATGTTGCAAAGAATTTTCCAAAATAATTTATACAATCCGAACGAGAAAATACGTTCGGATTGTATAAATTATTTTGGAAAATTCTTTGCAACATTGCAATGAATTATAACAAAACAACCTTTTCATTGTGGCTACTTTTTGTGGCTACACAAAAAGTAGCCACAATGAAAAGGTTGTTTTGTTATAACGGGCAGGTTTTGAGCGGGTTGTTGTCGCAACTCAATGAGCATGTCTCGACGCTGTGTTATACTTCAAAGAAACTATAACCAATGTTCTCTTTGTAATAAAATAATAAACCGTTCATATATTTTGTTTATTAACTTGGAGATAGCATGTTGCGTCGAAGTTTGATCATCTAAATCATATCAGTGATTTGAACGTCTTAATAACATGTTTGTGTGTTTATTAATTATAAGCCAATTTGCATTAAATGGTTTCAACGCAAACTTGAGAATTGTGCATTGATATACATTTTATGTTATATCAAATGATTAATGAAAAAATACAAGATTAATTTTTAAACAATTCAGCATTCGATATTTTGTCCAAATAAAAGAGTCTCAATGCGCACAACTCTTGTACCTATATGAGAGACTTTCTTCAATCTACTTTCATGAAGTTTTTCTAAATTGCTACATTTCTCCATTAAAGAAGTAACAGTTCTTGCCATTTCCGAATACTCTAAATTAAGAACGTTGACAGAATTGTGCAGAATTTTCCACGAATCACGTTCCTCCGAACAGTCCTTCGTCAAAACCGATTCAACAACTTCGGTGTCAGAACTTTCCAAACGAAGCAAGTTTTCGTGCTTTTTAATGGTCCCCATTAAATTGCGCTTTGATACTTTCTCCTTCTTCAAATCACTCAATACCTCTTCTTGCCATTCCCCCATATATTCACGGTTTGATTTCCCGTCATCATCATTCTCCATCATCATTCATCTTTTAATTTCCCCGTATCTTGCTCCATGATGAAAGGCAAAATAACGCCATCATATTGATATTTTATTTGCGTTTAGCCATAACTACTTATTTTGTTAATGGAACATGATATAATGACACTAGATGATCTTTCCTGTGTTCTGTTACCATGGAGACAAGACAAACAAATCCAGGTGATCGCAAATACATTTCTTCTAATCCCGTAAACATCCGGATTTGCAAACATTTTAAGAAGAAAAAGTTAACGAATGAATTTTATTGCAAGAAACATCTAAGAGCTTTTGCTTTTCAAAATAATTTTCGCCAAAATTTAACAGCCGTGGAACTGAAACAGGTTGTGAAATATATTCCACCTGTATTTGAGTGACGTCATAGACCTTTTCAGAACAATAATCAATTTTAGGACGAGAAGGATTTTTCTTATTCAAGTATAAAATATTCTGGTCGTCTGTTGTCTTTATTTGGAAAATGAAACATCTCATCTTGGCTGTGGTGTGCTTTTTAATCGCAACTCCTGTCTGGTCAAGCCGTCTTTACAAAAAGAACACCAAATCTCGAACTCAAAATACGATTAAAAAGGTTGGTTTATGTAGCCGCGTGCTGGGCATTTGTAATATAAGAATCCCAAAGGAAAATAAGATGACTTTTCCTATGTCATCATATAGCAAAATTCGTTTTTCTATTGCTTCCCACAACAGAATATCAAGCCAAAATTGTTTCAACCATTAACACCGTTCTGCAACGGTAAACGCTCCGGTTGACATCAATTTTAAATAATTTATCGTATGAACAAATTATTTAAAAATATCTTTGCAGCAAATGTTAGCACCAGGTTACTATCATATGGAATGTCAAACTAAAGAAGATTGCATGAAAAAAAATCCAAAATCATTTTGTCATATGTTCATGTGCGTTGACTGTCTCAAAGAAAACGTCGCCTGTACGCAAAACGGTCAATGTTGTGATAGCACTGAATGTATTTACGGGCGATGTAAAAGAGGACCAGCGCAAGGTCCAGGTAAGAATTGCTAAGAATACGAAGTAACATGGTGGTGTACATAGCTAACCCAAAAAACACCAAGGAGAACTATGTGCAAGCGTAATGAAACGACATTATCTATTGTTTGTATGCCGAATTAATTAGATAGCATGAATACATAAAGAGGGCTTTAATTATCTATACCTCTGACCGTAATTATGCTAAAACCAAATAGTTGTTGCAACTCGTTGTGAGATATTAATTAAGTTAATGCAAAATAAATTATTGATTATAGGAACATTCTGTGACAAAAAAGAAGACTGTACATCACCGGATAATTGCTGTGTTAGAGAGCCCGCAATCAATCCAGCAGTTTCAATCTGCAAACCACAACTTGACGAAGACCATGTTTGTGGGCCAATCAACCAGTACAGAACGGTATACATAGGTGCGCATGTGCAGACTGCTTGCGGTCCCTGTAAAGAAAGCAAAAGTCTTGAATGCAGACAAGTTGGGTAAGTAAGATTAATCTTGGCCTAGGTTACGTTAGATTATGCACGTCTTTCAAATAAATTCATGATTATCTTAAGAACCCACTGAACTAATATACACAAAAAAATAAGTCATTGTAAACAATAAGTCAATGATAAGATTTCGATTTCGAGTTGGAATGTAGTGAAAAAATCTTCTTGATTTCTTTACAGAATCTTTGGTAACTACCATGTATGCATGAAGCCACTGTCAAAGTAATAATATTTTTGAACACAAGGTATGAACGGTACAATTAATTATGCACGAGAAGCGAATGGAATCCAAACTTCATTTAAAAACGAAACTAAAACGTTGTCGTGAATATGGCAATGTTGCCACTTGTATATTTGAAATTTCACTACATTGTTGATTCAATTTCACTTTTTTTTACAATCCATTAAACTCACGGTGATTTTACTACAACATTGAAAAGAACTTGCTTTTATGCCAACAAAATGATTAATAAAAATTCCTAAAATGCGTAGTCATGGTAACATAAATGTTCCAATCCTGTGTTCCAAAGGTTCCTAAGAGTAACGCTATAAGCGATCATGGCAGATGATGGTCATATCTTTCTTTCATTTTGTCGCTTACATTTATGTGAAAAACTTGACAAACAGGGGAAATAATCTTGTAAAAGTGAAATATGTTGTTTGCATGATAATATGTTAAGAACGTAACGAAAAAATTCGATCCAACTATAGAATCAGAAATAGTTTTCCTTAAATAGAAATAATGAGTCTAGCCTACGAAGGAAATAGCCAAGAGTCGCCCTCAAATAAGCATGGTGTCAAAATGCGATAATGCGTTGTTTATAAACAAACTTCCTTTTGAATGAATGGTTGAAAATAAAAGAAAATCTTTAAGTTGATTTTCTACTTGAGGCGTGTTTTTTAGAACAAATACAATTTATATAACTTCATGAATATTGTTTTATAGCAAGATAAAAGAGAGCAGCATATCTAGGGTAAGTCAAAATAAATTATATTACAGCTTTATTATTGGGTGTATTTTTATATGAAAATAATTTATAAGCAGTTTGTTTAGTAAAGTAGTTATATTTTTCAGAAATTTACTACCTATCTCATGGCCATGAAAATATTTTCGATGTAAAATTGAGTTGCAAAAATTATATTTGTCTATGACGCTGGATCACCAAGATGTGGCATTGCTTTTGTTTTCTAGTTCATATTGTCAAAGTTCTTCCAAAATTGCTCTTCAGAGCTTCCGTGTTCAATATCATTTCAAATGAAAACTTCTGGTTTCAATTGCACTCATGAATGGTCTTTGTAAAAACGCCTTATAAGAAAGATATTCTTTCTTTGGACGGAAAAAAAGTTTGGCGTTATGAGAGGAATGTATTAAAGAATTTTAATTAACTTTTAATCACCATCATAGAAAAAATGAAATAAAAGAAAGTATCAGTTTAGGAAATTGCTAACATTTGGAACATTATACAAGCAAAGTTAATTACTCAATAACTGATTATATTTATTAATAATAACTAATTATCCTACAAGTAGATATCGTGATCATTTGTTTTGGTCGTTGTAAAAGTGTTTGTTAATAAACTTTGAAAATCATACCGGAGCTTTGAGTAAAGCTTAAATGTATTGAAAATTTTATCACAAATTTAAAGTAACTTTTTTATTCAAAATTGTTTTCATAAAAACTCGCTGCGTTAAAGATTTGCTTTCCCGTGTCGAACAAAAAAGATTTTTTAGCTAAGTCTCAGATACTTCCTCTATTGAAAGTTCCTCTTATCTTGAACGTCTGTAATTCTTCATACTACACTATTAGAAAAAACATATAATCTTCCACGAAACAATAATATTCCTATTATAGGGAAAGGACAGTCTTCGTGTGATTGATTGATCATCATGTTACGTAAATCTATAGTGGACATGAACAATTTGTGAGTTCGTGGCAGTGAGATGTTTTCAGACATAGGTATTTGACGAATTTCAAAGCTGTTAAAAGATTTGTTAAATATTGCATGAATTTCATACTGTGGTAGTCATTTAATTGGCGCTCTGTCACATAGTGAGACACACGATGAAGCCTGTTTAGTAAGCGATCCCTTGCGGGTGTACTTTAGAAATCCTTCTTTATATACATCGATACACTTTCAAGATCAAACAAAGCGCCAAGTTAAAAAAGAGTATGGATAATATTAATTGAACAGCTTATAGCAACGATGTCCTTATGTGCTGATCAATTAAGAGTGATTATTACCATACCGGCAATTGACAATCTTAAGAGATTACAAACTGTGGTGTAAGAGTTATAACTCTGAAAATATACATTGTTTATTTAGTGTTACGTGTTCATAGAAAACTGCACAAACCTGACTCGCTTTACAAACTTAACGACACAAAATACTTTAATATTTAGTACAAATTTCAATATATTATATTTCGACAATAAATAAACACATTTCAGTAATTTAAATAAAATGTACTTTTCAACAATAAAATATTTCAATCTTTGTTCGTGATCATAGTTTTTGGAGGGAATTGTGTGATTCATTCTTCTCTTTCTCTCCATTTAATCACCTCGCCATGATCAATCCATGTTAAGATTACCCACTACGTCTTGGTCTTTTTTACATGTCAAATTTTCATTGCATGTTCTAGATTAAAGTAAATTTCAAAAACCATTAATACTTGTGTGTATATTGTAGTGTTTTAGTATTTACATATACAAACAGAGATAAGTATTTTGGATAATTACCAACGATTATTCAATTATGGTAGAGAAGCTTTAAGTAATTATGTGCATGAAAGGGTGGCCGGTCTTAGAAACTAGCTATAAAGTTCAATTTTGCTTTCCTTGTTTCTATCAACGTTATCAAGTCAAGTAAAATTATTACTGCTATATATTAACTCCTCGTTGCCATATTTTAACACTGTTTAAAGTTCTTACCGAGAAAAGCATTCGCCTAAGTTTAAGTTCTCTCTTTTTAATCTTCTTCAAATTTCTCATTATACTTTTCATTTGATGTTTTAACTGCCTTTTGGTGCGCTTGGTTTTTCTAGAACTGTTTTTTCCTTTACTTTTTGACCTGCTCTTCTTTGGACGTCCTATCTCAATGATAAAACCAATTGCTTCTCCTTCTTCAAAGCAGGACATGAGAATTGTACAAACAAGAAGGAAAGCCACAAACATTTTGATATTCTTCATCTTTTCAAGAGTTTCTCTCAGGAAGCTTCTCTCACTTTTTTTCTTAAAAACTTGAGTTGAGTGCCGATACTCTGTTTCGTCAAGTGCCTAACGACTCTTTCAAACTTATGACTGAAGGCTTTCAAGCTCTCTATTTATGTATCTTGTTTTGCTGACGTCTGGAATTTTCGGTCTTTGTTAGTAATCAACCAAATGGAATAAGTTAATTATAGCATAATTCTAGTGTCATCGATGACAGGCCGGAAAATGTCGTAGAGAGCCCAAACAGTTGCATATTTAGTAACTACTCGACTGTTAAATTGTATGTGGTACAAATAGCAACAGTTGTATACGACATACAATAGAAGATCTTTGCGAGTCTATTTCAAGAACATTTCCATCTTTAGATCATCTACAAATGTACAACTGCGTTTAGGAACTGATTTCAAAAATAAGAAATTTATGAAATTTAAAAATAACCGAATATACTTAGCAAAGCTCTTCTTAGGAGACCAGAGTATTTACTATACTCCCTGTAGCATAATATGCCAGGTTAATCTTTTCTCTCGAAGCAAAAGATTTTTCGATAACTAATCATTGCGTGCACCTTGGAAATATAGGATATCCTTTTTAAATTATTTGATATAGGCGTTGTTTCATGAAATGACAAAACCTTACAACTATTAGCAATGGCTCATTTTTATTAAAGAATTAATGATTCTCTCGAGTGCCGATGCCAGACATTGCACTTAATCTAACGAAATTATCAAGACTAGAGTTTATTTATAAACCAGTAATCCGTGAAAATTCTACAAAGACCACGAAAGTCTTTTTTTCGTAAAAAATACCTTGATCGCAATAAAATGTAGTTCTATCCTGGAGGAAAATGTTCTCTCGTTATGTTTACATTCAAGTTATGAAAAAATCCAATGCTGACTACACAAAGTAAATGAAAATGTTGTTGGCACGAGTCTTCCTTAAGAGGAAGGCATGAAATGCAGAAAAGATTCTTGAATATACTTATAATTTGATGATAATGAAGGAAATGATACTTTTTTCAAGTGTTTCAGGGCAAATCAGTAATAAGCAGCGTGAGTACAGAGGCTAGCAAGACCGGTTTAAAGATGATTATTTTTAGAAGTGCTGAGTGTACATCATTAGTCAGCTCAACAGAACGGATATCTTTCATACGTATAAATCTATACTAATAATTTCCATCGAGTTCTTATAAACCAATTTAAAACTCGAGCATTTAAACGTAATGGTAAAATCCACTTTAGAACTTATCATTGTAAAGTATGATGTTTTAAACGACCACCACGCTATCCGGTACACACCTTACAAACTGCTACGTCAATCTTCTCCTTGGTTGACACAACTTTGCCAAAGAACGGTTACCAACACAAAGTATGCTAACATTATGGGGTCAGAATTTTAAATGCAGATCTTTAAAACATGGTATCTTAAATTACAGCATGTTTCATTGCTATTTTTTTATTTACATCATCAGGTCGTTCGAACTATGCCAAGTATTTCCTGCAACTGCACGACTATAGAATTTTTCAATTTGTTTCTCACTTAATGTAGAATTTAACACAACTTTAATGACAACGAGTAATGTAATGATAAGCTATGAAAGCAAACACATACGAACATTTTTCTTTTTATATCCAATTATAGGCAGTATATCCGTAATAAAACTCTGTCAACTCTATGCAAGGTCATGCACAAAATAGCAATAAATTTTGAACACATATGGAAATAAGTACACAAATGGTACTAAATTTAACTCTTTTGAAAAATGTGTCTCATGCCAACAACATATACACTTGTTATCGACATGAATCTAGAACGATGTCTAGAAAATTTTTTTCTTTTCGAGAACGAAGTACATTTAAAATGTTTTTAAAAATAGTACAACGCTTATTCTTATGTTAAGTAACCGAACAGCGTGGGGGCCTGGTAATAGATTTATTCACCAAACTCTTTACATTGCAAGTAATTTCGGCACGCGTCAACGAGTCAACTCTCAATATTATGTTACCGATCACTTAAAATAGAGGTGTGTGATGTTGATAGATGGTAATTTTTTAGATTCTATTAATGGTAAATTCCTTAAGGTATCATAGCAATATATGTAGAAACCATAGATAATATAGGATTTGTTTACAACACGATAAAAAGGTAACAAAGATTGCTAATGCAAAACTAAATGTTTAATAAAACAGTTTTCCCCAATTAGATGTAGTTGACAGAAAGTACTGTCATTATTTCAACGACAGTACCACGTTCTGGATATATTATAATGTTTTATAATTATAGGTTTTGGTGATGGCTCCATGATCAAAGTACGACACGTACACGTTGGCGTTCTGGCATCATCAAGGCACGTCTTAATTCACTAATTTTAGTAATTTACTAAATTGATCTTAGTATTATGCAAATGTAAGAATAGAATACACTGGAATGACTGCATAAAGTAGAGCAAAATTTTCCCACTTCTGCAGTCCAATATTGTCAACAAAATGCCAAGAATATTTAAGATACCGTATCATACGTTACCATAAACAAATGATGCTCCTATACATATGTAAATATGAGTGTAGGAGGGGTTTGCAATCAAACGTAAAATCGGAGTAGCTAACTTTGAACTTTGAACATATCTATCATTTATTAAATATGCTATAGAATAAGCATTACTTCAATATTTGTCGTCCTCCCAAAGAAAAGACTGTTAATGCTGTATGTAACGTTTTTTACACAACGTTATGATTATGCGTTAGACTTTGTTCTCAAGGCTGAATGCATAACTATACATTTAAAACATTAACCATATACTTCATTTTCTGTAAAAAGTGATCATTAAACATTAATGGCAAGCATTCAATATACTATAATATACAAATAAGTTTTTCCATGTAAAAATGACAGATCCATGCGTTCATAGAGGAATAAAATTTGCCCAGCATGCGACGGAACAATTCAAGTGAAACAACAACTGTTTCAAATACTTAACAACGTAAAAGCACTAGTTCCGTATTGTGTAGTTTCAGTATTGATACCATAATATCACAGAAAAAGTTAACAACTTTATTCTGTGACATTATGTCGCAAAATATATAAGGCTGTGATCAGTGAGTGTTTAATGCTAACCGTTCGAAATGAAATGAAGACGAAATTGATAATATTTTTACGAGAATGTTCAGTACAAAAGAGTATGAAGTTACTTTGAAAGTACAAATGAACATCCCACAAAAAAGTGAACGCTTGTGAGTCTATACATCATTTGAAATCAAATTAGTTTCACACATAAGCTGTACCGCGAAATCCATTAGTTAAGGTCAACTTCTACGATCTTTGATAATCTCAAATTACTTGGGCAAGGAGTTTGATCTTTTTCTACAGAGCAATGTGTGTTTTTTATTGTTTCCTGTTGCTTTGTGTCCTGTCTCGTCGTGAAAGCTATTTCGATTTTCTCGTAGGTAAGCAATGAATCTATCTTGACGTTTCATATATTTCTTTAAAAGTTCGTTGGTCTCTCGTTCCTTCTTCAGTTCTGATTTCAATGCGTCGTTTTCCATCGATAACTGATGGATGCGTTCCTTTCTTTCACTGTCGTCAAGCTGTAAAACTTTCAGAGCCTTTTCTAAGTTTTCATTTTCTTGACGTAACAACGTGAGTGCCATGTTATGATTTGATACATTATCCATAATTAAATATCAACATCAACAACAACAACACAGTATTACTTTATACTTTCAAATTGTTTTCACAAAGATATACTTGAAGGGAAAATTTACAGTCATGCATTGACAGACAAATATAACATCCTCTTTTTGTTGGACACGACTGGAGCTTCTTTCAAAACTTTATGAAAATTTCCACAGGCCACTTTGCGATGCTTTCCAAATTTTTTTCCTATCGAGAATTCACTGTCAATGCAGCAGCAAAATTAAACGATAATATTATCAACATTCCCCTCGTGGCTCCATTATTGCGTGGGAGTTACCATGGTAACATAGCCAGAGGGTGTAAATGTATACTGCAGAAATACGGCGTATGGAGAGATGCTTTCATCGCCGATTCAACATGCAGAAAGCAATTGTATCGTATTTCTAAGTCAATAACCAAAATAGTAAAATCTTATTACCCTAATTACGGAAAAAGTTGAATTGTTTACGTATATCACCTAAAGCAAAATGGGGTCACATTGCTTCCAAAAAGGCATGCCACTCAAGAATTGATGTCTAATGTCTTTCTTCAACGTTCGAAGTTTATGGTATGTTCGTAAAAACTCAAACAATTCTCGAGGTTGAGGCAATTAAAGATAGTGATTTTGTTTAGAAAGGAAAGCCTAAGGGTGTCTTCACTGCATGTCAGATTGGTTTGTCACGATATCTTTCTTCGTTTTCAAGGAGCAACATTCTGTAGCAGAAGCGTATTAATATGATTGAATGTTATCGCAGTCTTTAAAAACATAGAAATTTTCATCTGCTCCTCTGGCGATCCGTTCTGATTTCAAACTTGGAGATCAGTAGATAACAGAGAGTTTCAAAAAATTGAAAAGGGAATATGACTTCGGACTCTTTATTGAACTGCCATTTTAAGAAGGCAGTTGACCAAATTAGTCAGCTGAGAGCAAATTAGTTTATTTACGACAAGCAGTGGTGATCATAAAAGAATCGACATAAATTGTAATTGACATTGAACCGTCACCTTTACATTGACCTGTGACGTAAGGAAAAAAGTGAATGTCAGTCGTTCCATACAATCAGAAGCCTTTGATGTTTTGCCATAACGTATGCTGCACTACGCATATCGGCCACCATTATTCCAATCAGCTGATTTGATTTTGGAAAGTCATTTGTTTACTACCACTAAAATGACATGACATCATTTCTAATGTAATGTAATGTAATGTAATGACTGCTTCCCCTCTTTTAAATATTGTAATTATGTAAAGCAGGTGGAGCTGTCTAAGCTCACCAGAGGGGATCTCGTAGTAACGATTACCAAATCTGGCCCACTGGTGTGATCCCCTCTGCAATTCACAAATATACAAAGCCGGTCGCGACAACCTTCACAAGCGTCACTCGTGCGAAGCTTAAAATACCTTCCGCAAGTTGTATGTAAAATAACGTACCAGGCAAAAATTAAAGAGGTTTCATTGAACAGTTGCAATCATTGATTGTGATGTAATAAATGTGATTTAACATGTGACATTACTATGCGATGTATAAATGCATTACTGCCTGTGTGCTATTTTTATAAGGAAAAGTCTGGAAAAGCAAGATAATTGAAGCGATTGCTGCGATTGTATCGTAGTACACGGAGTTTGGTTAAAAATACATGCAGTCGAAAGGACATTTAATGCATGAAGAAAAAACGTAAATTGAATGGAATTGTCTTCAACTTGAGACGAAAATTTACAATGCCATGGTGTGATAATGTTTATACTTGTCATTAAAATGACTCGTATAAAAATACAATGATCTACTACGAGTATAAATGAAAAAGCAAGAAAATTGAAAACGTTGTGATTAAAGAATGATTTTAGACCACATCTTAAATATTCACACGGGAAGCATGACAAACTAAAGATGTTCGTGATTACTACGTCAATCATTTTTGCCACAGATTTAACACTTTTTAACCTGCACATTCAAGGTCATGGACAAATCCATGAGAACTCCAACGGTGTTGCCGTCTTAATGAATTATTTGTTTTTGTACAGAATAACAGACGATGAATCGAAGAAACATTCCTCTTAGTAAATAGATACCGGGAACAGATCTCTGTGAAAACACAGCAGAGTTGTTTGTGAGTGTATGAAGACGCAGTATCAAGGATAAACGACTCTAGGATAAATATAGGATAACACTATTCTGTGAAGGTAAGAATAAATTTTGATGATTGTTCACAGTGATGAACAAATCGTTGATGCAACAAACGCAAGTATAAGAAGCAAATTAGCTGGTGTTTTCAGAAACAGTCACGAACGACGATAAGCGTTTTGATACGATAATACAGAAAGATTAAAAACGAAATTATTTGAGAACCTGCTCACGACAGAGCAGTGCATGGCAAATGCATTTTCACAAATACAATCACAGCAATATGTGTAAAAAATATTCACATATTCACAGTACAACATGGCCACCCACATCATATATCCGACTCAGACAAGCTAAAGACAAGTTAACAATTGTGCCAAAAAAAATAACATTGTTGCTATATATGGCTTAATAAGATGTATCATTAACAGAAGCATTTATTATCTTTTTAATAGATAATGAATTCGCTTGCAAAAACAACCGAGAGCACGGAATCTTTTTTCAAAAAGTCTAACACAAAGCCCGAACTCGTTATAAAACTGCTAAAATTGGAAAATGCCAACTTAGTAAAAACGATCGTGTCTCTGAACACACGCAACAGCCATGTTGAAATAGAAAATGCGATACTTCGCAAAGAGAGCTCAGATTTAAGAGAAGCATTGGATGAAAGCAAAAGACTTTTGGCAAGTCTTCTTAAACAGACCAAAAAATATGAAACAGCTCTAAAAAAGGAACTATGCGTCAATACATCTTCGTCATATTGTCAACACAACGGTGAATTAGTAAAGAAAGATAGTTCAAGTTCAAGAAACAACAGCAGCTCATGACGAATCATCGAGAAAGATAAATATGACATTGTTTTATCATTTTAGTATAGCTGACTTGTATTATATGAAAATGCGCTTGTAGTCGTGTTCACATTATTGCAAATATGTCTGGTAGGTGTTATAAGCAGAACTTTTGTCCAAATATATACATAAAAAAAAAACACTGAAAGAGGTCATTTGTTGGACCAACCAAATACTCCTGTCCTGTGCAACAGTTACCATGGTTCCCATGCGAGAAAACGTTCATATATGAATGAATTTAATTTCTGATGCAATGCAATTTTTCATACAGTAGTTTTGGTAAGAGTATAATCTATCACCTACGAGGATAGCAAAGCATGCCTGTATTTGTCATGTTTCGTGATTCTTGGCATAGAATAGAGATGAAACTAGAAGAGCCATGTGACAGTCCTTTGAAGTTGACGCGATCGCACTGTGAGTTGCTGTACCCTATGGTTCGCGCCTATTAAGTTATATAACAATACCCACGGGAGGTAGAAAGAAGGACTGCATGAAAACTTTTCTCGTAAAGATAAGATTTTGGTTTGATATTTAACCATTATTCATGTTAAATAATGATGTTGATTTGATTTTACTATCAGTTCAGAAATGTTGAAACTCTTATTGAAACCTACTTAAAACATAAATGTATTTTTATTTGTTGACGAAGATTCATTTGTTTATTTAAGATGTCTCACACACAGTAATGCAGCTGTGTTTTCTTTACAAGCTACAGCTTACTACACCATATAAATTGCTATGCTTAACCATGTACCAAAAATATTATGTACCGTATATTTCTGAAGAAATTTTCCGCGAAAATCTTACCAAAAAGTGATTGTATTAAAAATAGAAATTGTACCACGCTCTTTTGTCGGGCAAATTATGCCCCCACCCTCCCGTCCCCCCAATATCAGTTATCGTTACAGTTTCGCCCCTGCAAAAGACATCCAGCAAAGGGATACCCCCCGTTCAGAAACTGTTTTTGAACGAAGATGATTTTTTATCGGTTTATCTATAAATTATCATATTGAAATATATTTGCGAAAAACAACATCACGCTAACATTTCAAGCTTATATTCGTATTGAAATTTGAGTTGCCCATTTTGGGCAACTTATTGACAGTTCATATTTCAATTTCATACGCATTTCTCACTAGTTTGTGGTGTTTACACGACAATACACTTTCACAGTTTGAAAACTCAAGCTCAGTTGTAAGGAACTCCGCCATTTTTTTGATCATATGCGAAAATAAACATATGAATACAGCCTCCTACCACCAATTATGATTATCAAGCTGTTAACCGTACGATACAATTTCTTGCATCATTTTTAAATGAACTGAAAAAACATTACATAAGGCATTATATAACCGGGAAAAAGTGTCCGTTTCGGACACACTAAAGTGGCGTTTTATATTACATATACAATGTTACTGAATTTCGACTTACGTAAAATTTCTTAAATTGCGCGTCTTCCCCAACACCAAACATTTGCAGTGATTAATTTCAACATTCAGATTCTTTGCTATTCATGGCAAAAACAACATGTTCGTATTACTTTACACATGAAGGATGAATTTTGTCAGTCGGAAAATTATCTTCGGAAACGGTTTCCAAGTGCTCCTCCTTTTGATGGATGTCCGTTTGAGTATTCCCAAGAAAATGCAGTGTTTTTCACAAAGTTTTTCGATATAGAAACGACTTCTTGTATGATACAGTACAAAACACGAGTAGCATGTGGTTTCGTTGTATAGCAGGTGATGGTACGGTATAGCAGGTGGTAGCATGATGTTATGGCATGTGGTAGCCATGGGTGGCCATGGTATACCATATAGCATATAGTAGTATTTAGGAGGATCACTTGATGCAAGTAAAGCAATTTAACAATGAGTTGCAGGGAAACCTTTGTACAAAATTATTTAATAATACATTTATGCCATTGATAAACTAGTCATGATAGCAGTTTATGTATGAATTAAGTTCACTCAACTGAATATTAAAAAATCAAGAGAATATAGACTGGAGAGTTAAATATTTAACAATATAAAAATAATAATTTTGACATATACACTGGTATGGTATATTTTAATATATATATAGATAGTACACATATATGGTAGTTTATACATAACAATCCCATTGAAACATGTTTTCATCCCTAATATATTGGCTTTGTATATATATGTGAGCAGATTCATGTCCTGATCAAAGCAGACTTAAAAATTTGTCATGGCTTCTTTCTCAAAAAGATGCGACCGACGATTTCCATCAACCCATTCTTGTCTTGCTCGTTTGATATGAGCAATATAAAAGAAAGTAAGACAAGCTCCAAAGATCTAGTGAGTAAAACATTGTAATGATCAAGTTCACTTATCAAAATTAAACTCTGGTAATATTGATTTTCACATTGGGTAAAATTCAGATAATTTTATTAACCTCAAATAATATATATCCAAGAGAGACTAACCTCTGTTAATACAGCCACCATACCCTACATTGTGTAACACTAAGACTATTTCTAACCTCTGGTAATACAGCCACCATGCCCAACATTGTGTAATACTAAGACTATTTATTACTAACCTCTGGTAAAACAGATGCAACTACCACTCCAAATATCACTAACATATTATCATATAACCACAAGACAAGAGCATCGAGACAACCACGAGTATGAATTTCATTACGATATGTGAGACGCTACAAAAGAATTTAACTTGCTTTGATGAAAGTTTCCTAATAAAAAAACATGCTTTTTTATACCATGTTATTCTCACAAAAATGGCAAGCTACACAGTACGATACAAGATAGATTTGCAATGAACATATTTATTGTGATTGTGAGGGCAAACTTTTCATAACAGGCAACAATATGTAATAATCATATATGTTAACAACTGCAAGGCATAAATATTTTTGAAAAAATCATAGTTTAATGAAAATTTACAAGTAAACAATGATAGCCTTAATTTTACATCCTTTCTAAAACCATGGCCTTCTTTAGACCCAAGACAAGAAATCCCTCCCCACAACCCTTCTGGACACTTTAGAGAGGAATGTGTTTATTTGAATTAAGGCATATTGATTAAATACATATATAATATAAACCTACATGATGCTGACGTGTTTTGTATCCACATTGAAGATTTATGTCAGTCCATTTGAAGTTTTCAAAGTTTGGACCAGTGACATTGCTTGACACTTGCTGTGTCTTTACCTTCGAAATCTAAAAGATATCATTTTGATCTCATTTTGAATGCTCATCTTTCATACATGAAGTGTAATCACCATGACACCTTTTCTTTTATCTTACAACAAGACACAGGTACACCACATGCCTCTGGTGTTTTCGCACCACAACGAAAGTATGGATTTTGATCCCAATCATTAATTGTTGTACTGCCACAACATTCAAACTAAAACAGTTGAAATATCAGACGGGCCATAAGATGCTTGATTAAATAAAACACAGTTTTCTAATCAACTCACATTTAACTGAAAACCATCCACAGCATTCTTTAGATCAGGATCCCTTCTGTATTTTATAATTGCCAAGAGAAATGCCGTATTAACCGAATCCTTAATCTACAAAAAACAGAATAAAACAATTTGAATTCTCGACAAGAAACAGCAACATACAGAATAGCAACAAAATACCTCAGACCAAAAAATAAATCCGATGACTCCAATTACAATTTGAAAAGTAAAAATGAATACAACAAAAAATAAGTACTAAAAATAAAAATATATGTAAGTCAGTGACTCTTGACATCCATTTAAATGCACATGACTGGAATTAGGCAACCATCATCAAAATTTGAAACCAGAAACTCAACTGATCACAATAATTACATGTAAAATTCTGAAATTATTCCTCAAAGTTCCTATACTTACAACATGAAAAATTTTGATATTACCCCTCAATGTCCTTTACTTACAACATGTAAAAATTTGATATTATCCCTCAATGCTCCTATCATTCCAAACATGGACACAAAAAGAATAATTGAGCCACAGATTATGACAGCTATTGATGGGTCACTGATAAAATCATAGAAATCCTTATAGTTTCTGTAATATTCTGATTTCTCAACGTTAGCATAAACACCGGTCGCTATGAGAAAGCCACCAATTACCTACGAATGCAATGGAAAATGGTTTCTTGACTTCAATCAATTAAATGTGTCAATTACAAAATAAATAAGTATATTATTTCTTAATTTAAAACAATTATGAAAATTCAAGTTTCAATCTTGCGTGAAGAATTCAATTAAGCTTGGCAATATAGAGGAAATCGAAGAGAGGACACCTACCATGAATGTTACGTTAAATCCAAACAGAAAAAACTTCTTATATTTTGCCTTGCCCATATTTCACTTCAAACTTCTTTGTGTCAGTTTATAGAAGCAAGGCTACTCTTTATCCAGCCATCAAAATATCAACGTCGATTGATTTCTCGGTTCTTTAAAATTGTTACATTTGCAGATCGAAAGCGACGAACCTATTAAATCTCAAGTGCAATCTTTGACTCTTTGATATTTGTGAATTTCTTGAATTTCTGATTAGCTATGTTGACCGCTGACCCTATGCTGACCCTTGTGGTTTCTTGAGCCCACATCTCGACTTCAAATGAAACAAAAACTTTCATCGTTTGATAATTTAAATTTCAATGAAATGCCTAAACGTTCTAAACACGAGAAATCTTTAGTTCGAAGAGAACAGCATGATTTATTTTTAGTGCAAAATAAACATAGTTTTATTTACATCATTTCTAATTGCTCATCCCTAATGAAACAAAAGCACTTTGGAATGTTTTGCTTCAAAATCATCTGGAACAAACAAAAACTAAACAAAAATTAAACAAAATGACATGTATTGTATATTATGTAAATGAATTGTAAATAAATTGTCTCGTTTATAACTGCAAAATCTCAGTGTGTTCTTCATCGCATTCACACTGACTTGATGAAAAAGAAAGAGTGATTTGTTGAATAAGGTTGGTATGCATTTTAATGTTTACGTTCATTATAGAACTATTTTTTTTTTGAAAGTTTCAATCTTTCCCATCGTCTTTCGTGAAAGTCTAAAATGCTAAATAAAACAAGTCGTCTATTGTATTCGGCATGCTCATATAACATCGTGACGACTTAAAATAAGTTTTTTCTTAAATTGTTAAATCTTACGTATCAAGCCATCAATAACTGATGAATGATTGATTTAGCTACTACTATCTAGTACAATGTTTTAATGTCTTGTTTGATGTCAAAATACGATACAATACTTTAGTGGAATCACTTCAAAGAATGTAAACTACATAGAAAATTTTATATGAAAAAAAAAACGATGATGATTTTCAAATGACAAAGATTATCGATATTAACCTATAAATGACTTCCAGGTAAGTTCGGGATTGTAAGGAATTTTACTAGTTCTTTACTAGTTCTCAAAATCATTATTCTTTTGTTCCTTCTTATCTCATTGATTCGTTATTGATTATTGAATCTGAATTAGGGACAGAGGATTTGGGTCGCAAATGGATTATATAGTATACTTTATATATATATAAATGGATTATATTTCGTGCTAGAAATCTTGTTTTTCTTTTGCTCACGACATTGTCACACAATCTTGGACATTGTAAATTGCACTAATCCGATAATTGAATAAAATATGGCGGGATTTACTAACACTAATACCGCCCACCCAACAGTTACGTCTTTCGTAAAAAGCATGTGCTTGTTGTTTCAATTAGATGAGTGTTCTGACAATGTATATTCCGGTAGACAATTAATTAATAATGTTTTTCCAAGCTATGCTAGCAATTAAATGTTTGTTTAACTTCAATTTACTAGACTAATTGACGAAGATTAAAGAATTATTGTTATTATTAGAACGTTGCCGTGACAATCTTATTTAATTTCAAAAAGAGAAATTATCATTGCCATTTGCAAAGAAGCATTTTGTTTATTTTGCCTGTGATCAATTATTTCAATTGAAAAAACGCTTGGCTAAAAAAACATGTCACACATTTCATTCATTTTGTATTAAATAAACCGGAGTTTGTTACGGAATAACGAGTTTTTGCTAATGTCGCGAGAACAGGAATTTTGAGTTAATGAAACAAATGTTCTCTGCCATGGAAAGAAGAAATCGCACGAGAGTTTTTGACATAAATGGCACAACTTTTTTTGGAAATTCTACTTTGGTTTGAATTGGGCATATTTAACACTGAATCAGTTCCTTCCCCGATTAAAATTATTTATTACACATCGAAATTTCAGTCATTTCTAAAGAGAAAAAAATACAGTGATAGTCAAAAATGTTTTGTCTCCTATCTTCAATGATATCATGATAGCACGTCTTGCTAATAGAATTAACATTATTGAAAGATGTTTGTCAACGGTTTCCCTGTTGCAGCATGTTTTTGTGGTTAAAACCTGAAATCATAGTTGAGATAAAAACAAAACTTCATAATAAGATTATTCGTATCAGTTTACAGAATGTAAATATGTTTTGCTACAACATTCGGTTGATTCGAATATGTTTTGTAATGCCAATTATACTCTAGATCTTAAAAAAGTGAAAAAAATAATCCAGTTCTTTTGGAAAGGTGAAAACACAATAACATATCTTTCAAGTTAATCGTGATGAAAACCTATCACATCTGCTGAAGATAATATTACTGAGCACTGAGGACATCATTACCAGCCTCAAAATTTTGTATGAGGAAAATTTTATACATAGCACGCTTAGATTCAAATCGATGAAAGATGTAGATGCGTTGCCATGCTTTGATATTGCATATCTTATGATATTACAAAGATGTTAAAATTAAACAATACAGAAATTATTTATTAAGTCTTTGTGGAAAAAACATTAACGTAAGCAGTTATCGGTTGACAATCACTTTCTTGATTGCTGAGTGCAGCATTCCAATGGAATAATGACTACGACCTTTATTATTCAAGTGTTGTCTATCTATCAAGTCAAACGAACTGCAGACAAGAGAAAATTTTCAAAATCAACCATAAAGATAACAAGAAAATAAAAAAAAAGCAGTCCAGTGCCGCAGTTAGAAAGGTAACTGATCGCATATGAAAAGTGTCAACTTGCTAAAATTAATCACGCTTGTTTAAAAGGCCGTCTTCTTGCTATCTTGACTAGAAAACAAAAGAGAGATTCTGTGTGCTGAGAAAATCATTGTCTGCAAATGTTAGAGATCAAAGTTATTAAAATGTGCGTGGCCTTAAGATCGATATGGGTGGGATTTCATACCACCTTTTCATTATTAATTTAAGGCAAACTAAAACTAAAGTAAAGACTTTGATTCAATATTTACGAGTTAAAAATTGTCAAGAATGATCTAGCTCTAAGTCAGTTTCATTCTCGTGACAATAGAGATATCACACTTCGTTTATACAGACACTAAATGTGCATATACCTGTACTATGGAAGTGTGCAAATGTAAATCATAAGGCAAGTGTCTTTTGATTCAGTAAAAATCGTGACGTAATGAATAATATGTCAGTTTATATCTGATCTATTGACCGCGAGAAATCATTTGTACTACGAGTAAGGTCATAAATCAAATCGAACAATTTCATTGAAATGTGGTCATTTTTTTCTTCGCATTTCTGATAATCGTTCTCATGACAATTCACACGAATTTTATCATTAAAATTGGATTTAAAAGACATAATTATCATTATTAGTTTTTTTATCATTTTGTCCTTTGTATAAAATGAGTTCCATTCAGCTAATATTCAACACGAGTTCATGTCATACTGAGAACTTGATAAGCTATATTATGTTCTACCTCTAAATTATTCAAGAAGATGATCCACTGAGCGATAAAATGATTGTTTGCAAGGAAAATCTTCAAACTCTATATTGATTGGTTGGCTTAAAATATGAAGTATTTTTCTTGGCGATCTTTTGAATGCTTTTAAAAAATCTTTGAAGTGTAGAATCTGTAGATTTATGCCCATAATGTAATATGTAATTGCTTCGTTTTGAGAGCAGAAATTTTCTACATGTTTCATCACATTCCTACGAAAATTATACTACGTTTTCTCGAGCATGCATTATTTAAAGAATTGCACGACATGCAAAGATGAATTGATTGATTTTAAACGTCCACGTATAATGCGTTTTAAGGGTAACAGATCAACGATAAACATCGACAAAAAATTCACACACAAGACTAAGAGCACACAATCTTCTTCTGGGGGCGGTGTGAAATGTTCTAAAAGAATGCCTGAATGAAATTTTAGAATATAGCACCGTTATAGAAGATAGTTTTGTTTATTTTTTAGTTCTGCTGAGGATCATATATTGCAGCAAACAAAGTCTTCAAGCTTTGTTCTCTACTGATACAAACAAGGTTAGAAATTATAATTATATCGTATATGTATACAAAGAATAGTATATTCACTGCAAAGTTTTTGAACATACACCTTTTTTCTCTACACCGAAGTATAGCGAACAACTGACAGCTTGGAACGAACATTTTTCGAGAGAACACGAAGCGAATGTTTTTGATTTTGAGTGAAAGTGGGTGCTTTCGAAGATCCAGACGATAGTACATTTCATGTCATTATATATCATGATATCACTATTAGTTTTGTAATGAGTCAACAAAACAAATGTTATCTTGCTGATAAACGTGCCGGGAAAATTTTTCGAGCATATTTTTAAATGTAGATCGTCCAGGTTAGAAGGACCGTTGGCGTTGATGTTATTGTCATATTGTCAGAGTCAATGTACTCTACAACACTCACTCTTACTGAATTCGACATAAAAAATCACACTCACTCTAATCAATGACAAAGTCATTTCTCCATTATTTGTTAGATTTGTGCTGAAAAAAATTCAAATAAAGCAACCAGTAAACTGAAAATGCCGTCTTTGAATAATTTAGCGATGATTTTGATACTCCACACGTGGTTTCATGAGTTAACTTAACAATCCACAAAATGTCTGCTTGGTGATCAACGTACATATAAATATGCTACAATTATCTGTTTATTGTGCAAATTCTAAATATGTTTTACAAAGCTTGTGTTTATGTGCAAGTCGATTTGTGTTTACATCTTCAAACGAAGTTTTCTTCCAAAATAGACTGATAAGAATTCATTGACATGATAATGGTAAGTTATGAATCTTTGATTATTCAGGTCAACCTTATATGGATGTATTATGAACGTCACATCTTCACCAACTGTCACCAACCATAGTTCGACGACCTTACCGGCTCTAAGTCACGTGACTACAACATATGTTGGAATACTTCTGTGCATAATAACAGTGGCGTTATTAGGAAACATCGCTGTCATCATCGTCTTCATTGGCAACCGTAGATTTCGTGTTTCATCAAGTTACTACATATTTAGTCTGGCTGTAGCCGACGTTATCACTGCATCGTTGGTGAGTGCATGGCTCAAACGTTTTGTAAAAACATAAGACGAATCAATTACTGGTGATGTTTCTTCTATGTTTCAGGTAATGACCTTCGAAGCAGATCAATATCTTCATAATATGAAATGGCGTTTCAGTAAATTTTTATGCAAAGTCTGGACAACGGGCTATTTGTTCACTGTGCCTGTCTCTATTTTATCGATATGTCTCTCCAGTTTCGATCGATGGTACGCAATATCAAGGCCACTGAAGTACAGAGCAAACAGAAATGGACTAAAACGCAAAGCTCGTGTTGCTGTTATAGTGATATGGATTTATTCTGTAATCTTTGCTGTAATACCTGAGTTTGGATGGAACCCCCCGGGGGATAGTGACGGTTTTGTTGATGATTCAAAATACTGCTATTTTGACATCTATTTTGAGTATTCCATCTTAAGTTCCATAATTCATTTCATTCTTCCATCAATAATCACGGCTTTTCTTTACTATAAGATGTTCAAAGCTATGAAAGCGTACACGATGCATCGTCGGAGAATGTCGAGTGGCTCCGATTATTCTAATCCCTGGAGTCCAACTCAAAGAAATTACAGAAAGGAGTTGCGCACCAATTTTCGTCATAGTGTTAAGCTTGCCAAAAGCTACGCTTTGATTGGCTCATTGCTAATTCTAACTTGGTGTCCTCACTCGATCTTCAGTATTGCGCAGAATATATGTTTGCAGCAAAACTCAAGAAACTATGGTTGTGGTTTTATACGAGATATCAAAGCTGAGACATCAAACAGTTTAATTATTCTTGGATATTCCAACTCCGCCTTGAATCCTATTGTCTATGTTCTCAGGTTCAAACAGTTCAGATTGACATTGAGAGAATGGCTGACATGTAGAAAAAAATGAAATGCAATTCCCAAAGACATTTCAAAGAAACGATCAATGTTGTTTCATGGGGAACTTATTTAAGACACGACTATATGGTCTTCACTCCCCAAATGAACACAATTTTTGTCATGATTACATGATGTAAGTACTTTTCACGATGTCTTTTCCAGATGTTAATAAATCGTATAATTAAGATTGTTAGACGCACATGAACGTAAATTACAATTATACACCTTGAAGAATATATGTGAACAAAATACAATTATCTTTTTCAAATTGACTTTGAATTCTTAATTTTTTTCACGTCGTTAAGCAAAACAGACAATTGCTTAATATAATGTTGAAGAAACGAACAACTGATACTTAGAGTTTGTTGTTTTGAAGTTGCGAACTGAGACGTGCTTGTACTTCTAGCATCTGACAAAAAGGTTTGTTTAGGCTGAATATATTTACAATTATAAGTTAAAATAATTAAATTATAGTGATATGTAAATTACACGACTTCAAGAGCTCAAAAGAGGATCATTCATTTTAGCTGAAGATTAATGTAGAAACGCTGTTGTATGTAAAAACGTGTCTGTTTTCGAGAAAGCCTTGTAGAAACGCTGTTGTATGTTGTTCGAGAAACACAACGTAGAAAAAGTCATATCTCACTCAACACAGAAATATTAAGAAGCATTCTAGCAGGTAAGCAGGTATTTTTGATTGTCACCCACATCCCTCGAAATGAATTGTGAAATTTTTCGTGCGTGTTTATATTCAGTTTCATGTGGTGATCTAAAGTTAGGAAATCAAGAGAGAGATAATTATCACCATAAAACAATCAACGCAAACAAACTCTACGAAAAAATACAGCTTACAATATGCGGAAGAATTTTTAAAGGGAAATTGCCTTTAACATAGCTAGTCTAGTGGCTACTTGAAATAAATTTGGTTTTGTAAGTAGGAAGTAAGAGGCAATTGTAATGAATAAGTTCCACTTTTTAATCATTTTTCTAGAAAATGGATGCTCACAGGAACTTCTCGCCAAATGTCAATGCGACATTGCCAAACGTGCAGAATTTTGTGCAAATTAATTTCTCTATCGCCGTTCTAATATCAGCGCTCGACATTATGGCAATAATATTAGGCTCCTTAGCCAATATTCTACTTGTTGCGTTGGTTTTTAGTTACACAGATTTGAGAAAAAGAACAGATGTTTTCAGTACGAGTCTATGTATCTCAGACCTAATGGCAGGTGTTTTTTTCCAACCATTTGTCATACGAAGGTTGCTAGCTCGTCACCCTCAACAAAATTATGAATGGGCTTTGAGAAGATGCATTGGTCAAGCAACATTATCAGGAAGTGCTCTCAGTTTACTAATGGCAACAGTTGATCGTTATATTGTAATACAATGGCCATTACGATATGAAAACATCATGACTGAAAAGATGTCATCAATCTTTGTAAGCGGTATATGGTTGATATCATTCAGCATGGGTGCGACTGCATACTTTAGAAGAGAATTGTCAGCGGTTGTATTTCCTTGTGTTATATCGGTCATTGTAATTTCCATTGTCGCAACACATATTTCAATTTTCATTATTGCAAAGAAACAGGAGAATAAAATATGGAAGCAGTCACGACTGAATAAAAAAGGGAAAAAGTTTCTATCCAAAATGCGTGCTACAAAAACCATATTTCTACTTCTTCTGGTTTTTCTCCTCAGTTGGCTGCCGTCCACAATTTTCAGGTTTTACGACAGACTCTCTGGTGGAAATATCGTCACATTCCACACTTGGCTGCATCCACTCAATTGTCTCATTCAAGTCCACTGCTCACTAGACCCATTCCTTTATGTGCTGCGCAATCGTAGATTCAAAGTCGTCATTGAGAAAGTTTTCGAACGTTTCACGAATACTTCAAGTAATAATCGATCTTGTTCTTCACCGTAAGGCACGCGGTTTTTTTTGTTTCAAACATAGCTGAATTTTCTAGAAAAAACTAAATATCGTGTCTTCCAACGTTGTCGGATGATACTAACAAAATATTTGTAAAATCTTATAGGAATTTAATTATCGGAGCATTTGATACAACTCTCGATTTCAGTTTTTTTGTGTGTCGGGCATTATTTACAAAATCTTGTGCCACAGAGCGATAGGTTTCCTGGGGCGAAGCATCATATTTTCCCAATGATGTAATCCAAAGCTAGTTCCAGCCATCGAGCCGATAACAAATTTTCCTAGTTGTTTTGAACCTTCTCTTTCATTGATGACTCTACCATAAAGACCAACATTCACAATATGCTGTGCAGGAACATCAAATATGAAGGCCTCGTTGTACACTGGAGTAAGTGTTTTATACTTAACTGAAGTTTTGATCTTTTTTAATTGCTTTCGATTGAGCATAAGCGAAACTTTGAGAAATGGATCTAAAAACAGTAAAAGAGTAGTATCATTGCAGTAAAATCTAATGTCATTGTATATACTAATAAATGTGGGGGAGGGGAGGGGGAGTTTAATAATGACAGACCACAATGTACGTATGATGGAATGGCAGTTGATTGAGTTTGGGATCGTCCAATAAGGTTTGTTATCATTATGTCGGTGTGAAAGACAGCACAAACAGAAAATACACAATCTAAGATAAATTGGACAGACAGAACTGACATCTATAACTAATTTTACAACCAACATAATTCAACCCTCCATTCACCACGACAAAGTTTCGCTTCAAACTGACAATAACAATGACTTTACTGCCTGATAAAGATAAAAAAGCAAGATGGAAACAAGTGTTGTTCATGTATCATTAATGAAGTAAACGCTGTGGTCAAACAAATGTCGTAATGATCGTGGGGACGGAGTAATATTGTTTAATTTTCTTCACAGCAATATTTCAAAGAATGAAAAACAACCAAATCATGTGTAGGCTCAACTAACAAGACGTTATTACTTTCAGGGATTTGAAATTCGAATAAACGTACAAAAAGAAATGAATTTAGCAAACACCAAAAACATTTTCTATGTTTTCATATTTTTCAGTAACAAAAATGATTTCATGTTAACATTTATAAATGCCGGCATCTCTTCGTGCTTTCAGAAGGTTGGGAAAATAGCGTTAATATTGCATTACACGGCAATATTGTAGGCGCTATTGCAAATAAAAACAGATAACTAAACTAATTTTTATTGGTTTATTTCATGTGATCACGTGAACGGTATGAGAAAAGTGTTCAAACAATCAATAAAGTATTGAATGTTATGTTTTGACAATCAGTGACGATGTGTGAATGAGGAGAGGGATAATGTCAATGTCATCAGAAGCAAGTCTCTCCATACAGATACATAGAAATGAATTTACAAGATAGAAAAGACAGGAATTAGAACGAAGCGTATGACGCCGACGCAAGCAAGAACATCCTAATTAACTCCTAAATATTAGCACTAATATATTCAAGAAACATTCATCTCATTTGACTAAATTAAAGATATTAAAAACGAGTGCTTTCTAAGTGACGTCAAAAGAAGATAACAACCATAGTAACATATTAAAGTTTCATATGTGAGAGGTAAGAACGTAAAATCTTTCGTCTGTATGCTGAGACGATGATAAGACGAGCTAAAGGTAACTTCGGTGAGTTTTTATAGCGATATTGAGTTTTGTTATTATTGTGATCAATGTTAGTAACACTTATGTCACATCCTAAAATGAGATATGTATTCATTTCCATGTAGAATAAACTAATCCATGAAATCCTTTTGTAGTTCGATTCATTCAAAAACCAGACGAGAGCATAGTAAATACAAAGTGAAGAACGAATGGACAAGAACTGGAGTTAATAATTTCTCATTGGGCTTTAAAAAGACGTTAAACAAAGTATCAAAATTATGCGTTTTGCTACAAGAAACACACCTGCAGGATAAGAGTTCAAAGGAAAGACGCTACACGCAATTGTGCTTGACAATAATTTGACAGCTTGTTTCATGTATATTTCATCCATTTTTTGAGTAAACAAAGAAAAATTACAGACAAAGATCATAAAGAAAAAAGGCAAAGAAGCTTTTCAAGAGTGAAGAAACATGGAGCTATGTCGTTTACCTAAGATCAAGGTTAATACTACACTATGGGAAAATACAAACTTGGAAGATTTAGAAAGCAGAATAACATACCACGAAATAGTACCAGCCTGTAAACGACATACTGTGTACAAAATTTACGTTCACAGCGGCACACAAGGATGGCTTGTGGTTAGACGGTACAGCGAATTCTATAAATTAAGGAATGATTTGAAGAAATTATTTCCTTTAAAAGAGTTCATTTTCCCACCTAAACGATATTTTGGTGACAACTTTGAGCCGCGTTTTCTCAACAACAGAAAGCATGGATTGCAAGGTTTTCTCTACATGATAACACGACAACATGAAGTACTCCAGAGTTTGCCTGTTGCTGATTTTTTATGTCTAAACAATCCTCGCACAGCGTTAGACAACGTTCAACAATGCAAAGTTGTCATAACACAGCTGGAGAGCGAACTATTTAAACTAAAAACGGATAAAGATGAGCACACTCAGTCCATTTCATCGTCAAACGATCTCATCACTGATTTACAGAACCAGAAACAAGCCCTTCTAGCAGCACTACGATACGAGAGACAACAAAACGGTAAAAAGCACTATCCGGGAGACGATCTCTCGTTAATGTTCGAATACCGATCGTTACCGAAAGTTTCTCGAGTTGATGTAAGCGGCTTTTTTGTAAGGAAACTCGTTGGTGGACTCACACGTAACAATAACGATAAAACACGCAAGGAAATTGGCTGCAATAAAAACAAGCGTATACCACGTGATGACTATCTTTCATCCAATAGGAGTAGGGCAAACACTCCTCCCCTTACTGATCGAACAAGAAATGATGCCAGAGATACAGATTATATAAAGAAGGTACCGCCGTACATCGACATAAAATCTCCCAAAACGACAGAACGACAACAATTGCTAAGCAGTGAAGATGTGATGTTACCTCAAAATGAAGAGTTTAAAAGTTTCTACGAAATGAATCGACGAAGAAAAAGTATGCCTGGAGCAATTGAACTACACAAAGTAAACAACAACCTGTCAAAGAATGGCAACCATTGCAAGATTCAAGATACACGATCGACAAAGTTGTTTGTTCCAGATAATGAAGGTCGTCCAAGATCTTTGAGCAGTACCCCAGGAACAAATGAAGACATTTTAGAGTTGGGTTTAAGACAAGCGACATTTCTACGAGTTGCCAATCAGATTAATGCGGAAAATTCAAAAGGAAACCAAGTATGGTCAAGCCTGAAGGATTTACGAAAGATGAAAACTAAACTTTAACTCAAGTCAGTTGTGGTTTAAGTCGATCAAGGATTAATAAATAAGAATACAGGTCAATCTACAAATGCTAAAAAGAAGTTCACTTACTTGGAAGTCCATTGGTCGCTTCATACAAACGACACTTGAGAATAACGACAGTAAGACGTCCAGCCGTTGGCATGTAGCAGATAGAAACTAATATTTCACCAACACCAACATCGTCAAAATTATCCTAAATAAGAAGAAGATAAAATAAAATAAGCTTCATTTAAATATTTTAAAGAATGAATCGAGTCATGCTTTTCACGCTTGGTGATGGGTCATTCTATAATGGTGGCTTTCACACATTAAGAGGATGAAACAGCGAGTAGACTCATCATAAAGCCTGATAATCGAAGCAAAAGGGAAACATTCGACCTTGAAAACAATGATAAAATTATTTTACGAAATGTATAAAGCGAAATATAAGCTCGAGACGAGACTTTAAATTGTCAGTTGTCAGTCTCTCACTTGAGAGTTTCCTTTATAAAAGCACGAACTGCACAGGCGTAAAGCATGATACATCTGTCAAATTACCTGAGGTAGTTCACGACTTAAATCCGCGTCAATGCGCATTATATCCATGTAATTATTGTTTTCAGTATCAAATGAATAAAGCAAATGGCCAACAGGTAATCTTTGAGAAAAACTGTCCAATTCAAGTACGTTTAACAGTAATGTTCTCTCTGGCAGTTCTTCAAAAGGAAGAGAGAATTTGATAATTTCTTCAAATACTGGACTTGGATTGTGTTGACGTGATGTTGTTTTTTTACGTGTTGTTAGATCAGGTAAAAGAGTGCCTTCCACATGATACACATAAGATGTCTGAAGTAGGCCGTGACATTGAATGATGTTGACATTCAAATTTTCCTGTTCACGATCATAAAACATAGAAAATTCCAACCGTCCTTTCTCGAATGTTAAAGGGCCATCTTCTTCACTGAGTGGGCTGAGTGGCGTCGAAAGGCCTGATGCATCACGATTGTTGTCGATGATCACAGATCGGGAACTATCGGTACGCATGAGTTTTACGTGACGTGGTTTTTCCATCGACATTAGTAGCTCTTTGCTCAAAGGTGGATTTTCCATATTCTCTGATGTTTTCGTCTTTTTTAACCATTTACAAAGTATTGCCAGAAGAATGACCCCAACACAAGCAGCAAAAAATAGAGAGAGCACAAGTATTATAATAAACTTTGTGCTAGTTTCATCTTCTAAAATGAAATAGAGGTATAGAATGACATTCTAAAGTCACTAACTAGGTAACAACCACATAAACATTAGTACTTATCAACATATCTACTCAATTTACTCTATATCTATCGAATATTAAGAATTTTCGAACAAAACTAAGAGATACAACCACAAAATATTATGAACACGTTGCATTATCATAATGAAGGAACGCTCCACACCACATACATACACCACATACACACATGCTATATATCGCTATTTTAGAATAAACATCGTACTTACCATCTTCCTGTTGTTCCGTAACTTCTCGAGGGACCTTGTAGTCGAAAGTTGACTTCAAAAAATCTTCCATCGCCTCGCCAATATTCTTAGATTATTTAACACAACAACCAAAATCGTCGAGTCAATTTCCTTTCCGTTTGAAAGGATTCAACGTTTCCATATGAATGGAAACGATCAAAGAAAGGTCAAGCAGCCAAAACACTTTAAAGATTGTCAAAAAAGAGTCGCTTTTACGCAGATAGCTTCGATCTTCTCCTATATAGCATTATACACTTTAATTGTTCGTTGGCTAGTAAAATATCTTAAGGCAAGGAATAATATGCTTTCAAAGCATCAATGATTATTTGCTTCAGTGACCATAAACACACAAAAAGACTGCATGAGATCAAAGATAAATATACTATTCATTAACATAAAAATGTGAGAGAATAATATTATTGAAATTTTCATTAATCATTTTCTAAAAATATTAAAAGAAACATGAAGAGGAAAAATGAATAACAAAAAGAAAAAGATAACGACGTTTTTCTGAAACGAAGGACTTTTGAGAAATTTCTATGTCAACTGCGCTCGGCGTTTTTTGAGTGAAGGTTGTACTAACATTGTACAAGTCACCTTTTTCATTCTACAATAACAAATCTTTACTCTAAGTATCATCAAATGCTAGGTGTGTAATCCAATTTATGAAAGTCAAGTCTATGTCATAATTCGACACCAAAAATCAATAGACTGTTGGCATGGAAACGACCAGCACGACATAATTTATGCGCAGATACCGTCGAAAACCGAGTTGCGATTAGAGAGTGTCTTAAATTGCACTTGCACATTTTTTTGACTTGTGTGAATGTGTCGCTACGACAAGTAATTTTACTTAAGTAAAACTTTAGTAAACTATACTTTAATAAGCATTCCACAAACCTTTCGTTGATACATGCAGTTCTAGAAAGTTGCGACGAAATATACCTGTAACATAAGAAAATTGCATCTTAAATTTGATGTCAAATTATAATCATGTTGCTTCACTGTTCTTATGGGAAGAAAATCTACGAAACAACAACGAAATTCAGGGAAATATTACAAGCGCTATTCATTTATTCAGTAAAATGAATTGATGAAATAAAACTTTTCACGATTCATTAGCAAAACTTTTGTAATATGATAGGAGCCTTTATTAAACAGCTCCAGTCATTAATAATCCAGATTTTTAAACGGAGAAGGTGTATTCAAATTAATACAATACATAAATTTAAATAAAGAAGTGTCGCGTTGAGTGCGCTTGCATGGCGCGTAAGAAAATAAGCGATCCCACCAACACTTAAATGGACTTCTGTTGCATTGAAGGAAGAAAGGAGGTAGAAAATATTGTCAAAGAACGTGAAGATATTGAAGAATTGCTAGGATGGTTTGGAGACAATGCATGGCTTGCAACTCGAAGGTTTGTATGACAAGAACTTTTCAATTTTATGATGACGGTAATCGTCATAGGCTCTTTCAACGTTGGTCTCTAACAGAGATCGAAAACTTTTCAACACAAATGAATGCAATCCTTCATTGAAATTGAAAAGTGAATCTGGAATTCCTCTCGCGTATGTTCTTCTGATGTGAAAATAATACTATGATTAAATCTCCTTCAATGTGTCCTGCAGAAAGGACAAACGAGATGAGACACGAATCATAGATCTTGTTCGAGCAACACACAGACGAGACATGATGAATGTATATGGGTGAACATTACACAAAAGTCGTTTGTTAGGAAAGATATATAGCCGAGCATTGGTATAAAGTAAATAAATAATACAGAATTATTGGAATGTTCTTTTTGTCATTATAGTATGAGTGGAATCACTAAAATGTTTAATTCGCCACAGGTCCCAGTGTCCAAGAGAGCTTGTGTTTGTGGTCATGTGCTCACAGAGAGAAAGATGATTGGTCGAAAGCGATATTCAGGTACACACCTGATCTAATCATTTAATGGACGGCGTCATGTAGTTTGGCCGTGGAAAACAATATACAAAAGAATCATAAACAGAGAATTAAAATCATCCATCTTTTCTCATATTTCAGGATATCGAGCTATGTTGTATTCACGAAATGATCAAATAAAAAACATTAGAAAGACAAATAGTCCAATTCAGATGATTTCTATAAGAAATAAGGTAATAAGAATAGATTCTAATGAAAATAAACACGTAATGAAAATGGATCTTCAATTTCTGAAACTTAAACTATGATTTCACTCTGTTTCATAGCGTTTGACGCGAGAGCAAAAAACTAAAAGAAAATCTCAAAATGAATTGACGCGAGAACGAAGAACTAAAAGAAAATCTCAAAATGAAATTAACACAGTTGATAAAACACAACTGGCAAAGACCTCAAATACTACGGACTTTAATTGCCGTGAATTTTATGAAACTCTCGATGATGCTCTTAGTGAGATTAACAAGAAAATAGCGAAACAAAAATCAATATGGATGATTTTAAAGTCCGACAAGTGAAAACTCGATATCTCTCACATGTTGAGATAGGTTAAGTATGATACGATGTCCCTCACGTACCAAGTTATTGCTCGGTTGCCTAGAAATCATGTGAAATGAACTAAGTGAATGACGAAATAAGCCCCGGGAGCGTCAGGCATTACCAACAACGGAGGTCTCATGTCATAACGCATGTATACATTTCTGCTGTGTTGACCACAAGAACCAATGAGCTAAATGTGTATTATTGGTATTTACGGATGACAGGTAAGCATTTTGTAAATACGATGTCATGTGATACCCCACACATTGACTGTGTACAATAACGTTATGGGATTAATGTCATGGCAACGGAATACAATGAACATACATATACACAAACCAAGATATAAACTGCAAGTAGAACTTGTTGGTAATAAAATAATTATCGTAAATGGATCAAATGGAGCATAACTATAAAATTAAAAACTACAAAAGTTATGAAGATCGAGGACCGTACGAGAAAACATTTTACGCTTTAAATCGACCCCAGACTTATTGGAGTAAGAAAGAACAAGATCGCTTCTGCAATAGATTTACCCAAATTCACTGGAAGAGTGAAAAAAGACCGCGTTTGTTGCCATCACAAGAAATGGAGCTTCGATATTTAAGAAAAGATGGATTTGATGTTATCTCAAAGGAAATTGATCAAAGACGAGACGAGCTTTGGTATCGTCAAGCGCACACGAGAGAAGTTGAAAGAAAGATCGATTTAGCAAGAAGCGAGTTTTCACATAAGACCGCCAGTGAAAGACCAAAATATCTTCCTCACAAAGTAACGCCACAATCGCTGCACAACATTTAAGATGTAAAATTAGGAGAGTGATCCATTGAAGACAACCATAGTTTATAGAGCATATTTTTATGATATCAAATATTTCTAATATAGTTCGAAAAAAGTCTAATTACAAGAAAGCAAGATTATGACATTTCTTCAAATTCCATTTCCTCCTCATTTTCTAGCGAATTACGTTCTTCTGGTGAAGAAAGTAGGATTACATCATCTACAAAATAAAATATCACTGTGCTCAAGACTGTGCTAACCTGGATGATTAATAGCCATAAATATGTAGCAATACTTTCAAGATCTAACTATTTATTTTATTGAAAATCTTTACCCATAACAATAGAGGAAAATGATTTTCTTGATCCATCTTCATCATCATAAGATACATATTCTAGTCGGCCATGTACAAGGACACGAGAGCTTCAAATCAAAATTACAAAGTAACATGAACCTCCTTTCCTGCTATCAACATGATAGATCTTTTACTATTACCCTTTCGAGATCATCTCTTGAACTTTCTGTTGAAGATATGGCCTAAATACAGCAATATTGTGCCACTGTGTCTTTTGCATCAACTTGTTCTCTATTAAATAACATATCCATTGTTAAGAAATGGACAAATGATGAATTGGAGGTATTATATGTAAAGGAATCTATAAATCTACCGCCAAATTCATCTTTTCCTTGAAATTTGTGACTAGTAGCAAGAGGAAACCTCCATACATCACCCTTTCCTTTCTTGGGAAACTGACCGACTCGACCCAATAGTTGCACGGAATTAATGCCTAAATCATTCAGCAAACCAGCTGTTTCACTTCTTTGCATTGCATGCAGTATAATATGCAAATGAAAATTACGAAAGGCTTCAATAGTCTACTTACATCTTTCCGACGGCCGCATTCTTTCCTCGCAGCGAAACATGCCACGTGAAATTTGCTATACAAATTTAGGGAGTTGAAAAATTTCACAGAAACAAAATTTAGTAAAAAGAAATGTTCTAACCTTTATTAATCCAACACGAAATGCCGCCATATTTAATCACATGTGGCCGTTGCATTTTCAATTGCGGTCAGCGGAAAGAGCACAAAACTTCATGCCGTACGCAAGATTTTTATCACAAGAGCACTACCACAAACACTTCGTTGCAAATTCTTAAATGTAAAGATCAGTCTGTCATCCTAAACATCAGTTTACTTCAACTCATGCGCATACAAGTGCCGATTCACGACAGGTTGATAAATAATCTGTCATAAATCAAAGTTTTTCATTATTAAATTAAATTTTAAATTTGTTTGTTTGATATAGAGTCGAATGTTCTTCGTTCTACTCGTTTTCCGAACATATTTTTATTCATTGACGTTTGAAAAAGTATCAATAGATGAAATGATCGAACGTATTCTTTATCTTTTTGCTAGTCAAACTTTGAACAAATCGATTATTATAAAAAAAAAACAGAAAAACGTTGACAATTTTCAGCAAAAACCCTTTTCATGATTCCTTAAAATATTATTGCCTAGTTGCTTCCTTAAACCAGTTAAATTTAACTTTCGTGCGAAGTTAATTGTTACAAGTCAAATTAATCTGTAATCTGTGATAGATTTCTCTGTGTGGGAGAAAACATTTCGCAATACAAAATACGTAAGTCTCTCTCCCACACAGACTTAGAGATAAAAATAGCTACATTAACGTTTTCAATTCTTGCCCAATATGAAATAAAATGGCGTATTTTATATTCTCAGGAAGCAAGAGACCGTGCTGATTTTAAATATTATTTTAACCTGCTGTCTCGTGTATGAAGTATTTAATTAAAAAATAAACTACTTTTACGAAATAAACAACTAAGGAGCGACATATTGAGACAACCATCCTGACCTATAAAGGTGTTTAAAAACACGACACACGCTAAGATGTTTGTTTTCATCAATTTTTTGTTGTTGTGGGGAGCGGGGTATTGCGAAGGATGTTGTTTTTAGGCGAGTACAAGGATTGATCAACATTATCGGATATTCATGGCAGTGTAGCATAAACCAATAAAAAACCTGTAGTATATATAAATAATTCAAATTGCAGCAGATGTTGCATAGAAATGACCTTTTTTTTACATGAGGTGAGAAATTAGCAACATGATAAATAGTGAAATGCAATAAACTTTCGGTCTCTTTGCCATTATGATGCAAATGAAAGGAAAAAGTGAAAACTTTTAACCGTTACATTTCGTCACCGTGGAGACTAAAAGAGTAAATAGAATTAAGGAAAGACACGCGACAAAATACTGAAGATCAAAACCAAAATTAATGAAATATTAACGAGAAACATTGACAACCAAGATTATTTTCTATTTTCGACGTTAAAATAAACAAAAAGTTTCTAACATTAAAGCGAAGACATATTGACTGATCACGTTCTAATTTGAAGTCTTATAAACAACGAAGACAAAATAATACCGGATGATGAGCATCTTTCCAAAAGAATCTTAAAAGAAGACTCGAAATGATTGGAATTATGTCTGGCTGAATCAACATATAACAGTGGACGAAACAGATGACTAAGTTTCAGGTGGAAGTTTGACATGTTTGAGAGGCTCACCCAATGAGCAAAGTTATACAGTAAGTGTATAAAGAAATACCAAGCATGTGCCAATTATTTTCAAGAATAGCAAGCTCTAAGGTTAATAACATTACTACAAAAGAACTGGGGAAACTTTGCTTCTTATTTTCAACGAAACATAAGTTCTAGAACTAGCTGGAAAAAGGCGATGATGATTTAAATAAATACTTAAATTTTCTTGTTAAAGACCACGATGATGAAATATAAATATATAGTTAAGTAACTAGCACAAGACGATCATGATTAATACAAACAGTAGAACTATATGACAGAATATGATGATTAATATAAATTCTAAAACTGACTGGCAAAGAAGATAATGATTTAACATAAATAATGCAACTATCTGGTAAAAGACGATAATTATCAAACGTAAATTAAGAACTAGATGGCCGAAGATGATCCAATATAAATACTTGAACTAGATGCCAAAGAATATGATGATTAAATTTAAATATATAAAAATTAATAATGAAAGACGATGATTATTAAACATGAATAAGTAACAAACAGAAGACGATGATCACAGAATATGAATAAGTAACAAACAGAAGACGATGATCACAGAATATGAATAATGAACTAGATTGCAAAGGCGAAGAGGATGTAATATAAATATTTGAACTTTACGCCAATATGACGATTAAATTTAAAAATTAAACTGGATAGGGACAATGTCGAATAAAAATACTTAGCTACGTAGATAGCAAGAGTCGATGATGATTAAATAGTAATTCTATAACAGGTAAGTAAGAATACGGTTATGTCAAATCAAATCAAAATCATTTAAACGTTATTTGAACGACGGAAAATCTTTACAGCTATCTAGTACATAGAATATGATTAATATTGATATTTTGCCCAATTATTTCCACAAATGTAACAAATTTTTCTATTTTTTCCCTAGTGGTTACTGTAATGGACAACAAGATCGTTCAAGGACTTATTTTTGGAATTTCTGCTCTTATATCTTTCACATTTTTGATTGCTTTATGCAAATGGTGTCATATGTATAGTGAGAGACGCCGACGAGGACAAAATGGCAGCAGTAAAGATTATAATTCATACCAGATCTCACAAAAAATTTATGGAAAACAATTGTATGGCAGTGGTCAATGTGTTCAACCAGGTATAGGGAGGGATGTGGAATTGGCCCAGGAACCTGCAGACGGAGTATTTGATTGTGAGCACACACTGGAGCCTAATGTTCCTTTAGGAAAAATACAGTTATCCATTTTGTATGAAATTGAAATTCGTAAACTGAACGTTTTATTACTACAAGCGAAAGGTATGAAACGTTGGTCAGATGAAAGTACAAAAGCAACATAACAGTATCACGTTTTTCCTTTACGTAGGTGTCGTCTGTCAAACGCAAAAAAACAGCGCAAATCTTTACGCCAAAGTATTTCTCACGCAAGAAACAGAGGGCACGAAACTGACAAGCGATCGTTGTACGAAGATTCAACGAATGTCTGCCGAGCCTAAGTTTCATGAAGAGTTTTGTTTTTCGGTGAACGAAAGGGAGATAGGTTACGCGACAATAAAGGTACATTCAAATGGGAACGTTATCAATTAAACTGGCTAAAATTTAGTTAGTAGCATTTTATATTTATTTTCATAGTATTATAAAATAGTTATTTTTCATAGAATAACATTCATATAGAAATAAACAATATTTATACAGTATTAGCTATTGTAGAGTGTTTAAAAAGTGCTACTTGGTATTTCTATATAAAAATATAGAAGCTCCTTGTATAGAAATCAATTCTCTCTAATTTACGATAAAGTTCCCATGTAGACGTTTAGCGACCCGGGAAATGAGCAAGAAATTATTATCGTTACTATTAGTCCACACAATAACCATTAAATTGAAGTTTGTTTTTTTACTAGGTTTGTCTCTACGAAATTGATGCTTTCTCAAAAAGTCACACACTTGGTCAAATATGTATCAATATGAAAGACGTTGACATAACGCAAAGAATGACGGGATGGTTTGACTTGTACGAAGAGGAAGAAGAGGTCTGGGGAACAGCAATTAGTTCTACAACCTAAGACGATAAAATTAAACAAAATGCAAACATTTTTATATCCTAGAAAAGACTAACTTCAGGTGATCTTCTGTTGTCTTTAAACTACTTTCCCACTGCGGGTCGACTGACTGTCGTTATTATGAGAGCACGTGACTTAAAGATAGATCATCGAACAGGAGCCTGGGGTGAGTAAAACATGACAATGAGAAAGTCAACTGTCTTTTTTAAATGTGACAGTAAGCCAATATGCTTTATTTTAGGTGTTTTCGTCAAAGTGATTTTCCTATACAATCAGAAAAGAGTAAGCAAGAAAAAGACTGTTGTCATTCGTAAAACAGAAAATCCCAACTACAATGAAGCATTCGTTTTCAAAGTTCCCAAAGAAGCCATGGCATATACTTCGCTGAAGATAATGGTGGTAAACAGGACGTCGTACGGTAGAGATGAATCACTAGGGAGTATAACTATAGGTCCACAGGAGAATAAAGACGGATTGCTGCATTGGAATAAAATGCTAATGGAAGTTCGCAAACCAGTAGCAATGTGGCATCCAATTATTATAAATTGAAGGGGGGATGACAAAGTTACATTTGTGTAAAATATTTTAAATCAGACATAAAACGTGCAGGTCACATTGAATACTATTCAATTAAAAATAAATGTTAGTAACACGAAGTGGTCATTTATTGTTTAAATGCACGAATTTATCAAATTTGACTTCAGCGTTATTCAGCTCGCCTCATAAAGAGTCACATGATGAACAACGAAAAATAATTTGCAGGTAGCATTTTAGAGAGGACAAAAAAAGCAAAGTAAAGTAAAGAGACCTGTCAGATGACAACCATGGAATAAGAAATGAGATTATCTATTAATATATGAACTTACACTATAAATTGAAGCAAATCAGTTATGGTCAATGTTAACCCTCTCCGATTCAATCAAGATCACCATTATAGTAACTGCGTTTTTCATGCTATTATTTACATTTACTTGTATAATGTATAAACTGTCCAAAATTACAATACTTGTGGAAATGGCAGGAAAATCAAAAGAAAACACAGTAAGTCAGTAAAAGACGCAAGAATGTGCAAGCAAACACATGGACTTGATGAAATAAACATTTTTTCATATTTCAGAAACACATGAAGTTACCATGGCGAGAAAACACCTGTGAAATATCTGAATCCAACATTAATAATTTGGATAATGGCGAATGGCATCATCTCAAACAATTTTCCAGACAAGATCAAGCTAAAGGGTTTCAAAATACAGCTCACCTGTACTGCGATGTGATCACAGGAATAGTGAGAGTAACTATTCATTACATTGATGAAAAGCTTGTTGTAAAAAACATTATTTGCGAAGATATCTTTCCATGGGAGTATAAGTGGAACACAAATAGTTATGTGACAGTACAGCTTCCCTCAACGATGACTCAAGATATTCAAAGAAGTGAAGTACAAACAGGAGTACATATGGTATATTATGAACATAATTTTGTGTTCAACCTTCGCAAGAGTGATCTTCAAACAACCCAATTGAATTTAACTGTTTGGAAAACCGGAAGTGAAACAACAAAGAAAACGGAGATAGGACAATGCATGATTGTCATGGATAGAGATGAAATGATGAAGGCAACGGATTACGTTATGATGAAGAAATTTTTGAAAACTACGGTAAGCGCAATATGATATTATGAATATTTTGAAAGACATCGAATAAGCAAATAATAGTCCATGAATATTATTGGCGCACAAAACTAAAATTTTTATGGAAGGAGGGGATAGATTGTTTTCATTTAGATTTTCAACAAAATTACACGACTCTAGAATAAAAATTGCAGTATCATATATGCTATGTCCAATCTAAAGGTTAGCTACATTCTCTCGGTACTGCCTAATCGTACGCTTAAGAGTTTAAGGCATTTGTCGACTCAAAATTAAATATGACAGAAGATTTTTCATAATTTTGAGACAAATATATTATCACAGCTGAGTCGACGAAAAAACTTTCGGAAATTAGTCCCCCATACACGTATACACAATAATTAATCAAGAGCCATTCTAGTAACCATAGGGAAAAATTAGTTTTGTTAGTACAATGAAGCAGATGTACAACACTGTTCACTACAGGCTATGTATATCTGTTATGGCTGAAAATGGGGAGTAATTGGAGCGAAACGCTAGATAAATTGAACATACATTCAAACCAACAGACGTCACATCAAACGTATATGATGAAATTAAAAGCGGTTAGTATATCACGTCAGTTATGTTTATACATCGCAGTGAACAAATATTCCGAATAAATTTAATTATTTTTCTTCGCGTATTTATAAAATATCTCGCGTAAAACAACGCGACATAGGACAGTGAATGCAGAAACGATTGTTTCTTGTAGACAATATAAAAAAAACACCCCACAAAGCTTGTGCTCTAAATCATAAGCAAAAACAGCCAACAGTTACGAGATCATTTGATATATACGATGAAATACATGACATAAATTATCACCTTAATATCTTTTTCGAGCGAACAAAACGATCAAATAATAACGAATAGGTTCGATTTCCGGACGATACATGACCCCAGCAAAAAAATGAATCTAAAATTGGACAACAAAGTCAAAGTAAGGAAGATAAGCCATCATATATATAAATGTTTATCAACACCAAGTTTGGTAACGAAGGCACTATTAGAAATTCACTATGGTTGAATTTCAAAAGGAGAGACCTATACTCTTGGAGTATGAAAGAACAAGTCTTGTTAAGAAATCTCCCCCTCTTTTCTTGTCCAAAATTAAGACACGTAGGTAGAACTTGAAAATTCATGTTCTTACAAGTTCATCATTAGACGAAATCATCAGCCCATGGCACGCCAAACACCGAAAGATCGAAACATCATTTTTCAGATACAAAAATTCTAATTGCATTTGCAACGTAAAAAAGAAAGTTAACATTGAAATACTATTACGAAGCTAGTCATTGAAGTCAAATTGTCCATTTTAGGTTAACCATGCATAATAATTAGCTATCTTAACCCTAAATTGTGTGAAATCACAGCTTATGAAATAGAATCAATTCACATACAAAGCTACCTAACGAAATTATTAACATACATAAAATTTGTTTACCTGGTAAAAATGGTTTTTCGTAATATAATTCCCCAATATTTATTTACTTGACACAGTTTTCTACCCGATGGAGACATTTGTAAACGTGAAGTAACGCATAACTGCAATTAGGAAAAAAACAAATTGTTAAGAACAAAAAGATTTATAATTGGTAACCACAGTCGGAAACGTGAACAATTGATAAGATAAATAGTAAAATTCCTGTTCAGTGATGATGTTAAACGATACGCATCATTTGTTTTACAATTGCGATAAATATTTGACATGGGATGTACTTTTCTTTTATAAACATTTAAATTATGATGTGAATTTATCAACGATACACTAATTGCAAATACAATCTGATCTGGTATGTGAACGTGGAGTTGAAGTGAGACGTGATCGTTCACGAAGTCTGACGAAGTCATCTCTCGCATGCAGGATAATATTTAAACAAAACGTCAGCAAAACAAAGATAATATTGTGTTGATAAGATATTATCATTTGGATCCGGCAACGTAACGAAGCATTGTGAAATTTAAGGCGCTGCATATCTTTATCCCAGCTGCGTTCATATTTTGTGTACATGAATTACGTTGATGGTACTATTGACATCGTTCTTACCGACCTATGACTGTAGTTAACCCAGTTATTCACTTTCCTATGTTGGATTTTTCATCCAATCACTACAGAGATTATAACAAAACTTTGAGCAGAAGCAAAGTAGAAAGAAAGGTAGGAAGGTCTACTTGTAATTTCAATGACATGTATATCCATGCATGTATTAATGTTGTATTGGTTTTATTCATTGCTGTTGCCTCGTCAGCAGGTACCACGTAATGTTAAACTTTTCTGCGTTTTTTCAAAATCTTTTTCTTTCAAAAAATCCACCAACCCCATTAAAATAATAACGGACAACCTCGTGTAGCTTTTGAAATGAATCCTAATACGAAGGAAAGCGGAACCTTGCCGTAAAGGACGGTGAAATGAAAGAACACAATACGAAGCAAGTGATCAGCCTTTTACTTTATGGGAATATTCACTTCGTTAAAGGAAAACTTCAAAATGATAACGTTATGTCCCATGTAAACATGTCAGGGAGAGAAAGGTTGATAATATTCGACAATTATCGCCATGTCTACTTATTGTTTGAGACACACATCATGGGGATAGAGGTCAAAGTTGGTCAAAATTTTTGGTGTTTCCAATTTAACATGATTCGTTGCAGTATTTTTTGTCATATTATGAAAAACAATCTTGTTGAATTCATTAGAGTAAAGTTGAACGACAAAACTGACAAAACCCAATAAGAATCAGTAAACATCTATAACATTTACTGACCTTCGTTATTCACATGAATTAATCATCAACTACAATGATTATACACCACGTGACATACTCCTATGGAAACGTTCACTCATTTCCGAAGCCTTACCAGGCCCTTTTTTACGTCTTTCACACACACAAAGAGCTTAGTCACTAAATGGTCGAGTAACACGTCATAATTAAGTCAAAAACAAAGGTTTCGTCAAAGCGTGGTGTGTTGAAGGATATAAGGAAGTTTATAATAGTTCGTTGTATATCGCATGGCTTTCTAGTGTCATCAAGTCGAGGAAATTTTGAGGATGGGCATTACCTACCAACCAGATGAGTTTTATGAAGTGTGTACTCTCTATAACGCCGACAGTAACTTAGCAATCGGCTTTGGCTATTTAATAATTAACTCGTATACGAGGTCGTCATACACAGTAACACAGGAATCGATTTGTCCATTAAATGATAAACTTGTACATGTTCCGCTCAAATATACAATAACATGGCAATCAACTTGAGTATTTGACCTTTAAATACAAACTTGTACACTTGCTAATGAGCTACATGTTTTTGTTTAATTTCAGACAAAGAAATTGGAGAGCGAAATATTGCTATCGTTGAGTTATTTACCGACAGCAGAAAGATTGTCTATCGTCGTAATGAAAGTTCAAAATGTTGAAATGAAGTCGGAAGAAGTAATCACGAAAAATAAAACGACAATAGCAAGTAAGTTGAGTTCTTGCTTTATGAAAACGTAGTGAATATAATAAAGATGGAGTAGCGAGATGTCACTGATAATTTTAATTATACCTAGATCCTTTCGTGAAAGTATGTCTCATTTATGGCGGTAGAAAGATAAAGAAAAAGAAGACATCTGTAAAACGTCACGAGAAAAATCCTGTTTACAATGAGTCTATGATTTTTGATATTCCTGCTGAATTTCTGCATAAAATCGGCTTTCTTATCACCATTGAACATAAAAATTTTGAATCGGAGCAATCTACAGTCCTGGGACGAGTAGTAATGGGCTCTCCTGTGCATAATAATGCATTACGACATTGGAATCAAATGCTGGCATTTCCTCGACGACCGATAGCAGGGTGGCATAAAGTCTTCAACTTGGCATGAAAAAAATTGCCTAGTTTTTAACAATCTTGGAGAGAAGAGCACTAACTCCAATTGCCTTTCCACTGGGCATACGGTTAAGCACAGTACAAACCAATATTCTGTCATGCATGATTTCAACAACAGCAGGGTTTGTGTTGATACTACATAAACTTAAAATATATTTATAATTTATTCTTATGTCTAAATTAATTTAAAGAGATTGTGAAGACTGTACATTTTATAAATGGAAACATGAACTTTTTAAACTCTACTGTAAATTTATAATTGTGGCCCTTGTGAATAAAAAAACGCGTGAGTGAATATATTGCAAGCAAATGTATGATCTAACTATGCTCCAAATTAATTGAAATTTTGATGAATGTCGCAGTAACTAATTTCAACGCAAGAATTGATTGGATTGTTTGTTCTACACAATTTGTGCTTCATTGTCATTAAAAATAAGATTGCTACAGTGGTTAGCGAAAACAGAAAGCAAGTTGGACAGAAACGCGTTCATGTGTTTTGCTATTAAATTGATACACGTGAAGAACACAAGGTAAGATGAAAATCTTAAAATTTCCTTAATATTCCACGTACAATTTAATTAAATTTAGACAAATTTGTAACAAGGGAAAATATTCCGACACAGGACGAGCAGTTTCTATTTTTCTCTAATTAATTTTCTCTAAAAAATAAATATTAATATATTGTAAAAATTTGAACTTGGGACGGTCGATAGCTTAAACCGTTAATGTAGATATAATGTAAAACCTTTAGACAACTATAAGTAAAATAAACGCATAGTTATTTTTTATTTTTATGTTGTTATGTTCGTTTACAAATATTTTCATCCATTATTGATGTGTGTTGCCACCAGAAAATATTGATATTTTTATTTTGGTGTATGTACAACTAGACAAAGTAGAAAAACTAACTGACTTGGCTGAAGTATGCAACATAAGGATATAATATTAATAAAACTTCGTAAATGGTAGATCTACAATACATGTACAACTAAGATTAAAACACAATACTTCAAAAAATCATTGCAAACAGTAACACGCTGATTTGATCTATATAACTTTACACCACAAATTGTTTCTAATTAAATCGTAATTGGAGACTCGACAATCCTTCAATAATGTTTTAAAATTTTGCTTTCTGAACTCTTAAACGTTTCTGAGTTCAATACACGATGCACGAACTTAAACGTTTTCCTGTTTGATAGCGTATGTGAAATGTAACGATCAAAATGTCAAGAATTGAAACGTCTGAAAAAGGCTTATTGAAAGATTTCAAAGAAACTTCATCATGTAATGCTTTAAATATGAACTTTGTATGAAATGCTTTTCATTTCGTCTATAAACACAAGATATCTTAATAAACTTTTTTTTACAGTTCCGCTGTGGATTGCCGGCGTTTTTGCAGGATTGACAGCGATACTTTTTCTACTATGTCTAGTGTTTGTGTACAAGAAGTTCTGCCACAACGGGTGACGACCATTAATCATTTGCAAGAAATTATAATCTCGTTAATTAGTGACCGTCTATTGATATGTTTTTTCCAACAGAAGAAAAGCCGAAAAAAATTACGAAAATGACGAAGTACTAGACTTGAAAAGTGTTCAATTGGTGAAAGCAAGTTACCACGAAAAAGTCCAACCATCGATGGATGAATTAGATTACAACAGTGAAGGATTTGAATCAGGGACTGACTCTGAAGTAACCATAGGTTAGCTTGTACACAATAAAATGAAGAAATAAGGCGGGAATTGTTTCTCTCATTTTGACATTAATTATAGGAAGAATTCACTTCAAGTTGGCATATGACTTCACTGGTAACACTTTATCAGTGAATATCATTGAGGCAGAGAATGTACCGGCTAAGGATTTAGGAGGATACTCTGATCCATACATCAGAGTGATGATACTGCCAGACAAACGAAAGAAATTTGAAACAAAAGTTCAGAAAAGAACTTTAGATCCTGTTTATAACGAGACATTTGTTTTCAAAAATATACCATACAGTGATATAGAAAATCGTACCTTACTTATGGAAGTTTATGATTTCGATCGATTCTCTGGTCATGATATCATTGGTATAGTCAAGTTGCCGTTGATTGATGTCGACCTGACACATGTTGTGGAGGACTGGAGAATACTCATACCACCATCAAATAATGGCTGGCGTAAAGTAAGTGCACAGCTGAATAAAAGAAATTAGCAAAATAGGGGAGAATAATACTGATCACTATTTTGTACTTAAGAAAACAAGTCCTGAGATAGGAGAAATATGTTTTGCCATAAGGTATGTACCAGCCAATGGTAAACTACAGATCAACATCCTTGAAGGTAAAAACTTAAAAAGCACAGATAAAGATGGTTATTCAGGTAATATGCATATACCATGAACAAAATGAGAAGACCATACACTAAATTAATATGGTGGAAATTTCTTTATAGATCCTTATATAAAAATTTCCTTAGTTCAGGATGGCAAAAAAGTGCAGAAAAGGAAAACTACAGTGAAAAAACATACTTTAAATCCTTATTACAACGAAACATTTACATTTAATGTTCCATTTGAAAAGATCGAGTTCACTTCGTTGATGGTTGTGGTCTTAGATTATGATCGTTTATCAAAAAGTGAAGTCATCGGTAGAACAATTATTGGCGCATTAGCTCCTGGTGGTCCAGAACTACAACACTGGCAAGACATGCTTGCATCACCAAGAAAACCTGTAGCTCAATGGCATGCTTTGTCAAAATAAACAATATCAAAAGCTTAAAATTTCTTGGACAAAATTGTATAATAAAACAAATGAATACAATAGTTTTTCTGCTGCACCAAAAAGTAAATCTCAAAATTTTTTCCAAAATATGTTAACAGTTCAATTTAATATTTCCGAGAGCAAACACGGATAAAATGATCAAAATATCCTCACTCATCTTCAACTGGAGGTAATTCAATTGGTCCTAAAGCATGATGATGACCCTATGGTAAAAAAACCTCCAGTGAATATGTGGTATAAAATATTACTGCTTAATTCAATCATTTATCAACTCCAGTGAAGATAATTTATGCTTACAATTATATCATGATAATCATGTTTTAATCTCCATAACACCCAGAACCAAAGAAATCCTCCTAAGCCTTTCGACAACAATACATGAGCCCGTTTGGGTGCATGAAACATTTGTGTCGACACCATCATAGAACCTACATAAAATATCGTGCATATTTGAAACCACATTTTCCAAACTTAAATAGAACTGTCTCGCGATAAAGCTTTTTAAAATCAATTCAACAAACTACAAAGGGCATTACCTTAAACAAGTCCAATTTTCAGAATATTTTTGATGTTATATTTTCCACATTCCAAAATTTTAAACAACAAGCGCAACAAACAAAACAAAATGGCCGCACAACAATTGAGCACACAGTAAATGCTACAGCGGTTTCTACACCTAAATAATCATGTGAACACACTTGACATATGAAGGAAATTCACGTGAAACAAACATGCAGTACACGTGTACAGCAATTCTTTCCCGCCAATAATAATCTTCGCTTCCGCTCCGCCTACATACAATGTTGCTAAGCAATCATGCATCTAATGATTTCCCGTGTCGCCTTCAGCCAATGAGAAGGCAGCGTAGTGACATAGCGGAAATGCTCATTAAAAATGTTTTACTACGCTCACGATACGTGCGTATGATAGTTTCCAAGCAAAGCTATTGTATAAAACTGTATCGTAATTTTGAAGATTGTTGCATTCGTTAAGTTTGTTGTTTGATTTTCTTTGTTTGGCATTGAGGAATGAGTATTCTTCGAGTTATTTCGAGACCAGCTGAAGAAAACCCACCTAGATTTGATCGTGGAATCAGTCGATCTTGTTGTAGAAATTTGTTCGGGCCAATAGATCACGCGGAACTGCGTAAAGAACTGGAATATGAATTGAGACGTATTGCGGATGAAAAGAAACGAAAATGGAATTTTGATTTTGTGAAAGTGAAACCTTTACAGGGAAACTTTAAATGGGAAAGAATTATTGACGGTGAAACAAACAGTGTAAAGACAAACATTGAAACAAATTTGACTGAACCTCGAGACATTCGCTCATTACCGAAAGTTGTAACGAATACTACGAGTATAAATGCAAATTCCAATCATGAAAGCAATTTTTTCAAAACACCAGAACGTTATATAATCAAACAAAGACGAAAATCGCCTCGCATAACAGGTATTTTAGTGATTTAAGAGTTAAATAATAGTCGCTTATGTAATACCGAGCGATTCCGTCTCGTTTACCCTTCTTTTACAACTTCCGTTCATTGTGTTGAAAAAAACCTATTTTCAATCACGTTTTAGTCAACTTTTGAACAATTTTGTTCATTACAAAAAAGTCATAGTTGCAGTAAAACTACTTTCATGGATAACATTTCTTTGTTTTTAATTTCAACACGCGCAGCATGAAGATTATTAGTCATGGCCATCAGCGTGATCTTTTTTACTATTGCATTATTCTGCTTCAACTTTTAGCTGGAACTACTAAATATTATTGTCTCAGCGTAGTTGGTAATGCAGCGTATGTGATAAAGACTTCCCCTATTAAGGTTTAATACACTTGACTTTATTCTTCATATGTAATTATTTACTCGATTTTTTAGATTATATACGAGCTCGAAAAGCATGCAGCACATCACGAAAGATAAAATTTTCAAAAAGCAAAGAAGGGGCCACGAAGTCCAAGTCTAAAGTTTTTAAAAGTGTCCAGACAGAACACCAGGGGGGCGAAAGACAATCAACAATTGAGCAGTATACGTTGAAGGTCCCCACATATTTACGTTTTAATTGCGTGTGTTAGTAGCACCAACGCTCATTATTGGATATTTTTCATATTTTGCAGTTGCGACCTCGACCTAGACTAACACACGGAACAAGAAGATAAAATGCATCATAATGTTGGAATGTGTGCAGAAATTGAGGAATTTATGCAAGCATCGAGTCTTCGGGCTGCTGTCAGATCAGATTTGACTACGAATTAGATTAAAATTTATATTCCACTGCTATAGTTACGTATCTGAGTGAAAAAAAACAAACAGATAAATTATTTATATCAGGTTGCAGATAAAGTGTAAAATATTGTTGATGTTATAAGAAGAGAACGTTTGTTTTCCAAAATGCAGATATATAATGTTGTTGTCGGAAGTTCACACAGTACTCAAAATCTAGTGTTTTGGCTGATGACGATGAAGCATTGTGCGTGAAAAATGAACTAGTGGCACACGTGCACTAAGATGTATATTCATCAGTACGAAAAGTCATTGTCACTATTTATAAAGACACTTCACACAGTTTCGTGATCCGCAAAAGACTGGTATTGGTAAGATAATGTCATGTACGCCATGTTGAACGAAATTTGCATTGTAAGGAAAATCCTTTGTTAAAATCATCCAACAAGGCGGCAATGACGTGGCTTGCAAAGCAAAAATAAACATTTGATTGATACAATCACCTGCTCTTGTGAAGCTGGGTGTGTGCGTTTATCCGCGAGAACTAAAGTCATGTGCTTTTGAAAAGACTGGTAAAATTATTTGAAATAAATTAAAAGTAACACCATGGTAGTGAGGTTACTAAGCGACGAAATGTACAAGAAAGCCTTGGGAGGTTAGTACTATCGCACCATTTCATCATTAAGTAACCTCGCTATCATGGTTTTACTTTTTAATACTATGATTGCCGAAATATTTTAGTCAGTGTTTCACAAACTGTCAACGATGATGTAAATTAAATGATTAAATACGGAAGCATACAATACTTCATGCTTCGGTAATAACTTCTAGTGACTTTCACTAGGTATTGTTGTGTGTTTCGACATTAATATTATGTTTATTCTCTGATCATGGCTTTGGAGTAAAGTCGAAACATGATTCTATGATGGCAAGAACCTCTCGTTCATACGCTTTTGAAAAAGATTTGACTCGTCACCAATCTCTGTGGGTTGAGAAGTAATTACAGCCCAAACAATTGTCTACTCTGACGTAAACTGTTTCAATATTGACCAGGAAGAATTGTCAACATTGCAACCTGCAACTTGCTAACTGCCAACAATTAATAACTTTTGACAAAGAGGATTCATACACCAGAGAGGCCGTATAAAGAAACTGTCGACTGGCTTCAGAATCTCGTTTGGAAAGGCAACAATAAACTAAATAGAGGTAGACGTGAATAATTTGTTTAACTGCAAAACAACAGACAATACTACAAGAAAAGTTTTCAATGTGCTTATTCATTTATACAGGAAATGGGAAATAAAAGTTCACTTATGTTTTACGTTTACGTGCTTACTGTGGCATTCCTAGAAAGATCTTGGAGTACGCAAGCAAAGAAGCAATATAGTATTTTAAACACAATATTTCGAAAGACTGGTACGAGTAAAGATGTGGTGAACATTTGCAATATTGATTCGGAGACGCCGCAGCTTGAAAGAAACCAAATTGAGGTTAAAGGGTTGAAATGCGATAACAATGGTTATTGCGGTAGGCATGAAAACTACACAGGTTTTATGTGTACATGCAAGCAGAATGATTCGACTTACGTTCTTAGTGAGACGAAATGTCTCAATAATTCAAGGCTTCGTCAAGGTATGAGGTATCTTTGGGAATAAAACAAACACCAAGAATCACAATTGTTCATCTGCAATATTACATTTTAATTAATATAGGCTGTGATCTTCGCTTTGGTTCCTGGCAATATTCAAAAGGATGGACGTGGAGCAATCTCGATGATCCCTTATTATCCCTCTATCTTGATGATGGCTACGGTGTTACAACCGCCTTCGATATCTCAAATGAAAACATTTCCAGTTGTTCATTAAGCAATGTGACCGTCTTGACGACGCAGGGAAACTGGGAAGAATTTGACTATAATTCAAGTGATGTTGTGTTCTTTGTTTATAGAAGATATTACCACATTAGTTGGGTAAGGACTGCCACACCTTCAACCTTACTTCAACAGTACCAGTTTCGTGATCAAGAAATTCCTCACTCGCCTCTCGATTGTTTTACCAATCGACAACAAACTATCACATAAATTTTGAAGAAAAAATTGATTGCATTTTTTCATAGAACACAAAATCTCTTCGTGAGGAAAGGAAACACAAGATCAGAGGACATATACTTCGATTATCAATTCTTTGTGAACAACGATCGTCGGATATCGATCAAGATATCTGGCGTCCTCCATTGAGGGCATGTCTTATTGTAAAAGTCACAGGACGGCTTGACCAAGGTACGTATTCTAAATACCTCGTGATCAGGTCTATTACTTAACATTGGAAGCATAAGCTAAACACGTTATTAATTTTAAGGGTGGCCAGGGGGAGGGGCGGTCAAATGACAGGACAAAACCATTTTTATGGCGGACATCACGCATTTCTGGTTGGAAAATTAGTTTTGAACCTAGAGTTTTGTGGCATATTTCATAAAGTCTGGAAACACGTCGCATCAACCATGTTCCCCGGACTATGCTCTCGTTGACCAACAGTTATTTTGCTCCCAAGGACCATCGCATTAGTACATACTTCATAATCAAGGCATGCTTGATCCTTTGAAGCTAACAGTTTTTTCTTTACAGTTTTATCAAGAATTATAATAATCAACAAGTCAAACAATGGAAATGGTGCGACGTTAACGATAGTGCTTGTGGTATTATTCAGTATTCTTGCTCTTGTTGCTTTGCTAACAGCAATAATTTTCTATCGAAGGAGAAGATCCTCAACAACAACATCAAGCTTTGGATTCCATTATTTTGCTAAAAAAACGTGATTTATCACATAATTACAATTCAAGTTATTGATCAGTTTCTTATAATTGTTTTTTTTTTGTAATCGAGTGAATTAAACATCAAATGTGACCAAGTTCGAAAAAACAAAATAACTTGATTTTGCCTCAAAGTTAACATTTATAGAAAAGTAAGTCTTGAGGAAAACTTTGTTTTACTGCTTCAATGATTGGAAAGGGACACGAAAAGGGTTCAAAATTTCAGTTTTGATTAAATGGACGAGTTTTTTTAAATCCTTAATTAAATGATGGAGAAGTTTTACGAAATCCTTCATTCAAGTATTGAGGAGTTTACGAAATCCTATTTTCATTGAGACATAGTCACGTTCTCCTGTGAAGCTGGCACGTATTTGTGGGAGACATACAGTCACGTGCTCCTGTGCAGACTGGCACGATTTTGCGGGAAACATACCGTCACGTGCTCTTGTGACACTAGCACTTATTTATGGGAAACATACAGTCACGTGCACCTGTGAAGACTGGCACGAGTTTACGGGAAACATACCGTCACGTACACCTGTGAAGACTGGCACGTATTTATGGTAGACATACAGTCACGTGCTCCTGTGAAGACTGGCACGTATTTATGGGAGACATACAGTCACGTGCTCCTGTGAAGACTAGCACTTATTTATGGGAGACATACAGTCACGTGCTCGTGGGAAGATCGGCACGACTTTACAGGAAACATACCGTCACGTGCTCCTGTGAAAACTAGCACTTATTTATGGGAAACATACTGTCACGTGCTCCTGTGCAGACTAGCACGTATGTATGAGAGACATACAGTCACTGTTCGAGTAAACAGTTTTGGCAATTACCAATTGGATCTACATTCATTGACTGACTTTAAATAGCTTGATCAGTCAAAATTACTAGAGGAATTTTCTGAGCATGATAGTTGACTTAACTAAATGTCAAAGTTCATGGTAATGGTGAACAGATCTGCAAGAACCAATTTTGGAGTAAATAGCTCACTTAATCATAAATCATCTGACCATATATAATATATTAATCCTAACACAGTTTCTAACATGCACATGAAAAACATGTGACTTGGACGAGATTTGAACTTGCACCTTCGGGATACTAGTCCGCCGCTCTACCTGTTGAGCTACCAAGCCCACAGGGATTGGAGACGAGTCAAATCTCTTAAAACTGCGTATGGATGAGAGATTCTCGCCACTATAGCAGTTTACTGGATGGCACTGTGTTTCGACTTTATTCCAAAGCCATCATCAGAGTATATATATAATAAATTAATTTATCAGAGTATAATATATATATAATCAACAGGTAGAGCGGCGGACTAGTATCCCGAAGGTGGGAGTTTAAATCTCGTCCAAGTCACATGTTTTTCATGTGCATATTAAAAACCGTGTTAGGATTAGTATATTATATATATCAGATGATGGCTTTGGAATAAAGTCATCTGACCATATTTGGTAAAAAATGAAATTACACCACAAGCGTCATCCAGCCTTAAACTTATCTGTGTATTCAATAAGTGAATAAGTTGATTGCATTTAAAGTCAGCTTACAACCCACATTACTTTTATTTTACAATGCTTGCAGCAAAATATGAGTGTATAAGAAAACATTTTCCATTGCCTTGTGACTCAGCCAACGGAAAATAATAAATCATTCATTAATTTAATGAGTGATGTGTTCAGAAATGTTTAGAAATGAAACATGAAATAAATGTCAATCTTCGTGAAAGATGACAATTTAGTTTTGATAAATGAAGTAAAAACAAAAATTTAGTTGAATTTATAGCTATTTGAGTACAATTTTCTGAAGAACCACTACTTCATGCACATGTTTAATAAGATATTAAGCTTTCCTCTATAAAACCCTAACAAAATATAATTGATCTATGATCTACCTCACTTTTGCAATTACTTCCATGGAGAAAACTTTGTTGGAACTAGTAGTTTTGAGCTCATGTTTGACAACAGTAGTTTGCAGTCACGCACTAAAATAAAAAATAAAATACAAACAGATGAGGGATAAATGCACAAATGCGTGAACAATTCAAACAAACAGAAATTATCATACTAGTTTCTCTCCACATTTCATCCTTTTCAACCTTATCTATGACCTCAATACGTTCATCTGGAGTACGATAATGCCAAAGATGATAGACTGTAAAACATTTTTAAATAATATCACAAAAGAAAAGAAAAAAGTAATGTTCAGATTAGTGTTTTTGTGCAGTTTTTAAAAATGTGATGAAGTTTGTCATATGATTCAAATTGAAATCATACCTTGATTTAATTCACCAAAATCACTAAACCAGATTCCAATTAATTGAGAATATTTATTGCGATCCTCAACACCTTGTCTAAAGCGATGAGAAAATTGCTCTAATTTCCCTGGAAGCACAGTATATAGGCACATCTCATAGACGCCTTGTTCCAGAAGTGTTTTTTCAATAATCTTGTACCATGGAAATGGATACAATATTACATTCTCCTAAAAAATCTTATGTTCAAAAAAAACTTCTCTTTAACACCATTTTCACATTGAGTTATACCTGTTTGGTCAACATTGGCAGCACTTTAGATAGATAATTTGAAATCCACTCCTGATCATTTGCAAGAGTAGATCGTACTGCTGTTCGATGTCCATGATTGTCTAATAAAAATGAACATTTGAATATTCTGAATATATTATTGATGAATTAAGTCACGCTGTAAAGATTTTACAAACCATATTGCCATAAATGGGAAACTTCATTCAAAGCACCATATTCAGTAACCCAGTAGCCCATTAGTTTTGAGTGAGCAGTTCTCAAGTGAATACACTCATTTGTAAGTTGCATAAACTCATCTAGAAATAACATGATTATTGTACATTAGGAAACCATGACTATATTGTAGAACCTAGAGCCAAAATTAAAAAATAATTACAATGCTACTTACTAAATCGTTTTTGTTTTATGCTGTATGTTCTATATTCGTAAAATCTCGGAGAAATAAATGATGAATTACAAAATCTTCTCTTCACATCAAAATTCCGACATACTGTACTATATTTCATTAATTTAACAAGAAAATTCATATCATTTTTAAGCGCCATATTTTTCACCTGCAGCATTTGACCAACGACCAGTTGCCCAGTGATAGTGTGGTACTCAGAGTGGTACTGGTACCAAGAAAAAAGCGACCTTTTCACCCTTCTTGTTAATTGTTATGCTTCCACTTTCCTTCAACTAAGAACTACTCCGTCTCGAAATGTCCTGTCATGTGGTTCGCAATCCTGGTACAGAATTAAACTTTTCATGGCTGTCAAAGTGCTGTGTAAACTTTTCCGCCGTAAAACGACGGGCTGAAAGTCTCAAAACACGACGCTCTATCAAAAAAGAATGGCAGGCAGCTTGGCTGCTAAGGGCTGTATCATGTGTTGATCTTACAACGCTGTCAGGAGATGACACCAACAGCAACGTGACACGATTATGTTTTAAGGCACAAAATCCAATTCGACGTGATTTATTAAACAGTATGGCTTTTGAAAATGAACTTAAAGTCGGAGCTGTTTGTGTTTACCCTGCCCGAGTTTCAGATGCTGTTCAAACCTTGCAAAGTTTGGACTCCAAAATTCCTGTTGCCTCTGTAGCTGCAGGGTTTCCTGCAGGTATGTAGGATCATTAAAATGGTAGGTGGGTTTATCAGAGGGTAATGATAATGCTTGGTTTTTTCATATAGGCCTAACCCCATTAAAGCAGCGTTTGGAAGAAATTGAGACAGCCATTTCATATGGTGCAAAGGAGATTGATATTGTCATCACTCGAGCCTATGTACTTAATGGTGAATGGCAGGCACTATATGATGAAGTTAAAGCATTTCGTAAAGTATGTGGTGATGCTCATCTCAAAACAATAATAGCTACAGGAGAACTCGGGTCACTGGTAAATATATATCGAGCAAGCCTTGTTTGTATGATGGCTGGTTCTGACTTTATTAAAACATCAACAGGAAAGGAAAGTGTGAATGCAACATTCACTGTTGCTTTGGTTATGGTAAGGGCAATCAGAGAATATTTTCAGGTAACTAAATTTTAAATAAAGTAGTATATTAAAATGTTTAAACTGGACAAGTTTTATTTGTTTAGGAGACAGGATATAAAGTGGGCTTTAAGCCTGCCGGTGGAATAAGAAGTGCCAAAGATTCTCTTACATGGTTGGTGTTGATGAAAGAAGAATTGGGCGATGAATGGACTCAGCCAAACTTATTTAGAATAGGAGCTAGTTCACTACTTGTTGACATTGAGCGTCAGCTTTTCCACCATGTCACAGGAAGGTGGGTACAATTGAAAGAATACTAAAATAACTGTTTTGCACTTGTGAACCTCGTAATTTGATTGCCATCTTTTTTTTCCAGATATGCTGCTGCTCATGAGTTACCTATGTCATAAAAACAGTATTGTAAAAATTAAATATGAAATATTGACCTTAAACAATTTCATTTTTAAGTTTCTAAAATTATAATTTACATTTTGTAAAGTGATGGTACCTTTAAATAAACATTCTTCAATCAGCAAGAAAGTCGACTACTTCTTCAAGTTCACGTTGCTTTGCTTGTTTATGAGCCCAGCGATCTTCTGCAACCTTTGCTGAAACATTCCATTTTTCATGATAGATGATACTCTTGCATGCTGGACATTTTTTATCTGTATCAAAAATGAAGTAAATTGGATAGGACTTTCAAGAACATTGTATGATCAAAACCATCAACCATTCAACTGAATGGTATAACTACCTTTAATAAATCAAGTTTATACTCCAATAAAAACAAATTTTACTTCCTGAGATGGATGGAAAGACTTTATATAGAAATATTTGAATTACTGGTGTATCTATTTTGGTGGAAAGTAGCCTTCCATTTATATTCAATTTAATGCCTTTAACAGACCTTTAAAAGGTGGAGTCTTCATGTACTTATCAAGGCACCCAAAATGATAAATATGTGAACAATATACTCTTTCCAAATGATTAGGATGTGACGTATCTTTTATTACATCCTAAACAGAAAGTTACAAAGACCATGAATAAACATTACAGTAATGATATCACATGAAATTCTAGTACAAAGATGCTTTCAAAAAATATACTATAAAAGTAAAATTCATACCTCTGGTTTTTCAGGTAATACTTGTTTATGACAAAGTGGACATGATTCCTTAGGATATCGTTTAATGCATTCATTCACCAAAAACTCAACAACAGGTTGAAGTGAAGACTTCGGTTCAAATGGTGGAGTTTTTGAGTTCCTTTTCAAAGGTTTACTGACACATTTTCGAGCTATTTCCTCAGCTTGCGAAAGAAACACTTTCCTTAAATATCCAGGAAAGTTTGAAGCAGTTTCCTCAATTCTAAATTGCACAATAAATCACACAAAAAAAATCACATTACATGTAAGACATTCATACAAATTGTTCAATAGTCGTACCTTACTGGTTCTCCTGGATAGTTATCTGGAACAAAAATCTTAAATGTCATGTAAAATTTATCTTGATTGATGTTGAAACTAAGTGTTCCACTCTTTGATTTTATTTTAAGTTCATCCTTTTCAGGGTTAATAAGATTTTTCTTGATGTAATTTATCTCATCAGAACATATAGAGAAAAAATTCTCGTCCAAGAATTTCTTTATAAATGTGATGATAGGAACTAACTGTAAAGAATTATATAAATAATTTGGTAAAGAACCACTTAACTACAGTTGCCTTACCTGAGGAGAGCTGATGTGTTTTTTGGCCTCTTGATCACATATTTCAACTAATTTATTTAGTAATTTCTCAGACAAAGTTTTACTTTTCAACTCAATTAAAATAGCACTTTGAGGATAATCCTTAGGAAACTGGAAATGAGCAACCGTCTGCTTGTACTTTGTTCTCCTATACATGAAAAACAAAAGTAATGAAGGGTAAAGGTTGATATTATAACTCATAACTGTCAAACGTGTGTCAAGAGATTGTAAGAGTCGGGCTGGTGGTTGGTCTGACTAAACTATCACTGGAATTTAAAGATTGCACTTCCTATGAAAACTTCACTCAGTGTGTATACATTAGATTTCAAAATTCACACCAACGTCACCTTGCATTTAACATACTTTATTTTGACTTGTACCATTGCTATGTGACAAGCAACTATTTCAGTTCCTTTAAGGATTTCTGTCAGTTTTTCCCTTACATATTTAAGTTCTTCATTCAAGAATGCTTGATTATCATGCGAGGTCATCGTAGATCAATATTTTTGACAAGAAAAAACAATTGCCTGCTTGAATTTTATGATTTTTATCTCCAGCCGCTGACAAGATGTGTCGCGGATGTATATATTTCTTTGCCATTTATTTTTCATTTACATTCAATTCCAAATAAACATTTTTAAATATTTTAAGACTTGTCTGAAACTCAAAAGTATGATTTAAATTGACTTATCCTGTGGATTGAAAAAATTAAAATTTTTACTGCTTAATATTGGTTTGCTCGGAGCTTGCATTAGGCCATTGGACATTGGACTGAGCCTAATTTTAGTCAGTTAGTTTCCAGTCCTAAGGTTGATACTCTCCATCGATCGTTCTTTTCAAGTTCTCCATCTTTACCAGATAAACGGTTTAGAAATGGTAAGATTCAATCGCTTTCAATCCTCGCTGAAAAGAAATTTGTTTTAAACATGTCCTATTCCTGATAAATTGTCATTTAAATATTGTCTACTTTCTTTGAAAAAGGTCAACATCCCGAAGCAGCGTAGGACCATTTGCAATAAGTGTAAACGCCATACACTTCACAAAGTTACTCAATATAAGGCTGGAAAAGCTAGTCTACACGTTCAAGGTTGCTTATAGTCCTTTCATTCATTATGTCAATGTGATAGGCACACAAGATTTTTTTAAGTTCCAAAAGAATTCATGTTTCTGACACGTTATTCATTTCGTTTGATAGGCAAACGACGTTATGATAAAAAACAGAGAGGTTTTGGTGGACAAACCAAACCCATCTTCCATAAAAAGGTCTGTTTATGATTTCAACTAGCCGCATTATATGTATTACGAAGTTAAGAGCAGTTGCAGATTACCCTGCCGCCTACTTCTATGACATACAAATACTAGCCTGATTGTTGTTGAAAGACTAACAGTTTTGTGTGGCAAACTATTTCCTAACTTATTATTGTGTATTTACTTGTCTTACTGTATGGATGTAGGCAAAGACAACTAAGAAGATTGTGTTGAGAATGGAGTGTATGGAATGTAAACGACGAAAGCAAGTACCAATCAAAAGATGTAAACATTTTGAACTTGGTGGTGACAAGAAACGCAAGGTACACCACACTGGTTTATGTTTTAAATGCTTTGTATGTCAGAGATCTACATTAATACTTAATTTTATTTCACTTTCAGGGACAAATGATCCAGTTCTAATATTTGAATGAATAAATTCTTAAATAAACATTATTGTTCCATTTCTTTGTGTTTTCAACTTAGATAAATAAATTATTTACCTCACCAACACAACAGAGAAACGCAACATTTCAATTTCCTTTAAGGCAGCTTATACACTTTGTGTTATCTTTATCACCTGGATTAGTAACCTAGTAAATACTAAACTAAAATTTAGCCCACTGGAATTATTGCTCATTTTTGGTAAAATCAGGAAATGTGAGACCTTTGATGCGGACTCCTTTAGACAAATAACAGTGTTGCTGTATCACCATGCTAACAGAAGAGGAACATAACAAAACTTCATTACTGTTCAGATTTTCTTCGAAGTTCAAATGAAAGTTTCTTAAAAGCTTGCCTATAACAATAAAGATAATATTATCTAAACATGACATTGACAATTGCAAAGGATCACTGGATTGGTATTATTACCCTATGGCTTTAGCAACAGGTTCTGTAGAGAATTCTGACATAAATATATGGCAGGCAAATCTTTGTTGATGCGGGTGTTTGGTGACAAACCCGAAATACCTATGTATAAATGCAAAATGCTTTGAGTGAATGCCTTGAAACAAGGGATGGTAATTCAGAGTTTAATCACCTTGTTGACTCTGAGTAGCAACCACAAAATGTGACATGTTTTAGTTGAAAGTAAAACTTGGATACAGCAGCCTGAAAGATGATTTGATAAAAAATAACCACAGTTTTTGTTTTCAGAATTTTTTTCAACTATCACCTTTTGTTCATTATTAAACAGTCTTCCGACAAGTGACTTGTTCTGTTGTTTCTGAAAATAAAATCAATATCCATAAAAATAAGGAAAATTATAAGTTTCAATGAGAAAAACATTAAAAACCTCATTTTCTTGTGCATGATCTATGAGTCTTATTCCTCTTTCGTCAATTTCCAGTGTACATGGAGACCAATCATGTACTTTATTTTTGGTTCTTAAACTCAATATCTTTGTTATAGCTTCTTGCAAAACATTGATTCCTTTTAACACAAATACTTCAACAGAGCCCAAAAATCTATAATTACATCAAAACATGAAAAATGATCAGGTTGTTATATCAGGTTGAAAATACTTGAAAAATATAAAAGCAACAAACTTACTTCAAGTAGAACTGCATCCCATTTTGGGACAAATCTAACAATGACAATGAAATCATCAAAATGTGAGATATTTTAACCATATTCGTAAATCAACCAATAAAAGTTAGTATATACCATATTTTATCTTCTCTCCTGTATATGATAGGATATCTGAGACAAAATGAGATGGAAATATTCCTGTTTTACCAGAACGTAGATTTTTGCCCTCACACCATAAATCACTAGAAATATGTTTTACACAAATAGCATCCCCTACATCTAATTCAAGTTCATTATCATGTCTTGGAAGAAATTTATACGCAGCAAAATGAGTCTGTAAATCGCCTTCTCTAAGTTGAACATGACCACTGCAATTTGGCAGTCTCTCTCTAATCTCTGACACATGAGCAGTTGTATTTCTCTCACTGTCCGTAACAACTGCACATTCTGTTGACGAAAATCCATTGAAGCCATAACTTGAGATACCTTGAGCACTTTGTGACTTTTTCAAAGCTATCTTTCGTGAACCATGACTATCCTTTGGTAAAGTTTTAAAACTATATGCTTGGCCATAGGTCCTTTCTTTCCTTTTAGTGACAGGGCTAGCTGTTTTCATTCTTGCTACTTGTCTATGTATAAACTCTATATAAACTCTATGTATAAACTTTATGATGTTCAACTGGCTGACATTTCTATTACGAACATGACAGACTAGCAATTGAAATATACTACTACTATACGTGGTTGAAAACCACTAATATCAAATTATTTTCTTTATGTTCCTTTAAGTCTTTCGATCTTTTGGACAACTTGATATTCCATACTTCATAACGTATCTACATTATTTGATTGTGATGCTTTATTATTGCTGAATATAGCAACGAATAATTATTTTAATAGTTGATTTCCGTAATTTCAGTGCTCCACTTTGAATACTTGAAATATTTAAAAACAAAGCAACCAAGGAGGTTATTTCTGTACAAGGACCTTCTTGGATCCTTTGTTTGTGACGACAGTGACGTAGACTTCAAAAACACAATGATCTTTGACGTTTTAATGTTATGATTTTGCGGCAAGTCACGTTGAGATTTTGTGTTCCGAAAAGAAAAACATTGTTTCTCGACCACCCAGTTTATATTATTTCCAATTTCTTCGAAAGACAGTCGAAGAGACAAGCTTTTATGCTTCCTTCGAAACGTTTTTCACCTTTGTTGCTATTTTGTATCAAATAGAAATGAGCCAATCATAATCCAAATTCAAAATCCAATCCTAAAATTTGACTTCCATAGCCGCGATCAAACCATTGATCCGGTTCAAACATAAATACATAAAGAAAATCTACATACAAAGAGCTGTCTATTAAAGAAACATTCTGGATGAGAGTGATTACAATATATTAATATCTATTTTCACGTTTTATATAGGAAGCAATGTATTTTGCGAAAACACATATTTATCCAGAATTATGTACAGGTTTAATGAAGATAAAGAATCATATTACAAATAAGAAAACATAATACACAGAGATCCTTTCTCAAAAGTCTCCGTCAGGGAACTGTCTCAAAAATACTTCAGGATGATGTTTTTGAAAGTTCCTCAAAAGCATTTTCTTTTCTTTCAGTGTTAAGTTTAAATCGTCTAGAATTTGGTTTATAAGTTGTTCTAACTCCTGATTCGTAAAAGTTTCTCTTTGTTGTTCGTATTCCAACACGGAGACGCGACGACATCTGGAAACCACAGGAAGGTCAGTGCGCCCTTGTTCAAATTCATTCAATGTTTCCTGGAGATATTGGACAACATCTTCGGGAATGCGAAACATATTCGCTTGAGTCTCCATCATGAAGTTGACAAGATAATAACGCATTACCTGAAAACATAAATTTATAATAAGGAAAGTTGAACAATTACTGAACTTTCGTTAAAACCTGATTAGTTTACCTTATCCAATTGATCACATTCTGGAAGAATGGCATTCATAAATACCGAACAAACTCCTTCCCTTGAATCCACTCCTGCCACAGGTTGTATATTGTTATCCACAGAAAGACACATGAATTGAAGGAGTTTCTGCAAATGCTGCGATTTGCTCAGCGGCAATAGTACAACCAACAACTGCAACACTCTTAAACACTCAGTATACTTTCCATTTTGCAGTAAGAACGATACCTCACAGATAACTTCAAACAAATTGCTGGGAAATAAAGTCTCGACGATCGATCGATAGTAATCAATCAAACTTTTGAAAATTCCTAAAATACTGTCGTTCCATGAATTTCTAAATCCAATCTCTGTTTTTCTAGGTAAAGGACACTTGATTTGAAGATCAAAACATTCTATTGTTGCTTTTAACCATGTTTTTTCTTGGTCATTTTCGCATAACTCCAATGTCTGATCTAAATGTTCGCGTCCAATTTTATTGGCTTGCTCCACATCCAAATTATTACCATTGGCGTACTCGTCGTCATGGTCAGCATAATTTTCAAACGATTCTAGCAAATTCTCCAACATGGGCACATCAATTAACTGTAATAAACGAACTGCGCTGATTTCTCGTCTTAAAATATCAACTTCACGGATAGATATGTCCTTTTTTAATGGTAGTAAAGCTTTATCCCTATCAAAAGAAATCATAGTTCTGAATCTGTTCATCATTAACACTAATGATGTAAGGGAGAGAGAAAATTCGTGTTAACATTGTTGGATGACCGCGTGATGCACCTTGCTAGACGCCCACAGGAAGGGCGGTATTTCTTATTAACAAAATGATTTTAATATATGAGGCAATAAATTGAAGTGCTTGTGACTTAATGTCTTTTTTAAGGCCAGGTTTTATGAGAAAAGCTATGAAAGGGAATTTTATGCGTCTCGAAATTTTCTAGAGCCCATCTTACATTTGTTATGCCGTCGTCGGTTGGTTGCCAAAAACTGTTGTCATGTCGAAAAACATACTCATTCTGCTTTTGAAAGTCAAAGTAAATTACTACTTTGTTTAAGAGCAGGAAGGACTATCCTGTGGCGATACAAAACATAGTGAATGCTAAACACTATATTCTTTGTATCAAACATATGACTGTATTCAACAACTAAATCAAAAATGTCATCTATTTCCATACAATTGCTCAAAATTGTAATGTGCGATACGTGTCGTATAATTGCTATATGATTTAGGATAATAAGTTGCATGTAAATAAGAATATTTCAACACTCTTTAAGAGATTCACAAACAGATCACGAGAACGAAAAGGAACGTAAAGCAAAATTTTGTCGTTAAGGATGTATATATATGAACATAATGTTGTAGTCATCTATTTTGAAAAGTGGAATAGGAAGAGAAAAATGGCCAACTAGCGTTCATATTGACTAAGTATGATCACAATTATAATTAGTATTCTCTCTCATCAACTTATGAACTGGTAAACCAAACTTTAAATATCATGAACTCGCTAATTCAAGATTTAAGTTATTTTGAAAAAAAGATAAAAAAATTCTTGGGACGTACATTTCGTTATCAGTTCAAAGTCATTGTCAATCTCGGTCTTTTGTAAGAACTCATATTCAACTTTAGCTAATGGCGATAAGTATATAAATTTAATATCCTCACATACAAGGAAGGCAACCTTGTAACATGATACAAGAAAAGAAGTTTGAGTTACAGAGGGACAGTTGAACCTTGTGATTTGTGACGCAAGATAAAAAAAAATAGACCTTGCTTGCAAAGCTTGATTTTGCAATTGCGCTCACGCCGGGTCAGCTTACCCAGTATATATGAATCTGTTGAGATTATTAGGAATTGAAGAATACTATTTTGCATTAATAACTACCGAAATTACGCTCCAATGTATTTAATAAAAGGAATTGAATTCAAATTGAAGAAGTATATTACTCTAGCTTGCAATAAAACACAATCCTTGCACTATCTTTTTTTTAAGTGAAGTAATAAGTCACGTATAACAATATATAGGTACAAAACAACGAAAGGAATATAACTATTTACTGACCTTCGAAAATCCTGTGACACATGCGGCCCAGTATTGCTATAAGCAACGTCAACAAACCGATATAACTTTGAGCCATCGTCAAAATCACTTCTCTGATTATCCTCGACCGCTTCCAAAATCCTTTTTTGAACAAATATCTGACAAAGATTACGAAGCTGAGATCTTGAAACACCAAGTCTCATATCTGGGTGAGATTTAACAAAATTTTGAAGCACTGTTATCGCTTCTGATCCCGTAAAGCAATCTTCGTACGATTTCATTTTCCAACGACGTCGCTTAATAACAACATTATTTCGTAGATGATTCACCATATCATTCCATATTGCGGTTGCCTTGAATTTTTCACGTTTTATTGTTGCTCGGTACTCATAATTCGGGTCGAAAGTTGTGTTCATCTTTCATGCGACGAATCTTCCGTTTCAATGGCGACAGGTGAAACACACAGCTCAAATACAAAGTAACAATCGACGCTGGCCACTCAAAACAAATCTCTGCACGTTTGTCATGGTAATTTGATCTACATGACGTAGGCGTCGAGAGACCTTGAGGCATTTTTTGGGCCAAAAACACTTGTTTTTTTCCCTTTCTGAGGATTAGCAGTATATTCTATTTTCGGTATCAAAAATGCGATTTTCATATTTTGAATTATTTCACAGGTTTATATCAATTATAGCAAAGCTATACATTAGAACTCAATTCATCAAATTGTCATTAAAGAAATTAACCTTTTTTAAAACAGCAGAATACTTTCGTCGCATGTTTGCTGAATTTTGCTGTACATCTGGCTTTTTTTGTTCAAATTAAATTCGGTAACAAAATTTAATGTTGCAACATGCTATTTTTCGAAGACAAAAATTTCAAGTCTAAAATAGAGCACATAAATTTCAGCGCAAGTTTAGCGTTTCTAATCCCACACAATTTTAAAAGTTTCTTAACTGTGTGAAAAATGGCATTGTAAATTACAAATAAATCTTTCATGTTATGTGCAGACGTGCAGTTTTGATAGTGTGTTCTTTGTTAATTTAAATATTTCAGAGATTAAACATGACATCAATTACAACACAAAATCTTCCTTTACATGGTGATCCAGAAGGATTAAAACACCATTTTTTGAACTATTTTCATCTCGTAAGGAACGATTAAAATAGTTTCTAAAGACAATATGAAAGAATTTGAAGGAAAATATAGAAATTGTCAAAAATGTAGAGAATGCTGTACTAAAATGCTTCACGCTCTAAACTATTAAAAATAATTACAGAGAGTGGGTGAAAATATTCGCTTTGTTAAAATGATAATTATTCGAACAAAAATTATTGTCATTCCAAATTTTCAAATAAATATATCCATAAATTTTCAACAAATGAACAAATAACTAGGCAACTATGCATCAAATACCGAATGAGTGTGAAAGAAATTGTACTTGCAATCGACAATTTAATATCTTCACGACATCCACACAATACAACAAAAAACATTCATACATTTAAACAGTAAAAAATCATTGACATTGCATCAATCAATGCAAAAGATTTTGAAGGGTTCGAAGAAGAAACAAGAAATTAATTTAAATAACTGATAAAAGAAATTAATTGATGAAATTTATATTTTACATTAATAAATAAAACTTATAACAAACTGAAATATAGAAACGAAATTGACAACTGAAATCGACATAATGAAAATGATTGCATTAGTGACAATTATAAGAATTGGTAAAAATTAGAAGCATTGGTGAAAATTAGAAGCATTGGTGAAAATTAGAAACATTAGTGAAAATTAGAAGCTTTAATGAAAAGAGCTCGTACATTGACGCACGAACTGGCCTTTCTATACGCAAATTACGAAAGAAAAAATTCGTGTTCGACAGGTAGGTAGCTACCCAAATATTTTCATTATATATATTACCACAGCTTCATCGTATTATTAATATTATATACGACGTATCTGTAGTTTTCTTGCGTGATTCATAATGTAAAAGGTTAGTTACAACATTTTATCTTTCACACGATCTCTCCAATCTAAGGTAATGTACAGCCATGAACAATCTGAGCTATATTATACTTGGTCAGCGGCAGCACCAAGTAATGTACAAGTTTTTCAATATATAATCTATTTTGAAATATAAATCCGCTGTTTCGCAAATCTATTTATATTACACACACACGCAGCACGCACGCACAGATGACTATGTAAGGACAGGTACACAGCGCGAGCAAGTTAAAGGAAACAGGACACCATGAGCTTAACTATCAACACTTAATTATAAGAACACTACAACCTTCAGACATCCTCATTTGTTTCTTTAGCCGGTATTGAGTCAGTGTCTTCAGTAATTCCACCATTTTCGACTGAATTGTCCTTTGATTTACCTTTGCTTGCCTGCTTTTCAAGTTCCATTTCCTTAATCCTCCTGCTCCACATTTGATAATTACTTTCAAGGTTTTCCATAATTTCGCAGAAAATCTCCTTTGATCTCCTTTGTTTCCTAGATAGTACAAATATTCAACAAAAAGATGCGTTCATCAATGACACTAAGTATGCTGTTTCTTTTCACTGAATTTTTCTCAAAAATTTTAATACAAAATACCTCCGTTTCATTTTTTTACCAAGTCTTTTTTTGACGGGATAACTCCGGTGATGACCCACACCGGAATCTGAATGTTCCGTGCTTTCATCCTCTTTCGTTGAGCTATCCCGTCGCTCTCTTTATTGACGTCATACTCTGAAGACGTCACCCATACTCCAGGTAGCAGGCCCGCGCTCCTGCATGACCTAAACAGTGGAGCGACTAAATGATTAATAAAAGTCTCCTGTAACTGAGCAACTAGCGGCACATTTCGATCCATGTAAGGTGAAACAGGTAATCCTCTGGACAGTTCATCATCGCCCTGGCAAAAAGAGTTACGTCATAGAGTTAGAGAAAAACGACGCTAGAAAAATGTAAAAAATTTTTACCTGCTCATAAAATTCTTCAACAATTCTCTCTGTCCACCTTATATGAATATCTTTCTGTTTTGTTGGACCAGAGATATCCGCCATTTTTATACACAATTGAGAGGCTAAAAGACGGTCTTCGTGAAAAGACCAGTCGATACCAGCACCGCTGTCAACCTGCAGATAAATTTAACCCATCTTCAGCAATACATATCAACAACCGTTTCAGCTTATAAAACAATCAACATAAACCAACCTTTGCATTTAACTCTTGGAGAATATCAAAATGGCGTTTGAGATCAGTGGCTAGAACCGCGTCCACAACCAAAAAACGGAATCTCTTATAATCTGCCGTCGAAAGAGACTCCACGTAATTATACTCAGGAGACGAAAGAAGTAAAGAAAATGCCTGCGATACATGATGGTTCTCCAGTACTGACCGATCATTGTAAAGTAAAGCCTGGAGTGACAAAAAATTGACGATTTGCAAATAATAAACGTAACTTGCTCACTTAAAACGAAAGCTATTGAATTAAATTTGAAAGCGCAAAATTATAATGGCGATAAGTATTGTAAAATTATGATTTTCTTTTTTGTGTGGCGTGATTTTAGTGTTGTTATTTTGTTGCACTACCTGTGGTTCAACTGTAGCAACAATAAAGGCATTTGTTCTACCAGGATGGTCGTAATCATGCATAGCAGCAGCAGAATACAGAGCAAATCTCTCTAAATCTGGCAAACAACTAGAAAGTCTGTCATAATGGTCCGTAGTTTCTGATAACTCTTCTGATTGGTCACCGCTCACCGAATCAGAATCACTATTTGGGTCACCGGTATCAAAGGGGCAGAAGCCTGCAATACGTTGAGTCGTTAAGTGATATACTCCATGTAATACATCAGCTGCATGTGCACTGTTGTGATCTGGCAACAAAAAACAGCTATTTGTTTAAGTTTTCGAGAAAAATCCAAAAATAAATAAAAGGAAAGATCATTCTTACAAGGAATGTCATTATATCCTGCTTCAAGAGCAGTAAAGTAGTTCAAAAATATTTCCTCTCGTATGTGAAACTTCTCAAAGAAGCCAGAGTTTTTAAAAATTTTGAACGCCACCTATAAAAGATACGGAATGTAAATACCACACGGACGGGCAAAGTCTTATATCCATGTTTACCCTACTTACCCCTCGCAATACATTGCCATTTTCCCACACATCGAAAATTGGAAAACTCCAACTATCAATTTTATCAAACAACTTTTCCACTTCTCCATTCCTCTCCGTATTCTTTGCTTTCTCTAGAATTTCATCCACTGTCGGTTTACGCCTGCCATAAAAGGACATCGTCGTTAACGCCATTTCATTTTCGGAGGTCACGTTATCTTCCGATTCCGAAACATCCGACTGTCCACACGACTTACAATTTTCCACGAGTTTCGAGTTTTCTTCGTGAACACTCGTGAATGAAACACTTTCACAAGATACCTTACGGGTTATGGGTGAAGAACGAACTTCACTTGATCGAGTGTTATCTTGAGTATGTGAGAGAGTGTACGGAAGAGATTTCGCCTGAAACGACAAGATATATTTGATGATCAAGTTATGAAAGATTATGGTGCTAGATAAAATAAGAACTATATTCTTACAGGTTAATTATGATGAATCACATCCATGGTGGCAAGAAAAATGACAAATAGCTTAAGAAAAACACCCATCTGATTCAGTGTACTAACCACAAAATAGCTATGTTTGTTATTTAACATGATCACTGAGTATCCTACCTGCCTGAGTTTAGCAGACGATAAAATTGTAGGTGACCCAGACCTAGGTGAACCAGGAAGGTTATGAGATATATTATCCACAGTCGGCATGCCTGTAGCCGATGTCGTTGTCGTAAATAAATTTGACATTCTACGATTGTGATGAAGTCGTGAGCGCTATAAAAACCATGAAAATTGAAGTTCTTCGTTACAAAATTTGAATTATACAACATGTTATAAGAACGATCTGTTAAGATTCCCAACACCCCAATCAATGTGTTAAAGCAGATGTAATCAATACAAATATTTCATGCAGATCAGGGAAAATAATCAATACACATATATCCATCAATACCCAGCCATCATCCCTCATATCGGGCTGCTCACATATCTTTTCATCAGGAACAAAACGGTTCTCCACTAATGGACTCATTGAGTTCACTCCACGTGTAAATGTATTGAACGTTGGCTGGGCAATCATTGAACTGATGATTTTTAAGGTGCTCGCAACATTACTGGGAAGGCTTGAGTCCGCCAATAAATCTGATAACATTCCATGAGCTTCACCAAGAGTTGTCGTATCTATTGTACTCTGAGGAAAAGGAAGATTTATGTAATGTGAGACATGATTGCAATCTGAATCTGCGTGATAGAAACTGCTGAATTCGCAATCACGAAGAAATCCTAAAGCACCGTAGCTCAAACAGAGCTAACCTAAGGCAATTTTCAAGCATGATGATTCACTCGTCAAAGATATAGAGATAGAGAATATTGGATAAATGTAATATATTAGGATAATCCTATATAGATTTCCGTCATCGTTCTGAACTATCCATTTTCGTCAATATTTTCTTGAAATTTTTCAAACTTTATCGCCAAATTAAAAGTTTATAATGAACTTATAAAAAGCAGTTGATAAGCTAACACTAACAAGTTATTGGCAATTTTAAGTAACAAATGAGAGACTTTCTTGTAAGTAAACAATGGAATGCTTTGTTAAGAAAAGAATTGGCAAATAAAAAATAGCCAAAAAATATGCTCAATACTTCAGCAAAATGTAATCGAAATGAAAAATATTGATCATATTTCTACCCAAATATACATCAACATTGTAAAACCTTATTTTTTGCACATATTTTGGAATTTAATAGCTTATTGTATAATGAATTGAAATGAAAGGAAATGATTTATGTAATATGGAAATTTAAAGTACTTTGATTTCACTTCCTCGGAACGACGACAAAGAGATGTCTTCAAAATATAAGATGTCATCGTTTTTTAGTGTAAGTGCGTGTTTGTACAACACGAAAATGAGATATTGAAAAGTGCTGTACAAATGTCACGAAACTTTGACTGTTTGTCAGTGTATTCGACTCGTTCATTGACATTTAAAAACCCGTTTAAACTGACGGAAGATTTCAAATCGAACAACAAAAGACCACTTAAAAAAGAATGCGTCCCTTTTTGCTTTTGGAAATTCCGCTCAAGTGAAATTCATTAATTTGATTGTTTTCGTTGCGTCTGAAGTATAGACAGGAATGCAACTAATGTTGATTGGTCTTATGGGTGTTTAATTTCTCGTGAGTATGAGATTTTTTATAAAAGACACGATACCGCAAACATTAATACAAAATAATATATACGAAAATATAATATTGTCAAAGCAGACAGGCTGTTGAAACATAAAAAAATAACTCTGCGACACAATGCAGCCGGTCAAATGGTAGCATATAATTGGTGCAATCACAGCTCCTTCAACTTTAATTGCAATAAAAAATAGTGTTATAATACTTTTGTATGTTGAAATATCCGAGGCATTCTTTCCGAAGTTCTGCGCTAAAGTCTAATGAAAGCAGTGAATGAAACAGAGATAATTACAACAATACTCGTAATGACGCTACGTTAAGACGATTAGAAACGAGTGCAAGGTTATTTGATATTCATGTTGTCGTTAATGAATCAAAGAAGCAGAAGGAATAAATATTCGATGCCGTCAAACTTGTGTAAAATATATCAAAAATGGTGCGGGGGTCATGGATTATTGATAAATATTGCCGGCTTCCGCGTAATATGCGAAATGCATGATAGAAAAACCATTTCGATCCGCTTGCTTTGATTTGCATGATTTTGAGCGTTCGGTCTGCTAAGGTGTTTACATTAACAGATTTCAAATTGAAAAGTTCTACCCCATCAAAATGCAGGTGATACACACAATAAAATTGCAAATGAGCTTGAAGCATACTGCAGAAAATTGTTTCATTGCACATCAATGACGAACAATATGTTTTCAATCTTATGCAAAAAATTTCGCAAGAAAAGCAGAAGAAGGGCGATAAGACAGACTTGTAGTAATTCAATTTCGAGTGTGTTTGATAACAGCGAAATTAAGCAAACCATAATATGTTTACTTTGAAACAAAATTATAAAGACCGTAGAGTTCTTTCATTAAATGATAACTTTAGTGCTCAAGGCAATAACATCAGTTGACAAAATATTTTACATCATAGAGCTTGTGCAAGCATTTGAATCGCGCCCTAGTACATGGTGAGAATTTCAATTTAAAAATTTATAAGATTGATCCACTGCATAGTAAATAGAAACAATCTTTACTATAGTAGTGAGCAACACTTGCTAATTGCTTACGAACACCAAAACTAAAACAATCAACATCCTACCTTTGCTTGAAAATTCAACACTGGTAATGAAGTTCTCCTTCGATTATTGGTGCCCGATGCAGCCGAATTTCGACGATTTTAAGATTAGTTTTCGCAGGTGTAAGTGAAATTTTCGCTTCAATCTCACTTGGCTTCTGTGACGTGGGAAGAATTACCATTCGCGTCAAAAATTCTCCCAGCACGGCCGATAAGTTTATAAAAATATATCTAAAAAATCCACTATTATTTGCTGTAACAAGCTTGTCAAAAACGTTGATTATCAACAAGCAGGACGCGAACATACATGTTCCTTCATTCCTACATTCTGGTATTAAGTAATAACACGGCATTAGCATCATAACGACGACAGTGATGTACGTTGAAATATGATCATTGTCACTGTTGAAAAATCTTAGTATTTGAAGGCATAGTTCTGTGACGAAAAATACAGGAACTATCACAAACGAAGCCTGTGAATCAAAGTATTTTCGAACGGTAACACTAGCCCAATAAAAGAGACATAAAGTAGCCAGGCCAGGGAGCAAAACACGACTTGTAATTTTGATCAAAGAGCAAGAATTGAGCAAAATATTCTCAGGTAAAGTTGCAAATATTAGGCCACCAAGAATAATGCATAACAGTACGATTCCGAAATGACGTTGAGAGAGTTTTATAAGACCTTGACAATATGATCTTACACTTGAATCACCGTCCAGTTTTGCTTTACGACTTTCCAATGTCTGCAACAGCAAAGTTCCATAACCATTAACTGTATTGCTCGTAGTAGAAATTGACTTACGAACACAGGCGGCTGTTTTCTCCTTTTCAACGAAAGATCCATCCATTTCAAGGCACTTATCAGCGCCTTATCGCACCTAATATAATTGGTAATTTTCCTTCAAAATAATGAACATTTCTCCCCTACATTCTTCGACAAACTAAACCGTTTCATTTCTCAAATTGAACTTCAAACCAACAACAATCAATGTTCCCCGCTCGGCTTTTACTCTCGAAGGCCGCAATGTGTTATGGGAAGGGAACACAATGCCGGGAAGCTGCAATCTACGAGCTTCGGCACCATTCTTCATCGTATCCCATAATGCAGTATGAGAAACTAAAACACGAAGACGAGGCATTCCAAGGGTACTATTCATCGATATTAACCATTGAATATTAACGCGTTCCAAACGAGGCTTAGAGAAATATTTTGGCAGTCTCGTTATCAAGTTTTTGTCAAACTGTGGTCACCTCGCGGTATATTCAAATTTTTCCGATGAAATTTAGGCGGAAGAATTTTGGAATAAACGAAATTTTAGCAAAATTTCTAAGAAAATATGGAATGATCGAAAAAGAAATGTGGCAGCTTTATTGTATGAAACATTCGAAATGAAAGACTTCAAATGACATCGAAAACGACTTCAAAACTCGCACGCGCTAATGAATCTACGACGCTTGTGCATGACACAAATACACAACTAGACACACCAAATTTAAATGATAAAATTACAGAACAACAACATTCAGATTTATATGAATCTAACAGCGCTGAAGAGTCTATATGTGAAACAACCATTGCACCTGCAGAAGACATTAATTTTTTGGACAAATTAATGAAGAATATACAGAAAGAGAATATAAGTAACGATACTTTAGAACATTCAACTGGCTTTGAAACAATCGAGGAAAAAATTGTTTCTGCTGGAAATTCTGATGGGTTTCAGATCTTACTTAAGAAAAATGTTGGTGAACTTCCTACTTGGGCAGCTTGTTTAAAGGAGTGTGAAAAATTAGGGGACAGTTACCGTGGATATGTTCACACTGAGTCCGAGCTAGACTTCATATTGAACATGCATAAAGAACAAACCCATAGCTCATGGGGTACAAGACAGAGTCCATCATCACAAAAACCATCTATACGATTCATGTGGAAATCCCAATATGTACCATATGATGGTATTCCATTTCTTAACAGTGGTAAGGAGGTTTGACTTATTATTTATGTAAGTTGTTGTTTCAACATAGTTCCTGACTTGCCCTTCTATAGGGTGTCGAGCTACAGTTATGGAATGTCAATATGGTCCAAGAAGAAAGGGTAATAAACTAAAAACACAGTACAATGAAAATGGTGATCATTTACAACCATTGCATCGACTGACTTGTCCAGCTAGAATATATATTAAGAGAGTAAGAAAATTTCCTGAGTTCAAGGTAAACATTAGTTCGGACGGCTCAAATGGACTTAGGTTGGCCCAGGAACGTACCTTAACTGCACTCCGAATGGCTTGCCTTGAAAGTAAAGGAGAAGAAAGGTATGTGATTTGTATTTCTTGCTTTGTATATGCAATCTTAAAGAATGTGTGTTTGTTTTCAAGGTTTTATGTTCAGTTGCCCTTGGAAACAGCTCACGAATACCACATTGATGAGGATGATGTTTTAATTCAAGAAACATGTCCCTTATTACCAGCCCAAATCAACTTGACCTCAACAAGACTGGATCCTCGCATTGTGGAGAAAATTAATGAATTTGTCTCAAGAGGAATGACTGACATTTACCAAGTGAAACATGGACTCATTAGATTTGTTGAAAATACTTTATTCCTGCATGGGGAAGTGCCCGCTAGACACAATAAATCATTTTTCCCAACAATTACAGACCTTCAAAATAGCATCCATCAAGCTCTGACAATGTTACAGGCAGGAACTTTACAACAACTTCCACCAGTAAGATGAACATTCATCAGCTACAGTATTAACTTTTTTTCTTATCCATAAGACTCTGCTTTGTTTAGCTTGAAAACTTCTCAAGAGACTTATTAAAAAATGAGAGAAGTAGAAAACGAAAGCATGCAGATCCAAAAAGAATCATATCTTCAAGAGCTACAACTGCCAAAATGATACAAACTAATGAATCTTTACAGATAGAAAAAGAACTTATTCCTGGTGATGCTGAAGGTAAAAAATCCTTATTTCAGTGGATATCATATTTATTGAACAGTATTCATTTCTTAGTGAATTCACCCATCCTTACAGGCCAAGTTTATGTGGTGGCAGTTTCATCATCAAGTGCCTTGGACCTTACTAACTCATCATCATTCATTCCCAATAACCTTGTCCAGGTTCTTACTCTTCCAGTAAGTATTTAAAGAATAAGGGACTCTTTAATAGTTTTCTCTGAATTTGAAATCCTTTTGAAGGCTGATGCTACATTGGACATGAATGGCCAGCTTGTTGCATTACCTGTGATGAATTGCACCTCTCAAGATACAACATTGGACAATTCTGATGACATTTTGCCAAGTTAGTAAATCTAACTGTGTTGTCAAATAGAAATATTCTAAAGCTTTTAATTTTTGTTTCCAGATTCATTTGGAAAAGAACCCATGTCTTTGTTACCCATCAATATGGATGACAATGCGACAAAGTACTTGACATTGGATATTACATCAGCAAACCAAATGACCAATTCAGTCACCTCCAACATGGCTACTTTACCATGCAGTGATGTCATGACAACAACTGTGACACCAATCAAAGACACATCAACCTTGGCACATGGTACAATCTTTTGCTTTTCACATCATCAAACTTCATCAATTGAAAATGTTGGTAACTCCCTACAAACTGTCAAGTGTAATTCAGTTACAAGCATTGACTGTTCAACACAGACATCAAATACAACATCATCAACTTCAGAATTGACATCAATATCGTCTTTGTGAGATTTTGCCACTCTAGTGGCGAAAGAACCATATAAAAGTAGTGATAATTTAGTTATCAAACATGTAATATCCACTAACACACAAGACTTACCAAAAATGGAATTGCTATAAAAATATAATTTTAACAGATGCATTTTCTTGAAAAGATTTGATTACACAATCATTCCTGAGTATTGCTTGTAAGATAAACAATGAAGAATCAATCAAGCTTTATTGAAAACCTCAATAGCTAATACAACCGCTGTGAAGGGCCCATGGTACTTTTAATATAAAGTGCACGAACATTTTGCCAATTCTTTTTAAGCAAAGACACTAAAAAATTGATGGCCAATAGAGTATTGTTATATAAATCATCCTCTGACATCTTAACATGGCCAATGGCCACAGCCAAACATAACACCTACGAAGAAAAAATATGTAGTAAACAAATAATCAATGTTTGGAATTTTAACTTTTGCAGCATGCTTTAGTATTTTATCAAATCATTTTTTAATCACCCAATGGCAACCATTTTTTAAAAGGAAAATGCAGTGGTTGCAATACACATGAGCTATAGTAATTGTAAACCATATTTTGCCATTGTTAAAGCCACCAAACTTTTGGATGTTATGGCTGACTAGTATAAAAGGCCTTATCAGTACTCTGAAATGCAAAATAGCATTTTGAGTACTGTGCCAAGATACTTGTGATAACCCCCTACCTTTTTCATTTGAAATTTGATGGTTGCTTTAACATCCTGTACTTTTTGCATCATATTCTCACTATGCGTAAGCATTGTGGGAAACTTTCCTGCCTTGTTCAGACCTGGACCCAACAAACGTGGAATCTGCTTGATTAGACTATCAGAGGCAAGGAAAGCATCATATTTCTTTGCTAAATAAGATGAAAATAACATGTGACTTACGTGAATACACTGTACATAAACTTTATCATAACACTAACCTAATTTTTTGACCAATTTCTTGTTTTTGTTCAGTTTCTTGAGTGCTTCAACATCCATACATGGAATGTCGTTGGCCTTTGCTTCATCACAATGAGAAGCATCACCAAGAACACAAACTTTCATTTTTGGCCTTGGAATATGTTTCAACCTACAAAGACATTCTTGTCATGGATCGAAATATTTTTTAAACGTTTCTTGATAAGGCTTAATGATCGTATCAACTTCAATGGTGACCTTACTTTACTGTTCCGGAGAAACGTTTGTCTTTTGAGGGTCATAGTTTTTCAAACTGATCTGAAGTTCCACAGTTTCAAGAAATTTACGTTTCTTGTCAGCAGAGTTTTGCAGAACGGAACGAATACACTCAGTTATAGCGTCTCGGTTTAGTTTACTAAAAGTGAATAAAAATAGATGAATTGAATGTCGAATTCCTCTTCATTTACTACTTATTTTGACAAAATTAACTAGCTGCTATTAAATTTAAAATATTATCTTTCGAAGACATGCACTTGCTCTTTCAAGTGAGAGGCGATGGCATAAATATTTTAGGATTTTATAATCGACTTGCCTCATTTTGTGATTTTTTAGGTTTTGATTGAAGAGAAAGAACTCAAAGTCGCGCAGTTTTTAAACTGTTTTCAGCACTGGCACTAGTCTTCAGAGTAAGTGGTGTTTCCACATAAAAAACATGATTGTCATTATCATCAAACTTCGTGTTAATAATAATAAGTTATCAATTGTTTTTATCAACAAACTCCCTCTAAAAGATCATATTCATATGATTTTCATGTTTATGTATCATGTTTCCGTTTTTTTACGTACTCATTGCATGCAGAAGAGCTCAAACGTAACTTACGAAGAGTGAAGGAAAACTGATTGTTGTCGAAAACAATCATGAACAATAACAAGTCTTTCATTTGAATTTTGCTATATATGTCAAAAGAAATACGTTATGAGGATGAATCAACACAAACAAGTTGGTTTCATCCAAAAGCTATAAAATAAAAAGCCGTTAAAATGTTATTGAACACGCTAGACATATTTCTCATCATTTATAACGAAGTGTTCAGCTTTCAAATCAGGATTCCTCGTCTCGTCGCTTAACTCAATTTCAATTTCTTGATCTTCGTATTCGACATGTGATCTTTCCAGTTTATATTTAATCTCTTCACTCTCATCGTGAGCTAACTTCTTTTCACCTGCTTTGAAAACGCGTTTGAACATCATGTCTAGACTACGTAGGTATCGATAGCCAATGCCCAAATAGGTCAAACTGCATATAAACCCAATTAAACTTTTACCAATTTTATCTTCGGGTAAACCTGACTGCAAAACAGACCATGACAGAATGGAGCCAAGGTTAAATATCGTGCTACCAAATACACTATACAGCACTCTTTCCTTGCTAGGATATAGACTGAGGCTTGGTCTGTGATATATGTACACTGTGACTCCAAAGTGAGAAAGGACAAAGCAGGAATCTATAAGAATTCGACTGTCGTGTCTTGAAAACAGCTGTTGCACGATAGGTAAATGCAAGGCATTCGTAGATAAGGTGAAATAACCAAATAGTCCACCATATGGAACATACTTGGGCCAAATTTTATTAAAACGGTTAAAAATATTTTTTAGTGTTTCCACGGCTGTTGAATTTTTGTCGGCCATTTTTATTCGAGTAGAAAATGGGACCAAATGGGACATGGGGCGGGGTAAAGATATGAATGGATACATATGGATATATCTTCGTAACATGCATTGAAATGAATATGAGTATATAGGTACATAGTATATAGTGTGGTATATAATTATATTCATTTCAATGGTAATGTCAAAGCACAGGGAAAAGTCCAATTATTGTAACCAAAACAATACATTTGCAAATTACGTACAATTCATTTGCAAAAGATTCAAATAAAGTAGAATTTTGGTGAAATCGTCTTCGAATGAAATACTTCCAATGAAACATGCATCCCCGCATTGAATTAACAATCATAAACTCAGTATATATTTATTAGTTTTCATTTTTTAAAACTACGTATAATATATGTATGTATATTACAAAGTTAATTTCTGTATAATTTATCTTGATTTTCAATAGGAAATATGTACATATATAAAGAAACATGTACATACAAATTTAATAATAATTTTATTCCTTTTCATTTTCTAACGATGTGAGAATTTCAACGCAAGCTTGATAGCAGAATAAAAATTGATCCTACAATAAACAAACGATATAAAATCAACAGAGTGTCTTTTATTTCAGTTTTATGAAGTACTACACGTACCTTAGTTTGGATCATACCGCTTCGTTGTTCACGTAATTTACAAACAATATCGAAAATATCAAACTGGCAGAAGAAAATACCAAGCATTACACGTTCAAATGTTTGACGCACATAAAAATTTAAAATGATGAACGAACATAACAAATTATTTACCTCATAACCTCGTTCAATGTGTTTCATACATGTATCAATTGTTAAAAACGTTCCCGTTCGTCCTATTCCAGCACTAAAAAGAAGCAAGGATATCAATGTTTCATCTATCCACAATTATCTTTGGTTTATTACTCACAAACCTGCAGTGAACAATACGAGGTCCATCACTGGCATAACTATGACATTGCTTCACAAATTCGACCAAATCACATGCTGACTGCAATTCATCAAGTATATTTACAATATGTTTGAGGAGTGCTAGCTTTTTAGCTCAGATAATTCAACGTGAAATGTGATTTTTATATGAATTATGAAGCAAAATATATATCTCTGACAAAGTGAATAACAGATCTGAGAAAATAATACCACACAGGATTAATCACTTATGTTGCAGTTAGAGCAGGTTCATAAATTTACTGACCTTGGGAACACCATGATCTGGCCAAGAATTAAAATTAAGATGAACGATATCCAATGATTTATCTTCCTAAAAAAATACCTCAACAATACAACAAACAATATATTAAACATTACGAAAGTACAAAAATTAACTGTATACATCAATCATCCTTTATGGTCATGGTCCGCCGGATGCAGTAGGTACTTTCACTTTCTTCAGACTTTAAAAACACTTGAAGACTGAAACAAAATATACAATGAATGTTTTAACAGACAACATAACATACATTTCACCATTATAAAATACCATGCAAAATACGGTATATTAAACCTATCTACAATACATCCCACATTGTACTTGCTTAAACATGATGTCATACCTTGGACTGACTTTAACCGGAAGTTCAGATGATTGAGGCCAATAACGATGACATTTCACTTTTCCACACTCCATATCAAGAGTTATCATCGCAATAACCTGACATCTCTGTTCCCACACCATTCTCCAGAAGTCACTAGTTGTTATGGGCAACGGACCTTGCGTTGCAATGTAGTGAAATGTCTCCGAGCCAATAGAAATATCAATAAAATTGGCGTTAATATAGTCCAGTTGGTCATCTCCACTTAATATCACACGTGTTTTCTCATCTGAAAGATAATGAAAACAACAATAATAAGTTATAAATAAAAGACTTTCAGTAAAAACGACGTGAAATGCATGCAAACCAAAGAAAATAAAAATATAGCTGGCATTCCTGCGGTCTGCTCGACCATCTCAACTTTACAACTACACATGCTTCCACATTTTAAGGATAATGAAAAAATGACGATGTGTCAATTGTGAAATGTAAAAACTACAACCTACGATCTTAAATTCTTTACATACATGGTAAAACGTTTCTGTAGCGATTTTTTTCTTTGTTCAAAGCTCTCTTGCCACTTGGACAGTTGTCAGTTGGTTTTATATCGCGAAGGGCCTGGACACAAGAAACATTTACTTATTCAGTGTGACAAAAACTAAATATTCGTAAATATCAAGTTCTTCCGTTGAGATGGCATTTATTTACTTGAAATTTCTCAGCAGCTTTTCCAGATGAAATGTCATCTTGCAATTTTCGTATGATCTCGAGCTGGCTCTTACCAGTGTACAATTCACTCGTACCCAGGACTTGAAGTAAAGGTCGAGTGTGCTTTGATGAGTTCGACCTACAACCACGGGACTGTGTTAATCATCGCCACATAAAGTGAAAGATTAAAATGTGAAAATTCATACTCGAGATTAATTAATGGTCTCAGTAAAAACTCAGAACTGTGTATATTCTCTTCTTCCACAACTCTAGCGAATCTTTCTCTCAGAGTTCTGTTTTCTTGCGACGTATCTCTCATAAAAACTTTGCGACTTCTTATAGAGGAGAGATCTTCCTCCAACGGAGGTGACCGAGATGGAGGGATGTCTGCGAATGTTTCCTGTGCTGAGGATCGAGCGACAGACGACTCTGGGAATAACTCAGGGGTAATAGGGGATAACAGTTCCTCACGTTGCTTCAAAGTACCATCAGATGGAGGAATGAAAGAGCCAGAAGTTGTTCCTTCCTCTGCAGTTTCTTCAATTTCAACACGCTTTGACCAAACATTGTTCCTCGCGCTTTCTGCATCTAGTACAAAGAGGAAATGTTATATTTTAATTAATTATTTAATTAAAGCAATACGTGCATTGAGACAAACCTAGCAAACTAGCTGTGTAATGAACGTTTTCTAATTCATCAAGAAATTCATCACCACTAAACACTACGCTGGTTGCTTCATCGTCACTTGTGCGAGCAAAGTCATCCTCTCTAAAGGAACAAAAAACATCCCACAAAATGAAGACAAGAAATAGGAAATATAAAAAAATATGCCTACCTGTCTTCTCTTGCCATATTCATTGATTCGATCTCGCATGAAGTGGGAGGTTGGGGCCAATTCTCCTGAGTATTTGACACATCATTACCCGAAGGTGTAGAGTCATCATCCTTTGTTTCAGTGATAACGTTCTTATCAATTTGGCCAGAGTTTGTATTCATAGTATTTAACACTCCAATATTCTCCGATAAGTTTGTCGCCTAAAACAAATCAGTAATAGTCATGAAGTCCGAAATTTCACACATAAAATAATAAAGTTTGTTACATGCCTGCTTTTTGCTCTCACTAGGCAACGTTGACTTGTCTTCAACGTGTTTTAATCTGTAAAATAGAAAGAAGAAAAGAGTAGCAACGTCTGAAATAAAATTGAATCAAGATAAAATTTCATTGCAATGAACAAAGCAAAAGTAAAACCAATGTTACCAGTATAGACCCTAATATCAAAAACGTCTTTTCTACAAAATCACCTCAACAAATGAAGCGTCACTACTCCAGACAAACTCCTTAATAACGTGATGACATCACCGTGGTCAAGAGTTTCAACATCGTTATCATTGACCTAGTACATAAAAGATATTTATCAAACTGAAATTCACTCCGTTACAAAAAAGTGCATGATTGATGACACAAAATCAGAGAAATGTGTTATGCAAGGGAAGTTTTTCTCATCGTTTCATCCTCGTTCGGTCGTTCAACAAATATCATAATATAATTTATAATAATAGAGTATTTTAACACGTGCCTTTAATAATTGATCTCCAACTCGAATTTTTCCATCTTCAGCAACAACGCTATTATCCTGGATGTTACGAATAAACAGCCCAGGAGTCTAGACATAAATTAAACAACATAAAACATATGACTGCATGCATGGTATATCAGATGAAATCATGAAAGCTTACACCATAAATGGTTTGATCTGCAAATAAACTGAAGCCTAGTCCTCGTGGACCTTTCTTTAATGTTGTAAACACTTGTTCTTCCTAAAGACAAAGATTTAATGCAATTATTTATGAAGATATTTAGGACACGAAGATGTTTAGGAATCGATGTGACAGTAAATAATAACAACCTTCATCAAGCAATCATCTTCATCAATTTCATTATGCTTTTCAAGTTCATTTTCACACATTTTAGAGTGTGATGACGTCACTCCTTTTCGTGGTTCGTGTAATTCCAAAACGTCCTTGATAGATCCCTCTTCGTCTTCATCAATTTCATTGTGTTTTTCAAGTTCATTTTCACGCATTTTAGGAAGCAATGACGTCGCTCCTTCTCGTGGTTCTTGTAATTCCAAAACATCCCTTATAGACCCCTCTTCATCAACATCATGAGTCTCAATTGAATCATCTGCAGTCACATGTTCTGAAGGGATAACGTTTGATAAAAGGCATTCGGAATTATCTGAATCCAGCTGTTCCCGAGTGTCTAAGTCATATATATTACTATTTTCAACTGACGACGTCTCATGCAGCACTTCACGGTCAGATTCTGTGGGTGAAAGTAGAATATATTTTGATTCGGTTTCTCTCTGGAATTGATGAATAACTAGAGTAACAACTGGACGAGCGCGCTCCAGACATTCAACAGCAAACTTTAGGTCAGTTCCATCAACTCTCTTGCCGTTTATCTGAAAAGAAAAAAAAATGAAATAGTGAAAAGAAAAATGTCAGTTTTTTGTCATTGAAATTAATATCAGCTTACCTCTAATATTACATCTCCTGGTTTTAGTCCTCCATCTTTTGCTGCGGGTTCATCAGGTATTACCTCAAAAACATGGATATGACCTTCATTATCTTGATCCAAGGTTAAACCTATATCACCTCGAGTCGTTCTGATCAGAGAGATGGTTCTAACATCAAGCCCACCTCTAGTTTTACTTTTTATCTGAAGAATTAATGCAAAAATTCTAAATGGGATGTTTCTAGGAAGTAGATTAAATAAAAATGTCTAACTTTGTCTGGTCTTCGCCGAATTACAAGATGAACCTCATTTCTTGTTGCTCTCAGAACATTGACAGCTTCAAGGTGTTTCTTGTTCGTTATATCCTGACCGTTTACCTAAGGAAAATGCATTTTCTTTTGTCAAATATTAAAACCAAAACACAGTATCACAATGCTTTTCATTATCATTACCATGACAATTTCATCTTTAGGTCTGAGTCGACCATCAGATCTTGCTGGATCACCAATTATCTCTCGCACAAAACATCCTCCAACTGTATCCGCTCCTCCAGTAAAAGTAAAACCAAGACCATTTGGACCTCTGTGAAGGACGACGTCCAAAACCTGTATAGATGAAACAACAATAGAGTAGTGTCATAATTTTAATTGTATTATTTTAACTGTTATTTATAATTTTTGTACACCTTTTCAGCAGGTGCAAGACGTTCTCTCGCTTTAAGAAAAATATCTTCCTCTCTACTGGCTGAATTCTTTACTCCCGAATGGTGTTGAGCCTCCAAAAATACTTTATTCTTTGTAATAACTTCCTCTGCTGTTATCATCTCTTTTTCTGACATTGAAGGATTGGAATTTACCTATATAAACGTGGTTTATGATTGGTTTGAAGTACAATACATGCAGCAAAAGATAAATCTAACGATCAAACCAATCAGAAAAGCCATTCCATACCATTGACCAATCAGAAAAGAAATTTCATATAAGTCAAGTACTTACAGACGATAAAACAGGAGGAACTTTCTCCGACGAAATTGAAACACGAGAGTCTATTTTGGACGTTAATGACACATTGCCGTCATTTTGCAATGACAGATTGTCTAGTGTCAAGTCGTTTGTTGACGTATTTTGGTTAGACCAACCATTTGTGTACACATTTATCCTTTTCTTATCCATTAAAATATCTTCATCACTTTCATCGATATGACCATGGTTAACAAGAAACTCGTCATTAACATCACCTGAATCATGAGCCATCTTAATTTCGCGATTTTCAATTTGATCAAGATCTTTCTTCGTCCCTGGTTCTTCTTCGCAGACCGTGGAATGAAGAGAATCATTTCTCTGTAGCCTTGAACTCATAGCTGAAAGAACTTCATTTGGATCTAGGTTCTCAGCGAAGCTACCACGCCTGAGCAATCCTGACGGTATCGAGGCCGGGTCACGTTTCACTGATAACACAACACGAGAAGGTTGATCACGTAGCACATTAATTGCATCACGACGGCTCTTTCCTATCATAGAGACGTCATTCGCAGCCATAATAATATCCCCTACACGAAGTTTTCCGCTGTTCTCTGCAGGTTGACCAGGAAACATAGCTTTTATTCGTATTTTTTCTACAAACAACATTTAGAGAGATAAAGTCACGTGACACACGACTTCATTACAAGTTACATACCTCCATATTCCTCGGAACAGTCGATGCCTCCGACAAGGCTCATTCCCAGTCCTCCTATTCCTTTCATCAGCACGACTTTAAACATCTCAGGCTCCATATTGTCATTAGAAACATTATAGGTTTGGCTGATCTCTTCGGCAGGCGAGTTTTGAAGAACAAGAGCTGTGTGAAAGGGTGAACGCTTGAGCGTTTCCACTGCCTATAACAAGAAAAAATGGTTTTAAAGAAATGTCGTTGAATTTGGAGTAGACAACATACCTGTTTATGTGTGACTCCTTGTAAACTGACACCGTTTACAGAGAGAATTCTATGTCCAACTTGAATACGACCGTCCAAATCGGCTGCACCATTAGGATACAGAGATTTGACGAATATTCCTCCATCAACTGCATTGGTGTTGATTCCACCCTAAAAGTGAAGAACTTTGAAATTTTACTTTGCAGTTGTTAACTCCAGGGTGGAGTCTAGGGTTTATATGGTGAAATGGTTATATTCAGAAAAAACAAAACTCTAAATTGCAAACGTTTACCGTAACATTCAAACCAAGACTACCAGAGATTTTCTTTAACTTCACAACAAAATAATTCTAAAGAAATAATTCGACTAAGAACATTTCCAGCATCAAAAACAGACGCTCTTGTGTAGCTTACAGTTTTCTTCTCCTCTTGATATGTTTTATGTTCCAAATTATTCATTTTTATCCCAATAGGAGCGGTTTCTACATCACTTTCGGATGCGGACTGAAGTTCGAGTTTAGACTGCTTGATTTTATTATTTTCAACATTCTTTTTAGATGAGTTTCTGCTTCTTTTGTTTGTTGATTGTCTAGATAAATTTTTACGATAACTATTCGACGTTGAGCTTGAACGGGTAATTTTTTAACTGATGTTTTGAAAGACCCCTGACTTTCCTCGCCATATTCAGGATTTGATGACGATCTATATTTCAAAGAGATGATGTATTACTGTGAAGATAACAAATGGTTTCAACATACGCAATAAATCACATCAATGAATGGAAAAAATATTCACCGAATCAGAACTCCATTATTCTCTATGACTGGCGTTCCAGCTCCACTTCGGAGGCAAGTCCCTTGTGCTACAGTTGTAGAGTTTACCAACGACGCATGAGAAGTCGGATGAAAAGCTTGAGAGTCGTTTATATGAAGCGGGTTAGTAGTGTTCGATAAATAATCATGTTCAAGATTTCTATTGACTTGAGAAATGGATTTCTCTGCGTTACTCTGATCGATAATATCGTGATTGTCCTTTAAACTTGCAAGATAAGGTGACATTCGATTGTCCATGAGGGATAAATGGGACGCTGCTGGACTGCGTAATACACGCATGTCTAAAACGTAAGACGTAGTATGTAAGTAAACGATAACACGAGAAAAGTTTAGAGAAGTAGTATATACAACGATTAAAAAGACGGTCTCAATTATAGAGTCTCTCGTAATAATACAAGAAATAACTTACCAATATTATTATACGCAGTTTTACTCTGAGACACTAAAAGTTCAACGTCAACCGGAGAGTTTTTTAAAACCTTTACTGCATCATTATGACTAACATACTCTAAACTTTGCCCATTTACAGCAAGGATCCGATCACCTAGGAATGAGAAATCATAAACGACACAAATAATTTTAAGTTAATGCGCGACGAAATACGAACTGTTTTACCCGTTTTAAGACGACCATCTTGTTCAGCAACACTGCCTGAAGTTATCTTCTTGATAAAAATACCATAATGAAGACGTTGTGTATCTTCACCTCCAACAACTGTTAAACCTAAAGAGAGAATCAAGAACGTATAGGCTGAAATATCGATGAAATATAGAGATTCTTGGATAAGATGATAACAGAGCCGTCAACTTGCTAGAAATCACCATATAGTAATAGAAATATATGATATCCATAGACAGTACCTAATGATCCCCTGGAATCCTTTTTAAGATTTATCAAAACCACTCGCCTATCAGGAGACATGATGATTTCGGCGGTCCTCCTTGCCTCGTCTTCGATTGAAAATAAATAAGAAATTGCAAATCATCGTCAATAAAAAATGGTTCTTTCGGTTCAATGAAACAAACCTTGTGAAGATAATGTATGGTTCAAAGGAGACAATGGTGAGGAATCTTAAATATTTAAACAGTAATGAGAAAATTTTCCTTGAACGTAAAATACTAAAGAGGAAAATTAACTCACTTAGTACATAAGGAAGAGAGGAACGAGTATGTAAATTTTTCCCTCTAACAACTTCATCAGTCAAATCACTTTCAATACACGAGACTTTACTATTATCGTCATCAACATCACTAATCTCTGAAGAAATTTCATTCTGTTTATCGATGTTATTAGGATTTACTTCTTTGGGTTGATCACTTTGCTTAACATCACGAGGCAATGCGTCATACATTATCGATAATCTTGATTTCATCTTTGTTTGAAAACGATGAAAGGACGTACAGAGATGTAGGAAATATTTGGATCTAGAAGGTTTTACATATCATGTGAACACGTCAAACACGGCATAGCGACTACAAATAATTTGTATTGTTCTTATACTTATGATTTACATTGTTGAGAAAATGATAACGAATAGAAAAGATCGACAAAAGGAAAGTAGGAAAAACTAAGAAAAGAGGAGAGAAATAGTAAAGACTGTACACTAATTGTCCAAGAGGTATCGAAAACACATCTTCATCATTAAAAACTCTCACCTTTTATATGAAGGACTGAGAAACGTCAGTTTGTTTTTTTGATGTTCTGACATTGGAAATTCGATATAAAACTTCTTTCTCTATCAAATACAAAATAAATCTTGGAGAAAAGAGAACTTTTCACCGACATCTCTAACAAGGAAACATACTTTGAATGCGACTTTTTTAATTGCCGACCACGAATGTCTTTCGAACGGTTTCCTTTTATTGTGTTTTAGCTGAAAAATTATTCCAAACAGGGATATCAGGTAATTATTTCATATTAAGACGTCAATAAAACACCTGTTTCATTACCTCAAACACTGTAACTCCTCTCGCGCTTACGCCCAGATAAATCTCCTGTTTTTCTTTATTTTTCTATCAATAATATAACAAATCGTCAGTCGTGTAGTCAACATGAAAGTGTCGATGAAAACTCACTAGCTGACTACGGTACAATAACAATCCGTAATCGGGAGATTTTTGAGAATATTCGATAAATCTTTTTTCTGCATCTTCAACACTAAGGCCATATTGAAGTTTATGCAATGCACGCAGTCTCTGAAAAATATGCTTCTTTCTTGTTGTCAATATAACCTGGAAAATTAACTTTATTTCAAAGAATGTATGCATTTTGACAAAACGTGAAAACGGTAGCTATAGTCTGGAAGGTGAACACACCGATTGCGTAACATAATGTTCGAGTTGAAAATAACCTTCCCCAAATTTCGCCTTGCTGTAGTCTCCATACTCCGCTTGCAAAGCAATAGCCCCCAATTGGACGACGAGCTCTGTGTTATTATACATGTTCTCCTTAATTACGTCATTGCGTAGCTGGAGATAAAGCTGGTGACACGTGACTTGATGTCTGAGTAAGAACGAAAGACAGTTTAGAGGATAAAAAAACAGTTTTATCATTCCCATAAAGGCAATCTTGCTCATACCGAATCAGAGCCAAATTTTCTAGATAGAATTTCACTCGAAAATAGAGCACAAAACGCCCAGATAATTTTTTGGACTATAAAAAAAACAATTCATAAAAATACGAAAGTGAGAACGAAAAATCAAAGTTTATTACTTTTTCCTTCCAACCAACAGGAGCGTATTTCGACAATTTCGACTCAAAATCCAAGAACAAACTTTCGTCGTCTGAAAGTTCATTCAATGAAAATTATTGCACTGCGAAGTACTGTTGAAATCATTATTGTACATAGATGATCACACTTTCTCAAACAATAAAATCACCTTCTATCCTGCACAATCCAAAATATATCTTTTCAGTGATGCCAAGATACTTAAGTACTTGAGTGTAAAGATCTTCTACTTTAGCAGAACTCTATAAAAGTATTTTCACACTAGCGTTCTTATTGAGATGGTGACCACAATATAGGGGAGAAAAATAAGAAATATAAAGAAATATTTACGTACCTCAACAGCAATCTGCAGACGTTGTGTATTTAGCATGACGACCGTGACATGACGATGTGCACCTGAACGTGTCTCCTAATTATTTTGTTGAAATAAAACAATTGAATAAAAGTAACATAGTTACGTATTTTAGTGCCAACATTGGCCATACGTACTGGTGGGATGTCAACAAAGGACTGGTTAGGATCTTTCGAAACTTGAAGAAACTCTGGACCGAGAAACTTCTTCAAAAAAACAAACAAGAATCACATTGTTCAGGACTTGCAAAGTCTCATCTGAAGAAGGGCATTTTAAAGTACTAAAAACTCGATAAGTAACAATAACTAAGAAATTGTAACCAATAAATAAAGTGAATAGTAAATAAAGGAAATAGTAAATTACTCGTAATTTTGACTTTGGTATATTTTTCTTTCTTCTCTCTTTATCAATAGGGCCTGGTGAGAACAAATTTTGCTCTGATTGGTACTTCTTATGACCAAAACTATCACACCGTTGTTGTTTCTTGTCCATGTAACGTGAATCAGAATTATTCGTAAATTGTGAAAATGATGTAAGATCCCCAGTAGACAAACGATGCCATTCTCTAGAAGAGATAAAAACGTTTATCACATTTCCATTCAACTTCTCTGTTAAAAATAGTTTAACACACACTTGGTAGGATGTGATCCTGCATTATCCCTTAGTGATGGCATACTACCCCACATGTCACTCCTCAGATTGTCAAGAGAGTATGAAGGTGCATAACTGCCTTCCATCAAAGAGGCAGCTGAGGATGAGCGAGCAGAGCTGAGGGTGGATTTGAGAGGATCTGAGAAAGATGATGTGTCACTTGAGCTGTCACTACAATGGTCTGCTGTCATTGCCTCTATAACACAAATTAATGAAGAACTATTAGACCTCCAGTTGTCTATGAGACAATATATTACATACACTACCAATGATACCTTTCAATCCTACATTAAACCTATGTCTTGTGTTAGTATGATTCAGAATATCTTCCACAGACCCTCTTTTGTTCGCATCTAACAATCGTGTCCTATCATATCCTGGCTGATGAGAAGCAGTTGACATAAGTTGAGAACTCATAGCAGGCATGCTACCATAGGAGTTGCAAGACAGTTTGATGGAGTGATCAGGGATGACTGGGGACACCAATGTCTTCTGATGTCGAGCTTTTTCCAAATACTTTCTGTATCTATCTGTAGAAAACAGAGGAAGTTCAGTCATAATCATGTTATGATTGTCGATTGAGTATTGCCTTACCAAGAGTATGAGGAATGTTTGTCATGTAACGATTTTGAGATTGATACTCTGGCTGATCATCTGCTGATGTCATTGTATGATTATTTGAACCAGTCATTAGTTTAGCAGTACGATGGCTGTAAGATATATGGTTTCCCAAATGTGGGGCTGGAAGTTTAAGACTAGAGGGATACATTGAATTCAATTGTCGAGATGGGTGCTATACAAAAACAAAAATATTTTTATAATTCCAGTTAAAATTCTCCATGACATAAAATGACTATGCTTCACATTAAACCCCACACCATATAACTACCTCAGGTGTATTATTCCCTAGAACTAAGACAACTAAACTCTTGATGACTGTATAATAGAACCTTTGCCCATATTGACTACCACAAGCCTAAAACGTAATTTATTAAAAGATGTAAATCATCTATCACTCCATTAACCCTTTAGGTGGCAAATTTTTTCAAAAGTTGGTTCTCATTTCATACGGTGACAGCTACAGATTTGCAATACTGCCACTTTAAGGGTTAATTCAATATATTAGAAATTAGAAAACTTACTGCCAAAACTTGTCTTAATGAATAACGTGTTCTTGCCAACTCTTCACACATTGATAGCAAAAGTTTACTCAAAGATACACTCAAATTAGCCAACTGCATTGTAGATAAGATTTTCAAGTTAATAAAGGTCATTCTTTAAAAAATTGACCAACATCTCTGATTACCTTTGATGGATTCGGAATTGATAAATACTCAGCAGCAAAGTACAAAGTCATTCCCAATGAATACACATACATCTATAAGATGCAAAGGCCAACTTAGCATAAACAATGATTAAATCTAGTTCTGTTCAAACTGCAAAGGTAGGGGAGAGGGCAGAATGGCACGACATACTCTCCACAATCCCTAAACCCTACCTTCTCTATAGCTCCATCACTGGGGGAAACATTGTGGATACTGAGCTCAGGAGGTGTATAAGTCACTTGCTTTGTTTGATCTGCAAATCAGGTACATAAGATAACCAGAATGACAGAATAATAGAAAGCTGTTTTCAAGAACTGCAAAGCACCATACCTCTCAAGACTGGAGTCATGATTGCAATATCTCCATGATTGGATAATATCAATGATTCTGGTGATACAGTAAATAAAGGTTGCCCAAACTTCTTGCCATCTCCTCACAAAAAAAATGATGATTTGAACATCAAGTTTTAAATCAAAGACCTTTAATTCACAAGACCTACTTTTGGCTAAAATTTTTTCGATTGCTTTACTGGCTTGACTCAGTACAGCCCATATTTCTTCTTCGTTTAAGGGGGAACCTTTCACTTGAAGGACTTCAGCTAACGTTACTTGATTAGCTGACAACACCGGCATTCCGTACAAATGTATTGAGCTTTTAAAAACTTCAATTAACTTGCAACTTTAACTAGCTTCTCTGAAATGATCTGTAATCTATGGAGCATGGAATAAGTTTTAATGATTAGTACAAGTTGGGAAAAGTAATTGAGCATAGTGTTCTGGAGATATTCGCTAATCAATCGAAGTTAATTTTAAATTTGCTTAATCAGAATGAAGAAATTGTAACAAAAAATTCATCTTTAAATTAAATGGTATTTATATGGAGCAAGTTGAAAGTTTTGAACTTTACTGTTTCATTTTCCTGGTGGCTGGTGGTAAATCACAGCAAAGAAATTGAATAAACAGTCTTAATTTTTACATACCTTCAACCCATGCCAATTTAACAAATAGTAAATCATGACACTATTTTACAATCAAGACGTATGTATATTAAATAAGCCTGATATATTGAAATATACAGACATAATAAAAGAAATCGGAGACTGTTTAATGATAAATCCTCTCTAAAAAAAGGAACGCTTTCACTCCATGACTACATGACACCCGAACTTGGAATAAAATGTTGTTGACAAGAGCTCCATTCTTATTGGTCAATTAGGTCACGTGCATCTCGAAAGAGGATAGCAAATAGAGAGATATGTATGAGAAAGGAGGTAGTGATGGGCGATACCGATTACTTTTTCTTAAAAGTACCGAGGTATCGATTACTAAAGTGATTACTTTCTCCAATTTTGAAAATAAAAGTCACTTGATAAAGATCTGATAATGGAAATGCTAAAGTGTGGCCTTATATACTTCAACAGTACGACGAAATTTTTATTTTTCTTGCCTTAAATTACAAACTGTCATAACACTATTAAGAGTAACGATAAATTTTCAGAAGCCGTATAAATTCGAATTGAAAAAATTGGTTACATGTTATTATTCTGAAGGCGAGATCTCGAAGTGTATTGATTAGTAAAAGTGAATAAAATATTAAAATAATAAAACAGGAAAAAACAACATGTTTGTCAAAACCAATAATGAAAAGGAAGACAAACTTACATAATAATGAAATTTTAAAAGTAATCGAAGTCCTTTTTCGATACCGCGCAATATCGACTACTTCCGGATTAGGCTTGGTATCTGGCGGTATCGATACCAAGCAATCGGTAATCGCCCATCCCTAAAAGAAGGCAATGAAAACGAGATCTGCTGTTGCTCACTTGTCGTCTAACAAAATAACCACTCCAACACTTAAAGTATATTTCTTCTGTTTACTTCTAAACCTATAGGCTACAAAAATACATTTATTTTCATTATGTTTATTTATCATGTTTCGTTCTTTGTGGCATGTTACAAATGTTTGAGCGCTTCGTGCAAGACATCCATGTCACTTTTCATTTCAGAGATGAGCGACACAACTTTATCTTTACGATCAAGGACCTCGATGCTTTGAGTGTAAGGATTATAGCGAAGTTGATAAGGTCGTGCAATCTTCGTTGCATACTCCCTAGAACCACAAAACAATAGGTTTAACGACAACTTTAAGCAAACACTCAACAACTTCCTGTGCATATGAAGTTCGTGAGAATATGGACAAGAAAAAACTGAAAACTGTAATGATTATAATCTAACAGAAAACTCATGTCATAAAGTGCTCCATTGTTTCAACTTTTTACAATATATACCTGACTTTTTCCTTCGCAGATTTGAAACTTTCAGCAACAAAATAGATAGGTTGATACTCAGTGATAGGATATTCTGTGTCAGCAATTTTTTCCGGATCAAAATCTTTAAAAGTTGGCTTATCAGACATGCAATACTATAAAAAAACGAAATTATAAATATTTCTAGTGAAAACCAAATGTATTTGCCAGAGGCATCCAGTTACTTGGGGAATCTTTCAATCTAAATATTCAGTTGTGCCCGACTGATTTCTTTTGAAAGTGAATTGGTTTTCAAAAGAAATTACTTGAACATAACTGAACATGTGAATATTCATATTCACCCACAAACCTTTAACATTTTAGCAACACCTCTAGTAGTTGACCATTTCACAACATATATACCTGTAATTCACCAAATGAAGACAGAAGGCCAGCTCCATATGCCTTTAATGCACCATTTTGTCGACATACACCAAACTCCACAGTAAACCAATACAGCTAAAATATAAATAAATCGTTTTTATTGTATCTGCTCTTTTTTTTATCCAAACTGAGTAAAAAATATGCCATTTACAGTTGCTAATCGTTTTATCCATTCATCGGGAGCTCCTAATGACGCAAGACCAATTTCCTAAATTGTAAAGCACAGTGTTGTCTTTTCTTTGTATTTTTAGTCAGTATTTGAATAATGTTTTGTTACTTGTGAAAACTGGGCAAAATCTGGGTCCGCAAACAAAGGAACATGGCCAATAAGCTCATGACAAATATCTCTGTAAAATGTAACAATATTTTAATGACGAAAACACGTCAAAATGTTGCCGTCATTGATTGTTCAACTTACGGCTCAGGTGTGTACAGCGGCTTAGAACCGTGCCTAATGTACTGAGTACTATGGAAAACTCTGAATGCCAAACCAGCTAGAAAGTCTCTTGAGGAAAGCAAACCGGCAACGGGTCTTAAGGTGAAACCAGTTTTTCCTATAGAGAAAAACAACAAAGCTTTAGTTTTTATGAAGATCTTAGCCATGATAATGTATATGACATAAATGTACCTTTAAGATAGTTTGAGACGACTTGTAACTGTGGTATGTTGCCTTCTCTGTAGTGAAAAATCATTGATATTAAACAGATAGTCAAGCACTCTTGACGTCAATTGTAGTTATCAAACCTGTAGCCACAGCTCTCGACCAACAATGGCCATACAGCATTATGTTCTTTGCAAGCGTGCGTTTTAAATAACCGACTAAGCTCAGAAAAAATCTTATTCCTATTTATGAACGAGATGAAAGACGTTAATTCTCCTCGTAAGCTATTCAACAAACACAATAAAAAGAAATCTTTTGTCTCACCATGTCTTAATCTCATCTTGTGTATAAGTAACGTTTGGAATCGGTTCACCACTGCATAAAAGACATTTCATAAAACTTAAGTACTTTGATATTATGGAAAGCATAGGTACAAAATATCTCACTGTTTATAGTTGAACGCAATATCTGCGAATTCCTTTCTTCGTGCACGATAAACCGGATCGGTAAAACCCTGAACAAAACGCAACACATCAACTAAGATGATGGACATTGCAACAAGAAACGTCTTTTTCTCTCTCTATTTGTGAACGTTACCGGATGATCTGCGTCCAATTCTGAACCGTAACTGCAAATACGATTGGCAAATTCATCTAAATCAGCGATATTCTTAGGAAACCACAGAGCTAGAAAGTAGAATCAAATGTTATCACTAAAATGGTCAATATGAATCGTGTACATATTGCTACAACTGAGAGGAAACAGAAAATCGAAACATGAAAAATAAACGGCTGTTCATCGCAACATTATGCATCCTTTGTAAAACCGTGTGAAACATTTTTTAGCAATTTCATTTGATAGTTTGAAATCTAATAATCTTATTTTAAAGATTGACAATAATACAAAATAATACAATAAAATGTACAACATATATTACTTTCTTCATCTTCACCAGGCAGGACTTTCACATTCTTGACATTTTTCTCAAGTGTCTTCAGAACTGGATTTAAATTCTCCTTTGAACCAGAGCAGTCAACATAGAATTCAAAATAAGACGATTCTTGGTCCGCTGGTCGCGACTCGATGTGTGTTAAGTTAATTCCGTAATCCTAAAATAAAGTTATACTCCGTACATTTCTAAGTACAATCATGATAAAGAAAAAGAGTTCGAAGCATTTATACGCAGTAAAGAATTATAAATTAATACATTCTGTTTGGTAGCACAATACATCGCCTCTTGAATGAAATAGATGTATCACCTTTCTCTTTTACTTAAAGAATTCGTTGTCTAGTGAGAATCTAACCTTAAACACTTTAAGAGCTTCATGAAGAGTTCCAACTTCTTCCTTTAGCGCAAATACAAGCGAAGTTTTGGGATTTTCTATTCTTACTCCGGGAATATACGCGTAACCACTCTGTGTAGGAAAGTGTTTGTGTTCTTAAGATGAATAAGTCAATATTTCTACCATTTAAGATCCTTACGTTTTGACTATCGACTTTTGACTTTTTGGATTCCACTTGAGCTTGAATGTTCATGTTGTCGAGCAAACAAAATAACAATATTTAGGAAATTTTGGACCGTTATGTATGAAGTACACGAAGCTTTGACAAGCTTAAACAAGCTTTGTTTTGTCCAATGTGTTAATCAGTGGAGTGTGTTGGCGGCGTTGTCCGTTGTCACGTGAATCATTTTGGGCAGTGTGCACCATCTTTCTTCTTTTCTGATCAAACTTTAATTATTTGCTAAATTATGGTTTATTAATGTTTTTCAGGCAGTTTTCGTTATCAATACAGTTGAGCAGAAGATTTATTCAATAATTATTCAATATCCAAAATGTAAAAATATCCATAATCATTTTAACAGCTTTATATACATGCATGCACGATGAAGCAATTTTAAATGTTTCTTAAATTTAACACAAGAGATATGCAGTTTGCAGAAATGTTCATGCTTAATGTACGGCCAGCAACAAAATACAGACCTACATTACCCTTAGGAGGACCACTAGAGTTACAGTTTTCAATGAGACTTTGTTTGACATATTTGAATAAATTCGATGACCAGAACCAAAGTATTATTGGCTGTTGCCAAACATTTAATTATATTTTATTATTACGCGGCCAGATGAACATAATTATGAAAGAATGTAGTAATTTCTTAAATATGCTTGGTTTTACTTAGCTGTTTGTGAAAATATTAAATATTATACGTACATTGTCAAAAATCCTTCGTCGTTTGATCTCGATTAATATCGTATTAAAAATTGCGGATATCAATAACATCATAAAGAGAATTTTATATTGGCTCTCTGTGGGGAAAGCAATGCAATTAAGAACTTCCTTCTAATTTTTTTTAATCTACACGAATTAAAGTAATAGTAAGCTTTGTGTTTACCAAGAACATTAAAACCCCATGCAAATTTGCAATAATTGGTTTAACATGAAAAGTGGAGTTCTTTGCATTCATGTACTTGTCCACAAAATATTAATGGCAGTGATCGGGAAGCAACTCAACTTCTCATCACTCAATTTTATATGCGCCCTGTAAAATCAACTTTAATGAAAGCATAGAAGATCAACATTTTTACACGGTTTTAAATACCAGTAAAATGCTGCGATGATTTAATTTCAAGACATTACATTATCCTTGCATGTTGGTGGACAAACTGCGATGAAATAATTGGATGCTTCAATTGTTGAGGAAAATGATCGGTGAGACTGTAGAAGATATAGAGATTTATGATGCCGGAATTAAGAGTTGAAATAGCTACATACCATTGACATATAGCTAATGCAATAATTTATTTTCATCTTCGTCACATTGTTGTTCATCTGAAAACACGATAAATGAGTCATTAAACACGTTTAGTAGTCTTGAACATTGCTTTATCATAAAGAACAACTCCCATATTCTCGTGACAAATTTTCTTCTTAAAAACATTTTTTTACGAAGAGTAAAAGAACTCGATAAAAACGAGAGGAACAAATCATTAATCCCCGCGATTGAACACAAGAATCCTTTACAGAAATTAAAAAGTATAAGGATTAGAATAATAGCTAATTTTCACTCATCTTTCTGTACAGCGAGCATAATTATAATTTACCGGAGAAAATTCAATTTAGTAATTGGTCGCCGCTGTTTTGACTCAAACACGAATTAAATTTGAAGAATATGTGGAACACCACGTACAAATCATGTTTTCTGGAGAACCAACAATTTTCAATCATAGGACTTCTCATTGATGAAAAAGTTTCAAAGTGCACAGTTGAGAGTGACCGCCTTATTAATTTTTTAAAAATAAATTATTTTTACGAGCAGAAATAAACATTTGGCTATAGTTTACTGTCCATCGTGAAAGCATTTTTTTTTGATCCTCCCCCTTATTTCCGCGCGATGATTTTAAGGGATCAAAAGAACCGTCAACGAATCTTCGCCAATCTTGCAATCAGCAGTTGAGTTGGAAGTCTAGAATTTTACATCGAGTAAGCAACTTGGGCGAGCAGATTTGCAAGGAAGACTTCGTTTACATAACTTGCATCGTGTTTCGTGAATAAACATTACCTAGAACAGTTGGGTTTCTCTTTAATTGGGCGAACGATCGATGTCAATAGACACCTCTACGGCAACCGAGTCATCCAACTGTGAAGAGACCAGAGTACTGCCAATAATTGTTTTCATACACGTCGAGTATTTATTATGAGTCCTACATATGACCGCCTCATTAAAGTAGTTGTACATCACGCTAACTACACGCTGGTGGTTAAATGCGTTTGAATTCAGCTCCTAGTTCAGCCGTTTAACGTCATTTTAAATAATACACAATTTGAAAGGAGGGACCGCCAATAGCAGCTGTGTTAAGTACGACCTGAAAATTTACATGATCGGCGCAAGTGCGTAATACAAAGTTAGGTAAGAGTAAAGCGTGTTTGCTATTTTCCGTTGTACGTTAGAAACTTTGACAGTTTTTATCATCTTTACATCTTTAACGTAAACAGAAACAAATTTAATAATTAGCACACCTGGAACTCAAATTTTCATCGACAAAATCGATTCTAAAGTTTGAATAAATTTATCAAGATATTAACTGAGCAAGATACTACCACAAGGTCAGTATTTTACAGACAGCATTAACGGACCCCCATTATTACAAATACTATTTTAAATTCCAATATGAACGCTATTTACGTAAAACACACTCTTCGACATTTCCTTGTATTTACTGGTTACCACATTTTTCAATATCCTTATACGTATTGCAGAAATTGAAGCTATCAATAAGCTATCGTTGACAAGACGCCAAGCAGGTAGAAGTTACCACGGAAAGAAGGATTATCACTCGTAAAAGTTGCTGAAATATTTTCTCCCACGAAAGCACTTGAAAGCGTCGCTTTTATCACCACAGCAAATGTGAACAACCTTGTTCAAGAAGTCTCCTACGAAGGTCAGTAGTGTTTCAAAACGTTTATATTTTTATCAATTGATTATATATTATTGTCTCGTTGTTAGCGATTGTTTTCATTTAACGTAAGTGTCAGAAGCAACACTACAACCATGACATATCTATTGTGATGAACAGCAAACTAAGATGTACGTATTGATACAATCAATGACAATGGTAAAACAAACAATTGCGCTTTTGTAAGAACATTCAAAATGTATAAATTGCCGGTATTTACAGGAAAGCTAATACGTATCCGTACGATACGCTAGTTTCTTTCACGCATTTTTAAAATAAATAAACCTTTCCTGTCTTGACGTTATTTACAGCGTAGCTTCATCAAGCCAATCACTTATTTCGTCGTCACATTTCTGAATTCTAACTTTACATTCGCGAATTCCAAAATTTACATAACTTGCGTCAAAGACAGCGCGCATATTTCATTGCAATCAAATAAATGAAGATAAAAAGGAAGGAAATACTCCATTATAACGCGTTTTATGGTTTCAACCTTTTTCCTTGAGTGCTTTGTAAGTTCTGACATTTCAGTAGTATTTGATGATAGTTTCGAAAGTGCCTTCACATCTAACCCTTGTTGTCATACATTTCAGAAACATCACAATATTGGCATAGTAAATTCCTGCAGATTTCTTAAAACCCAGACACATGAAGGCAATATCGACTGATTAAAGAAAGACGAACGCTATTTTTGAGTGGACTAGTAGATTTCAACACCGGAGCGATTCAGAACTGTCAAAACCTCGAGGTGATAAAGTATATTCACTATAGACCTTCAAAACTTCCACTGTACAAAATGTGGTGTAACGAATGGTATTATCCAGCTCATTCAAGATATGGTGGACAATTTACGTCGCCTGAATGTGAAGACATGCATGTTAAAAGGCCAATGAATAGTTTCATGGTCTGGGCTAAAGTCATGCGTAGAAAATTTGCAGAAGAGAATCCCAAACTTCATAATGCAGAGATTAGTAAAATGTTAGGAAAGGCATGGAATGAATTGACGACAAAAGAGAAACGACCGTTTGTGGAGAAAGCTGAAAGGTACATAACGACACATAAGTAATTAAAATAGACTGCCACAGCGCGAACAGAAAAAAAATCAATAGTTTTCTAAACTAGCTTTCGGATTGATTATGACGGTTTTGAACGGGCATACATGAAAACTGCAAACTCGCTGAAGAAAATTCGAGTGCTGCTTTGTACATAATTTCATAAACTTCATAAAATAAGTTGAGCCAAGCAGAGGTTATTTAAACAACAAACAATTAAATCGATATTCATCTTAGTTTAACTAACTTGCTTTGTTTTAGATTGCGCATTGCACACATGAAGGCATATCCTAACTATCGATACACACCAAAGAAAGAAACCAAGAAAATGGCGTGTGGTGGCTATCCTCACCCCTATACACCATTTCGATCACCATATTATCCAGTACAAAACGTTTCTGTCGTTTCACAAGCGAACCGATTCCATTTCCCTGATCCAAATCAATACATGGATGGTGCTGGCATTCCCTCCAGATATATTTATAGTCCAGTACCAAGACTTAGTCATCCCCCTTCTCCAAAAAGTTTTAATCATGCGACCATAGGACATCCGGCTTCAACAAACACTGGGTAAATAGCATATATCACAAATTAATATAAGAGAATTTAAAAAGGCACTAATTGGAAGAATCGTGTCACTTAAAAAACAATGTCCGTTAAAAAACCATTTTTACTAAAACAAATTTTTTATGCTTCATAGAGTCTCCCATCATAACCACACAAATCCTGCGATGTCACCAAGTTCCACAGTACCCCCTCATTTACTTAATCATCCACAACGTGCAAAAGGAACGGAGAAAATGAATTGTTCACAAGGAAGTCCAAATAGCCACACAAGTTGTACTTATATCTCTCCTGCTCCGGAATTTGATCAAAATGAAGAATATAACTCACCAGTCACTCCCACGAGTCCCACAAATATTAACAGGAAAAAACCCAACTCAAATGTATCGTCTTCAGAAGTTAAAGAAGTTGTTTCTGAAAAAGCCAGTTACGGATACAATGCCACGTCGAATAAATACAACAATACAACGTATAGTACGGCCATGTGGCGAGAGGAAAGCACAAGTGAATGTTCGAGAAGAGCAACATCACATCCAAGCGTACAGAGAACGAGCCATGTACGACAAAATCAGCGAGGAGAAATGGGAGCTTTCGAACATCTTACTGAATTACTCTATGATGATCTTAATCGTGATGAGTTTGACGTTTACTTAAAAAAGGAAATCTAATGTTTTCTAAGTACTTGACACTTGTCAACAAACACTTGAACGGTAACAAGTGTCGTTTTTATATGCAGGCCGCCCGGGTGTAAGAACATTTGAATGTTCTAAAGAGCGACCACAAATTTGTTCAATAGAACGCTAACCGTGATATTTTGTAAAACGTAATTATTCAGAAGATTGTCTAGTGTGTCTCCCGTCAGGACATTTAGTCAAAGAGCATGTAATCTATGAAGCAAAGAGAGCACGTTATCCACAGGGTATTCGAGGATCGTGGATGGATATGGTGAGCCTTCCTTGACCAGGTGGATCACAAATAAAAAGATCACGAGATATAGCACAAATATCAATGAGAAAGAAAAAATATTCCCCAAAACGTTTTTTAGAGCTATGAAATTTTATAGTTGGAGTATTCCACGATTCTCGAGAAATGACACAATGTCACGAGAACAATTCCATCCCTGGAAGTGTGTTGATGGATTGGAATGTTTCAGGCGGAAATTACATTGCATGGGTTCTATACCAAGATTAGTCTGATACAGAAATGTTTTCGGCGTTAAGCGCGTCTTGATGACAATGGTCTGCATTTGAAATTAGATTAGCCAAGTCCTATGAGGAGCTCACGACATTTGTTAAGAATCATCGTCATTAACGAGTCTGTCAACTCATTCTACATCTTGATATGATACATTCTCGCATTGCGTGCAACAGCTTTAAGCAAAAAAAATACCGTAAATTCCAACCCAACAGGATTCTCAGTTAGCTTCCAAAGTTGTTTGATTAAAAAGCATATCATTTGCAGCGCGGATTTATCAAGACATGCGCGCGCGCGTAATTATAATTTTCCATGTATATATAATTAAGTGCATATTACATGAGCAAATAATTTGTTGTCTTATCTGAGTCGATGATCTCACAATCACTTCACGTTATGATCTATAATAAACTTATCGCAACCGTTTACCGATTGAATTGTGTCATCGAGAGCTTTGATGTTTCGCGCCTTCAAATTTTTCAGCTAAAATTTACAAATTCAACAATACTCGCGCTGTACTTTTTCAACATTTTGCAATAATATTACGATTAGTTAGATATTTCATGTGTTTCTTAATTTGATGTTTGTAGCAGTAAATACAATAAAAAAAATAGATTGTTTTCGGGTTTCGTTTAAAAATATGGTTTCAATACTGGGCGGCGCATGCTATAAATTAAATGAACGATGCGCTCCGTTTTATGTAGCGTGCTTTTACAAGCGGTTATTAATTGTGTAATTCGATGTTCATGAAGTGTTGAGGTGTTAACTTCGATATTGTGACAAGAGATTTTTTAACACGTATAGCAACTAGAACATGAAATCCAGTGAACACAAATCTTCTTAATAACATCATGATGTAAGTATGAAAGAATTTTTCAAAGCTCACTGTGTGAATAAAATTGCATGTAAAAAGATGACGACAATATATTTACGATCGAGCACGTGATTTACTTTGTAAATAAAAACATGATAAAATTCAATGTTGGAAGGAGATTTTGTGTGAATGAACGTCTAATTTTTACATTTCTCCTGTTCAAAAACTGAGATCGTGATAAATGGTAATTCTCTCAACCTTGTAACCTCATTTTTATAAAATTTTCAAAATACTTCACATCACGTGATATTCGACGTAACGCGGACGTTTCCAAGAGACGTCATTCAAAATATTTCACATCACGTGATATTTGACGTAACGTGGACGTTTCCAAGAGACGTCATACAGAAGTCTCTTGACCAAGAAGAGGACCATCTTCCACCTTTTTTTCATTTTCTTATAAAAAAGTCAAAGATGCATAAAATTTTGCTGAAATGCAAACTGTGAAGTAAACCAGGAACAGTCCTTACCCTTTAAATAGTTCGCAAGTTTTTCATCTCCCATTTGTTTAGCGATCATGGCTGCAGTGTTTCCCTAAATGTGTTTTTCGTAACCGTCATAAGCAGCCATTGTGAGAAAAATTCAAGAAAAACAGCCTTACGTTGTAATCTTTCCTCGCAATATCAACACCAGCATGCACTAGGGTCGTACATATTGAAGGTTCGCTAGATTCTACGGCCTTGTGAAGGGCCGTTTGACCACTAAAGTAAAAAATGAAAGAAAAAATCAAATCATGGGAACGATAGAACTTATAAAAATAAATTTTCATTCATAATTACCTATTATCCACTTCATTCAACGCAGCTTCGCTCACTATTGTGAAAAAAAAACAACAACCGAATGAATGAGCAACAAAAATTCAACAACATACTTCAATATTTTTATGTAGAATTTTACTTTTTGATATTATGTACTCCACAATATTCCTCTTCTTGTTCATAACTGCGTGATGCAGAATGGATAAACCATTATTTGTCATTGATAGATTACATCCTGACTCTTGAAAGCCCTTCATCTGGAGGTTTGATTAGAAAACAAAAAAAATGTTTTACTTTCCAAAGTTTTGCCCATGTAGAGCAAAACAAAATTTCAACATACTTTATCAAGGTTTCCTTCGATGCAAGCTTCGATCATTTCTGAAAGTAAAATGTTGAAAACTTTGCAAATATCTAAGATTTTGTTACTGGATGGGGAGGGGGCAAGTATATTTGTGCTGCATTGCAAAATATCCAAGATTTTGCATCTAGAAAGGGGGCAAAAATATTTGTGATGCGTTTATAAAATACAAAATTCTAAAAAGAACAACTCAATTTAGAGTACGATGTTCTAAGGCCAACTTTTCCCAAAATTCAACAAAAACTAGAAAAGACACTTGTGAAGACGGCCACTTTGTGATGCCATGAAATAATTATCAAAGACATTAACCTTGGAGTCTCCCATTACCTTGGTAAGTTATTAAATCTTCGCTTGATTTTCTATATATAAAAAAATTACTAGCATAATCTAAGCTCAACAAAACAATAAAAGACAATATTTTCATTTCTTAAAGAATGCATGTCGACCAAGATGCATTGCGCGTTAATCACAGTGTGCTGCAAGCCTAAAATTTACAATGTAAACATAAACAAAAGCGCGCAATGCATCTTGGTTGACACATATTCTTTAAGATAAAATATCAACAATTCTTAACAGACAATATTTACATTTTATCGTTGCCGTCATTAATCCTAACAATAAAAATACCATCTTCAAGAATATCTGCAACATCGTACAGTTCTTCCTAAAAACACGACGATCACAGAAGTTTTACAACAGTGAATTGAAACATACAGCAACAACAGCAATACGTGATAAAATTTAAAACAAACATAGCAATAAAACTCGTTGTATAAATAATGATATAGTTAACCTGAGCCGGATCTATTCTGTAAACTCGATCACTGTACGATGCTAATAACAGAACACGACAAGTTGATAAAAATAATTTGAAAAAAAAATAATAAAAAGAGTTGTAATCATCATTTACCATCAAGAAAACACCAATTTCCGCCAGCGACCTCATTTTTTCTGTTCTAGAGAACAAACACACGTGCATGTAAAACAAAATTAAAACAATATTTCACTTTCTTCTATAAGAATTACATCTGTATTTAAATAGTATATTAGAAAAATAAACACCTCCTTCTCTAAGAATTCGTCAATGAGTAATCTTAAATATTTCAGATCGACTTGAGATTTCACAGTCAATGAAGTCTCGACTTTAGCTGGGAAAATACAACACAAAGATTTCCAAGAGTAAGTTGCAACAGCTACGGGACAAGAAACACTATCTTATCATGAATACATACAAACTTTGGCGATCATTTTTATATCGTGTAAATTTTTTCTGTAATTTTCAAATTCAGTTACGTAGATTTTAACGTTGATGGGTGCAACAGGTGAAAGAGGAGACCTGTGAAATATTGAGTTGCTTTGTATCAAATAAACTACGTCATGGAAAAACTAGATGGGATTGAAATACATACAGAATCACGTACATGTAAACAATGGGACATTAATGTATGTAAAAGATCACGTATATGTAAGCAATGGGACATTAATGTACGTAAAAGATCACGTATATGTAAACAATGGGACATTAATGTATGTATATGATCACTTATTTTATGAGATCACATTTGTGTATCCATGTAGAAAATAACATATGTATAGTATCAGACAGGGGTGAGTTGATGTATGAACAGAGATAAGTCTGGTTAAGAAAGAGTAATTGACGTTTGTTTAGATAAGGTCAACAATTATCACGCATTTAATATTGGTAACTTATTGAGTTAGATAATCAAGTAGACTTACTCAACATTGGAGCTCCCACCGCGGGAATTTTTCTAAAGAAGAAATAATTATAACATGCCGGAAAAAAAGAACTTATGTCAGACAAAATAAAATTCTTACTTTGATTTTCTGAATCATGTTTGCTTGATTACGTATGGTGACGGTTATTTTTGATGGCAAGAGACGACATGGCTCTAAAATATATTAACTCTTTATACAGTTGTGTAAGGCAGGAGATAACATGGCTCTAAAATATATTAACTCTTTATACAGTTGTGCAAGGCAGGAGATAACGATAGGTATTTATAAAGTTGTGAATCGTAAGAGATAACTTCTCTCAAAACTGTATGATAGCATGTAGATAGTGGATGTTATGAGACAAAATGGCAGTCAACAAAGTTAGACAAAAATCAAAAACTATTTCCCAACACTTACCACCATCTACTTGAAAAGGAAGAGCTTTATAGGTTCTTAAAATTGCCCTTTGACATTGTGAAATTCTTAAACCGTGACCACCAACTCGTGTTGTCGCCTGCCAAAATTACAAACATAAAATAACTTAACCAAACAATCCATCATCACGATCTCAATGCTTAGGGACAAGAAGATACATTTAAGATAATATGGGGATTTTCACGCTTACTAGAGAAGTGGACGTCAAGCCAATGACCTCAACATAACCATCGTCACAGCGCTGACCTCTAAACTCCTGGACAAAAAAATTTAATGTTTGTTAAGAATATTTGTTTGAAAAAGAAACAATTCTTACTTCGTATTCCTTTAAGGGAATTCCCCACGGTGAAGTGCCACCACCATAACTGAAATGTGAAAATATCAAATAAAAAAATATTTTCGATAAAACGTTGACAGTTCCTTCAATGTTAACATTTTACATACGATGAAATGTTAAGAAAAAGAATACATTGTGGTTTTAGTTCTGCAATCTTGCCACTTAGATCGACACCATCACACTGCAATCAAAAATTTTAAAAAATATACAATGCAAACTAACTATAAAAGGAATCAGAGATAAAAAAAAAACAAGCAAGACCTCCAATTGTACATGACGATATAAGTCCTTCGATCGTCTCTGTATGACAGTTCGTCCACCACGCTGGAATAAAGAAGAATTTAAGAATTTTAAAACATCAAGATATCTTAATTTTTACCATCTCTTACCTTTCCATAAAAATAAAGACTGTACAAGCGATTTGTAAATCTATCAGGATTTGCCTCTAAAATTACAGAAACAAATGAAAATTTTCTTGTACTCCCGTTTAAACCCTCCAGACCACAGATGTTCTCGTGCGATCAGTTGATTAAGGCAGGTGCTGATGGGGAAAGGAGTGTTTCACGAACAAGATTACAACTTCAGTAGGTCAATATCAATATATATACCTCGACTTTCATGAAACTCTAACGTTACTTCTGCATCGGCTCCAACACTGAAGTAATTGTTCATCACATTTAATGGCAACTGTTTGCGAAAAATAAAGAACAATTAGAATATACATGATTGTTTCATGAGAATATTTCAAACCTTTTGTTTTCATCAGCAAATCAAGTTAATCAACTCACATTACCAACAGAATTTGCGTCTTTTTCAACGGCACTTTCGTTTGGAATAACGTCAAGATTCCATCTGCACATTGATAAATCAATTAAATCAATTCTCGAATCATTAACTCTTCACCAACACAATTTGCATTCATTCACCATACCCTCCACCCCCTCCCCACACTTCACACTACGGTATGTCTTTTTGAAATTTTTGCCACTCGTCACAAAAAACAAACCTATCGAGTTGAACAACTTTTGCTTCTTGAAGATGATTTAAAATCCTTTCAAGCGGTTCGTCAGTATAACCCTGAAATGACCGCAAGCACATATTGCATTAAAATTCAATGAAAGCCTTGGAAGTATTTCGAAAGGTTCGTACTTACTCCTCCCCAGTTAAGCACACGAGACAAGTCGTTCCCAGTACCAAGCGGTAAGACAGAAATCGGGGGAGGAGGTGAGAAATTTAATGTGTCAAGTACCGAAAGAATCCATCCAACCTAGAGAGAAAAGACACACTTCAATGAACTGTAAAATTCACACACTTCTATACTGTAAAGAATAGATCATCAGTGGTAGTAGCAAGATATCTTTTGACAAATACAAACCGTTCCATCACCTCCACAAGCTAAAATCTTCAAATTAGGAACACGACGATACAATTGTAAGCTACAAATCAAATTAAACCCATCTCATATATGTAGTCAAAATAACATTTATTATTAATAAATAAGAAAGTTTCCCACGAAAAAATTTACCACTGATATATCTGTTCGCGAAGAAGAAAAACCCTCTTCTCAAAACAAGGGGAACTGGGGGCAAGAAATATAAATGTTTACAAATACATCTTAAATATACGCACGCGAACTTTGGATCACACTCTGACAGATCAAACACCTAAAAACGACGCAGTAAATATATATTTCACAAAGCTGAACTTCATCACAATCACTCAAGTGAAATATTTTCAAACCTGCCGTGGATTTAAAAGCCATTGAAATTTTCGAAGGATTTTAGATCCCTGAAGAAATAAAAATAATAAAGGCAAATAAGTCAGAGCTAGGATTGTGAATATCATAAAGTTCTCTCAACTATCACCTGTTTCCCCCCACTTTTTGGATTAATAAAGACGAGCAAAGGAGTTCTATTATCGCCGACAATAGGTCTCACCTAGACATTAAACATTTATATTCATTGCAACGAATCAAAAAAACAAACAAACAAACAACACTATTTTTTAATGATTACCGCAAACGACTTTTTTTCCTAAACAGACAAAACAACAAAACATTAAAATTAAAACAGAATAATGAACTCAGATTTTCAGTTCTTACCCGTCCAGATTTTCTTCTTGACTGCCGTTTTTCATCGATGAAGTACGAAACTGAACAAAAAATGAAGTATAATTTATACAACTATCTATATAAAGTAAATGGTTTGAAACATATAACAACTATCTATGACAAAGATTTCGTAAAATATGTTCATGTGTCATACCCTTTTTATCGGTAGTTTAACGATCCAAGCAGGCGGAACAATTAAATTGCCATTTTTACCTAACGTACACACGTTTTCTTTGAGTGAAGCCGCACATATGTGATTGAAGTGGTACTGAATAAATAAACAGCTATTTATGATAATATCCTTTATTATATAGTAAATATTTTATCCACCATTCAATAAATAGCTATCCTTTGAGAATGTAAAAAAAAAGGTAATTTTACCGCACATTTACACCAAGAACAACTGACAGCGACAATATCCTAAATAATAAGAAGTGAACAATATTTTAAGAGGGGTTTCTTACAATTCTTTATGAAAAATTTGGGGAATCCTTGCTTACAAACCTTCACTGAACGAATGTTGTGAAAAGACTGTATAAGAAATAAAGATGAAAGTCTTATTGCTGCATGAAGAAATGAAGGCAAAATACTGAGAAAAACTTACTTTACCACAATGTGAACACTTTCCATGAAACTTTCTTTGATAAACCCAGTGATGATTGGTCTGAAACTAGGACCACATGGTATGAAATAGGATAATATAAGACTAAATAGGATGATGTGGGATTTAAATAGGGTAATATAGGATGAATTTAATATGATATGAGACTAAAAAAGGATGATCTTGAATAAAACTAATAGAATAACATGGTATGAAACTATGATTATATGGGGATGAAATTAGGATGATGTGGTATGAAACTAGGATGATTCAGTATGAAACTAGGATGATTCGGGATGAAACTAAGATGATGTGGTATGAAACTAGGATGATTCGGGATGAAACTAGGATGATGTGGTATGAAACTAGGATGATTCAGTATGAAACTAGGATGATTTGGGATGAAACTAAGATGATGTGGTATGAAACTAGGATGATTTGGGATGAAACTAGGATGATGTGGTATGAAACTAGGATGATTCAGTATGAAACTAGGATGATTCAGTATGAAACTTGGATGATTCGTGATGAAACTAGGATGATTCGGGATTAAACTAAGATGATTCGGGATGAAACTAGGATGATTCGGGATGAAACTAGGATGATTCGGGATGAAACTAGGATGATATGGTATGAAACCAGGATGTAACTAGAATGATATTGGCAATTTGTGAAGTGCTCATCAATATCAAAAGCAACATAAGATTGATGAGAGTTAAAATGTGAACCTCTTCATTGCTTGATCTTTTACTTCCTTCACGAAATGTCAGCTTGCAGCGAATATTGACCTACATTAGTTTGAAAAGACTAGATTGAGCACAAACCAGAGCAAATAATCGCAGTTGATAATGAAGAGTTGACAATAGTAATTTGAAGCTGTCAGAGTATGATGCAGTTATCAGGAACAGTTAACAAAGGTAGTTTGTCAGAGTAAGACCCAATGTTGTAATAAGAAATGATTTTGTATTCCTACCCTTTCTAAACTATCCATGCACTTCTTATGTACAACAATCTTACATGCTACAAATAGAAAGCAACATATTTCAGTATGATAGGAAAAAACACTGTAACAATATTTCACAAACTTACCAGTACATTTTAGTTTATGACCTGATTTCTATAAAATAATTAACATTTGTGTTTACATATCAAGCCTCTTATGGTAAACCCAGACATTTTATACCTACCAAACATTCATTGTCCGGAATACAACATGAATAACCAGACGAGTCACCATCCATCCATATGTGTTCACCCAGTTTAGCATTTTCCTAAAGTGAGCAACAGAAAGCATATCTATACACACAAATAAAACAAAAGACATGGTCAATACAGCTATAGCAAACAGAATACTCAATCATATCATATAAAACAGTGGATGGTAATAGAGATAAATTTATTAGCATGCCCGAGAGTTAGAAAAATTAAACAAACTTATAATTGAAGTAAAGAATATTTCTCACCGTCCAGTCAACAGAGCAGACATTTGATGATTTTGGATCCAAAGATTGAGATTTTCTAAGTACGTTTGAGAAGAGAGTAAATTACGGACATGAGTATATGTTGAGTCCATAAAATGGTATAGTGTATTTTTCAAAAGTAATATGACAAAGAATATAAAAAAATCGATCATTATAATACAAAGTCAACACAGTTTTTGTCTCAGACGCAATTAATTACGGCCGAGTAATTTATGATTTGAATGGGCAGGTATCATGGGTAGAAAGCTAGTTTGCAAAGAAAAACAAACATTACAATTTACTTATTTCAAATCATGAATTCGCAACGAACTTCTGCAAGAAGAAACACAATTTTCCTTGATAAATATTAATGATGTTTTTGGTGGGCAGTAAACACAAATCATTTCGCGTGGGTTGATGCATTTCCATTACTGCGAATGCCTTTGTCGAGTTAGGTAAGAGTATTTATCTAGACATAAAATCCACCACCAAACACTCCGATCCAAAACGATGCGATTTCAGACGTAAAACTTAGTTTACACCGGAAGTTAGTGTCTTCTTACTTCCGTTTCGAAAGAAGGGATTGTCAAGGAACGAAACTACAATATCTCAATGGCAAGTTTCAACGCTCATGTCAAACAAACATGCCAAACAAAATGCCATGAAAAATACTTCTACGAACCCTGGCGGTACACTATCGCTTTTTGCATTTTTATGATTACCATCCGTTCCATCCCCACCACCACACAAAAACAAGGCATCTGTAGAGAAATCATCGAAACTTTCGCTGCTCGCCATTTGTTCAGCCAGATTCTCATTTTAAGTTGATTACTGTAAATATCTTGTGTACAGCTTCCATTTAACGAAGTAAGAAGTCACAATCTACTTCAATAGGTAAATTATACGGGGTAAATACCCAATACTACACACACAGAAGTGACCACCTCAATCACTAAAAGGTCAATGACACGAACGAAGGAAGTTTGGAACTCTTGTCATTGGCCATAATTGGCGACAAAATATTCCACAAAATCTCGCTCACAAAATGTCACGATATTTTTGGCATCAAAGTAAATTTAAAAAATGGCGGACGGCATTAACGATAAATATCCGAAGAAATGTCAAGTTGTGTCCAGTTTGAGCAATACTTGTTTGGAAAATATATTAAAAAACATTGCTTTTAATGAAGACATGTTTCATATTCTCCCACAAGCAGTCAAAACTGGATTGATAAAGAAGCTTTCATTGCGCGGGTCACTCAAACATCATCACTTTAAAAAGGTTATGCTTATGCATGTCTTTTTACCTTATTTTTTACACGCCACCAACTGCGTCATATTCAATCATTATTATCGTCATTAGAAAATGAAACGTTTTTTTTCTCATAATCACTTTTTGTAATTTCACAGAACAACAAAAACTGAGTCATCATGGGTAGAAGCGATTTCTCTGCGATAAAATGAACAACTATTTTTTTAACTATTTTCATTTTTCCTTTATTTAGTTGCTACATGCTAAGATTCATTCGCTCAATCTTAGCTCATGTGTTGTGAGCGAAAATGATCTTTACGCGATTGCTAATGCTTGCAAAAATCTCCAAAAGTTGGACGTTAATTCGGAAAATAATTCAAGAAACGACATTACGGTCAACGGTTTGTACACGAAACACCTAATACCGACACATGCAATCGTAAAAGATTGCCAACATTATCCTGACCTCATACTATTGTGTATTTAGGTATAAAAGCAGTTGCTGCATCGTGTAAAATGCTGCATACACTGTATTTACGTAGATGCTTGTTGATGAACGACGCAGCCATAGTTGTTGTTGCAACGCAATGCCTTCATCTTAGGCATCTAAATATTGGAGGTTGTTATCATGTTTCGGACATCGCTATAATCTCTCTTGCAAACCACAGTTGCAATCTAACCAGTTTAAATATTTCACTAACGCAGGTATGGGAAAGATGTAAACAGCGGAAAATGAAAACTTTCATGAAATAACTCTTACTAAATAGTTAATTGAAAAAACAGAAAGAAATTTAACTTTGATACTGAATGTTGTCAAAAAAGAAATTCACTCTTTCAAAACCAGGTGTAACAATCGTGAATATACTTCTAGATCACAGATAATGGGGTATGTGCTTTAGCGAACGGAGTATGCCACCAAAACATACAAGTACGTTTCGTACATTTTACAATTATTATTACACGTTGACCTCTTTTAGCTGGGAAAATATCGCTATGAACAACTGAAAAATTTCGACATGTATATACAAATTATTATTTACTAATAAAGTAAATTATTTATTGATAAGCCTTGATTTTCTCTAGGAAGTTCACATGGCTGGTTGCTCAGCGCTCACTGATTTTGGCGTCTCAGAGCTTGTAAATAAATGTCGACAACTCAATATCTTAATACTGCATAATTGTTCTCAAATTACATCGAAAACGTGGGAAAGTCTTGAAGTCCTACAAAGACGCGGATCAAAGCAAATATCATGGACAATTCGATAGTAAAGAGTTATGAGTACACTAAGAATTCAGTTATATCCAAAACGATTTTAAGTTGGAAGTAATAAATATAAAAACGATGAACAGCAATGTGAAGTCGATAGTAAGATTATTTGTTCATAAATGCATAATTTGCCAGCTGATTGTCTAATTTGTCTTCTATTTATGTTGAGAAAATGTTCATATCTTTGTGATCTTTTATTTACTTTGAAGATTTAATGAGACATTTCTTTCATATCATATATATATACAAATTTTCATTAATTTATAAGACAAATTCATGAACGATATGATACAATTCAAACCATATAAAATGTGAAAGGTTATACATTGTTACCTGGGCAACTAAAGCACTTATGCTAACACAAATAGATTACAACAATTACAATACGATAACAGCAGCGAAAAAAATCCTTCCAGACATTAAGCAAACAAAGTTGGCGTAAATTGTGGACAATTATACGCAGTTGTAGCAAACGTCAAACATCAAAGACGTCTAAATACATGGCGTTGTTCCCAAGTCTAACATCCAGCAGTGAACCAACTCAGGCCACGATTCACACAAGCAACTCCGGTAAAAAGGCTCAATATCGAGTGAGCCTTGGCAAATTAAACAAGAATTTGTGCCGGGTTGAAAGCAAGCAAGATGTTATCAATGCAAAACCAACGAAATTTGTAAGTGATTTAATAAGTGAAGGTTAAAAAAATAAGATAAAAAAATAAAGAATAATTCAAAACAAAACTACGATGATCTTATCTTAGATACATGGGTTACAATTTATCTTTTGTTAGTTGCTATGTCGGTATGTTTAACTAACATTTTGTTTTTTAACAGTTACCTCCTTTGCAAGCAGACAAACCGATAAATAATGCCTCTAAAACGACCATTTTGCCAGAAAAAACACACAAAAATTTGCAATTTCCAAATTGTCAGAAAGGTTCCAAAGTTAACAAGTCATCCTTATTTTGGGTTGAACCATTTGGTTTCTGGGCTCCTTATCAACAAGTAAGTCATTTTGTTCACTTACATCGGATGACATTTACTTTTTTATGGAATCAATATCAGTAACAAGTTCACTGTTGTACATAAATTTAATCCAAGGAAAAGCGGTTTTACGAAAAGTTCTCAAAAAAAATTGATCTGCTCTACAAAGATGCAGATAATTATTTGGTAAGACATTTATATAAATCAAAAGGCCTTTCTAAATGACCATATTTACGTCCAAAAAAATCTCCGTTTGATCTTTTTAGGATCGCTTTCCTCATATCCGAGGATGTGATCATTCACGTTCCTGGTCAGCAGTGAAAATAGAACGACAAAGATTTCATGAGCTAAGAAAATTAAAGAATGACGAAGTAACAAATAGATTTTGCTTTGTTCATACACGGAAATAACTATGTTCTGTCTTAAAGTTTTCTTCCCTTCGACTTACTGTTCTCTAGTTAATGAAGAAGACATCAGAGAGACATCAAGATATGGAAGAGTTATGGATGAAAGATTTACGAATGCGTTCAGAACACATAACCTCTTCTCTTGTGAGACTGAAAAATTTTAAAAGGAAGGCTGTAAAATGCTCGATAAACGACAATGAAGACAAAAGACTGACACGATTGCAAGAGAAACAGAAAAACTGGGAAGAAGCCTGGAGATTGGAACGCGAGAGACGAGAGAATTTCATTGGCAGAAAAAAGATCAAAATAATTCTTCCTCGCATTATTTCTAATAACGTTGAAACAAGAAAGGACAAATCACAAAAAGATCTTTTTCGTAATGAAAACTACGATATCGAAAAATCTGATGAGGTTGAAGACGTTGATGTGAAATATGATGGTGAATTAACACAAAATCTTCATGACATTCATTATGAGAACTGTCAAGATAACAATGGTGAAGTTGAATCATCGAATACGTCAAGAAATATTCTTCTGCAAACATACGAAAAGTCTGAATACCTCAAAACTTATGAGATATTTAGCCCTATGAATTATAACCAATGGGATACTGTTAATGATATGCAAGGGAATATAGCACGTTGCACTGTTCAACAAGACTCATCTGTAACGTCTTCATGTCAAAGATCACGCACTAGTATTGATGTAGTGGATGCAACAGGGACATTGGAGGATACGTTGATACAACATACTGCGAATGGATTCAGACTCCTAGATAATACGGGTATTTATTTCACAATTTGTATTATCGCTAATAGTTACGGTAATTGTGACTTTTGTTTTGATGTAGTGGCCTTAATGAATCAACTAGTTCCAGTTCCTTTGGGTGTACAGTCAGGGGTGATCTTAGATTCTCAAATGACATCATCGTCAGATCTTGATGTTTACCATAGTGCAGACCAAGCTAGATTAAACAACCAAAGAAAAGGTACGCGTTTTTTATTTGTCCTATAAAAAGTTCTATGATCGTGCACAAATATTCTTGGAATTTCTTTAGATTGTCGAGGTGGTGCTTGGTTACCAAGGAAAAATGATGCGAATCCTTACTTAGAGATAGACCTGGGTCACTTGACTACAATACAGCAGGTAGCAACACAGGGAAATCCACAGTCTGCTGTGAAAAACGAGCGACATAAATGTTGGGTGACAAAATTTACCTTGGCATTCAGTGAAAATGGCAAAAATTGGTGGAATTGTAAAGAATGTGGTGATGTGAAGGTGCGTGACACAATTGTTGATAACCTGCTCTTTTATTCATTTTTGCTTCATATTTCGTCCTCAATCTTTCATGGCAATGTTTTCAGGTGTTTGAAGGCAATACTGACTTGGATTCTGTTGTATTGAACAGTTTAAATAGACCAATAAAAGCACGGTTTATTCGTTTCAACCCCAAGCAATGGCACAAAGGGATCGCAATGAGAGTCGAAATTTTCGGTAAAAGGTCAAATTCCGATAGCACGAATAGAAATAGTTTAACAGTAAAAAAAACAGAGCCAGCAGAAGCTTTAGAAATAGAAACTGACGAACATAAAGACTTGCCAAAAGAGAGTTCTTTTGTTATTGAAAAAAATTGCGAAGATGGAATCAAACAGGTTATAAAGACAGTCAAAAACGTGAATATTGACACATCGGAAAAAATCCAGTTTAGTAAGTTACAATTGATAATTTTAGGAATCTTGGGTGGTATTCGTTGATTGTTCATTGTTACATAAATGTCCATTTTAAGGTGTTCCTACTGAAGCTCGAGTTGAAACACCAACAGCCGTTTACAATCCTGTGGGAAACATCGTGATCCCTAGCAAACAGACGATTCTAACAACACAAGAACAAGTTGCTGAAAACTGCATTCAAAATGTAAGGAATGTTTGAATACAATAAAATAGTATTTTTGATAATACTTGTGATTTATCTCACAACGTAAAATGTTGGACTTCTTAGCGTAAAGAACGAACGAGATCACATTCAGTATTTAGAAGAACACCGCAACATACGATTAAGGCAAATGGTGAAATCCAACAATTGATGAATAGCCATGTCTCCATCAACGAAGACAAGGAGGACACTGAAAGTAATAAAAGGCTAAATTGTTTATCTGTTGAGATTATAAAAATGTCTTTTACTTTTGCCCATATTTTTAGAAACAGTAACAACCAACTCAGAAACATCGTCGGTACTCGTTATCAACCCTTCCAAAACAACATCGCCTCTATCACATAACGAATCTAACGTGTCCAACCTACCACCTATATCCCCACGTCACCTCCTGAGTCCATACGTCCCATTTCATCTCGTCACTTCCCTGATTCACCGTCTGCCTCTCCAGCACAGGAAAACTGGGTCAAAGCACTAGAACGTGCACGCGCTGATGGAAGCATTCAGCGTGAGATGTTGCGCGAGAAAGTAGCTGAAAAAAGAAAGAAAAAATTGTCGATGATGAAAGGAAAAAAACGACGTGAAAAAACAGAATCCGAACTAATTGAGGATAGATTGGATGAACTAGGTTTGATACGTGGTATTGACACATTCTGACGTAAAGTAAATTAATATATGTATAGACGAACCTTGACTATCCATTCTCAAAACGCCTTTTGGTTTAGGAAGCTTCTTAGAAAAATATTGTATACTCGGACAGTCAGAACTTGTGACTTATAAAAATATTTTCGACAAGGTAAGCTATGTAAACATATTCATAGGGATTGTGACATGTGATCTTAAGTTTGTTCAACTTTATATTGCAGTTTGACCAGGATAATGATGGATATCTATGGCCTGAAGAGGTTCTTGAGGCTTTAGAGAATGTCAACGCACAACTTCTAAGTGATTCTCATTTAAGTTATGTTGTACGAGTAAGAATGTGAATATTTCTGTAAACGTTGAAAAATACATTCATGTAGGTGTGCTCACGTTTTGTTGTTCTGCCAGGTTTTGGAGCAATGCGATTGTAAATCAGACGTAACGATAGGTTTTCGTTTGTTCTCCGTCATTGCAGCGTTATCTAGAAGAATTTCTTCTCTAAAGTGAGACATCTATCTTTATGTAATGATTTCTACCATCTCTAGATGATTACTCATGATAAACTTATTAACTATACAGCGAAAGAATGAAAAGGATAATTTCAAAATGTGATTTCAAGACCATCGATTGCACGCTAGAAAGACTCAAGGTACCTAAAGACGGGTATTTAGACACTAGAACAATCTACTAAAATAATCATTCATTGTCACCATTTCAGATGCTGTTTGAATGCTATGTGAATGAACACACCAAACGCATTTCTCGAAATGAATTATGGATTGGTCTCGCTGCGGGAGGACTGGAGAAACCAGAAGAAACCATCGAAGAGTACTTTTCCAATAAACATAGCTTCGACTTTTTAGATTTTCTGACATACCTTCCGTTATTTCAAGAAATCCACGGCTATGTCATTGACAATCCATTAAGTTTATTTTAGGAAGGCCGATATTTCCCAGAAAAAAAAATTTTCACAATCTGTAATTATATTTATTTGTGAGAATCTATATCATTTCGAAGATTTTGGCCTATAAGTTTTTTTTGGATCTTCGTACTTTGACGATGAGTCATAACGGTAAACAAGGAGAACTGGCAATTAAATGATTTTTCTCAATGTCAATGGTCCAGGGATGGCACTTGGTGATGTTCTTCGGAATATACTTGATCCTCTCCACAAAATATTCTATGTAAGTACCAAAATTAGATTTCTCTTCAATATCCCAAAAGGAGATTCATAAAGTATCTTCACAGGGAAAAAACAATTTATGTTTGTATACTCACATTTTGAGACAATATTCGCCAACATTGGTTCCAATTTTCAAAAGCAGGTATTTCGCTACAGCCATATAAACTAAGGAAAAGTATCAAATTTTGTTTGCAATAAAAATAAGTGATCCTGATGTCATTGGTGTAATTTTTCTATTTCATAACTCAACAAGAGAAACTTCTTAAAGGGTTAACAACAATTTATATTATGCATGTATTAAATCAAATTCTACATTTTACCTTGAGTTGCTAACTGCCATGAGGTTGGAAACAAGCGTAAATGGGTAGGTCACAGAGCTGACAATAATCTAGAATAAGGCAAACAATAATTCACATTAACTAAAGTTTGAAGTTTCCGTGTATGAATGAATGTTTAATTACTTGCGAGGCTTGTTGTGTGTAAACTTTCAGATCTTTGTAATCACCAATCTGAAACTCAGAAACATTGTTGATAATTAAAGTCAAACATCAAAAGGTTTTTGAAATGTGCTTAAAGTACCTCTGAGGTAACAGCTTTGTTTACAGCAAACGTTAAAGTTCGGAAGAACCACAAAGTCAATAAATCTCCAATCAACTGAGGCACAAGCCCCCTAAAAATGATAATTTCAATGAAACAAGACTTATCAAATGCATTACATGTATGGTTCTCTCTCAATTACTTACGCAAAAAGGCCAGAAAATCCTTCTTCTTTGTAAATTTCACGAAGTGAATGGAATGTTCCACTAAATATGGAACAAAACAAAATTATTGGTTAAAGCTAATGATCTGGTTCTGAAGCTGATGATTTATTAACAACTTACTGATATCTTGTTTCTCTTCCTACAAACTGGATTATCATTCTCAATGACACAACTAACAAAGAAATTAGGCCTTGTTATTGTAAATATTGATTACTTGTAGTGGATGGAATTAGCTGGGTACCTTGAAATGGATAAGTGATGATAGTTGATGTTGCCCGAGAGACAGTTTGATAGCATGTCTTTGAAAAAAAGTAAATTCATAATAAGTAAGGAATGAAGATAGTCTATAATCAAGGATAAGTGAAAGTGCAATACTACCAACCTCTTTTGCAAAATCTTCAAAAGACATTTCTGGTTGTGATGGCTATATAAGTATTAAAACAAGGTGTACTTCAGTTTATTGAAAAGTTTATTAAGTGAACAAAATTTGATAACCTTGTTTGCATTGTTCTTTTCATTGAAGGAATGGAATTTCTAAATTTAATTGTATAAATTTTCACTTGCTGTTAAATCAAACCAAATGTCCGAGGCTAGCCAATAACACTTCGAGGCTAGCCAATAACACTTCGAATTTATACAAATCACGAGACAGACATGTGTATATTAGTAAGAGGCAACAAATCAAGTCATACATAAAATTCCGATGCATGATGGGATAATTTTGTCTAGAAATGCTACTTTACCTCTAATAATGAATTATTGATAGCACAACTAATAACAGATGAGAATATTCTAAAAGTATAAAAGATTTTTTAATAAGCCTAATACTTGCATAGTTATTACTTAAATACTCCTAACAAACCTTGGAGTTACTCCTCGAAACAGTCCAAATATACCATCTCTTTTGAAGATAAGTGATGCTAAATAGAAGACATCATTTTACATAAATTTGATACTCAGTTAACAGCCATCCATTAAGTTATGCTTCTTATTATACTCACAATAAGTAAAGAAGTTAGGAAGTTTATACATATCTTTCCCAAAAAATGTTCTAAATGGTACTGGATCAACTGGTTCAAATCCAACCTGTCGAATGGTGAATTAAATATAAGCAAGATTTCCAGGCTTGTTGTAACTATGATGATACTGTCCCATTTTATATTATGAACTTTACACACTCAAATCTTCTCATTGCATACATGTACATAAAAGTATAATTTCAAAATTGAATATTTAGAGTTTTTGGTACCACGAAAAAGATTTCTTGGAAATGGCCCTAAAAAAAATGCTCTGCACTTAACGTAAGTTTATTGTTCGAAAAATAGGATATGGTGTAATAAAACTTGTTGGAATTCACCCTTCGTCTGTTAAAAACTCAGCACATTTAGTACATTAACACATTTAGTACATTAAATGTGTTAAATAGAAAGTGCTTAAACTTAACTTTAACTTAAATACCACATAATGATCATTCGTTAAATTCATTGGAGTCTGAGAGGTGAATACCTGAATCAGAACTTTAGTCATGTGTATAGGATGTGTAACGGTTGTCATTGTCGCCGAAAGAAGAATTGTCGTGTAATTTTCACGTCGGATTTTATCTTTTTTCCCTGCGAAAGTCTCCATCTTGGATAAAGGATGTACCGGGTATTTGACCCACACCTACTTATACCCAGTGCTTATCATATGCTCGCAAAAATGTGGAAACCCCCCCGGGGAGGAAGATCTACAACCGGATGCTGGTCATTAAAAACTGTTAAAATATCAACCTACAAGTAAGAATCACTAAATTCACAAAAATTATGTACACTTATTTGAAAAATGTCGGTGCAACTTACAAAAGGAAAGTTACATTATCATTGCATTTTCAAAAAGTACATTCTAGAAATCGTTTTTTCTCTAAAATTTTGCTTAAAGTTTTAATATCTAAATTGGAACAATTAGATTGTCCATATTTGAATTAAGACTTTACAGAAAATTGGAAAATGGAATTAAGTAAACAATCTCATGTGCAATGATTTATTTAACTTTGAAAGGAAGAGATAGCTCGCTTAAGTTGTTCAAATGTGAGAAACATTACAATATTCCACGAACCAAGACGTATGAAATTTGGAGTGAATCTAAATAGAAGGAATCAAACAATGTTAGAGATATATAAGTAATGAAAGAGCTAAAGAAATGGAGCAGGAATTAATAAGTCAGCAATTACCCTTTATAAAAGGCTGTTATTCCATTATGTTTGAGCGTTGCTATAGCACAATGAAAGGCACTTTTGTAAAGTCCAGGGGGAGAATTCATGAAGCGCGTTTTCACCACATCAACAGGAGATGCAATCACAGTAGCTGCAAAACCTGCTCCAAAAGCAGAGATCAAATGCAAGGGTATATTGTCATGAAGAATTTGCTTTACCAAGAAAAAGCTTTTGATGACATCATACACAACAACTTCGGACACATTTACTAAACTTAAACGAGCTATATTTGCAAAAGATCCTTTCCACAAGCCTTTAACTCCTTCATCCATAAATATTGTATAATATGCATTCAATGCTCCCGAATACCGAGGATTTAGTACACCACTGGCTTGCATACGAATTTTAACAACATCAGTACATTGAAACAAAGACACAGCTAATGTTCCTGTTGTTATGCTTGCACAAATTTTTGTCAAAATTTTTGTGCTATTTCCAGTACCATCATCACCATAGAACTGTTTTACTTTGTCATATAAACCTATTCTTATGCTGGCAAATGCCAGTTGGCGATGAATTGCAGGCACCAGACCACTATATAGACTTCGTACACCCTCCTCTCGAGCAACAGTGAGTAGTGTGCTGAACAATCCTCTGTACTTTTTTATTTGGGTTGCGCCATTATTTGTCACTACACTTTCACCTTGAATCTAAAAACAAAGAAATTTTGAGAAGTCTATCAGCAAAGGGAGAGCCAGAATATTCTTTAAAGGGGGGGCAATACAATAATGTAATGTATGTAAAACATAGTATTTTAGAGGAGAGCAAGATTTTTGCCGGGGGGGTACACACCGCAGCCAGTCAATGGCCACGTCACTATCAGACAAGGCTACACCCATTTATGTGTATTCTGTTTGTGTAAAGGCAAAATGATATATTTTAAATTCAATATGCAAATACATAATTCACTTTTTTTTTATCAAAATTCGTCTTCTGGCACCCCTGCCTTGATAAACTTTAACAGATTTCGGTCACATGAATTGTCGTTAACGCCTGCAATTAATCGTACTTTTCAATGAAATTACAATTAAAAAATTCCATAATTTATTATAAGAAACATCCAACTAACCTGATGCCATGTATAAATATTTTGTTTAAATGAAAGTCGTAAATCTATAGCAATAAGAGCTTAAACTTTGTCGCAATTTTTTATCTACAAATTCCCACATAGAATACCTGCAATCGAACTTTGGAAGTATCAATTGGCATTGTTACAATTTCAGCAAATGACGCTGCTAAGCCTGCACTCACGAATTTAACACCAGTTGTCGTCTCGAAGCGTTTATAACCCTCCACAGGAGCCATTCTTTCAGGTTGGCTGGTTTGGCCAACCATACTTTTATCAAAGAACTTCGATATTTCGTAATAAGTTTATACTCAGCAACACAAGTGATAAACACTTCCGGACACGTAGTAATATAAATAGTTAAGTACTATTTTATTTCAACCAATGAGACGAGGAATGCTCAGAAATAAAAGGAGTGTCATTGGTGTGTTCTAGTGAGCTACGTAGTGAAACAAGGTAAACACGAAGTGAAGCTTTGTCCCCAGGCGCTTTCGTAAACTCTTCTTTGCTGCTCCTTTTTAGTTTGTCGGTTGCATCTTCTCGCTAAACTGTAATAGCACGCACGGCGCCAAAGGGGCTGGGGGGCTTGAGCCAGCCCACTTAAAGCCTCCCCAAGATAATGTTTTTGCAAACATTTATATATTTTAGCTCAACTTAAGGCAAAGTAAAAGACGTAGCTCCCTCTATGTTCAATATCGCGGCGCAGTCCTTGAATGAAACTGATTTCTAAAGAATTCACCGGCTGAACCTTCGGTTATTTTTAGTAGGTTAGAGCAAGGATTAAGGTTGCAAATAAGGTCTTTGGATGGCTGAAAAAACTTGCTTTATTAGTTGCTGTAACAACTAATCGTGAATTTATAATTCATTTTTTTGTCAGCAAAGACAGTACAATTAAAAATGAGAAATTCACAACTGCCACGATACTTGCAACTTGATTAAGAGTTAAAGGAAACCCATATGTTTTTGAACCCAAATGAAAAGTGTCGATTAGATCAAAGAACTCGTCCCAATCCTGCTTGTTACCCCGCAACCGACCCACACTTCTCAAATAATGAATATGGGGGATGATAAGTGAAAGAGTATTTGTTATCATTGCAACTGTCCACAGCAAACGAAGGGCAAGGAGGAACCAAAAGAGACTACGTACGAGAGTCCACCAATGAACAACCGTAAATTGATGACTTTTCAACACCAACATTGCAACAACATGCGTCACCAGACTGGTCACAGAAAAAAATGTAAGTACAACAAGAAATGGTTTGAATTTTGAGCTGTTCAATTCTAAACTACCAACAAGTTCACTTATTTCTCGACTTGCTTCTCTGGGAATGTCAGCTCCCGAAGAAACCTCGTGACTACCTTCTGTCGCTACTATTAATGAGCCAGTGTAATAATAACCACTATCGTGAAATTCACCATTTTCGTTTTCCTCATAGTGAAGCAACCTGCTCGTTAAAATTTGATTGGCTTCCAAGTGACTTGAGTCAAGTTCAACAAGCCCAAGGGTCAAAAACCCGGTGAAAAACGAGATCACTTTTACAAAAAGTCCAACTGGAGTTAATGACACTCCATCTTTAATCACTTCTTGACTTTCAATTTGAGGGATTTTGCGTTCGGGTGTAAAGCGCCAGTCAATAAATTTCTGAATAACTGGACCATCACCCATTCTACACAGGAAGTATTTCACATCGATCATATGTATTCGAACAACAAGCAAGAACGAACATGCTACAAAACCAGTGATATACATGGCTAATGTCCAGAATGCATAATACAGAGGAAGCCACGTTTTTTCTTCAATAGCAAGTTTCAAGTGTCCAGCCAAAGAAATATTGTGTGGTCCAGAGAAATTACTGCTTCCATGATGCTTAAAGAAAATTATGTACACAATCCATTGGTAGAGGACTAAACTAATAGGATAAAGACATGTTCGTATCGAGCTCGTCTTGAGATAATGCTTTATTAAGTGAACATTGGTTTTATCAGCCCAGCTGTTACTTGAATCATTTCGTGTAAGACGTCTTTTTAGAATTTCTTTAAATGACTTTGATTTGAATATTATATGTCCACAAATCATAGCAAGTAAAGGGATAATGTAAAGAGAAAATTGAATCCAAGTGTCAATACCTTTTCTTGCGAACACTGCTAAAATTGCTATGAAACTAAGACCACAAAATAAGATCAGAAATAAGACTTTTTCCAAAAATCTTGTGAAACTATTCTTCGCAATGATACCAGAGTTAAAGAATGATGTGACAAAAGCCGTGTGGGACAATACATCCTTTAAAGAAATACTTTTCATGTTTACGCGTGACATTTCCTCAACTTGTATCAACAACGCCGTCGCCTCAATTTTAATGAAACATAACACCACAAGAGACGTTAACATGTACAATCACGATGAAACATTATTCATTGTTTTTTTTTACATCGACGATCTGTTAACGACGTGTTCTTTCACATAACGCACGTCATCCTCGTGGTTTTATTTCGTAAAAGAAAAAGCAAACATGTACAATATCAAACTTTCACATTAACAAAGAGATTGTTTGTTCTCCTCTCCAGACAAAAGAGGTTGCCGTTTTAATAACGCGCAAAGCAGACACGTAGTTGTTTCGGGTGTGATTAGTATTGTTTGATAAACTTTCCTCTTCATTTTACTTGCTAACGCGCCAGAGAAAATCAAAATAATCAAGTTTCCTTACCGCCAAATTTGTTCCTGCAAAAATTCTTTCCGTGCTCTTGGTATTCAGTTTTTGTTACCAACATGTCAGAGAAACTCTCCGTATGAGACAAGATCTTTCCTCCTTGCCACGCATATGTTATTGGACTATATAAAAGAACAGTTTAAAAAACTTTGAGCACGCAAATTTTCATGTAGCCGATAGCAAAGTAACTTACTCAGATGTTAAGTGCACCACAACATCGAACTCAACTGGAGCTAGTGCTCGTATTTCAGCACATCTAAACACACCACAATTGAAAAAGTAGCAGATAAAAACTACAGATTGCCTGTGACTAGAAATTTACGAGATAAAATATAGCGTACAATCTCGATTTAAACCCAGGAAAAAGAGAGCATCCACCAGTGAGGAGAATATTGATGTAAAAATGAGGCTGCATTTCTAAAATGGAAATAAAACAGCGATAGTTGAAAAAAAAACCCAGCTGGACCCTGTGACACCCTTAGATAATCTTACCAGGAGGAGTTGCCTCAATTGAATTAACTATGGCTTCACCAAGTCCCATTTCCTGAACACCTAATGTTAGAAATAATAAAATGTGTTTGGAAAAAACTTATCACTATGTTCAAAAAATGCGGTTGAAAATTGCCAGTTGAAAGGTAACAGCAAAAAACCTGTAAAGACGTTAACGTCGGATTGATTTATGCAAACTTTACTCAAAGCACAAGACACACTAACACCACCCAGGCTATGCATATGTGCTACAATGCATAGAGAAACTGACAACGAAGCATTGGGGAACAAATTTTTAACGTGGATAAACACCACTCGTCCAACGGAATGAAGTAAAAGCAACAAAAAACAGGGCAAAATACTAAAAATAAGGTAATTTCCCAGCATCAAACAATGATTGCAAACACACCAATATCTGAGGGATGAAACAGAAGTTCAGGGACAGAGAAACGTTCAATGTTTATTCTAATCATCTACAAAATACAAAAATAAACAATATGAAAAGAAGTGAAGGTTAAAAATGTAGCTATAATTTTTCTCACTTGCTCGTTTTCGTTCGTTTTTGATTTATCCCACATTTCTTCAACAGGCTAAAGCAAAAGATCCAGAAGTATGTATAGGTAGATAGATAGGATAGTACACCATGTTTTTTTATAAAATTCTTACTTTAATATAACCACGTTTTATATTGGTATAATCTGGAAGAACGTAATCTCGAATGATTTTGTTTTCTTTTCCTTTTCTCCTTTAATGAAACAAATAATATAATTTTGAGAATTGTTTAAGACATTGTTGCAGAGGGCAATTTTTTTGTGTATTTTAATCAAGTGTGATAGCAAAGAAAATAGCACAACCCAATGAGACAGGAAACATGAGCTTTGTTTAATGGTTCAAATCTTTGCAAGACAAGCTACATGGAACATTTTCATGGATAGAATCAAGTTTTATATTTGCAATTTAATCCTAAATTTTTGATCAACATTGACAATCCACAGTGGAAGTTGTCTAAGAATAGCTATTTGACTGCCATCCAACAATTTACATTTGCCAAATAAACTCCTCAACTTACAAATAAAATGTAGCAGATAAAAGTCAGCATTGCAAGTTAATTTGTGCCGTGTATGATATCCTTTAGACTTGTGACCATTGTAGTTTTATCAAAGCTAATAATACCTTGCCATTTCAATATCGCTATAAAAATCTTGTGACACATAACAAACATCTTCCTTGACCTTAAATCAAAATATAACAATTGAAAATAATAAAAGACTTATAACAACAGAAAATGATGTTGTTTATGCCAACCTGGTTAACAACATATGTCTCATCCATCACATGAAGTTGTCTAAATATGTTAAAGTTTATTATTCTTTAACAAAGATAAGGATTGGCATGTGATGTTTTACTACCTATACGATATAATTTCCTTCAAATGATTTGTCAACATTTTCCCACCAATATTCATTCTAAAATAGTCTCAAGTCAAAGGTAAATGTTTTTCATCAAGTCTGCCAAACTAACATAAAATACCTTCGCACACCTTCCTTAAGGATCTTTCCTTGATAAACGGGTACAATATGTGTAAATGAGTAACCACAATCAACAACAAGACAGACCAAACGAGCATCAGGATCCTCATTTACAAACTTGTATGAACTTAGCTCAGCAGCTTAAATGATAAAATCATCAAATGAAAAATTGAATATGCACTCCACATCAATGTTTAAGAAATGCTAATACAGGACTAGCAATCACTTGAAACTGATTTATTTGTTGAATTGTATAAATCGACATGCCTGAAATCCGACAAAGAGATCGAAAATCGTATTCTTCAAACAGAATTTCATCCATAGCATCCTAAGAGTAAAAAGTCCAAAGCAACAATTATAACAGTTCTAACAATGTAAAATCTATAATTGACTACTTACCGAGATTGATGCAAAATTAAAACATGGCTCAGTAACAAGAATGTCAGATTCAGAGGACTCCACCTAGCACCAAGATCAATGATACATCATGCATCAAGATAAGTGCTATAAAGTCTGATAACAAAAAATTTTCTTTAAAATCTCGCACCTTCATGGCATCTTTGCCAAAAACGTAATCCCACACTTGTTTTTCCACTGTCCAGTTAAGAAGCAAGCCCTGAAATATCAATACAAAATCATCCATCACAGTTTTAAAGCCATAAATCTTAAAAATAATTAAATTAGACATGCCACTGAAAATCTTAATAAAACATCAAAGAATCTTTATACGTATACATACCTTTTGAAAAGGTAAGAGATAATATAGACCAGAATAATCTTTGCATTCGTCAATTTCATCCGCCACAAAAACTTTGCGTCGCTCACTTTTGACTTTGAACACTCCATTCGGGAATATTCTTTCACGTCAAAACAGAAATCAAAGTAAGAATAACTATTTACAAGACCCCCAAACATCGCAAAGCTTACCTAGGTATATCAGCATCACTTGAACCAATTTTTATAGTAGAAGCGCCGTTGTCAACAATCACTGTTCCATGAACTAGTTCTTCTTGAAGGTTTTCAGTCGCCATATTGAATAATCATGAAATACTTCATGACACAACAACAAAGTGTATAAATGACTAATTATAAATTTTATTTTATTTTAATTCAAAACTAATTCATTTTTCCCGCAACCAAACAGGCCAGTTGACATACACTTCGAGTTTTCTTCCATCGTTCAAAGATAATAAAACTTTGGGTGTGACTTCACAACATCAACTCGCATTAAACCAAAACCGTATTTATCATAGGTACTAATAACTTTTCCTGCTTGCTTTCCATTCATCGAAGTTAAAGTAACATTTTCATTAGGTAGCATATTTTCTGTAAGTAAAGCATTCTCCATTTGAAAAGGGAGAAGTCTTTTCTTATCATTCCAGTATGATAGGTTCTTGCAGTCAGTTCCTGACCAATATAACATCCTTGTGAAATGACACTGCATAAAAATGAAATAAAAATGTTGATTGATTACTGTTCGTAATAAATAAACCCTACAACAAGCTCCTAACACAGCTTACCCCATGCATCTCTGTAACATTATACTCCAAAGGTAAAGCATGATGTGGTTTGATATCCTTTATCCCTTCACATACCCCCAATTTCACTCTATGTTCATCATACACCTCTTGATTATTGATCTTGACAACATCATAAAAGTAATCTGTAACATCATCACCTCTTGGCAACAGCAAGCGAGATCCGAGTAATGCAACTCTAGGATCCACAACAAAAATACCATGTTTCTCTTTACCTGTCCTAATAGATCCATAAGTTGCGTTTTCTTTGAGTACTGCGTATGTATCAAAATGTTTACTAACGTCCTTAAAAGTTACATGGGATCTCAATTTGTAAAGCTGAAAGGTCTTTAAAATACTGGCAACAGCCATAGCATCACTCTCCATCAAGAAGCCATTGTCGTATTTATAGAGCAATAAATCATACAATACACGACCTTTACTATTTAACATCATTGAGTACATCGCATTCATTTGATTGTCGGAATGAAATAATGCAACGTCATTTGTCAACAGACCTTGTAAAAATTTCACTGAATCGTTTCCCTTAACGTGAATATGACCACGATTTGTTAACATCGCAATTGCCATTTCATTCATCGCTTTACTACATGAAATGTTTCGTTTAAAATGTCTGATATGCTTCCAAAATTGATTTGAAAAGATATACCACGACCCAGAGAAAGCCATCTTTATAAGATATTGAATATATTTAATTCCAAAATTGATCTAATAAACGCCGAGGTGTGTAATATTAATCTCTTTGAGTGGAAGAAGAATTTATCGAAGAAAACGAAAAAAGTTTGAAGTTTCAACTCACATTGTTTAGAAAATGAGGACTTAGCATCTGCTTCATTGCAGTTTTGAGGACGAATCAAAGATTTCAATTTGTTGTTTTTGGAACAGCTCGTTCAAGTAGGATTTCATAAGGATAGTTGAATTTGAAACCAGCTTTTCTTAAACAGATGAATGTAATCTCATAAATCATACCACCATATATTGCATAACTTTAAATTTAAAGGAAGGTGCTTGAATTTTACTGATTTTAACTTTGTCTATTCATAACTGAAAAAAAGCATTTTCTTGCGAACCACCAAAAAACCAAACCACTGAAAAACCAAACTACCTAAAAACACCAAAAGACCGAAAGACCAAACCACTGAAAATCAAACTACCAAAAGACACCTAAAAATCGAAAGACCAAACAACTGAAAAACCAAACCACCTAAAAAGCAAATAACCGAAAGACCGAACGACCGAAAAAGCGCCCCCACCACACCATCATGGTGATATAACAGTAGGTTGTTAATTAGGATCAGAACCGTATATTTGACTTGTTTTCCTCTAAAATCTCTATGTTAAATCGTCGCTTATTGCAACAAACGCGAAACTTATGATTCATTATCCATTTTGTAGCTTTAATTTCTCTCCATGTTGAAGTACAGTAAATTATTAATTCCCTTAGTACGTTGTCAGTTGTACTTGAACCAAATGGTTTTTATAAGGAAGAACTTTCACCAATAAAACTGTGGGCTTTGACTGGTGATCAATCAAGAAACGCTTCTTATGTAAATATCGCATCGAGCAAAAATTAGTTTCTTTTGAATTTTCGAAATGTATTTAAATTGACAATTTAATTAATGTGAACTATTTTTTTCTATATAGCTGATTTGAAGAGTTTGTTGGTACACTAATGTAACAGGTTAAGCAAAAGTCATCAAAACTGTTCGCCATAGGGAAACTACCGCCATTGTAATATTGCAGGGTTTTTTAACTTCAACTAAAGAAAAATACTGAGCAATGAAGTGTTGAACGCGTACAGCAAATCGAAGTACCTCTTCTCTTCTTGCCTTGAGTGGATCGGGAATCCAACCCAATAAAAATACAATCCTTACTAAACCAAGCATTACTTTATTTTTAAAAAGAACTCGTGCACTTGCAACAAAACAGGAAGACTATGTTAGTATAAGACGAACAATCTCCTAAGAAATTTGGTCATGCAAATTTTTGAATTATAAAAGAACATTTTTGAATGTGTGCACTACAAGTAAATCTATAAAAATACTCTCATTTTGATCGTATCTTTCATTTGAATATCCTATCAATTCAAATTAAACGTTGTGAGATTCTTTGTTTTGATCTATTTCACAATGCAGGATGTTGATGAAAATTTCAAAAGCACTTGCATTGTTTGAAGCAAAAACAAAAATGAAATAAAGCAGCTCTGATTCTTTTGAAACAAATTGGGCAGATTCGATGAAAGTTTCAAAGACTTATCATTTTGAGTTTCCTACCTTAGTCTTTAAGTGTTTCTTTCAAATTTCGATTTATGACACATCTTTGGTTTTTGCACTCTTCATGATAGCTCAATGTGAGATTTCAAGAGAATAGTTGATTTTCCTGTAAAATTTAAACACGTTTATTAGCAAAAAATCTTTCACACAGAAATTAGTATGATCTGAACTTATTCAACTGTAGAGCTCCTGGCAGACATCGTTTTCAGTCAAAAATCGATGTTTCATACGTGAGCTAGTCAGTTTTGCTTAATTTGTGCCCAGTGTTTTTTTAATTTTCACGTGGTTTTCACGCGGAACAAAATTGGCGCCAATTTGAAAGTCCAACGTCCAACATGAACCACCATTTTATCTTTTCAAACATTCTCAAAATTTTGGCACAAAAGTATAGTTTTTACCGAGAAAAACATTCCCAAAAGATAAGAAATATCCTGCTTATCTCTCATTTTGTTCATATTTTTGCGTTGAAAGGAGAAAGATGTCGGTCGCGCAAGTTAGTCGCTAAAACATTTCGATTCACAAATACATGTTAAAAATAAAGATATTCAATAAAACTTTGCTTCGAAAAATTCGAGGTACAAGCAACATGCAACAGACTAAAGTAAAATTGAAAGAAAGGCATTAACACATGGCAAACTAACCGTTTTTACAACAAGGTCTCTGAGCTTAACAGTACACCGAAGATACGCACATTTAAAACGCCAAATTGCATAAAACTAACCGACCAAATGATTTACAAGTAAAACAATATGTAACTATACATGAAACATGGCTTTTGTAATCGAATTTGTCGACATTTGAAGTCCTTTTTAAATAATAAAAATTTCACAAACCTAGCTCTCTCTTGCGAGTCTTGAGGCATCTGACACTGGCAGTTTTGGTTTGGCTGTGTGTGAAAAGTGATTGACATTTATTAAGTGGTGGACTAGTTCCATTGGCTGATTTTCATGAGCTTTAACTTTCAGGCATTGTTATTGGATAATGTTTTTTTTGAAGTCTGATTGGTTGAAATACGTGAAGACTGAAGAGTTATCCAAGTTGAGTAAAAATGTATTATACGTTTTATTATGCGTCTGTTTCAAATTAAAACATTTCAAAAAACTTGTTTCCGCTTTCGAAGAAACTAATCACAAGTTGAGAAGGTACAAATTTTTAATGGCTGAAAATAATATATTACTTTCATATCAACAATGAATGATGCAAGAGTCCCCTAATTATCAATCTTCTGCTCCCCTTGCTGATTAAAAACAGTAATATTACAACATTATAATAAAGTTATGGTAAATGCTGTTCACCATTCCCATAGTAAACAGTCATAATTAGAGGGGGCAATACTGATGCAAATGCATGTTATAATCTGCAGAAAACAATCATTTTGAGAAGAATATGGCAGAACATGATATATGAGTATTCCCCCCCCCCTCTCAATTATTGAGCTGGCTATGCCACTGCTGTTCAAAACTAGCATCAGTGTTCATGCAAGTGTAACTGAAGTCTAGATCCAACGAAATTCTTCTGGTTTTACATCAGCTGGTAAATCTTTTATGGAAGATTTTTTCTCTGCTTTGACAAACAGTTCTGGGAACTCAAACTCTGTATTAATCTACAAGGTGGTAAAAAATATTGTTTTTAACACATGTATCATTTACTTTATAAAAATATATGTAATTGATGTCAAATTAAATTCAAATGGGAGATTTTGAAGGGTTTTACCATAGTCACATAAGCCAGCTTAATATCTGGATATCGTTTAAGTTTAACATCCCCATCTTTCATCAGCACACGTTCAGTTTTCCCTTAAAAATAGAAAAAAATGCTAAACAAATAAAGCAAATTTGGAAAATGCACATATTTCTTTAATATACAATGTATGAAAGTGCAAAATTGGTTAGCTGTTATTACGACTCATCATGCCATTTAAAATATCATAAAAATTGGTGAGAGAATTTCTTGAAATAAGCATTGTAAACTATTGCACAACAAAACCCTACATTGAAAATGACTCACTTTTCTTTTGAAAACAAGAATCTATTTCAGAACTTGTTTAGCCTTACATCGCAATGAGCTCCATTCAAATAAGAACCTGTTTAAGCTAACTTGAAAATATCTAGATTATTTCATTGAGTTTTACACAAGGTTTTCACTGGAATATGCATGAGTTCTTATCAAATCACGAAAGCTGAATACACGGTAAGAGAATGGGTTATTTTAAGTATGAATAATAAACGATATAGAAAATTTGTTTGACAAAATAACGAGTATAATAGTATTTTTAGTCCCCAAATCATGATCCGTATAATGTCATAATATCGCTCAATAAAATCATTAGTTTCAATAAAACAAGTTAAAGAACCTGCTTGTATTCTTATGTTAACTTTTGACACATTCACTTTATAAATACTTTGTAGATAATTCTTCACATCTAATCGTGACATCCTTAAAATACAAATAAAAAGTTAGCACTTCCTACATCAAATTCATAGACCGTAGACGACATCACGATAACATACATTGTAACTCATAAGTATAAAACCTACTCCATTGGTACATGGAAGACAGCTGAATTATTTGGAATGTTTTTCGTAGGTCGGACGCATTTTATAAACCACTCCGGAAGAAATATTCGAGCCTGTAGTCTTGGATTTCTTACAACATTTAGGTACGCCATATTTAATCTAAGCCTGCTATAGTAGCAATCTGCAAAGCTATTTCATCAAACTTGGTGTAAGTACGAATGATTTGTCTGGGATTACGGAATAAATGATGTGGACCATATAAAGTAAATATCCAATATGTTATGTAGTTTAAACAAAGTCCTACTTTTTCTAATTGTTTTAAAAAGAAATGTGTCAAATTTCAAATTCATGGTCAATTAAAAATTTAATCAATCACGAAATCAATCAATCAGAACTTCATATTTCAAATATTCTATGCTACAGTATGTTCCTTCCATATTTTGTATTTTTAAATGAACATTAAAGCAGCTCTTTTTACTCTGTTATGTAAAAATAACAATCCCAAAGACGGAAAGTCATGGTATAAATATCCATATTTTACTCATGATAAACAATTTATTCATTTCGAATAAACAGTTGTTAATCTTATTCAAAATTCACACGCTTTTTTATGTAAACATTTTCAACAATAAGCACCGAAACGATTTTTGCTCATAAATAAGAAAGGCTGTTAAGAGATAACGTTGTAAGACTAACGAAAATTTTCATATGGAAAGCTGGGGTTTTAGAAACGGTAGTTATAATGTGCACAATAGAGACAAGAGAGAGTATCAAAGTGTTCTTTTCGCAAAACCAGTTTCCACAGTAACCAAACGAAACGAACGCGAAAGAAATCGCGTGCGCCTTTTGAACGAAGGCTTTTCTTGTTTGAGAGAGAAGATTCCTTTTGCCGTGTATGGAAAAAAACGACTTTCTAAAGTTGAAACACTTCGAAATGCTGTAGACTACATTAAAAATTTACAATGGATGATCCAGGAATACGACAAACAGTTTCGTAGGGAATCACGCGATATGCGAAGGCACAAGGATGGACGCGCTTTGAATGAACCACAATCAAATTTAGACAAAGACAAGGTACATTAACGAAGAATAGTAACTTTGAATTTTCTTTCCACTCACACACAGCAATGAAGAGGTAATACATTAAATGAAAATGTAAAAGAAACTAAAAAGGCAATGCTTAAAACAAATCGAATTTTGGTTAAAACAAAAAGTAAACTAAGAGAACACAAAGTTGCATGAAAATATGTAAAAAAGATGAATCGTGCTTCGGATAGATAAGAAAACATAATTAATATAACTTCGTGGATTAAAGGCCTAGAAGAGAAGTTTGAATAAATTATTGTCAACTAAAAACGTATATTTCGAAACCATCGACAGTTGCAGAAAACGTATATTAAAATACAGTACAACATTATCTTTACAAGACTTATGATTAAAACTTTAATCCAAACCCTTTTCATCATTTTCTGTGGTTTCATCATAATAAGCATTTTGAACTTCCTGTAGCAAGCTATCACTGGTAAGATCTTCTCCAGTGCTAATATTGATATCTCCGTCAAGAAAACCAGGAAGAAATGAGCCATCTACAAGATCAAATTCTCCTTGAACAGGTAAATCAAAATCTCCATTTGCCTCCACTGGGCCAACAGGAATACTGAGATCCGATGTGGGATCCTTAACGCCAGGCAGAACGGGATCGTTTGATGGTTTTATAGACTACAATAAATAAATTTATAAAGATTACTTCGTTTTCTTATTCAGTCCATAAATAATATACTTGCCTTTCGGAAAGTGTCAAAAAGAGGACTTTCTTTTGGTCGTGAAGATTTCGTATCACCTTCGTCACTGCTCGAAGAAGAATCAGAAGTTGATGTTGACGAGGAACTAGATGACTCATTATCACTATCATCTGATGATGAATCATCACCACTTTCGTTACTGTGAACAGAACTACTTCTACTTTTCATGTCACCATTCTCTTCTCCTGTTATTTCCTCCTCCATTTTAGGCGAGACATTTGTTGTTTTTGGCAGCAAATTCTTTTCCGGTGGTTCCTCATCATTCTTAATCTCTTCATTATCTTTAATTTCATCAATAATATTCACACTTGTTTCCTCCACTTCAGACTCGCTCTCGTCTATTTTCTTTCGCAATCGCTTTCTAGGCGGAAGAACCTCTTCGTCATCGCTGCTAAATTCTGCATTTTCGATCGGTTCTTCAAGGCTTTTACTATCTACGGAAATTTCATTGTTAACAGGAGAGGCGGGCTCAGATATTTTATCTGCTGAGACATCAACTTCGACGTTTTCTTCGCCATCAGATTGGGTAGCAAAATTTTCTTGCTGCAATTTTTCGGAACTTTGTTCAGCAACGACCGCAGTAGCATGGACCAGCGGTGTCCACCGCAATCGGTCCGGATCCAACGCCAGCCTTTTTTGAGAAACCAACTTTTGAGTAAATTCGTTGATGTAGCTTCGATTCAAACAAATAAATATCCTGGTAGATATTAAAATAAAAACACAACAGTAAACAGAATATTGTACTAACAATTCAGTGCATGACCAATGGAAAATGTCGTACTTTTCATCTTTTTTAATAACCATGTTGAGAAGTTGCAACGTTGCTGCAATATCATGAGGATCCATACCGGTCGCTTTGCTTATCTCTATAAAAAAACCCCCAAAGATTTATAGATAAATGGAAAGATCGACAGATCTATCCCACATTAACAATAAATACCTTTTATAGTTACTTGAGATTCTTTGTGTGTACAAAAATATTCCAATATAACGCTTTTCCAGTAACTACGATAAGTCAATAATCCCAGATCTGAGAGAGGTTTCTCAGGAGAGCCAGATTGTCCTTCAATTCTTGACAATAGATAGCCTAAGAAAAAATATAAAGTTATGGAGTAACACAGCAAGAAGCCATAGTCCCAACAACAAAAACACTTACTAAAATCAACCAGCAGTCTACCGTATCCAAGACGTTGATAATGAGGCATCGTCATAATGCAAGAAAGATTGTATTTCTGTTGACACGCTTTTTCCTGAAGCAAAAACAGTTCCTTGAAGACTTCGACTGCAAAGTTTTGTAGTTGAAACATGTAACTTACAGAAGATGAAAGCAAAAGTTACCTTTGAAAAATATCCAACGAGATGGCAACCTTTCCTGTCATTCTGCGTGAGCACGTAAAAGAGAAATGGTTCAACATCGTAATAAAGAGTTTTGTGATCCAAAAACAACTTCGCCAAAAGACACAAATTCTGACAATAAATCTAGACAAAAAAATGCAAAAAATATTTATAAACTGAAACATGTCAAATCAAATTACAGTCAAAAGGCATTCGGAGAAAAATGCCCGCCTTCTAAACCTTGTTTACTGCTCCATCAACTTCAAACACAGATATGTCATCATGTCGGTAGATCTCGTTAGCAGGGGGGTGAAACCATCCACATTTTGTCTGTAAATACAAGAATATTTTTGTCAACGAGTATGAATAACAAAATAATACGAATCGAACAAAACTCGCAAACCTTATGTCGTTGCAATATACTCATACTTTTCATATACTTCAAACAAAATTCACAAAGATAGAGTTTAGGAAGCCTAAAAATATCATAATTATTGAATGATTTTGAAGATTTAAATAATAAAATATCAATAGCTTACTGTGCATATTCTTGAGGATATGGTGACGAATACCAAGTTGTTATTTCGTACGGACCAAATTGTATGTAAGGTGGTGAGCGTGCATTGGAGCCTGGGACTGCAACAGGACGAGATGTCAATTCACTACTTGCACTTTCCTGGGCTTTTTTGAACAATAAATAATCTTCTTCTGTAACTCCTGAATATGAAAGATAGGAATGTTATTCGGCCTCCGTCAATAATTACGTTTTATGATACATTAAAATGAGCATGACGTATTTACCAGGAGGGAGTGGCGGTCGTTTATGTAACGGTGACTTGGGAGAAGAACGAGGTCGACCAACTCTTCGTTTTGGTGTGACGTCGGTTGTCTCCGGCGAGAAATCATTCATATGATGTTTCTTTTTCAAAGACTGTGCAATTGGGCAACCGAAAAGGCTAAAAAATATAACAAACAAAAAACAAAAAAGTTTCATTTGTGAAATGTGGTATTTGTCACAATATTTAATTCATCACAATGTTTTAATAGCGACAATGTTCACTATTCTTACCTTCTATGTGTTGTAAACTTTCCAGATGAATGACCACTTCCATCACAACCTTCCGTAGGACATACGCCGTATCTAAATCAATTTAGGAAATAAGAAATGAACCAAAAACAAATCAGAAAAGAATACATGAGATGTATCATTGCAACACATACTCTTTAGAATCATTTGGTGTATGTTCAATCTTTCTACGTGGTGGTGTAGTAAGAGCAGATTTTCGTTTCTTTGGTGAAGGTCGAGATGTGCACATAAAACAAATCCATGAACCGGATGGCATCTCTGTCATTGGTGGAGATAAACATTCCATATGGAATCCTTTGTCACATGCATCGCAAAACAATAAATTGTCCTGAGAAAAAAGAAAACCAGCACTGTTAACACTGTAAATATTTGTAACAATACAACAGGTAGTAATACTTTATACCGCATTGCCAGCAGACATACAGACAGAACAAACTTTACATTCAATACACTGCCATCTTTCAGACTGTATTTTTTCCGTCAATTCTGTTGAGTATTTAAGGCATGTTGGATGACCTGAATAGAAATGAACCAAACTGAAAACAAAAACTAAAAATACTGATGACAATTTAATTTTGCTGTACATACCGCTATTTCCACAGTCAGCACAAGATATTAAAATTTCCGGTACTCCATCTTTGTTTTTCTCAGCAGTTCCCAGACAAAACCCACATAAAGGACTTGGTTCAGCACGAGGTTTCTCCCTCTCCAAACGCTATATGGTAAAACATTCATGATAATATTGAATATTGTTGAGAAAGCACTGATCAGCATGACCAGATTTGATCATTTTTATTACCAGATCTGCTCTGGTCAGCTTGAAAGCCCCCCCTGATTTAATAGTTGCAACATTGAAAACAGGGGAAAGCATTATGCATGGATCAACATTTTTTTGTAATAAATTACTCATGTACGATCATATTGGCACCAATGTAAAGCAAAACTTTAACTTTTACCTCCCTAAGTGAACTAGATTTCAGTTGCCTTGATGCCCTCTCACGTGTCTGATATTTATCGGAGATTTTAATATAACGACCTTCTTTAACAAATCGTCCGGTCTTTAAGCCGCGTTGTATTGCATGTCGTATTGCCATTGTAAGGTCAGACACAGCTTCCATTTTATCAGCAAAATTTTCTTTTAAGTACTTTTCAATGGAAACTAGAGTTGATCCTTCTTCACCTGAAAACAGCACACGGTAACATCACAAAAATAATTAATTATATGTCTGTATATGCAATGTAATCTACCTTCGCTTTTAATTGCTTTTTTTATACATTTATTCAAATCTGAAGGCATACGATGAAGTCTACCACCTCCTGGAGCATGAACTGATGGATCCTTATAAGATGACTTTCCTTAAAATCTCCTCGTATAATTTGTCCTGTTTTGACACACAGTTCAAGTTGCTCAACCACAGTATCAGGGTTGGCACCATATGTAATCTCAAGGATGTGAGTGATCCTATCTTCATTGGGACGTTGTTTTTGATGGCGAACTTTTGCAATTGCGGCAAGTATCCATGCAAGGTATTTTGGATCTGGTTCATTTATGTCTTCACTTTTCTTTGTCCGAGGCATTTTTCATACAAGTGTATGTGATTAGGTCCTGATCATGCAAATAAAAAGATTGAAACATATATTTATCCAATATGTGGTTCAAAAACTTTAATAATTTCTCTGCTTAAAATTAAATTGGACCTCTTTAGTCTCAACTATTTACATTACAGAAAATTTGCCGTTAACCGGATTAAAAAACACGCATATTTACCTAAATAAAAGATATTTCACAATATTTCCCGTGAATTTAGAAGAAAAATGAGTTGTTTTCCATTTTAAAACAAAGCGAAACGCGACATTTTAGTTAAAAAGCAAGCTGAAGATATTCGCCATTTCTTGTCTTGCGTGGCGGCCATATTGAAGAAGACTGTTAAGGGAGAGGGAGAATGGCACTACTAGAGAAATATGGAAAATAGAGGTAACTCCTATACTATATTTGTGGGAAAACTCCACCTCTGAGCTCTCTGTTTTAGTTCAGACAGACAAACATAAGTTGTAAGTGGCAGTCACATCTTGCTCAATTCATTTAAAAAATTAAAAATTCTATTTCTTTTCTCAAAGCTTCCTCTCATCAATGAGAAATTCATCGAGGTGTTCCAGTTTGTGAAACTAACACCGGGGATGGTGTTATGTATTGGGAACCAGAACTTGCAGAAGAGGAAGGTCGACTATTTGTTTTCGGTTTTGGAGCTTTCGCCAAAATTCCTGGCATTTCTTTTTTTTCATCATATGTCTTGAGAATTTCATAGAGTTTCAATATTTCTTGAGTGATCTCTAAAATCTTCTCCATATCAACACAAAGTTCCTTAAAGAATTCGCAAGGATCTTTGTTCTTGACAACACAAGCCATGTAGATTGAAGCAAGTGCAATCTGATATGGTGGATACAACAAACATACATTTGTGCGTAAACTATCATTGACAATACGCCAAGCTAAAGACAGAAAGTTATCATCTTCGCCCATTTCACGAACATATTGAGTCAATGAGCGATATGGATGAAAGAGAATCAAACAACAATTCATAGTTTCAAGAATAAAGAATTCACATTCATAAACCTATAAATATAAAACAAAATATCATTACCATAAAATCAACGACAATTTTTTCATATTTCTTTATAAATAAAAATCATACTGAGTAGGTGACTTCACCATATTGCTAAAAGCTTTTCTAGTTTTTCCAACATGTAAGAAAACACTTAGAGATGAGCTTTTATAAAAAGCTGCTTTTACTCTTGTTGTTGCCAAAGGCTTTACATAATCTTTACATAACATTATAATTAATCTTAAAGCCTACCTGTGTTATTTTATACGGAAATTCGCAACTAAAACAGCCATATATCTGTTCTTTACAATCGTCTGGCAGGTTTGTATGAGGCGATTATTCGAAATAACACCGTTCTCCTCGACTTTTGAAGCAAGATACAAACAAGTTGGTGCCAAAAGTAGCGGATCAATGTTCTTCAATGAGTTTTTTGAGTAAAATCTTTTAAAATAATGAGTAGACGCCGATATCACTTGTTGTCTGTGTTTTAAATGTTCTCCAAGGGCTTGAATAAAATTGGCAAAAAATATGTGAATTTTTTGATACTCTTCATCGGTAAGGTACTTTAAATCTTCTTGTCTTCCATTTGAAACAAGCAGTTCTTCTTTTGTTAATAGCCAAAATTTATAATGAGTTGAAAGCCAAAAATTAGCCGCCATTTTGCTCTTCTCTGAGGTATATTTTCACTATTTTTCATCTACTATACGAACACCTTTTTTTCAAAAGCTTTTGGAGAATTAGCCAATCACAGGCGCCTTATAGTCAAGGAAAACAGCCATTCGTAACGATTTACTCTTGCGAAACAATTTGTGCATTTTTGACTATGGAAGATAACAATGTTTATTTCATCAGGAACATAGTTTAAATACAATACACATTTTTTAAATATGTAGTTTTTTCGACAATTTGACAAAATGTTGATAGTTTAACAACTAACTTGATTCTTGTAGAGGTAGTACTTGTCGTACACGGCGACGAAAGCAAGGAAAACATTTAACAATCTCGCGAACATACCGTTTATCTGATAAACAATAGAGAAAAGGATTAATGACAGTGTTTATGAATGCAAGAATAATCAGGGAATTGTGGATTTTTTCTCGCAAATGTATTAAGTCAAGTTGAAAAGAGTGAAATATAATTGATCAGGCAACCAGCAGACAACAACAATCGTTGACGCAGCGCATGCGATCTTCGTGAGCCTTCTTAAAGATGAATTTGATGGCCTATCTACATGACCTTCTGATTTTTCTTGTTGTCTGTTACGCAGCTGTAAAGTTCTTGCTGCTGAAGTGAAGAGACCTGACCTTCTGAAACCATAACTACTACGAATGACGATTTTCGTATAAACGAATATCATAAGCATCGATGGAAGTATTATCATTCCTAGCAGAAAGAAAAACGAGCAAAGTTCATCAAATTTTATCAAAGTCAATATAAAATACACAGGTGATAATTAAAGCCAATTTAACTGAATACAGCTGATAATTTATCAGAAATAAACTAAAAACAAATGAAAAGATGAATTGGCGTCGTGGAAATAAAATATATATTTGACAAACTGATTTTTGCCCAAAATTTCTTAATTTTCCACCCAAGATCAACAAATGTCTTATTGCCAATATTCGACAAGATAAAATTGATAAAACATCAACTTGCCTGTAAATGTGACGAAAGTCATAGCTTTTCCCGTCAATGAAACGCCATCATCTTTCCATTTACAAATATTATTATTATTGTTCATATAATATGTGGCGTGTGATGCGGTGTTGATTTCAAAGGAAAATCCTACCAACCACGGGAATATCAACATAGATGAAATGACTTTCTTTGATCGACTGAAAGATCTATAAAATAGTGGTTTAAAAACTGCAACCCAACGATCAATGGCCAGCATCAGACATGTATAAACTGATGTAATTGCTAAGGCAAATGTGATATATCTTGACCATATAATCCAGCAATACAAATCTTGCATTATTTTATTTTCTGGTAATCTGTAAGTGTCCTTAGTCAGCACAAAACCAGGAATTATACACAAACCGATGGCAGTCAAAATATCCTGCACAGCAAGGGCAATCATAAGAGAAGAGTTTGTTTTTTTTCGAAAGTCACTTTTCTTTCCAATCAAGATAATGACGATAAAGTTTGCAAATATCGCGAGAGCAGAAATTAAAGCAAGAGAAATATTGACCCCAATCATTTTTCACAGTATTTTGTTAAATGAACGAGAGATATTGACCACGACAGCAAGTACATATTACATCATTACGCTTCACACATAGAATTCCATTTAATGATGAAGATTAGATTTTTGTGAACGTTTTTGTCAACTGTAAGTTTCAAGACTATTTTACGACAAAACATGGAGATAACATCCGCTTAAATTTTTGCTGAGTACAACAAAATAACTCCAAGAAATACTGTAGAGTTACATCATGGAAACCATTAAGCTCAAAAAGGCAGTCTCGTTAATGAATGATGAAGCTAAAATAAGAAGCGTCGACATAAATAGAGAACGAAGGTGACGGAAAATAGTAATTAAAAGAAAAAGATATGTGTTTTTGTCACCTGCATAGAATCCATAAACCAATCATATATGTAAAAATATATTCACAACGAAATGTTTTTCTTCCAGTGAAAATCAGTCAATTTTCAAAATATCTAGCTTTGACACTTTAAAGGTGTCAGTGTGACGTATATAGAGTTGAATTTCCCGAGAGAACAAGTTTGCTAGTCAAGAAAACCACTACTACACTATTTCTAGAAGTTTGTTTGTGAAAGGCGTAATATTTTTTATTTTCCACCCAACAGTGGATGACATCCGTGGGAAAGTCACGTGTCCTATTCAGCTTCGATAGAGTAAACAATGAAAAGTAAATCATTAAAAATTCTTTGCCGAAAAATTAATTAGCTTTCAAAACATGGGAACGACAGATGGGATTATCATAACTGTCCGGAAACTGGCAGCTCACAGAGGCGAAGATGGATCGTGAACTACACCCCTGTGATGACATATGAATCCAAAATATCCAAACTCTTTAACTCTCAACTTTAGGAAAGGTCTTAAGAATAAGTCATTTTGAATTATAGACCAATCAGCAAATAACATTTGATAATTTTGTTCATTCACAATTTCATGCACTCTCAAATCCACATAAAAAAGCTAATTTCATTTGTAACATCACCAAATTGTCTATGTTATAAATTTTCACTTACTCATAACAAGCATTTGGCAGAAAACCAATTCTTAATATTTTGTTTTTCTACAACATATGTCGTGGTTTAAAGGTTGTATTCTTAAGTGTTTATTCAAACGAATTAACGGTTAAATATCGTGCACTGAAGCATTTTTCTAGAAATCAGGCATACAAATTCTTCCTTATTGCATGGTGATAAAAAAGCTAGCATATGAAATCACTTCAGTAGATACGAATCTAAAAACGACAGCCTTGAAAACCTTTTTTTATAGTCTGCAAACTTTTTTAGCATTTATTTCATTGAAGTTGCTTTAGTAAAAACAATAAAGTGCCTTATAGTAGGATGTAAAAGTAAAATCAGCAAAAAAACAGTCGAAAGTTTTGATTAAAATACAGAAACGCTTGCATGATAATGGAATATAGCTTTAATAATTAATTTAGGGAAAAGAATGTCTTGATTCTTCTTCATAGTAATACCACACAGGAATTCTGCTTGTTCTTTCCTAAGTTGAAAAAAACGATTGACGTTCGTAGTTGAAGATGCCGAAAGATAAAGTATTGTTTATGTCTGATAGATGGATTCTGTTTTAATATTAACGAGACCGTTAAAATTAAACCTACTTTCAAATACTTTTTATTATTCATAAATATTAATTTTTCTTTTGGTTACAACGATATTCCAAAGCTGACAAACAATAAAAAATTGTAAAATTTTGGAATAGGATGTTTAAAGACATTTATGGATGGAGCCTGGAATATACACTTATGCAAAAGCTTCAAAATACTTATGTCTTTTTGTCTGTACGAACATCTTTTTCTGGTTATGATAAATTTTTAAATCTTACCTAAGTTTACATTTTAAGAGCTTTTCTGTTCTCTTATTCTCCTTACTAGGAAAACTATTTTTGAAGTCTTTGGGCAAGAATCGATCTTCGAAACAAACCCTGCAATCAGCCCACACCACTTAAAGCTGAGCAGAAGGCTTTGAAGTTGTGAAATGTAGCTTAGTATTGGCGAAAATAATTCTACTGGATTTAAGTTCAACTGAATGATCTGAAAATGAAAAGTTATCTGTTTGGAAGCACGGATGAATGAGCTCCTATTGTGAAAAAATAGTCAATAATATTCGATAATACATAAATTCAAAACAAACAAAATCACGACAGCATTCGCTTTCAACTGTTTTATGAATGAAGCAATATGGAACATAGAAAAACGGAAAAGAAGAATAGGAAATGAAGAAATAATTTTGTCGGACAGAGCAATTTATAGGATTGATGCAACTTAGGACAGAACAATACAGAGAGAAGTATGCAGCTGCTGATTTCTAATACAGTATTCATTACATAATCAAAAATACGACAAAAATGTGTCCACAGCACATTTTAGGTAGTTTCAATGGTAAAGAAAAAGGTGCTTCATATTGTGCAATTGAATTTTCATGTGAAAGATTTTCATATTTTGTGGATCAACTTGCCTACATTTCGACTAATCTCCTTGAATCTAAGAATGTACATCTTACCAGAAGAATGGGATAACTTAAATAAAAGAACAAACACATTTTACAAAGAAATTATAGCATTTGTCGATAGCTGTCTTAGGTAAAGGTGGCTCGCTCTCTACAGCTACTCCTAAAAAATTAACACAAAATGTAAAATAGTGCAAACTATAAAGTTTTCCTTTTCAATTACAAAATGTTTACACACTAAGTTAGGAAAGGAAGTTATTTCAAGTACGGCTAAAAGGCATGCAACCACTGTAATGAGGGTCTAGAAATTACAAAACACACAAAAGAAAGTTGAGATTCACGATTGTCTTTCAGTGGCAGTGACCCAGTTTTAGTTTTTACGTTGAGATATAATCATAGTATACATGTTTGTAAATGTAGATCGTTCAGGTTGGTATAGTCCTGAGAAGGACTGTTTTTGTTGTTGTTGACTGACGTTTCGACAACCTTAGCGGTAGTCATCTTCAGAGTCAAAAATTTAGTCATAATCATAGTTTGCCGCTAGTGTTTTTGAATCAATGCTTATCTTTCAATATTTTTCAAAATATATTGCATTCAGCTGTATATGTTACTATATTGATGTTTTAATTAAATTAATTTCGTCCGTTTTCGCAGATCAATGTTATCTATATATCCCTCTCATAGTTTTTCCACGCCCACATAGCAAAAGCAGAGCGAAAATTAGCAACGGAACATAAAAAGCGACGACATGTCAAAGCCTACACGAAGTATGTTTGCCCAGAACGCGTTGGAACAGATGAAATATTCATTTTCATGAAGAAAAAAATTCAATTACGTAAGAATTAGCATTATACACACTGCACGAACCCCAAATCAAGATTACTCCAATAACAATTAAGATCGTTTAACGGACCATCTTCAAAATGTCGTTTTTCAAGACACAAATCATGACATGCTGTCTTGCATCAGAAGAAAAAATTATTTCCTTTTCTTGTTCAACAGACGACACAACATAACAAACTTTATCGCACGAAATAACAGCGTAATTAGTCAGACGCCATGAGTAATATTTTTATAATTGAAACATAGATATTTACGAATTGATTATCTAACTCGTTATGGGACTCAAGCTGATTAAATAAGACAGGTGTCCCTCAAAACGGCCGCATAAGCACACAGTCCTTCTTCCTATCGTGTGTCTTCAATACGATATCATGAAAGGTTTTAACTTTTCTGCAGTATCTTATTCTAAAATGATAAATAACGCTTCAAACTCAAGCGTAGGAAGCTTTGGAACAAAGAAACGAACACGAACACGAACACGCTAGTCGTTTTCTTGATGGTCTTTTTCTGTTTATTGCAATAATTTCAATTATTTGCAATGCTTTCGTTGTCATACTGTTTGCCAATAATAAGAAATGGTTAGAGAAATCGTATGGTAGACTGGTACTTAGTTTGGCAACAGTTGACTTATTGAGTGCAATTTTTCTCTTCGCAACACCATTGGCTGTTCATCATCAATTCAAAATGATTCAACCAAGGAATGCAATAAAAAGGATTCTATACTGTAATCTACTATGGTCTCATTATATATTATTTTCCTTTGGTATCACCTCCATTTATACATGCCTAGTCCTCACCATAGAGCGCTGGATTGCCGTGTCAAGGCCACTGTATGCCCGCAAGTACAAATCGACGAGATGGCACAAGATAATGTGGCTGGCGTTGCCCTGGATTGTTGGTTTCTCCCTTGAAGCTAATATTGTCAATGAAATTCAAATAAAACATTATGATGACGGATATTTCTCCTGTCAATGGAGAACTCAAAAAGGGGGAACGATCTCAGCAGTTTTGGCAACCATATCCTTCCTTGGTGGAATGATTGCACCTTTATTTATTATTTCTGTGATGTATGTACATATTCTCATCACTTTAAGAAGAAAAAAGACAATGAACAGAGAGGTATACCTAATATAGAAATAAGTGTTGATGTTTTCGCAGACATGCACAAATAAAACTATTGAATATTCCCTGTTTATTGAATTCTAGGGTCCAATCCTACGTGAGAATACTCAACGACCAACAAATCCAGCCTTCTATAAAATCGCTCTGAATCGAACCATACGGATGGCCGCCTGCGCAACGTTTGCAGTGTTGATTTGCTGGTTACCAAGTCAAACCTACTCACTCATCGCTCAGATAGGTTACGCTCGCCAAGAATCAACTCTTCATCAGCTTCTCAATCTTCTCGCTTTCTTTAATTCGTGTTTAAATCCAGCTCTTTACGCTTTCACAAACCGAGCATTCCGAAAGAGATTTTACCATCTTTTCACAAGAATACCTTGTCAAGAAGATTCATCAAGCGAAAACATTTCCCTATAAATTAAATTAAATGTAGTCATTCATCACAGTTTCTACATTTGCATGTTTAAAAAGAATTCTTCAAAAGATATATTACAGTCAATAAAAAAAGTTAAATCCTCTCAATACCTTAAAAATCAATAACATCTTCATTGTACGAGTCTTACCAAAGAAATATATAAATTAGCAGTTATTGCCATTGATCAAGTCATAGGAAAGTAAAATATTTAAAGAATAAAGCTACAAGTTAAATTAATCAAATAAGCAGCAAATAATAATAATGTATAAATAAAAGATGGTTAAAGTAAATTTTAGACTCGTGTAGAGATGCAATTGTGAATGTTTAAGATAAACTTGGCGTTTCTTGTCAGAAAGCCTGTACCACAATGATTTACTGAGCTAATTCATGCACATCCATCCTTGTTTATTGGGCATTCGAGATACAATACATAGGATTGCAAAGTGAGGTTCACAATGTTTAACATTTAGTCAGTGGTGCGATCGTCCAATGATCTACGAACATTGGCATTTGCATTAACATGAAAATAGCAGTGATCAGCTGTCTTACATATCAATACCAAAAAGGAAGATAATGCAGCAATATCGGTAATTCTTCTGAAATTATATCATCTGACGCAAGAGTAGTTCTCTTTAATCAAAATATCCAATGCAACAAGAATTTTCCATTCAAAGGGATGAAGATTCCATCGATTCCTGTTTAAGTACCTATGGGGCAATTTTTCTACTGCCAAAGATTTCTTAAAACTATAGTGGTCTTTCATTTCTATACATGCTTTATAACTTCTTTACTTGTATCTAATCAAGTCTGCAATCTGTGTAGTGGTCTTTAATTTCTATACATGAATGTTACTTCATGTTTTATAACTTCTTCACTTGTATTTAATCAAGTCTGCAATCTGTGTAGTGGTCTTTAATTTCTATACATGAATGTTACTTCATGTTTTATAACTTCTTTACTTGTATTTAATCAAGTCTGCAATCTGTGTAGTGGTCTTTAATTTCTATACATGAATGTTACTTCATGTTTTATAACTTCTTTACTTGTATTTAATCAAGTCTGCAATCTGTGCAATGGTCTATAATTTCTATACATGAATGTTACTTCATGTTTTATAACTTCTTTACTTGTATTTAATCAAGTCTGCAATCTTTGTAGTGGTCTTTCATTTCTATACATGAATGTTACTTCATGTTTTATAACTTCTTTACTTGTATTTAATCAAGTCTGCAATCTTTGTAGTGGTCTTTAATTTCTATACATGAATGTTACTTCATGTTTTATAACTTCTTTACTTGTATCTAATCAAGTCTGCAATCTGTGTAGTGGTCTTTAATTTCTATACATGAATGTTACTTCATGTTTTATAACTTCTTCACTTGTATTTAATCAAGTCTGCAATCTGTGTAGTGGTCTTTAATTTCTATACATGAATGTTACTTCATGTTTTATAACTTCTTTACTTGTATTTAATCAAGTCTGCAATCTGTGTAGTGGTCTTTAATTTCTATACATGAATGTTACTTCATGTTTTATAACTTCTTTACTTGTATTTAATCAAGTCTGCAATCTGTGTAGTGGTCTTTAATTTCTATACATGAATGTTACTTCATGTTTTATAACTTTACTTGTATTTAATCAAGTCTGCAATCTGTGTAGTGGTCTTTAATTTCTATACATGAATGTTACTTCATGTTTTATAACTTCTTTACTTGTATCTAATCAAGTCTGCAATCTGTATAAAACATCTTGTAAATTTTGAGAGCTTTTCAATCTTAAATGAAACAATGCACTTTACTCAAAAATTTTCTATACATAAATTGGGCCGGCTTTACTTTTCGTACAATATTTTAAACGTGATGCGTTATCCAGTTCAATATACGTATCAGTGTCAACAATATTAGATAATCTGCATTTGTTGACATAACACAAAACAATGTAAGTGAAAATGTAAAATAAACAAAAACAGTATTGTATATAACATTATATTACGTATGTAATTTTTAGGTAATTAATATAATTTAATCTTATATGCAATGCAAGGGGAATTTGAAAATTCACTTATAATAAAGAGCTCAAACTGTAATTCTTCAAAATCAAATGTAAGCATGAATAACGATCACATTTTTCACCAAATGAGCAGAAAGCCACAAACCTCAACAATGTTATTCATCTGACTCCTCTTCTGCCTCTTCCAACCAAGTGATGAAACGAGAAACCTGCAACATTAATACTTCATGAAATGAAAATGAAACAAAGAATGACACACGATATTCAATAGACGTACTTGTTCACGGGCCTTTTTTCTAATTTGTTTGCTGACCGTGTCGTCAGACTGTACAGGGGAATTGAACCAAGTCAAAATGACGCTTTCATCAAATATTTCTTTGTCGTACATCAAATGTAAAAATGTTTGAAACGCTGGCAACATTGCCTCGTTTTGAGAGAAGAACTCCTGAAGAAAGAAGAAGTTAATACTTCATTACATAATAACAAGAGTAAAACTATCATAAATGGCTTTATTACCTCGGCAGCAAGAATTCCAATTTTTTGGTTTTCCATTTCCTTCATGTAGTGAACAAATAGCGGAGTAAGATGCAACGCGGCCTGGAAAATACCCAGATCCCTTTCATACGTACATATGACGTAATGTGAAGTAAACAAAGAACATAAGAACAACGAAGACATATGATGTAAACTTCAATGAACCTTTTTCATGTCTTTGAGAACATGTTGTTGATAAGATATCAGACCAGAGAAAAGTGATTCCAGGAATGTCTTTATAACAGCATGGTTCAATTCGTGAAAGGTCACGTTATAAGCATATCTAACAAAGTGTTTGGGAAGTGTTAATGAAATTTTGGAGGAGAGAAACGTAATTATCAGTGAAAGTTTCAAAAACTCACTTTGATGCGTTGATCTCTAAAATGAGATTATCTGGACTGACTTGATTGACGATGCCATTTCTCATTGTATCGAAAACCTCACTGTAAAACACTAAAAGAGGACAAAAAATTCAACGCAAACAACATAACAAACTGATGAATGTCGTTATGTTCACAAAAGAACTCATGTAAAGTTACAAAATTCTTACATTTCGCATCGTCGGGTGGAGGAGTGGATGCTGGCGAGCCTGGGAGAGATGACTCGTCACTAGTCTCGCTCGTCCCAGCACTGCTGCAGCCTGAAGAGAGAAGGTAGAGATAGAAAACTTTGGAAAGTTTAATGATTTTTCTCAGTAATTTTCATTATATACATAATTGCCCAACAAAAAATCTTTTATTTTCACTTCTAATTTTTTGCCGAAATGTCTTTATTTAAAGTTTTATGTTGGGCCAAAATTTTTATAGCGAAAAATCGGCTTTCCGCCAGGCAAATCTCTCGCAACGATTTTCAATGTCTTAGTAAAATAATGCAGTGAAAACTCACCCCATAAATCCTTCAGTTCAGGTTCGTCTTCATCCGATTCTGCGTCCATTTTCCACAAAAACCCTCGACCTTCACTGCCAATTATTGTGAAATCGTACGAGAAATCTGTTGATGCAAAAATAAATTGAAATTATTTTTTGCCACAAAATTTTATCCATGCCATCAAATTGACGGATACAAAGCTCATTTTAAACATTTCACGACAAAAGGTTCACTTCCATCTTCTAACCTTGTTTTTCTTTCAATGACAACTCAGACATTCCAAAATCATCTTTTCCATCGTTTGACATCAGAGTAATCTTTGTTCGAGCATTCAGGTGGATATCAGGTCCAACAACGACCTATGGCAAAGACGATGATGGTTGATGAATGGGGATATCATGCATTATGAGGTTGAGGATAGTTGATGAATGGGGATATCATGCAGTATGAGGTTGAGGATAGTTGATGAACGAGGATGATAGGAAAAACAACTGACGTATCTGAGACGCTTACGTTGAATGACAGTATACAACCTTTCTCAATAACAACATTTCTAAATAAATAAATAACAAGCAGGTGATATTTAAAGCGTCACTAACTAAAGACGTTAAATTTATATCCTACCAAAAAAAAAATGCAAGACAAAAACAGATAACAAACGCAAGTAGCGCAGAGCTCAAAGTAACGGCCATTAAACGGACAATGAACTGTGAAAAATGCGTATTGATGGGCCATGGAAATGCCATATTTTCACATTTTTCACAGCTGTATTAGTCGATTTTCCTTTCAATGTTCTTTTGCAATATTGAACTTCAATTATGTTTGTTCATGTGATCATCTGTTGGTGAGCTTGCATTGAAGGCTTTCATTCCGTTTTCATAAAGTGTGTTGGCAAAATTTTGCGAGATGAGGATTTGTACATAAGCATTAAAGTGAGACTAATGTGTGGTGATGTCATAACTCATAAAAACTTAGAATTTCGAACATTTAGAACATTTAGAATATTTTGCATTTAGAATTTCGAACATTTAGAATTTAGAAAACTTAGAACATTTTGCGAGATGAGGATTTGCACATAAGCGCTAAAGTGAGACTAATGTGTGGTGATGTCATAACTCATAAAAACTTAGAATTTAGAACATAAGAATGAGTAGTTTATTTTTTCACGTTATTGGTATAAATTAAGTGTTAGTGACTCGTCAAACACCGACTTAGACTGATGTAAAATGAAGATGATCGGTCATCTTATCCTAACTCACATTTTTGCGTTATTTTGAGCCTTTCGTCAAAAAAGTACGTACTTACTGTTTTACTGTAACATTATCACAAATTATGCAGCATGAAATTTGACAGCTTTCGTTGATTTTGACATTGTTCCAGATATAAGAATCTTCAATAACAACATTATCACCTAATTATTAATCAAAATGAAAATCATACATTACAAAATAAACCTGATTCATTTATTATGATATTTGAACTAACCTATAACACAATTTGAACCAATCACAGATCTCCTTACTACACTTCCTTTGCCAACACTAGAGCCAGGCCCCACAACAACATCTTGCTCAAGTACACAATCTCTGAAAACACAAGACAAGGAATGGTGATGAGAACGAAATTAAAAAACTAAATAAACAGTTAAAATCATTATATTGTATATGCAAACCATTGCTTAGGTTAGAATTTTATATTTTAAATTCAACTGAACATATTTGAACCTGCAGTATCAATATTCACCTTGCCAATACAACATCAAGGCCAATGTAAACATTATGTCTGCTATATGTGTAGCGATTCTTTGATTGAAGAACTTTTTTATCTGGAACAACTGGATAAACCCAGCGACGAATAACATCCTTACTAGATGATCACATGACATTTTAGATGTGCCGTCAAAATGACAAAATAATAAAACAAATTTGGGTGTAAAATCAAACCTTATTGAGTCATACATTTCAATGTTTGACACTCTAGCCCCATATTCTTCATCAACAAGAAAACAATGAATTTTATTTCCCATAACCTAAAATTTTAATTTCATCTTTATTTTTAAAAGTGCTGTTCCATCCTTACTTTATCAATATAACAATTGACAGTAAATTAAACTATTTTAAAATACAAACATAAAAATGCATACTACAATATATTCTTAATAAAGTAAATGGTTTGAGCCAGGATTATCATTACATGTTTGTCAATGCAGATTGTCCAGGTTCGAGGAGTTCTAAGAAGGACTGTTCTTGTTGATGTTGACTGACGTTTCGACAACCTTAGCGGTAGTCATCTTCAGGTTCAACCTAGGACAATCTAGGATAACCTAGGATAACCTAGGACAACCTAGTGGTAGTCATCTAAGGTTGCCAAAATGTTAGTCAACATCAACAACAGTCCTTCTAAGGAGTCTACTAACCTAGACTATCTACATACATTCACTAACATGTAACAATATATTCTTATTATTTAAGAACTTCAGCTGATTTTGCAAGATTCCAGTACTGGTGAAAAGCTTTTTTACAAAGTGAAAAATGTTTAGTTACCATACCTCTTCGTTAATAATAATTCCACGAACAAAATCATCTTTGGTTTGATAATCAAAGTTATCTGTAAACAGTTGAAGAACCTAAAAAATATAGACATTTTCTTTTTTATTTATGACAAAATCAACATGTAACCATGATAAATAAGTAGTAAGGGCCAAACCTCAGTAGAACAAATACTTATTTCACAATCTAGGAGATTATATCTAAGCTCCACATCCATATTGTCAGTAAACAATTCCTACAACATTATAAATGTACTTTTAGTGGTGTCATGAAATGGACTACAATGAAAGAAATGCCCATTTTTTGTTTCCCAGAATCTTGTGCACATAAAATCAAAAAAGTATGTAAATTCCTCACCAATGGAAGGGAAAATTTTTTCTTTCCATATGATTTTTCCCAGTGGAGAATTCTATTTGAAGATGGTTCGGTAGCAAGGAACAAATCATTCTCAATTGATCTGCTCGGTAATAACAAAATTTCTCATTAAAACAAGCACTAAATATATCTTACAATGTTGTGAAAAATTACCTGGTTTTATGACCAGGAGCAGCACATTTGTAAACCATTGTCATTACAGATGTCTTGCTTTTAAGCCGCCTTTCTCTAATATTAAAATAAATTATATGATAAAGAAGAGAAGATCATTTTTCAAAATGTTTTCACACTACTCACTTATGTTCCTTCAAGATTTTATCCAATTTAATATTAGAGACAAGATCACCATGAACCAAAACAAAGTCCGTTTTTATAAATGCCTAAAATTTAAGGAAAGTAGTTGTGATTACAAACTTAAACAAAAGAACAATGTTCAAACACATTATATCCTGCAATGTACCTGTCTATCAATTTCCCTTAGGGCATCCCCAACAGACATACAACCCTCTGATAAAACAGTCTGAAATTTAGCTGTTGCATTGTTTTTCCACTTTGAATCGCTATAAATAAACAAATTTGTGATTTAGCATCCCCACACTAGACTTTCTTTCCCCCCTTTGAACATACTTTAAATAATTTACAATTTGATCCACGTGACTAGAGCAGAATACATATATTTCTTTTACACCAGAATTCAATAAAAAATCTACAGTGTAATCTAGTAGTGTGCAATTCACAAGTGGAAGCAATACCTGAAAGAAAAGATAAATACACATAAAAGTAAAGTCTGTTTTGAAAGTGTTGGCTCGCAAACCACAGTTATATTAATCTTAATCAAATACTAACCCTGGGTCTTTCCAATGTTATAGGAGAAAATCTCCAGTTAAAACTGTCTGCAAGTATAACCGCTTGTAGCACATCATTTGGCTTTTCACAAGAAGCATTTTGATTACCAGACTTCGCATCTTTCTTTTTATTTGGCATTTTGTCTTTAAATGTTGTCCATCTTCTAATTTTGAACCACTAGTTCTCACTACGAGATTTTATTTCAATTTCATCTCCGGGTATCGTATGCCCTACCGGACTTTCCTACCGCAGGTTTTCATCAATGAAGACAAATCGTAGGTAGCATTGTGATAGTGGATCAATACCAATATATCATTATACATAATACATCTTCGTGGATCTACTGAATCTCTGAAAAAATTGCCAAAAGGAAAACCAAATGAATGAAAACACACTCTTGTGACCGCGCCGATAGTTGATTAATAATTTATCTTAAAATTAGTTCAATTGTAATGGATGTTTTTCCATCAGAAGTTTACCCTTCGATTGACGCTATCGATCATTCTCCCGGTAAAATGAAGAATGTAGCTTTAAATTAATAGCTTCTTTAGTGCCAATGATTATAAATGTTGATATCTTAATAGTTTTATAAACTTTACAAACTGTATCAATACCAATAACCATTGAAGTGTAAATGTATCTTTTTCTTTAGATGGGAAACTCGCAATTGGCTCATCAAAGTTGACTGGCCGTTACTGGAATGGTTCGCTATGGTTGTTTAAAACTCCTGATCTTGCTCCAGATAGCATCTATGCTCCTGATAATAAGCATTTCAGTTGTTGTGCCTCAACAAATGCAGGTTGTACTGATTTAATGTGGTTGGATGAAAAGAGATTGGCATTTGCTTCTGATAACGGTATTATTGAACTATGGTGTATGGGCGAGAATTTCAATGAAGTAGATATTTTGGCCAACTTAAATGGTCATGATGATATTGTCCACAGTATATCGGTGAATTGTGACAAAGTAAAAATTGTCAGTGGAAGTTTGGACATGAGGTGCCAAAAATTTACAGCATTTCTTATTTCCCCAAAACTAATTTTCTGCATTCTTACAGCATTAGAATTTGGGATCTTGAAAAAGAAGCTTGTACTGATACATTTTTGGGTAGATTATATTTTTCCTGATGTTTTTCATGTGTGTTTTGGTTTTGTCCTACAATTGTTTTGTTTTAGCTCATTCTGAAGCCGTATACGGAGTTAGTTTTAAAGAAGAAGAGAAAGAAGTGTTTGCATCAGCCTCAGAGGTAATGGTTGGTTGCACGAGCAAAGGAAACTGTAGATTTTCTGAATGGGACTTTCATATTTAGGATGGCAGCATTATTTTATGGGATTTGAGGAATGATAAACCAGCAAAGCAACTCTTAAGTATGTTGTCAAGATGAAGTTTGCCTAACATTTATAAAAACCACATAATCATTTGTTCTGTGGATTTATTTAGATTGTCACCATTATTCAGCTGCACCTTTATGTTTGTGTTGGGACAGAAATGGAAAATTTCTTGCCATAGGTAATCTGAACATTCTTTCTTTAACAAATTAAATCAATATTTGAATATCAAGCATTTGTATTTAAGGTTATAAAGACGGTACTGCTTCATGTTATGATGCCAGAAACACAGAAGAACCTTTTGTCAAACAGAAGCCTCATAGTCGAGATGTAAATGCCATTGCATTTTGTCCCAGCAGGTGTTTGAAAATCAACAAAAATATTTCTTGATTTGCCACATTTCATAAACAGTCTTTTTGGGTTGTAGACCCTCATGGCTTGCCTCAGTATCAAATGATTGTGTTGTCAATGTCTTTGATCTACACTCTACACAGTTGTGGTATGTTCAAATCATTTATCTTTTACATTTTGTTGGAACTTCATGGTCTATGATAATTTTTGTAGTTATCAGAACAATGATCATAAAGATTTTGTTCGTGATTTATCATGGAGTCCGATTGACAACAGTCTTAGAACATGCGGTTGGGATACACAGATTATTCGTCATACTACGGCAATGATTGAGGAAGGAATGAACACAAAATCCAGTAAAACAGTTGCCTTAGAGACCAGTGTTATAACTCGCGTAGGATGTAATGGAATCATAGCTAATTCAAATGATTAATTTAATGAGGAAGACCATGAAGGGTATTGACATACACTAGCATTACATCAACCAATCTTGTGAGAGATTTGTTGAAAATAGGTTATTGTTGATTTTGGTAAAATATTTACTAAATATCTTAAATGTGATAACACTTGGCTGCTGTTCAAATGAAAACATTGAAATAATCAAAAACCATTTTCATCATGAACATGACAGCCAAATGTAAGACTTTAATAGAGTCATTATCACAACAAATGAAAACGACACAGATGATGATGAGGAGACCATGTGACTATAAAACCATTACAACTTTCATTTGTTGTCATATATTACTTGATTAAAAGTCATATTCACTATGAAAAATTCTCTTTCAGCCTGGAAAATCTCAGGCCATGATTTTGAAAAACTATTTTCTTCATGTTTACATCTATAGTAGTTATAAAATATCCTATAGTTCCTTAAAATGCATCCACATTCAAACTGATTTTGTCAATTTTCAAAATACTTAAAGCTTGGCGATGACCTTGCGTTCGTTTATAGCCTTTTCTCTTTTTTTTTTTAAAAACAATAATTTTCCTGTCTTTGATGTGCTCAACAATTGTTGCCTGTACCTCAGATGAACCATTTCTAAAAGGGAAAAGATGTGATTTGTTCTTTTGACTTGAATTAATTCACACCACAGTGAAAAAATAGAGTTGAAATTACTCACTGCACAAGAGGACACCCAACAATTGTAAAATTTTCACTTCCAAGCACAAGCACCTAACAAGAATATTCTAAACATCAGACATCTTTGCTATATGTTGTACTTGCATAAAAACAAATATAACATTGCTGTAAATAATGCTCCACCTTTTCAATCTTAATCCTTGTTCCAATTTCCACAGGAAGTTTATTCACCATTATTGTGTCATTTAGTGAAACTTTGAACTGACTGCCACCTTAAAATAGAATTTCATTATGTTTTTCAAGAAGACACTTAATGAAGAAACATTTTCAGTTACATATAAATTCCATACCAATATGTACAATGGCAAAAATATTTCCACTCCTTTGTGCTGACTTTGCTTCTTCTTTAACTTTGATAAGCACATCATTCTCTATGTAAAAAAATGTATGTATAAAAATAATACAACAAAACAAAAAATTTCAAACAAACTCTTTTAAGGTTCAGCTCAACTTCTCAACAACCTTTTTTTCGAAATTGATCATCATCATCTTCTGCACATTGCTCAAGTAAGGAAATATCCTGTTGTGTATTCTCTTGGTTCGTTGACACATCGCACAATGCCGTGTCAATGTTCACGGCAAGATTCTGAAGTCTTTTAATGTGACCAACAAATGCAGGAGAGCTGAAAGAAACAAATATTTGTCATTGGTAAACTACAAATATATATCTCTAAAGAAACGAGAAATGAATCAACAACGCACCCTCGTTTAGAAAGAGTCTGAAGTAGGTTAGGAACAGTAGGATTGCCATTGAAACTAGATATGCTTGCTCTCTGAAGCAATCTCAACGAATCTGTGAAATTGAATAACTATCTATTTGAATCCTGAAAGACTACCACACTATAGAAAAACTTGAATACGGTCATATTAAAAATATTTTCTCTTTTCATACATCTGATATTATTTTCCACAGATACCCTTCGTAGCATAACATGATGTAAGGACTTTTTTCCAACGTGGAACACGCTTCTCGTCGCTCGGGCCGCCATATTGGATTTGGGCACACAGCTCACCCAAAACCACGAGGAATAAACGATCGACAATAAACGCTGATAAAAGGGGAGGAGGGATAAGATTGAACAAGAGTTAATACAACAAAACATTTTGGAAAGAACCAATTCTTTGTACATAAAAGTACATCTGTACAGGCAAACTCTAATAGTTTAGCTGACCTATTTATATATTTTATTTATTTCTTAAGCACAACTGTTAAGATATGTAGTCATCAATTACACATATATTCCAACCCACAGAAGGAGAAACAGTATTCCAAATCCTAAGAAGAGCGATGCAACCAAAGCGACCAACAATTCTTTGTAAATATCTCGAGTGAATTTACTTGAAGTTACTTCATATCTAATCCAAAGTCAAAGAAATCATTTCACAGAGACTGAAAAATTTGATTTTTTAGAAATTGTTTATCATTTAAAAGGATACACAAAGAACCAAGCTGTAAAAAATAATCCTATGGACATCAGGACCAGAGTTAAATGAGGGAATACTGCAGGATTGACAGGACTGACATATCTGCTCATTTGAATCTCCTGTAGTAAAAACAAATTTGAGAAAGCAAAGGGTGTAAACATTTATGAATTCATCATTTTACGATAAATAACTCGTGGTAGATTTTAAAAAGGCATCGATCAACAATTGAACTACTGAAAAAGCTATTGCACTGACCATTCATATTTTTAGAAAATTTGATGCTAAAAACTGGAAATTATATAGACTGTAGACGAAGTTCAGTTATCAAATATAAATGAATTTTATACAATAACATTGCTTTATTCCATTTTTTACATTAAATTGCAAAGAGAAAGCGCGATGAACAAGAAATGGAGGGATTTTTCATACCATTGTCAACGCTTGTGTAGAAGATCAAAATACAGACAAAGAGAATGAATTTAAGCTGTTCAAAAAATATGATGGCTCATTCAGTAATTTGCAGGGGGGAGTGATGGGAATGGAGATAGCAAATTCCTTATTTTTTAAATTTAAGATATTTGCCTAAAAATGCTTTTATAACGCTGTAGAAGATTTTCTTTTATCAAAATAATTTTGAATTTTTTTAAGCTTCGTGTCGACATATAATATTTCAAAAAAGAACAAGAAGAAACGTAAAAATTATAGCTGCATAAAGAAGCCTCTGTTGCTCTTTGTTCAACCCTCCCCCCCTTATATGTAATTCGCTACAAAGAAGCTCTGAATAAAGAAATACAATATGAAAACAATAACAATGGCAACTAGAACAAATTACAGAGCAAGTATTTATATGTATTATAAAGTTTAAATATATTTTTTATGGCAAATCATCTAACAGATTCGGAAAAGGATTTACCTGTCGTCGAAGAGTCCAATGAAATCTGGCGAAATCTTGACTCTATTGTTCAAAATATGTCTATAGTCCACGAAATGGCAGTAGATCCAAACTTCAAGCTGCAGCAGGTGTCACCAGAATCGTGAGTAGCAGCAATTTTTATTTGCCTCCTGAAATCAATCATTTATCAGGATATGTGGATTGTCTGTCATAGAATTGTTGGTCATGTAAAGAAAATTGTACATCAAGCATTTTGGGATGTTCTTCAAGAGGAAATCAACGCAAATCCACCAAACTATGGACAAGCTATAAGGCTTATAGCTGAAATCAAAGAAGTAGTTACTAGATGCAGAACTGTCTTAGTTATTGTATCCTATCACCTGATCTTTAATAAAGCATTGTTTTTCTTTAATTTCCTCTAGGCTCTTCTATCTTTGACATTTGACCATAATGTCAATTTAAGGGCAACAATAGAGTCCATTCTTGATGTAGAGTTGATTCAGCAACAAAGTGAACAACAATGTGTTGATATTGCTGGATACACAAGATTTATTATCGAGACAATGACAAAAATATGTGTTCCAGCCAGAGACAAAGATGTGGAAAATTTGAGCAATGTTGAAGGAGGCTTAGTACCATTGTTTCGGTTAGATTATTTTAATGGATTATTTACCTTAATGGATTCATTTACCTTGCCATAAAATGAATCATATTTAACGCTTTCTGCAAATGTATAAAATTTGTTTTCTGTTTTTAGAGAAATATTTTGTGTGTTGGATCTAATGAAACTTGACATGGCTAACTATAAACTGTCTTTATTGCGTCCAAGACTTATGCAACAAGCTATAGAATATGAACGACAAAAGTTTAAAGAATTATTACATGTCAATCCTAATGGACTGCAGTTAACAAAGCTTTGGATAAAAAGTGGGATAGCACATGACAGATCTCTATATAGTTCTACTAATGTATATAAACAGGGTCACTCGGGTGATGGTTGTAGTAGTCAAGAGACATTTGTTTTGTGCAATGGTGCAAATAAAACATCAAGATTGGTGGACATATGTAGGCATTGTTATGCCTTATTGATGCTGGAGAAAGAAAACATTTCTTTCCCCGAGGTATGATAAATTTGAAGCTTGTGTATTTTCCTTTCATTTCCCTACACATCTACCTTGCTGGTTTATGCTTTTTCTTGCAGACACTACTTATGGATAGAGAGCGTATAATGAAGTTAAGGCTGACATGTGAATATTTAATCTCATTGTCTTCAATAATGTCCATAACTCTAAATATCATTACTGGTACACATTTGACTACAGATGTTGAATATATAACTGTGTCAAAAACTCTACAGCTCTCTTGTTACAAGCAAGGTGATGAAATTATTGCAGTAAAAATATAGTTAGCATGATCTATGTAATTCTGAATCATCAATATGTATTTTTTGCAATCTAGTGATGATGCTGACAAATATGTAAACATTAGTCTTCAAATTATCAAAGAAACTAATTCATTTCTCACAAAACGAGGCTTGCATTGCCTTAATGAAGATAAAGAAGGGTCAGTAAAATTACAACTTTCAAGTCTGGGAAATTCTACTAACACAATCACAGAAATTGTCAGTAAGTGGAATAAAGGATTTATTTATGTATGCAAATGCATTCACTTTATTTACTTCTATTTATATAGGAACAAGAATGTACAGTTATTTTATGGATACTTTACTTTGTGAGCCATCAAATTGTTTTGCAAAAGTTCCTGCAATTTTCAAAATTGTAGAAAATGAACTTATTGACTTTACAAAGAAATTTTTAGCTTTGACTTCTCATAACTACAAAGTTTTTCATACTTTTTATGGTGAAATTGTGCAGAACAGTGAAAATGTACAATAAGTGTCAAATGACTTGTTACATAAATTGAAAGTTCTTTCCTAATAGTTGTAAATGTTATGATTCCATTCAATTTTTGTAAGAATATGCTTGAGGTTTGAAATATTACTTTAGCACAGTGTGCGAATTAACGGTGTGCAATGTGCGATTTGCACATCATTTTAGCTAAAATGAAAACAATTGCACATCACTTTTTCAAACGATGTGCAAAAATCAGCGGTTTTAACGAAAAACACTGTCATAAATCATATGAATTTGTTCACGTTTTGTCAAAAAAATTGCACATCATTTTTTCTGAACTAATTCACACACTGCTTTAGCACACATAAAATTGAAGATCATTCAAAAAAAATATCACAAGCTTTAACAGTTTATTTACTTTGTTACGCTATTAATCCTCACAATATAAGTGCCATTTTTGTATTCAACTGCTTTCATAAGGTCAAAATATTCTGCGACAAAGTTGCTGCATTGATCAAACTGTCATTTTTTTCTTGTTACATAAATATTTTACAATAGCACTTATACAACTACAAAGACATTGCTTTGGAAAAGTCACTATTTATCACTCAAATCCACATATTTCTAATTGGGAAAAGATTGAGCTAAATCAACTATCAAATTTTTGGGAACCCTTTTTTTTGTTGGATAGGTGTCTTTTCTCATGAGGTGATTCAGATTTCACAATGGCTTCCGGTGAAATCATGGAAAAAAATAAATTCATGAACTGACCTGTCCTCACACTGGTTTCACTATAAGAGTTGTCCACATCAAAAAAAGTAAAGATGACACCGTTAGCATCCACTGATGAAGAAGCATTGATAGCATAACATGTTCGTGGGCCTTGAAGCAATGCTGCCAAAGTATACCTTGTTCCATTTTCACCTCTACTGGATCACTGAAAAATACATCAAAGACATACAAACCTTTCTCTTGATAATTCATGACTTTAGAATAGAAATCTCCTTCCTTTGAACCAACTATTTCATTATTATTATCACTGATGTCAAGCTTAACTTTATATTTCTCTCCCGTGTGCTCACCAAACAAACGAACGCCATGGATCATGATTCGTTTATTAACTGTGAATGCAATTCTGTCTGGAAGTCCTGAGTTGTCACGATCTTTGACCAAAGGAAGATAATATTTTGCCTTGGAATCAGAATAGCGATTACATGTAAGAATTTCCCATCGTTTTTTTCTTGGCTTTTTGGAAAATCTCTGTTCCTTCATGAGATTCTTAAACATGAGGAAAACGTGAACAGTTGTTTCATGAGGGAGTAGATTAGTTTGCACTACATCACGAGCAAATCGATCTTCACCTATGGCTAGATAGCGAATGAGATCTAGAGCATCTCCAAGAACTTTTCGCTTTTCCTCTGAATTGACCGGTACACCAAGTTGAACACATTGGTACTCTGCCCAACGAGAGCATGCTTTGAAAAGTGTTATCTCCTGAACATCAAGGGTATCTCGACTGAGGAGATCCTTGAGGATTGTTAGGGATATACGAAGAAATCCATCACTAGTTAATGCTTCAGTGCATTGGATTTCAACAATATTCCAGCACTTGTTTACTAATTGTGTCTCCTCAAATTGCATGGCTAAACACAGAATACTGAAGACATTTTGTGCAGTTAAATTCTTGATTAAATAATTGATGCAGTGGTTGATTAGTGAAGGCACAAGATACTTTTTAGCAAGATAAAACACCGTCGATACACTTTCCATATTCAATTCACATTTATCTGTGTATAAATAACTGAGGAACTGTACAAAACTATCTTTATCAGCATCGGGAATATCTATGACATTAGTCTTTTCGGCTATTTCTCCGTAGAACATGGCAAAGAAAACAGGTGAACTGATGGCAAGAACGTACTTATGAGCAGGAATTTCTTCGCTACGAGTTCTACCAGCATTAGCATCTTGCCCATCATTTTCTTCAACTATCACAAAACTAATATCACTCAACAATGAGTTTCGAAGCATTTGTCCATTTCTTTCAAGAAGAGTGTTACACTTGAGTTGCCATCCAGATGGGTCTTCTTTAATGGCACTCATTTCGGCGAAAAATATGAAGAAACTCAAACTACACAAAAATGCTCAATGAAATGACATCGAATGCGAGCAAACTACGGTGGCACTTACGAGAAACGAAACTCCTTTAAAGTTTATGGTAACGCCGACAATTGCCGGAAGTGACGTCACTCGTAGACAATCTGCCACTTTTATGATTATATTGAAGAGAAGATAACAAACGCTTACTTTGTTGACTCTTTTGACTTGAAAATCTAATTTTACAATATAATTTGACTGCGATTTTTGGGAGTATACTCGGCTACCTTACGGCTTCGACTCGTACGTTTTAATTTAGCTTTGATATTTTAGCAATTCGTCTAAAGCATTCCCTGCACACATTATATAGTACTTGGATTTATACAATGTATAATCACTTATGCTGAATCCTTTATTGTAGGTATGTGATTTAAAGGGTGTAATTTACACATATACAACTATGGTTAAATTAAAGTGTTATGTTGAAAAATACAAAACGATATTTCTTGTCTTCAATAATGGGATGATAATGGATAAATACAGTTTCTAACTACTGCTTTCTTAAGTCCATATATAGAGGACAGTGTATTTATTTCCAGAGTGAAAACCTTCAATAATTTAGTTTCATACCTATTTTTGATTAGTCATGTTTGTATATATTTACTAAGTTTGGCGGGCATCTGTAAGTATTTCAACAAAAACATTTCCTAAGGATTTTGAGTTACAATTGTTTTTGCACAAGAAACTAAAAAGCATGGTTTAAATTTTTATTATTTCTGAGAAATCATGTATCTTATTTGTACAGTAGACACAAAAAATATCAACTCTAGAGCAGATATTTATAGCTTCTAATTAATCAAACAGCTAATGAAATAATTCTTCCAACAGTGTATTATGGATTTCACTACAAACAAAAAATACAACATTGGAATGTGGTATGATATTTAGATGTGAAGATATGACTTAAACATCCCCACTAGACAATGTTGAACGCCCATGAACTTTCTCAACAAATGGATGAAAACTCTTCAACTGTTCATTGTATCACTGATAGGTGCTAGGAACTTCAAATAAAGGACCACAAGTATGTGCACCAGGCTGACAGGCTTAACCATTTAAGTCGGTGAATGTGATTTTCAACTTCATTTCTGGCAGAACCACACTGACTCCAGTAGCGAACTAAAGAAACGCAATGACGTTACTTCCAAGAGATTTGATGAATTTGGTCAAGTCATCTAACATTACGTGCTCGTTGTCAATTTAGTGACTTTATTTTGTGTAGGCTTTTTTCATCACAAAACAAGAGAGTGTTTGAGATATTCTGGAATTCTGTACCTTTGATCTTCAACAATTGTAGTATCTGATTCCAGCAGTTGAAATTAATTTGAAGTATCAGATTCAAGGGTTAGGAAACTACTACTTGGTCATACAAAACTAAAGAAAATTTTCAAATTTGAAAAAAGTTTCACGTAATTAATAATAACTATGTTGATTAAATCTACTTCATTCAGTAGCTATATACTTGCAGGCTACCAACATGTACGCATTGCGTACCTACTTTTTAAAATCATCTTGATTAAAGCATTTTACAGTGAAATCTTTCATATTACGAGGCCTACCCTAAGAGCAGTTGGTTATTTCATGTAACTCGTATTCGGTACTTTGTCAGTAAAAAGGCAAAATTTACCTTTCTTTCTACAACGTTAAATTGATTAATTTTCCGTTATCAACATTTCTTTAATTGACGTCATGACTAAAATATTTTATTGTGATTGGCTCCTTAGGAGCATGTCACCTTTCACAAAGACAATAAGTAATCCTTCAATGCGTTAAATAAATAAAAATAATTAGAATCTTCAGATTTTCAGATCTTTATTCCATATAATGATGCATGATATTGTAGGTTAAGATTCACGAGACCATATTGAATTTAGAAACTGGACTTTAATTTTATCCAAATTTCCATTGCTCTTGCAGTCATATCTTGCTAGGTTAAGGTTAGGAGAGGGTTTAAGGGCGTTCTGGTTGACGTCGCCAACATCTTAATGCCCAAAATAAATAATATTTGCGTTATTTAATAGACTGAATAAATTTAGTTAATAATTTGAGTAATGTCACAGAGAAATGGTCAATCGCATTTGCATTTTACGTATATTAATGAAGGGAGAGCATAGTTCTTTTGTTTGGCAACAATACATTTTTTTAAAAATTAGATTTGATAAATATCCTGTCAATTGTTCAAGTACGAACAACGAATGTCAAACAATCATGTGGAACAAATACACATAATGATATGCTTAAGACCATGTATAAAGATACCATTCACTTCAAGTTTTGCCACATTAAACCACGAGGCGTTATGGAAGGCAGATGTTGTTCATATGACATGAAAAGACTATACACATACAACCCACAGCTGGAAACTACAAATGTAAGTGTCTACACTGACGATAAATGATTATTTGCTTTTTGATTTATCTCTAGTGAGATTTTTGTAAAAGTCCCAAGGGTTTTTATTGATGCTACTGATTTTTGGTTTGTTTCTTTAATATCACATTAGTCATTACTGAATATATGCAATGAATATAAATACACTAAATTTGCCATCTGTCTCCAACGTACTATATGTGGTTGAGTACATAGAGGTACAGTTTTCACAGATTGTGGGATAGGCCTTCAAAGAACGAGTGCCGTAATTGTCTTTTGCTCGAATTTCTACGACTCCCCACAATAATTTAAATAGTCGAGAAACATCAGGACAACCAAAACGCCCTTAAACCCTCTCCTAACCTTAACCTAGCAAGATATGACTGCAAGATTGAATGAATATTTGGACAAAATTAAAGTCTAGTTTCTAATTTCATAATAGTTTCATGAATTTCAACCTTACAACATCATGTATCGTTACTTTGCATAACGACATTTAAACGCAAAAAAATCTGAAGATTCTAATGAATTTTTTTTATTTAAACGCATTGAAGGATTACTTACTGTCTTTGTGAAAGATGACATGCTCCTAAGGAGCCAATCACAACAAAAAATTTTCGTCATGACATCAATTAAAGAAATGTTAACAATGGAAAATTAGTCACGTATTTAGGAAGGTAAATTTTGTCTTGTTACTAACAAAGTACTGAAGTATGGTTACATGGAATAATCATCTACTCTTAGGGTAGGTCTCGTAATATGAAAGCTTTCACTGTAAAATGCTTTGATCATGATGTTAAGCCTTTAATCGTTTAAAACTTGTTGCATCGTTCTAACTCAACTTTCTAAACCTATTCGATGTAGTTGAATGTTATACCATTTGGATAGTCGAAGAGGAAACATTGTAATTTGCTGATTAAGAATTTAAAAATGCAAACTAACATCATATGCAGAGTTATCATGAAATCTTATATTTTCGCTCCAACGTGTGTTTCATATTTTCTTATATTGTAGATCCCACATGGAGTGAGTTGTGAAAATCCCTTTACCACCTGTGCCATTCACTTCAATTACTCTTACTAGTTTGTCATTGCTCACGTGTCATGGTGATTCATGGCCAAGAATGTTCATTTGCATTTTTGATTCTTTATGGATGTCAGTTGTTTGTTCATATAATGATGATGGGCCCCATTGTTATATGAGCCCACCTGAAGGTGGTCTGCTGATACTCACAAAAGATCAACTCTGCACAGAGCATTCTTTGAGTGATGATATAACTGGGGTATTGAAGTGGTCCCTCTTCCTTCGTTAGAAGTTACCCGAAGAATGCATTCCAAATTACAATTTACCGAAATGGAATACATAATATCAGTGGCTACTTAATTGGTTGATGACGCCGACTTCATGTATGGAATGGTATAAACATGTTGAATGGACATCGCATAACGGCAGATGAACGTATGAACATTTACATTGAAATGATTGGACCATAGAAACAGAATATATTCTACGAAGATGGAAAACAAGCGAGTGGAAAAACACGATCCATGTCTTGTGGTTTGTAAGTTGAGTAGATAAGTGTTGTATGAGTAACTGCATGAGATAGTTAAAAAGGATCCTGATGGTCTATTTTATAATTTGAACCTTAATCATGAAAAACACCCAAATGAAAAAAATGTCAAGAAAAGTTATCACTTGCTGTGAGAAAATAGCTGGCTTTCACTCGCTACTTTTTACTTACTTTATTTAACGTTTATAAAGAAAATTGCAATGCTGCAAGTAAAGTTCATTTAATTTCTAAGATAAAAAAAGTTACAATCAATATTTACAATATACACTTAAAAACTGCGCGATAAAAAAAAAGGGAAGAGACATACTAAGTCACCTGGATCAGACTGAACAAGACAACGCTTGGAAATCAGGTATTAAAGTTTTGCTCTTTTCGATATATTTAATTTCTGTTTTTGTTCATTAATTATACTGACGTTTATAACGTGTTTTTTATAGAGTAGCTATGTCTGTGGGCCTATTAACTTGACAATGAATGAACGACCAACAGAAGCACCAAGAAACAAGCGTCTTTATTGAAAGATTCGCACATGTGATTTTGTCATGCATAATGTTTATTAGCATAACGCATTTTCAAATTCCACCGTTAAAAATTTCCGTAAAACTAAATTTTCACAAATGTAAAATTTTCTGACAAAACACACGAGTGAAAGCCAGCTATTAATGAAAGTCTTAATGAAGCAACATAGAAATTTTGAATCGAATGAAGTCTAGTAGACATCAAAAGTGATTTTTATGCAAGTCATGACGTCACTTTGGTCATTTCATTTTTCATTGTTATTGGAAAGTGAATGGTCAAGACGTACGAACTGGATAATTTTTTCATATGATTTATATATGGCTGCTATTAGTTTTCATTTCGTCTATATTTTAAATTTTGTTAGCACTCTGCCCTCTTTGATTTTTGTTCTCTCTCAAAGTTTGCGTTTAGTTTTGTTTCAATATGAAATATTTGCTGTGTCAATAGGATATTGACAGTTAGCCTGCTTTTTTTCGCTCTGTAAATTTAAATTTCTATACGACTGTAACGCATGATTTGACTACGCTGCATGTTAAAGTAGATCATCGGGATCATTGAAAACAACAAAAATATGAAACATTTTAAAACTACAAAAATTGAGGAAATTTTTCTAATTTTTATCTTTTCTTTTATTGGAGGGTTTTTTACCGGATCCACCGGTTTTCCCTCCCATTTCGTTTTGTTTTGGTAAAAAAACAGTGTCCACATTTGGGGCCAAGCGATGTCATTTGTCATAACATTATTTATTGTAGTTATGAATATTCACGTTTTTCCCATTTCCTGGCCTTTGGGTGTATCTCCCAAAACACTGTGGTTATATAAAGCATACATCTTAAAAAGTAGGTACGCAATGCCTACATGTTCGTAGCCTGCAACTATATAGCTACTGAATGAAGTAGATTTAATAAACATAGTTATTATTAATTACGTGAAACTTTTTTCAAATTTGAAAATTTTCTTTAGTGTTATATGACCAAGTAGTAGTTTCCTAACCCTTGAATCTGATACTACAAATTAATTTCAACTGCTGGAATCAGATACTACAATTGTTGAAGGCACAGAATTCCAGAATATCTCAAACACTCTTTTATTTTGTGATGAAAAAAACCTACACAGAATAAAATCACTAAATTGACAACGAGTACGTAACGTTAGACGACTTGACCAAATTCATTAAATCTCTTGGAAGTAACGTCATTGTATTTCTTTAGTTCGCTACTGGAGTCAGTGTGGTTCTGCCAGAAATGAAGTTGAAAATCACATTCACCGAATTAAATGGTTCAGCCTGTCAGCCTGGTGCGCATACTTGTGGTCCTTTATTTGAAGTTCTAAGCACCTATCAGTGATACAATGAACTAGTTGAAGACTTTTTATCCTTTTGGTGAGAAAGTTCATGGGCGTTCAACATTGTCTAGTGGGGATGTTTAAGTCATATCTTCATATCTAAATATCATACGACATTCAAATATTGTATTTTTTGTTTTTGGTGAAATCCATAATATACTGTTGAAAGAATTATTTCATTAGCTGTTTGATTCATTATTTGTATTATGTAGAAACTATAAATACCTGCTTTAATTTTGCATTCAGTCTGTTTTTTGCCACAACGATGTAGGATTTTTTCATCACTTCCTTAACAATATTGTCCGTGACTTATAAGAGTGCTTATAGTTTTGTTTTGATAATTCCTACGAAAGTAATATCGTATTGCTTCTTCCATCGTGAGAATGTGAGCTCGGAGTATTAAACTGCTGGCAATTGTGATGTAAACTGTATACTTATTTTGTCATTGTTAAAGTAAGCAGAATATAGACTGGCGTTCGTGTACTTCTATTTGTTGGCCACCGTAGCAGACAGAGGAATTAACGTAAAATATTACAATAATCGAAGTAGTGTTGCCAGATGAAAAAGACTGTAATTAACAGTCATACCCTGTCATCTACTGTCATACCACATAATCTAAGGTAATACCCGATAATCTACAGCCATACTAAATCGTCTATGGTCATCTGTTGTCATCTATAGTCATTTAAAGTCATCTACTTTCATCAAGAGTCATTTGTAGTAACGTACTGTCGTCTATAGTCATCTACTATCATCTATAGTCATTCACGCTCATCTGTCGTCATCTATAGTCGTCTATAGTCATCTACTGTAGTACACAGTCATAGTCACAAATAGTAACAAATATTCAGATGAATCATCTGCGCATGCGCAATCCTCATGAACATGCACAGTTTGCTTGAGCTTGCGCAGTCAACTTGACCAGCTGCACAAGTTCATGGTCATGGCAACGACCAACTGCATCTACCAACACCGATTTTGAAGTAAATAGCATAATTTGTAACAATTTAATAGAGAAATTATCTGCGCATGCGCTCCAACATGCGCAGTCCACTCGACTAATTGTTCATAGTCATGGCAATGACATACTATATGTACTTGCACTACATTTGTGGCAACGCTACATGCGCAGTAGTGACTTTAATAATACCACAACTTTCGTAAGCCTTCGAAGGGCCCAGACTTCGACCGCACTCTCCCTGCGTACCCCAAGCAAAGCCTATCACAGGTGATCTCGGGGTCTGATGGGCGGAAGCTTGCTATTGCATCTCCCAAGTAGGATAGCGTGGAGGGGCCGAAATCTCCTAACGAAACGTTAACATGCGGCGTTCTAGTGCCTTACGCTTAAGAAGGTATCGGGAAGCATGGCCCGAAAACGGGGTTTTTTGCTTTCGAATTTTATCTTTTATTTTTGTTTTTTCTCATAAAATAAACCAAGCAATGTTTTAATTAACTTCTTTTGACACTGTGCCCTTTTCTAACAACTATAATATAAGACGACCTTCAACATGTTTTATACAATTTTTATTGGTTCATATCTTTCTAAACAGAACACTTTTTGGATTAATAGAAATTCTTTTGATCGCATAGAGACAGCCGTCCAATTTATTACGTACCTAAGCGTATATAAAGCATTTCCAAATCACGTACAAAATTTCCTTAAATGACCAAATTACCTTCTATTTAAACGATGTATGTAATAAATAGTTACCTTGACGACTGAAGCAAACCCTCCTTTTCCAAGCATTCGCAACACTTCAAATTCATTCCGAACTCTCGAATTTCTCGCAGCGTAGCTAGAACGCCAATTGTAGCGAGGGAGAGAGGGCGGGTATTCATATACTCAGTTGTGGCCGACTAATTTCTTTTGAAAGCTAGTTCAATTTAAAAGGAGCTCAGTCGGCTAAGCACAACTGAAGGTATGAATATTCACACACTACCTTCAAAGTAATGTTCTAACTAAGGTACAGGAAAAGATACATCTCCTGTGGTTTTCTAATGATTTGCCACTCGGGCAGTGCAGAGGTAATGAAACACATTTCAGAGAAAAGTATGGAGAACATTATGCAAGAACAAGAAACATTCAATAAATCTCATCAATGGAGATCTAACAAAGGAAAACACCAGATAAATTTGCAAGAGCCATATTATTATTGTGCAATGAAAATACAATCTATAAACAACTAGAGTAGGCGGGAAAACAACGACATTACATCATATCATTTAATGTATTTTGAACTTATAATTGAATATGTACTTTCAGTTCGCTCTAATTTTAAGAGTAAATTCAAATACGCTCTAGTATCACAAGTAAAAATAAGCTATATATTTAATTACGTCCAACCAAAGCCAGAAGAAGCTTCTTGTAATCACCAGATGCATCACCTTCAATCATCTTGTAGACAGTTTTATGGTAACGATTCAAAAATTCTTGTTTGATTTCAACTAAATCAACCTGAATTCAGTTGACATTAAAAGGTTAGTTCTTCAACAATATATAAACATTAATGAATAGGTTTATACACTACCTCTGAACGTGAAACGATGATTCGGATGAGAAGAGAATCATTCGTTCCAACTCCCTTCATACTCTTCCAAAGTCGCTCGGCAAAATATACTGCAGGATTGCGAGCGCATTGAACTAAGAATAATAATTACAAACAACATGACGATGAACAAGTAGCTAACAAATGATTCATTATTTTCGCAAGATCATTTTTACCGATGCATTTGAATCCCTCCTTCAAATCACCGGACATTTCGCGATCAATGCTGTTCATAATATCACGTTGTGCAATCTTTGTGAAACAAAAGAGGAAAAAAAGAACAACACGTCATTCCACAAAAGTTTTCAGCAAAGATACAGTCACTTGATTTTGATAACTACCTTTACATATTCGTTAAAGGTAGCATTGAGTTGTTTAAAGTTTCTTGAAGCAAGAACGACATTAAACCTTGACTCGTCCGTTCCCCATTTCTTCTCCCCGGCCTTAACAAATGGAAAAAGACCTTGTATAATAATATTGATATAACGCGTGCTCTAATTGGTCGAAGGCCGTGTTTGGATCAGGCAATCGAAACACGGAAACCATTGAATAATTAAACATTATAATCCATAACCATTTGTAGAAAACCTTTCACTTACCTGGTAGAGGTCATTGGCTTCTTTTGTTGCTTTAGCCATGTCTACAGTTCCGCTTTCGTCGCGATTGGCCTACAATCATAAGACATATTTTGAAGACTCAAAGGAAGGAATCGCTATTCGTAATGGTCAAGTTATAATACCTGACACATGGAGACGAGGAGACGTTTAAAATGTCCACTTGTTTCGCTAACACAGTCTTTTTCCAAATCTCTTTTGTAATCTAAAAAAATGAAACTCGGTCATCAGGAGATTGTGGCTACTTCATTTAACATATCATATAGATGCCTACAGGTTTTATATTCTTCTTTGATCTTTTGTATTTCCTGAAATAAAAAGAATAATTAGAATGATAATAATTGACGTGACATGAAGTCTTTTCAACGCCTGTACTTTAAAAGCTCACTCACTCACTGAGTGGGGCTTCGAAATCACCTCGTAGTTATTCGAAAATGGTATCTTCACTCCACTGATGGCTTGATCAGAAATATTTTATTAAAATATTCCCATCAAAGGAGAAATAAATTTGCCAGTGATAAGTAGGCGCGCACTTTAATTTTCCACTAACTACGCATGATTTTGAGTGAGCTTTTAGAGTTACAGGCGTTATACTCACTGCATTGCTTCGTGTGCATAAGATATCAATGAGAGATAATTCATCTGTTCCGGCACCCTAAAAAACAGTCAATAAACGTTTTTTAAAATTATAGTGTGGCAAGATCTACATAATTTCACAAGCTTTCTTGCCCTCATTGCCCGACGAAGGCATTTTGCATCATATAAAACTTTTGGTTCCATCATTGCCAACAGACATTCCTCAAGATTCCCACTCAGCTCAGACTTAAGTTCGTTGATCAGATCCTACAAATTTGGGAGAAAATTGGTGGATCAACGTCTTTAATAATGTAATGTTGAATGTTTGTGTGACGTATAAAGTTTCACACGAAAGACTGGAATCAAAATAATCGTAAAATGATGCAGCTTTACAGAATGCAACTAAAATTTCATTTTTCAAACCTACCTTTCCAAACATAGTCTTAAACTGTAATCGTATCCTGACTCGTTGTTCGTTAGAACGCGAGGCAAGTATATCAATTAATGCTTTCTCATCTGTTCCTGAATTGTTGAATGATCAAAACACATGTAACAATTGACCAGTTTTCAGCAGAAACGGTTAAAACTATGAATACTTACCAACACCTCGCATGGCTTTTCTCAACATTTCACAATCTGCCTCACAATCAAACGGTGAAATTCCTTTAACAGTTCCATGACCAAATGTCTAAGAATAAAAGATACAATAAACGTTTGATTGCATCAATAGCAAGAAAATATTGTGCAATGAACATTTGGAGAAGTGATGCAACATCATCAACTTTAAAATTATCTGAGGTTTATTTTTGGCAAAATTGCACAGTATTTAACAAGGAATAGCATACTATTTTAACGACAAATACAGAAAGTAGAAGGGAAGGAGAGATTATTTCTCCTCTCCTTCCGCTATGTACTTCTGGTTTTCTCACCTGCTTCACCGACATATTCTGTAGTTGAGCTGTTGGTGGTGCAGATTGCTACACAATTAACAATGATTTATAAGTTGCACAATAAAATGATGCATTGTTATTCATTGTTATAAAAACTATAAGATGGCTGACACAAATTTTACAAATGATAGCTTTGTGTTAGAAAACACATTGAGCTTGTTCTTACCGCAGTTTTAGCAGTGGAAGTATGTATTGGTGCTTCCTTCACCTGAGGCTGTGGTGGACGTGATGGAGGATTTCCTTGAGCTGGTGGTTGATTCCCATATCCTTGGGGTGCTCCACCATAACTAATGGGTTGTGGGGGTTGGCTACCGTACCCAGGTTGTGGGGGTTGGCTACCATACCCAGGTTGTGGGGGTTGGCTACCGTACCCAGGTTGTGGTGGAGCTTGACCGTATTGTTGCTGTGGTGGAGCTTGACCATATTGTTGCTGTGGGGGTTGACCACCATACCCAGGATGGGGTGGAGCTTGAGCATAATGTTGCTGTGGATGTTGTTGACCATAAGCAGGGTGACCACCATATGGGGCACCTCCAGGGTTACCAAAACCAAGAGGAGGAGGTGCACCACCACCTGTAATATTTGAAAACGTTCATTGTAAAATATTTACAAAAAAGACAGGAGATCAACCAAAGCTTAAATGATAAACCCAAAGTTTGACATTACCATATTGAGGGAGGAGAAGCATTACCTGTGGGATAACCTCCTGGGGGAGGATAGCCTCCTAAATAAGCCAATTAAATTAGAATCTAACATGAATTGTGAAGTTAAATAGCATGAAAAGAAAAACCAAAGTACAACACTAACACCAACTGAAAATGATTATTGTTATTTTTGAATGGTCTCAGTAAGTATATTGACATTTACATTAAGTTCAAATTGATCATACCACCACTTGGATAACCAGGTTGCGCTGGCTGGTAGCCACCTACAGGAGGGTAGCCTGGGACAGCTGAAGGATAACCAGGAGCTGCAGATGGATAACCAGGGGCAGCAGACGGATATCCAGGTGCAGCAGGGGGGTAACCAGCAGATTCAACTGGTGGATAACCAGGAGCTGCTGGGGGATAGCCACCAAACTGTAAAATGTTTAGGATGCTTAAGTTTAAATAGGATAATTACGAATACATTTCAAAAACTAACCTGATTTGGAGGATATCCACCAGGAGGGGGGTATCCAGCCATAATTATAAAAATTCGCTAGTAAATGATATAGAAATTAATTGCAACACAACGCTAGCGTCCAGTCCATACTCGAGTAAGAAAATGAAGGACTATACAACACAATAAATATACTAAAGAGGCGGAAAAATTGCAATTATTTGACATTTCGCAGTTGCAATTTATATAGTAATACTTTGATTAGATTTCAGAAGCAATCAATTCACAGCAAAAAATTCAAAAGAAACATAACATTTAAAGTATATAAGGATGAACTTTCTTACCGAATAAGAACGACAAGAAAGACTTCTGTCAAAGGCGTGAAGAAAATTAAACCCTAAGGGTTAACAACAAAACAATTTATTTGAATCATAACGTCAGCGGAAAGTATCTGACGTCATAATCGTCAAATGACGATTTCTCGACCAAAAATTCAGACGCTCTCCCCGGTGGTGGGAGTCGGAGTCCTCCCATGTGCCTTAACTTTCTTGTAATGAACCATCCAGAGTGGATGTGTGTCTAAATTTCATCAATTACTGGCTTTATTTTGCAAAATACCGTCATCTATCTCAAACCACATGCTCATAAAATACATTCATTCTAAACTTTAAATTTTTAATTGAGTCCAAGCTTCTTACGGAGAATAACGATGTTGTTACGAAGCTATCATCGGCTAGTCCCGTCAGGGGACGTCATCATTTCATACCTCATTTGTGGGAAGGTGGGAAGGACGCCATCTTTCAGAAATTCGCCTGCTTCAGTAATACATTTCTTGAGACCTCCTTGAACAGAATTGACATTTTTTCGCAAGCTCCAGTTTTTTTTTTCATTGTCACTTGAAGCTATTATTTATATCATGGAGGAGAAAACGACATCAAAAGATTTAGACACATGGATCGAGCAATTGAACGAATGTAAGCAGTTGTCAGAACCAATGGTTAAAACTCTATGTGAAAAGGTACGTTGGCATCAATTGTCTTTCTTGAACAAATGCGTCGTACTAAGTTTCTAAGAACTAGTGTTTTATTTGGTGATATTTGCTGAAAATTATATCTGTGCATTCTTAAAATGTGTTCATGAACTTATTGAATTATGCCTTTTATACAATACCGATTGATCGATCGGGCCGGAATGAAATTCGCATTTGGGCTATTTTTTTTCTAGGCTTGCCTCATGATTCAAGTCCAAATTTTTAGTATTAGTACTACAATAATTTATTGATGTCAAAAATCTAAAAATTGTACAGACATTTAGGGATGCGTTGGGATTGAATTGAACATGATGGGTAGGAATAAAGTCCCGTTACTTAATAACAACTTATTACACATAAAATGTGAAATAAGGTGAATTGTGACTTAAAATGTAGAATTTTTTATGAAGTTCAATTATGAATGAAGAAAAATGATGCAGAAGAAAAAACATGAAAAAAATCATTTTGTAAACTCAATCAAGTCTACAATTTACAGTGATATTTTGATTTATCTCTGTAAATTGTATTTAAAAATTTTATCTTGGGTTTACAAGATGATAACTTTAAGAGCAAGTATTTTTTATGTTTTATGAAAAAGTGGCATATACCATTAAACCATCATGGTAGAGTTGCAAATGTCCTTGTTTGTAATTTTCACAAATATTCCATCTCAAGTTCTTGGCACTGCTATCTGCCACATGTTAAGGGAATTATTCATTTCTGTTATAAAAATATGCGTTATTAGGCAAAAGAAATTCTATCCAAGGAGTCAAATGTTCAAGAAATGAAATGTCCCGTTACTGTTTGTGGAGATGTTCACGGTCAGTTTCATGATCTTATGGAGCTGTTTCGTATTGGGGGAAAATCTCCGGATACAAACTATCTTTTTATGGGAGACTATGTTGATAGAGGTTACTATTCTGTTGAAACTGTCACTTTATTGGTTGCTTTAAAGGTAATAATTTATATAATGACCAATAAATGTTTCTAACTCAGTGTGCGAATTAACGGTGTGCAATGTGCAATATGCACATTGTTTTAGCTAAAATGAATTTGCTCACGTTTAGAAATATTAATTTAGCAATTAGCGCTATAAAAAAATTAACGTAATATCAATTTGATTGTGGCTCTAAAGAAACAATTTTGTCAAAAAAATTGCACATCGTTTTTTCTGAACTAATTCGCACATTGTTCTAACTCAAAGACAATTGTGAATTGTTTTTGAAACATGCAATTAATAAAAAAATTATTGCACAGACAAATCTGGTTTTGTGCACGATCTTACTATGTGCATATTTTCAAGGCCTTGTTTGCAATTTATTGTTTTTAAAACACTTCCATATTCTCAAATGAAAGAAAACAAAAAGCTAATCACATGAACAATGTTGGAATGCCACAAAACAGAACAATGCAAACTGCAGTTTCTAGTTTTAGTTGCATAAGGATTTAGATACTGTCAATAATCTTACTCTTAACTCTGTCATTTGCACACATAATCAACTGCTTGCACAGTGTTTCCATTCCATTAACTTTCATACGCAGGTAAAGTTAGAACACAGGCAAGGCTCATACACCTAAATATATTGAACTTTTTTTCGTCAATGGGCAATGCCTACATTTTATTATCTCTTAAGAATACATAATAGATTATTATTTCACAGGATATTGAAATTTTGAATATTGTGTAATCTTGTATTTATGTATTTTAATTTTGTTATTCAATGGCTGACCTTTGAGCATTAGGGGTTTTGAATCCCCTTGTGTCCTGCAATCAGCCTAAATAAAGTATGCTGTGTTTGGTTAGTTGATCTGAATTGACTGAAGATCCAACTCTAGGATTCAGCAACATGTAATTAAAGATGAGACAATCATAAATTTGCCAACTCCTTACCTCTACTTTTTTTCTACACTGTATATTTGATTGTGTTTTTTCAGCATTTTCTTTATCTTTTCATGTATTTTTAGGTACGTTTTCCTCACAGAATCACTATATTACGAGGCAACCACGAAAGCAGACAAATCACTCAAGTTTATGGTTTTTACGATGAGTGTTTACGTAAATATGGCAATGCAAATGTTTGGAAATATTTCACGGACCTATTTGACTATCTTCCTCTTACTGCTCTTGTTGATAGACAGGTAATGTTCTTTTACTTTTGTTTTGTTTAAATGATAGTCACGTTGGTGGATACTAACATAGTGTGTCTGACAAATGTTTAGTTGTTATCGTTTTTTTTCTAAAAATTGCTTTAGATCTTCTGTCTTCATGGTGGTCTATCACCATCCATTGATACATTAGATCATATTCGTGCATTGGACAGAATACAGGAAGTTCCCCATGAGGTTAAACCAGAAGCTGCGTTTCTTGGTGTTGATTCTCAAATTTTCACATACCTTATACATGGTGTTTTATTTGTGTAGGGTCCAATGTGTGATTTGTTATGGAGTGACCCAGATGATCGTGGTGGTTGGGGTATATCACCTCGAGGTGCTGGCTATACCTTTGGTCAAGATATATCCGAACAATTTAACCATACAAATGGATTAACTTTAGTGTCTAGAGCTCATCAGCTTGTCATGGAGGTTTGATCCTAAAGGATATTGATTTGAGACAAACTTTACTAAACCATATGCTCAGTGATTTAAATCTATCAAAACTACCATCAGGTAGACTTGAGTGATACTATGAAAAAATTCTGCAATAATGAGAGTAATATGTATATTGAATACCTATGTATGCAGGTAGGATTTATGCTAACATCTGAAGATTTTTACATGATTTGATTGTAGGGTTATAACTGGTGTCATGATCGTAATGTTGTGACTATATTCAGTGCTCCTAATTACTGTTATCGCTGTGGGAATCAAGCTGCAATCATGGAATTGGATGATTCACTAAAATATTCATTGTAAGATTCAGTTTGTATATTCACTTTAATGCTAACTTCCCTTCATAATTAAATAAGTAATGTCTAGGCAAGCAAATGCCTTTGTCTTGTTTACAAATTAATTTTCACATTTGTAATTTGAACTTATGTTGCTTTTATTCAATGTCACAGCACTAATTTCCACTTCTTTTCTGGCATGTAATACATTACTTTCAATGGATTTATCCTTTGAGCAAGGAGGTTTCTTGTGCCCTGTTGCCATTAATTTTGCTGAGTCAAACATCAAAAAACTTTGCGTTATTTGCTTGCATATGCTGAGCAACCTGTACTGCGAGAAGTTACAGCAAGCAGCATATGGTTAGCTCGTAAATCAATAGCTATTCTCTGCAACATAATTGCACAAAATAATTATCAATCTTAGCAGAAAAATATATTGATACATGCTACAAATTCACATTACATACAAAACTGTCACAGACTTTGTTTTATTATTTTCTTTGAAACAGTGTAAATTCTCAAATCACCCATTAAAAAGTATGTCATGTGATGATTGATTGTTTTATCTTTTTAAGCTTACAATTCGACCCAGCCCCCCGACGAGGCGAGCCGCATGTGACACGACGTACGCCGGATTATTTCCTGTAGAACGTTTCGCCCTGTAAAATATGTGAAATAGCTGAAGAATTTCAAAGAGAAGAGTTATGGTAAACCAAGTGTTTGCAACGTACATGATGAGGCCACAAAACACTCTTTTGTCGCTTTATCATGAGTATTTTTCCTGGAGAGCTTATTTAATATTCTCGATTTCATAATGTTTTATCCTATTTGATCATCTTGCCAATTTTTTCAAACGACTTCATCACACAGAGATCTCAGTGACATATATTTTAATGTCTTTAGCCATGAAGTATTTGAAATGACCTAGGCATTGTTCGACCGAGTCTTTCGAAAGAATATTTGACATCTAAATATTATATAAAGATGAAATTAACATTTGCTATGTTCTTAAATGAACGAAATTTAATGAAAAGATAAACCGTATTTGTATTGTTTAAAAATCACTTAACTTCTTTGCTTTGGTCGGAGAACTTTCTAATTTTCAGTAACTCTGCTATCGTCAGCAATTCATTTGCTGTTTACTTTTTTACCTTGCCTTTCTATATCAGGGAAAATTTCTTGAGATCCGTTTGTTTTCCGTTTATGCTTATCTTGACCGTGTGAACACAGCTTGATTTATTGCACTGCTAACATAACCTCAAATGATCTTGTCAAAATGCGATAATTTATCTTATGATTATATCGTCAATAATTAGCTAAACTGTTCTCAAGCCGTACACCTTACGCTAAAATAGCATTAGGGAAGATTAATAAAATAGCTGCAGAACGAATACTTCATACCTAACTGGTATATGTATTGTTTGCTGTGGATCGTCAGGAATTCACTTAATCACCTTGTAATTATAACTGCTAACTTTATCCTATGATAAAAGGCCGCTAGAAGCATGAAAAAAGCTTTCGTATATGTTTATAGAGCCATAGGGATTGCGTGATTGTCTGACTGTGCGCGTGTCATCGAGTGAAATTAACATATCGCGCGCTGATGTCAATGTGGCGCGCTATGTTATGACGTTTTCCCACCACACAGATGACATTTCAAACATGATTGGATTGCTGCAGTCATATGGATGGTATTTGTAACTGAACTCCCAACTAGAATAGTTAATTTAATATTATAGCAAAGGTTACAAAATCCTATAAATGGACTATGTCATACGTATATTGTCCACGATTGTATATTATATTGTATCTTTGGAGACATCGCTTTTTGCTGAGACAAATCCGCCTAAAGCTTTCGAAACAGGAAATTATACGATGGACATAGCTCGAGGTTGAGATTAGTTATTATTTTGTAGATCCGATTGGCGACAATCTAAAAAGCATAGAGTAGGAATGTTCAAGTATGTAAACATACCACAATCACTGTGTGAGTCTGATTAGAATTCCTTGTTACACGAGCAAGTGACGATGGCTGTATCCGGTTTTGTATGTAAATGTTCCTAATTTCTCAAAGTGAAACAAGAAATATCTTCCTTTTAATGTAATTACATATCTTATTCTATAATTTTCTAGCAAAAAATTTGTGCACCATCAGTTAATCATATTAAGATGAGTTTTCTTTATGGTTATATTTGTTTTTTCTTTCACACATTTGTACTCTGTAAAGGTCAATTAAAGGGTCTAATTCAGTTTGGGCGTCGGTGGTATGTAAATTTATATGATGTTAAAATGCTTTCGTTTTTCAAGTAGACTTACACAAATACAAGGAAGTCGTCCTTGAAGAAAAATAAATCTTAGCCGTAGGCAATGTTGTCCGTCTGTCTTTTTGGACGTGTGTCCATTATATATATGTATTTATTCACTGCCTTTCTACCTTATTGAAAAGTGTACTTCTGATCAAAGATCATTTTATTAATTATTGGGAGTTTTTTCAAGGAAATTGAGCTTTTAACTTTCTTTATTTGAACTCATTTAGTACATTCAAAAGATGTGTCTTACTGTAGTGCAAAAGAGGTAGAGAGTGCAATTATTCTTGCGGAGATTTAAAAGGGACAGTTGGGTCAAAGTTCAAATTTTGCCAATTTCCACATCATTAATGTAATCAAAACATTTCTTCAAACACATGTTCTCTACTTTGTGAGAAAGGATCACTTCCTATCACTGCTTGGAGAGATCACCCATCTTAAGGAATGATGGTTTTAGTCTTAACCTTGAAGCAAAGTATTGGAAGAATATAGTATTGACGTGAATGTTTCCAATCGTCATTTTTTCACGTTTTCATCTCTTCCAATAAATCATGTGAATGCGAGTGTTTACTTTAATTGGGAACGGTTAATGTAAACACAAATGTTTCCCCATCTTCATTCTTTGATGGGGTAGACATTCCATTCTTAATGAAAGACGTGACGCGTGGTTTAACACACGTTTTTTGCCAGTATGGAATATTTCAACTTGTCAAACCTTGTACAAATACAATGCGTGTTCGTCTTTCGTTTAAATTACGCATTGAGCACTCACCAAATCATTTTGCTCTTTCATTAAAGAGCGGTATGCCTGACGATCCGATATATTTGGCACTATTTCAAATATTTACACCCAGTTTAACTCTTACTCTATTAATGGCCCGTCGTTAGGAAGAATTTTTTTCTATATGCTAATATTAGCATTTTTAATTAGCTACGATGAAGAATAAATCCACTCTTGTATTCACTGTTTTTATGGTAACATTTCGTCGATTGTATATTGTTGGGGGTCAAAATTTTTGTTGATCTAGAAGTGACTTTATTCCAGGAATCATGCTGTTCACTTGATCTCAAATCCCCATTATCACTTATCATCTCAAAATGTTTTGGTGGTTTTAGTTAATACATAGACCATAAGCCTCGACGTTGTCGCAGGAGGTGGAGAAAAATGGAAATTTTATCCACCATGAAAAAACATCGTTTCAGTCAGTTTCTGTTCATTGGCGATAGCTTTTCCCGCACTAAGAGAGGTTTTCAAGATCATATGTAAACACCATTCTCGCTAAACTAACTGTCATAAAATTTACATTAAACTTATAGAAAATGAAGAGAACTGAAGGTCAGCATCAAGTACTCTCAAACAAAGAGCTTCTTTTTCATAGATTTCACAGGAAGAACAATATGAAGTGTTGTAACAGAAAAACAAGTTTGTACGCGAAACATTCGTTTATATAAATTCTTTATTAACAATATATACAAGACTTGGTGATATTTTATGGACGAAAGACGCGTATAAAGAAATATAACGAAAGCTATGATAATTTCACAGCCTCTAAATCTGTTGGTGTCATAGATTGTTCACTCAATTTAGTCTGGGAATCTACTTCTGTATTGATGATATTTAAATGTAAAACTTCTTCAATAAGATTTTCACATGAACCAAGACACTCCTTCACAAAAAAAAACCAAATATAAAATTTACAAGCAAATGACGGCCTGTTTTCTAAGTGAAACACATGGCGTGTCACGCAGCCAATTTAGAGAATGAAAAAAATAAGAGTTCTATTAACATGGCTAGAAAATGAGAATTGTTATCTTTCCTTTTAATCAAGCATCTTCATAAACTAAAGGACGACATGATGAAGCATGCATTTCTTCAAAGTGTTGTTACCTGGTCAATATTGGTGATTTTGCTCATAAGTAGCAGCATTTCGTTTCTCGTGATGGGGAAATCATGCCTAAATCCAGCCACAGCAGCACAGACTGCTCCTGCTGCTATCATGCTTGGTGTGTACAGCACAAAGCGAATATCTATAAAAATAAACGAAAATATTCCATAAATTCTACATTTTCGTAGTCAAATAAAACATAGACTACTTTAAGGATGTTTTCCTGTTGCCTATAGGAAATTCCACACAGATATTTTAACTGGCTAGAAGATTCTTATTCAAACATGTGAATCCTACGCAGCAATGATACAAATAGCCAGAAAAGGAATTACAAAGAAGAAATAATGTTGTATCAATTACAATAATTGTATTGTGTGTAAAAAGATAACCTGTGCAGGCTGTAAAATCGTTCAGTATTTTTTTCTATGTTCGGTTTTGGAAATGTTTTGGCGTCTTCAAGTCATTAATTAAAAACACAGCATGGTAGCTTAGTATTTCATTTGCATTAGAAAGAACCATGTATCATCTTAAAATTAAGGTGCGAAATGTTTTAAAATACCGTTTTAAAGTTAAGGAGTGTGTTATTAACTTACCAGTGCAACATAGAGCGATGAATGTTGAAGCATGCTTACGGACAACAGCTAATCTTTCCTCATTGAAATGAAATGGTAATCTCAAAAATAAATGGTCCAAGAAGTCGTGTGGCGTAACAGCAGATATATCCCACTGCAATTTGTCCAAAACTATTAGTTCCCAACTCTAAATAATTCAAATAGATCTCCATTCACTTATGAAATACTCTTGCAAAAATTAGCATCAAATTTCAGACACCATGTTTTGAATATCAGTAAGAAAGGGTTCACTAATCAAAACTGGTTAATTATCGGGAAGTGAGATTGTAAGGGACAAAGCTAACAAACAAGCTAAGAAAAATATTTGATTCTTGTTTACCATGAGTTCGTCTAATGTGATGGAATTGTCGGTGTAAATGACAAGCTTTTCTGCTGTTAACGGTCTACTATCACGAAGTTTGCTCGCCAAAAACATGCAACTTGCTCCAAGGAGTTGTAAGCGGCTCTTTTTTATCTCTAATACACATAAAAATCTGTCTAAATAGTTCATTGCCAATGGAAAAACCTCTTCTTCACAATTCTGTTCATCGCACACCTAAGGTTATTGAAGTGTAAATATAAATAAACGATGTTGTGCAATAATTTCACTGATGGTAGACTTGCAATAAACGATATCGCTATCGTCCCGGCCTAACGGAAATTATTTTTAGAAACTATATTGCATTAGTCTCCCATTTTATCATAATGACTTAATATTTACGATATAAACGCGATGAAATATACGTTCAAATACCTCAAGCATCCACGATGCGACTATCTTCCTCATGTAGGGCTTTATATCATTTTGCAAAACAGTTAAATATGTAGCACTAGGCATATAGCGCTCTTCGTATGACAGTAAATTTTTCAAAACACGCTCATCATTAAGAAGTATGGGATCTTTATAACTGTGTCGAAGACCAAATCCCTCTCGGCATTGTAAGTCCATGGTCCAAATCGCGTAATACGAATCGCTACCAGATTTAAAATCACACGAATTTTTCAAAAGCAGGTTCTTTCCGAAGTATGATGTTGGTCTGGCGTGTGATTTCGAAGCAAATTGTGCGTAGATGTTGACCGTTTAGGTCCACAACCCTGCTCTTCACACTTGACCCCTCACAGACGACGACTTAAAGCAGAATGAATAAGAAGTGCACGATTATGATGAGATTTCTCTGTGAGGTCTGTAATTGACGTATCTAGGCAGATCCACATGACGCTAGGCAACCTCTATAATTTACAGCCTGTTATTCTATAGCTTCCGTTATTTCAACCAATCACAACGCGAGCGGTGTCTTCCATCTATGTAAATCACTCTTCATGTCCTATGTCCTCAGTTCTCACATAAAATGGTCTAGAAATTCATCCAAAGACGGTTTCTTCACGGTGGGGGAAATGCAAAACGAGAGTTCAAATTATCGAATTCGAAGTATTTGTGAAAAATATTTTTATAATCTGCTTGTTGGAACAAGAAAATAATTTCTGTCAACGAGTCGCCCGTCTTTCTGTTTACAATGATCGCTATGTATGCAATTTAGCAGTTAAGCGTGACGGTATGAGTATTCACGAACTGCCATTTAGGTTAACTCTCATTCGAAAGCCCTCCCTCTCGTTTGTAGCACTTTGAACTTTGAAAGTGAGCATAATGTCAGTTCTTATTTTTTATATTTATCATAATGTTTGTGAAATAAAATTATTGCCTTTCTCTAACCTACTTGATCTTTCAGCCGCCTGTCAAAATTTAACACCTGGTGGGCGAAACGAAAATCTGTTGGAACTTATCTTTTTTATCTTAGCCTTGATATGAAATTCGTAATCACCGTGGAAATGCTGCACAGAAATCACAGCAAGCGCTAAACCTTTCCCTTCATTTTTTTCATTTCTTACGTTTGTGTTGATATAGCAACGTATTAAAATGATTGATTAAAAAACAAAGATTCAATTGAAATATACAAAAAGAGCATTATAACCTCGAACGTCCAACTATAGTGCTAGTAGCTGAAAACTAATTGGATCCTGTTGACTGTTGTTATTAAAAGCAGAATTTTGATCATGCCACAAGTTTTGTCTATGTTTTCGCATTAATATTATCGATTTCCTGAAAAGTTTCTTCGCAGAAACGTTTTTCGGGTTTTTTTAACGGTTTTCTATTAAATATATCACAACTGTGTAAAATTATTTTTCGGTAAAGTTAATTTGTCTTGCGAGAAAATATTTAAGTAAATGAAACAATAAAAAGGATTAAGTTAAATCCAGGAATGCAATACAGTTAATAGCGAAAGTCATTAACCATACAGAACGTAGGATCTTCTCAGGTAAACACCATTAAAAAAAGAAAGGTTATAAGCCGCAATAATTCTTCACCAATCATCAGTAGAAACGCAGAATTTTTTCTTGCTTCATATGTTAGCTTAAAATAATTGCATGCTGAAATCAATACTTTAATAAATTTGTGGCAGAAAAGGTAAAGGATTAAGGAAAAGGATTAAGCTAGTGTACTTCAGTTCAGCTAACTCAGTTTAAGAGCGGAAAATTGACATGTTTCATTAAGCAGAGAATCATCGTTGAGCAAGATTAAACAGAAGAATTTTGGTAATGGTGTTGGGCCGCCATCTATTGAACTTACATACTTTATTGGTGTGCTGGTTTATTTTATCAATAATGAAACAAGACAGATACATCGCCAAAAAATTTGAATTACAATAAAGTATTCATGAATCAATTTCCTTAAAGTCATATGGCTGCAAAGACCTGCTGTTGAGGTGTTAACATTACATTAGGTTTAAGCACCGGAATACCACACTGTCTTTCTAAATAAACCATTCAAAGCTCTCAACCTGTAAACATAAATTGCTGTTCCTACCTTAGTCATTATTTATCTTCAAATTTGTGTTAAAGTACAGTTGCAGTCAAATGACACTTCAATGTTTATAACATCAATCAATATAATTCACAGCAGTTACAGACAGTACAATCCACACTTGGATAGTTGCGACAGAAAGATACACCCTTATTACCCAGTTGATGAAATACATCTTTCAAGCCAATGATAAAAGAGAAGATTTATATGTCGATTAGAGTTTCTGTCCTGTAACTGAACAGGTTATACGAATGGAGCAAACATTTGTCATTTGATAACAACACATAAAATTGCATTAACATAGATTACAGATTTTGATTTACTTTATAAAAAGGAGAATTTGGTTTGGTGTTTGGTATTGTAACGTTACTCGTGACTTACTTTATAAACTGTTTTTCTCAGAGCAAAAGTTGATTGACCGGTTTGACCTTGAAATATTTCTTTTTTTTGAAAGTGCAGAATGTTCGAGCCACATGCTATTTGAATTTCAAATTATTTTTTACTCATTTTAAAAACGTTCCAATATAAGAGGCACTTGCTGTGCGCTGAATGAAACTTCCAAGACAAACTGAACATAATCGAAATACAGATATAAAGCAATGAAAAAGAAGTCGAATTTGTAAAGATTGGAGCAAAACTTTTTCATCTATATTTGCAATTAAGAAATCAAAATTTTCACGATTTTCATCTAATAGCTAATGAAAATTACTTTACAATTTTCTACCATGTTCGTTCACATTTATACGACTGAGATATGATTTACAGTCTTACTCTTGTGCAGGTTTACTGACAAAGAATGTTTACAGAGACAGACTTGTTTGGTTAATTGAATATTTTATACTATATCTGTCATGCATCAAAAGATTCCTTTCAAAACCTCTAAATCTGTTTCAGATTATTTGATAAAATTGTGGAAGTTTTTACTCACTCTTTAGATTGAAAATCAACTCACTATACTGAGTACAACTAACTTCAATGAATGTTGACAATAACCTTGACACTTCAACACAAAACAAAAATTAATTTTATTCATAAATGATGACTGGTCTCTTAAGTGATCCACGTGGATTTTGTGACGCAACAATTTAAATATAAAAAAGAATGAAAATGAAAAAGAGAGAAACGAAATCCTTCGAAAATAGGAGTCTAAATTCGAAACACAGTCTGAACATAATCTATGGATACAAACGAAACGAATGAGAAACCTCTATCGAAAATAATACACAATGGTTCTCAGGAAGTGTAAATTTTATTCATAATTACTTGTCACTTGTGACTATATTACTGCGATAACAGGGGAGGGGGGCTCCTACGTTTTAGTACATAATTCGAAAACATCAACTCCTCAATTCTGTGACGAGTGCTTAAAATTGCAGTCCGCCAGCAAAGTTTGTCAGGTTTGTCTCACTTAACATGGCTCACTATCTTAAGATAATAAACATTTAATTAAATTTAAAACGACGAAACCAGCATTAGTTTAACAATCTTGACTATGTCTCGACAGTATACCTCAAGTGTCTCGAAGACTTCTCAACAAGATTCTCCAACTTTGTTTCATTTTACATCGTGAATAAACCTTCCGGGAATTTTACAAATAATTTTGTGAATCTATATAAATAAAGTGATAATTGACATGCTAACATACATCAGATTTCTAATCTTGGGTGGTGGTTTTTTTTACGCCCGATAAAGTAATCTCACTTTAAATATTTAGGATTAAAGAATGTATAGAAACTATGTTTGTTTTAATTGACAGAGACGACATTTCTTTGACTGTCCTCTTCAAATACAGATATTGCAACAACAAAACTGTCTGCGAAGATGAAATACTTCAGAAAATAAGTGTCCTCAATACGAGACAACAATTTTCCGGCATCATCAAAAACTCTTATATAAAAATTAAGCAACACGTCTGTATCTTTATTTGCTTGAAAAAGTTCACCATTTTTGTCCTCTATCAGTCTCAGAACGAACTTTTATAAAGATTTCACAAAAGCTGTGAGTCTTACTTACTCGTCCCCCCACTTATGTTCGACCCTGTTCACTAAAGATGCTGACGCATACACGCCACTTCTTGATTTGAAACATTTTTAGGACTCGAGATGGAGTCCAGTCTCTGTCTGCTGCGATCGTTATCCAAGAAAACTAGGGTTCTCGACAGAAACGGCTGTGTATGCTCGTTATTTTGGGAAGGATGGTTGACACCAAAGTTATTCCTAACGTTTTTCATAAGTTCAAACTGTCAGAAATTTATTTTCATTGACAAGATATATTTAATATCTGCCTATCCCAGACTGAACTTTTAAAATGGTTAATTCTAGATTAAGGTAATTGTGGGTTTTACATTTCATGTCTTGTTCCCAGGACTGGTAGGAGTGCTCATAATTTTCAACTATAGATCCAGTCCTTTCTCATTTCCAAACCCAATGATGATCATGAACTAATTTCTTTCTATTTCATTAGCAACTGGCAAAAACTATCACCAGATAAGACTGTTCCAAAGAGCAATAGGTAAACATGCACTTCTTTTTACAACTATTTAAACAGTTCTTTTATTGTGAAATTAAAATCATAGTAATGTTCAATCATTTTTGTGATTTAATCTGAGACTGTTGTTGGACCATCTCGGGAAGGTAAGGAAGCATTTTTTGATAAATTAATTTTGCCATGCGTTCATATCCTGCTTCTGTCAAATGGACATCATCTTGCCAATACAGTTTACGTTTCTCTTCACTAAGCTTTCTATAACATAAATCATTGTCAAAATCAGCAAGTATCAACAATTCTCTTGTGTCAAAGACATAGTCTCGTAACTTCTTATTAAGAGACTGGCGGTTGATGGACAGTGATTCACAATAAGATGATCGTTCTTCACATGTGTGAGCAAATATAGTACCAAGAATAACCAAGGCATTAGTGCCAAGTGCCATTGAGCAAAGTTTTTTGATCTTTGCAAACAATGCTTCTATAAACACTGTACTGTTCTTATATTTCTCTTGATCATCATGATATTTGAAGTAAGACCCCAGGTCGTTTGTTCCTATTAAAATTATTATCCATTCGTATTGTTTTGATTTCAAAGCGCTTGCGAGCCTTGTTTCAGCAGTACCTAAAGCTTTGTCGCCATTAACTCCATAATTATCCACTATAAAAGTAACATCTTTCGCATGAAGACGATTTAGAGTTTTCCTCAAACTTTCTGAATAAGGATAATACGTTCTTGGATAGTGCTTAACATGACCTCTTGTGATTGAGTCACCAAAAGCTAAAATGTTTGTCTTCGATTTTGAACTTACTGTATTTATACAGAAACTGCCGTTGCACAAAGAGTACCAAACGTATACAAAAATGCATATCAAAATCAAGTCCAAAGCCAAGAAATAACGGCAATACCTGCTAATAATCTTGGCATGAGGCGATGCAAGAATATTTTTTGAGGCCATTTATCTAAGAAAAATAATCATTTTCAAAAATCTAAATGTTTTTATCACTGCAATGTTTACGTTTACTGTAATGACGTCACTAACAGTTTCCCACTGATCTCTAATCCAAGTTGTATGTGGTGTCTGTCAATGATGTCCGCAAATACTCAGGATTTTGAGGAAAATGACGAAGAAAATCTATTACAGACAGACCCCGAAATTGAAAATGGTAATCTGAAGTTCTCTTAAGTCGACTTTCTTCTTGTTTATCTTTAATTGCATATTTTTATAATTGATGTCAATTTTGTTGGCAGATGATGAACTAGCTTTACTTCAGGCCGCTGTGTTCGTTGAAGATGCATTCAAGGTACAGTAATACCGTGTAACCTCGATTCATAGCTAAATCATAACAAAATACGAATGCTTATTAAGCTTTACTTCTTTAAATAAGACACAAGCGTTTATTTGTTTCAAATTTTCGAATGTGAAAATCAAAATAATCACTTACATTGTGGCTAAATTTCAAAGAAAAGTCAAGTGTTTGGTTTTTGTTTTTTTAAATGCACCTATACTTTTGCTGGATTGGGTTTTTTACTAAAAGAAAGATATTATTAAAATATTTGTGTTGCATATATCATTGTGCACTTCTCAATGGTATGCGCTGTCAAAGTTACAAAAATGTAGCCCCCAGTCTCTCTACCCCCCCCTAATCATAATCCCCATTAAATTGTAATTCAAAACAACCCACCCACCCCCACCCAGGAGGCTGAACATATGAAATTCATTATTTTCACTGCATGTTATTAATTGTATGTTTGGGAAATCACTCTTTTGTCATGACAAATATGCAAAATATTTTAAGTATCGGTCAATTCACCACAAGATTGATGTCAAATCTCTGAAGCTTTACAAGGTTTATTATTCAAGATCATTTCAATGGCAAGTATTCGTATTATAAATGCATCTATAAGCTTTTAATTAGGGTTGAGGTAGGATATTTAGGGTTTTTTCAAAATGATATTATTTATGAGGAACCCACAAAGTTGTATGAATTAAAAATGATTTATGCACCTTGATTTCATGAAAATTTCATGTTACCCTAACATCATTACTTCATTTTAAGATGTGTTATTTTTTACCTGATCCTGTGTTATCATGTCCTTTAGCCTTGTATTTGATAACTTGATCTAGTAGAGTTCATGGGATCATGTCAGCTCAATGGCATTTATCCTATAATACCATAAATTATATATGATACTTGATCTTTTAGATTTCATGAGATCATGTTAGTTGGATCTTTATGAAAGTTTGATCCCATTTATCTCTTGGAATTAACAGTTGGACATGTACATATGACAACTTGATGCCATTTACCCCATGATATCATGTCTTTTAGACCTGTATATGATAATTTGATCTTATAGATTTTCCATGAGATCATATCAGTTAGACTTGTATGATAGTTGGATTCCATTTATTCTATGATAACATATTTATTCATGGTATCACAGAAATATCTATCTTTATCATGAAAGCATTGTTACTATTCTTTAGGATCATTGCTTTTGTGATATTTTTCCATCTTTCTTTGGCATTCATTGAGCCACCATCAACGTTGTCGTAAGACAAACATTTAAAATTTCTCATGAAAACACTCAATCAATAAATGATCAGAAATTTTCTCTTTCTCTTCACTTGTTTAGATGGTCTTCAGATCCTCGGAAAGGTTTCAATAATAAAAGAACTAATGTTCCTTGTGGCGTAACTGAAGCCATTGAAATTTTATTTTTAATTTTTTACATTGTTGATTTTACTCTTAAGGTAACAGTCCTGGACATTTTATATTTAGTTATAAATACCTTTATATCTTATTGAGTAAGGGTCATATTTACTTATTTCTAGGTAAAGTTGTTTGGAAAGAAACATTTTTACAAAAGCAAATGGCTTTGGGGTTATTTTTTTGTTTTAATGGTTTCTGTTGTTGATTGGATTATCACCGTAAACTTTGGTTGTAGCGAGGTATTGCATTATGTTCAATTATCTCAACATCCTTCAGTTGCTATCAACTATCATTTATTTTTTCTTTTAAGAAATATCGTGTCCGTCGTATATTACGTCCATATTTTCTCCTTCAAACTTCGTCATTAATGAAAAAAACAGTGCGTTGTGTTGTGAAATGAGGAGAATTAATATCTTTCCAATGTTTTTGATGATTGTTGAATTTCTTTTTTCAAGGTTCGAGCTATTTGGAGGACAGTTCCTCAAATTTTAAGGTTTTTTCAAGCCGCCTTCTAAACCTTATTCAATTACTACATCTAGCCACTCGAAGTACAATTTTTTTTGTTCCAGCATCTTTCTTGTTCTTTTCCTTCATCTCATCATATTTACTTTACTTGGAATGCTTCTTCTCTCAAAATCAGAGGTAATTTTATCTTTACTACGGCAAAATGTCGTTCTAACTAACCTGCGTGTTGTAATATAGCTAAATACGGAAAGTCGTTTACTTTCGGATACACCCTGTAAGCTAATCAACATTTGCCAGTCTTTAAGTTTATGTTCAAAGAAAGTGTTTTTGTCAATTACAGGTCGTATATTCAAATGTTGTTGACAGTACTAACTCAACAAGGAATTATTCATCGGTAGAAAATGACTAATATTTATGAATTTTTCGTAAAATATTACATTTGATGGTACAAAGAATGTTTATGAAGAATTTTTTCATGTATTTAGATGAACGAAAGTACAACATCAAATATCCATCGCAGGGATTACTTTGGCCATGATTTTGAAGAAAGTTTTATGAAACTTCTTGTTTTGTTAACTACTGCTAACAATCCTGATGGTAAAACTACATAGATATGAATTTGAGATGCTTAAATACCTGGTGATGTAAAAGTTATTGATTATCTTTCAGTGATGATGCCGGCATACAAGGAAAACAGATTTTACGCTATTTATTTCATAATTTTTACTTTTATTGGTAAGTTGTAAAAAGAATTTAATGTTTTACATAATAACTACATTATGAAGTAAAATAACTACATGATCCCAACTGGGATGGATTTAGGGGCTAAGGAGGGTGTTAATTTCTTAACAAAATACTAATCTATCAAACAATCAAGCAAAAGCAATCATGATTAGTTTTTAATGGAGCACAAATCCAAAGTTCTCCCAATCCTAAAAGGAAAGCTACGGCATTCAACAAAAATAGTTTGATAAGCTACGGCAACAAAGTCGTAGATGATCAGACTATTTCGTGGATCAGACGTCTTCGAAGTCTAATCCAAACTAGAGCACCCTTTCCCCCTCATGATCTTTAAATCCCAACTGTTTTCCCTTTACACCATGAGGAAGATATTCATCTTGAGAAAACAAAGTCGTTTTTTCTCTCGCGTTCTCGTTATACCCACTAAACTTTGTATAATACTGTGATTTTACAATTCAGGTTTGTATTGCTTCATGAATCTTCTTCTTGCCGTCGTTTATTCTCAGTTTCAAGGCTATCTTAAGGTACCTAATTATCCTGCATTAACCTGCTCTATACTCCACTATCAACTGCAATTCTTTAGTAATTGTATTTCGTTTATAGAACTCGCTGCAGTCAAGTTATTTTCGTCTACGAACTGGTTTGCGAGCTGCATTTGAAGTATTGAGGGAAAGATCTTTTGACAGCAGCAATCCATCAGATGACAGGTTCAACATGGGATTTTTATGGATAGTTTTAATGGTGTTGTGAGGAAAGGGGGGGATTACTAATGATCAAGAAACATAGAGGTTACAAAAACGTAAGAAATCAAAATAGTTTTCTCAGAATCACCAAAAGTGATCTGATGTATCATATTTACAGCACCGTATCGACGTCATTAACTCGACGTTTAATTCAAAAAGTTGATTTTGGTCGTAAAAATATCGACATTATATGGGATGTGAGTATTTAAGCTTTTTGTCTCAACTCTTCGTTGCTTTTGATTATCTTAAATTTCAACCAATAATTTTCCTGGTGCGAAGAATGTAATGACAACCGTTTCGTCTTAGTAGCAATATTCTCACTATTTAGGATCAAATTAGAAATCGTGTTACAATTATATCGAAGAATCATTCATTTAATTAGACGTTAGATCGGAACCGTCTTGGTCGATTGAATGTGAAACAATTTCAAGACTTATTTGATTCTGTTTCAAGACAGAAAAAAGTTCAGGTGATATATTGACGTCCTTCATATTTTATCACTTTAGAAAATATTTTGATATCTATTTTTCTTTTTCAGCATCCTCCTTTAAGTCGTTGTAGCAATAAATATCTTCGTACTCTACAGAAGATCGCTATTTGTAACTACTTCAATTATTTTGGTCTTTTAGTCGTTATTGCTAATGTGATAATTATAGGGGTATGTTTCCACAATCACTCCAGTGTCTATTTGAGTTCAAAGGTTCTCATAATAACTCCAGTGTTTATATGAGTTTACTGGTTGCCAAACTAACTCCAGTGTTTATATGAGTTTACTGGTTGCCAAACTAACTCCAGTGTTTATATGAGTTCATTGATTGCCAAACTAACTCCAGTGTTTATATGAGTTCATTGGTTGCCAAACTAACTCCAGTGTTTATATGAGTTCAAACTAACTCCAGTGTTTATATGAGTTCATTGGTTGCCAAACTAACTCCAGTGTTTATATGAGTTCATTGGTTGCCAAACTAACTCCAGTGTTTATATGAGTTCACTGGTTCTCAAACCATCTTTAGTGTTTGCTTGACACTTGTGAATTTGTAAAGAAGCTCTTCATCTTGTTTCATTGAAGGTGGAACTGTCGCGAAATTTTGGATCAAATTCCTTTTCTTCACATTCCTATCTTTCTGTAAGTAAAGGCTCCTACGCTTCCTAAAGCCACACATGTCGATTTTTATGACTTTGGATTGCATCAAAAAGGCAAAGAACCAATCTATAATCGACCAACAATTTTTTAATATAGGTCTGCGATTTGTGTTTCATAGTTTATTACGCCGTGGAGCAGGTATAAACAACAACATCAAAGAACCGATTGTCAGACTTTGTTTAAAACAATATTTTCACTTCTTTTCTAGTGTTTGAAGATCTGGGCATTTGGATGGCAAAGATACGTGACGTCAAAGGTAGCCTTAAGGGGGTAGTACATGACCTTATTTACGATCGCCTGTGACGTCAAAGATAGCCTCAAGGGGTAGTACATGACCTTACTTACGATTGCCCGTGACGTTAAAGGTAGCCTTAGAGGGGTAGTACATGACCTTATTTACGATTGCCCGTGACGTCAAAGGTAGCCTTAGAGGGTAGTACATGACCTTATTTACGATTGCCCGTGACGTCAAAGGTAGCCTTAGAGGGGTAGTACATGGCCTTATTTACGATTGCCCGTGACGTCAAAGGTAGCCTTAGAGGGGTAGTACATGACCTTATTTACGATTGCCCGTGACGTCAAAGGTAGCCTTAAGGGGGTAGTACATGACCTTGTTTACGATTGCCCGTTAGTTCTGTGTTATTTTTATTGATGTTTGTTCTATATAAAACCAAATTAATCTCACCGATTGTTTAACTTAGCAATAGAACGCCAGACCAAAAAGGGTTATTCGAGATATAGAAGTTAAATAGCTTGACAGTTCATTGTCTGTTTTTAACGTGATATCTAATAAAAAATATTGTATTTTCTTGCTGCAGCAAAACAAATTCGATATGATTATAACATTTACTTTGGTGGTAAGTCCTCCCTTTTCAATATTGAAGAAAAATGAAGAAAGAAGATGTGCAGTTGACTTTCGGATCGCGATTTTTTCTTCATAGATTGCACAAATTGTTGATATTTCTTTGTACGGTTTGCTGTTCAATACAAGTCAATCAAGGTAAGATTTATTACATCTTGTTAATGTAATCATGTAATGGACATCAAATTTCATAAACTGTTTTAAATATTTCATAGACATGGCAGTAGAACGGCGTCGTGGAATATACTAAAGCTCGTTAACATTCTAATAATATTTCGACTTGTGAGGGTTTTGTTTAACGTGAAGGTGGCTATAACCGTTATTATGATTCTTCATTTGAGCTCACTTTATCAACTTATTTTTTCTCGTTTCAAAGTCCTTATCAGTTATTGCAAGTTCATTGGCATATCTCTTGAGAAATCTGAAACCGTTTGGTGGAGTGATCGTGGTTGGTTGTCAATTACTTCATGTTATTAAACCGTAATTTACCTTGTATGCGACGACTAGCAAGCAATATAGACAAGATGCTAAAATAGAACTCAACATTAGCAGCCACTAAACGACATGAATTACATATTTAGGCTGTGTATTACTCATATGCTATCTTTGGTATGATGATATTTGAAAATGAAATCCAACCACTCGTGTCTGGTAACAGCACTACAAAGTTGGTAATATCTATAATGTCCAGTATAATATGTTCATCGTATTGATTATTTTAAATCTTATCCTACAGTTTTACTTGTGGTACGTACGAACAACTAGAGTATTGGGCAAATAACTTCAATGATTTCGGGGTAAAATATTTGACAGATAATAATCCCTGTATTTCTCTTTGTTAATATTTTGAACTCAACACCACTAGGCCTCTCTTGTTGTGCTTTGGGATGCGATGGTTGTCAACAATTGGCATGTTTTCTTACATGCCTATATGCGCTACACAAACAGGTAAAAATCTTGTTTTTAATCTTCCCATGTGATGCAAGATATTTTTAAGTTTATTTTGTAGATGGTCACAACTATATTTTGTGACATGGTACCTAATCTCAGTCGTGATATGCGTCAATTTATTTGTTGCGTTACTACTTGATGTAAGTATGTTATTAGTATCAATCTGATCTGTCTATTTTTTTGTTCGTGTTTTTGGAATAAGTTATTGTGTATGAATTGTGTACAATAAGGATAGGACCGGATATAAGTTGTGAATGGAAGATGTGATATGTTATCATGAATGAAAGTGAGGATATTTCTGTAATTTTTTTAGGTCTTCATTGACCGTTGGGAAGAAAGACAGAAGCAAAATAATGAAAATCGTTTAAGTGAAGAAGAATCCAGAACATTGACGCAGGTCAGCTACTAAAAATACTTGTCATGATTTTCTACGCACTTGTTTCAATCATTTACAAGATTATTTCTGTCCTATTTTAATGTCAGTCTTAATATTTAGTTTTTTGGTATTTCACTTGGAAAATGACGTTTATATTTTTAGTCATTTATGATTGAAAGAAAATCATTTCGTGTTCATGAAATGTTCTCAGAAGCTTTGAACGAACCTACTGAAGATGACGTCATTAGAGAACTCGTTTATCACGGTTTTACATTTCGATCTCATCCGTCAGGCGGTCAATCCCAGTCCACCTCTGATTATGACGTATGACGCGCACTTTGTCTGTTATTGTTCAAACTTCTTTTGTTGTCGACAAGGAAACTTTTTTCTTTTTATTGTAATTTAGAAATGTTTTTATAGTGATCATTGTAAACTAATTTATACGAAAAAGACTATCGAAAATTTTACCTACCATTATTGAAGAGTTTCTATCATCAGAACCATAGCAGAAATATGATTCTCTAGGTTTTTGTCAACGTTTTGCATAGTTTTGCGTTTCTATCAGCGTGGTACTTATTTTGAAATTTTGCTTTAAGTGGTTAAGGCGACGTCCAAACGTGCGTCCTTCGTAAATTTCACATTGATCCCAGGCGTTATGTAAGAACAAACGTTTTTTATGATTGAACATGCGCAATCTTATCCCATTGTGTCAAGGTGGTTGCAAACGTGCTTTTGTTGGTGTTTTACTATGTATAAAGATGTATGTGTTACCAAACGTGGTAATGACTCGTGGTAATGAAAAATTATTATGTTTGTCCTGAGATATTATCTATCAATACGTGATTTTGAAAATCTTTTCCCCTAATCAACAAGACCTGAAATTATAACATTTTTGCTTATTTTTTAATTATAGCTATTCGTCATTCAAATATTCATTGAAAGACTTTGCATAACTGTTTTTCCGACAGGGAATACAAATTCACATTTTGGTTGCTACAATTTTATTTATTGTCACCAACGTTAGCTTAGATGTCATGAATTCCATTCCCACGATAAAACAACTGCTTTATCTACCACTTCATGTCCCCACGCTAGCAGAGAAGGCACCAGACAGAAGACAAATCAGCAATAATAATCGCCCACTTTAGCGGCAAAACCACCAACCACCAGACAGCGGACAAGGTAATGAATAAGCAAGTCACAAAGTCAGACTGTTATTATGCTCACGTTCTTCGTTTGTTTTTAATTTGTTATCATTCATTTTTCACGTGCTCGATGGATGAAACATTTAAATATCCATTATCGTACACCCAGATAGCAATAGGTAATTATTTTATTGGTCGCTTATACATGGTTCTATTTGTCATAAGATCATCCTCAAATCATATTTAGCAACGTTAACATTATCTACTTTCCGATTCAAGAAGATTGTAATCAATGTATCTTAAAAAATTTCAAACTTCTACAATATGCTTTACATCATTTACGATAAAACTTAGTGAGATTTATCGAAGAGTCATAAGCTTAACTCACTTCTGCTCCTTCTTAAACATTGATAATTTATTTCATTCAAACGTACCTGTGTATGTCACTAGTCAAATATTGTCTTCCTATGGAAGCAATCTTTGAAAGAAAATTTTGCTCATTGTGAGTGCTTTCTTTTACTTTCAGAAAAAATTTTTTTCACTGGTTGATTGGAGAAGAAGACAAGCATTGATCAATGATTGCCCATCTATTTATTTTAATCGTCTTCCTCTCAAACTGTAAGTGATGTTAGAAGTGCGTACAATTTGAAGTCATTGAATATTCATTTTGTCTTAAAAGTTGATAAATCGACTTGCATTTTGTGACTTTCAACTTTTCTATTCAATGATAGATAGTTGGCCGGGTGATCGTATCCTATATTTAATGCCTGTAGTGATTGTTTGCCAAAACACTTGAAAATTACAAACAATTCTTTAATATGCCAGCAATGTTTGGCACTTTAAAACATATATATCGTATTTTCAACTTATTTCTGACATGAGCCGTATTTAACACTTTATAGCGAAAGCGTTAGTTACCAACGTTTTCAATCGACAATATCAATCTCTCCATTCGTTTAAGTTTTTATACAACAAGAAATTAACCAAATTCAAAAGATTTGTAGAAATTCATATTTTTGTACCAAAGTGCTTTGATTAATTCTTTCACAATAGATGGTTACTAGGAAACCTTTAGCGAAAGAGTCGGTTTCATGGCGTCCGTGATCAATAAAACCAACTCATTACCATTAGAAAAACATTATTGGTTAAAAAGGCAACACTTTGCTGTATATTTATATAAACAAATAGCATATTCTATGAAATACTTTAAACGTTACATATATCTCTTATGGCAACGTTTGAGGTGCAAATGGGCGAAAGATTTGTATTTTGTTTGAAGACGTTCCTTACAAAGTCCATTATCTCGCTGTGCATTCTGATTGGCCGGATCTTATCTTATGAAAGGTCCAGTGGTTTAAAAGAACATAACCTTTGTTGGTTGAAGTTGTTTGGAGTAAGTGTTTAGCATTAAAAGTATTTGTTGCATTTCGTTTCAGAAGTAGCGTAGGCAGTCCTTGATGGAGGTTTTTGATACGACAATTGTGAAGCGTGAAAATCTGGATGATTTTTCAAATGACAACACATACTTGGACCAATTTATGGTAAGTATTGCTCTAATTCAAGCAATACAATTCTGATCACATTTAGTATTTGAAAGATGCCATTATAATCGCCTTAATAATATGGATGAACTACTCTTGGATAATTTAACCTTTGCAAGGTTTTGTCTTGCTTCAAGTGGTAAAGTTATGAATGAAGAAAGGATGTGTGTTGTGAAATGTGATTCTCTGAACCAGTGTTCATTGCTAATGTTTTCCTGTACATACGAGGCGGCAATTGTTGTATTGATCATGTATTTCATTTATTTCAAGTCTAAGTTATTTTTTCGTCCACAGCCCTATGGAGCTGAGGTGTTTGAAACACAGTCAATAGATTGGTTCTCCGGTTTGGTAGACGACCGTACAATGCCATCGACATTGGGAAGTTTATCGGATTATTCAAACCTAGATCCGAGCGAAGAACGTTCCAATGGTTTTGATCTCCAACAACGAAATAATCATTATAGCATTTACCATGAAACATCTTCCTCAGAATTGGATCACGGACCAGATTTAGATAATAGCGAGTTAGAGATCGACGTGAAATCGTTTTACTCCCAAGAAAATTTCTATTCGCAAGGTTTAAATACTACAGACGCTTTGATCGAATTCAAGACTGAAAATATTAAAACGGAAAGGAACGCGGATTATCTCATGAAATGCAGTGAAGAGGACGCGCTTGGACTTAGTGATCGTGACAGCGAGTCAGGTATGTGTTTTAGTTTACTATAGTAGGCCTCAGCTACTATAAATTCCTTACATAATTATTGTCAAATAGATATCGTTTATATTGTTCTGTTCTTACTAAGTTTTCTTTATGCTTATGCAAATTAGTTCTACGAAATGATTTCGTTTACCTATTCTATGTATTTATGTAAGTCCATCAAGTGAACTGATGTACTTCATGTAACGTTGATGGTTTTTGCAATCTGTTTATTTTTGAAGCTGCATTCATCATTTACGATAGATTTTACCAGACAGAAAGAAAGCATTTGTAAAAATTCGCAATGCCTTGTGAATGAGAAGTGCAACGAAGCGTTCTGCAATTTAATATTCTTCACTGATTAGAAATTTAAATGTCGATGTATTTGAAAATTGTTTATAATGGTAATGGTGAAATTACAGTTCAACTTGGTTGGATTGTAGTTTATCAGTTAGGTAGTTGTTCTGTTGTTCCTGCAAAAGTTTTATATGGATTTAAAAAAGCTACGTTAATTTTTTATATTACAAAGCCTTTTGCCAAATTATTCAAAAAACTAACGTACCAAGCTTTAGTCCTTTACAATGTTTTGCTACATCTAACCTTTCAACAAAATGTTCCTTTCTCGACTTAAGTTGTTGAATAATCAACTCTTTTTTCTTTAAAAAAAAACCCAAGAAACTTTGCAATTTGTGATTCAACATTCAATATTGAACCATTTTAATTTTGTAGTATTGTAAGACATTTTAGAGCGGTATTGAAATATTGCATAGGGCTGTTGAATCAACGTTACTGTCGTAGTTCACTTCATTCACGAATAGTCAATGCAATCTAAACAGAAAAATTAAATTTTTGGCGAAGCAGTGAATTATATAATCGGCAATTATAATAGATTCAGGAAAAATATTTGTTATGGAAAATCGGTGAATTATTGAAGAAGTGTTGTATCGGAATAAAACAATAGTTGTCGCCCTTCCCTGAACTTTGCTCTATCTATATTGGCTTGTTTCTCCTTAATTTATGCTGCACTCTGTACTGTACTGAAACTTGACGATTATTGTGTATTTTTATCGTTGTTGTTTTTGCAATCTCGGTTAAGATTGGATAAAAACGTACTCACGATATCTCGTCAATTTAAATGAAAAACTATTGAATTGTTTTTTACGCGCAATTTACAATTCTCGGTTAGGTTTGTCTGCATGGTTTGCTTTCGTGTAAGATAAAAACATCATGACGTTACGTTTAACATCGTCGGTCCAGTAACAGTGAAGATAGCTAAGTTGCTTTTTGCAGCAACTCAAGGACAATTGTTTATATTTCAAATTTAAAAGCAAGTTGCCATTTACTTTTTTCATGTTTATAGTTTGTTCTTTCTAATATTCGCGTGCAATTTAAACAATTCAAAACCTTAATTAGAAATTTATTGCAAATAAGCTTTGAAAAAACATTGCGTTGCTTGGCTACAGTAATATTTTGACTCTACAGAAGAGTGCAGAACTGAGTTGGCTGGAACGTTCTTGTACAAGATTAACCCTACAAGTTACTGTGTACATGTGGGATGTTGTCGCTAGGCATGCTGGATAGTTTTTGATTTTGGTTTTTTCAAATATAATTGAATTCTTTCAGTTTCACTTATGTTCAAAATATGATCCGCCCGTCGCTTACGTTTTCCTGACGTATTTCTATAATTGTCAACATCCTGTATACAACCAGTATGCAAATTCAAACGTTACTAATAATATAATATACTCAATGTGTGAATTGTTCAACCATAGGTTAAACTGCGGGTATCCTGACAGGAATGTGCGTCGATAGAAAACATTCAAATTAAGAAACTTTTGCTTTAATGGATTTTCGTTTCATTTTATAAATGAACATTAACTTTCACATATAAATGAAATTCTCTTTGTGTTTTTTAACATATAAGCTCTTAAAGTTTGCATTTTGTGTTCAAATTCAAAACTCAAAGCGAAAGATGACCTAGACGCTTCAGTGTAAATTGTTTTAAATGTTTGCCAATAAAGCATTCAATAGCCTTTCAATTCATCAAAGAACTCTTATCTGCTAATCATTTGCATTAAAGACCACGAAATTATTGTCGAGGGCAGGAAAATACTTGCCAAGAATGTAAACAGTAATTTGTCTTTAAAAATAGTGGCTGGTGTTTGACTTGAAGAAAATAGTTAAGTGATGAGTATATGATTGAAATTGTGAAGCATTTGATGTTAAGAGCTCGTTTTGTCTGTCAAACATAATGATTTTACAAACTCTATATGCAAAAATTGTTTATTGTTAAAATTACATCAACCGTTAAAGGCCAAGCTGTTTTTGTGCGTTATCTTCGTTATTCCCATGGATTTGTACGTAATGTTTCATTATTTCATCTATTTTTGCATACAATTATATATGAAGCCATTCAGTTTCAGAGACAATTATCTTGGGCTTGGTCGGGTAACTCTGAAGCCAATATTACTGCTTGACCTTGTTTGTTAATTAAGTGTCACGCAAATTTAATGGCTCTTGTTTTGTGATGCAATGATTATACTTCCCTCCTGCCTTGCCGTATTAAGAATACTATCTTCTCGAAGCTTCATGCAGTGTTTTCAATGTTATGTTGCCATCTACTCTAGTTAGGTATCTTCTCTAATCTTGGTGTTTTGCATGTAATGTGTGTAGGTTATGATTCTGTTGCCCATTCGCCTACGTCAGAAACTCCAACTACTCCATCAAGGTGTTTAATAATGGCATCATGCGATAACGAGATATTAAATCAAGGGGCAAATGAAGTTAGGTCTCCAAATGAACAGGTAATTCTTCTTATTTATAATGAGCATTGTGAATGATCTTTGTACAGTGCCTTTTATGTAAAAATCTTAAAATATTGTTTTTAGACTGACAATCGACGGCCTTTCTTTTTATCTGACGAGGAAAAACGAACTTTAATTACTGAAGGCTTGCCAATCCCTGCAGGTTATCCTCTTACCAAGGTAACCAAAGTTATTGCCAATGGCCAAGAATAGATTTTACCGCAATTAAGCAAACATCGATTACTCAATAAAAAATATTTAAAATACAAAGCATCTTTCTTGTCTGCGCATGCTTTAACTGCATGAATACATCAATCAGCAGTTTTCAAGGTGGAAGGTCAATCTAAAAATTTGATCTACTACCTTGATCTTAAAAATGGATTATAATGCGAAAGTTTGTGGATATTGGATTTTTACTGTATTTACATTGAGTCTTACATTATAGTCGGAGGAAAGAGCGTTGAAAAAAGTTCGCCGGAAAATAAAAAACAAGGTAAGATTTAGCAACAGGCAAAGTTCGTGCAGCCAAATTATGCAACAACGAAATCTTCCTTGCTAAATGTTACATGGCATCGTTTTGCAGATTTCAGCCCAAGAAAGCCGTCGTAAGAAAAAAGAGTATATGGAGCACTTGGAAAAAAGGTTACAGAATGCTTGCATTTAGTTGAACTTCATTTCTTTTCATGAAGTCATCAATCTGCTCTGCTTGCGAGCTGTGACTTTGAAAGTGCTAGCGACCGTTAAAAACTAAAGGAATATTATAAATGGAAGGAAACTTAGCTAGTCATTTTCTATTTTCTGCAGAGTTGAAATGTGCTCGAATGAAAATCGTGACTTGCGAAAAAAACTGGATAATATGGAAACGGCAAACAGGTATGACACGACTTAAAATCATGTCGATCTTTCGACATTAACATCAATGCTAAAATTCTCTGAATTGTATTAGGGCGTTGATCAGCCAGTTACAAAAACTTCAATCGATTGTTGCATCGAAAGTTTCGACAACGCTAACTGCCTGCATGTCTACACAAACTGAGGTAGCTATCTTAATGAATAATTTGTGTGTTTTTCATGCTCAAAATTTTTTATATGAGAACGACCAAGTGTTGTATGTAATTCACAGGAGGAGAAATCTAGTTAGTCCGAATAAGAAAATTTTGGGAACGTTTTTCTAAAAATGGCAAATCCTGTGAGAAGATATCCGAAAGAAGACGGAGTAAAATAAAATGAAGTTGATTATAAATCACTTGACAAAAATTCAATTGAATATTTTTCTACTTCTTAAAAGGATGGACATTATTTGTAAATAAAATAAGTCTGAATGTTAATTTTAACGCTAAAGTGAGAGCTCACAATATTGCATTGAAATAAAATAGGCAAAGTGTACACTTCGCTCGTCCTGTACACCGTTTACAAATATCTTATCCATCTTTATTATTTAAAATGAACAGTGATGGTTTTTATTTGTTGATATATGAAGGTAGAATTTAAATTTTGGACGAAGAGAATGTAGATATTTATGAAATTTCGCTTATTTTGTTTCTTTGATTGAATAGAAATGTTTGTCTTTATAATTTTATTTTGGTCTGTGCTATGTTGTTGTCTTTGGCGATGACCAACTTTGCCAACTGTAATTTTACAACGGTCAAAGTGTACGACTTTTCTTAAATTTGGTTTCATATGTGGAATGACCACTTTTTCTAATGTCGACTGCTGAACAACCTTATGTAAATGTATATTTGAGAGGATTTACCAAATCGTGCTCTATATGAATGTAAAAATCTTCATTTTCTGCTTGGCAATGTTTATGTCAAATCTTGTGTATATATCGTTTTTCATTGCACCCAAAGAAAAATTCTTATGTTCAGATTTGCATGGCTTGAAGATTGTTAAAATATATTTTTTATGTTGCAAACAGCTATTTAACATTGACATTAATGCACAAACGTGAATTTTTTGAAAAGTGTTTGAGTATAAGCTCTCGGATGACTATAGCTATAGCTATGTTTGGCTGTCGTACAGAAAATCGCCGTACGTAAGAAAATAAGTTTTTCAAGTTAGTCTAAACAGGTTCTTATATAAATGGAGTTTATCACTATATTTAAACAAGTTCTTCAAAAGATTCTTATTTTCTAGGGGAAAGGGGACACTTATTTCGGCTTGTTCACAAAATATTTATATTCATTCTGGAAAAGTTGTTTATTAAAATTACAGTATTCGCCCTTTTACCAACCCTGTATTTCAGTATTAGTCTAATAGCTTTATCTAGTGTTTTGAATTTTGTTTGATTTTCATTACTGTGTGAATTATGTGTAGATTTTCTAGTTGCATTTTTTAGTGTCTATCTTAAAATGACAAAAAATCACTGTTTCAAATCTTCTACTGAACACCATTGTAGCTACTGACTTGCTTGTTTTTACCTGAACGATCAACGTGAATTTCTGTAAAGATGAAGAGTAGTCGCCGAAGAAGAAACCACTGTTTACCACTATTTTAAAGCTGAAACTTTGGCATTAATTTTTTCAATTGTTGAGAACAATGGTAGATAGGATTTTGAGGGGGGTATTCTTGCAAACAGTTAAATATTCTCACAAGCAAACGGCTAACGCCTGCTATAAGAAGAAACAAGCAAGATTTATAATTTTTGGGGGAGGAATTTTATGTTTGCCCTTGCATTTTTCACCATTTTATAAAAGTTATGGATAAATGACTGCTGATCAATTGTCTGCGCATTTTTAGCTATTTTTGCCTTGCCACCTGAAATTTGATGAAATAACGATTTTCGATATGTATCGCACATTGACTCTGCAGATAAATTGTAACTTTTCGCTACTGCATATGAAACCATTGACTTACATCCACATAAAATGTTTTTCAAGTGTCTTGCTCGTGTTCGGTCTTTTTTTATGTGACAATGCTGCTATGAACCTGCCTCCTATAAATGGTTTCTCTAATGTCGTTTCCTGTGTCCTATCACTATGAAGTATAAAGTGATGACTTTTTCAAGTGAGTCAAATCCATACTCAAGTTTCCGGGATAAAATGGCTTTACATAAGTCGTGCAATATCGATCGTCGTGTCGTGTCCATTCTTCGTTCGTGCCTGGTAATCAGCGGGTGTTTATGCCTGCAATGGTGTGAAACAAAATGCTATCCTCAGTCCCACTTCGGTTCTTCGGCCAGCCTCACATTTCACAAATATATATGGTCTAACATCTATACTGTTGATTAAAAATTACGAATAGCAAAATAAAGAGACGGTAAAGCTGGAGAAAAAGTGAAAATGTTTCATCACAGACATTCAGATTTACCAGAATTGCAACAAGAAGTTGCGCAACTGCGCAGAGAAGTTAAAATACGCCGAATGAAAGTTTCTCAAGTATCAAACGAGTAAGTTGCATCTCAGTTTAGGCATGCTTAATGTTGAAAATATTTGTGAATATTGTGTGTAGCATTGTGCTCCTTTGAGATCAGTTAATATTTAGCTAGAATGTCATTGTTATTGTACCATTTGTTTTGACGTGTTATTAACTTTTTATATTATTTGTGACATTGCGTGCGAAATTTGTCTGATTAAGCTCGATGAATGATATTTGCGACATGAAATGACTTCCTATTGTGGAAACAACATATATTTGCACAGCTATGTTTTAGTTTATGTAGCAATCGTTTTCGGACAAGATGACTGTAAATAGACACGTTAACCTGTGTAGCGTTCAAATCAAACGAATGTTCTATTGGAATCTAATCAATTAGTTAAAGAATTGTAATGTAAAACCCGTTTAGCAAATCATCCATTAGTTTTCACATCAACTTCAACAATTACATTAATGGCAGATGAACGAAATTGAGTCATGCTGGTCTTAATTGATAATGTTTTATCATTTCTCCTACGAATAAAAGTATTGTCTTGAAATTTTTGCTTTTTGGAAAATGCACTTTGTTCTTTTCGTAATACTTTTCATTCGTTTTGATTTTATATTATTAATAGTCGTTAAAAATGTAGGCAATGTTTTGGATCTGGCATGTAAAAGTGATATATAACATGTCAAAAGAAGTATTATGTCAACAATTTTCAAACATTTAACCAACCAGCTTTCCTTACAACTTGTCATCCAACCAATGAAAATTAACTTAAGATAGAGAAGTTTAACAGTTTGAGCTACTCTGAAGATATTGTTTTCTAATCTTATGTACTTTGCCGTATGTATGAGTGGCAGATTCAGCTAAAGGCAAAATAAATTACTTCAATTTACAGATTGGTTAGTCTTTATTCTTTAGAAACTCATAACCAGTTACTTTTATATAAAGGTATATTAGATTTGAAATTGGCAGTTATAATTTATTTTGCCTAACCCTGAATCCGCTATTGTGTGTGATATACAATCAGATGGTAAGATGGTAGTGTAATAGTTTGTCCTCTTCTTTTATCTTGTGCAGTTGTTGATTCAACCTTAAATTATACTTTAAATATAACATTCTAGAGGTATTTGCTTCTCTTAACTTTTACTGTCAACTCTCAAACCTGTACTCTGAAACTTTTCTAAGACTTATGATCAAATGGTCATTAGTTAACTGACTATTTATTTTGTTTTGTCAACAGCATCATTCAATATTGTGAAAGCAACATGACAAGTGATCCATTGGTTATGAAGATTCCTATGAATGAGAATCCATTCAGAGATCGCAGCCGGCCTTGTGTAATGCTATAACTTTATCAATGACTGAACTTGTTGGATATAAGCATTCCTTTAGGTTTTTATTTGTTGCTCATTGTTTGTGGAAAAAGTATGCTATAAAATACTGATAGCCATTTATTAATTGTTCCTGTATAATTAGTCATTTGTAAATGGGTTTGGTTTAATCACATAGCAAAATGAAGTTGTGTGATACTTTCTATGCTTCATGTGCATGATCATTAGGTTCAATGTATTTTTATTTGTTACTTGTTAGAACTTAGAAATACTTTTGTTATATGTGGTCTAATGATCAAATTGGTCATATATACAAAACAGTTATTTTGAGATTAGTTTTGTTTGTTGGTGCAGTAATTCACAGGATGTGAATATTCTCGAGTAGAGTCAGTAGAGTTGAGTGTCGAACATTGAGTTATATACATTGATTACATAAGACCTTGAGGGAACCACTGGAGGGGGAACATTGTCAACCTAATTTCTATAAATGGGCGCGGCCTGTGGTTAAAAAACATTGCGGATTTTGTCAAAGTTAGCGGAAGACGCAGGCTTTTGCCCACCCACCCCTGATTTTGACAACCACGATTGCGAAAAAAAAAAATATCAATGCTATTATTCCAATCACGAACAATTTTATTTATAAAACATGCTGCAAACTTTTGTCGTATGCGGATGCTGAAGTATTGCCAGAAAATGAAACATTCCTGACACCGGTAAGCAACCTAATATTGTTTATTATTAAGTGTTCAGTCAGAGTGCATTCAGTGTAATCATTGAATGTAATTTGTACACCATTGACCTGACCCTCCTGACATAAGCTATTGCAAAAATCTATACCTTAACAAGGAGTTGACTTAATGGTCTAAACTTTACTAAAGTTTGTAATTTAAAACTACTCATTTTTACGCCAGTCAAATATTTGTACGCCGTTACGCCAAGCTGTGTTACACTGGATATCTTCGCACTTTAGTGCACAGAATGTATCCTGGTCAGTATGTTGTTTTTAAGTCAATAATTGAAGCGTGATGGTATATATTTTGTGAATGTTTTTACTACAAAGTTTATAAAATTGAAGTTATGTTGTTCCAGCCTTATATGTTCTTTACTTAAATGCCTGCTACACTGAGATTGTAGAAGGATTAGTTCACGTTCATTCACAGGTAGAAAATGAAATGTGAATTTTTGTTTAGCACAATAAATACATATAAAGACTTATTATTGGCTATGTTTCTCTAATTTTTGCCAATAGGGTATGATGCAAGTAAACGCATTTGACATTTTTGGTTTCTATTTTTACATTTTTTATGTGTTTTCTTTAAAAAGTGAACTATTGTCAAGGAAAAAGAGTTTGGTCTTTGGATACATTGAAAAGCTCATTTTGGACTTGTAAGTTCCCACTGGCTTATGCAAACCTCTGAGACGTTTGTAAGAACTCTCGAGCAAGTGCAACCTTCTCAATCGTCTCAGACGTTTGCATAGGCCAGTGGAAACTAGAAAAACATTTTTTATTTTTTTTTTTTCAAAAAATTTTTCAAATTCTCTTTGACTGATTGATTTTTTTGGTTGGTTGAGCTCAGATGTTTTTCACTGGCTAATGCAAGCATGGGTATAGACCAATCACCGCACGCGTTTTATTGTTTTTATTTTGTACAATTTTTGATCTCTACTGTCGCATTCAATTACCCGCCATGTTTTTGACAATCGGGTCCAGGCCCCTTGTTCCCATAGAACCTCAATCAATGTTGTCGAGTTGTCATAGAATATTTATCAAACGCCCATCCTTTACAAAGACTACTTTGTTTTGATGAAAATGTTCCAGACAAAACAGAATGATTATGAGACTTTAAAAAAAGATCTCGAACAATTGAGAAGAGAAGTACGAATTGAACGAATGAAGGTGTCTAAAAGCGTCGAAGAGTTGAGTATAAATATTTCTGAACGGCTTGGTTTGTTTGTTTTGCGTTTCGAATGATTTGTTAGAATGTCAAATTGTGCGGCGTGTTCGAGAAAATCATCGTTGAATTTGTTGCAATTGAATAATATTAGAAACGTTCATGATATTTGCGCTCTAATTTGTCATTGATTGAGGACGAACACGAAGGGGGACAAACAGAAAAACAGTGACAAATGCCTTTTCCTGTGTGAGATATTTCAAATTCTATAGGTGATCTTTTTCTTTATTTTTTGTCATCATTTATGTAAACCTTTGCTCCGCTAGGCAAGTCTCGATCTAAGTAACCGATTATTTGTTTTGCATCCTCTAATAATAAACCAATATCAACGAAGAGTTTAAAGAAATCTCCTTTTTAAATCCTTTGCAGCATTATTAGATTCTGTCAACAGTACCAAGATAGTGATCCGTTGTTGAACAAAATTCCCTCAAGTGACAACCCGTTCACTCATCAGGATAAACCTTGTGCTGTTTTGTAATGGTGAAAGTTAACTTAAATGATACGATTACATACACGTAAATCATGGATATTGGATAATCATTTTACAATCATATTCAAAGCTATTTTTACCAACAATAAACTTGTTCAAGCATTTATAAATATGAAATACTTGCAATGTAATGCATGAAATGAAATGGATTGATTTTTATTATTGTATATGTGATAAATTACTTTAGTTATAGCATCATGGTCAATTATCCATCGTATTTCTACATCTGTGTGAGGCTTGTAGGAACAACAGTATCTTCAAAAGCAGTTCATCCTACAGTCCACTAAAACGATATTTGTATGATATATTGAGAAGATGAGAGACAGGCCTAACATAAAAATATATAGATGCCACCAACCTTAAGTCCGCCACCTCCACTTTGATTATCATTGAATGCCTTTTTCTCTGCGATCTCTTGTCGTTGTCTCTTTCTTTTTACCGCATCTGGATCTTTCAAACCACGTCCTTCCATCTATGAAAGAGGTGTATTATTTGAGCAATTTCTTTGGCGTGTCCTCATCACTCATGAAATAAAACACATTTATTGACGACGACAGTTTTTAACCAATGACATGTAAACAAACTTCTTTTTGTCTCTTAACTGCAGCTTCTTCTTGTCGCCGTCTTTTTTCTTCCTAGTGTTACGAGGAACGTTTTAGTTACAATTTAAATTATGTGTGAAATGATTCCACAAAATACGTAATGTTTGTTGACATCTTACTGGATCTGGGTCTGACGTTTGCGAGTCTTCTCCATAGAAACAACAATTTCCCATTTTTTCGTCTAAGATAACTTATTACTGTCAATTTTATTTTTAAACTACATTCATATTTGGCCACAAGAATTTTCAAATGGCTTCGTTTCGTTTTGTTTGTTTTCATTAAAATTGGATCAACCAAAATACATCACTTTTCTTTCGGGATCTCCCGTTTTCGTACGTGCAACTACGTACAACATCGTTCATCGTGAAAAAGGCGGGAAAGCTCAAATTTACAAAGTTTTTCATCGTTTGGAGTGCTTGGAGCCCAGTTGGAAACTGCATTTACAGTAGATAGCCATATGTGCTCTTCAAGAATATAAGTTGATAAAACTAAGCACAGAAATATCCGTTTCATCATGGTTTTGCATTTTACAGACACACTTGTAAAAGTACTCAGCAAAACTAATCAGTAGAAAGGACAAAACTACAGCAAATATGGAGGTATATTGTTCACACAATCTACCAATAGTCGCTGTTTGCTCGTGAGTTATTGTTATTCAATGCATGTTTCAGTACTTTGACCCATCACAAATTTTTTTTTGAAGTCTGTTGTCTTGACAAGTGGGAAAAATAGTATTGGCTTCATTGTCATTGGACACATGTAGCCTGGAGGCTGGCCATTGCAAACAACATTTTAAAATGAAATAACATGATCATTTATTGATGGTTCTTACTTCTTGTGACGGAAAGTTCTCTTAGGTGAGTTCAATACATCATGTGATAGAAATATTTGTATCTTTTCATCCAGCTATTGTCCTTGTTACAAGTGCACAAAAAATATTATGGTCTTGAATGCTATTGGAAAGGCAATTGCCTTAACTCTCCCTCCTTTGCCATCACAACTTTATTTCTTAAGTATAATACATAAGTATTGTATATAAGAAAAGAGCAACAGTTTATTGTGTGAACAAATACACTTCTCAAAGAGAAAAACACTAATTCAACAAAACTGTTGGTTGGAAATTTCTGAAAAGTATTTCAAAGCCAAAATTTTGGCTATTGGATTGTTTTCCAAGTGTTTTGAATTTTTTAAATATAAGATTTGTAATGTTTCTTAGTTACCCTTGATGTGCAAAATATGCCTTCATAAGGTCTGCAATATTGCCATGTTCATTGATAACTTTATCAATGGCTCAAATACAATCAAAAACAAATAGATTTTAATAGAGCAAAAGCTCAAACAGCCTGTGTTTACTAAATTCTATACATCTTTACTATTTGTAAAAAGACAAGATTGCATGTACTTGCTAAAATACTTGAAATTTTCTTGTATGCCACAATGTTGTTTTTCGAACTTCATTAACAACATTACTTTGATTTGTCAAGTTTTGGATTGTAATTTGCATGCTGGAATTTTAAGTGTTCTCCTGTGGCTTTGAACTTTGTTTAACATGATTTAGTAAAGTGAATTGCTTAAAAGACAAAGTAAGACTATTGGTGTTTTATGTTTGTATGTTTCATAAAAATATCACCGACATGCACCCTACATTTACATATTTAGAAAAGCAGTTCTTATAGTGTCTGAGAGGCAGGCCTGTCTTTGTTTTGTGTTACTTTGCAGACATTGTTGGGACATTATCCCTTACATTTGAAGTAGCCTCATAAATTAAAAACATTTTGCAACGCATGCAAAATGGCCTGAAAAGTCAAAAAAGTTTAAATTGGCTTACAATGATAATGTTGGTAGTAAAGTAATTTTGTCTTCAATGATAATATCGATGATCACGAACAATTTATTCATTTTTGAAGCATGCTTCCAATCATGAAGATTGCCGGCTATCGATTAGAGATTCTCATTAATCATTTTTGGTAGTCTTATCCAGGTGCTTGGAAAGCCATTGGTGTCTGGGTGTCCAAACACTCACAATTTTTGTAGTGTGGGTGTACCTTAAAGGAAGTACACCCACAAATTTAGCTTCTCATTTCAACGTTTATGTTAAGTGTACCAAATTTTCAAATTATTGAACGGGCTTTAATTGTTCGAACATTTACGAAATGACGGAAATGCGCAAGTCATTTGTATGTAATGAAACACAACAAAAGGATTTGGCAAGATTTTTGTGATGTTTGCTCGAAAAAGCAGAAAAACCGATTGAAAATAAGTAACGTGAAACAATTTTATTGCTATTCAAAGTTTCTTGCGTTATGTCATGGCGAATATGGAACACCCCCAAATCTTGAACGTTTCCAAATCCTCTTATCACACAAAACACGTCAATTGACATGGAAACTGTGATGGCATTAAGTTTGTTCTGTTGTTTTGCGTAGAAAATCATTTCTTGATATAAAGCTATTGGTTTTTAGCAATCGATTAAATGTGTCACAGCACCTTTTGCATAAATGTGCAAAAAATGGCGAACTAAGTTCTCATTGAGCCGATGTTTAAGCTTTTTAAAAAGGTTGTCATGTATGAAATGAAAATTCCTTGAGATTGTAACATGTACAACTGTAAGAAGTTTCCATTGTAATGTCGGCAATATCGAGTCCTGAGAACAACTTGTTAACGACTATCATTTAATATATTAATTTCAATGGCTATAAGGTTTGCACTGCTCTTAAACCAATCAGAATTCAGAATTTTTTCATGTATCTTATTAAATATATTAATTTCATTGGCTATAAGGTTTGCACTGAGAAGTCTTTGACGTCCTCTCACCCTAAAACTTTGTTTCATGTACTTTAATGAAGATTGTTTACCAGATTATCGGCTTAAAGACATATATTTTGCATAACACGAAGTATCAGTTTTGCAACGAGAATGTCCTTTCTTTGGCAATTATTGGCGGTAGTTGTTACCCTCTGAAGTCATATGTGAATTTCTTCATTGATTCCTCCTGCCATACTATAGTAGTTATCATCCTCGTTTTCTCTTTGCTTGGCTCTATCACGATGTCGTAGTCGATCAAAGAACTTCTTTAGTGATTGATACTTTGCTGCTTTCTGCTGGCTGTCCTTGGAACCTGCTGCTGCTGCTTCTTGAGATTCACTGTAGAAGCGTTCAAAGTTCGCCACGATGACAGGCACCGGTAAAGCTATTGCCAAAATTCCTGTGCATGCGCAGACGCCTCCAATGAGTTTACCAACTGACAGGAAAAGAATAACACTTAGAACAACACGTATAGAATGTAGAAAAATTGACATATGTGTACATTGCAACTCGTCTTACTTAGTGTTGTAGGATACATGTCTCCATATCCCAGTGTTGTCATGGTTACAATGGCCCACCAAAATGAATGTGGTATACTTTTGAATTCACTGTTTTCTGTTTTCATTTCAGCATAATATATAGCACTTGCAAACAATAACACTCCTGTAAAAAGAGATTGCAAAAACGTGTTTAAAGATCAGTGTTTCATATTGATGATTGGGATAAATAAATCTTAGACAGTACAAAAAAGACTTGTAGTGCATTTTAAGCACGCGCATGAAACTCATTGATATTGTCTGTCATCAAATGAATTCTGCTGTTTAACCGGGGCAAGTGAAAACTCTTGATGAAAAATGTTTGCAAACATGATGAGAACGTTTATAATGTAAGGAGACACTCACCAATGGAGAGAAAGAACACAAGTAATCCTAGCTCTTGTACACTTGCTTTCAACGTCAATCCAAGAATTCTTAAACCGTTCGAATGTCGTGAAAACTTGAATACTCGAAAAACCCGGACAAGTCGAACTGCTCTCAAAACTCCCACTGACGACACATCATTGCTCTTAATCAATGCAATACTAATGAAAAATGGAAGAATGGCTATTAAATCGATAAAATTCAGAATATCCTTGGCGAATTTGTATTTATTTGGTGAGCTTATCAACCTCGCCAAATATTCTATTGTGAACCATGCAATGCATGATGTTTCCAAGATGAAGAGCGGTGACTTGTGTTTATCGCTGTCGTTGTCCTTGTTATATTGTGGCAACGTTTCAATGCAAAACAAAACAACCGAGACAAGAACTACAGCACAGCTTAACCAGGCGATGATCCGAGCTGCCGTTGAAGTCTCGGGATGTTCGAACAAATTCCAAACCTTGCTCTTAAAAGTTGTCGATGTTTCCATATTTTCATTAGATTTTTCCGTGATTGAATTGTACTTCTCATCTGCACCTGTGAATAATATATGTATTTTCGTCAAATGTCAAAACTAAAAACAGCCATGGGAAAGTTATTGGGCTTCATCCAAAAACAACATTTTCAACCTAACGAAGAAAGACTTGCATCTATCAAATAACGAAAACCATCGATTACTGACAAAAACCGCCGAATATTATTGTGCTGGGTGTATAAAAAAAGCCCCCGAACAGTTTGGCAAACGTCGCTTAAATCATCAGCGCGCAAGATTTGAAAAAATCTTTTGTAGAAATAGTTGAACTTGCAATGGTTCATCCAGACAGTAAAATTTTCTCAAATAACAATTTTTAATTGTGTTACCAAGAAACACTTTTGAAATGACGCAGCCAAAAAGCAATTGGAGCACGCAGGGAGAAAATAGGACACCTGTTTTTCAAGCTGAGAAAGTTTTGACTGATGTGTACGTGAATGCTAGCTTTCAAATTTCGGATTATTTTTAATTTTTAGTTTTAAAATGCCATCTTGTTATAATCGTCATCAACTGTGCCTAAATTTGAGCCTAAACTAATCCAAATATTAATAATTGATGAATGTTTCAAGAGAATGGCAATTAAAAAGATAGAATACAAAATGATCTGCGATATGCATGCCCAGCTTTTGTGCACGCTTTCGCCAAGTTTTAGTTTAAATAACATGTGTCACATTTTATCCCTATGTGTTCCAATTGCCTTTTAGCTGCACCATTTTCGTGTGCAAGCTATTTCAAAAGTGCTTCTTGGTAACACAATCCTCACTCATAAAATGGTTATTATTTGGAAAAATTTTATTGTCAGATAATCCATTTGAAGTCCAAACAACTATTCCATCAAAGATTTTATCGGCATGCCTTGTGTGCTGATAACTTTTGCGACGCCTTTCTAACTGTTCATTTTTATTTCCATACACCCTTAATAATGTGAATGTATATGGAGATTTTCATGTTGTCTTTTTGCTCACATATCTCCACTCATGTTTAATGAAAAACGATGTGTTAACCACATCGACATGATATTTGAAGGGTAGTATAAATTATAACCTTTATCTCGCTGTAAAACATCGTCTCCAAGATCGTAGAATTGTATTTCTTTCACAAAGAGGATATCGGGAACATTATGGGGTTTAACAAGGATACCGTTACTCTGATAATATGTTAATACGGATTCAAAACATGCTCTGTTCCTATCCAAGTAATATTCTTTGTTTATCTCATCCCAGTATTTTTCACGTCTCGTTTTATCACCAAGCAGCGTATTGGGAAATCGCCGTAAGGTTGCCTCCTGTATGTCATATTTCTCGCCGCATATATTAAATTTTTGTCGGTTGCTTTTTAATTCGAGTTGTGTCGATTGTTCGGATGGAAAGGACCTTGCTCGTTCTGGAGACAAGAAACGTGTACGTCTTGGTGAATTGAGCCGAGTGTTTGCAAAAGACATTTCAATATGTTCTTGAACTTGCTCTTTTGTCTTCGTGTTTACGTATTTTGAACCATCCTTATTATAACATTCTATCTTGTCCACGTAATATTTTTTGTATAATTAAGTTGCATTTTTATTTTACACTGGTCGAATGTGCTTGTAATTCATCTCATGATAGCTTGAGCATAATTTTTTTATAGTTTTTCATTCGTTTTAGTTTTCTCCGAGACCACCATTACTTTGCCTGCTTTACCTTCTGATTATGAATTATGAACAAGTTAGCTGTTTTGTAAGTGAACTTTAATTATGCAGAGATAATTACGCTTATTAATAATATATCACACGTTGTGTTTTTGTGAAATGCAAATATTTTTTATTTTGAACTGTGAAGCTGTAGTAATCTGTCTTTTTGCAGCAATTTCATTCTTTATTGCATATATCAACATTACTTTTGTGGCTGATTGTCTCAACTAAAGAGCAGTTCCTTTCATTATCTTATTCGTTTTAATGAAAATCATATCTACTATCCTAACATCACTTTAATGATCTAACGACAGGCGTATTTAGGAAAATATAACATCGGTATAATTTAGCAAACATTTGAACCTGTAAAGTTACGACTAAAAATTTAAAATAGGTTGACAATCAGCCATTTCTGCGTTAGTCATGTAATATTTAAAATGTGAAAATTCTTCAATACACAAAAAGGCGTTCTAATTTTGTGGTGAGGCAAACAGTTTAGCAATGAAATGCATTGTAAAGTTATTCAATTCATCATATGCTAGCTACGAGTGGAAAAGATGCATGAATGCAAAATTGGAAATAGTTTTCGTAGGTTCATATGAAAAATATACCGAAAATTTTTCAATTTTACTTGTTTTTCGACGTCCTCTCATAAATATGTACATGGATTTTCGCATTGTTAATTTTCATATAAATGCTTGATAATGTTCCATTAGAGCACATCAGAGTATTATATTTTTCATTTAAAACTAACAATTCTTTCTTTACTGTGTTTATGTTCTTTTACTTTATGACACGCTTGCAAGTGTTGGACATATACATCTTCTAGTTGTGCCTTTATTTCATTTACATATTCAAGTGACGTCAATTTCTGTACAGTTTTCTTGTTCTCAGACTTTCAGAAATCAGCTGAAATATTTTTATATTTATTTTCATACATTTGATGCCCGCAATGTTCCATCGTACTTCCACAATTTCATTTCTTGTTTTTCTTGATCTTTGTCCTCTTCATCATCGTTGTGGGGATTTAACGCGTGGCTATCGTTACAATTGTGTGGACTCTCTGTATGCATAGGAAAAGGGCCCATATCGAAACACGTTTCTTCGTTGGATCTATTATTTGGTCTTCTACGGTTAAGAACTGCAAGAAAATTCTTCAGACGATTTTGTTTCTCAAATTTCTGATTGATCTCATCTGTATTTCCTTCTTCTCTACGCTGTGCCTTACTATAGAAATATTCAAAATTTGATACTATGACTGGTACCGGAAGTGCGATAGCTAGAATTCCTGTGCATGCGCAGAGGCATCCAACGATTTTGCCACCTATAATTATAGAAACTAGACGTTACTACTTTAAGTAAATTGCTGCCAGACATTAATTGTGTTTATATTTCAGCTCACCGAATGTTTTGGGATACATGTCACCGTATCCCACTGTTGTCATGGTGACAATAGCCCACCAAAAGGAATGAGGTATACTTTTGAATAAGCTGTTCTTGTGGTCCATTTCAGCATAATACACAGCACTGGAGAACAAAATAACACCTGAAAACCGTAAGTCATATAGTTGTAGTATTAGTAGTAGTGGTGTATATTATTAATTTTTATTATTCTTTATGTAAACAATGTCGGTTTTGATTGGTCAGCTACCTGCAAGTAAATCTCGATATCTGTAATTATGAGACGTCATATTTACAAATAATAGTTTCAACAATTATTGACGCCATTAAAAGACGGTTTTGAAAAAAATTAAAATGATAGCGATGTTTCTAAAAAATGTATGCAAAAGCTTTTGAACAAAAAAAAGGAAGAACTTGAATGAACCGTCTGACAAGAACGAATTACTGAAGATTTTAAAAATGTCGTACATCCATATGTTTCAATTATATTTCAGTTAGTTGAAGTGAATAATAAAACAATTATTGAATTCGGCTTTCGCATGATATCAAGATTATTTTGTTATCTGCCCCAGCTTCGCCTCGGCAGATAACATCGACCTCCTTCTGAATGATTCTTGATATCATGCTCAACCTCATCCAATAATTGTTTATTTCTCAACACAACGTTGTACATCTTTAATACACATGCGAGTGAAGTAACAATAAAACATACCAACTGTGAGAAAAAAAACGAGCAGACCCAGTTCGCCCATGCTTGCGCGCAATGTCATACCCAAAATCTGAAGGCCAGTTGAATAACGTGACAGCTTGAAAATACGAAATACTCGCACAAGTCTTACAGCCCGCAGTAGTGCCATTGAAGAAACATTGTTATTGTGTCCATTTAGCCCGAATGATATGAAAAATGGTAAAATAGCGACTAAATCGATGATGTTTAGCACCTAAAATTGATATGCAAAATATTAGACAATATTGTTTGGATCATGATTATAGTGATGATGTCATGATACCAGGTGTTAATTTATGGTAACATATGATAACATCAATTACAATGACTAAGTTATCACCTACTTGGGTGAAAAATTGATATTTATTGGGCGACGAGAAGAACCTTATTATGTACTCCAAACAGAACCACGCAATGCATATAGCTTCAATATAATAAAATGTTTCATCGTGTTTCGAATCCTTGTCGTGAAATGCTGGTAGTGTTTCAATGCAAAAGAGAACGATAGATAGCAGAACGATGGTACAACTAAATAAGGCTATAAGTCGTGCAATGTTTCCTGTGTCTGGATACTCAAACAGACTCCAAATTTGAGCTTGCAGTTTATTCTTTGGAAAATCTCTTTTTTCTTCCGGTAAAATTAACTCGCTTTTTACTGTGTTAACAACTTTATCGCCTAGCTCATAAAACTCCAGCTCTCGAATAAACAGAACATCTGGAATATGAGGCGGACGTAATATGAGTCCTCCACTTTGGTAATAAGTCAAAACGGATTCAAAACACAATCGATTTCTATCGAAGAAATACTCTCTTCTTTCCTCGTCCCAATACTCCAAGCGTTTTTCATGATCTGCCAACAAAGTCTTTGGATACCGTTGAATCGTGCTTTCAAGGATTTCGTATTTTGCACCGCAAATATTTACAACAATTCTCTCGCGTTGATTCATATTGGAGTTTTGACTTGAATTGTTTCTAATTGCTTTTTCCTCTTTACGCTGTTTGCTGTTCACTTCATCCATCCCTTCTAAATCCGTTGAAAAACTTGTGGGTCTACCATGACGACATTTTGCATCATTCCAGTATTGCATTTCAATGCTTTTGCAACTATTCTCTCAAGTTTCAGTAACACATTGGTCATACAATTGAATGGCACCTCTGGCTACGGTCTTTTCAAGTCTCTGTTTTGAATAAAGAAATGAAAATGTTAACCTTAGTTACTGAACATGTCCTTGATGGAAACGTTTGCGTTGTGACTCAAGAGATCGCATAAAAAGTTGTCAGAAAGTTTCATTCAACTATCGATATATCTTCACTGAAATGCCTCGTGAACTGAAGTAAGCCCTTCGCTTCGCCTTCTTGTTCTTTGATGCTTCACATAAACGAAGCTGTCTGTAGTTGTCTCAGGTCATCAATCGTTTTGAAATCGTCAACTGATTCAAGAACTCATATCTTTTCCAAAGTTTTCTAATTAACGACAAGGGTTGATACGTCGACAGTTTGCTACCAGAAACCTGTTTCTTGATTATTAGAAAAGAATACAATTTATCACGGATTAAAGCAACAGACACGTTCCTTACGTGATCTCTTGTAGCTTACAAACAAAGAAACCGACACTTTTATGTTATTTTGTGCTCGTGTGTTCACCGCAATTGTCCAAAATATCTTGCTATTACGCTATATTTACATCACAATTGATTTTTCCTTCCCTTAGTCCCAGCTGAGAAATTTCTTTGCAAATCATTCAGTTAATCTTACTGGGGGAACAAAATTGAATGGAATGCAAAGTTTTTAACACTTGCAACAATCCGCTTTGTTATGATAATATTCTTGCCTTTCCTGCGAAATCTTTTTATCAGAGTGTGTTGTGGTGAATGGAAATCCTGCTGTGGGATAACTTCATCACTGTTTTACCATCTTGTTTCTTGCAAAGGTTATGTACATTTTTGAAATACAATGTATATTGTATTTTTATTTGTGACATAATTGAGCACTGCTATATCCAAACTTCAATAAGCTTGTGCTCAGTATGTCACGTTGAAAAAGAAAGTTAATTTATACTCTGCTATTGCATTTATAATTGTCAATCAAGAAGGCAAAATATTATTTATAAAGCGCTTTTAAATTTGTATATCACAAGTATATTTGACTTTGTTATCGACCTTGGCAAACCTTACGAGGCAAGTAAGCAAGCCTTGCGCAGTTTGCGAATTGTTTTCTTTATTGAATGCCACTTATACTTAATTTACTCCCGGAATGACTTCATTAAAAGTGATTACCGCCGACAACTGCAAATACTCCATGTACACTGTTTGAATGTTCTTCCAGCGGATGTTGTACGAATAAATAAATTACTGGATTACAAATTGACACAATTTATGTCAATTGAAAAAAAAATGTAGTGCTCTTTTTGTTATGCTTGAAATAAAAGCTGGTAGAAACATGCACAAACAAGCTGCAGTTGAACAACTCTACAGAGGTTCGATTTTCTCCATAGATATTCTAGGTTCTAGTATATCGATGGTTGTTTCCATACTGCAAAGATATCGTTGTCGTAAATTAATACTTATTGTGTATTCATTAAACTTCTTTTATTTCAACAGTGATTATATTGAAATTCGAAAGCTTTGGTACATTTGCATTCTTCTGCCACATTGCTATTGGACAAAAAAAGTAAATTATGGTTAATTACCGATATGAAATACCGGATGTAAAAGAATTCGTTAATAATACCCACGTCACATGTTTTGTGTTTACAATTGTGATAATAGTAGTCGCTCGCGGGTTGTCGTAACAGGTAATTTGATCTTTATACCAAGGCTTGTATAACATAGCGACTTTTAAGTTTCTTAAAAATTGGCCATTTTTTTTTATTGTCGACAGTTGTACAACTTGGTTTGAATTATTTAACTATCACAGTTGTAAACGCACAAAGGTCGTCTTAGAATGAACGACTAAATATGGGCCAAAATTGCTGTAAGCCTCCGTCAATGTCTGTTACGACTTTGCAAACAGGATTGTGCTGCCTGAAGCAGAACGTTGCTCATTCCAAATATTCTCGACATATTGAGGAAAGCGAAGATAGTTTACACCTTGTAAACGTTTTCGGTAATACTTTAGAATTGGACCCAGAAACTGACCAAGAACATGGCGAAGAAAAAATAAATTTATGGATAGACGCAAACGCACCAAATCTCGGTCTACCTGAAAGCGATCTCGGTATTAACCGTTTAAAATGTGTGAGATACTGGGAAGCAGTGTTAGCTTTATCCAAATTAAATGGATCGACAGTGAATTTTCGATTTGAAAGACAAACTCCGGAAGATCAAGCGACGTTAGTGATAGAACATAAAGGGAAATCGTTGTTTATGGGCTCTGCTACTAAACGAGCAAGCAAGAGGGAACAAGCAAGACCATTGATGGAGTATTCTGGACCAAATGAAACAGGGGAGTAAGATTTTCAAACGAATGTATTTTCACATAATGTCTAACATCTTTTATTTACGTTATGGAAATGATGGCAACGAACAATCACGATTGCTCACCGACTGTAAACATGACAACGTTTCTGCTTGAAACTTTTGTGAAATGTCTGTTTATAACATCATTCACGTTTAAGAAAATATAACTGAACGATTATATAACTTATTTGTACATAATTTTACTATTTAATTTTACTATTTAAATATCTAGCATATTTTAAGTAAAAACATCCGGTTTTTTCTACAGCTTTATTAAAGAATGCTAAAGTCCTTACAATTACACTCTTACAACTTAAATCTCACATCAGATTTAGGGACAGTTAATATAGTTAAATTGCAACATATACATCAACATCGTATTCTAATACAATTAATTGTCAAATTGCCCAACAACTTCTCATAATCATCGTGAATTCATCGTCATCGTCAATGGTTAGGCTAAGTCCTTCAAAGTAATCTTCAAAATCCTGCAATAAATAATGTTATCAGCGACAATTAACAGAATGTCTATCTAGGTTAAATGTTGATAATGTCATAAACAATATTAGCACTTACTGAATATGGCACTTCACTCTTTTTCTTGCAATGTTCAAAAGCATCCAACAGCTGTTCACGAACTTCATCCTCACTCACTTCACCTAAATCAAACGACAAGAAAGGAAATCAAGAGATATGAAAACAACATGTGTAAGAGAAAGTATTTACCTGAGATAACGCATGGATGATGTCTTGCATTGAAGAATTTGACCATGTTGGTCAACGGTACGACACCGTGTTTGTTTGCATCCATCTTTCTGAAAACCTTCAAAGTAATATATGGCGTATTTGTTTGCTTCCTTGATGATTACAGACAACCAACCAACCTTAAGAACAAGCGTCTTTCGTCCTTCGCTCATTTCATCAATAAAGTTTCGCATAAATTCACCGTAATCCAAAGCTCCATCGTGGTTTTCATCGACAATTTGCCATATTTCATCGAATTTCTTTATTAAGATATGGCATAAAATGAGTTAAATTTCGTTCAACATTGCAAAAAATGTTCTAACTACACATTGCTTTTCATATTGTTCCACGAACAGAGTGCAAGAATTCTTTTCTTCCTACGTTACAAACCTCTGGGGGAATTTGAATATTAAATTTCTTTAACGCTTCTTTAAATTCGTGTTTATCAATTCTTCCATCACCCGTTGTATCAAGCGTTTGAAAATATCTCCCCAGTCCTGTCAATGTCTTTACTCCACGTTTTTTTAACTGTTTACGAACAGTCGCTTCATGGAGTAAAATAAAAGGCAAAACTAGTCAATGATTCGATCAGAAATGGAAGACACGTTGTTCAAGTCCAACAAATATGAAAATACTACCTTTAACGTTTGAAATGATATCTCTTTTTTCCCTTTCATCTTCAGTCATGTTTCTTTGCAAAAGTTCATCAGATATTTCTCCTATTGGTGAATGTCGCTCTTTGAAACTGAAAGTGATATTTTAAAACAAGATACAAAAATAGAACACGCAAAGGAAAGAATGGAAAAACCTAATTGAAATTTCAAATGTTTTTTTCCCTTCAAAACTCACATCAATTCTTGCTTTGCTTTGATGTCAACGTCAGTTATACGTAGAGTTATAAGATGCTTGTGTTTGAGACTGTCAGGTAAAGATGAATGCTTCGAAGTTTCAAATACCAAGTCATTTCCCTGTGATTCAAAAACGATGAAATCCAATTACATTCTAATGTTTCGTTGCAGTCGGAATAACGACATACACATTTTAGCTTGAAATACTTACAACAAAAATATCTTGATACGTGTAAAGTTGATCTTTCGTCTTTCCTTTAACATGATGGTACTTCCCGTGTTGAATGAAAGGAATAGCGGAGTATCTACGAAACATTCAGGAATATCAACGGCTTTCAATAAATAATGCACTTCCCAGAACATGAACTGTCATACCTGCTTCCAAATTGCCTGAATTCATAGACGGTTAACGTTCCATCCGATGGAAAATAAAATCCATTTAATTCACGATGGGCATGATGTCCATCCTTACTGAGAACTCGCGCTGAAAATCGCAGGCGTTGGTTGAGCAGACTTTGTGTTACAGTAGTCGTCGCAGTCGGATTCCTTCGTGTATAAAAAAAATCAAAAAAACGTTGTCACAAAAACAACGAGAAAGTTAGGAGTTGAGCATCCAAGTAATATCAACAAAATACAAGTGTCTTTGGTAATTTCATATGGTATGAATGTACACAGTAAATAATTTACCTGTTGAATAAAGCTTGGTGACGTCTTTCTCGTGGTCCCACGTGATCATTTTGAAATGATGACGTAGATGTGGTGACGTGTCCACCAACTGTTGTCTCTCTTAACGTGAAAATTTGGAACATCAATGTTAGCGTAAGACTTTCCTTATGCAGTATATCAAGTTATCATCAAACGTTTATGCAACCTCGATAGTTCGTCATCAAGCAGAGCTTCATCAATTAACTCATTCTTACGAGTCGCTCGAAGTTTTGCCTTTGAAATGAAGAAAACTGAGGATGAATTTTATTATTGTTCAGCAGGTAACTGATGTGATTCACCACAATGTCACCTTCTCGTCAGCAACTTTGTTTCGCATTTCGCAATTTTTTTGAGGCTGAACTGACCAAGACTCTACACTTTGTAATTTATCCTCCTGAAAATAAATTTTGTCGTATATTTCACTGAAGAACTGGTGCTTCTTCATCGAGAGAAAAGGGGGAGTACCTTCCGTGAAATCAACTGATCTTTTTCACGTTGATTTCGCTCTCGCAAAGCCTACAATCGTTTGCAGAATTTGAATGTAATAAATTTAGCATGAATACTAGAACAACAGAATGCAAATTACAGTCAAAGACCTTCTTAAATTGTTCATTTCCACTGTGGGAAAGCTGAAGATCTAAGTCAGGTATGCTATTTGGCTTTCGACGTTGCGATGAAAGAAGTCTATCCATTGCATTATCTGAACAGACTTGAAAACTAGTTGTGTCTTTATCATTGTTGTGGCATCGGTTGTTTATTGGAGTTCCCCAGCTTTAGAAAAAGGAAATGGAAGAGTTTTCCTGTTTGTAAATTTCTGGTATATTATGAAGCAATTTCAGATGAAAATCAATGAACGCGACTTAAATCAGAATCAGGTATACCTAATGCTTGTTTGTGAGTCAGGTGTCTTCAAATTAGGTGTGCAATTTTCGCGAGGATTTTGCAACTAAGAGAATAAAATGAATTGCCAAAGAAAGAAGACAAACAAAGAAAATCAAAGGACTTAAGATAGTTACCTTGTCATCTTTATCAGCTAAAGCTCCTAACTGTAACCTGGGTACACTAGAAATGATGTTTAAATGCATTAAAAGATGTAAATGATGCCAACATGTATTTATTTATACCCTTGTGGTGCTTTTCTTGATCTGGTTCTCAAAATATTGTCAACGTGATGTGTTCCATTCGCTTCAGACTTAAACGGTAAAGCAAAAAAAACTTGAAGCAACATTTGAAAGTACTTTGACGATTACCAAGCAGTACTATTAAACAAACCACATTGGATTCAGCCTTTCTTTCTTCCGTTTTTCCAACACGCTTTTTTGTTGAATGCAACTGGGATTGTTGGGGTATACAAGCGCCAACCTACGAGTGATTACAATCATAAATTTAGACGGGCCTCCATTTATAGAGACGATTCTCAGTAATTTAACGCTTACAGATTGTGTAGTAATTGCTTTTGAATAACTTTCAACATCTGGAGACAGTGATTTCTCACTGGATTTTGCATTCAAGGCAGATTTTGAAATCTCTCTTTTTGGCATTGCTTCGTTGTCATCGATTCCAAATATATTGGATTTGGTATTTGTATTCTTGTACGCATAACTAACTCGTTTCCCGCTAAATGGACGCTCATGTCTTGGACTGGCTTTCCCTTTTACGGAAAGATCAATGAACGCCATTTTAGATAACTTTATCAACAGCAAAAACACCAGCCACTAAGTTAAGAAAAGAAAACAAGTAACCAAGCAACGATAAAACACTGTCAAATTTCTTTATTGCGTTTTCAACTGATAACAGAAAATTTGACAGCCAGTCAATCAGATAAACTTGTATCGTTCATAATCACTTTCTGTTGAAAAATATTGATGAATGAAATTTAAATAGAGGTCGAACATTGTTTATGCTTTTGCGTTCATCAAAGAACGCCATATTTGTTGTCATTTTTAAATTTGCAAGTTCGTTTCCGGTTACGCAGGACTCTATAAGCTACTGGAGTGTTCTATTACAACATTTTACATTCGGTAAAATCAAGAAAAAATTATTCGTGAAACTTTCAAGATATTCTTGTCTATAGTTCATTCTTAAGTTTTCATTGCTGTTTTTTGTCTGCCTGTAAAGTATATGTGGCACTTTTAATGGATTTGAAAACAACTGATATTTGTTCTTCAATCTGAAGCCAATCTTCTCTTGTTTTGTTTTGATTCTCCATAAGATCAGAAATGCCAGGAAAGCTGGTCGAGCCATAGGAATTGTATATGGAAGGAGCAAATACAACATGTTTTGTGTTAGGTCGGTTTGGAAGTCCTTGAGCATATATGAACGATTTCTCCACATTTATCATTCGATCGTTGAGTTCGCGTATTTTGATGTCATCTTTTTCTTCCAAGGCATTTAACTTTTCATTTTGAAATTTTCTTGTTTCATCTTGAAATCTGTGAAGAAGAAACCTTTAATTTTAAGAGGAAACATTAAATTTTTTGTTATTTTGCTTCTCTGTAAATATTGTGCCTTACTCTTTAATCGCTCTCTCTATATATGATAAACTGATGCCTTTCTTTGTCAGTTCTTGTTGATGATTTTTTTTAAGTGTTTCCAAAGAAGTAACAAGTGATTTCCCATAGTCTGTTACGTTGCATGGTAAAACCAAACTATCAGCTATCGACAGAAGTATTTTGCTTGCAACTTTCGCTGTTGTAAGATGAAACTGGAAGAATGGATCAATAAGACCCTGAAGCCATTTATAAGTATCGTGAACGGTATGATAAACTGGATAGAAGACGTTTCCGCCATATGACATATCCAAGGAAGGGACACCTACAAAAATTTTTCTCAGAATAAACTTGAGAGTTCTGATGACTAACCAATCATTGATTTTCTCTGAATAAGCTTGCAATGACAGAAAACCAATAATTGATTTTATCTATTCTTACCAACAAATTGATAAAAACTTGCATAATCTGAACCAGAGCCAAGATTCCAATAAAAGAATTTCTTATTGTGCTTAACCATTTGGTCATATACTTTATTCCCGTTTGGATCATCTACTTCTTTCACATTGGCTTTTATTGGAGACTTTAGTAGTGGTGATCCTGCAAGTTGGAATGTCTCGTTGCTATAAACTGCAATATCAACATTGATATATGTTATTCCCTTTGTTGCTAAGGCTCTTTCATTTTCTTCCACCCATTCTGTTGATCCTATCAAACCAGATTCTTCAGCTCCCCAACTGCAAAATTTGATTGTTCGTCTTGGACGCCAACCTAAATATGAATAAATTAAAATTTTCACATAATGACGTCATAAGGGAAAGAAAATGTTTTATCCCTACCTTTTTTCATTAGTTCTCCTAATCCACGTGATATTTCCATCATGACAGATGTACCACTACAGGCATCTACAGCTCCAAATCCCCATGCATCCCGATGATTACCTATCATCACCCATCTATCTGGTTCCTCTTTACCATAGATTGTTCCTATTACATCATATGCATCTTGGCGTTTATTTGGAACATTTACTGTAATCTTGACTTTCTTGTTATTTAAACCACCGTCTCCCAATTTATAAATAATATTAAGCTTTCCTTTCCAACTGTCCGGTACTTCTCTGCCTAAATAAATGCATATATAAGATCATAAGATCATTTACAGAATGGATTGATCATTTTTTTTGCAATAAAATTGACTCTAATGAGCTATAATTGTATCTGGAAATATCATTTTATGAATTATTTAACGAAAGTCACCGAGTGCAAATCTTCTACATTAACTTGTCTTACCTTGCATAAGTTTCATTATGTGAACAGCATCACCATATGGCATAGGAACAGCAGGAATTTTGGGAAGCTTGGCTTTATCTTGAGGTATTCTGATGACTCCATCAATAGACGGTAGACCTGGAGTAAGTGGATCGCCACGTCCTTGATAAATACTTCCTCGTTGTACTCCTGTTTCTGGAAGCCATATATATTTCGGATAGACTTTGTCTGTACCTTCCTTTGCATAATCAGCTGGATCATTGTACAAGATGGCTCCATTGGCTCCGCAATCTTGAGCATGCTTTACCTATGAAGTAAGAAATCTTTCTTGCTTAGAAATTACAAGTGACTCTTATATGACATTTACTTGTCTATCATCGCGATCGCATGAGGCGTTACCTTAGCGCCGCGGAATATTTTACCAAATCGCATGATTACTATGAAGCCACTACAATCGGAGATGTTAAGCTCGTTTTTCAACTCGTCAAAATCTTCTTTCCTTCCATAATTCACGTAAAGCAGTTTTCCTTCCGCTGATCCTTGTTTTGCAAAGCCCAACAACGGTCCTATCATTGTCGTGTCGTTTTCACTGGGATCAGCCAACTGAAATATTCGTGCTTAATTCGACATTTATTACTTATTTTAATAAATTACAGAATAATGCATTTCGCACCTTCTCTCGTCCCGAGAATTCAAACGTCACCTTACCCATGGCATCAATAACTCGTACAGCATTGGAAACGTTTGGTTGCACATAAGGTAAAAATATGTTGTACATGGGTTGTTCAACTTTATCGAATTTGTAACTTTTCCATTTTGTTGCTATGTTATCGGCGAGAACTTTAGAACGCGTTGTTCCACCCACGTGAGGTCGTTTGGAGCAATATCTAAAAGTGATATTCTTTTTCAAAATAATCTATTAAAAAGGCTCCATGCTCTAAACATCACGTTTATTATTTTTCACATAATCATATATATGACTGCTCAAGCATTATATTTAACATATCATTAAAGCGATGTTATTCAAAAACTTTTGATGATTAGAAAAGCTCATGTACTTCAAAAATGTGCTAATATGGAGATATTAAGTTTGTAGAATATTATTAGACAGTTCCGCTTATTAGATAACATTGAGATATGGTTAAACGAACGCATTTCTTAACGTATATTCTTCGTCAGTAACTACTCAGAAGTTGTTAGTTCAACGCTCCATGATGTTTTTAAAACTAAATTTAAGTTGTCCTCTTTTACACATATCTTCGTAAGGTTTATGAATGACCTTACAACATAGGTTCGCGCACATGCGCTGCTGTTTTTTTCATCCTTCTGTCTGAATGAACCAAATTCACGGTAATCTTTTGGTAATCAATGAAGAATATATACAGAGTACAAAGGAAAGGTGAAAGCCATTATAATATTAGTAACATACGATGGATATATTTTATTTTGTTCGATATTTTACCGAACGAGCGATTAAAGGTCAGCGAATGACTGAGATTTTTTAAGCTTAGGTAAAAATATAACAGAAACTGTGTTTACTTGATGACAACATGACAATGGCTAATTAACGATATTATATTCACTTTGTGAATATATATACGGTGGAGAACAAGGCCAATAATATTTTACCTTAAATGTTCACCAATTTCTTTAGCGCTCAGAATTTTCATCAATTGATCATGGTATTCTTCTTTGACTTTCTCATTTTCCTTACGTTTTCTTGCGATGTATTTCATTGTGTAGTCTGGTGGTGAGTGGTCGTCACATGGTGATGATACCCATCCAATAACAAAACCTAACACAAATAAAACGCAAAGGCAAACCACGACTATCAAGATACGTCTTGTTGAAAGCGACGCCATTGTCATTATTTTTTCACTGAACCCACTCGATAGATAAGTTATCTTCGAAAATTATGAACTTTATACTTATGGACGTAAGTTGGTTGATAGTAACGTAAGCACGCACACCAAATGAACTCGACGTATGCAAAATATTATATTAAGTCCACGCAGTTAGCGACGCCTTTGTTCAAACACGTAGATAAATGTAGCAGTTGTTAACCGTCACACCTGCGTTGTGAATGTGAGATCTGCTGAGGTTGTGATGTAGAAATAACTTGAAAACGATGTCGATGTATAAACTATATTAAATTACATTATCTACTGTCATCAAATTAATTTTTTTGCTCGCTGAAATCTTTCTGTGCAGCATTAAATTCTGCTTACTAATTTTGGGCGTCGTTAGATTCACAGGAGCACTGCTGCACAGACAAATTAGGCGCACAATCAAATTTTGGTGCCCTTTGTTTGTGACCGATTGTAACACACTTTACAACTTTCCTTTTTCCTTTTTCCATCTTTTTTCATTAAATTTTACTAGTGTTTTACAGACTTTGCTAAAATTTCATGACATTTTAACAAAATATATGATTTTATAAAATTGAGTAAATTTGCAATAATTTTTCACGTTCAAGTATGCTTGATTTCATTTTTACAAATTTAAAATAACTAAGCTACAAATCAAAATTGTTTGTGATAATTCATGGCATAATGTCATGTTTTTTTTATTGAATATTTATACAATAATTTTGCCGCGCTGTTGTGAGTTGCTACGATGAAACTCGCGTCAGTGGGTTTGTGTTTGGTCTTATTCCTGGGTTTATTGATGCACCATTGCAACATGATAGTGGACAGGAAGGTGCGCAGGAACTTGAGCACTGGCTTGAGCATTGACCAGCGGTCATAGCTGCACCATATGACTGTGTACTAATCATTGGTGCTGAAATGCACGAAGGGCAAGGATTCATCGCCATTTGTGGATTAGGTTCATCTTTTTCTGAAATTGAATGTTTACAAAAAAACACGATATAATGCTGTATAACTAGAGATTTAATTCAATTTTTGATCGATAAATATCTGACCTGCTGCTAATGAAGTTGGATCAACTGGTAAACCGTTTAAATTACCGGTCTTTACCAAAGAATCGAGACTGACAAGATTTGTGCTTTCATTTGCAAAACGCAACGAAGCATCTGCAACTACTCCTGTTTCGTTTCTAAAGATATATAGCTTCATTTTGGTAGAGTTCTAAAGGACGATAGCTGTAATATGAATTGCCATTGTAAAATATAATATTTTTTCATTACATTATCTGCACTGTTCACATGGGTCACAATACGTTACAAATATAATAAAATACAATAAATTTCTTTCACTACATTGTTCTATTTTACAATGGCAATTCGTATTATTGCAATAAACTGCGCTCTAATGTTCTTTATGGCATTACGTTTCCCTCGTGGAAAATCTATTGCCACAGTCCTCTATAGCAGTTAACCTCTTTGTTACCTAAATCCAAGCACTTTCATTTCTCGATAAGCGTTGTCATCAGCATATAAATTCATCAGCTGAAAAAGAGCGATAAAGAATTAATTATGAGGACGAATGTATTTTTGGTGTGGAAAGGGAGAAAGAGGATGTACAAGAAAAAAACAATGTAATTACAGCATTCTCTATTTTCCCCGCGTATTCTTGGAAGGGAGCGGTGTTAAATATGGAAAATTCATCAGTGTATTCAACATCCGCTAACTTGAAAGAAACTCTGTACTTTGATGCTATGAAAAATATGTTGTAATTTAATTATGTAGACAGCCAGAAAAATGATTTACTTCAAAATGATTTATGAATGTGACAAATTAATACTTACCTACAAGTTGTGCTGGGGCAATCACTGGAGTAGTGTTTGTCATGGGAAGAGTAGCAGGAATTGTCAAAGCTTTCGTTGTACCTGGAGCTGTGATAACAGATTTTTTGATTGGGCCAGCTCTGATTGCTGAAATCAACATAATGATTTCGTTTTCAAAGATGCATTCTTTTTTTAAATTTTACTAGCGTCTGCCATGTTAAGGAGAAATATCTAGCTTTAGTTTTCCATCTGTCAGGAACAAACCTGCTATAGCACAAAAGCTAAGAACGAACGTGGTTATCTTCATATTTTTTCTTTAACGTCTAAAATAACGAAGGTTTATGGCTAAACGTTTTACAAAGACGACATTTTTGTTATTAATAATATGGTGGGTTGTAAGTCAGCAGGTGTTGTTTTCATCAACGTGTCATCTCTATGTTATACATTTTTGTTCTACTTGTTATGTACATATCAATCAAAAATATAAGGTTGTCAATGTGTACATAAATTTGCACTACTACGATAAAAACGAGATTGCGTGCATGTTTTGTCAGAGTAGTTTTTAAATTAGCTTTCTACGTTATTTAGGTGGAAAAATTTTGTAAAAACCATACTAGTTTAAACGGCATATTTACCTTTCTAAAGACAGGACTAAAACACGACAATAACACACTCGCGTACGGTATGTGTTGTCTCACTTTGTTGTTGATCTTCCAACATAAATCTCTACGAATCTCGTGTATTTTCAGTATCGTATTCCTTTACTTTGAATTTTTAAACTTCTGGTCACAAGCAAAAACGGTTAACATGTTGGCAGGTTGCGTCATCACGTGATTTATTTCGCTTACAGTTTTTCTTCGACGATTGAATCCATTTCATTGCAACATGTTGAATGATAACAGAAAAAAAATCATAGCAAGAGGAGGCAGTTTTTTTTCTTTTCGTGGTAATCTTTCGACTTCCTAGTCATTGAAAATGATGAATAAATTTTCCATACCACCCCAGTACATACGTTGCGTTGGAGAAGCAGTTCTGTACAATAAACTCCTTCTTAAATAAAAATATAAAACCACATAATCAATTTGTTGAAGTTGTTTGTATGTTATGTGCACATGGGACAAAAGATCCATGTTAAAAAGCCACCTGCTTGCAGTTGATGAACCATTAAATAAGTGTGCGCTATTGCCATTCGTGAGATTTTGAATATTTCGCGCTCAATTAGCATAAACATGTTTTGATCACGTGTCAAATTACCCCCGTTATAATTTCAAAATGGCGGAATATTTGAGAGAACTAGAGGACAAACGTTGTATAAGTTTTATTGTGAAAAGTGTACATGGCAAGTCATTTCGATATATGGTGTTTTAAGAAATCAGTGCTTCTTAATAAACTGGAGAATTAGAAACAAACATATTACCATTTTAACTTTCGGCGTGGCAATTTTTTGTAGTCTGACGCATATATAGATATAATTAGCTGTACTTAGAAACCGTTAAGTACAATGCTTTAAAATGGATTCATTTGACGAGCTTTCGCCTCTAAATATATCGGCATGTATAGCAGAGAAAGCAGAGGAGACGTTAGCTCCATTGAAGGAAGATTTAGTTGAATGGCTAAACAAGTTATTTGACACGGGCATTACTGTGGAGAACTTCATGGAATATTTAGATAATGGCGTCCTTGTTTGTCAATTGGCCGAGATGATTCATTACTACGCTCAAAAGAACTGCGATAACGGCAAGGCTAAGGCTTTTCATTCACAGTTTTCATTCAAATACCACAAAAATGCAAAGTCTGGTTCGTTTTTTGCACGAGATAATGTTGCATTTTTCTTGGAGTGGTGTAGGAGTTTTGGTGTAAGCGAGTCTGTTCTCTTTGAATCGGATGGCTTAGTAATGCACAAACAGCCCAGACAAGTTATACTTTGCTTGCTTGACGTTGCAAGACTTGCTGCTGACTACGGCATTGAGCCACCAGGTTTAATTTCTTTGGAAAAGGAAATTGACGCCGAGATAGCAAACGAAGACGAGACGCTTCCTCTTTATTCTGTCAAAGATGATATAAAGAATGAAAATAAGGTCTTTGAGGATGAGTTGCCAAAAGAAGAAATGATTTCAACAAAACAAAGTAATAGTAGTGTTGGAAGAGAATCTAAACAATCTCTTGATAATCAGGTAAGACAATTTCGATTTTAACATCCTTTAAAATTTCTAAAACAACTTTTTCTCCTTTTTTTAAGGTTTTACATTTGGCCAAAGAACACGGAATGAAAATAAAAAAAGTTAAAGAAGGGCGCTACATGATAGAAGATAAAATAGTTATATTTGTGAGAGTAAGTTGCATATCACGTGTGTTTTGATTGTCTTGCCCCTTCCAAGAAAGTTTCATTTTTTAGAAAGGTTTATTTCATGAAATGCTTTAGATTCTTCGACATCACGTGATGGTTCGTGTTGGAGGTGGTTGGGATACACTTGATAATTTCTTAAAGCGTCACGATGCTAGTAAAATCGAGAGAATGTTGATATGTGAGTTTATTTTCGTTTGTAACATTATTGCATTTACGTTTTAAAGTAAGAATTATAAATTTGAACGTATCTTGAAGTTTTTTTAATCGTTGTAATTACAATGTTACTGCTATCGCAAAAAGAAGTTTTTGTTGTGTAAGCTATTTGAATGTTTGCTTTTATTTCTTTTTCAGCGAAGGCCATTTCGTGATTTAATGCATTGTAAGATAGATCACTCTTTGTGATTATACACTTATATTGCACAATGGTCTGAGGTTTTAGTGGCCAAGAATTCTTAGAAAAGATTACTGTCGACAACGATTAGTTTAGCAGAATGTCTTGAGTTCTTGAAGAAGGTTATATTGTACATGCATATTTATGTAGTTTTTACTTTGTAATGTGAACGTAATAATTTTATCAATGTAAATATCATTTATTTCCTAACTGTATAAAAGTAATAGCTATATAAGTATTTATGTTATCATATTTTTACTCATCAATGATTTGTGGAAAATTTATATTTCTTTGACTCATGTCGTAAGGGTTCTCTTAACATTTCATAATTCACCGTTGAACGATTCCTGAGGATACGCCGAGTCACAAATATGATTGCCGCTGTCCCTAGTATCGTAGTAGCAAGCGCACATCCTAATGCCACTCCTACGGAGGATATTGATTCATTGGGTCCATCATCTGGCTGCTAAAATATTCAAAGAAGAAGTTGCGTAGCCTATTCAGCTATTAGAATTAGAATTTAAGAGATCTTGGTAGCTGGCAGCCTTAGTTAATTTGGATATTGAAATCTTTCATAGTACCCTCAAATCCTTATCTTTGTCTTTTAGTTTAGTAAAAAGAACTTCTTCTCCGTCTTCTGAAGCCACAAGCACGTCTTCAACGAGAAATAATCACTTTAGTGTAGTTTATTGCTGATTGAGATAATAATTTACTGACATTGACTCTTCCTATAAGTGTATGCATGTATTTACCTCCATTTGCAATGTCACAATGCTTTCCTTCCCATCCAATATCACAACGACATTTGTAATGTTGTGTAGAGTTATCCAGACACACACCGTGTTCACACTTCGGCTTACATTGTACTGAAGAGGAAATGATAAGGTTTCATGATATTTTATAAGTTCTTTCACATTTCATAATTTTAATAAGTTCTATTAAGCAATGGCAGTATATTGAGCTGGGAGTATCGTCACATGGAAGGACCATCGTAAACGATGGCAACGTCAGTCAACACTTAAACAACAGCCTTCCAAGGATTGCGACGATTGCCTTAATAAAGACAACCTCCATGTACATCTATAAACATGTAACATTGGCACTTACATGTCTTTTCACATAAATATCCAAAGTATCCCTTTTTACATACGCACGTGTCATTCACATGACAACGACCGTTCCTACCACAATCCTTCTCTCCACAAAATCCTGCATAAAATACAATGAAACTATAATCAACCACCATGCAATAAAAGAAGGAAAATTTTCTTATATACCTTTAGTGCTATGTTTGGTGCACATCTCCCCCTGGAATCCAACGTCACACGCACATGTTTCATCGTTTACACACAAACCATTGGAGCACGCTTTAGAACAGGTACCTAATTATTATAAATAATAAAATCGTTGAAAAGTACTTTTGAAAACATCTTGCAGTAGTTACAAAAAGAATACCTTTATGTTTCTGTCGCTTGTGTTGTCTCTTGTTTATATATATAAGTATATCTCTATCGTTGTTTTCACTGGCACTGCTCTTGCAAAGCTCATCAGAATAACATGATACAACGTAGCATTGATTTTTCCTCCAAGAGATCAAGTCGCATTGAACACGACTGCAACATTTCTCTACACATTCATAGATATTTGACACATTTAGCCGAACCATCTTTCCCGCGTATTTTCCACCACTCAACGACGAATTGTACAATCTTTTGCTTGGAGTGCAGACTTTTGTTCTCTTGTCTTTTAAAACTAAAAGCAGGGCAATAATTAGTCTAGAACAATAGTCATGGGAAAGTGGTTGATTAGTCATCTCTATCTCCTACCATATTTCTCAATTCCTTGCTGCTCACTGAACGTTTCTAAATTATCGCCAGTGCCTCCACCTCGAACAATGTGAGAAATTTGAACGTTTTTCTTTCTTCTCTTCAGCTTTGCAGGCACTGTTTGACATAGACTGTCATTAAAACACTTTATACTGTAACAAGTATACTCTACCATGAAGGCAACGTCACATTTTAAATCCTGACAGCACGCGTCTATACATGTTTGCATGTCTGCAACTTCGCCTAGCTTCGTAAAATTTCCTGAATTAATCCCTCCTCTAAGAGTGACGTTGTGTTTTAAATCTATGTGAGTACATGTTGGCAGTTTTATTGTATCCAAAACGGACGCTGTTTGCTTGTTGTTATCCACAAGAAAATATTGAAATACTAGAAAGAGAAGAAAGTAGGTAACTCAACATGACGGAGAAGTACATGTCGATGAAAAGTGTTGTTCAACCGTTGTCTTTGACCTTATAAGTTACCTTGAGCCACTGACTCATCAAAGCAAAGGTTCGTCCAAATTGATAAAATTAAAAGATATATTGGTGTTAACATGTTTAATTGCAAATCTGAAATGGGAAATTGTTAATCAGCACGTTCATCAAATCGTGTAATGAATCGAATGCAGAGCTTTTGGTATGTAAAGACTAGTTTGTGAGAGAAAGTTTTTGTAAATTACCTGTTACTAAATCAAAGCTTATTCTTTGGAGATCAAACTTCGTACATCTTGACCTCGGACAACAATTGATGTACAAATGTTCTTCCTCGCTTTTAAATGTAATTTGTATTTAAAAATTTCCTTTTACTTTCATTAATACCGTAGCACAATTGTTCATCTACTTTAATATTTTGCATTCTGTCTCCCAATTTAGAACAAAAAACGTCTCATATAGCCTGTCTCAGCACGCTGTCTTTTTTCACGCTATTTCTTCAATGAATTAGGTCTATGATTATTCACAGGTTGTTTATTTGGCTCTATATTTTGCAGGTATATTTGCCATGAAAACCAATAAACCATTCACCCAAATGCATTTAAACTAAGCTTCTATTCATCAATGACCGCTGACATGAAAGAGTTAACTCACAAATTTTTTTACACCATTTTTACTTCGTACATTAATTTTATCGTGCTGGTATCTTTTCATTCAAATTTTCATATTTCGTGCATCAATCTACACCTGTATCTACAAGTTATTTTCCCAAACAAATCACATCTTATCTCTTCGTACATCTAAGATATTTTCTCTCCTCTTTCTTTTTTAATTAATTAGCATTTAGATGAAGTTACCCTGGCAACATGAAATAATTTTTTTCATTGGCACCAGGACAGTGAAATGCTCGCCTGTATCGGCCTCATTCTCCTTTAGATGATTTAATGTCACTGGAGTTCGTCAGGATTTTAAGAATGGGATGATCTTTCATCTTTTATTGCAGATTGAAAACTTTCATGTCAAACATTTAATTGTTTTTTGAATGATTCTAGTCTTTTTGTCTTTTCCATGCAATTCCTTATTTAATGTGTTTACTGTTTTGATAATTCTTGTGGCGTCGCTCATTCCTTGACATAGTTTCTCAATTATCTCTGCTCCATCAGTTTCAATCAGGTCTGACATCTGTGCTCACGTTCGGCCAGAGGATGTTTGTTTGAAAGTTTGGCGTGTTTCTGATGAAAGGACAGCATATAAAATTCTTAAGGGTGCGGTCTTTATCTGCATGTACTTGTTGATCGTTTCCTCTTTTTCTACAAAATTGCAAAAATCCTGTGGCAGATTAAAATTCCTGGAATTCAAACATCCAGAACCAGGTAGAAAGGGCGCGAAAGATAGTTGCTAGTTGTTGTTTATCATTCTCTTCTGCTTTCTCGAAAGTTCAGCTCTGTTTATTGGGTAAAGGATGCTTATGTTTTTAATCATCCGAACGCAGTCTTAACCTTCCAGAAGCTGTGTATACACTGCTACTACATCCAATTCTCGCAATCACAAACAGCTTTTTTTTTGCTGTCTTCATTCAGAAATTTTTGCAGGAGATTCTTCAAAAGGCTTATACTATCTCATACATGCACATAAACATTTTCTGACGCAAAACTTTAAAGAGGAAGGCTTTGCCATCTACAAATTTTTAACGAACTCATGCCAAAAACCATTGACTTTATTATGAAACATCAAACGAACAGCATTAATAAATCTACTTATAAATTTAATTAAAAAATCGACATATGTTGTTTATAATTTGAAAGGAACTCAATTCTAACTAAGACGATCATCTGATGGTCTCATACTGCAATTTTTCGCTACGATCCGTAAGTTTCTTCATCATTGTAATCAACGTAATAACAGCTGCTGTTATAGCCACAATGGAAGCTCCCGCAGCTAGAATAATATCGATAATTTCAGAACGCCGACTGAATAAGTGATTTTCAACCCTTTCCTGAAACTGAAAGATGATCAATATTTTAAAATATTTCCGAACTCTCTGGCATTAGTGAGATATTTCTTCACCTGAAAGTTGGCTATCCTATCGCGTTGTTTTGGTGCATTTAATATCATTGTGTGGTTCATTTCATGTGATTTAGCAATGTAAAAAAATGGTTGTGCACTGTCATCTGCAAACTCTAAAAATGCCAAAAAACATACAAAAATTACGTTGCTTCTGACTGGTTTCATTAACTCCTCTCGAAGCAAAATTTAACAAAGAGATCCTCTAACTTGGTCTGTTTCTCCTTGATGGTGCGACAAAAGACATCATCGTTTCATACTTGGGTCTCTTGAGATGATTTGTAGCACAACTTTTAATTGTGTAACAACTTACAAGGTAACATTTGTTACGTGACACAAATGCAACATCACAATCTTGTGTTTGGCAACATTTCCTTATACATGCCCTCATCTCGTTGATGTCCGACTCTTTTTGAAATCTTCCTGCGTGATGCCCTTCACGAAAAACAACGTTATACTTGATGGAACTTTGATAGCAATGCTCCCATTCTCCACCTGAGAATTTAAATGTTTTGTTCAAATTAACATTTTAGCAATATAAATTACGAATGTTGACAACTGAAGAGCAGTAAAAGATTGTTCTGTTGTACTTACTAACAATGGTTACAAAGATAAACAAGACTAATAACTCTGTACATTCCATCATGTCCATCTTCTTCTTATGATAATGATGATGGATTGATTTACATAAATGTATTTGCTAGACTGAAAGAGAAAATGAAACTGTGAAAGCCACTATAGCTTTGGATGAAAACTGTCTGAAAAAATTCGTTTGAAGATTACAGCGGAGCCCTTCTCAGTCAATATTTCGATATTGAATTGTTAACGCAATGTACTGTATTGCGGTTTTCGTATCCACACGATTGTTGAGATGACAATTGGTTTAGACATAAAGAACGTAGGCAAACATCTCACTGACTTTGAAATAAAATCTTTTATTCGTAGACATTCAGTCATCGATAATATAACTAACTCAATTTAAAGACTTGCGCAAATAAACTTTACATGTGTGGTGCAGGTACGACTATTGTTTAAACAAAATACAAGAGGCTTACCTGTAAATTTTACTTTTGTTTTGAAGTATACTTGACTTGAAAACTATTGCGCCAATATCACGTTAAGTACCTCTTAATTTATATTAATATAAGCGCGCACATGTATTAAAGTCTATTTTCACTTTATTCTGTGATGTATCTTGATATTTTAGATTTCCTGATTTTTTTCAAGGAAGCATGCAAACGACATGAAAAAATATCATCATGCATGGTATAGGAGATGTAGTAAACAACACTAAGACCAAATTTATACAACCAGAAACTGTTTCAAAGTTAGTATGCTAATTGTCTATTTACAAAATACATAATGTTTATCATTTTATTTTCCTGTTTTTCTTGGAATCCATTTCTTTTTGTAATGTTTCAAGAATAGAAACTCGAGTCCAGACTTCAGTTGTGAATCCTCGGGAAAAAATCCATCCTCTACAAGTTCTTCGTGCTCTGTGTCCGTTTCGGGAGATTGAAGTGTGCAGTTAGTGGATTTAATTTTGTGCAATTCTTCTTCTCTTTTACCACACGTCATTTTGCTGCTTTTCATCCAAAATTTCTCAGCAGCAGTAAGTTCGGTTTTGTGACAGTTCGTTTCGTTATCATCATTTTTTGCGTTTTCCCGTGAGATCTTGCGTTGTGTATGTTGCATGGTTGTCGACCATCTTTTGGTGAAGTATGATATCACGAGTAATGCACCAACCAAAATAGCAACGGTTAGAACAACAAAACCGCTGGCAATAATGATTGCATGAAAGGTTGATGTCTTTAGCTCGATAGACTTCTGAAGAACATAAATCAAATATTTCTATGTTCCTGCCTCTTCACAAAATCTCCACAACATACCTTTACTGTCAATTTGGACACTTGTTCCTTGGCTATTCCTGTTTCATTGTCTTCATGTGTTGGAATGAATCCATGAAACGGATTCTTTGATCGATTCTTTGATCGATTCTTTGATCTATCAGGCCCAAAGGATGCGTCATTCTCATTTCCTAGGTCGTAATCGAAATATTCTTTCATTCATTCATTCCACTTTTCCTTTTTGTAAATATTTAAAGTACCTTCTTCTTCGTAGTAGCACAAGTAAATAATATGATCTTTTTCTTGAGGTCTAATACCGTATGGATAATAACCTCTGGCTGAAGTGACGATTCCTCCTTTGTCTTCTTCGTCAAATTTCACAAACTCAAGGCTACTTTTTGTATTTTTCACCTTGAAAAGACGGAAATTAGTTTTCTTGAGCGCATCAAAAGAACGAAATTAAACTTTACCTTTTGACAAGTTCTTGTACCAAAAGGGAAAAGGTAAAACGGTTGTGATGTTGGTAGAATTATTTCTGACGCAGTTGTGCCATTCGTACTGCAACAAAATGAAATTTTTGTTTTCTCTGTGTAGATACCATCTGGTAGTTCACCTTGATAGTAGTTTTTGTTATCATTATTCTCATCGTCCCAGTAAACCGTTCCATGAAGTAAACCTAGGGGACAATCGCCACCTTTTTTATAAACGCAATATTTTCCGGGAGGCCATCTGCAACAAAAAATGGAATAACCTTCTTTATGTTGTATTGCATATATTATCCTGAGAAAAAATCGTTTGTTTGAAATATCATGCGACATTTATAACCTTTTTTCTCCGACGCTGTCTGTTTTTAAACAAAATTGCAATGTAACTCCATCTTCATTGACGTTACCAGCGAGGTTATAGAAGCTTGATTTAAAATTTTCATTTTCATCATCCTCAGTGTCATAAAACCTCGCACCAGTCTTCCAACGAAAGCCCGATGATTCTGGGCAACCTGATTTCGTCATGGGAAGCCCGTATGTTCCAGATGGCCATGTGACTGAGACTGAATTTAAGTAAATACAATTATCTTGAGATTTAAATGTATTATTACAATTAATCATAAATTATTGCAATATTATCTCAAGATCGTCTTCGGATATTTTGGGTTAACAAGCTGATTGAGAAAGCTTGTTTTGAGTATATGAATATAAATATAATATAGCACCTTTTTGTTTTTATCATTTTACTTACTTTCTCCACTGATCTTTATTGAACTTGACGATGTGATTTTATCTCTACCAGACTGTGATGTGGTTTGAAGCTCATCGTTGTCTTTATCATTTAGTTTTTCTTCTGACTCAACTTCAATCCCAGTTCCAATGTCAGAATCACTCTCAGCGTTCGGGAGAGATATTTTCCTTTCTTTGTCTAAAGGTTTCATGTTCTCTAATAAATCATTTTCTTTGATCTCATCATTTTTACCGGAAGTTTGATCATCATTTGATCGCTTGGAAACACCAGCGTGATAAGTAGGATCGATATATTTTTCAGTGATACCATTTTTTCGAGCTACGTTGTCTATATGCCCGAGAATTTTCACTTCATTTTTGTAAATCTGTCCGTAATTTTCTCTTTTTGACTCTCTTTTTTCATCTTCACTTGAAGATGTTTGCGGGATGTCATTGGCTGTTAGCGATTCATAAAAGTCGCTTTCCTCTGTATTGAAATCTAAAGAACCATGCGCATATAACTCACTCGATTAGGACAAAACTCTTTTATTTATGTGTCATTTAGTCTATTCCAGCTTATTCTTGTCGTGACCTCGTACAATTTTGTGTTAAAATTTCATTTATTATCTCTTTGTCATTGCACCAATTTCATTTATGCTGTCATATACTCACCGTTGTTTGCCAGACTGTTACAAAATAATATCCAGAGAAGAAAAACATTCCAAATAATTTTCATTGTTTATGCATCTTTCTTGAAGCACACATTTTGGCGCCTTCAAGTGAAGAAACAAATTGCTTCCGTCAGTTGGCTTACATGACTATATTAAACTGAATTTTCAAATAAATTTAGACAGAAGAATCGACCAGTTATGATTTTGGTTTATAATGGAGATAATATTAGGATAAATATATTCGATAATCCCAACACCTTGTAACTTAAATCACAAAATAGAAAAATTCAGGGCATAAATTTAAATTCAACTGAGAGCTAGTGTTTTGTATCAAATTGCTTTTGAAATGCTACATTATATCAACAATTAAAGCTTTATAGTTACCTTGGCTAATTCCAATCCGCCATTTTATATTTTGTCCTTAACATTTAGACAAATACATGATTTCGATAAAGTTTCAATTTCTAACAACGTTTGGGACCTGTTCCATTTAGCAGGTTGTTATTTGAAATTAATGAAAGTACAGATCTTTCATGTTTTAGATCATGTAAGCATGAAACGTCACTTAAGCTTTATGAGTTAAGGGTATAAAGGAAAGCTAAGTGCTAAATATTTTGTTGTTGCTCATCTTCAAGAATAAGAATATTTTTATTTTTGATTTCAATGCACACATAGCTTAGGTTTGGCTATGCAAGCATCTACGCCTCCTGTGTACGAATGCAAGCAATGAGTTATAGGGCGGTTATAGTGAAGAATTTATTCAAAGGAAAAAACATGTAAAGTTTTCTTAAGTGACAAAATTATCTATCTTTACATGGCTGTTACATGTTTTGACTACAAATGTTTGAAGAAAAATGTGCTGATTATAATGTTGTTATAAATGGAATACAAAGTTCAATTCTATTGAACAACTTTGTTTCAACTGTGTTTTCTCAGAAAATGCCCACAAATGTCACAGTGTTGTCTCTAATTGTCTCAATGGCGCAGAATGCTTATTTTCTCTCGTCCCAGTCCTTTTTGTTGACCGCTTGCAATACAACAATTGCTTGAAGCCATTTCTGAAACGTTCACCCATGAATGCATAGAGAATAGGGTTCAAGGCACTGTTGATGTACACAAGAAGTGTTGCATAAGAGTGAAGAAGAAGATAATATCTAAAAGAAATGAATTGGCGTCTGCAACTACTGTACACAACTTCTGTTTTCATTTTCAGCGTTTACATTAAGACATACCTGCTTTTCATGCCCTCTCCATACTCTCCCCACAGAAAAACAACGTGATACGGAAGGAAGCATGAGGCATATGCAATGATGACCGCTAACAACATGCGCAGAACTTTATCTTTCTTCTCCTGGTTAGTAAATCCCTCTCGATTGTTTCCTTCTTTCACATGTTTATTTAGAGTGCCAACGATCTTTACGTACAAAAAGCTCATGATTGTCAGCGGTGTTGCGTAAGTAAGTGCAAAAGACATCGTATTGTATATGGTCCTGTGAAGTAATTGCGGCCATTTTTCAACACAATATAGAGCCTTAGAACTTTGTTGAAGCATGTTAACTCCAAGTAACGGCAGTGCATGAAGTAATGCCACCATCCATATGAGACATACAACATATCGTATGTAACTCATTGATAAACGTGATGCGGGCAGCGTGTTGACTATACAGCGATAACGATCTGTTCATCAAAGTAATTATGATTATCAATAAATCGTCACTAATTGAGATGCTATTCCTTACAAATATTGATGATGGTAAATGTTCCTATCGAACTCATGCTATTCTTCTTGCTCCCACAAATTTCAATGTTCTCACTTATTCCATGCTATTCCTTACCAACACTGAACGACATTCAGAGCTCCTATTGATCGCATACTATTAACTACTTCCAGAAATTTTAACGTTCCTACTTTTGCTTACCAATACTGATGACAGTCAGTGTTCCCACTGATCCCATGACAGATAAAGCTTGAGCGAAAGGTAGTATTTTACACATGACAGATCCAAATGGCCAAGTTTGCAGTTCATTGCTTATTAATGTGACAGGAAGACAAAATAGCACAACCATAAGATCTGCGATAGCTAGATGAGCGATCATGTAACCCGTTACTGCAAGAAAATTTTGATGTGTTTGTTAATAATCTTTGAATCTTTGCGCTATTTAGAATGCATACTTAAAAAATTTTGATTAGCATATTTACGGAACGATGAAAATCATGGATGTTTTTTCAATTATAATGATAAATCATTTCATGATATGTGACAGATGTGTGACTGAAACGCGTACGCTGATTGGTCTAGAGCTGTGTTTGCATTAGCCTGTGCAAAACCATCTGAGCTCAACCAATCAAATCAATCAAAACAATCAATCAGTCCAAGAGAATTTACAAATCCATCATGAATACATTTTAGAGGAAAAATTAAAATGTTTGTCTTTTTCGCATTACTTTATTTTATAAAAGAAATAAAAGATGTTTTTCTTGTTTGCAATGGCTTATGCAAACCTCGAAGATGTTTGCGAGAACTGTACAGCCATCGACTTTCGGTCCCGCGCTTGCACTGATCTACTGTCGAGTTCTCCCAAAGGTCTCCTCGGCTTGCATAAGCATGTGCGAACACAGTGAACATCTTTTATTTCTTAATTGTAAAATAACAACAGTAAAAGCCGTGCGCTGATTGGTCTTTAGCTGACTTCCCATTAACCTTTGCAAACCGATATGAACTTAATCAATTAAAGATAATTTGCAAATGAATCATCAATACATGTTACCGGAAAAATCAAAACATTTGTTTTAAATTTGTCTGTTTCGCATCATTATTTTTTTGTAAAAGAAATAAATCATGTTTTTCGTGTTTTCACTGGCTTATGCAAATCTCGGAGACGTTTGTGAAAATCTTCTCTCGTTCAAGTTCTCCCAAAATGTCTCCTCGGTTACATAAGCCTGTGCAAATACAGATTTCATGGGAAACATCTTATATTTCTTGTGCCATGTGCTAAAGTAATTTCATGACATTCAAGGTTATATTTGCATTGAAGACAATGTTTTTCTTTGATCATTATTTGAATTTTTCAAATTCTAGTTCATCTTATTAAGATTAACATTAATAAAGAATCATTGTTTTCAATTTTAAAGCTCCTCAGTCCATTATCATGCCGAATGATAAATCCATTCAAGTTATGATATTTGTTAACACATACGTAGTTGATGTAAACATTTAAGTATTATGGTTAGTTTTGAAAACTTTCACGATGCATACCTGATCGTAAAGAAGGCGTCCTGTATACAACTATAAAAACAAGAACATTCCCTATGGCACCAACTAAAAATATTCCAACATAAAGTATTATTCTCATTATCCGTAAAGCATTGGGTTCTGCGATATAAATTGCCGTAGTATAGTTGATCTCTGTCACAACATCTGTCGCATTCTCTTTTATTTGACAAGTTATTTCACTGTTATTCATTTTTGGATTTGGTTCTTCTTCCCTTGCTTATATGAACGTCTTCTAACGATCTGTTCTTCACAGTACGTTCTTCATGAGGGGAAATTAGCATAACGCGCGTATTAATTCATGACAACCTTGCAATTATCATAACATGCGTATTCGATCACTTAAATAAATACATTTATATGGCTTGAAAACACCACCTCTTTGAGACTTGCGAGTTCAAATACTCTAACAATGTTGCTAGACACTTAGGCCTTTTAGGTTTTTCAAAACTGATCATTTTTAAGAGAATGAATAATGATAATGTTCTTGAATCAAAGTGTCAAATCTTTCGGGTTGGCTGGCCTACTCATTTTTCGCTTCATTATTTATTTGCAAATGACGTTTTTTTAACTTGTTTTGTTACAGGGCTCAAGAAACTGCAAACTTTGGTGCGTGTTGAGTTCATTTGCATTCACGTCTAAGGTTTCATATTGTTTCTCTTTGCTATGTGCTTTATTTGAACGTCTTTACTTATTTACCATAGTTTTTCGTTTTCAGGTAACGTTCGATCCCCAAAAACTTCTATTGACTTCTAATTATTTCTATCTTCACCCGCTGTGAATTTCACCGGAAATATCATGTCGACTTTCCTCAATCATGTGAGAAGCTTGGGACATTAATATACACGATTTTACTTTGGATTTCATGCAGACCTTTGTTATATTTTAATGATGTCTTCACACGTTTGGTTTTCCAGATCATTTTTCTTCATATGTTTCTGTTTTATGAAATGTATAACAGCTGAGGATCCCGAAGTTAAAATGAATGTTGTAAGTAAATATTTGCGTGCACTTTGTTCAATCATCTCATTATGTGAATGGTACTCAATACTGTGCTGAAATGATTGAAGCTTTTGCCAAAGGATTGGTTTGAATTTAGCTCATAGCGAGGATAAATGAACACTATTTAAAGCGTCTTTATCGTAAGCAAAAATGAAAATGTAGTTCTAGAATTATCAATGACATACTTTGTATATATGTTTCATTTAGTTAATTTTTAATAAGTTATTTTTTGTTTGTTGCACAATATGTTCATTTTCGGTACACCCCTTGTTTCCTTTTATTAATATTTCAAATCTATTTTGTTGAAAATCTTATTGTTCCATTTCAGTCTCAAATCATCACATTCTGGGGTTTCCATGTGAAGACCATAGTGTCGTTACTTCAGATGGTTATATTTTAAGTGTTCAAAGAATACCATCAGGAAAATATGGAAAAATTAAAAACACCGAAGATAATAAACCTGTTGTTTATTTACAACATGGCTTATTGGATCTTCTACTCATTTCGTTCTCAATCAAGCCAATACGAGTCTTGCTTTCATTTTGGCAGATGCTGGATATGATGTATGGATGGGAAATTCACGTGGGAATATATATTCAACAAAACATACCACATTATCACCTGATTCAGATGCTTTCTGGGATTTTAGGTTCGTTTGATGTCACATCTTTTGCTTTTTAATTGATATCAACCTGAACTGTTTGATATTTTTATAACACTCAGCTACGATGAATTTGCAAAATATGATATTCCTGCGACTCTCGATTATGTTTTGAAAACAACACAGTCGTCAAGTTTATCGTACATTGGCCATTCTCAAGGGACAACGATTGCCTTCGCTGAATTTTCACGAAATCAAACATGGCATTCTAAAATAAATGTTTTCATTGCCCTTGCACCTGTGGCTTATGTTGGTAATATGATATCACCTTTAAGATACATTTCTGATTTTGCACCAGAAATAGAGGTTCGTGTTGATTGATCTTTTGGTAAATATTTCTGTACAATTTCCTTGATATTTTTTTATCTTCCGTTTCTTAGTTTCTTTTTCATATTTTTGGAGTAAGAGACTTTAACTTGCCACCCAAAATACAAGAATGGTTATCGGAACTTGTGTGTAAGACAAAGATCGAAAGTGAATTTGTGCTAACGTTGTTTTCTTGCTTTGTGGTTTTGATCCATCGCAGTTAAATATGGTAAACGAAAACATTGTAGATATTGTTTAAACTTTTTGAAATGACATATTTATAAATGAAATCTTCTAGACACGAATGCCAGTTTATGCAGCTCACATTCCTCAAGGAACATCAGTTAAAGATATTGTTCATTGGTCACAGGTCATTATTAAAATATAATCATTAGTCAGATTATGTTGCATAACTTATCTCGATCTTTTTTTTGAAGTTAATTCATTCGAAGAAATTTGAAATGTATGACTATGGACGTTCTGGAAATCAAAAACATTACGGCCAGGTAGAGTTTGAAAAGATCATTGAAAAAAATGAACACTTAAGACTTAAACTCTTTTTTGCCATATTTTCTTATATCAGGCGACCCCTCCGGCATACAATGCATCTAAAGTTAAAATTCCAACTGCCATATTTTACGGCGGGAAAGATTGGATAGCTGATGCCAAGGATGTTCGAATACTTATCTCACAACTTCGACATCTTATTTCCACTTCGTTTATTAAAGATTGGGATCACTTAGACTTCATTGCTGGACGTGATGCCCCACAACTTGTCTACAATAATGTCCTCAAGATTTTAAAACAGTACTCTGAAACACAAAATCGTACACGTAGAAATTTGTATTTCTAAATCATTTGTCATAGTAAATTAAGTTGGAATGTCATTGCTAACATTTACGCCAATTAGGTAAAAGTTTTCAAACAATGATTGTTAATATTGAAAAGAAATTTAAAAGATCAACATATATTTTTTATTGAGGAGTATGAAGATTTTGTTTGTTTAAAAATTTTATAAAAACTTTCACCAATGATATTTGTAATTTGGATATTATCAAAGAAAGTCGTTGTTGATTGACAGGTATTCTTATATTAAACCAGTTACATGCATTCAACCGTATCTATATGCACCAGTTAAATTTACAGCGTCTTCGATAAATTATGGTAAAGGCAAAACGTTGACAGGAGTAACATAAATGTAAGATATGTTTCATGTTTTTACTTCTTTATATCTTTCTGTGAAGTTATAATTGTAAAACACGAAATGTTTGTCACTCTTTAGAATGAAAAATGATGATACAAGCTGGGATTACTTTCATTTTTGTTTACTCAAGTTCGTATCATTTACCAATTTTTGAAATAGAACTTCTATTTCATTTCTTTCTCTTTTATATTTAGTTTCATTGGCATCAGCGCAGTTTCCCGGCATGCTTTCTGAGCACGAGAAATTACGGGAAGATATCAAAAAATCTTTTCATGAGGGATACCAAGGTATGTTTATGGATAGGCGCTACACGTATGGACATGGATAGCTGAACATTCTTACTTTACTCGATTGTTTCTACAATGATATTTTCCACTTTACTCATGTTTCTGCAAAAGGATTTTGTTGAGTAATATTTCATTGGCAAATATTTTAAAGTTGACTGTGTTATCTTTCATATAAGAAAAAAGTGATTGATAAATTTATGCAAACTGTCATGATGAAAAATGATCATCTATAGGCTTTTTATGAGTAGTTATTTTGATGGTAGTAAATCATCATTCAGATATAAGGCCATGCCTGGTTGTTACAATTGTTTATATTCAATAATTTTTTCCAGCTGCATTACAAGAAAGCCTCTCAAAAAATTCCAATGAAAAAAGATACGACATAGGTTTGAAAATGTATGAATACAATAGCCCAACGGTTGGTGAAAAGTAACAATTGTTCATTTCTACGCTTCTTATAGCGACATTGAATCAAGCTGCAAGAAACCGCAACCCTTTGTTGAGTAGTTATGGAGGAGATCCCTATGGTATGTTTGTAAGTCATTCAACGATTTGATTGTGCAATCACCATTCACCAATGCTAGGAAAGGATACATTGTTCGTTTTTGTGTGCTCAGATAATCTTATTTCTTATTCGCAACAGGTATGGGTAGTACAATGCTATCAAAACAGCACATAAAATTTGGCAAGAAAAAGCGATCTCTAGGTTAGATTTCTAAATTTGTTGATTCCTTGTTTAGGAATTATTATTTTCTTGCTCACATTTTCGTATTCAATGAACATAAATTTTTTAAGGTATTAAGATCAAACGCCACATCAACTCGATGCAAAATGCACTTAAGGATGCTTACACATCTGGTTATAAAGGTAGAGATTATTTTGTCATTTATACACCTCCATTGCTCTTGTAGTAAAGCTCATACAATGGCATGAAATTCACATTCATTAATACTCCTCACTAACCATCCTCCTCTGTTGTTGTATTTTATAGCTGGAAAAGAGATGATAGCAAAGATACGAAAAGAAAATTCTGAAAAAAGATTTAGTCTTGGTGAAATGAAACCATTTTTTTTCTTCCCTCGTTAGATGATGACGTTGAGTCATTGACTATGTACGTTTATTTTGTTAGAAAAACTAAATCATGCTGCTCGCCATCGCAATGTTTACCTGGACGCTGTTGGTGGTGATCCCTATGGTAAGCTACATCCAACCTCCCCCACCCACCCAACCCTCACCCCCCCGTGATAGCTATGCATGATGAGGTATTTGGACTTTGCTTATAAGCAAAGTTGACATCCTCGAATTGCCTCCATGGTGGTGATACTTTAATTATTTCTACGTAAAACCACGGTGATAAATTTATCATTCTTCAGGAGGAAGTAGCGTGGTTTCTTCTCAGCAACATATCAGTTGGAGTCGTGGAAAACGTTCTACGTCACATGAAACTCAAACTATCTGAATGATGTAAAAATATCTATCAATATATGTTTAAAAAAATTTTTATATGAAGACCACTATTTGATCTGTCACTGCAGACCATCTTGTGACGTACCATTGAACGTAACTTTAATCGTACCGCTGTGTATTGTTTTGCGGGCACGTATGCCATTAAACTTCGTATGATTACACAACTGTCAACAAAAGAGAAAGTATTTACGACGCCAGATGGTGAAAATTTACTGACGGTTATTGCAAGTCTTTTTTCTTCTCTTCTGTTTTGGAAACCTGTCCTTTTATTACGTCAAACTAGCATGAATATTTCAGTTTTCTTTCTTTCATTCTTTGGTAAGTGAATTTATTTTTATGAAAGCTCAAATTACAAGCTCTTGTCAAATGAACGATAAAACAAAATATTTTTATTTTTAAATACGTAGCATACTGCATGAGATAACTTCTTTTTCTCTGTGAGATATTTTGTGCGGGTTTTGTCCTTTTAGGTTTTCGTATAATATATTTTTAAAGTTTTTGTTTCCAACAGCTTATGTCACTTCATTGTGAATTTTTCTCGAATGCCAAACTATTTTCCAAATTTTCTTCATTTCGCGTGGTGTAAATGTGTCAAAAAGTATAAAAAAAATCAAAATAATCACGAGACTTTATCCTCGTGAGGTACACGTAGGTAGTCTTCATTTTATTAATCATCCATGCTCAAATTGAAATTGTAGTTTTATAATCATTTTAACTTGAATATTTTGCATTAAACTTAATTCAGAATGAAGTTATTAGTTAAAAGTTCTTGAATACCCTCAAATGAATGTTAACTAATAATTTTCTGCGTGAAGTTAAGCTTATCAAGTTATAAAATGCTTAATTCAATGCACTTCCTGCAAAAGTACGTAATTACAGATGCATTCATTAGATAAATTATTATTATAACATATAAAAATGCAATGATTTCAAAATTGGTGATATTTTTGCAATAATTATTTAGTTTTCCTCTGTGATAATATTCAAGGACAGAAGTATTCTAATCAAGAGTGTAAAGATCTTGATAGAATTCAGAAATCTCTTACCACAGCTTTGAAACAAAGAAGAGACATTCCAGTAACAGCATCGTGCAAGCCAAACAATAATTGCACAGGTAATCAATGAACATTTAACACCTAATTATGCTTGTAATCAATGATTAATTATAGGTATCCCATTTTTAATAATTGGAAGATTTGGGTTTTTATTTGGGAAATAAATGTTCCTAAATTAAAATCATTAGAAGGCACATTTAAAGTATTCAATTGGAAATTCATGTCAATGAATACAAAGTTTACTTAGAGATCTTTATGAACTATGCAGTTCTTTATCACAAGATATTTTTCTCTATTTCCACATTATTATTAGATTCAGCTACCTTTTATACTTTGAACAGTATATTGAACTATTTTATTTTTCTATTGTGCCATAGTTGATACAAAAAGTTTTTTTTCATTTTTATGATTCTAAATGTAACCAGAATTTTTTATGAATAATGAAAACCTTTGTTTCAGGAGTGGAATGCAGTGGAACTGCAAATGGAAAGAAGTTTCGTAGTATTGTCATACTGGAGGCTTGCCATACACCTGTCAGAATGAAAGTTTATTTAAACAATAAAGTCATTAATATCACAAATGATTTTGAGTATCAACTACCTTCAAAGGATGCAACAAAAGCATATCTTGTTGTAAAACTTGCAAGGGAAAGAAATGTAGTTTATATTACTGTAAGTAGCTTTTTTCTGTTGATTTATTGAGAAAACTATATATTTTTTGAATTTACATGAAAATTAACTTCAGGTAAACGTGAAAGGTTGTTTTTTGACCTTTCCTTGTGTTTCCTTTCCAATCGTGGAAAATCAGAGAGTTCATGTTCATTGCAATGCAAGTGTTGGTAAGTATCAAATTGGGTAGTTTGAACTGAGAAGTATCGTTACATATTAGTTTATGTAGATTGTCCATGTTAGTAGAGTCTTTTGCCTGTTTATATTGAGCGACCTTTAGACATGTTTAGCAGTCATGATGACTACAATGATGACTAATGTTGAAACGTCAACCAATCAATTTCAATTTCAATTTAATGAAAACGCGATCGTTGGAGACGATGACCTGTCAATGCATGAAACTAATTTGGGCTTCTTGAAAATAATGTTTCATTCAGGCAGCAAATACTACGTACTTTTCGTTTTAACTCTGAAGCAAAGTTCCTGATTCCTGATTTATTGTCAGTCTATTTCGTATCACGATTTTTTAAAAACTTATTTGATTTTACATTCCAGATCCAACATCAACTTCTTATTCTACCGCTGCAGTTACAAACGAAGGTAAACATAAGTTTTATTCTATTCTGATTGACGTTTTCTCTTTAAATTTACAACAACTTATGTTTTTATGATTCAGATGAATCAAAAAATCCGGAGTGCAAGGGATTAAATAATGCTAAGAAACAAATAGAAAGGAGCTTCAATAATTTTCCCTCGTACGCGGCTAATAGCATCTTCTGTTATCCAGCCACTAACTGTACAGGCAAGTGTTTAAAAGTTTTAGTCATCTTATTTCTTTGGTAATGAACTTTTAATATAACTGTAGTCGTCAAGATTCATGTGGGTTGTTGCAGTTCTCAAAATAAAATTTCAAGAGTTCGTTAACGTTGTTTAAATAAATAGCACATTTTTATATTCTCCACTTTTTGTACGCTGTTGTGAATGCAGAAATGTAAAATGGCAACGGTCAAAACCACTATCGTAAACTTCAACAGTCAATAAAAATGTATTTTTATTTGTTTATTTAGAACTTAGATGTGATGGTGTGTTTAATGGTTATGACTTCAACACAACAATTTTAATTGACTATTGTTCTGACCCAATTGATTTGAGGGTTGCTATTGATGTGCCTCGTAAAAACATTCATTATGATCACCGTTTAAAAAATAAAAAACCTTATAAAATACTCAAGATAGGAACCCTTACGGTTCACATCAGACGTAGTCCAAAGGACAGAAACGTCATTTATTTGTCAATGAAGGTTGTGTATTTTTTCTTTAACTATCGTTTTATGATACAATATAGTCCTAAATATCTTTTATCTTATCTGGTGATTCTTGTTCACTTTTCAGTTGACGTTATTATTCGTTTCGAAGGATCTTATAAAGAACATAAGTGTCCGTGTAGATCCTTCACATTGTCATGGAAAATACTGTAAGACGATATAAAAAGTGTATAAAAAAGGACACATTTAGAAATTATATCAACTGTTTTCATTTCAATACCCGATCACTAGTGCTAATCACACAGTAAACGCAATCTATTAGAATTTTTTACTTGCCAAAATATTGTTCTATGTTAGAAGCTATGTTGAATTCCTATGACCTGAAAAGTTTCTAAGAATCTGATGTATGCACCCTAACCCTAACATGTAGCTGACAATATTCTGGGCACACGTATGCAGTATGCTCAGCATAATGACAGGGCATTGAAATAATTTCTAAAGATCTCCTTTTATGATATACACTTTGTATCATTTATCTGTCATTTTTTGTTGTCTCAACTGTGTGTTTTTTTTTTATTTTCATTCTCTGTCTTCTGTAGTGGCATTTCCTCAGATAAAATCGGAAAAATGTGAAAAAATGACTGCTGTTGCGAAGATGGTCGAAGAAAGATTATTTCGAGATCATAAAAAAGATGTGGTACAGAAATGTTCTGTCATGAAAACATGTGAAGGTATTGTTAAACGATTATCTATACTTAGGAGACACGTGTAAATGGATTGCTGCTTATATTCTTAAAATAAAAATGCTAAAAGCATTTCTCATTTTTTATTGGTTGCGTTGAGTATAGATGAAGTATGATGTACTTATTGCAATGACTGTCTTTGGTATGAGAGAAACACAAATGTTTAAACATGGACTGTCTTTGCAGGCTTGTAAGCTATTTCTTTGAATCGCGTGTTTTTTCTTTTTAGGAATCCATTGCTATAGAAAAAGTGGTAGCGATACCCTACAAATTTACACAAGAATCGATCCTTGTAATTCAACTCTTTTTGTGAATTCCTCACAGAATGGCAAAGTAAAATGCATGAAATTTAAGAATGGAAAAAATTTTCAAATGAAAAGATTCCAAGACATGATCTTGTTTAACGTGAGTTTAACTATTTCAATTTACGTTTTATTGTGTGTTTATTGTAATTAGAAAAGGACATTTAACCTGACTCTTCTTATTTCCACTCCGTTCCATGATGATTTTATTCAATTTTTTCTTAATTCCCCAAGCATTTTTAATGCTACAATTTTATCTCTTCTCAATTTCTCTGGAATCCGTTATTATCCTCCTCAATAGCTTCTCAAATCCACAAGGACATATGATGATCCTACACATTCTATGTTTTTTAATTTCACAGAGATCCATAATGATCCTACTCAATATCTTTCGATTCCCCTGGGATCTATGATAACATGTTATATTGTTTTGTAGGTGAGTTTTGAGGGATTTGGCATCTTGCGAAACGCAGAAATTCAATACGATCCGAACGATTGTCGTGAAATTCAATACGATCCGAACGATTGTCGTGAAATTCAATACGATCCGAACGAAGGTGGATTGTTTACATACGTCACACTTCTCTCAACTATATTTAAGTTATTTTCGATCTCTTATTGATCTTTATCGTTTAGGCAATAGTTTTAAATCTCCACACATTCTGGTTTGTCACCTGCTGTTGTTGCTGGGATTGTTATTGCGGTCATTGTCATCATTGTCGTGATTCTTGTTGTTGCCATAGCAACTGTTCGTTACAAACGCCGAAGGATCGCGCGTTATACTGATCTGGTAATGAATGATGACTCTGATCCATTGATATATGATTCAGATCCAGTGGCCTGATTCTAATGACAAGTAACTACCTTCACCCAAACGATTTTATAGTATTTCTGTCCTGTACATAAAGGTAGAACTGAATTTCGTAATTTGTGCAGTAGGGTTATTATTTTAAGATAGTATTATTGTTAGTATGTTAATAAATGCACGATTCTATTTACGGTTTGTTCGAGCACACAATCTCAATTATTGCAAAGTGTAATTGAATATTACAAGTTTTCTAAGTAAGAGTTATTTCTGTACTTTAAAACTCAGATAAAGTGTCTTTCAGAGCGAAGAAATGATGGAAACGAGTTTCACAAAAATTGGTATGAAATTTGATTGGATGCTTATGTGAAGTGTTTTAATTGGCTGCTTATGTGAAGTGTTTTAATTGGCTGCTTATGTGAAGTGTTTTGATTGGCTGCCTTAAGAGATATTTGGGAATAATTACCTACGCATAGTGAACAAAGCTCTTGTGTTACAAGTGAAAGCACAATTGCATTGCTCTTTCGCTTCTCTACAAATTATTTCATAACATATTGTTATCATGGGAATTTTTTTCAAATACACAAAATCATCGGCGGCAGAATATCCGTAGCAGCAAATATAATTGAGATAATGTTGAAAAATACCTATCATTTGTCTCGATAAAATTGAGCCATTAATTTGCTCAAGGAACTTACATGAATAAAAAGATAGTTATTTGAATTAATAAATGCAAGAACTATAACAGAAAACATTTGCTATTTTAAGCACAGCTCGTTTCATTTGCGTTATGACGTGTCATACGTTAACCAATAAGAAGTACTTTAGCAATCACCTGCTAGGCAATTTCGCGCCACTCCAACAAGTCCATTCATCGACATTCATTCATGATCATGATAAACAAAAGAACGTAGCGGACGTGGCAGACCTAATAATCCCGAAAGGATTAGAACATTTACAAAAATTTACTTGTTTTTCACACTTTATATATACTATACAGTTAAGTGGTTACTAGTCTGGGATAAAGAAGACGTGTTCTTGGATTCATTTTGAACGCGCGGAAGAAAGAATGTGCAAATATAACTTTGTTTTAACATGTTTCTTTCTTGTGTCTCTTGCCATCGTATCTTCAGTGTGGGGTGAGTATTTTTAGTTATATCATTGCTTCGCTGGTGTTTCATATGTCTCACACAATCGAACAAAATAAAATCTTCCTTTCTGAGGCTTTTAAAGTTTTGCTCGCGTAGTCATGGAAAAAACTGTTAGATGAAAACATACAATACTCGTACTGCAACGAAAATATCAAAACAATAACTGTGATCAACGAATTTGCTCTTTGTTTATACTTCAGTCGCCCGTTGAGAACGTTTCGAAGCGCTATTTAATGAGTAAATATGATTGATAATTTTGCCTACTGATCAATTATTTAAAATTTTTATCGAATGTAGCAAAACAAATTGATGGTGTGTTTTTATTTTACGTAGACGAGACAAAATAAGAAAACAAGAAGCTGTGTTACCGAACATATCTTTTAATTAAAATGGCTGAAAAATTGTTTCATCAAAAACACGAGTGTGTGTATTTTTCTTCACCCCCGCGCTCGTCAAATCAGTATTGCATCAGCGACTTTCGATATCTGACTGTCCAAAGTTCATTGAAACGCAACTTTATGCTTTTTGCTGCTTATAAATAATGAATATATTGTTTTTTAGCCCGTGCTGTTGTTATATTGTCAGTTGTCACTTTCATATTTGTACAGTTGTTATTGTTACAAAAATAACATCAGTATATATTTTATTTCCCCAAAATTTTAACGAACATTGCCTGCCCATGAAATTTTCCTTTCGTGTTTCAATTAAAGGTGAATTTTTGCAAGGTTCTAATAATTTTAGAATTGGAATAACATCGATGGCGATTACAAATGTTTGTATAACGAAATTAGATTTCCTGTGTGCTATGACGTCATATTATGTTTCTTCAAAGGTCGAAAAGAGTTCTCATGTTCTGAAAATGAATTTATGTGTAACATAAGTCAAACATGTACTCATCTTCGATGGAAATGTGATGGTGAAGATGACTGTACTAATGGCGAAGATGAACTTAACTGTAAGGATTACTCGGACTTACCAAATGTTGGAATCAGTGTCTGTTCAATTAACCTTATCTTATAAATGAAATGATTCATCATCATCATCATCATCATCATCATCATCAGCCTGTCACGCCACTGCTGGCGGATGGCCTCCACATCTTTCTCCTCTCTTCATGATTCTTATAATTTTTTAATTTATTATTTTTTGAAATTGATTCAAATCGATGTACAAAAATATCATTTGATTGTTTAGCCATATTGCTACATTTTTAAGGTCCTCCAACGACGTGTCTGCCCGACCATTACCAGTGCCGCAGTGGACGATGTATCCCCAACTCCTGGATATGTGACGGTTCCAAAGATTGCCCGGATGAAGACGATGAGGCCCCAAAACGACAGTGTAGGTTAATCTGTCGAGTACTGCATTAAAACATAGTGTAGATCGGTTTTCCAGTGGATTATTATTTTTATAGAACAAAGTTTTAATTTAGGTCAATTTCATGGATGAAAAGTAACAGGTTAAAATTTCTGGATTTTATGTTACTATTCATGATCTAGGTAATGGTTCATCCTGTCGAAGCGATGGTTTTCAATGTCGTAATGGTGATTGTATCAAGAAAGTTTATCAATGTGATCGTGAACACGATTGTGACGACAAAAGCGATGAAATAGATTGTCCTGGTAAACTTGACATTTAATTACAAAAGACGAAGCTTTGTTGGAATCGTACTGACGAAAATAAAAACGATCACTTGACTATTAACTACTGCACTTCTTTTCTCGTTTTTTTTAAGATCTGGTTTGTTTATCGACGGAATTCAAGTGTGCCAACAATCTCACATGTATTGCTCAGGAAATGAAATGCAATGGTGTAAAGAACTGTGCTGATAATAGCGATGAAAAAGACTGTGGTATGTTCAATAATTAAAAGTTCTTAAGCCACATGTACGTATGTTGCATTCACACTTGAATCTTTTTTTTTTATCTAAATTTTGTATTCCCAAAGTGTTGTTTCATATTTAGCATGTAATCCAGTCAATCAATTGACGTGTCCCAATGGAATATGTATACCGTTATCATTTCAATGTGATGGTGACGAGGATTGCTCTAATGGCACAGATGAAATAGGTTGCCCACCGGCTCCTTCAAAACCATCTTGTCCTCAGCATAAATTTCAATGCAGTAATGGAGAATGTATACCAGAAGACTGGAGATGTGATGGGGAAGTCGACTGCAATGACGACTCTGACGAACTAAACTGTTCTCTCAATTGTTCTTCAAATCAGTTCACGTGTACTGAGTCAGGAAAATGTATTTCCAAGGATTTTAGATGTGATGATGTCAAAAACTGTGATGACGGTTCGGATGAAATAAATTGTGGTGAGTTATTGGTGCAGTGAGTATGCTCTAAATTCATGCTAAAGTACGCACGTCATAACTATAGAACCGCTGACATTGTGCACAGCTGTCTCAGACAGTTCTTTTCGCTGTGGTACAACATCGTATTGCATAAATGAAAGCAAAGTTTGCAATCATTTAAAAGATTGTCCTGGAGGTGAAGACGAAGCTTTCAATTGTGGTAAGTCTTCAGAAGTCCATTATTATAATCATAAAATATCTCTAAGCGACAAAACCATTCGTTGTCATTTTACTCTACCAGATATTGACGAATGCAAGGACCATAACGGACACTGCAGTCATATTTGTAGTGATCTACCTATTAGATACAAATGTGAATGTCGTCTGGGTTATAAACTTGCTAACGACAGCAAATCATGTGAAGGTTTGCTTTACTTTTGTACAGTAAGTTATACAGTTTTAATATTTGCCATGTATAATGAAATTATTTTTGGTATAATTTAAGACGTGAATGAATGCAAGGAAGTGTATGGTTCCTGTAGTCAGTTATGCCAAAATCTCAAAGGGAATTTCAAATGTAGTTGTGTGGAGGGTTATTTTCGAGAACTTGGTGTCAACCATGAAACATGCAGAGCGACAGGTAAAGATAGTAATGTTTATGCTAACTATTTATATTTTACTAAGGAAGGAAGAAATATTAGTTTTATTGATCTATGAATATTTCCATAACAATGATTGTTCAGGTTCAGAGCCGTATTTACTCTTTGGTGCTGAGAGCACAGTTCATAATCTAACAATATCCGCAAGGCATTTCGGGAATGTTGTCGTCAATCTTAAAGCACCGAGCGCTATAGCCTATGATCTAAAAGATGGCTACGTATACTGGAGTGATGCTCTTAGTGAAAACATTCAACGCGCTCAACTTCATCGCAAAGAATTGGTAGAGACACTTGTTGATGAAGCAGTGCAGTGTAAAGGTAAGAAAAATATGTTTGTTGTCTAAATTTGCGCGTGATAAAATTTGAGATTATACATAAAACACACAGGTATAGCCATAGACTGGATTGGCCGAAAGATATATTGGAGTGACCAGTTCTCTGGGTATATTCAAGTATCGGATCTGAATGGCGGAAACAGTTCTAAACTCTTTAACTGTTCACCAAATATTCCACGTGGTATAGCAGTTGATCCGTATGCTGGGTAAGAGGAGAAATTATTTAAAGATAAATACTATGTTTAATTTTTTAATCTAACTCTCTTATCTGTTAGATACCTCTTCTGGACAAGTTACGATGGCTCTCATCCAAAGATAGAACGAGGGAGCATGGATGGCGATCCATTTTCCCGTATTACTCTTCTTGATACGAATATAGAAATGCCAACTGCAATAACTGTTGATACTATCACTAAAAGACTTTTTTACGTTGAAACAAAGATGCGGCGAATTGAAACTATCACCTACGAAGGTCGTGGACGAAAAATGTTAATATCGAATGGACTAATACATCCTCTAGGGTTAGCTTTGTTTGAAGATCGTTTGTATTATACTGACTTCTCGTTGAACACCATCTTTGTGGCAAATAAAAGAACAGGAAAAAGTGTCGGGATACTCAAGGACAGTCTTAGACGACCTACCGGACTAAGTATTGTTCATCCGCTTCTTCAAAAACAAGGTAATTCGTTATACAAAATTCTGTACTATACTTTACATATAGTGTGCGAGTCTTATAGATGAGGCGAATCTCCTGCTAGCTAGTCTTAATAAATCCTATGCATTCTGCAAATATCCTCTACTTTCTTGTCAACAATGTGTATACGGTACTACATTTTTCCCTCTAGTTTTACCCAATGTAGCGTAAATAACGGTGGTTGCTCTCATCTTTGCCTGTTATCGAGTACTTCCAAGAAACATTACAGCTGTCGCTGTCCACAAGGAATGCAGTTAGGTGAAGATGAAAAAAGCTGTGCTGGTGTAATGAAACTAAAGCCAACTATGAGCATTGTTTCATGGGAAAAAATAAATGTTTCTACTTCAGTGGAGGAGTCACCAAAAAGACCAACCAATGGTAATTATAGAAATGTGATTGCCAATAAAGATTAGTCCTTGATAAACATATTGTAGCAAAAAACGTTGATGGCGATAATTAATTTTACATTAATCGTTCATGATCAAGTTCTGTTGGAATTCAATGTTATGACAATCAAACTCATTTTTCTAATCTAGTTGGATTAAAGAACAGGAGGGATTCATCAAATTCAGGTTCAGTTATTGCTGGAGTTACAGTTGCGGTCTTAGCCTGTTTCCTCCTCATTTTTGCTGCCATATTCTACTGGCTAAGAAGGCGCAAGATAGCAGATAGCAGCATCTTGTTCTACAAAGACAACTCAACTACTCCCTTGCAATCTGATTTTGACGAAGATCTCACTAAGGACGTTGGTGCAATGTCACATGTACAATTCACGTGATCCGTAAACCAATCAAAAGAGACTTCAATGTATAGGAAAGTTGTATTATAATCAATTATAGATAAAGACTATTTAGATACAGTATTCCCCAAGGGAAAACGCTAATTAGAAAACGAGAAAATCACATTTCCATTTGTCCTCATAATTTTATTCTGCAACTGATCGGCTTTTAAATGATATGAGAATTTACTAGTCACATCTGATCTACCCTAGCGACGTTAACACAAACTTACGTTACAACTCATGCTAGCGACGTCACAACTCATGCTACTACATCACAACTCATGCCAGCTACGTCACAACTCATGCTACCTACATCACAACTCATGCTACCTACATCACAACTCATGCCAGCTACATCAGAACTCATGCGAGCCAGTCACAACTCACGTTATGTCATCGTTGCGTCGACTGGTAAAAATGCTGATAATATGAAGGTATTTGCGACATTCCTGTGCATGAAGCAAAGCAACTCCATTTTGAGTATCCATTAGATATCCATTAGTGTACAATACATTACTTATCCATAGGCATCCCATGAACGTCGAGATGTACCTCCTGGTCATAAATCCTCAGATATTTGTTCGAGAAGATCAATATAGGCGCATTTTATCAAATCACTTTCTTTAACGTTTAATTTCTGCATCAAGTCTTCGACTATTTTGCCTGCCTCTTCACACGTCTGATCTTCACGTAATATTACCTGATTATTTCGTAGCATTTGACGAAAATTTATTAAAAATGCTTATTCATATGTCTAATATGTTAACGTACCTCTAACTCCACAAAGCATCCTAAATTCTCTACTTTATCCAAATGTATCCTGGTTTGTCCAGCATGAAACAAAAGTCGTTCTTTCTTAATGACACCTGTTTGATAAGAGATTAATAATCAATATGTATCTGATCAAGGAACCAAAGATAATCTATACACTGCTGATTATGCCTAAAATAAGTTATAAAGTGCATATATCGCGTTAAATTGAATTTTTATTACTTTAGAGCATGGTTATAAATAACGCATAATCAATTGACGAGAATTTTGGCTTCGACGAAAAGTAAGCAACGAATATTCATTATTGTTAATAATTGGCTAATTGATTATCGAATTGGTTTTTAGCGTTCAGATATACGTATTTTAAAGCAATGCAGTGATTTTTATCTTACAAAAAATCATTTGAAACTTATCCATACAAACGCGATTTTTTTTTCGTTATGAAAATTACATTTTACAGCTATGTTGAAATGCTGATATGAAAGTACAATTTCATAAAAACGATTCCTTACTAAGTGGCCCCTTAATACCGTGTATAATGAAAGTAAGAAAGATAGTTGTTAGCTTTTGATTTATTTCACTTGTGATCAAAAATGAAAATGACACCGTAAAAGAATTTTATTTGGTAAATCTGTTGCAAATACCAAACAAAAGCCAACATTTGAAAGTCCTAGGAAACTTTTCAAGGTGATATTTTTATAAAAGCATATCCCTACGAACCTTTTATACCAAGTGATGTGCTTAGTACAATCTTTAAGTCATTTGGTTTGGAAATTTCAGAAATGAAAAATTTTGACAGTTTAGGACCAACTTGATCTGGCCTTGAATATGATATCAGTTGTGACGGGCTATTTTTCAAAATACGCAGCTGAAAATAAGATATCCCTGTTTGGAATATTTACATAAAATGACAAAATGCTACCGAAAAGTGAAAAACAAACTAACCTTTAGTCTATTTTGTGGTGAATGAAAAAAGATATCTTCCTGGAGAATTACTTCACCTGTTAAAAATGCAATTTACTATACACTTACCAATTAAAAACCTTCTCTCAAATGATGAGGTTTTGTGCGAAGGTGGATGAGGTGAAATTGGTGGATTTCATTCAAAATTTCAAGATTTGAAACCTGTTTTTCCACTGAGATTTTCCAAAAGCGATAGAAAGTGCTTATAGTCGGAAACTTTAGCTTTTATTTCAACGTTTGATGGCATCTTGCGAAAGTTTCTTGTTTGTTGTTGTAAGATTTGGGGAAGACTATTTTCAATCTGTCAAACTTACAAAGTATCTGCTATCCACTATATTGAATTTTTATCAGATTGATTAGTTTTTCTAATTTGTTAACAAAGAGTAGACAACGATTAAATTTTAAATTTTCACATTTAAAATAACCACATTTCATATTGCCAAATCGCAAAAATTATTTGTTATGAGATTACTGCAATTGTGGATAATGACTACCCGTTGAGTAGCGGAAATCTACAAATTACACATGTCACATGGTACATGTATAAGCCAATCACAGACGTGTATCTCCTATATTTCCGTTTGCCCCTTTTATCAGAGTTTCATTTAGTTTGTGTTGTGTTGCTAACTTTGTGATTGTCGTAAAAATTGTCAACATCGCGTCCCACATTTCTGCAAGATATAATGTCGTATTTTTCTCCTAGCACTGGGTAAGGTTTTTCATAGATTCTTGCTATTCCTTGTAATTTCATCAACGTTTATGTTATTAGAAATAAACGCTTTGCTAATAAAGTGTGTTTGGCGTTAATGTATATTTTGTCTTTTACTTTAGCTCACCTGCCGCTACTTGGCAAACTACAGGTCCTACAGGAAGGTATGTTGAAATAAAGCACTCCGTCCTAATAGCTCCAAGTGCTTATTTTTTTACATATATTACTCGAATTGCGTTCTGGATTGATGAAATTTTTATCTTAAAACATAGGAAATAAATTTATACAAAACACGTCAATTTGCTGTTTTGAACAGATAATCGTTTATCTATGAATCATTTGTACTTCTTTTACTTGACAGTTTTAATACTTTTTACAATCTTGTTCATTGAATTATTTACATCAATCTTCAATGTCTCCATGCGGTATTTATGTTGGCTTCGTTGCTGTGACAACTCAATGCTATGTATATTTTGTTAAAAGGAAATCCATTGCAGGTTCCTTTGTGAGACGAAGGACAAAACGTAGATATTATATCGTGTGTAAGATGTTTTATTTTTCCGCAGGCGAGATGGAACTATGTTATTGCTCCAAAATATAAACAATCTAAATTTATATATCTTGAAATCACTTTTATAACATTGTCTCAACACTGCAATACAGTACAAACGAACCCAGGATGTTGATAAATGATTTTGAAAATAGGATTTTAGCATGAGTTAATGTAGATTAGTCTCATTGTGATTGGTCTTTGGAAACTGTTGCATAGGAAAAATAGCTAGTTTGTGAGTACATATTGAAAAATAATTACTAAGCTCCCATCTAATCAAAATTAATCAAAGCATAATACATTCATGTCATGTTTTGTAAAAATTTTATTTCTGGAAAAGTTTTTTCTGAGAAACATACTGTTACTTTGAAAATTTCATTTTGTTTTTACTTTCACTATGACCTTCTTCTACCATTCATGATTTCCAAGTTGACCTTTGAGAACCTTATTCAAATAAATATTGTCTATATTTTTATTTATAGTTGTTTGGTATTGTACAGATATTTTTCTACCTGTAGCAAGATTTAGGGTTAGTCAGAATACATTAGAATACAGTGCCTCATTTCAAATTCAATGTTTGTTAAAACTTTCTAAAGAATATTTTGAAGTAAGTTTTACCAATAGAATAGTTTATGAGGTATTTTAAATACAAATTTTTAATGTATTCTGCCTTACCTTATCTGCTCTTGTTTCCTACATGTTTTTGTGTCAAATACTCAATGTTTTCTTCATTTTTAAATTATTTAGTGTATATGAAACTGATGCAAGAGCTACCAGCCCAAATAGCAATCGACAGACAAAACTTGCCCAGCAGGTTTGCCTATTTTGTAAACAAAAGAAAGTCAAAACCTTTGACTTATGATGTGTAGATAAAATGCATTGAATATTTTAGAAAGCATTGATTGAAAGAAGGCAACAGCAAAAGAGAGCACAGTCAGGTATCATTTAAAAGTTGATATTGTTATTTTGGTGTTTGCAAAACGAAGTCTCGTCATAATAGAGAAATTACCAATGGTATACTGGTTAAAAATAGCAAACCAATGAAATGAAGTTTAGTGTCTGACAAACAATCAATTTGCATTGTTAAGAAAATATGTATTCATTAATGCTGTTATTTAAATTTTCTACCATGAAACCTTTAGGAATTATGAAATCCAATGATATGTTGAGACCTGTTTCTGCTCGTCCTGGGACTGGGGTAGATCGAGGAATAATATCAAGTGGTATTGGTGGCACAAGCTATCATTCTACTAGTAAGTTTTTTTTAATATCTTTGTAAATTTGGTGTTTGTGTTGGTTTTGGTTTTGATTTTGGTATTGATTTTGGTGTTGGTGTTGATTTTGGTATTGATTTGAATTATTAAATGTCATGCATATATAAGGGTATTTTTTCATGGTGAAAAAAATTATTCCATAGGTCCCAACGATGGTTCAATAACTATTGTTCCCCGACGAAAAGAGCCAGAAGTAGGGTTGTTGGTGAATGTGGGAACTGACAACAAAAAAATCAAAGTTAGTTTGCCCTTTTTAAACATTCAATTGATTCTTATCCATCTCTTTCTCCGTTCACAAACATATGTACGTGTCTAATTTGGTGCATTGGCTTCAGAATTTTTCTATGTACTTGTTATGTTGTATGTAGGAAAGTACAACAGAGACAGAAAGGCGTTTAGCTGCTATGGGACTGAACACTACCTCAGATTATTCTGCAAATAATAGTCACAAGGGTGGTTTCAATGATGATGAATTGGAAGAGGAAACTTTACCAACAATCTCACCTGTGGAAAACCTCTCCTCTAACTCTTCTTCCCAAGGTGGAGAGGAGCTTAACCAGAAGACACATGGTGAACTTGTAAGCCCATTCATATTTTTCTGTTTTTTTAAAGTACATTTAATCTGACTGATGAAAATATTTATTGAAGAAAGATGAAACTTCTGAGGAAAAAGATGTGGAATTTGATGATCTTGATGAGTTTGTTGATGGGTATATCTGCTTTGGTTTACTGCAAGATTGTTGAAATTTGCCTTTGCTAACTATTCATGGAGTTTGATTCTATATTTTAGTGCTGCACCAAAAGGAGTTACTGTGAAATGTAGGATATCTAGGGATAAGAAAGGAATGGATCGTAATATGTATCCTACGTACTTCCTTCATTTGGAGAGAACTGATGGAAAAAAGGTTTCACAATGTTGATATCTGGGGGGTGTACCTTTGATAATGCATGCACAACATATAAACAAAATAAACTTTTTATTATTAGGTTTTTCTTCTTGCTGGTCGTAAACGAAAAAAGAGCGCAACATCAAACTACTTAATATCTACAGATCCAACTGATCTTTCCAGGAAAGGTGAAAGTTACATTGGGAAACTAAGGTAATGGTTAATAATTTCTGCTTCATAGTGACACTTTTCAGCTAAGTACTGAAATAATGTTTTGAAATGTTTTCAACTAGTCAAATTAAATATTGGATCTGTGTATGTAAAGGTGTTGTAATTTGTGACTGACATCTTTTTTATTATTTAGATCAAATTTAGTTGGGACAAGATTTACAATTTATAACGATGGGGTAAACCCAAAGAATGGTGGCGTTATGGCCGATGGATCAAATATCCGTGAAGAGCTTGGTGCAGTGTTATATGTATGTAAGAATTGAGTGTTCTAACTGTCAGATTTAACTTTATCGTATATGAAAATTATTTTGTCGTTCTAGGATACGAATGTGCTTGGTTTTAAAGGTCCCAGAAAGATGACTGTTCTAATACCAAGTATGGATTCTAGTGACAAGAGAATTCCCGTTCAACCAAAAGTGGTGCGTATTCTTAATTTCGTAGGGAATTCTTCAAAGGGGTTTCTTTATTTGCATGCGGTGAATTCAAAAAAATATTTCACTGTTTACCGAGTTCACTGTTTACATAATGTGTTCATAGGAGAGTGATACTTTATTGGAACGTTATCGACAACGTGGTGGGAGATTAGACAATATACTAGAACTTCATAACAAAACACCTGTATGGAATGATGGTATTGATGATTTTACTCTGTTGATGTAAACATGTACTTGTGTTTCTATTTACCGATAAAAATACTACGAATTATCTTTGAAAAGTATTGGAGAGTGGGTGGTCATCTTGCTCCCTCCTCCCTCTTCCCAGTGTGTGTCATCTGTAATTCCCTGACATTTGTTAATTTTTTTACTTGATCATTTCTATGCTTGTGTGGCACATGGTATCTTCACCAGCGATGGATCCACGATGTTTTTTGGGAAGGGGGATGGGAGGGGTGCTCTAGTTTAAAATAGATTTTGGTGGCTTCTGGTTGCAGTAGCATGTCAAATTTTTCTGTTAAATTCCGTAACCTTTCTATTATGATGGGGAGAATTTTGCTCCATTAAAAGCTAATTGTTGATTTATTAAACACTAATTTTCTATTAAAATTGGCATGGCACCTTTCCTGCACTTTTCTAGCCAGTGCTTGAGAGGTGTGCATCCTTCCCTAACTGCAGTCTTCGTTATCATTTTTTCTACGCTTTTAGACACACAGTCGTACGTACTCAATTTCCATGGACGTGTAACTCAAGCATCTGTAAAAAATTTTCAAATAATCCACGAGAACGAACGTATGTAAAATAGTACTAGAAATAAATGTTCGCGTAAATTTTCTTAAACCTGTTTAAAATGGCTGTACAAAATTCATTAAAACAAAAGTTTACCTATGTATACCTATGTTTACCTGTGTTGGACGTGTGAAACAAGCAGTTTCTTGATGATATTTTTAGCTGAGTACATTGTGATGCAGTTTGGCCGCGTTGCAGAGGATATATTTACCATGGATTACAACTATCCGATGTCTGCAGTCCAAGCATTTGCAGTTACCTTAAGCAGTTTTGATGGAAAGATTGCCTGTGAGTAAGATTGAAAAGAACTAGTAAGAGGAAGATCGAATTTTAAAAATGAATCCTGTGCGTATTCTATAATTTGATTGGAGAGGTGATGAAAATTATTTCAATGTATATCTTTTAATGGCGAGGCGGTTAAATTGTCTGATATTTTTACCTTTGAACTTTGCTGAGATTACAACAACATAATAAAAATGCGAATCAAAATATTGAATTTCTAATATTTGTTTGGTACAGTGATTAACATTAAGCAATCTAAAACTACTTTAAGTATGTTATAATCAAAGCATTAAAATGTACTTATACTTATACCAGTTTAAATGATTTATAAAAAACTTGAATTTTATTGTACAGACATAAAGTATTAAATAATTATTGTGTTTGTATTTTTAAAATAAATTATTTATCAAGCTCTTTTAATGTATAAACGTGTTTGTTCTATATGATATTATGGTATTTAGTTTGCGAAACTTCTTCAAAGAATTTGCACCTTACGTTTGTCTATCTTGTGAAAAAATCTCGTTAGTGCTGTTGTTTTGTGCAAGTCTAGAATGTTTGAAAGTGATTGCAATGAAAGTTATAAAATTTCCAAAGCAAGGTTAATAGCTCTTTCCTTAAACAAGAAATTTAGCAATAACATTTACAGCTGTATCCAAGGACTAGCTGCACCAGCGATCTGACATGAGAAAAAGGCCTTGAAGTGGCAGGTAAATTTTTTTCAGGTCTAAACTATGGAAATACGTCTACTTAAATGAAGTCTATTGATCATCATTCCAAGTCCTTCCGTGTAAGAAAACATACCTCTAGAATTTGTAAAAATCCTCTTGATCTTTCCGTATTCCCGTCCGTTCAATTTTAATGATTATGAGCCTTATGAGAAAGTTACAATTTCAAAGGTAACAAGTAAAAGGCGTATAAAACAGGCTTAGAGTTGGTGTAAATTATAAATGAAAAAGGCATAATGTCATATACTTTCTATAGATAGATGTCTATATCTGGAGAACGGTAGCCAATGTTTAGCATAGCATTTTCTTGGACATCCTTTATCTCTCCAAATCCCATGTCGCACAGTTTAAGCCATAACATCACTTCAGATAAGCTTGACGCTGAAAAAGATCAAGAAAGAAATCAAAATGGCTGTGATGATGGAGATGAGTATCCTGATCTGAAGCCTATTCCTTTCGGCTACGCTACGAGAAATTCAAGATTTCGGAATGAATTTGTGGCGTTGCAAACGCTTGGAAAAAGAAGGGTTTGCTTCACTTGTCAAGGTAACTTGAATTTTTATTGTTTAAATGGAGGGTAATTTGGTCATGTGAAGGAAATTTTGTACGTGATTTGGAAATGCTTTATATACGCTTACGTATGTAATAAATTGGACGGCTGTCTCTATGCTATGCAATCAAAAGCATTCCTTTGAATCCGAAAAGTGTGCTGTTTAATCGCAAAATTACTGGGTAAGAGAATCTTTTTTTGTAGATTGAATCATGAACATATCGTAAGGCAAAAAGAAATCCACTATCAAAAATGAATCAAAATTTTCTAACATACGAGTTGAAAGCGAGGTTCAATTTAGACGATACAAATTGCTTGGCTTATTAATTAATGTTATCTTTATAAAAACTATTATAATAAAGTAGTTGATTCCTTTTTTTCATGAAGCCCATGGATGCTTTCGTTCATAATGAGAGAGTTCCAGGCTTCCAATTCAACTTGATTGCATCACCAAAACTTTTCAATTATACATGTTTGTTGTATAAAAGGGCTATTGCATTTGTAAGTATTATCTTATGAGAATTTTTTTATTTATTGGTTAATTTAGTTTCAAACGCCTAACCAAGTTAATTTTGCAGTTTTTCTATCATGTATGTAGATTTCGATTTCGCAATTAACAATCTACTCACGTGACTAATAGAAGAGTTCCTTGCAAAGCAGTATGGGAAGGTTCCTTTCCTACCGTTGACGATAATAAATGTCTTAGTCAATTTGAAAGTATAAAATATATATTTTTCTCTAAAAATCATTTTGTTTGTGCTTATTTTATTCTGCATTTAACTCGATATATTAGGCGAATGATTCTGCAAAAGTTGATTTTTGTGGCTGGTAGTACTCGTCGAATGATGGCATTATTGTCGACTCTTGAATTTCTGTTATGATTTGAAGTAATAATGGATGTGATCTCAAGTTTCAAGTTGAAAGTGTTCACAATTTCTCTGAAAACTAGAGAAGCTTTGGCCATCTCATCATTTTACTCTCGAGATTATTGATTTGGATTATCAAATTCGTCATCGCTATAAAATTTGCCTCATCAAGTCTTTAGTTCGTATACGTTGAATAGTAATACAGTTTATAAAAGTACTTGAATATTTGAACATTGAATTTGCTCTGATTTCCTCCAAGATTTTTATGATACAACTGATTAAAATACAAAGCTTCACCTTGCAAATGTTTGCCGATTAAATTGCTGCTTTCTTGGAGCGACGCGTAACATCAGCAAAACGTTTTTGATCATTTTCTATAATGTTTTGGAAGTTTGATTTGCATTCCAACTCGTCGTTGGATACTGTGCTATCGAAAGATGTGAGTACATAGCTAGGTAGAGTGGAATCTTACATTGACCCTAAAGGAGCTGCAGGAATTTTAAATAGAAAATAAACTGATTACTTGTGCATTCATTAACTGGGCTTTGTTTATATGACTAGGCAGAAGGGATACATGTAGTTGATGTCTTATACTTTGTTTTATGATACAATATATTGAATATCATGTTTTACACCTTGCTTTCTGTTCTAGGATTGCACTCTGTCTGAGGTACTTGATGAAGATGATGTGCTACAAGAATGTAAATCTCAAAATCGGAAACTCTTAGATTTGTATGTGTAATTCATATTTCCATTGGAAGTTACATGTATCATGAAGAAATAATCATTGTTCTTCTCAATTCTTCAAGTCTCACAAGAAAAGAAATTTTAGAAGAAATGGTGGATTTGATAGTTATGGAGCCTGATGAAGAAGTAGAGGATAAACTAAGATATAAGTGAGTATTAGTGAACATTTCATTATTGCTGGATTTAGTGGAATGTATGTGTGACATTTTTTTTCTTCTTAGATATCCCAATGTAGCTTGTGAAATTCTCACTTCTGATGTTCAAATAATAGTTGAAAAACTAGCTGAAAATGAGGTACATTTGAACTAGATTTTATCATTGCTTTGTTTTGTGATACAATTTCTCTCTTCACTTCTCACGCATGACTTTAATTTTTTCTAGGTTTTACTAGATAAACTTTGGCAATTTTTAGACACTGAGAAAACTCTTAATCCTCTCTTGGCTAGGTACATTTTGACACATTTGTATATGATTGTTGCCTTTTCCTTAATGACTGACCTTATCATATATTTTTCTGTTTAAAGCTTTTTTAGTAAAGTATTTTCGCTTGTTGCCGGAAGAAAGACAAATGCAGTGAGTAGCTTTTAAAATTGAACTACGTAAATTTCTGGTTAATATAAATGTCAATTAAGCAAAACATATCAGCAGGTTTATGTACCTTGGTAAAAATTTAAGTACACATTATACAATGCACTTTGCGGATGTTAACACTATGTGAAAAATGATTATTAAGACGATAAAATAATAGATATTGAAGAACTTGTCCAAATCCAGTTCTTATTAAGTGACAGAATCTTTGGACTTACCTTCACATACCAATATAATACTTTATGCTCTCAATTTTCAAAGGCTCTTCAATTCCTAAAGTCAAAGAAAAACCCTATAGACAGCATACTACGACACATTGATACATCAGCAATTATGGATCTTGTGTTGAAATTTTGCCATAACATTGATATGATTGAATCACGGTCAGATGTGTTACAGGTAAATACTACAATCTTCAAACATTTTGTTTTGTGTTCTATTTGAGTGATTTTCTTTGGAATAAATGTGAAATTAATCATTGCTTAATTGGAAGACATTTTTTCTAATCTATTATTTCTGAATCACTTTCTTCTACCTTCATGTGCGGAATGACTTTATGTGATAAATGGTTTTTTCTCACTGTTTCTATTTCCTGTAAATGGTCAACATATTTCTTTTTGTTTTCATGTAATAAAAAAAATTCAGTCAAATGTCTAGGTTTTTTGATTTTTGACTAAAGTAGAAATTATATTTTGAAGAATTTACAAGAAGTTTGATTCATTTGTTTGTTTAGTGGTTAAATAATGAGAGACTTATACAGAAACTTGTAGAAATCATTAATCCACGAAATTCACCAGATGTAAGTCATTTTCACTTTTTTTACAAATGCCATTTTATGTACATCATTATGTACGTCAACAGCATTCTAATACATAAATAAATGTATATTTTAGAAAATCTATAATTCCTCACAATGTATATGTGAGCTAATAAAAAGTAGTCGAGAACAAATGTCACAACTTCAAGAGTGTGCACTGCCAGATCCCATATTATCCACAATAGAAGAGTAAGTTCCTACTGTGGTATTTGATGGATTGCACAGTACATTGTTGAAAAGTATTTACAATATTCGTCTATGGATCTCTTGTTATTTAGCAATGAGACACTATCTGTGTTGCTTGACCGTATGTTACATGAAGTACACCTATCATCCTCACATGACAGCATCGTGGGCGGCATTAATATTCTTCTAACGTTATTAGAAATTAATAAAGCAAAGTAAGTCATAGTGTATTTATGTATACATGTAGTTTACCTTTTTTCAGTTCACATTTTTCCCTTTAGTTCTGAATCGCCATTTTCAAATGTTGAACTTGGAGAACCATTAACACCACTGGATGCTGAACGATTGAATCACGGTATATGACTGACCAGCTGTATAGGGGAATCTGTGTATGATGACGTTATAACTCACAATGTCAACACTCTTTGTTGTTGTAGGGGTATCTGTAACACTATCTGCAATCTTGCCTAAACTTAACGACTTTCATCATCTTTTGACTAACCCACCACCGGTAAAAGAAGCATACGATCATTTGTAATGGATTTTTCTTGAATTGTACGTATCTATTACATAATCTTTGAGTTGATGTTTGTGTATTGTAGATGGTTGCTATATCAACTACAGCAGGTACTCTTGAACCACCATTTGGAAAAACACGATTACAAATTATGAAGCTATTTGCTGTCGTCTTGCAAGCGAAGCGCAACGATGTGAAAGAGGAATTGGCTAAACTAGGCACTCTTAATGTCATGTGGGTATGTATATTTGCTTTCTTTTTGCTAATTGTTTTACCCCAGAATAAGAACATACAGAGGAGTCACTCATGTCGGAACCTTTGATGTTTTCATCCTCGCGCATGTCGTGCTGCGCATGGTGGCCGCCTTTATTCCATCTAGATGATTAGGGTTTTTGACTTTTTTCAAACCTTTAAAATGATCTGAAGTCATTTCTTAACTCAAAATATATTTGAATTCATTATTAAGTATTGACGTCATGTAATTTTAATGGTTGGAAACAAGTGAGAAATCCTAATCATCTGGCTGGAACAATGGCCGACAATGAGTTGTACACCTGAGTGACCCTTCTGTATAATCATTATTCTGTGGTTTTACATTGAAGGATCTTTCTGTTACAACTTTATAAAGTTGTTGATTTTCATGAAGGGTCTTCTGTTGTAAAGATTTGTGCAGTGAAAATTGTAAAATATATACTTGTTATGTTTATAGTTACTATGTTTTGTTTTTTAGGAGTTGTTTTTTCGTTATCCATGGAATAATTTTCTTCATGCTCAAGTAGAACATTGCATCAACTCCATTTTATGCAACGCTCCAACAGATAGCAGTTCAGAACACGATTTACTCCGAACAGTGAGTTGATTTGTGAGGCATCCAAGATGGCCTGCTGTATTTTTTTTTGAAGTATTAATTTTTTGTTATGAATTGTTGCAGCTGATGAAAGATTTAAATATTGTTCATGAAATCACCAAAGCTTTTGATCTTCAAGAGAATGGGTAATTGGTTTAGTGATTTTTACTATAAAGTTCCTAAAAAAACCCTCGCGCATTTCCAGATCAGATACTTTAGTCTAAACCATTCTGAGTTATTTGAGCACTAGAGGGTCGCATGTTAAGGTTTTGGGAGAGGTTTTGACTCCTGCCACGCTAATCCAATCTTGGGAGACCTAAAGCAAGCTTCAGCCCACCGAGGAGGATAATGTCGCTAAATCTTTGGAAAAGAAACAAACAGACGGCATTAATACTGTATAATAAGACATTCATGCATAGATGAACCGTGGTAATGAAGACAATCTTGGAGAGAGGAATCGTGAACAATAATACAATCTCATGCATAGATGAATAGTGGTAAGACAATCAAAGACAGATGAACCGTAGACAACAAGACAATTAAAGACAGATGAACTATAGACAACAAAATCGTGAACAGATGAACGGTAGACATTACAAGAGCAAAAATCTGTTTTAAAAGTTTGGTATATCTCACAGGATGTAGGAGTTGTTTTCCTAATGTTTTACACTTTGAAATCATTAATTTTTCTGAAAAATGGGGATAGGTACATGTCCCCACCGTCCAAGATTTGTGCCCTTGGTGGACAACAATACATACACGTATATGTAAACAGTGGAAGTTATGTGGTTGTTTAGGCTATCGCTTGCCATTATTATTGCATTGAACTTATTGGACAGAACAGATAATAGTTTTGTCGAATTTAATGATGATTGTTAAGTAAATGATGAGGTTGATTCAAATTACAAAGCAAAAAGCCAAGCCGTGTTTTTCGAAACGTTACACGACCCAGAATCTCTCTTTTCTTCATTGTTCTCTCCCTGGTTTCAAGTGTTTGTTCACAAAGCTCTTCAATTGATCGTGTATTGTAGTTTTTTTTAATCATTACTAGGAATGAAACGATTCGTCATCGTCATGGCTACATGGGTCATTTGACCAAGATTGCAAACAATCTTTACAAAAATATCAACAAAGGGAAAAATCAAGAGAGGCTGACCAAACTTTATGATGGTTTGTACATATTAAACATGTATAACGGTATTATGATGTTTTGTATAAACAAAACGTGTATAGACCAAACTCTATGATGTTTGTAAATCTGATATATGTGTGACGACTAAACTTTATGATGCTTTGTTCATCTTAAGGAAGCTTTTACTTACTGTTTTTTGTTCATCAACTCTCTAATATATCTTACTAGAACTAAAGCAAGAAGATAAGGACAAATGGGAACAGTTTGTTTCTGGGAAATTAGCAGAAATAAACAAAAAGAACAACACAGACCTGGTAATGAACGTCAAAGAAGTAGCTATTATATCGAAACCTATGTTACGATATAATATGTTCATCCTTTTCATGTGTTACGTATGATGTCCTCGTTCTAATCTTATTCTTCCGGTAAATGAGATTATTTTTCTTTTTTCCAGGCTGGTCGACATCCTCTTCAGTCCTCTGATGATGATGATGACGACTATCGTTCTTCATCATACTTGCATAATGGAAATACTGCTTCCTATCAGCAGGTTTGCGTCTTTACATCAACATATGTTTTTAATGAATTCATGTGTTCATCAACTTTTCCTTTCAAGGCTTTTGCCAATTATCAGCTACAGCAAATGGCTCCAGAATTTCTCGACTCAATGGGATTCGATGAAGACCATTTTCCAGAATCTGACGATGACATGAAGTATTAATATATTTATCTTGAAAATAAAAGCTGGCTCTCTTTTACACATTTATATTTTTTAGCGCGCCGTATGACAGAATAACAAATATTGACTTTACGACCTCAAGTCAAGACAATGTGAGTTGATTTTTGTTATGATGTGTCGTAGGGAAGTGAAGAGATTATTGTTTTAGGTCATAAGAAAATAATTACATAGTTAAAAATTTATATATTACACCAGTTAATATTATTGACATGCGTAACAATTGAAAATAAGCATTTGATGATGTGAAACAGATAGGGAAGTGTAGTGAGGTCAAATTACATATTAAAGTTCTATATGTAATCAATTCATTTGTGTCTCTAAATCTGGCACATTTTAAAGTTCCTTTTTTTTTGTATTAAATGTCTCAGAAGAAATAGGTCTCCTTACTAGAGATGACTAATGTATGAGTATCATTGTGTTTTGTTGTGTAATTTTAATGCTCACTGACGTTTTTAGTCAGCATCTGTCATGTTTGAAGAGGCTTGTAACGAAAGAATACGTACTTATGATGACAGTGATGATGAGGTAACATATAATTATTTATGTTTATCACTCTCTTCCATTTATACATTGAAATATTTACAATTTTTTTATTCAGGATGTGTGGAGCACAAAGGAAATTACTTTCTCTCCAAATGCTGAATTAAGAGGGTAAAAATCATTGGTGAAATTTTTTTCCCATTCTCCCTGTATATTATGTTTGTTTGTGTTTCATACCACTGCTGTTCTTTAAAAGAAACGATGTACGTTTAATCTTGTTGAATTTTCATTTTTCAACATTTTGTTTCTTTTTATTTAGTTTGCCGTCTGAAGACTCGGGGAGCAGCGACAGTGATGATGAAGGAGGGAAACTAAATGAAACATTAGATGACGATAACCATGAGAAAATTAAAGATTTTGATGATATAAGAACATCGTCTCCTTGTTCATATAAAGACAATGATTATAATATGGACATTGACAACAATGATCGTATGTTTTATGATATTAACATTTTTTTCTGCTCTTTTATCGGCGATAACTGGTTATTTCACTCGTAGCAAGAATCGTTTTACACAAATTTGAAATACTCAAATGGGTATCGAGATTATCGAAGACCGTTTGAACAATTTATTAATTTCTCATTGACAACGAAAATCAAATGGTGTTGTTCATGGTTGTGTATGATGGTAGTATGTGATGTTATGGTATGATGTAGTTTATGATGGTAGTAAAGTATGATGGTAATGTATGATGTAGTTTATGATGGTAGTAAAGTATGATGGTAATGTATGATGTAGTTTATGATGGTAGTAAAGTATGATGGTAATGTATGATGTAGTTTATGATGGTAGTAAAGTATGATGGTAATGTATGATGTAGTTTATGATGGTAGTAAAGTATGATGGTAGTGTATGATGGTAGTGTATGATGTAGTTTATGATGGTATTGTGTGATACCAGTGTGTATGATGGTAGTGTATGATAGTAAAATATGATGTAAAGTATGATGGTAGTGTGTGATGGTAATGTATGATGGTAGTGTGTGATGGTAATGTATGATACTGTATGATGGTAGTGTATATAAAATATGATGAAGATGTGTGATGGTAATGGATGTGAATAGTGATGGTGTAATATGGGATGGATGGTGTGATGGTATAATAGTATTATGGAAGGTAGTGTATGATAGTAAAGTATGATGGTAGTGTGTGATGGTAATGTATGAGGATACTGTATGATGGTAATATAGTGAAGTATGATAGTAAAGTATAACTGTAGTGTATGATGGCAGTGTAATTCTGCACGAATGTATGTCATCAATCAATAGTTTTTTTCTTGAAGTTTGAAGACAAAATGTGCACTCATGCAAATACTAAACATTGTCTGATCATAACGAAAACCGTGTTGTTTCTTAAATCAATGTGATTAATGAATAAATAATTTATATTGTTAAACTTTTTGTCAAATTTTCAAATAGCTTGGTCAGCCAATTTTGACTCCGATGCTGTTTCAATGGAGGTTGTTCAAAGTGCTAATCCATCCAGTGTTGGTTGGGCAACTCCTGGTAAGACTGGGGAGAGTGAAGAGGGCTGGGCCAAGTTTGATGACATTGATAGTATTGGTGGACCATCAAGGTAGATCACTGCTTTTAGAAGTTCGTGGGTGGTTATATCTTCGTAAATCTGTTTTTTTAAATATTGACTAGCTCCACTCCATCTCGTGATGAAAGTTGCAATTCTCCCGTTGCTATGGATACGGAGGCAGTACCATCCGCAGGCTCAGTCTATAGTAAGCTCATAACATAAGTGATGCTGTCCATTTCATTTAAACTAACAGATTGTAGCTAGTGGTTAAAACATATTTCGTTTTCCTTTTTTTAGTAGTCAACACAGACGGCTTTTCTGACAATTTCACAAAGTAAGTAAAAAACAATAAAAACTTATTTTGAATTGTTTCTTATATTGTTCTTACGACTGACTCTAGAGAAGACACACCATCTGATGATGTTCAGGAAGTTGCTATAGAAGAAAAGCTGGATGATACCGTTACTGTATCTGATGATGGTCCGTCTATGTCACATGACACGGCAAAAAATGACGTGGCGTTGACCAATATACACGATGATGACGAAGGTGACACGTCTTCATGTAAAGAATCAACGGTGAAGAGGTCTGTTGTATATATGTTTCCTGTATTATTGATGCATGATGGAAGCGTTCTTTCTCCATATGAATGATGTGGAAAGGTAAATGTTATTGTTGTTTCAACAGTTTTGTCGTTCATAGTTCACTTGAAGACTTTGTTGGAGAAAAGGACGGCATTGTGAAGACTGAGAATATGGCAAAACAAGCAGTAATTGCTGATAATGTAAGTGTAAAATTGAAAGCATTCTTTTCTTCATGTTCTTGCTTCCATTTGAACGTTTTCTTTTTAGATAAATAATGATTTTGTTGGTCAAATACCAAGTATGAAAGAGGTAAAGGAAGAACACGAGGAGACAAATAAGGATGATGATGAAGTTCTTATTGATAATTGTGGCGAAGTAGAAAAACATGATATGTCCAATGAAAGGTAGGATATAGTTACTAAATATTTTTTAAACGCTCAGTGCGCATGCTTGTTTCAAACCGTCATTTTTTAAAAACATGGCAATGAAGAATCAAGTTATTGCTTTTTGTAAATGTTCTGCCGATTTTCGCGGTTTTTTATCAAAAAAGTTTTTTTATGAAGTGAAGTTTCTCTTGCTTTTCCACAAGGTATGTAGCTACGTTTGCTTTTTGAAATTTTCATATTTTTCCTCGTTGCGTGAATTTCTCGTTTCCTCGTTTATATTTTCATGGTTAATTTTTAATTTCTATCGTCGTGTGCTTCTAACCATGAATCTTTTTTCCATTTATTATTTAGCGAGGGAGCGACTTCACAAGAAAAGATTCCCGTGTCTGCCTGTAATGGTCCAATGTTGTCTTGATAAACCATAATTCTCTTGCCTTGCGTCTGAAAACTTACATACCCTCAACTCGTATCACTTGAAACAAAGGAGGCTTGCGATACATGTCCTAAGTAATCCACGAATGTCATGTGTTATCCATCTTTGACCTTGTGATGGGACGTAACGGGGAGGATTAAATGCCAAGGATAAAAGATATTTTTATCCACTTGCGTTCACTTATTCCCGAAACATTGATAACTGAATTTGTGTAAATAGTTCATTAAACATGTCAATTGCACTTGTTTCACTTTGCACTTTCTTATATGAAAACGTAATATGTTACAAAATATAAATAACTGCAATAAATATTCATACATTTCTCTAAAATAAATTTGATTTATTTTTACGTTAGGATGTGTTTTTCACTTCGAGTTTGCCAGCAACTCTCGTCCTTGCGTTTACTATTTCATGAATCGATTTTTTTCACTTGAATAATTGCTTGCCGAATGTCAATCTTTGTGTTCTTTTGAATTGAATTCTCCATCTCAATGATCGTTTTTTCTTCTTTCCTGTTGGAACAATGAAGAATTTCGACTTGATTAAACTCTGGATGTTTTCTGTCTTACAACAATAGTTGTACTTCACTTGTACTACAATAATCTTATGCTATTCTACAATGTACTCTAATATCTTCACATAATCTTAGGAGTTTGATAGTTAAACAAGTTAGTGGGTATATTTGAGCACTGATAAAAGGCGTTTTGATGTGTGTCGTTTGTCATTCGTGAACATTTGATAAATAAGTTCTTGACATTCAATGAAGTCAAGGTAAAAGTCCAGATGTCAAAGAGATTTGAGACGGCTGTTCCTTGTTATGCATATGAGTATTGTTTTCTGATTTTTATTGAGCTCCCTACTGCGCAACCGCAGTAAAAATAGATCTTTACTGTTCATCGCGTGGGATTGATGTACCCAATTTTGGCGAAGTCATTTGTTTTAACATCAAGTCTTGCTTCAATTAGCGCAACCCTTATTTCTCTTAATTCTTCATTCTTTTAGATAATAAACTTATGTCATAACTGTTGTTATGCAATTTGGAAGCGCGTTTCATACCGCTGTGGGTATAGGGTTCTTAGTTTCAAGTGTTCTCTGATCATTTGACATTCCTTGGGTAGTTTCCTTCTTATCGATTATCTGATTATGACATGTAATAATTTCTACTCGTAAAATTATCGTATGAAAGAAAAAAAAACAAAATTTTAATGAAGAAATTTAATCGTGATTTCTCCTTTCTTCATCATCATTACACGATCTCTTGAGTTAATTGTTTTAATTATTAGAAGCAGGTGATATTATTTGTATTGGATCGCGTTCAGTTTTTATATAAGCGAAAAATGTGGCGTGAAATTCACTTGGCAACGGATTTTGTAAAAAGTATTGACCTTGAATGCAATTATCTTCACACGCAAGGCTTAGGTTAATCTCATAAATGTTTTTATATCTAGGTGTGTGTTTGCATGCATAGGCAAAATATCAAAAACTGATTTTTATTCTTATGTCAACCTACATTATGATATCATTCTATCTTGAAAGAGTATAATAATTTATGTAGCATTTGCTTCATTGTGATCACAGCTATATTTGTAGTAAGTGATCCAGCTAAAGTCAAAGTGAATTACTGCCCTCTCTCAGACATATTTACATTTTTAAAAAACCGTTAATATTTCATTTTTATGAAATTCATATGCAATAACATTGTTATAAACGAATTTATAATTGCAATGATTTTATTATTTGGACTTTTGTATCCCCATCACTGCATGTGTGTTTACTCCGACATAAACATAGTTGGTTTCTATACCCCCCGCCTTATGGCTTATTTACCGTCAAGCTTGTTAAAAAAAAACGGCGTTTTTTTTTGAGATATTTTGTTTGGAGCTTGTAGCGTTGTTTGTGAAAAGTTTATTGCGTTTTTTAAGCAAGGGGAACATGCTAAAGGCTAGATGGTACGAAATCGAAAAATACTTCAAAAAATTTTTGAAATGTTTTTGTGGAATTTCAAAATTGTGAAAAGATTTTCCGTTAGCGTATTATTTTCCATGTGTCAGGGTGATGTTAGAGGATAGAAGGAGAATTTGAATGTTTTTCATTCATACTCCGTTATTGTTTTATCGTTTTTATCTATATGTATATTTACCTGTAATTAAAGCCAACAGCTCATCTTCGTATTTTTTACTTCCTTGAACGTTTCTCTTTAGCATGTCTGCAATTGCATTTCGTACAGTCGGTTTTATTTTGAGTGTTAAACCTTTTGTTTTTCCAGCTTTTTGTCTCCTCATTTTCGGCGAAATGGCGACCAGAATTGAATCAACGTAGACGGTCGACATGATCATACAAATTACCAGCAAAAGTGGTATATTTCGTGTAGACATCTAAAGTTAGTTAGGAACAATGAAAATCTTCTTGTCCCAAGCATAATTGTAAATGAAACGTGGGAAACTTATGCCAAAGAATGGGTTAGGAAATTCCGTTTCAGTTCACGAACTGATTTGGAAAATATTGTGTTTTAAGGTGGATACTTCGCAAACTACTTATACAAAGTTCAATGAACATGTGCAAGACCTTCTTTACCTTTTTGAATGTATAGTTATGGAGGCCACGGTTTGACAATACTCCTTGTGATCACTCACCCTCTCCCTCTGCGTGTATGTCTCTATCTGAATGCTTGACTGTGACAATACGTGTGGTAAACTAGTAAGCATGAGAGAAATCGTATGTATATATATGCGCTGTTATGGATTCCAATTAAACGAAGTGATGACATTTTTGAGTAAATGTGTCAACCGTTCAACCCACAGGAAACCTCTGATTTTTATCAAATAGAACATCAACAAACGCTTGTGGTATTGAATTAAAATTCTCTGCAAATTAAATGCGCTATTAAAGTTTAACTGTGGAAAGCTATTCATTTTTATACTTTGCGTGAGCTCGTAATATAATTGTGGTAGTATTAGTTGATATAGTCTTGGGACAAAGGAGTCTTTGGGACAACAATTAATTCTTATTGACATAGATTGTTTACAAACATAAGAGTTATATCACCATCATGTATTTATCTTTAACTCTTTAATTGGCTTAATTCCATCCAATCAATGAGCAGTCTGTTACCCGACGTCATTAGTTGCTTCATATGAATTGCAAACGTAATTTTAACAGCTCTACAATCTTCGGCTTTGTTGAAGTGCCCATTAAAGTTATTTCTAGAAACTTCTATTGCTCTTTACCTTGCTTGAGTTCCTGTTTTTACCACATCGTGATTTGTAGTAATTTAAAGCTTTGCTTCTAAAACTGACATCGTTTCTGTGTTAGTGTGTTTACTAGTGGTGTCTGAAGAAAGGGATAGTATTTAATATATAACTTCTCCATCACAATCATGCATGTTTGTTGATTATTAATGCCAAAATCAGAGGTCATGACTCATATTTTCATTTAATTGCTGCATGTAGCGTTTGATTTACCGACACTCACGGAACATTCGTGGTTTCTTTTAATGATTTGCTGTTTTATGTAAACCAGCTTAAACTTCAAAACACAACTTTTCGTGCCTTAATTCGCCTCAGGAAATGTGCGACGCCCATACGTTTAATTTGCATTTGATGCGTCACTACCACGAAATCTTAACGTTTGGTTTGAATTTTACTGACACCCTGGGTGATGGGGCCAACTCTAGCACTTGTAAATGGCGGGCTATTTCAATCACATAATCCTAATGAGTTTAACTTAATTATGCCTTGATGGCTCCTTTTTGTGAGTGGATATATTATTTTAAGATGCTTCAATAAGTCCAGCTTGTGCGTATTAACCGCCGATTCAAGTGCAAAACTCGTGTGGTTGAAATGATTGATTTCTTTGCGTACAAAACCAGCATGAGCTGTGCAAATTTCATAACGTTACGTTATCATTAATCATTTCTTTAGAAATCTATTGTTTCAAGTGCGTTAAACACGGAAATATTTCCATTGCATGACTAAATATACCGGCCGACCATACCACTGGATCGATTATAATACCGTCTGTATGAAGATTAAATCTTGGTTGTAATGATGATGAATCGATTTTTATACTTCTTTAAGAAAATCATCTTAAGTACTAGATGCATTAATCCGATGAATTTGGTGTGAGTTTACACGTGCTAAAGTCTATCGCCAGTGGTCGACTAAGTGTATGTCCTCTTATGTAAAATGATTACGTATAAACGTTACACACCATGCATGTGCGATATGTTTTGTCAACATTACCATCACGTGAATATCACACGCAATGTATGACATTAATGTAAGGAATCGAAAGAAAGTACTGCATAGCTGACCTTTTAATGTTGATAGTTTGTTTTTAAACTTGCCGTTGGAATTTTGTTTTTTGCTGTGCCATAAACTGAGCGAGTAGAAAGTAATTAGAGCGCATTATGCAATATCACGTGGACCGAAAATGATACAGTAGAATAACATGCATTATTTAGATGCACTGAATATTTCAAGAAATATCACATGGCAAAAACAACATGTTAAATGTTGATATAAGGAGAAAGGAGTGTCTCTCGTCGAACATTAGCACAACTAAAGTTTTTCTTCATATGTTATGAAATTTGAAACGTTGCTATTTAAATGCGCTTAGGTTATAATCTTCAATTGAAAAAAAATCTCTTTTGCAGTTTTGATAGGCTGCAAGCTGTATAAAAAATTTTTTGGCTGGATGTATCGGTTCTGAGTTCATACTAAAGAAGACTGTGATTGGTTGATTTGAGGGCGTTCATTTCCACACGGGAATTCAACGATCTTTAAAAAAAGTGCAAAAATCTGTATTAAAAGTGCTAATTTTCCTCCCAAATCATAATTGGAAATCGTGCGTTTCACCTTGCATATTTCCTTCATAATTATTAAGCTAAAGTATAAATTCTCATGCAACTTGGAAAAAAACATGAACTGTCGAGTTTTTCAGAGACCCGAAATTTAATTTATAAAAAGTGATCTCACGTCTGTTTTTTCCTCTAAGAACTATACTGCCACCTAAACTAAAACATGAGATACATATCTGTTGTTATGATTTGTCTATTTATGTCTTTATATGCTACACCTACATAAAAGTAGTTAATCTGATTATTTCTAAGTCTCCATTTGTGGTATCTTAACTTGTTGTTTTATTTCATTAAATATTTAAAAACATGCTTAAGTTCTGTTGGTATAATAAATCATAGAACACTAACACAACGTAGAACATAGAAATGAAAAAACTAGGAAAAGAACACCAATACAAGAAGAGAGATAGGAAAACAGTTGCAGCTAGGCAGTAGAAATACTAAGGATTGAGATTAGAAATATCAACGTTGCATATATTAACAAAAAGACCATGATTAGGAAGGCTAAATTGTGAATATTTTTTTGTAATTTGTTACTAACGCTATACCTCAAAGTGTAACATTTTGAAAAATGTTTCATAATCATAACCATTACCTAATCACATGGTAATTCTCTTCAAATTTATAAGCCGTGTAGCTGTATTTACTACGTAGGAGTTAATGTACTTATAAAAGTTTGCTCTTGGAGAATTTTTTTTTTACATTGGAACGGCAAAGAACATGTATTTTGTTGATCCCATTATCGCTTGTTTATTTTCTGTGTATTATTTACACGTATTTATATCATCGTTATGCTAGTTACTACTGCATTAACATCTATCAAGGATTCACGGCTCCGTTTACAGCTAAATTTAATATTCTGAAGGTACAGTTGGAAGCTAATATTCTCAACACTAACAGACCTAGATTATACATGATGATTGACGTTACCTAGAACTATGAAAACCGTGATAAAAAAGAAAAGTTTCAATATAGACATGTGTATGTGGATTGCCAGTTGCAATAAGATTAAAGACCACGCTCTTTTTGTTTGTAATATTAAGTATTTAATTCTTGGACAAAGTCTATCGCGTTCAATTGTTTCTTACTACAGTTTACAAGAAAACTGTAATGTCGTGATAAATCGTGCATTTCTTTAGCCAATCGTTTTTTTTTGTCATGACATTGTGCATTTCTACATCCAAATTGGAATACCTTTATTGTTCATTGTTTAGTCAATTGCATGATGAATCTTTTTCTTCCTGTCGGCTCCAATCTTTCTTTTTCCACTTCTTACATTTTTATGATCTACTGAGAAAATAAAATAAAACGCTTAAGGATCTGTGAAAACCATCAAAACAAAGACGAATGCAACAGTTTTCGCATCTCATCAGACAATGCCTTAGGTTGTAGTCGCCTACTAAATATAGCGCAATTACGCCTTTGCCATCGCATACTTCTCTAATTCAAATGATTTATTTTATATTTAATAACCTTTTCTTGATCTGTTATTTAAGTGTTTACTTTGTGGTGATGGTTTTTGGCTTCTCCGACGCCTTGGAGGTTTTGGTTGAGAAATAACTACAATTCCATTGACCATAAAATTCATAGTTGAACAAAGCACAAAAAGCAAAGCCAGTATTAGAATCTTCTTCATATTTTCCTAACTCTTGTGTTTTTGACCTGTCAAATTTTCGGAATAGAGCTCCTTTGAAATGTGTGTTTTCTAATCGGATTTTGTTCTACACTTCACTTGTCTTTAACGTTTTGAAGAGCACACTTCCTAACTCTCTTTATATACTCTTGCCAATGTGAATCTGACAAGACATGCTTATTGCGTTTAGACAGATGTTATGATGGTTGACATGGGGAAGTCAAATAAAATATGTCAATTTTTGTCTTTGCATTTAGAGAACGAGCTATTTTTGTTCTTTTTTCATTTCCAATTCAGTCATCTTAATTTAATTTTGTATTCTGTTATCTTTCAATGTTGAAAAACGTGATAAGATTGATAAAATTTCTTCTTTCTCCCAGCTTGTACCTTTATTTTCTTCTGTTTTTGCCCTGCGTGTCTTCCATTTAAAGTAACAAATGAAGCTTTATAAATTGTTCGTTTTTCTATGTTGTGTTAACTTTATGAGAAAGATTTCGAAACCCGATGTCTCTTCTCTTGGGAAAATGTTTTTTTTAGTTTAGATGCTAGAATGTTCTCTGTCAATTTAACAAGGTTTGCAGACTTTAATTATACTCATAGCAATGATTACGAAGTGATTGTGAACGATTAAAGTATTCACCGAACTTCAGTGTTGTGGCTGTGAAAAAGGTAGAGATATTTGGTCTTGTACCTGGTATCTTTAGAGGAATATTTACAGGTTCTCCATAACATTGAACCATTTTAGATGCTTGCAATGTCAGAAACAATTGTGCTTTCTATTTTAGAGACAGGATTTCGACATAATAGATTGTCTAGCCGTCGATTACTAAATGGTTTTATCTTCTGTTATCTTGTGTAAATTTAGCAGACCATTTTGCGTCATTTTGTTGCTATTGTTCTGTATAGACGACGTTTGTTTACCAATTTCTTTTCAATGTTTTAACCGTTTATATGTGAGAACAGATGTTGTATCATGAAAGAAGTTCTAACAACAAAAATTTCTTAAGAAAGAGCAGTTAATGATGAATATTGCAACACCTGTTTTTTGACTTGACGTTTTTTAACGAACATTTCTTAAGCCTGCATGATGGAGTTGCCTTTAGGCAAAAGTCGTGAAATGTTGTTTCTGATCTTTCATCTGTTTCATTTCTGTTCGCTCCTGTTTACGTTATCTTGCCTAGCAACAAATTCAATTGAATAGGTCATCATCAAAATTTAGTATAATTGTGGTGTGCCATACGTTACTATGGAGATAAAATCGTTTGTATCAGATGAAAAATCCACGTGAAAATCCTGCTCTTGATAAGAGGTGAGCCATCAACGAGCCTTCTGTCTTTTAAATAAATAGATTTACAGTTTCCGTATTATTTTTTTCTGAGAATTATTAACTGTGAGACCTGTTTGTTCTCGCACGTTCATCTATCTTTTTTATCAAACATGTTCGAGTGCGTGTCTCACCAGTCAACCTCTAGACTCAAGCACACCTGTTATAATTATCAGTATAATTTTGTTCTCGTTAATTAGCTACAAATAAATTTAAAAAATCAGCAATTATCTTTAGTGAAGTATTTCGAAACGATACAAATGATATGAGTTAATTGCATGAAAAAAGCGACCTGGTACTATTCAGTTGGGGCATTCGAATTTTTGTGAAAAAAAGTTAACAAATGTTGAAGTAACTTACAGCTCGCCGTGACGTCACTGCCTAAAACCGCTGCTCGATTGCGGCTTCGTTCATGTGTTCATGTTAAGGCTGCCTTCAAAACTTGCAAAACACAGTATTTGCTTGCTAAATATCATGGTTTCGTTGGTTTTTCAGTTTGCAGACTTTTGAGAAAGTAAGAATTTCTTTATCCCTCATCTGAGGCTAAGTTTTCCATCGAATCTCACAAATAACAACTCAACCTACAACATCATTTTCCTCATCATCAACTTCAAAATTACATTGTCATATTTACAATATAAAACTCAAGGTTACATTTCAAGGTTAAGTTTATAATATATATATCTTTATGCTCCAGCATAGATAAATGATTCAAAGTTATGTGTATAAAGTTTATATTTCTGTATGATACAATCATACATAAACAGTGGAAGCACAATTTTAAATTGTTGTTGAATTTCTTTTGATTATTTGTCTTTATTTTATTTACATTTCCACTGTTTGTTTCCCTCTTATCTTTTTATTCGTCGCTTTGTCGAATCCTTCAAAAGATGTTGTTTCCTTTCCGACTTGGGATATTTTTTCCGCTCTTTCACAATCGTTTTAATTACTTACGTCGTTTGTTGCAAAAGGAATTTGTTCATTCTTTCATTTGCCATTATTCTTTTTTATAGGTTGACCACTATGGATGCGTGCAGCTGTATTGTCGTTGTGCTGTCAAGGTACGTTTTTTTAAATATTTTAGTTATAGTTGTTTTTGATACTTTGAGATATTTCTCAACTGTCATTTGTTCATTGCTGTGCAGTGCATCTGTAATTGCATTGTAAAAAGCTGTAATTACACTGTAGAAAAGCTGTAATTACACTGTAGAAAAGCTGTAATTGCACTGTAGAAAAGCTGTAATTACACTGTAGAAAAGCTGTAATTACACTGTGAAAAGCTGTAATTGCACTGTAGAAAAGCTGTAATTGCACTGTAGAAAAGCTGTAATTGCATTGTAAAAGCTGTAATTACACTGTAGAAAAGCTGTAATTACACTGTAGAAAAGCTGTAATTGCACTGTAGAAAAGCTGTAATTACACTGTAGAAAAGCAGTAATTGCACTGTAGAAAAGCTGTAATTACACTGTAGAAAAGCTGTAATTGCACTGTAGAAAAGCTGTAATTACACTGTAGAAAAGCTGTAATTACACTGTAGAAAAGCTGTAATTACACTGTAGAAAAGCTGTAATTACACTGTAGAAAAGCTGTAATTACACTGTAGAAAAGCAGTAATTGCACTGTAGAAAAGCTGTAATTACACTGTAGAAAAGCTGTAATTACACTGTAGAAAAGCAGTAATTGCACTGTAGAAAAGCTGTAATTGCACTGTAGAAAAGCTGTAATTACACTGTAGAAAAGCTGTAATTACACTGTAGAAAAGCTGTAATTACACTGTAGAAAAGCTGTAATTGCACTGTAGAAAAGCTGTAATTGCACTGTAGAAAAGCTGTAATTGCACTGTAGAAAAGCTGTAATTACACTGTAGAAAAGCTGTAATTACACTGTAGAAAAGCTGTAATTACACTGTAGAAAGCTGTAATTACACTGTAGAAAAGCTGTAATTACACTGTAGAAAGCAGTAATTGCACTGTAGAAAAGCTGTAATTGCACTGTAGAAAAGCTGTAATTACACTGTAGAAAAGCAGTAATTGCACTGTGGAAAAGCTGTAATTACACTGTAGAAAAGCAGTAATTGCACTGTAGAAAAGCTGTAATTACACTGTAGAAAAGCTGTAATTACACTGTAGAAAAGCAGTAATTGCACTGTAGAAAAGCAGTAATTGCACTGTAGAAAAGCTGTAATTGCACTGTAGAAAAGCTGTAATTGCATTGTAAAAGCTGTAATTACACTGTAGAAAAGCTGTAATTACACTGTAGAAAAGCTGTAATTGCACTGTAGAAAAGCTGTAATTACACTGTAGAAAAGCTGTAATTGCACTGTAGAAAAGCTGTAATTACACTGTAGAAAAGCTGTAATTGCACTGTAGAAAAGCTGTAATTACACTGTAGAAAAGCTGTAATTACACTGTAGAAAAGCTGTAATTACACTGAGAAAAGCTGTAATTACACTGTAGAAAAGCTGTAATTACACTGTAGAAAAGCAGTAATTGCACTGTAGAAAAGCTGTAATTGCACTGTAGAAAAGCTGTAATTACACTGTAGAAAGCAGTAATTGCACTGTAGAAAAGCTGTAATTACACTGTAGAAAGCAGTAATTGCACTGTAGAAAGCTGTAATTACACTGTAGAAAAGCTGTAATTACACTGTAGAAAAGCAGTAATTGCACTGTAGAAAGCAGTAATTGCACTGTAGAAAGCTGTAATTGCACTGTAGAAAAGCTGTAATTGCATTGTAAAAAGCTGTAATTACACTGTAGAAAAGCTGTAATTACACTGTAGAAAAGCTGTAATTGCACTGTAGAAAAGCTGTAATTGCATTGTAAAAAGCTGTAATTACACTGTAGAAAAGCTGTAATTACACTGTAGAAAAGCTGTAATTGCACTGTGAAAAGCTGTAATTACACTGTAGAAAAGCTGTAATTGCACTGTAGAAAAGCTGTAATTACACTGTAGAAAAGCTGTAATTGCACTGTAGAAAAGCTGTAATTACACTGTAGAAAAGCTGTAATTGCACTGTAGAAAAGCTGTAATTACACTGTAGAAAAGCTGTAATTACACTGTAGAAAAGCTGTAATTACACTGTAGAAAAGCTGTAATTACACTGTAGAAAAGCTGTAATTACACTGTAGAAAAGCAGTAATTGCACTGTAGAAAAGCTGTAATTGCACTGTAGAAAAGCTGTAATTACACTGTAGAAAAGCTGTAATTACACTGTAGAAAAGCTGTAATTACACTGTAGAACATACATGAGTAAATGCTTTAAAGACTACAATTCGTAGTTATAACCCTGTAAAGCTTATAAAATCGTGAAGAGAATTTAAAATTGAGGACGCAGAGGTATAAAAGAATGTCATACTTAGTATTTACCATTTCTCTGCAATCCTTATGACGATGAAACTTGATGTCATCCACGGCAATGTCTCCCTTCCATCCTCTACCACGTGTTGCCTCTATCACTAACTAAGAAATCAATTGAAATTGTTTACAATGTCTTTTATCTCGTAAATTTTATAAAAATTCATACCCTATATGGTATCCCGGTATACATATCTATCTCGCCTTTAATCCATCTGTCTCCTTGGTTTCCTTTCCTTTCCCAGATAGAATGGTCCTCATTCCCCATCGTAGTGCGTTGTTTTATCTTTAAAGATCCACAATATTCCCCCCACATGTGATAATAGAACGTGATGCAACCTGATATCCCCGGCACTTCCGGACCAATTAATGCTGCTGCTTCACCTTTAACTCGTGGACTAGATGCCTCCATGTACATATAGTGGCCTGTAACACGGGCAAACATACTTCTCTTAACTAATACTTTATGTAATATTGACTAATGTTTATTGTACATCGTGGCTCTTCTTACCAGATCTGTTCTGAAAGGTGTGATCATGATGCGGTCCAGTTTTCGAACTTTTTGTTTTTCCCTTATGACGCAACCAAAGAAAGTCAGCATTCCTTGCATGCTCCCATTCGCAAAGATCTTTCTCAAAGTCACAGTCTATTAGACCTATTCATATAAATGTCAGCTGTAAGCTTACAGCCCAGATATTGGTGTCAATTTGTGAAACTTTTTTCTAACCTGACGGTGATGGTGTAACACAAACAGGTTGCTGACATTGCCGTGACGATATAGGTTGCTCATGTTTACTACAGCGATTTGCTGGTTGGCCTGTTTCATTTGAACAAAATACACGTCGCTTCTGTATACCCACGCCACATGTAACAGAACACTTTGTAAAAAGAAAACAAAACTTCAGTAAATTACTTCAATATTCGTGTTGTGGTCAACATAAAACCTTTGAGATGATTTTTAAACCGTTATCTGTGCGATTTTGGCCTAAACTGCATTTAAAGAACCCAAAAAGACTCGATGTTACATTAAGCCTCTCTAATATATCGCCTAAAAGTTTCAAGTTAGCAAGCATCTCAATTGCAAAATCTGTTTTATTTAACATAGTATATTCTGCTTACATGTATTTAAAGGAAATATTTCTGGTAAACATTACCTCGCCCCATTCTTCTTTCTTCCACACTGGCCTACAACGTCCCTTGAACATCTTTCAATTTTACGTGGTTTTTGTTTACACTTTCGATCCTTCACCGTTCTATTGACGGAAACCTTTACATGTGACATTTCGCGTTCTTATCCCAAAGGAACAAGTCTTTGAGCATGCGCTCCACGAACCAGTTACCCAGACAAATCTATAGAGGTGAGTTACATTTTAGTTTGCCAGAATGAACAGACATCGCGCGATCTATATCTTGTTCTTCAAAAACATACGAACCTTTTTGTACAAGGAAAAGTGTTACAGTGTCTGAACGTTTTCGTCTTGTTGACTTTTATATGATGACAAAATGCCCAGGGTTTTCGAACGTCACCAACCATGCAACGATGAACCAAATACTTTTTACCTGTCATAGAGGAATTATAGTTTCTGAGTTTGCATTACCACTTGAACTTTCCCACTTTCCTTCTCATACGCCTAAGTTGCATCTCTGCACCAACTTCTACGTTAAACTTTATGACAACGACTTATAATGAAGAATGAGAAAGATAATATTCAGTACCAACCCCTTCCACAAGTTTTACTGCACGTTGTCCATGTATTTAAAACCTCCCAGCGAGTGAGATTCTTTATTTCTGTTTTCGATGTCGTTTGAAGTTTTGGCAACACCGTGTGCTGTGTATTGTTGCTGTCAATGTTACTTTCTTTTGCAGTAGTTTCAAGTTTTGTTACAATTTTTGCTTGTTTTACATCGTGCGTTGTATAAAATTCGTATGTCACTTTCACTGGCGAATAGACGCCTTTCCTTTTAGCCTAGGTTGAAAATCCTTTAGATAATAAACACAAAGTTGTGGATATTGTTAAATCAACATAAAATGAGTACCTTTATATTTAAAACAATCTCTTGTTGAACTTTTCCAATTGATTTGATGATTTCGTCGCCAAATTCTCTTGTATAAACATACTGGGTCCCTCCACCGTTATAAATTGCTGGTTTTGCCTCTTTATCGTTTCCATTTATAACATGTGTCAATCTTCCTCTTTCTTTGGGATCCCTTACACTTAACACTAACAAAATGCCCACATTGTAATTATTGCTTGATTGTTTTCTGCTTCAGTTTTTCTTGTATTTTAAACTCACCAAGCAGTTGATTGGGATTTGATCGTTTTTGCACATTTACGTTTGACGATCCTTCTGGGATATTTAAAAATATCTCCATGTCTATTGCAAAAAATAATACATTTATAAAAAAGGATATTTTCTTATCTTTTTAAACTATTTATGCTATCTTATGAGTTAACCTTGTTTTGGAGTGTATGAAATATTTCCTGTGTTTATTGAGCACGTTGAGCCATTTCCATTACATATGTTACAATTATCGAATATCTTGCGAGAATCCAATACTTGGTCACAACCAACTTTCTAAATATTTGAAAAGATATTAAATTTTATTTCATCATACGACCTCGCTGATTGTGGTGTTGAACATTGAATTTCAGATGATGTATTCTATTTCATGGCAATTTTACGTAATTTTGAAATTTATCTACAATTGCATATTTATATTTAAACATTCCGTACCCTACAAACTCCGTTGATGCATATATTGTTTGGTGAATTGTCCGAGCAGCGAATGCCATCTCTAACATGATTGTTCATAATAATTTTCTTTCTTGAACCTTCTGTGACGCATGATACAACGCAAGGATTCACTTGATTTGAATGGAAAATAAAGATTTAGGATGAATAGACAAATGTTGAGGAACATATAACATTGCACCTTTATCTGCGTTATTCTTGTTGCAAAGACCAACTTTAAAGGTGATATCATCCAATGCCATGTCACTTGTGTATGTATCCTTACGAGTTCCTTCGATTATGATCTGGAATACATTAAGTGCATCTCCACTGAATATGTGACGCAGAACATTGCAATAGTTACTCTCTCATAATCATTCTTTGAGTCAAAACGTACATTGTATAAACTCTCCTCTTTGATGTCGACCTGTGCTAGAAACCATTCATCTCCTTTGTTCGTATCTTGAGTCCACAATACTTTACGACCATGATTATTACTAATTAAGACTTGTAAAGTACCCATTCCTTTACCAAACATATGATAGTAAAAGGAGAGACAACCTCGTTTTACTCCAAGATCGGGACTGGCTATAGCGGCTTTGTTGTTCTTTTTTGCTGGACTCGATGTCTCGTAATAGATGTATTGGCCTGATAGAACCAAAAAATACTTCCTTGAGAAATATTCGTTTTTATACATACCAGTTTTGTCATACAAATATTTACCATTCCTGGACTTAGTTGTGTGATCTACTGACGGTCCTGTTCGCGATGTTCGTGTCCTGCCTCTATTTAATGTCCAATCGCGTTGGTCATCTCGTTTTAGGTTTTTCCACATACACAAACCTCTTTCAAATGTACAGTTCAGATTCACCAAAGTCTCGTCGTAGAAAGCCCATGGTCTGCGATCATTTTTTTCTCCAATACTTATACATTGATCCTTCATTTCTTCATCTCGTAAGGGTTGCCGTTCTATGCAATTCTGAAGATTTGATGATTATCAAACAATAATACATAGCTTTTGTTTCCTACTACTGGAGCCTTCGAAAAGCAAATAATTACCTTAAGTTTGCAAACTTTGTGATCGGTTGATTTTCCTGTGCAACTTTTACCACCGTGCTGCGGACTGAAATATATATAAAGATTTTATTTCTATTGCTTCTTACTCCCGTAGTTGCAATTCTATAAATAAACCTTCTCCTTTTTTACAAAATGTACTTACGCTGGGCTGTCACATGACCTCTTGCGTATGCGAACACCTGTTCCACATGTCCGAGAGCATGGACCCCAGTTTTTCCAATCACCCCATTTGCCATGAACTGGTTTCTGATCATTTATTTGCTCCGTTCGTCGGACACAACGACTGTTGACACACCACTTAATGAGCAGACATTCAGTTAAATTGCGCATCACAAGATAATGATGGATCTTCAGGTATCAATACTTACCCTTTTGTGACCACATTTAGTACCATTTAAAGCAGGTGATCTCATACTCTTACAAAGATGAGAATAAGGTGATGGCATGTTACACCACAGTACTTGACAGGGATCGCGGTAAAACTATCGGGTATAATATAAGATGATGGAATATAATATAAGATGATGGAATGTAATATAAGATGATGGAATATAATGTAAGATGATGGAATATAATGTAAGATGATGGAATATAATGTAAGATGATGGAATATAATGTAAGATGATGGAATATAACACAAGATGATGGAATATAATATAAGATGATGGAATATCATATAAGATGATGGAATATCATATAAGATGATGGAATATAATATAAGATGATGGAATATAATATAAGATGATGGAATATAATATATAATATAAGATGATTAGAGGTGCGTATGTTTTAAGGTGATAAGGTGTATTGAAAGAGTGAGGGGTATAATGTAAGATAATGACAAATATTTTTGAAGATGAGCAAATTAAAAAATTGACAAAATTTAGAAAATTTTAGTTCAAAGTGCAAAGTACATACAGCTGTACAAAATTTGTATCCTTTTCCAAAGTCAAAAAGACATTGATCATCTGTTGTGTAATGTACTCCCGGATACTTATGCAAGAATGGCAAATCTTCTTTATATTTATCGCCAGGTTTATCATTTAAACATTGAAAGTTCCTTCGAAAGAAATCATATCAACTTTATCCAGTGTTTTCTAAAGATGAAATCTGTCCATATGTATGTCATATATGGGAAAATACCTCAAACTTGCCACCAACGCCTTACGACTACAAGATGACCACAGGAAACGATTTAATCGTGATTGAACTATATCTGCCATAATGCTACCATGTCTTTTCACTGATGAACATCTGTTTTTTACTCCATCGTGTTCCATACCTAGTCTGAAGGAAAATAGTTGAATGATACAATGCTCGAATTTTTTTATGCATAGCATACACTTCTACGTATATAGCTCGCGATTGGATAGCTTACACGTCTGTATAGCTAGTTATTGCATTGATAACTTACTCTTCTCTAGAGCTAGGTATTGCATTGATAACTTACTCTTCTCTATAGCTAGTTATTGCATGGATAACTTACTCTTCTCTAGAGCTAGTTATTGCCTGGATAGCTTACTCTTCTATAGCAAGTATCATTATATCGTAGACTTCTATAGCAAGTTACAGTGTAGCGTAGACTTCTATAGCAAGTTACAGTGTAGCGTAGACTTCTATAGCAAGTTTCAATTGAGCGTAGACTTCTATAACAAGTTACAGTATTCCGTAGACTTATATAGCAAGTTACAGTATTGCGTAGACTTCTATAGCAAGTTACAGTATTGCGTAGACTTCTATAGCAAGTTACAGTGTAGCGTAGACTTCTATAGCAAGTTACAGTATTGCGTAGACTTCTATAGCAAGTTACAGTGTAGCGTAGACTTCTATAGCAAGTTACAGTATTGCGTAGACTTCTATAGCAAGTTACAGTGTAGCGTAGACTTCTATAGCAAGTTACAGTATTGCGTAGACTTCTATAGCAAGTTACAGTGTAGCGTAGACTTCTATAGCAAGTTACAGTATTGCGTAGACTTCTATAGCAAGTTACAGTGTAGCGTAGACTTCTATAGCAAGTTACAGTGTAGCGTAGACTTCTATAGCAAGTTACAGTGTAGCGTAGACTTATATAGCAAGTTACAGTATAGCGTAGACTTCTATAGCAAGTTACAGTGTAACGTAGACTTCTATAGCCGGTTTCAATACATCATGCACTTCTCTAGTGCTAAACTATTCCCACACCTTGTTTGGTCTTTACAATAACATTGTATTTGTATTGAGAGTAGTTTGAAAGATAAAAGATTGAATCACTTACGAATGACCGGTCTCATGAGCTATGATGAATGAAGATGGAAAACCATCTTCTAGATTGAGAGTACAACTTTGTACAGGATGACACATGCCATAAACAGGGGCGTAGCCCGCTAAAAAAGATTCGCACAGTTTTAGCACGATGTTGAAAATCAACGAAGAAAACTCGTGAATTATGTCAAAGAAATGTTTCTACCTGCTGTACCGAACTTTCGTCTACAAGAAAGAAGGATTACCATATTGTAATAAAACGGAGCGAAACTTTTAATGTTAAATTGAGGAAAACTACCTTGTCAAGTAGGTAGCATGATCATGAAACTTTGGATCGTCATCTGTTCGACCTTCTCTAATTTTGTGCATAAAATCACATGCAGACAAAAGACTCTTGCCCGGATTATTTTTGTAAAACCTCACGCCTTTCTGAGAATTAAAAGTTAAGAGAAGAATATGAGCCGTAAGGTGAACATCGATCTTTGTGGAAAATAAAATCGTCCTAACGACTTACCGGTTTTTTATGTAGGAGAACGATGCGGACAAGAACATAATTAATATCGAATCCAATTGACTTGTGTTTGAAAATATAAGAGACCTTGTGATACAAAAATATCGATGAATGAAAGTTTCCATAAAATCGTTTTAAATGAAATTTAACTGCTGTGTGCATGAAGAATAATGAGTTTAACTTACCACATTCATAAGAGCAAGAATGTAACGTGCAACTTTGTCTTTGCCATGAAATTTCACCACAGATTTATCTGCAACGGCCATTGATTCAATGTATTTCACTCCAATTTTCCTGCGAATTTCTTCTTCACTTGTAGGAGTTAGCTTCAGACCCCCTAAATTGAGAAAGGACAAAGTTTGGTGTTTCATATTGCTTCGTTGCTTCGTAAGTGACAATCGTAACATACAATTGTAGCATGAAAGTGTAGAAACTAACTTGGTAAAGTAATGTAAACATTTGTTCTCCTTGATTGTTTATTCTTCCTTGGAATGTATTGTCTCCTGTTACCAATCAAAAGTTGTTTCCCTGTATCTTCATCAACTGCAAGCCATCTATGTGCCGTGAAAGTGTTCACCTTTCGTGATGTCCCCGGCATCAACGTTGCAAAATACATTCTCTTTTTTCTTGCATCCACCCACATCAACTACAAAAATATAAAGTTCTCGAAATTTTACAACAAAAAAGAAAAGCTTCTCAGGAGTGTCCTTGCAACAACACCTGGCATAGTTGTTAAATGTTTTTAAATAGACTGTGCTTTACATTTCAATGGATTCTGTGCTCTACATGTCTTGGATGTGCTCTACCTTTCAACGGATTCTGTGCTCTACATGTCTTGGATGTGCTCTACCTTTCAACGGATTCTGTGCTCTGCCTGTTTTGGATGTGCTCTACGTTTCAACGGATTCTGTGCTCTACATGTGTAGAATGTTCTCTACCTTTCAAGGATTAATATTCTTTCGTCTACCTGTCTAATTCATTCACACTCTCGAACTTCTATTACACAAACTTACTGTATTGCTGTACTGATCATAAAATAATGTTTTATGAATTCAAATTCACTCTATACCTTAACTATTCGTCCGCTTCTGTTGATGAATGTTAAATAACTGTAGTGAATTTTCGTACGTGGTCTTGGAGATCGTCTGTTAGCTGGTTCTGAAAATTAATTTAAATGGGGTCGTCAGCGACATCATAATTTCAAGCTTTTCATACAGAACAGCAAGGGAAGACTTACCAATTCTTGTGCTAAAATCTAAAGCGTCCAATCCCATGTTATTCTTTGATAAATGACTGTGTTTATAAATAAGATGAGGGCGACCAGTTTTGTTCAATAGTGATTTATCCACAAAAGAATCATTGAGAAGTGGTTCAATAAACAACATGTCATTGTCGATGTTGATAACTCCTTGCTGAAAAATAAACCAAAAACCTTTCATAAGATCTTTTCCAAATGGCAAGGTTTTTGCCAGTTTTTATCATACTCTTTGCTTAAAAAGAGACTATAAGATTTTATGAGAAACTTGCTAATTGCAGAATGGCTGAATTTGTCATGAAAATCAAAAATTTACTTCATTTCAAAGATGCAATGTATTTTAGATAGCTAGCATTTTCATCTTTAATGTATCAAATAAAGTTTGTAGCAATAATTCTTCTCTAGGAAGGAAAAAAATTTTATTTAAAAAACATTTAAAATGGTAAAATTTTATTGGTTGAATTTTGAGTAATTAATATCTTCATTATATCACTGGGCAAGATCCCATATAACAGTTGTGGAAACATCTCCCACAAAATGGAGTACAATCTAAGGTGCTGTATGCTGCTTGCATTAACCTTTGTTACTGGTAAAATCATCGCTAATATTGAACTCTCTGTGATATCATCTCTCTCCTAAATTTTACAGGTCAATAATTAACATTTTATACCAAAGACTATTTCAATGCCCATAATAACTAATGTATTCATATCCACTTGTTTAGTCGTACCTAACTAAAGGCATTTCTAGAAAAAAACGTTATCCTTTTCTTGAAATTACGGACAAACAAAGTGATGAATAGAACAGCTGAAAACAGTCTTAAAGTTATTCAAAGAATAGTTTCTTAAAAACTATGGCCTCACCAACCCTATTTCTAACTCTGATAACTCGCTATCCTGCTTAACTTCTCTACTCTTTTCGTTTGTATCGTAAGTCTTGCTAAAATACTCACCAATCCATCACAGTCACTGACAGCCACTTGATGCTTCTGAGGGATGGTTTCACCAATCAGATAGCAATGTTCATTCATTTTTACACTTTGCCCTTTCTTGTCGCCATAGTAATGTTCAACTTCAAAGTTCGGCCCAAAAAGATCTTCATTTATTCGTAATTTCATGTTGTAGGTCTCGCCATTTGCTTTGAAGTTATAATGAAAAAATTCCTTTTCATATGCAACATTTATTGCTCTCCTACGTCTTGGTCTGCTTTCTCCGTCAGATAGAAATCCCAAATGGATTTTTTCACTATCTGTGATGGTTGGAAAGTCGATGTCATAACTTTGTAGATTTTTAATTAGCAGACCTGAAAGAGAAAGTTTGTGGTTGCATAAAATGTATTTATTCTTTCAATAACTAAGCTCATACTGTGTGTAATGAAGTATTGATCTTTATCAACTATCCATATGGGGTCGAGCCCCAACATTCATGCATTAATTGTATTAATGGTTATTCTCGTATTCTGTCTGCACAGCAAAACCATGCAATTGTTAGTAATACTTGTGGTATTCGTTACAAAAGCGAATTGGAAAAAAATATTAAAATGGAACATCATTTGGTGGTGGCTTCTTTGCCCGAGTATGTACTCGTAAATCTGAAAATTCATTTGTTCAATGGGAATGAATTCATTTGTTGAAGCTATTGTTGGTCCTCATGATTACAGTTCCCATTCCATTTGTTTGTTTTTTATCATATGAATTGTTAAGAATCCTATCTTTCTTCGGGTATTTATCATCTTGAGTCTTCTCGACTAGATGGCGTCATGAAGGCACTATATACACTAATTACACAATTAAACAGGGTTTTAAACAGTAAGACGCTTCCTTATTTAAAACTGACCACCAAAATAGCGACCATCGCAAATATACTTTGCTCTGGCATAGATTGCAATACATTCAATCAGCCTGATATTACTTCTAGCCCATCACTACAGCATAATGTGATGAACAAATATTATTTTAGTTTTTCATCTGTTATAAATAATCCGACAATTTACGATTAGAAAGAAGCTGTCGTTGACTCATTAATAACGGGTCATGTTGTCTCTGATATCAAAAACATCTCAACACAATTTAATACCTCGGGAATCTGAGTTTTGTATCGTGCAATCATCGAGTTATAGGTAATATGGAATTCACTTTAAATTACGTTTGCAAATGAAATTAGAAAGGTTGCTTTACTGTACACCATTGAACGTTGTGTGCGACATCTGTTATTGGCGGACTCTCCCACTGTTATATAGCATCTGCCTTCCGGCCATGTCCGACATCGTTGGATGATAAAGATAGGACTTTAAAAGCCTTGCAAATATGTTCTATTGTTATTTGAATTATATCCTTGTCCCCAGCGGAAAGAAATAAACTGTTGTGAAAGCAGACGTAAGCTAGAAAAAGAGCGATGTTAGCCGTTTATCTTTTAAACATGCTCTGCATGAAATATATATTTTTTGAAGACCCCCTCTTCCCTTCAGTTAGGCCGACTTGTGCCTATTAAATCATCTCTTCAAATATTGCATATTTTCTGTACTAAACCGTGAGCAATTTTTAATGAATTTTTATCAATTTCAATGGTCTTTGAACATAATCATTGACTGATGTATCCAATCAACTCATCAATTTTCTTCGAATGTGTTTCTGAATTTTTTCTCGTGTATGAAATACATTTAAAGATCGGTATTCAAATGACCAGAGTCTCTTAGCTAGGCAATTATCTTATACAAAAGAATTTGTAAGAAAGATGTTGTTTTTTACTGGACACATATGCGCACAAGGTTATTCTTGACGTCATTGTGTGGAAGCTTTAATTTTTGAATGTCACAAGTGTTAACAGGAATTGATGATGTTTTATAGATCACAACGGACCTCCTTTTATAAATATACAATTACCAGTGTTTCGTTAAAAATTGTTGTCATAAACATATTAAAGAAACGTTTTTGAAGGTTAGCTATATAAAGATGTTAATGGATTATTTATACCATTGTGTCATAATTTCGACAAGAAAAAGCGAATGTGTAGATGTATACGTTACAAGCAGATAATTGCATGTGAGTAGCAATCGGATTCGTGATTTGCACAAACTACAACTCTATCATCAGGGAAATAGCTTTACTCCAACTGCTGATTGTAAGAATTGAGTTTGTGTACTTTTTCTAAACTTGAATATATTTAAATGAAGACTCTCACAGAGAATGGCAGTGCTCTATGGCCAAGAGCATTGGTATTTTAAAATAGCACAACGGACAGTTGTCTAAGTAACCTATACTGTCAACATATCATTAATATAAGTAACGAAATCTAACGTCGTTGATGCAAACGACATTTTTAATCGTTTATCATCTGTCCTGAAAATTACACTTGCTGAAAAGAATTTTTTCCAGCATAGTAATTGAACAGTATAAAAGAGCTTCATAAACACCCATAATGAATAAAGTAACTATGATATAACTAAAATTTAATGGATAACAAGATACTTTTTCTTGAATATTCTACGTCTTCCATGTTTGGTGCTTCTCACATGGAAGAAATTTATTAACAATGACACTGGGTTTTTCTGTTCATTACCATAATTTGTTATAGTATGTCCTGTGGTTCAATGTACAGTGTTGATTAAAGAAACACATGCTTTGATGATGAGGATATGTTGATGACTCAGGTAAGAAAACTTTGACTCATGTTGAAATTTTGCCTGGAAAACGTTTGTGCTTGGGATGTCATGTAATAAATTTACAATTTTAGGGAAGAGTAAAACAAACAACTACAGCATGTTGTTTGCAACAATATTTTGTGATCAAAGATGTTTAAGGTTTTACGATGAAATACATATTTGAGGTACATACCTAATTTACCGAAGGATAAAGAAATGTAGAAGAAAGTCTGTGCGATTATTGCGTCATGACATCTGACACAAACTTGTAAATTTTTAATCGTTTAAATTACATCATCATCAGGTTCATATGGATACAAAATATAAACCTGTTCAAAGGTCTTTTTATGTTTCTCAGCGATAAAACGTTATTTGCTTTCTATATTAAATTATGGAAGTTTGCCTTAACTTTCTAACCAAACAGTTACCATCATTTAGAGAAACCGCAAAAGATGTTTGACATCGTATATTTTTTCAGCATTCTTTCAGCTTGAGTGTATAAGTCTTAACTGTTAAACTCAACACATTTTTACGGCGTTCGTTTGCCGATTTAAAACCATTAAAACAAAACCATTTATTATTTATCCATTTTTTACCTTGCTTTTCTTCTGGCGTTGAATAACTTCCTGTCTGTAAAATCAAGATCGTACATTTAAATACATTCTAGTGAATTGTGAAAACCCAGTGCGTTCTATACCAACAGCTATGAATGAAATAATATATCCTACCTCGCTTTCCACCGCTTGGATGAAAAACAGACAAATAGCAATTGATAGTCCTTGTAATCCATTGAAAGTCATAACAGCCACAAATATTAAAAGCAAAAGTTTATTTCTTAACAAGTAACGATGAACTATAAAGACAACGGTGCGTATTCTGATACTTGACGAGTAATAAATCAATTTATCATGCTTGCGGACGGATGAAATTTATATTGATAGCGAAACCCTACACCTCTACACCGGAAGAAATCATTCATTGTTTTTCAAAATACCTTTTCATTCACATGTTGTCGCAAGAAAAATAATGCTTGCCAATTTTTTTCCGTTAATTTATCTCATGACCAAACACACAAAAGTGTCGTATTAAAGAAGTGAAACGGGATCACAAAAATTTATTATTGCATAAATACTTAGACCATTTTACAAAAATATAAGGGCAGTACACTTCTGGTACTTTCAACAACTTGTCACATCATTTATCTACAATTACCTTGTTTTTAAAACACTACATATATGTATGTATGAGGGTTTGATTGAGGTCATTTTTTTACAATGTATGTTAAAAAGTCTTTAAGAAAGACTTGTTTTGAAAAATACATTATGTTCGTTTTGAAAATTGACAAAACAGACAACTTGAGAAGTAAATCAACCATTGACTATCGGCACAAACAAGTGAAAATGGCAGGTTTCGAAATCGTTTCACTAAATCATGACGTCCATTTCTTTCATTACTCTAAAGGAGTGTCAAATTCTAACCGCCAAATTTAATCTGTGTCACACACTTTATTCATTGTTCTATGGAAGCTGTGCTAATCTATTATTTCCATTAATTCAACGCAAATTAGCACCTAGCTTCCACTCCCATTGGAAGACGCACTTTTCTATTGTAATAAAGATGTTTATATTTGAATGAAAAAAAAATGTGCGTAGAAAGTTGTTAAAATAATTCTGTGGTGATGACTTTGTTTCCTTCTTAGACGTGCGTCTAAATTTTTGATAGTGACCCTTCAATACGTAATGGGATGTTTTCACCTAAATTAATGGTCAATTGATTCTTGCGCAAAATATCTTTGACCAAAAGCCTTGCTAGATAGAAATGATGGCTTTGATCTTCACCTGGAATTATTGCAAATAAAGTCATGAGATTTTTGAACGTTCACTAAGGCAGGAAAATTATGTTCGTTAACTAATTGTTGAGTCTTCTTCTTTTTTCTTTTTTAATTTCAATCGCGCCAACAAGCCATTTATGGTTTGAATCAAAACGGAAAGAACTTCATTGTTTTGATAGTGTGTTGAAGACAGCTCAGCTGACGAAGATATCATGAGCAAAATAACCACAAAATTTTTGTTCAGAGAATAACAACAGGCTGTATTATGACTGCACTGTGGCAATTTATAGTATTTAAGGGCCAACAATTTGAATCTTGAAAATGAAATGAAAGTTGATAAAACTGAATTAAACACCCGAAGATCCATTTCAAAATACTAACTGAAATAGTCACATTCCAGAACCTTGCAACAAAAGCCTATCAGCTTTGAACGAGGTTATTTCAAAGAACATTCACCACTCATAGCCACCATAATACATGGTGTTAGGCAATTTTCTCAAGCAACATCATTCATCACCATATGAAGAATATTTTATTTTTTGTATTTAACATTAATTTAATGGCTGTTCCTGGATATTATGTAATTTTTACATCCAAACCAAAAATCCAAGAGTTTTTTAAGTGCGAGCACAGAACTTTTTTGAATGTTATTTTGAAAGATGGAAATACGTACATTAAACAATAATCCAACATGGCGAGCTTATAATAGCCAGATTTGACAAAACTGCAAAGAATGAGCGAACTTTCTGTTGATATTGGACATCAACTTGGGCTTACGGTTGGCTTGAGAACAAAAGGGTTTCAGGCATTGCTCGACGGTATTGCGTCTTCAAAAACAAAGCATGTAATAATGCTTAATCTCTTTTTATAGACTCATTATGTTTTTGAGTGAGAGTAGTAATGTGATGTCCTGTCCATTGTGATTTTCTCATTCTTGCCTTGTAATCGCAGGAAGAAGACGAAATTGTCAAGAAAGACCTTTCTGTTCTTAAGAATCACCTTGGGGCTTCACTCCTCAATTCTGTAAGCTATATTTACCATGCATTCATAGCTGCCTACTGCCACTGAGTGATGAATTAATTGGAGCTCATTTCCTATTTCTATATTTAGAGGCAAATGAGAGAAATTTTGTTACGTCTTGTCTATTGTGAAGTCTTTGGCCAGGATGCATCATTTGGATACATCAATGCTATAAAGTTTGCTGAACAAACGTCACTTTTGGACAAGAAAATTGGTAGAAAACAATGTAAAGATCCAAAAACTTTTGTTAATTGTTTTAACTTCTTATCTTGAACAACTGTAGGTTACCTTGCAACAAATATATTTCTCACCAGGGATAACAATCTTGTCTGTTTACTCATCAACACCGTGCAAAAGGCCAGTAGTAAAGATTTCTTGTCATCTATTTTAAATAACCAATAGAAGTGTGTAGTCAAACAACTTTTCTGTGGATTTATTTCATGTTTTTGTTCATATTGATTTAGGATTTAAAAAGCACCAATGTAGTTGCAAAAACTGCTGCTTTAGATGTTGTATGTAGTTTGATTGATGCTGAGAAAATCACACCATTATTGCCGTTTATTTTTCCTTCATTTAAAGACAAAAGGTATGTACATAATCATATTATTTTTATAAATTGGAATACCTTAGTTAAAGTTTTGTAAAATTGTTTTCGTTTTCTAGGAGTGAAATTGAAGAAAGCTTTGTTGGCAATAAAATATGTTCATGAACTTGATAAAGATCTAGTTCCTAATGTTCATGATTATCTTCGAGCTGCTATTATTGATCATGATCCTGTAGTTGTTTCTGCTGCATTACTGTTTTTCTACAGCTTAATTAAGGTGAATGTGTATGGATAATTATGATTAATTTTCTGTTTCAATTTAATGCTAGGACAATTTGAAGTATGAAACCTGTATTTCACACGCCACACACCCCCTTGCCCTACAAACTAATCTCTGAAAATAGATTGTTATTTTAGGTCATTTTCCTGAAAAATACTTGTTTTTATCCTTAGATAAATGCATCCAACTATAAAAATATCTGAGCGTGTTTCATAACATCTACTGCAAATTCTTGATGGCAAACTAAATGATTTTAACTTTCATGGTGTTTGTGCTCCATGGATTCAAATAAGATTGCTGAAAATATTTTCATTGTTATGTCAACAATGTCAAAGGTATTTGTTTTTTACTTAAAAAGAATTTTTTGTTTGCCTTAGTAAACACTCAGGGAGGAGGAAGAGATGATAGGTGTCGTCATATTTTCTATAGCTTTCAATGAGAAAAAATGTTTGCTGCAGTCTCTGTTGCATTAAAGTTTTTAGAGAATTGTGTTTAAAAAAGTGTCTGTTTTCAGCTCTAGTGAAACTATCCGTTCCACTTTGGTAAAAACAATGAAAAAATTACAAACTGACTCCAATATTTCATGTGGTATGTATCATTTAGTGACTTTTTTTGCAATTTTTGATCTTGTTAAGAATGTAGCAGTACTGTGTGTATTTTTCAGCTTGATATTTCACCTTTTTCTAGCTGTGATCTTTGAATGTATCAAAACAGTTACTGCTATTTATCCTATAAAGTCTTTACTGGATCTTGCTGCAAAAAAGACAACACACTTTTTAACATCAAATTGTAGCAATTTAAAATGCTTAGGTAAGTTTTATTGTTGCATCCCCTCATTGAGCAGTACATTCATTTTGTGCATCCTAACCTAAGTTTATTGCCAGGGTTTAGCAAATATATGGTGGGAATTGCGGATAAAATATATTGTAGTTGTGAAACATTGTAACCTACCGCTAAACCCCCCTCCCCTCCCTAACAAGTCATATCTGTTTTCATACAACAGTGGCATAACTAAAACAAAGCAAGGAAGTAGAATGCAAATTATGCCCTCACTATTTTCTACCAAAGTTGCTTCACTATTTTCTACTTTTACCAAAGTTGTATCACTCTTCTCAAAGTATCGCTAGAATCGTGATGTTGAAATACTAGGGTTTGTGGTTTATTAACGTTTGTAATGGAACTGTTTATTATAACTTAATGTTTCGTATGCACACCACGTTATTTTAATTTAATCTGCATAATGAACTACAGTGTGTTTGAAAATCTTAGGAGTATGAAAGGTTACACAGACAATTAAAGTGTGTTTCAAAGGGTTGAGATATCTTGCTTTGTGTATCAGAGTTTTTGCTATTTGCCCTATTTTGTGCATTGCAAGTTGTCAAAAGTGTATCGTATTGTTCAATGCGGTTAGCATTATATATTAATGTATAACATTTTTTTAATCTACAATTTAGGAATCACAGCAATGACATGTCTTCTTGAAGTGGACAATAGTTATGCTGGGGATGAAGAACTTCAGAGAGTCATAATAAAAAGCTTAGATGAGGATGATAAAACCATTGCTAAGAAGGTAAAAATTATCTTGCATATTGAAAATGTACTTTTTCTTCTAACATAGCACAACAAGAGGGCCTGCATGTTTAAAATCCTGTTCTCAATGAGAGAGAGAAAAATGAGAAGATTGTTGTTTATAGATACTGGAATTGTTGTACAAAATAACGAATGAGGAAAATATTTATGTGGTTTGCAAAAGACTGCTGCAATACATCAAATCTTCTGCTGAAGAATATACAAAAAATGAAGTTGCAAATAATGTTGAAAGATTAGCCAACAAGTATCCTTCTCATTATGACAACTAAAAAGACACGCGTCACTTTTGTTTAAATTGTGAGTTTAGTTGTGGATACTTAGGGACGTGGTCAATGACAGGTTTAGAAAAGGACATTTGAAGGCAAAATTTTTTTCATAACCGGGACCAGATATTCACCAAGTATTATGTGGTATGTAATGACAATGAATGATGTCATATATGCTGTAAACGGTCCTATCTCTGCTGCTGTTTTAAGCAATATATTTCGTGGAATAGCTCAAGGTATCTATGTTATTATACAACCAGAAAGTATACATTCTACCTTAAAACACAAAAAATATACTTTCCCTCATCGAGTATGTTATTTCACATATAAAGCGAATCGAGCATTGCCCTTTTTTAGGTCAACAGAACGAGCAAAGAGAGATTGCAAAGATATGTATGGAATTATTGAAAAATGAAAATCTTCCAGACAGTCTTGTTCAAATAGCTTGCTGGGTAGTAGAATTTAATTAAGATTTGATGTTTTAACAATCTCTTTACTAATTAATAACATTTCACATCTTAGGTGCTTGGAGAGTACGCTGAATTGATAACAAATGATTATCCATATGACGTTGTATTATCGGAGCTAACATTGGTCATTGATGAAAAATTTGATGGTGTGTTTATGTAAAGTTTGTGAGCGTGTGAATGAATGAATTACCTCTTGATATCAAAGTATTTTTCCTGGTTTTTTTTTTCAAGACGAAAGCACTCGAGGCTGGGTGATTACTGCAATTGCAAAATTGTCCGCTCATTTGGGTTCGTTAACGGAGGAAGTTGAGCATATAATAGATCGTTATGGCGTTGCAATATCTGGAGAATTACGACAAGTATATGTTGATATGTTCTTGCAATTTGTGATGATTAATTTTTGTTGTTGTTGTGTTTTTCAATACGAGATATCTTAATGACGTTTTACGTTTTTTTTTTTTTGTCTTTCAGAGATGTCATGAAATCAAAATATTATCTTCTGATATGTCACTTATGGGTGAAGTCTTCAAGCGAGATATGAAGGTACATAAGGCAGTGAACAAAATTGACGTATTTTGTCATCCCTGTTGTTAATATAATGTTTATCTTTAAGCCATGTCCATCGCTATCATTTCTTGATAACTACGTTGCAAATTCATTGAGTGCCGGTGCTCGACCATATCAATCAAACTTTACTCAACAAAAAGAAATTTCAGTGGGGAAAAAAGGTGTCAAGTCAAACATTTGAAATTGAACACTGTTGAAAAATTATGATTTAACATAGACATGTTCTGTATCTCAATCGTTTGTAGAAACGGAAAAAATACTTTATCAGCCTTATCCTTTATCCTTCATTGATACTGAAGATGATGGGCCAACAGAAAACACAGAATTAACTCTTGTCAAAATGCCCAAAGAAAAGAAAATCTCACCAATGTTAAAGAAAGAAATTCTACGTCCTCCTCCTCCTGTTAGCTCATCACAACCACTCTGGGGTCCAGATGGATACAAAGTGAAGAAAATAAACAAAGGAATTAAAGATGAAGGAAATAAGTCCACATTTGATTCACAATCAGTACCTTTCCATTTTGTGCCATCATCACATTCAAAAGTAAAAACTGAATCGACGGTAAGAAATTGCATGGAATAACCTTTACATATTTCTACTGAGAACATTGTCATTTATTGTCCACACTTTCATACATAATTCCCTTATATGTACTGCTTCATATATTTATGGTCAAAATTTACCTTAAATATCCCTTAGGGCACGTGCCTGCCTTCATATAAACGTTACCATTATATATTTTTCTGTAAGGTTTCTGCATTGATGTCCTGATGATAACTTTTCTATGTTTCTTTATGACTTAAGAAAATCTCCGAAAGTCAGCCGATATCTGGCAAAACCCTTCACAATGAGTCATCTTTTGCTTTATTTGCGGGTATTAAAAACAAATCAAAAGACGTGACCAAAATTATCGACGAAGAAGACAATATCGGGGATACACTGGTCTCTCAAAGCTTGTTGTCATTTGGTGAAACATCAAATATTGAAAAGAAATCAAACGAAGAAAACAAAGTAAATAATCAAAATCTTGTCAAAACTGACTCACATGAAGATATTTATCGACAGGAAAAATCATCCATGTCACTCGATGTATTAAAAGATCCAAAGATCTCCAACTTGGATTATTTAGTTGTGGAAAGTGATGCTTTGGTAGACACTACTCCAACAAATGACTTTGAGAAAAGCAAAGAAAGAGAATTTCCAGATCCTCCGAAATCAATTCTTCATGATAATGAAGTGGACGTCAAAGATTCGTCATCCACAACCACAGATTTTGATATTTCTTTATGGAATTCAAAGATTAAGAAAGACTTATGTATTGACAGTAACATAAGGATTACCACACATCCTGTGTTTAGCCAATCAGAACTGATCATTGTCATCATCTTCATCAATCAAAACCAAAGTCGTATTCCATTATGTGATGTTTCATTGAAACTTGATTCACCTTCAAATCTTACAATGAATTCTATTGATCAGATTTTTATTGAGGAGTTAACTTCATTGCAAAGTGTAAGAGTTGTCATATTTGTCAACACTGTTCTAGGCGGGTGGGCGAGATTCAGGTGTATGTCGTTTTTATCACTTCGTGAAATAAGTAAAACTAAAATAGAACTAAATTTTGTGTTCAACTGACAACCCACTCTGAGTATTTATATTTTGGTGATAGGGTGTTGAAAGTGTCTTTTTAAAGACACAGCGTTTATTAAATACGTGGGGGTTATTTGATAGAAGCGTTTATTAGATCAACCATAGAACTTTTATTAATCAACCTTACTTTTTATTATAGATAGAGAAAGAAGTTTCTATGAGTTGTCGATATCCAGCTGCAAGCATGTCTATTAAAGGTATATTACGTTACTCTGTGATGAAAAATTTTAAAGTATTGAACTTTGAACAAAAAATACCAGTCCAATACCTGTTTCGACCGCTATCAATGAGCACTGAAGAGTTTGGACAGTGTTGGACCACCACTGGTAACGATGCTCAAGCATTTAAAATGAAATCAAAGATGACATTTGAAGAGATAATAAATTTTGTAAAAGAGCACTTGAACTTCTTTTTGGTGGAGATTAAAGGTAGATAGCACTTTTTTAGTCTCTTGTTACAAAATTTTTCCATGCAAGTTGGTTTTTCTTGTAGGTTCTGAAGGAATATTAGCTGGTTCAGTACTTGGTAAAGATGCTTGTCTTCTTCATATTAATATTCAAAACACAGATATTGACATATGGATAAAATGCAATAATAAAAAATTGTCAGAAATTATTTTAAATGAGTGTTCATCTGTTTATAGTGGATGACATGAGATATGATGCTTGTTAAATAAACAGTATTAATACACAAGATTTCACTGGTATCACTTAGATTATGCAATTTTGTATTATTACATTCTAGTTTTTTAACATATTTAACAATAAAATCCATGTGCTGCATCAGAAATATCAATTATATATCCTTTGCACTGTGTTTTGAAAAATTATACTATGTTTTAGAACCAGATATCATCAGGATCTGTCACTTTCTTGTCTAGAATTTCCTCTTCAAGCTCACACAATTGTCGTAAGAATGATCTGTTTGGTTTTACTGCTTGCCGCTTTGATTTCATAAAATCATAAGCTTGCTTTAGACTCCATTTCGAGTTGTCATCAAATAACACAGAGATATTGTGGAACTTCTACTCATGCCAAGATTGCAATGAATCAACACGCAACCTTCGCTGTTCAATGCATTTGTAATAAAGTCACAAGATCTTTGAAAATACACCTTTAAACTTGAAGATTTCAAATCCTCAACATTGATATGAAGGTATGTCACCTCTTCTGGAAATGCATTTTGTGCTCTGTGCAAACATTGACAATGTGTAATTTTCAAATTTTAACTATTTCTAGATTTGTTGCTTGATCCCCTCGACCTTGGTATAGTCTACCTTCAACTATTTCTGATGGATATGTTTGTAAGTATTTCTTGCGTTCGTTTTCATCTGTGATGTGAATGCTTGAACACAAAAATGGATATTTATCATGGAATGCTTCAAAACCACCTTTAAGAATACTTGGTTTAATACCGAATTCAGAAAGTTCATGATAGAGTTTCATCTCAGGGCATAATTCATCATCCAAATCACATAATCCCTGGCCATATATTACCACCATAGTAAAGTCTTTAAGACTTGTCCGTCCTCCAATGTAACCATAGTTAAAAAGTAACACCAGTTCAGTGTAGATAACATCAGATGGCTGAGCTGTGATAATATGGGACACATCATACACAGAGCGTTCTCTAATGTCCAACAGAAGGATGTAAAAAGGGTCCATAATGTATGCATTCACTGTACCATCATTAAGACAGTTGTATAATTCATGCACAGTCATAAGATCCAATTCCTCGCCAGTTTGCAAAGACATAACCTCTGATGTACTAAGGTGTTCCTGTCTATGTGAGTTGCCAATAGAATCGTCGCATATTTTCCATGTAAAGTTGCTTCGGCTTTTGTGATAACGCCAGAAACTGCTTTTCAAAATAGGCTGGAATCGTCGAGTCTCAGATCCAACAATAGAATTCCCTGATAAAATTGAATTTTTGTCGCTGTACAGATTTAAGTTGGAGTCAGCCATATCATTTACAGTCTGCAAAGACTGTTTACTGTTTTTTCTTCTTGAGCAAAAAACTGTTTCATAATCAAGATCTTCGACTGACAGTTGTTTAGGGTTAGTCCGAAACGAATTGCTGACAGTTTCTTGGTCTCTATGTTTGTGTAAAGTCTTTGGTTGGCCCGACATGTCGCTTTTGACATTTGAATCGTGTATTCGACGACGGTTTGAAGTTGAATTCCCCATTAAATAGAGTGAAATTAACGCGACATCAAAACAAGACAATTTTTCAAATGTAAATAAAACTATTACAGTATCTCTGTGTCAAGTTTCCAAGAGAAAAATTCTTATTTACAATTTCTAGACAGCAATTTTTTGCCTGAGAGAACTGGTTTGGTTGTGGTTTCCGCTTTGTGTGATGTCACATGAGATTAAACCCTCCCTTTTAGGCAACGTGGTGATTTGATCACAGGTTTATGTAAATTTTTGCACATTTCAGTTCATCCTCGATTTTATCTTTTTTCATTAACTTGTAAAATAAATTAGCTTTAGGAATCACTTAGCCAAAATGCATTCGTTCAAATTAATGCATTATTTTTGTGTTTTACTATATCGTAACTACCATCATTTGCCAATTGAATTAATGAATTTTCATTGTGAAATAATTTTGAATTAAAGATAAGTTAATTTTCTTCATTTTTTGGCCAATTTGGCATTTATCGTTCATTTCCTTTTGCAATGACTGCTACCTTTTACTACACGATGCGAGACGACGCGAAATTTTTATTACATAAAGTTCCGCTCAGATTCACTTTCAAGCCATTGTCATCAACAAGGTCTTGCAAGGTTCAAAATAAACAGAGCATTACACTTACAATTTCTTTGTTTTCGTTTGTGAGAAACGAAGTTGACGGTGAACGAGGATTTTATTGATATGTATTTTCAAACTTGGTGCGCCCTTTAAATGTAACGCTGTTAAAATGGGAAATTATCCTGTTATAAAACGAAAATATGGAGACTACAGTCAGGATGAGAAGGAAGTAAAAGAGAGTGTTATTGAATTGCCTAAAAGTGAGTAGATTTGTTACGCTTGAATAATGCGTTTTTACACCGTATCTTGCTTTATTTCTTATTAAAATATTTAATGGAGGAGTGCTCCGATCACAATTAATCGTTGTACATCGTTAATCTAATTGTGTTGACAGCTCCTGTTTTGTTTTATTTCTCATTAAACCATTCCGTTCTTTTGTAGAAAGAAACAGAAGACGACTTCGGATTACATATATCATACGCTATTTGTGAATGGCCAAGAAAGTGACGTTACAATAGTCGCTTTAGGTGGGAAATCTGTGTGCTACTTTGAATAAACGTGACGAAAATTGCATGTTGATGCACGAAATTTATTTTCATTTCAGATATTGAATGGAAACTTCACAAGTTGTATCTATGTCAGGTAGCTAATTCAATCATTACAACTACAGATTTCTTCTTCATTAATCATTACAAACAAACAATTAGGGATCTCTTCTTCATTAATTTATCCTTACAAACACACTACTAGAAATCCCTTGTTGCTTAATGTATCTCTATGAATATGTGCCATGTGAAATTTTCTCATTCTTTCTCCTTGACAAATTCTGTCAAAAACAGGATTTTCTCAGCCTCATTTATTACTTCCTGTAAATTTGTTCACAATTTCTGCTACAACATAATACTTTTAAAAAAGCCATCACAATAATCAAATAGAGAAGGATTTATTAATTACGTTTCGTCTTTAACTTAAGACATATTCAGATTAATTGAATTAATATATATACACGAGGTTTTAAATACAAGCATATAATATGGGGTGTTAAATTACATGTGAGAGGAGTAGGAAGTTTAGATGATGGAATAAGTGAGAATGGCGGTATATTAAAGAAGGTGAAGGGGGATTGAGTTGCCTTGGGTGTTAAGAGAGGGTTTAAGTTTGGATATAAGAAGGCTTTCATGAATCATAAGGTCATAATTGTCGGAGGAGGAAGAGAGAATTGAGAAATCATTAAATCGGCAAGGTGAGATGTATTTCATATGAGAAAGAACTGCAGATGGTGGTGGACATAAGGAAGGCTTCCCTGTTAAGGGAGAGATTCCAAGTGTTCTGATATTCTGGTGTGTAAATGGCATGGTTTGACCCACATACGATGCAGAGCAGCATCGACACTTAAATGAGTATACAACACCAGATCTCAGGAGCTTGGGAACCCTATCCTTAAAAGGAAAGAAAGAGCTCAATACAAACGCTCCTTGATCTCCTCTTTACTTCACAGAATTTTCAACCTCTGCTCCAGCTATGAACACCTTCATACTGAACTAGAAGTCGTTAGAAAATTGTTCACCTTAAACAACTTCCCTTCATACATATTTGACAATCATGTTCACCGCCTCAACAATACATTTGAACCCAAAGATCTTATTCACACTGCTCCTAAGAAAATCATGTACTTCTGTCTCCCTTTCACTGGCCTACACTGTCTTCAGATTCGCACTCAAATCACTCTACTCTGCAATCTGCTTTCCTCATATCAACGTCGCAGTTTTCGCTCTTCAGGCGCTCTCCTCTTTCTTTCCTTTTGATAGGGTTCCCAAGCTCCTGAGATCTGGTGTTGTATACCTATTTAAGTGTCGATGCTGCTCTGCATCGCATGGGTCAAACCACGGCCATTTACACACCAGAATATCAGAACACTGGAATCTCTTAACAGGAAGCCTCTCCTTATGTCCACCACCATCTGCAGTTCTCATATAAGAAATACATCTCACCTTGCCATTTTAATGATTTCTCAATTCTCTCCTCCTCCGGCAATTATGACCTTATGATTCATGAAAGCCTTCTTATATCCAAACTTTAAACCCTCTCTTAACCCAAGGCAACTCAATCCTTCACCTTCTTTAATATACTGCCATTCTCACTTATTCCATCATCTAAACTTCCTACTCTTCACATGTAATTTAACACCCCATATTATATGCTTGTATTTAAAACCTGTATATATATTAATTCAATTATCTGAAGATGTCTTAAGTTAAAGACTAAACGAATTAATAACCTTTCTATTTGATTATTGTGATGGCTTTTTTAAAAGTATTATGTTGGGCTATTATGTTCATATTGAAAATTCGCTTTCTGCCTGGCAAATCTCTGGCCACAATTTCTGCTACATTTGATTGTTTTAATTAAACTTAAAATAGTTGGTGTACATAAATGGTGCAAATGATAAAACACTTTGTATGGATAATGGTTAACATATTTTGCAAGTTGCATTGTCAAAAATGCACAATTTAAAGGTATAATCCTAACTGGAAAATTTGTACACTGCACACCCAAGATTCCCAATATGTGTGCACAAAAGCTTAGTTTTCTCAAAATTGTGCACAACACACTTTCCAGTCTGGGGTACAATGTGTTTTCTTGTTTAATTCAAAGCTTTAATGTATCCTTATCAATAGATCTTCAACATAATGACGACATAAACCAATCACAACATTACAACAAGTACTAAGAACATAAAGGACAAAGAACAACCAAGAACAACCAACGATGACAAGGTGCAGTTTATTTAAATAAACTGTCTCACTGCCACCAATTCTATATTGGGGAAACTGGCAGGAACTTAAACATAAGACTTACTGAACACAAATGAGCTTATAAAAACAAGGCAAAACTAATCACATTGCTGAACATCACTGACCCACAAAGCACAACATTGACTGGGATGCAGGAAGTACGGTTACACATTGTATGGATTGTTTTGTAGAGTCACCAGAGTGCTCAAACCTATAAAGGTGAGCTTTGCATAGCCTAAAAGGGGTGAACGTCTCATTATGAAACTCTCTACACAATCCAAGAGTGCTTAAACTGCTCATGCGCTGCAAGTGTAATATATATATACAAATAAGTAAAAATCTTATGAGTACTATTGTACTACTACTGAGAAAAATCTTCTGCTATATATTCATAGTCGAACTATTTCAAGAGTATGTTTACTGGTGATTGGAAAGAATCTCATGAAAATATTATCAAACTTGAAATACCTGATGAGAACATCAATGAAGAAGGTTGTTATTAATGTCCATTTTATCAGTGAAATGAGTATTGACTCAACTAAAATATCCTTTTCTTTTTTATTTGAATGATATCAGCATTACACACAGCATTTGGATCTTTTTACTGTGATGAAGTAGAAATCTCCTCCTCTAATGTTATACAACTTATGGCCGTTTCTTGTATGTTTCAGTTGGTGTTGATCTCTGGCAACTTTTGCAAGAAAAATTAATTTTTCTTGTCATGAACGATAACTTTACTCACATTACCATGGCATTGGAGCTATAACAATTTGTAAAAGAAAATGAAATTGCTTATGAAACCAAATTTTACTTGACTTGATAATGTTTTGCTGACAGGCAGATTGGTTTGAGACTTTGAGTGTTTTTACACGACACTTGCAACAATGGCTAACCTCCCTTTGATTAATTTTCCTACCATCAAAATGTAAACAAGGAAAGTCATCTATAGTTTCTTCAATAGAATTATTTTATTTTACTTCTTTTTAAAGATATTTATCTTTGTTTTTTATGCAAATTACCTTGCTGTGACATCACAAGACATAATTAGGGTTTTAAAATGGCATTGTTTGTGGATAGAGTGTCATAAAGATATTATCACAATGTGAAAAGTATTGGTCTTTGAAGTGTTATTATGCAACACAAGGTCAAAATAATGTTATTTTCATAATGGTGAGCTGTGTATCTCCTGAATAAATTAAGTGTTTAAAATAACAAAATTAAATGAAAGAGGTTTTTTCAAATGTTTTGTGCAATGCAATCAGAAAACACATCATACAATTTTACTTCATAAATACTCAGTGGCTTGAAAGTTGTACATGTTGTAAATTTTATTATTGCTATAAATGGGGATATGTGCATGTAGTAAATGTTTAATCTGTTGTAAATGTTGTGAACGCTGCAATTTATAGATGTTGTAAACGTTACAGATGCTGTGAACGTTATGCTGTAAACGTTGTGCATGCTGTAAATGTCTTTACTTGGGTAAATGTGAAATACTGTAAACGTTGTTGCATGTTTTAAATGTTTTACCGTAAATGTTATGAATACCGTAAACGTTGTGCATGTTGTAAAATGTCTTTTATTTGTAAATGTAATGAAGGCTGTAAACGCTTTACTATGTAAACAAGAATTAACGCTGTAAATGTTGTACTGTTGTAAATGTTCATTACGTTGTAAATGTTATGAATGCTGTAAATGTTATAGATGTTGTAAGTGTTATGAAGGCTGTAAATGTTGTACATGTTGTAAATGTTGTACATGCTGTTAATGTTTTACATGTTGTAAATGTTAGGAATGCTGTAAATGTTATGGATGTTGTAAGTGTTATGAAGGCTGTAAATGTTGTACATGTTGTAAATGTTTTACATGTTGTAAATGTTATGAATGCTGTAAATGTTATAGATTTTGTAAATGTTATGAAGGCTGTAAATGTTGTGCATGTTGTCAATGTTTTACATGTTGTAAAATGTTATGGATGCTGTAAGTGTTATAGATGTTGTAAAATGTTAGTGATGTTGTACATATTTGCATTTTGTGATGCAATGTCTCATGTTTTTCTTCATTTGTCTTCAAGGATGGTTTACTGAGTAGTTGTGCAGATGTTATGACTGAAAACTTGACAAATGAGTCAGTTTGTCGATTCTACACTGCTGGAAGACAATATGGTCAATCTTGTGTAGAATCCAAATGCCTGGAATGGTTAGAAAGAAGGTTAACATCAAGCTCTTCTGTTGAACAACTAAGGAATATGAGGTATATATTTTTTCTACTTTAAAATGAAAATCTTTTACTATTGAATATGATGTGCAAATCATTTTTCAGTATTGATCTGATGGAGAAAGTGATTGGATCTCCAAATCTTTTTGTCATGCAAATAGAAGTTGATGTGTACAATCTTGCTAAGATGTGGATGTTTTTAAAAGTTGAAACTAGTTGGCAAGGGAGTAAGAAAGACTTGCTTCAAGATGCAAATACTTATTTTCAATCAAGACAACGCCATATCAGTTTTCTAGAGACTGAACAAGGAGCTAAATATGTTCGCGTGTTCAAAGGATCAAGCTTCATCATGTGATTTGTGACATCAAAGCTGTGAAGCAACTTGATGAGGATAAGATAATACCTCAAGGTATGTAATTGTATTGCTGAGGATAAGATAATTCCTCAGGTGTTTGATTGTATTGATAAAGATAAAATAATACTTCAAGTATGTAATTGTATTGATGAGTATAAGATAATACCTCCAGGTGTATAATGGTATTACCGCGTTTATAATAGACACTTTACTAATAACGGTTTTGATAGATTTCAACTTTAATCAAATACGTAGGTCTCATTTTCATTACTAAAACACTAGATCAGAAGTGATTTTATTATTCCTGTACGTATATTTGACGAACTGTGATGTTCTAATTGGATATACAAATAAACAAAAACTTACGTAATGCACTTTTAATAAAGGCATATCAATGTAAACTTACTTATACTAGAGATATTACTTTTGCTATGAATGTAATAAACCACATCTGTTTCCTGAAAGTAACCACGATCAACTTCACACGCGAGTGTAAATGCCAGTTACATCTCATTGTCATTTTAGGGTGCTACATGTATGCCCGCAACTATTTTTCAATAATGAGTTCAATAATTCCCCATAATTCCCCAAGTTTTTGACTGAAGTACATTCGTCTGAGCAAATTGTAAAAATCAAGTGTCTTTTAAATTTTGAATATTAATAATTATTTATCTGTAGCTATGCGTAATTTATTATTTCATAGATTATAGTTTTTTATAACTTTTAAGAGCTCACGTGAAAAGCACTTTCGGTGACTAGGACTCCTCGTAAGAGGAATGTACAAAAATACTGTATAAATAGTGATGATGTCATCATTTTATTAAATCTTTATTTAGAATGGTTATCGAGTGTTTATAAACAACAATGGAAGCAGATGTTGTTAGCCTTCCAGGGAATAGATTGTGGTCCTGGAGAAAATGTCTCAGAAGAAATGTTTGATTTTCTGGCATTTCGTTGTGGCAGGATATTGAGAGCAATGTGCAGGTATTTTAACCATCATCAATATTTGTTGTTTGTTGATAGTGCAAGAAATCTTTTAGTTTCTACTTATTGGACACGTAGTCAGTGATGTAGTTCTTGGTTATTCATGGCTTCAAGCGTACGCAAAGATTTGAGACTTTACATCGTATTTTAAGTGTTACTTTATCTGAAAATAGTTTTTCACAGAGATACAAAAGCCAATTGTGTTGCATGAGGTGTGTGGCCCACGAAAAATGGAAATTTGCTATGTTTTTTTTACTAATATTCCAACTTTTTAGAAATTCGTATTTACTTTACGCACTTAAGATCTTATATAGTTCAACTCCCAGGGCCTGTTTATATGGAAGCCTAGCTGGCTCGCTAACCGAGATAGTCCGTCAAACGAAATCTCCCTATACGTAATAGATATTATATTAAAAATCTCTTTGCGTTTATATGGCGACACGGGCTGGTCCGCATGGCGAGATCTCACTCTGATCTCGTCTGCCGGGATGAAATTTTTCATGTAAACACTCAACTGCCGAGCTAGCCCGCTTGCCGAGCTAGCCCGCTTGCTGAGCTGATTCTGGCAGAGTACGCATGTACAAAAGCGAACAAAAAGAGACGAGAATGGTTCAAAGAAAGAAATTTCGCTGCGATACAAAGACAATGGAGCATTTGATTGATAATCTGTCTGATTATAATTAGAAGATGCTTTATCTTGATCTTGGTCCCCTGTGTTTATGATCTTTTCAACGATTTCCCGATTGGTTGTTCACTCCAAATCATCATGTATACTGATGACACTGTAATCTACGTTGCTGGAATGGACACTTACACTATTGAAATTCGGTTGTCATCTGATATGAATCGCATCTTGAAATGGTGTACTGAGAATGAATTAATACTTAATATCAATCTGGGAAAACCAAATCGATGCTTTTGGTACTGCAAAGAATCTTGCCAGCACATCAAAAACTTTGAATGTTACATATGAAAACAAGATCATTCAATCCATAATAAGTTATCAGTATCTAGGCATTGATATCGATTACTCTTCAAATTTAAACTCAAATTTTGATAAAATGTATAAAAAAGCCTGTGGGAGGTTGAAATTATTAAAAAGAATTAGACCTTTTCTCAACTTGTCAGCAACAAAAGCGATTTACAAAAGGATGATAATCCCATTTTTAACATACTGTGTCATTTTGTATTTGAATATCAATAAGTCTAGAAAGGAGAAACTTTCATCTTTTCATGATCGTGCTATAAATATTATTGCATTTAATACTACTCAAGATGATGTAAATATAAAGAAACCTATGTCTGTCAATAAAATAAAGGCGTGCAGATTTGTAATGAAGAAATATGGATGGAAATGTATGTTTGAATTTTGCAACCTATTTTGTAAAACGTGATCACAATGTGGAAAGCATAAACAGTGAATATCAACTGCAACTTCCAAAAATTCCACTGGAATATAGTAGAAGCTCCTATATTATATGAGAGCTATAATGAGTTCTACATTTCTTTAAATTTTCTTATAACACTTGTATATTTAATTATTTTGTCAGAAATTTTATTTTTGTTTAGCAGAACTCACATTGATAACGGATTTTATATTTTACAAATATCTGACGTGACTATCCTGTGAAAATATTCCAAATAAATAAAAATGAACAAGTCTTGATTTCGACTGCAAAACGTCTCGGCAAGCGAGATGAACGTCATATAAACACATTAAAATTCATTCGCTTGCCGGGCTAACTCTCTAAGAGGGTCAGCCCGGCTCCATATAAACAGCCCCCTAGAGTACAATATGCTGAATCTAAAACTTAAACATTTCTTCGCTCAGTCTAAATTCAATCACATTGCTGCTGTTACCGAGATGCCTAAATGTACGTACATATCCCCATTAACACACCGCAACATATTGTGTAGTTTGAAATATCATGCACGAATTTTTCATAGAATTGGCCTTGAAATTTGCTTTGTTGATTCTGTACTGCTGGCGTTGGACTGGTTTCACATATGGTGTTGATATAATTGTCACATATGACAGTTCGAAACAAAGTCTTCAAACGTACGTGTAATATCAAGCGTGTTCCAGTGCCATTTGTATGCAGCTGAAACGAGATATAATGTGTAGTACAGGTTGTTGCATTCAATAATGAAGGCAAGCAAACATTTTACAAAAGTTCTGGTGTAATTCATTCCACATTGGGACCTGACGAAGAGTTATATGCTTTGCATATCACTGAAGATATTCAGTATCCACTTCATGTTAGCGCATATTGCGTTGCTTGGATCTCCTTCTGTCAGATACAGATTCCGACAAATAATTGTGATATAGTGAAGGGATGATTGTAGGATAAAACCCAAAACACACAGGTGACAATGAACTTTGAAGTGGAAAAGTACTGAAGAAGCATCGAAAAGCGAAGAACATTATGTTTAAGGACACACATGAAATATGATAGAGAAAACAAAAGACACCATTTTACGCATCCTTTCCGCCACTTTTAGCATAACTACTCAGTTGAAGTAATTTCGAAATAATAGGATGTCTGTTGACATATTTGACAGATCATGACGTAGCAAGAGTGTACACTATTCATTACAAAATAGTGATATCACTCTTGTCACAGTATAGAGAACATACAGTAGTGCCACTCCATTGAATATTTTCGTACCACGCATATCTTATTGCGCATGTAATTACCATATTGCAGCCAGTAAATGGCGTTGTGTGACCAAGAGGATTGACGATATGGCAAACGGCAACCAGTGAACTGACTTAATATACAGCAGCCAGTTGCACAGCGAAGTGGCCCTACTATATATTCCTATACTGTGCTCTAGTTTTCGTCACTTTTATCTAAAACCTCGTCTCGTTTATTTGGTACATTTTGCCTAGTTATTTACAAATGCAACTGTTAAGGTGAATAAAACATACGATCAAACTAAGTCAAATATGAATATTAAATCGTTTAGATTACCAAGAGATATAATACAGTAAAAATATTCATTTTAATGATTACACTGTTAATTTTAGGTGTCAAATCAACATCGGAAAAGGTGTTAAATACTAATGGCAAAAGGACACTTTTCAGGTGTTAAATTTAACACCTTTAAAAAGGTGCTATATTAATACTTTGGTGGGTTGTTAGATGAACACTGTTTTTGGCGTTGTATCAATACTTTTAAGGGTTATTTTGACTCTTGTATTGGTGTATCAAAAAGGCTTGCATGCCTTTCAATTCACAAAATTTAATGAAGAGTTTCAATGGCGATACAAATTTATATTAGCAAATAAGCAATAAATAAATATATACAAATGAATACTTGCAAAACATGCAAACAGTTTAATGTATAATAGATTATTCAATCAAAATTAAAGTCTAATCAGTTGAGTATTCCCTTTCTCCAGAACTTTTGCATAGATACTCATTGCTGCTGGAGAGTGTTGTTGAAAGAAGAAGGTGAACTCAAGAATGAAGAGAAACAGGGGAAGTTTTGTTTGTTTATTGATTTTATGAAGTTAGCGCTGATGTATTGTTTTTTGAAGCTTCCTTTGCACGATATAAGCACGTGAACAAAAGCACAGATAACATGCACTGAGCGTAGGTAGAGCATTAAAAAGGAAAGATAATTACAGGGCATTTTGATCAAACATTGAGCACAGAGAACGTTTTGTACGAATTTTAACACTTTGCATTTTCACACACTTTTACACCAAAGACTATAGACTTTGCATTTTCACTCACTTTTGGACCAAAGACTATACTCTTTGCATTTTCACACACTTTTACACCAAGACTATAGTCTTTGCATTTTCACACACTTACACCAAAGACTACTGTACCGGCATCGCAGAGGTCATGGGTTCGAATCCTGTTGAGTCACCGATCATATCTTCATTTAATTTCAAACACCGCAATGCACATAACATTCTTTCATATGACATTCCTTTCACGAAAAAACATCAGCCCAAAAAATTGACCTGATTAACCTTATCAAAAGTGTCTTACCTAATTACCTTTCACTTATTAGGGATAAGTTTTAATATTCAACATATTGTAGAAATTTAGCCAATCAGAGATGTAAGAGCTCAAAATTTATCCTATAACATTTGTAGAGCTCATTGAAATCAACCAATGAAATCGATCGGACCACCAAATGATCTTAATAAACGTCAATCACTTTACACAACGGTAGATGCCCTCAAGACTCGAAAGTGAAAGGAAGGTTAGTGAAATTTTGATCTATTGTTTTAAAAACGCACTTCAAATGTTGATAAATTCAATGGCAAAAGCCTTGTTTGATGTATAGTTACGCATTGTTTTACTGTAAGTCTTTTCGTCGGTTGTTTTGTGCAATTCGCCGTTTAACTGCGTGCCTTCGACGGTGTATTTGTTGGCCAGAGAAACTTGACAGTATAAAACGGCAAGTTTGTATGTTTCAAAGTCTTTCTTTTCTTTTACTTCCAGTGTGTAGTGACTGCTGGTGTTTTAATACTTCGAAGTGAAACTTGGTCGAATATTTTGCTTTTAGCGTGTATTTTGAATCGATATTTTTAGCGACAAAGTAGTGACCGACATCTTCCTCTTTTCAACACAAAAATATGTAAAAATTCTAGGTGAAAAGTAATGGTATTGCAAAAGTAGCGATAAGGAGGGTATTTCTTATCCCATGGGTTGATTTTTTGTTGGTAAAAAAGGCTCATTTGACTCTTGAGCGAAAATTTTGAGATATGTGAAAAAATATGAAAATGTTGGTTCATGGCATTGAGTTCTATAATAACTGGAGCGGCTAACTTTACTGGGGCGAGGATGCCAAAAAAATGGCGGCCAACGGACGTATTTCCGCTGAAATGATCGCTTTGCAGAAAAATAATATTCTCGACCTCCCCCTGGTGTCTATATTAAATTATAAAGAATTTTTCAAAAACAAACACGATATCACAGAATATGGATATCGTTAGTTCCATAATCTGTGACGATTCTTTTTTGGCATTTCTTTTATAATGCCAACACTTCAATCGTTCAATTGTTGGATGTCGTAGTTTCCACAAAAAGGAACATATCGCTTCTCACAGGTGAGGTAGTTGTTTGCAGTGGCGTAGCTAGCGGTCTGGCTGGTCGGGCCCAGCCTGACCAAATATTTTCCCAAAAATGAAAAATTTGTTTTCTTTAAAATTGGTTTTGCGAAAATTTTAAATTCTGCGACTCTTTTTGGAATAATCCACAGTCTATTAGTGTAATATTGGTCAAATTGCGTCGTTATTAGCAAAATTATCATATTTTTAATTGTTACTTAGCAACAATGACAAGTGTATTTCTAGTGCCAGGCATTACAGTGCTTACGCAGTTTAGTCGGGCTCTGAAAATTCAGCCCGACCAAGTAGTAAAATCTATAGTGGGATTATCTGCAATCTGATTGGTTGACAGCAACTGAGCAAACTCAAATGCGTTGTTTCGCAACATCTAGTCGGGCTCTGAAAATTCAGCCCGACCAAGTAGTAAAATCTATAATGGAAATATCTGTAATCTGATTGGTTGATAGTAGCTGTGAACACACTCAAACGTTTAACAACATCTAGTCGGGCTCATTTTCAAAAGCGTGACTTGAATTTGAGCTTTCGAAATATACGTTCGGAAATCGTGATAACTTACATCACAATGGCTTCGGCTAATGAAATCGATATAATAAGTGAACTACAAAAGAAACCCTTTTCTGTTCGACAATCGGGCGAGCAAAATATACTCGTAAAGCAGCGGCCAATTCCAAATTTACAAGCGACGACAGGCAATAGAAGCTTTCAGGAAAGTTGGTACTCGAAGAAAGATTGGCTTTGTGGTAGCTCAGAAAATAATGCATTGTTCTGTTGGTTTTGTCTTTTATTTTGCGCTTGATCGTCATCTTCTTGGACGCAGACGGGATTCAAAAACATGAAGAATTTCCTATCCGATTGTAAGAAGCATGAGAAGGCAAAATCGCACATGGATGCTTACAAGACCTGGAAGACCTACGGTTTTCAGCCTCGTATCGACTGTCTCATGTCACAAACTAGACGTGAAGAGATTCAGCGTCATAACGAGGAGGTAAGGCAAAACAGGGAAATGTTGAAAACCAGAACAGAAACTGTTTTATACTTGTCTAGGCAAGAGCTTGCATTTAGGGAGCATGATGAATCTAGTAGCAGCATGAATAGAGGAAATTATAGAGAGCTACTTGAAAGTTTTGCTAAGATGGATTCTGTTTTTGAAAGGCGATTACATGGAAAGCTTGCTGAAACCCACCTTCATGGGGGAGGGCGGTTTACTGGAGTTTCTCCTGATATTCAGAATGATTTGATTGATTGTCTTGATAAGATAATAGAGGATGAGATTTTAAAGGAAATATATTGCTGCACTTTCTTAAGTATACAGGTTGATGAGGCAACTGATGTTTCTACCAAAGAACAATTGAGTGTAATTGTTCGAATGGACAAAGGGGAAAGTGTCATTGAAAGACAGCTTGGGTTTGTTGATGCTAGTTGTGACAGGACTGCAACTGCTAAATCATCAGTGGTTAAGGGTAAGTTAAGTCAATGTAATAATGTGAAAGAGAAATTTATTGGACAGCCTTATGATGGTGCATCTGTTATGTCTGTTCATCTCAATGGTGTTCAAGCTCAAGTTCAGCAGGATTATCCTTATGCTCAATTTGTTCACTGTGCTGCCCATAGACTAAATCTAGTATTATGTCAAGCTGCATCCTCCATTTCACCTGTTAAGATTTTCTTTGTTAATATTAGTGCTTTCTGCACCTTTACTAGAAATTCCCCCAGAAGAAAAGCTTTACTATCATCGCATAGGCTTGGGTTTCCTAGTCCTGGTGACACAAGATGGTATTATAGGGCTTATGTCATCAATGTCTTGCATTCTAACTATGAGAAACTGATAGACATATTTGAAAATCTTACTGATAATCCAATAGGTTGGGATGATGAAACTTTAAGTAAGGTTACTGGTTTACTTGGCTACCTTAATGGCTTCTTGTTTTGTTTATTGGTACATGTTTTCCAGAGAATTCTTGAGCAGTCATCCATACTTTATTCTATCTTGCAAGATAAGGACACTGACTTTCATTATGGAATGAGTAGGTTTGAGAGATTCAAGGCCTTTGTTGCTTCTCTGAGAAATATACAGAATATTGTCAGGTGATGACTGGCTGTTTGGGACCACCAGTAACCAGGTATGACCAACGCATAATTACAAACAAATGTATTTTGAAATTCTTGACACAATTGTGACTATGCTGACTGAGCGATTTCAGGATATGGAGCGTTTTAGATTTTTAGACCTTGTTAACCCTAGGGTGTTTAAGATGTGGAAAGGTGAAGTACCCTCAGAAAAGATAAATCTTCTAAAGGAGGTTTATGGTGATATGTTTTATATTCCAATGCCAGTTAGCCAACTTTGTTTTATTTACAGAGATAAAGACTTTCACCGTGATTCATGCGATGAACTATTGAAATATATTTTTCAGTTCCATCTTCAATCTAGTATTCCAGAAGTTGTAAAACTGTTTAAGATAAATGGGGTTTTGTCAATTACAAGTCCTTCATTTTAGAGGTCATTTTCTTGTTTGAATAGGGTAAAAAATTATCTTAGAAATACTGTGAGCCAAGGAAGTTTTAGTTCTCTTTGAGGATTTCCATTCACAAAGACATACTATCAGAGAAGTAAGACGCCAACACATTGCATGATGAGGTAGTAAAGAAGTTCATTGAAAAACCACGAAGACTTGCTTTCTTATACAAATAGGTATTCATATATGGCTGATAGCAAGCTGATGATGTCCATGGCATGTGAGAATTTTTCCGGGAACTTTTTAATGCAGTCAATGATGATTGTCATTTCAGCACGACAATTTCATCACAACTTTTGATAGTTGTGGATGACAAATCTGAGCCTTTTTCAGTTCTTTTGTCAAAGTTTCTTTACAAGATGTACATAGGTATCTATTTATGTATGTGGTGTTGAGAAAATAAATCACATATCTGCAACTATTTTTGAACTGTTTCTCTGCTTTACTATAAGATCCTTCGGCAATTTAAATTAACCAAAATGGTTCTATTTCCTGCATGAATATCACGCATTTGCTTTCTAAGATAGCCGTTTCCGACGTTCTAGGGAGTCTAAATTCGGAAAATTTTCTCGCTCCGCGCCAACCATGGTGGCGCATCGTGAGCCCGACCAAATGTTTTTCGCTTGCTACGCCACTGGTTGTTTGTTTTGTTAGTCCGTCAACGATTGAAAAGCAATTATACATGCACTTGAAAAGCCATAAAATACAAATTAAAGATCGTATGTTTTAAGATTGACTTGAACGCCAAATATACTGATGTTTTCCTGTTTATAAAACTCTGTATACTTGTAAAATTTTTATAAAATTCTGTATACTTTTCTGTCATTTGTTAATGCATGAAATCGTAAATTTACCCATCTATTTGCAAAATAGTTTCCCTAAAGCAAAAAAGACACTGCACACATTTTGCTCTATATCAAAAATGTGATCTGGTATCAAAAAGAAATGATCAGCCCCAACGGTACCCATGATTTGGAGCAGAGCTTGTTATGTTCTATTTGCTGACAACATGCAGGGAAGATCAAGGAGTAAAGATGACTGGAAGATGTTATTGACCAGGCAGAGTCTTAAAAAATGATAATGCTGTAAGGATAATTGATTTATTGTCTGCCCTATCCAGAGTTATTTAATTTGATTGTGGTCAAATTCTATGGATGGAGACAATGGATTCACTAAGGATGCTTTGAAGTTAAAGTTCATGATCCAAAGAAAGATGGCAAGAAGGTTGTGTGTGTTTTGATGCTTAATGAAATGTCAATTCACAAACATGTAAAATGGAAGGCCATAAAGTTTGTGTCTATGTAAACATTTGTACTGAGATTGATGATGACTCTATGCAGATGTGAAGCTTCAAACTGTATAAGCCATTGGGTTTTATGTAACTTAATGTTTAAATCATGTCATATCTTTATCAAAATATTTTAGTTGAGTGTTGTTTGAATGTTACTAATATCTAATGCACTATACTGAAGCATTAAAGATTCAGTGATGAAACCTTTAAAGTTACTGTACTGTATATTTCTTATATATTTCTTATATTTCTTCAAGAAAAATTTGAGCTTATTTACCTATTAGAGTACAGAATGGAGATTTATCATATGCATTATTGCTGCTTTTTTAAAGAAAAGTTTTTCACTTTTCAAAGCTTTTCTACAAATTTTTTGCTTCTTATTTCTTATCATGAAATTGATGATATTAGAGGTAATATAATCCAATAACTTTCTAATTTCTAAAAAGCTTTTAAGCTTCTAGCATAAAAGTACACTATAGGTATGTAATTCATTTGGTTTTATTGCCTTGCTATGACATATCTACTTGCACTTCATCATTCTTGTATGAACAAAACACCAGATGTGGATACTCAGAGAACAAAATGCACTACCAACTGCTTATGAAATTTATTATTGAGGTGAAGACTGTGTTAATCATTCAAATTATAGTGCACTTATATTGCAAATATAGGAAAAACAAAACAAAGTGAAAAAGAAAGGTAGAAGTATTAAAACTACAAATGAATTATAAACACCATTGGAAGCATAAGTGTTTTGATGATTATTTGTATTTTGCCCAATTCATATATCAATACAACAAAATCAAAATGTGCTACAACTTCACAAGTATTTGATGCAGTTGCACTTCAGAACATCACAAAAAGGTTACTTAAAGTAATTTCTACACAATATTGTTTGTTTTTATTTACCAAACCTATGCAGACTTGAGTCTTTTTGAAATTTCATATGAAACTCAATTACAGAAAATCCGTAAATATCCAGAGATTTAATATGTACTTTTTGAAAGAAACAAGTAAAAATCCTACAATTGTGGCGAAAAAAGCCATTGCCCATTGCATGAAAAGAAGCAAAATAGCAATGATAACAAATAAGCTGACTTCTCTCTCGTGAATCGTGGAGATGAACTATGATATACTTTTTTGTATAGACTAAAGAGTTTAATCGATCAAACAAGTTTGACGCTGATAAGAAAACGACGCACATCTGCATTCATACATGTGTAGCCGATATATAGGTCTTTCGTCGATAGTTATAAATGCATCCTCGTAGCAGCAGATAACTGACAACCACAGTTGACTCGCTGTTATGAATTTAAGGTTTTTACCTTGATTTTCAACAAAAAATTGCTTGCCGAATCCCAAATACACACATACATTTTCCTCACTCTTGCCTCAGGAGGGAGGGGGAAATTGTGAAATTTTCGGAAAAGCGGTCAATTTCGGTAAATCTCAGCGGCAACGGACGAAATCCGCCATGTTTTTTACAACATCAGATATCTAAGGCCGCGCTTGAGATAGCCGCTCCAGTTATTATAGAACTCAATGGTTCATGGTGGACATTGGACTTTCGACAAAATTGGCGCGAATTTTGTTCCGCGTGAAAACGAGGAACACTGGGCACGAATTATGCAAAACTGACTAGCTTGACTACGAAAATACCCACAAAATCTTTGATTGGAGTGGGATACAGGGAAAAATTTGAAGAGTGTCGACGGCTACAGGTTCTTCAATTCAATAAGTTCGAATGATAGCAATTTCAGTGGGCGAGAAAGATTTTTAATGAAATACGATGTACGCTACTCGAGTACAATTTAGAAAAGTTGTTATTGAAAACTATTTTAAGAACACTTTACCAATAAATGTGTTTTTATTCTATAGGGAAAGAAGATAATTTTCTCTTGAGAATTTACTATGAGCAATCATAAAGAATGCAACCGAAGTCGTATCCTGGTTGAAATTTGAAGCAAAGATAAAACGGATCGCTATGAAAACAACTGGAAGAGAACAAAGGAGGAGTAAGGTAGGAAACTCAAAATTTTTCGACTCTAAAACTTTCATTGACTGCCTGGTTCTTTTTGTACGAAAACGCTTTTAAAAAATTTTTGTTATAATATTCTTTTATTGTACTAATCTTTTCTGTTAATATTTTTATTTTAATATTGCAATTTTTATGATATGTATCAAATGGGTGAAAACGCAGAAGCTCATTTCGTTTGATTTGAATTGATAGGATATTCAAATGAAAGCAACAGACAGAGCGTATTTTTATGGATTTACTTGTGCACACGTTCAAAATTTTTTTTTCCTTTTTTCTTAAAACTTTGCACGAAAAGTTTGTTTAACATTTTTGTTGTGCAATCACTATCTTCGTCGTATTTTGCTGCTGGTAGACGAGTACTAGTAAGGGTAGAAAATGATTACACAATAGATCAAAAAAACAATTGTTGTGAACGATCTATCTGAAAGCGATGTTCAAAAGCATTCAAAGAAGTCTATATGACTTCCTCCATTTGAAATGTGTAAGGGATTAAAACAAACATTCCTTCATGAAACAAAACTAAATGTTGTGTGCATGTGCTAACGATTTTGATTAAATTTTAAGTCAAATCTAGTGTTGTGAATAATATTTCAAAATCGACGCTCAATGACATATAAAGAAGTCTATAAGACTTCCTTCCATTTTTTAAGCAAAATGCTCTTGAGTTTAAGGTGTACAAAGATTAGCAAACAATAAGACGAATCTAGCTAGTGTTGTGAATGACCTATATATGTGAAATTGACGTTCAATGGCGTATAAAGAAGTCTATACGACTTCCTTCCTATAAAATGTATACATAAAAAGACATATTCACTGGATGAAATTTACTCATGAATCAAAAGTAAATGTTGTCAATATTTTTAAACAAAATGCTGTTGAGTTTTAAGGATTGTCAGACAATAATTAAGTCAAAACTGCCATTGTGAACGATCGATTTGAAATCGACGTTTAAGTGAAAATGAAGAATTCTTTACGACTTCATTCTTTTGAAATTTATAAAATATGAAAAGACACATTAATTCGAAGAAATTTATTTATAAAATGAAAGTAAAATATCATACGTAATCTTACATCAGCAACTTGAAGTCTTCATTTGTCCACTATTCATTTAATTATTAATTAGAAAAGTAAACAAAAGTATTGTTGTAAAAAGTACTCTTTGAACAAAGCGTTCCACAAATTATGTAAAATATGTACAAGACGTCGAGAATAATTAGAAGAATTAATGGAGCCTCACATTGGAA